TAACCCAAACAGGTCAACCAAAAAGCCAAACAATAATTTGAAAAACAGCATGACATTTACACCGCCGTCGAGGGCGGACGGTTTAGCCGACCCGTTACCGACACACCAGAGGGACACCGAACATAGGTGCAGTGCAGGACGGGCAGGACGATGGGGAAGATAGACGAAGGAGAAGAGCGAGCAAGATCCCTAAACAGCAACGGGGAAGTCTCATATGTGATCGTAGGCGCTTCAGGCGATATGGAAGATCGCCAACAGATCATAATGCCATGTGTTATGCCATCTAGGAACGGATCGGCGAGTGAACATGAGATATCGCATGGAGGCTGGCCCATGACGCAGGCCAAGGATATGTCATAAGTAAAGATGGGTCGGGCGATATGGCATATTGTGCCTGACATGACCCGGGCATATGGACAGTCCCGCGCGGGACAAAGCATATGACATATTAATAGTCCTATTAGTAATACTAGTCACATGATACTAGTAATAGAATACTAGTCACATGATACTAGTAATAGGGTAGTTCTGACTATCATAGCGCCGGATCCCGTTATCTGCGGCACGTGCATAAATGAGAACAACCTTATTACTCGTCCGCATAAAGGCAGTATGTATGTGTTCCGAGTCGATCTGGTTATAACAAATACAAATTGAAACAGTACATGCTGATATCCTTCGCCCGATACTAATACACCAGAGAAATTCGCGGCTCGTGTCATACACCTCTCAGAGCGTAGCTCTCGTTGGCAAAAACCTCGTATCATACGGCTGCTCCAACCCTTCTTCTCCGCAATACGCATGACCTTCTTCCCTCAGAACCCCAAACGATAAATCCAAGCACTGTTCGGGGCGAAGAGAAGGAGTACGCGACGGCGAAACAAACTTTTGTAGTTTTTCTCGAATGACGGAAGTGCAGTAGTCGATGCATTCGTGTCGTTCAAGTAGATCAGAGTCACAATGAGCGTTCGAAGAGGTATCGGTTATGTCCTTGACGTACTCTGAAACGTCGGATGGCTCGACGATGAAAACGATTCGTAACCTGGCTCGACGACGAAGTGACTCAAAGTCCAAACTCGATACGAGATGCGGCAACAGCCCCGCTAGCGCCAACTCTCGAAACTGAGCTCTCGACGCTAGAATGTTGTGGAGGATGGTCGCGAACCGTTGCAGGTACCACTCCGACGTAATGGGCCTGATCTGGATAGTTAAGTCCAACAGTTTCGGCATGGACCTGTAGCCCTCGATAGCGTTCAGTAATCCATTGGGATCGAGCCGAAAGATAAGGGCGATGAGACACTCGAGAAATGATATCGAGCAGTCAGTGTGGTCGCAGAGGATGAAGGACTCGATGCTGGATGCGCTGGTCCAAAGAGAGCCGTATAATTCACATTTACGGCCATAATAATCCTTAGGGTCCTCCAGGATCGATGCGTCGTACTCAGATAAACTGTCCCGGACCCGAAGTTCAGAGAGGGAGTAGGTGAAATGGTACGTGAGGGATTTGAGAGTTGATGTATGGGAGTCAAATAAGTGAAAAAATGCGCTATCGCTGCAGCCCAACGGCGCGTCGACTGAGACGGCCTCCAAGACAGGAGAGAAAAAAGATCGGACGATGATAGGGAAAAAACTGGTGTTCTCGGCACGAATAGAGAGTTTAGAGAGGTAGGGAAGTTCAATGGGGTCCGTGGTCCAGCCAGTGTCACCTCCATAGATAATCCTTCCTATCGACTCGATAGCAAGGTTCTCCAACTTCGAGAATTTAGGAAGAAGTTGTGTTACGCGAAAAGATACATGGGGGCTGTTGGTCGTCGCCTTCTCCATGATACACAGCCTAGTGAGCCTCTCGGCGAGCATGTCGGGACAATCCTTGACGTAAAAGGCGTTCAATGCGACGAAGTCCAGAGCGGGTGCACTCTGCGGAGCCCTGGTGATCAATGGGGGTCCAATGCCGGTTTCATGGAGTAGTGACGCGGAGCGTAATATGGGAAACAGGGGCATATCTGGAGAGAACTTTGGCGTACTGATGCAGTTTAAATGGAGGTCTCGGAGTCGAGACGCTCGGCGGAGAACGATGGCAAACAATCGGTCTCTACTGCGGTCCTCTCCACGTTAGTCCTTGACATAACAAGACAAAGGGAGTAGTCCTGAGCGCGACAACCAGGCGTCGAACGCCCTGAAAGCAGTCTCAAGGTCGTCCCTCGCGATATTGTCAGCGAGCACAAGGACGCGAGACCAAAGACGCGGTGTGGACAGTGCAACATCGTGCCATCGGTGACAAACTCTAAGAAACAGGAGAGGTGCCTCTCGTGGACTCAGAGCTGGAACACGGTCCTCGATAGCGAGAAGAAGGCAATTGCTGAGGATTTCGACTGGAAGTCGATTAACGGGTGGCGGTGGATTCATGAGTGGCTGTGATAAATGACATTTATCAGTCAAACAACAAGCTGATTCCGATGTATATTTGCACACACTAGAGACATGCAGAGAGTATTCCTGTCGGCTTCGAGGTTGGACCGTGCGGTGGCGTCGCTGCGTAGAAAGTGCGGTTATTTCGATTGCGTCTTGGTCAAAGTATCCTGCATCGGATCAGATACGTTAGTGAAGGTGACATCGACAAAGCGATAGTCTTACGATAGTGCTGACACGTCGTCGCTGGGTCTTGTTTTGCATGGACAGAGTTGGTTGTCGTGCAAGAAGCGCCGGCAGGTGCCGGCACTCTTTGTGTCTGGTCCAACTGGTCTTACCAAATAAAGCCAAAGCAAGTGGCACTCATCGAGGTGTGGCGCCACTGGCACAAGCGTCTTATTGCCCACGTCTTCGACTGCCTATGTAGACGGTCTTAGTCGATATACATATCAACGGCGGACAAGATTATATTTATAATATAACAATGAGAAAGGAAATCTAAATTTCTATAAATACAAAGTGAAAAATATCGACTCTGAAAGGGCGGTATCAATCCAAGTGAGTCGATCTTGTTATAAAACGAATAGACATAGACGACACATGTCGACAACCTTCACCGGATACAAAAACACCAGGGGAATTTGCGTCCTGCCTAATGATCACAACTTGGTGTAGCTTATGGCTAGGAATCGAGAATCATCAGCCGCGTTGGATCCGTCTGCATCTCCACCATGCATGTCCCTCTCCTCCTGCAGGTAAGTTAAGCGGCGATCCTCCTGGTAGAACAAAGTCCCGCAGTGTTTCGTGAGTGTCGGAGATAAAGTAGTCGATGCGGCCGCAAGAGCTGAAAAGTCCAGGAAGGGATACATTCAAGGCCGTCTCTGTTATGTTCTTGATTCGTACTCGGAATTCACCGAAGGCTTCGACGATGAAAGCTACCCGAAGTCCTAGTATTTAGTGATGAAGGCCCTGTTCCGAAGCCGAGGGACGCTCCGGCGACGTGTCTCCTATCAAGGCAGCCTCGCAAAATCAAATTATCGACGCCCTGCCGTCATGGAGAATGGCTATGAGCCACTCCAAGTACCACTCCCAGTCAATGGGGCGGATATCTATCGTGAGGTCCCGTAGTTTCAGCATGTGGCTGTTGAGGTTCATGAATTATCTGGCTCGGGAAGATGTGGCCGAAAAGAGTGATCAGAGGAAGAAGATACTGGAACAACGACAAAGAGCACCCAGTGCGGTCGCAGAGATTGAGTCATTCAACGTTGGAAGCGTTGTGCCAGACGGCACGATATTGGGCACCTTGTCGGCCATAGTGATTCCTTGGATCTAGTGAGCAGAGGAAGAAGTCGGTCTCTCGTCGATCAATGGGTTCAGATGATCCATACGAAGCCTTTTCAGCCGCTGTGATTGATTACTGTCACAGAGCCTGGGTGCGAAGGAGTTGATGACGAGAGTTTCTAGATTGGGTGCCCGCTCTAGAGTGTTCGTGATTTTTCCAACGTCGTCGAATTCATGGCCAAAGAACGTCGCATAGAGCGAGGATACGTTCGCAAGAGCGGAAACGAGGCCATCGGCGGTAACGAGATACAGTTGTTGAAACCGATCCGCGTGGATAACGATAATTTCGAGGAACTCATCATGAGCGCCGTCAAGTTTTCTGCTATCCGTGGTGTAGCAGATTGGTGGGACTATGGCAGCCATGCGGCAAACTTGGACAGAGCTAATGTAAGTTTCGAGGGCGGACCGCGTCCGGCAAGACCTGAGATTAGATACACCACGCCGAGAGGGCGGTGTCGTTCCATCGACGGGGAACCAGAAGAAGAGCGAGGAGTCCAAGACGCAGTGCGGGTATTAGATCCTCCACAAGAAGCTGAAAGCAACTGGCGACGGTCTGAACGGAGAGTCGTTCACTGCAAGATGATGAGGCGTACTAAGTGCCACCGGGAAGTATGTATTTGCAGCCCTTCCAAATCCTGGACCAACAATAAACATTCATATGTTTACCGATGATTGAGAAGAATATCAACATACCTATGCTAGAAATGCGATGCTGTTCGTGCGTCTGGAGATCGAACAAATAGAACAAGACGCTATTACTGAGTCTAACACTGCGGCGCAATCTCACGAATGCGTCCTCTGGATCGAGTTCCTTCGACTTAGAAATAAAAGAGGAAGCAAAGCAGCAGAGGTAGATGCCTGAGTGTCTGCCAGAAATAAGTCGTGAAAGGCTTGCAAGATGGACGAAATCGGACTGGAGAGAAGAGGCGCCCATAGGCGCGTGTCCGGGAGCAATAGCGCGCATGCCGGACCGAGTTACCCAAAGCGGCATGTACGCCACTTTTTTCTCATGCGCTCGCTGGGCTCGTCGATGCCGGCTTGCCCTTGACCCTTTCTTCCGCTCCTTTCTCCTCCATCACAACGCCATCGCCCACATCGTACACCGCCCTCTCCTCGTCGTCGCCCACGATGTCCGCAAACGTCCCAATCTCACAATCCAACGATATCACCGCGCCTACCCCCCAGAACACACCCCTGACCCACGCCCCCATCGCCGCAGGTCTCTCGAGGCCCACCGTGCCAGACATCTCGGAAGATGCTGAGCCAAATGAAGAGGCTGATAATGCCGACGATGTTCAGGAGGCCATGCTCGGTCTCGTTCAGGGGAGACTGGCTGGCCTTGTAGGCAAGAGCTCAGGCTACATCGAGAGCCTGCCCGACGAGGTCAAGAAGAGCGTAGAAGCGCTCAAGGGGGTGCAGTCAAAGCAAAACGAGCTCCAGAACCAGTACAAGCGCGAGTGCCTCGAGCTTGAGAAGAAGGTTTTTTTGTCTTCCCTTTGTTGCTTTTCAGACCGACCTCCTAATTTTTTTTTGGATCTCCTCATTCACAGTATCTCGAGCTCCAGAAGCCCTTGTATGAACGCCGTCATGCTCTCATCTCCGGTTCAGCTCAGCCTACTGAGGAAGAGCTCGAGCGCGGAAACCAACAGTCTCTGAAGGACGACCCGGACCATGTCGCACTTGACGCCTCCACCACCGCCGCCCCTATCCCTGAATTCTGGCTTACCGCCCTCCGAAACCACGTCGGCCTCGCCGAGATCATCACCGACCGTGACGCCGGCGCGCTCAAGCACCTCACCGATATCAGCATCGAGTATCTCACCGCTGAGGCCAGCGAAGGCAAGCCCGGCTTCAAGCTCATCTTCACCTTCTCGCCAAACGAGTACTTCGAGAACGAGAAGCTGGAGAAGACATACGTCTACCAGGAGGAGGTGGGCTACACGGGCGATTTCGTGTACGACAAGGCTATCGGGACGGAGATCAAGTGGAAGGCGGAGAAGGATCTGACGAAGGAGTTTGAGATCAAGAAGCAACGGAATAAGAGTACGCATTCTCGCTCGATCCTCTCGTTACGCCTTCCCTTTTCATAGATGGCCCTTTCTCACGCATAATTGATAATTCTTTTTTTCGTAGACACCAACCGGACGCGTCTCGTTCGCAAGGCTCGTCCAACGGAGTCGTTCTTCAACTTCTTCAGCCCACCTACCCCGCCGGGTGAGGATGCCCTTGAGAATGGCGAGATCGAGGAGGAGGAGCTGGACGAGCTGGAGGAGAAGCTCGAGATGGACTACCAGATCGGTGAGGATATCAAGGAGAAGATCATCCCCCGTGCGATCGATTATTTCACCGGCAAGGCTCTCGAGTACGACATGATGGACGAGGACGAGGATGACTACGAGGATCTGGATGATGACGAGGACGATTTCGAGGATGATGATGTACGTTCTGGTTTTTTTTCCAAGCTTAAGCGGCATTTCTCCCCTGAGCCTTCCGTTCCGTTCGCATGATGCTGACTGGTCAGTGATGTACAGGACTCTGAAAGTGACAACGACCTTCCGGCAGCAAGACGTCGCGGTCCCCCGAAGGGCCGTGGCGGTGGTGCCGCCGGACAGAAAGTCGACCCCGAAGAATGTAAACAGCAGTAGTCGCTCGTCGCAACGCTTCCTCGTTCGCCATGGCTCGCATCGTCTACATCGCATCGGCCCACGGTAACCTCAAAATTCATAGAGGCACGGCCTGCGCAGGGCCGTGATTTCCCTCATCCATCTTTTTTTTTCAGCCGTTATCTTTGTCTCTTGTTCTTGTACTTATGCCTCCCCAATTCACGTCGTCGTCGTAACTCAATACAAGCCATCCAATCGAATCGCCGTCAATCGTTCTGTCTTCCTTTCACTTCCTTGGTCTTGGGTAACATCTTCTCCTTTCGTCCGTCCGCATAGCCTACGCTCCCTTCCCTCATCCATTCTCCCGTCCCTCTTCTGCCGTTCTTTGACATAATGCTCATCCTTGTTGTTGTTGTCCTCCCTTGTCAGCCTTTCATCTTTCAACTTCTGTGCGTTAATTCACCGTGCTTCGCCCCTGTAGCAGCCGTGACGTGTTTAAACTTGTTCCATCCCGCCGTTTTTTTTTCGTTCCATTGTTCCATTGTTCCACCTCTGTATCACTTATCGAGCTCGAACTCGTAACCTTGCCTTCCGTTGTTTTACCTTTTACGTACGACCTTTTTACTTTTACTTTTTACGAATGCGATATGGTTTTTTACATGGTGGTCTCCGTTCTTTTCTGCTCTGTAGGGGGTGTGAGATCCGTGTGAATAGGAGGAATGAAATGAGATTCGGTGTTTTGGTATTGCTTACAAGTCGAGGAGGATGGGTGTGGCGCCTTGGAGGTGAAGCTCCAACGCCCACAGCTCCAGCCGAGTTTTTCTTGTGCCAGCCGCTTGGACGTCAAACGATTGGCTACTCTGATTTAAGTAGAAGAATACATCCATTGCCCCCGCAGGGTGTCGAGCTGTTTTGAATCCATAATGGTGCCGGTTTGCGGCAGTCGAGAGTTCGAGCTCCGAGGCGATGTTAGAGCAGCCAGGTGGGTATGAGTCTTGTTCAGACTCTGGCGATTTAGATCAAGTCTGTACTACTTGGTGACTTTTCATAGTAATCTCTGAGGTTTCCTGGTGCATAGAGATACACTGGGGCTCATCCCATCAACAACTTGCTTGAATCGACTTAAGCCTCCTTTCTGCGCATGTAATCCTCCTCCTTTGTCAAACCCTCGACGGAAATCACCCACTTAGACCTATCGTCAGGACATGCTCGTATGAGGTGTCTGGCCACCGGCGTAGCTTGCTGTGTGTTGGCTGGTAGGTTCCAATGCGATATTATGGGTCGTCTGAAGAGGTCCATGGCGCCACAGTTCGAAGCGAGTTTCATTACATTCTGTGAATTGAGGACTCGTCAGAGGGATTACCGATTTACATCCGAGAACGGCAAAATACAATCAGGATTCATTCTGGGAGCTCATGAAAGAGAATCCTGGATAAATCGTGGAGGCTGCTTCTGGCTGCGTTATGTGAAGCACGGCGCCACAAAGCGGCCCAGCTCTGCGGGTGCCACTCAATTTGGCTTTGTTTGGTCGGTAGACACCGGGATTTGCGCGGACAACTCCGAGTCGACGCTCTTCTTCCATCCAACTTCTACGACCTGGCAACGCAGTACTTGCACAGTGCAGGGGACTCTGCGATATCAGCCATATAGTAAGCCATTCATATGTTGGCGAAATCTTCGCAACACTCGTTGACTGATGCTGTATGCATAGCGCGAAGCTTCCGCAAAGTTACAGGAAGCCACAGAGGTTACAGGAGTCTTCAACCGATACCAGTCGAGATAACCAAGACCGGCATAGCTACTTTTTATATACTGGACGGTTAGCATACGTCTGCAAATTAATGCATCCTTTATCTCTGACAGAAACCCTCTCATAGTTCCACATGCAGCATCAGCCCTCACCCGTCGACCGACTTCCGGTTGAAGTCATCAGCAACTGTCTTCTTCTCAGTCTCGGCGATCGTGTTCCTGCTCTAAAGTCACGCGAGGCTCCTCTCCTGTTCCTCAAGGTCTCTAAGCGATGGCGCGACATCACTCTGTCCACGCCCCGTCTTTGGTCTCGCGTTTTGGTAGTCGCTGATAATATCGCCCCGGACAACCTCGAGAAAGCCTTCTCGGCGTTCGATGCTTGGCTTTCTCGCTCAGGGGCCCTACCTCTATCGTGCTACGTCAAGGACTACCGTACAGAGAACCTCAGTCGGGACAGATTATACGGCATCGTTCTCCGCTATGCGCATCGACTCCGTGACTTTCACTTCAACTGCACCTACACACCAATATTTTCCTCGGCCATGCCTCTCTTTCCCATCCTGCGGTCTGCGTCTTTGATATTTCCCAATTATGTTGCCTACACAGGGCAAGACCACACAGCATTCGCGAGGACTCTGGAGAACGCACCGAAACTCGATTCACTCGCACTAGACGTAACCCGCTTCGACGACTGTCCTGACACCTACCGCCAGAGAGTGTCCAAACTGCGCATCGTGGACACCACATATTGGGAGGTCAAACTGAACGCTAGCAGAACCGCGTTTGCGCTTTGTGAATTCCCGAACTTGAAGGTTCTCGCGATTGATTCGTCCGGAGGCCCGCCCTGGGATGAGAAAGTAAACGACTTCTGGCCCAACCCCACTATTGAACTCCCCCATCTTTCTAGGCTTCACATCCGCGCCGAAGACTCAATATTCTATTCTACCGTGCTCCCTAATATTCTCTCGCCGGCCCTGGAGGCTGTTTCGATCGACGCCCCGTTGGGTGGTAGAGATTCTCGTAATGCGCTAGTCCGACACTTTTCTTTGCACACTGCGACCCTCAAGTCCCTCGCGTACCATTTCACTTATCCGCTATCCGAGCTTCGAGGCCGGACCCGTGACGTAGACTCTGACGATGAGCAGCAGATGCTGGATAACCCCAAAGCCCACTATCAGCCACAGTACGAACGGTTCAACGACATTTGGTCCAGCGCATCCAGCATCGAATCTTTCACCCTCTGCGATCATACCGACTGTTCGATATCATTCCTCGAGTGTCTCATGACTCTCATCGTGCGGTTCGATCCCAAAGATCCACTTCGTGTTAACGAGCGGTGGATTCCGACGCGAAGGATGTGGGATTTTACAATCCAGATCCGACCCATCCCCTCCGAGTGGTACCTTCAACGATTCGCGACCATCCTTCATAACATTCTGTCGTCAAGGGCCCAGCTTCGATGGATGGCGTCGGTGGGGATGTTGCCGCAGAGTATATTGGGTCCAGACTTGGACTCGCTTCGTCGTCGAGCCAAACTACGGATCGTGTTCATCGTCCAACCACACGACCTCTCAAGATACGTCGAGATAAACAGCCTCACCGCGTCGAATGCTCGTGGTGTTCCCGACTCCGTCGATCCATACGAATGTATCGACCACTGCACCGCCGTTATCAAAGACAAGCTGCAAGAGTTCGTTTCGCCGTCGCGCCCGGACTGCGTTAATCGGGACGAGTGTTTGGATTTGGGGTTTGAGGTTATGGAGGAGGAGGGACATATGTACTGTGGGGAGGATGAGATGGAGGAGCCGTACGACACGAGGTTCATGCCTATGAGAACTACGCCCACTTGAAAACGCCCGTCACTCTGTTCTGTGTAATTACGTTTATCATCTGTTTTTTTCGAAGATTCAATACACTGCTTCACTATAACAGTTCTGGTCAGCTATGATCCAACCTGGTTGTGTGAATTGCGTAGGTTCTGAGAAGTGTAAGCTTGAGTTGTGGTTGTGGCCCACGCGTGGGGAGAGTGGCGTTGACACACGACCTTTCAAGCGCCGCTTGAAAGTTTGTTGGCGTTCAAATTGGCTCCTCGTCGCGACTTCTTTCCTTTCAACTTACCTCTACGCGTTGAACATTCGGGAGTTGGTCGACACTGTGACTATAGCATAAGTACACCAAGGGGACCTCTACTGGTATATCACACTCTGAATAATCGACACGCACACTTTGACCAGTTGACACACAGGCTTTGCGCCCGGTTTTGTCCATAATAATTTAGACAACAGTGTCCCTCAGGTTGATCCTCCACGCCTAGGTTCAGCGATCGTCTTAGTGCGTTGTTCAGTTATTCTTCCTACTTCATTACCTAACGACCTATTACTTAGGCATGTCTTCCCACGTCGACCGAGTCCCCGTCGAACTTCTGGCTAGATGTTTTTTGCTTTCTACGGAAGGTTCAGTACCCACTCTTAGCCTCCGGGAGCCCCCCCTTCTCTTGCTTCTGGTCTGCCGTCGATGGCGCGACATTGCTCTCACTACGCCACGTCTTTGGTCCAAGGTCTTAGCGGAGATCGATACGAGCATGTGCGACAAGGAATTAACTGTGTCCACGTTCAAGGCATCGCTCTCGCGGTCAAAGTCTCTGCCTCTCGATATTTTCATCAAGGAACTCGATAACCGTTATTGCCACAGAAGCAGCAGCGAAATAATCTTTCCGACTGTCCTCGACCAAGCGTCTCGACTCCACGAGCTACATCTCAACGTCGTCAACATACCCACGATTCCCGATGGCCTGCCTCTTTTTCCTGCCTTGAGGAAGGCAACACTGCTCATTGGTGAAGGGGTCAACTATAGTGCACTTGCTGACCTCCATAGGCTACTAGAGAAAGCGCCAGTTCTCGATTCGCTAACCATCCCCTCCCTAATGGTGGAGGACCAGTTTTCAGAAGCTTTCTACCAGCAGTTGGTAAAGCTTCGGGTCGTGAGCGCGCCTTGGTATTCATTCGTCGATACGGAGCTAGTATTGGAGGGTCTTGCCGGTTTCTCAAATTTGAAAGTCCTTGCAATCGACTCCATGCGTAATCATCGTTTTATAGAAGATAAGGGCTTGTTCACTGCGTCTATCGAGCTTCCCCATCTCCTCTATCTTTCCGTTCGTGCCGACGATACCCGATTATTCCCTGCCATACTCCGCAGTATTTCCTCACCTGTTCTCGAGTCTGTTTCACTCGACGTACCATTCTGCCAGACGGACGCGGGTCACGCATTCCATGCTATCAATCGCCTCTTCGAGACTCACTCTTCCACCATCAAGTCACTCGCATACCATGTCACGTTCGCGATGAACGAACATCTGGCACGGGGAATGCACATAGTAGAGCGCAGTTATAAGGCGTATGTCCTAAATGACCCCAGACGCTATGATGCACAAACTTCGATGTATCGAGAGCTCTGGTCGAACGCACGAAACGTCGAGTCCCTCGTTCTCTGTGATCATACAGAATGCTCCATCACCTGGCTCGAGTGTCTCTGCACTTTCATCGTGAGGTTCGATGAGGATAATCCTCTTTTTGTCGTCGACTCTACCAGTCACATGCACCAGCTACGAGACCTTACGATCCAGATACGACCCATCGCATCGGAGTGGTACTTTGACAGGTTCGTGACTATCCTCTACAACATTGTGGCGTCGAGGATTCGACTTCGACAGACGACGACATTTGGGAACGCATCAAGCTCTATTCCGGATTCCGATCGCCATTGCTTCAAACTGCGAGTAGTCTTCATAATCGATCCACCTCTTTCGTCCATATTCATCCAGGACAAAACGGATACCGCCTCCAATGTGCCGCTTCCCGAACTGTTTAGCCCTCGAGCGTGCATCGATCACTGTATATCCATCATTCGCGACAAATTGCAAGTCTTCGTCTCACCGGCCAAATTCCAGCATGAACAACTCGACTCGAACCGCTCTGGGAACCTGGATCTGTCGTTCGATGTCTTGCAGGAGGAGAAGGATATGTATTGCGAAGACAGTTTCGACGTGCCGTATGACGCTCGGTTCGTCCCCAAGAGGGAGCTGGTTCAACGGTGGGACGAATACGATGAATTCTTTTGAACTTGGGTGGTCGGTCGAGATGGGGTGGAACTCAAGAATTTTAATGTATTCACAATGAGTGGGTTGAGCTTTCGTACAATTGCTGTCGGGTTTTGTTCAAGTTTGGCAGAAGTTTGGCAGAAGTTTGTTTCGTGGCTCTATACAGATAGTGCAACTTTTTCCTGACCTATGCTTCTACTTCTACGAACCTATTTGATAGTCTTATATTCTACCTATCCCGTCGAATGAAATATCCTACCAATTGGGTTTGCAGTGCAATATGAGAGGTGGAAGCGATCAGCCTGAACTTGGTCACTGCTGCAAGGTTATTTCAGTACACTCCAGGCTTTCTGTTCCGGTAGAAGAGTTATGGTGGTTGTATGTCGCCTGGGACTAGTTTAATCCTCCTTCTGCTAAAGACTGCCTGCCCAAAGACCAACGCGAAGAGGGAGTGTGGCGCCACTTGGGGGCCACTGCTCGTCATAGCACGTGGTCTTATTTGACATTGTTTGGCAGTGACGCGGACACAAGATGAAAATCAAAGTTTGAATTTCGCGACGCTGTTCGTTCGTGCGACGTGCACCCACTCCCTGTCCAACGATATAGTCACCAGAGGGCAGCTCAGCACACAGACAGAGGTATGTCAACCAGTGTAACATTGCATATTCTCCTTGCTCACCACAACCTGTAACTGAAATCTGAAGGTTACTAGGATATCGCTTTTCCAACTCTGTGTACACCAGCCTGCGCCAGCTACTACCTAGGCCGTCAACCCTCCGAATGTGTGTCTACACCTGATGACCTCAATTATTCCATGTCTGACCATATATATTTCTGCTTGCTCAGTCTTATAAATGCATCCTCCAGTCCACCGTGTCCCCGCTGAAATCATCGCAAATAGCTTTCTACTTGTCCTCCGCGACCGGATACCAGCAATGAGTCTGGACGAACCACCTCTCCTCTTTCTTGTGGTTTGTCGTCGATGGCGCGACATAGCTCTATCCACGCCCCGTCTGTGGTCTCGCATTCTCGTACAAGCCGATAAAATCACGCCCAATGGCCTGAACACAGCTCTCTCTGCATTCGCAGCTTGGCTCCCTCGATCAGAACCTGTGCCTGTATCTTGCTACATTATGCAGCCAGAGTGGCAACCGCAACGTGAAACCAAACTCCTCGCTATTATATTTGAAAACGCACCTAAATTCCTCGAGCTACACTTCGACATCTCTCTTTCACCTAGCCTCCTCCTTGACGCGACGCTGTTCACCCGTCTGCGAAGTATATCGCTACTCTGTGATTCCCGCGACTCATACGGTTATGTCGGTTACGAGGAACTTCTGGACCATACTCCCAGTCTTGAATCACTCGCAATCGAATGTATCGGGCTTGAGGCCTGCCGGAACATCGACCTGCCACAGCATCTTACACGACTCCGCATTGTAGAGATTCCGCACAAGTTTAACCACGAACACGTCACCCGTATTCGGAGTTCTCTTCCCAAATGCTTGAACCTACAGGCCCTCGCGATTGACTGCATGTACGGAAGTGGGTTTCCTCCCGGAGACGATACGGACTCATTCTGCGAAGAGCTCGAACTTCCCCGTCTTACCAGTCTCTCTATTCGCACCGACGACACCCGGCACTTCCCTGCAATATTGCGCGGTCTACTTTGCCCCGTCCTCAAGACTATTTCATTGGACGTTCCGATTGGCGACGAGATAGGCGAACGTGCGATTGTATTCTTCCTGAAATTCAACCCATCGATCCAGACCCTTACAAACCACAAGACCTTCACATTCGACGAGCGTAGGGTTCGCGAGGGTTATTATTGTAGTAGCCTCGTCTCGGACGATCCCAGGAGCCACTACACGGCCCAATTCAAGTTGCACCATCGTATGTGGCGCGCCGCTCCCAATGTCGAATCACTCACACTTTGCGATCATACCGAATGCTCCTTGTCATGGTTGGATTGTATCATCGCTCTGGGTATCACGTTCAGAGACGACGACACTCTTCACGAACGAATCAATCACATGTTGAGACTTCGGGAAGTTACCTTACAATTGAGGCCCATCGCATCAGAGTGGTACCTGGAACGATTTGCAGTCGTCCTCTATCATGTCGTATCCTCCCGAGCTCGCCTTCGCCGGATGTCCCTCACCGATCCCGTGTCAAACCCGTACTCAGACATCCTGCCTCATCGACTTACTCTGCGTATCGTCTTCATCGTCGAGCCAGCCGAAGCCTGTAACCTTACCGAAGATACACCGGATATGACGTCGAAGGCTCCGCAATCCACACTCCCTAACCCCCGAGAATGCATCGACCACTGTATATCTGTCATCTGTGAGAAGCTGAAAAACTTCGTCCTACCGTCAACACACGCTTCGCTCGACCACTCCACTTACCTAGACTTGACACTCGATGTATTGCAGAAGGAGATGGATATGTATTGCGGAGACGAGTTTGATGCCCCCTACGATCCTCGATTCATGGCTAGGAGGTTAACAGATGATCGCGAGACTGAGCCACCCTATTGGTTGATTTGATTGTTGATTCTTCCGTCCATTTCTGTCATATGTACATTTCTCTTCATGGGGATGCCTGAATACACCTCCAATTCGCGTAAAGTAGCCAACTGTAGTAGGTGCAAAACCGGGCTCTTGCAGAGATACGGACTCAAAGTCGGTTTGGCTGGTCATGCAGAAAGAGATGTGGCACCTTGATAACAAAGGCGAATGATAATATCCAATAACGAAAGCAATCACAGTTCCCAAAAATATACAAGAAGGGACGAAACGTCAAAAGCCTCAAATATGGAACAAAGAACGACGAGAAAACGAAGATACAACAGTCAAAGTCCGCGAAAAAAAACAGATTGTCCGTATACACTACCACCCATCAATACACTCCTCCAAACCGCCAGTCTCGTCAACTCATTCTCGATCATGGCGATCACTTCATACTTTTACAGCACTTTGGCGGCGATACTGAGACAATAACCGATATTAGCGGGCGTTCTGATTCTGTAGATGGCAAGGACAGAATGAAGAGAATCACTCACTCGGCAGCTGAAACGATTTGACTGATCAACCCCACCACTGACGACAGGCTAGTGCCCCCACACTGCAGATCCGCCGTTCTCCTCGTTAACGATCCTGAGAACGAGTTGGCATGGAGTCTTCTTGCCATGACGGTCGAGTTATTGATTGGTGCGGAAATAGACGTCGCCGAAGCCGTCGCGGACGCCACAACTGAAGAAGTCATGACGGAGGATGTAGTAAAACTGGAAGCATCAGATTGGGAGGATGATGAGAATATGCTAGTATCCATCCCGCTCGCGATGGCCGAGGCAATGGAGGCAGCAGCCGAGTCCGTGGGGCTGAGGGACTGAATGTCGGAAGATGAAGCGGTATAGGAAGAGGATGAAGCGGTGGAAGCAGACGACGAAGCAGTGGAACTGAGGGACTGGATGTCGGAAGAGTACGATCCAGACAGGGTTGCGCTGTCAGAAGTAGAGCTCGCAAGGGAAGAAACGACCGCGGTGCTCGAAGGCGAAGCGGAGCTAGAGCTTGTCCCGCTCGACGCAGCGTCGAAGCATTTCTAAAGGAAATCCATTCAGCACACAAACTTCATAGCTATCTCCGAGGAGTACAGCTTATAACTGAGGCACACACCTGGAAAATGTCGAACGTCTTATCGAATAACGGCACCTGGACGGTCTCATCAAAGATGCTGAAAAACTTCGCATCCGCACCCGCGTTCACGCTCAACTGCGCGCTCACGTCCACGCATCCTTGCGGTGCCGTCGTTGACACGTCCGTCGAGTTGGCCGTACCGGTGACGGAGGCGGAGGTAGACCCGTTGAGCCCAAGTTTTGCTGAGGCATCGAGGTCGAGGAAGATGTTGGCGGACGCAATGCCCTCGAATGCTGTGATTCCAATTTGAAGCTGATGGAGTCCGAGCCGTGAGCAGCCATGAAATGGTTGTTGATAGGCGTGTTGATAGAGAGAAAAGACATACTGTAGGAATCAAATGCGCCTCCACACTCGCCGTTCCATTCAGCTCCGGGTTCGCAGCAAACGTCAACCCCGTATTACTCGGCACAAACTGTCCATTGTTCGTGGTCTGGTCCGCACTGGCCGCACCAGGAGGGAACACCATATGTCCATTGGTGATGTTATGTGCGAGGTCGAGTGTCAGATCCACGTCGATCTCAAGCGTCGCTTTTGCTTCTGCGTTGATGGCGAAGGACGGGCCGATGGTGAGGATACCGGGGAAGGAGAGTCCTGGAATGCCGACTTGGAAGAGGGAGATGGTCCCGGAGTCGATCGTCCCTGTAACGTTCGCTTCGAGGTTGAGTTTACCGTCGATGCTTGCGTTGAAATCTGCAATTTCGTTGAGTATTCTGTTTTCGTCCGATAGGTATAATCATGATGGAAAGAATGGCGACGTACCAGCCGTAAGACCGAGTTCAGTGATCTTCGGCGGGATAAGTGACCCAGCCGCGACGATTCCGACCTGAATCTGAGCATCCAAGTTAACGTCCACGCTCGCTTCTACACCTGCCTGAGCAGACACAGGGCCTGCGCTAAAAGTAGGAGATGCGACAGAGGCAGAGCAGGGTACATCCGCAGAAATCAGTGTAGCGAGGGAGTTAGAAACGGCAATTGATGTCGGCGTGGACTCGAGAGACGTGGTATGAGCGCCGAAGAACCCTTCAGTGGCAAAGAAGATAACATAAGTCAAATTGCTTGTGATAAGCGTGATGGTACGTACCCCTACGAGCTAAAGAATCAGCAACGAATTCGTGGCGCCTGCGAGATTCGGCAGCCATAGAACGACGCGAATGATGGTAGCCACGCCTCCTGCTGCTCACAGTTGAGCTGGCAGCGGTAGAGCCAGTATTAGGAGAGTATACGCTGCCCGCCTGGATAGAAAACGATACGTTTCCGTGCCTAATACGAAGAAATACAGACATGATTAGTTCCACCTTACGAGAACAGCCGACTCAATGTGAGATCGTAGAACATACTTGGAGGCATCCATGACTGCAAAGTTGGTATCGAGCGTCAACGCATGGACCGTCGAATTGTCGCCTCTGCCAATGATCGAGCGCTTGACAGAGGTAGAGATAGTTTGATCTTCTGGTATCCAAGCTTTGGCGACACGGAGGAAAGGTGCAGAGGTGCACTATCATATTTGAGGATGAGAGATAATCAACATCCTGAGAATCAACGAAGGCGTCGGAATGGAGGAGAGGACACATACGTTTTGTGAATCCTGAGGCGGCATCCTGACCAGGGTCCCCTCCGCTCCATTAGCGAACAAATGGTCACATCCGGTAGCACTCGTGTCCTCACTACTGCACACGAGCCTCACATCGACCTGCGTCTGGTTAGACGTGGTTGAGCTCGCGGCTGAAGGGTTGCAAGAGAGGATGATCCAGCCCGCGGAGGACGTGATATCGGATATGCCGGTGGTGGATCCCCACTATTTGATGTTATGCCACACGGAGAGTACGCCACACAGCAAATAACAATAAAATGATAGCAGTATCGACACAGGTTTTTGTTAGGTGATGAAAGTAGGAGCACGTACAATTTGGAGGCTGCCATTGGCGCCTCCGCTGCTCGAGGTCGAATTATCCCCACTATTCGCCGTGTGCACAAGATCGTATGCGCAGCGGCCTTGGAAGCAAGGTACGGACCAGTCGTTGGTTTTTGCGGTGGCCGTGGAGGCCTGGAGAAGGAGAATCGATGAGAAAGAGAAAAGGGTGAGGATGGAGAGGGAGAAGGAGGAGGGAGAGGTGGCGATGTGTAACATGGTATATAAGAGTCAAAGTCGAAAGAGTGGCACTAGTAAGGACAAGTCAAGTCGATGAACGACTCAAAGATGATGTGTATGTGTCAAAGTTGTATCGAGCTAGTAATAAGCAAATGAACGAATGTGAAAACGAAAGGAGTGAAGGAGATACAGAGAAGCCCCTCAGAGAAGACGAGGAGGGGAAGGAGAAAACAGAAGTGGATGACCCACCGAACATGACGATGGACTATATATTCACATGGATCGTAGTACCGGCGGCAGACAACTTCGCTTGAGATTGTCTGTGAAACGAATTTCAATGCGCTTCCATCGGAAAGGAAGTGTATATACTGATTGGATGGATGGTAACCTTTGATAGTTGTACACATCGGCAGAGTTGGTTGTGTAGGATGTGAGCAAGTCAGAAACACGATGAGCAAAACGATCATAGGCGAATCCCAGTCGTGTCACGGTGTCTCGCGGCGAAACAGTAGAGTATCATCATAACATGATCGTCGCGCACTGGGCAAGATGCTTTGATGCAGAGAGCGTAGATCCCGCCAAGAAAGAGGGAAGAACAAGTAGAAACATTTAATAGTACCTGAGAGCATGGCTGGAAGGGAAGAACCAATACTTATGACCAGGTACGTGTCCCAAGCTGTTCCAGAGAAAACATTCCCCTGCAAGTCAAGACCAAGGCTGCGCCCCTGGAGGAAGAGAAAGTAGCCGGAGGACCGGATCTCCAGTCTCATCAGGTACTTGACGCTCGCCACGGGCAACAGGGGATCCACAGGAGCGGGTGTTGGTGTGATGAAGAAGATAAACCTCAAGGTATATATGCCGTGCTGTGTCCTCCCCAAGTAGAGAGCAACCACCAAGCGTGAAGGAGGGCAGCGGTCGACGGAACATCAAATATCGCCATGACAGCCATTTCAGACGCGTTCCGTCGTCCAACGACAGATACAGGGGGCACGACGGATGATCATGTCGAACAGGTCTTCAAAAACATACCGAGTGATCTCGTAGGATGCAAGTAATCTGGCCCAACTAAGCAAATGTTGCGACGATTGACGACGGTGATAGATTTGTGGCAAGCGATTGATTGCGTATAGAAGGCGATTGAAAGTCCGATGGAAAGAGTTCAAGGTGGCGAGACTGAACCCTACAGATTCGACCGGCGACTGCTAAAAACTCGGCACAAAAAAAATATGTCTCACAGAGTTGGTAAAGTAAGTAAATTTCAACGCTCTCGTACCAATTGAGAAGGGTGAGGAGAAGGAACGCGAAGTGTGATTGGCAACGACAACTTGAAGTCGCCAGTTCATCCAGTGTGGCGTAAGTACGTTCGTGTGGCAAACCAGTCAATCCACCGAGGTGAGGGGAGAAAGCTTATATATACAATGGCATGAATAATTGTCGTGTAATGCGTGGTGTTTGGTATGGTATGAATATGACATGAAGGGTATGGACAAAGCGTGAAGAAAAGAGCCCGCATCGAAGGATTTGAAGGGCGATAGCATGGGATAGTACAGGGAAAAAATCATAAGGCATATATGCTACATTGAACGACGACGTTCCTTCAGTTCCGTTGGTGGTATCAACACCCAAGTCCAAGAAACAAAAACGAATCACTTCCCTCCCTCCCCCCTTCATCCACCCCTCCTCCTCCACCTCCCCTCCTTCCCCTCCGCACCGCCCTTCACCTCCCGCTCCACCTCCCTCTCCTCCTCCTCCCTCATCTCCCTCGCCCGCTCATTAATCCCGCCCACCTGTTGCGTATTCGGGAATCCGATATCCCAATACGAAGGTGGCGTTTTTGGGCGGGTCCAGGCGACGCGATGGCGCGAGATTTGGGCGAGGTGGGATTGAATGGCTGTGGAGATTTCGTTGGTGTTGTTCAGGTTGTTCAGGTTGTTCGGGTCGAGATGGTGCGGATGGTCATGGGACGGGGCGGAAGGAGATGGGGGTGCGAGTTGGGAGAAAGAGTTCAAAGGGGATTGCGGAGCTTGCGATGCTGAACGAGATTGGGAACGCGTCACTCGTGCCGAAGTCTCTGCAGAAGCTGCGTTCGACTTTGACTTTCCCTTCCCCTTTGACCCAGACGCAGCGGTCTTGCCCTTGATCTTTGTCTTCGAGGTAGAAGAAGAGGAAGAGGCGGCGGCGGTAGTGCTTTGTTCCTGCCGATGAGCCCGTGGTTTATGTGTGGGCGAGCGCCAGAGGGGGGCTTGGGCGCGGGGTGGCATGGGGCCTATGTTCTGGTAATACTATACAAACGCGAACGAAAACGAAAACGGAAACACGTACAGTTAGTACGTCTTCTGGGACCACAGCATGGAGAACTCTCGGCGCAGGTCTCTGGGGGTAGGGTGTGTGGGAAGGAAAGCAAAAGGAAAGGCAAAGCGCCACGAATCAAACACAAAAACTCACAGCTCTACAATCCTCACAATCCACAGCGCACATCTTGCTCCGCTTATGTTTCCCCCGTACGACCTCGTCGTATGCGAAGCCTAGCCCGTTGTTTGCGTCGGGGTTGATTTCGTAGCGCGCGTTGAGGGTTAGGGGGGTGGGGGTGGGGGTGGGTGTGGGTGCGGGAGGCGGGTTGTTATTGTTGGTGGTGGTGGTGGGTTGCTTAGAAGTGCCGGGTGGGTTGGTCGGTTTGGATGAGCTAGCAGGCTTGGAAGACCTGGTAGGCTTGGACTGGGATGAGCTTGCAGGCTTGGATGAGCTTGCAGGCTTGGACGAGCTGGTAGCCTTAGACTTAGACGAGCCAATACGCTTAACCGAGCCGATCAGTTTAGACGGCATAACCACACCATCGCCCCTACCCTCCCCCTCCCCATCCGCATCCGCATCATCAAACTTCCTCTTCTTCGAACCACTCGAGACCATCCCCTCCTTCTTTCCTTTCCGCGCGCTCCCTAGAGGAGACACCACAACTTCAGCCTCGACCCGCGTACTCTCATCCCCCCATTCTTCAACGTCCTCTCTGCTCACTCTCGGCGAAGACATACCCACCTTCGAAAGTAAGGAGGGGAACTTGGGCGTCTTGCTTTGGGGGGTGGAAGGACCTGGGAGTTGACGAGGGAGGGTGCGGGGGGAGAAGGTCCATGTGGGTGTGTTTCTGCGTGCAGGAGACGAATGGGGTGAACGGGGTGGACTCATCCGTCCTTGTGCGTGTGCGTGTCGGAGAGGTGAAGAAGGCGATTTAGGAGCGAGACCGAGACGACGTTGTAGAGAGGGGGAGAGGGCTGAGGCTGCGGTTGCGGTGTGAGTTGATGATGTCGTTATCCTTGGACGGCTGGGAGTGGTGGGCGAGGAGGGTGGGGGCATGGAGAGACGACGGGAGGTGGGGGATGGGAAGAATATCGTTGGGGCTATTTGGAGGGGGGTTTATGTTAGGATACGCGTGGAAGGCTATACTGGAGGAAAAAAAGGGGGAGATGGGACGGAGGGAAGAACGAAAACACATACCCTGCGAATCCTCCTGCGTCTGACTCTCTTCATTTATCCCTATATCCAATCCCAAACCCATTCCGCTATCCGCCTGATCCATCAACTCACCCCCTCCACCCATATTCTCGTCCGCATCCTCACCTCCACCGTTAACGCCTCCCGCGCCACCTCCACCACCAACACTGCCCGTCCTCCTCCTCTTCCTCCTCGGTGTCGTCCTAGGCGACCTACTGCTGAGTGGAGAGATAGCAGGGAACGGCGTCAGAGCCGGACTCGTACTCGTATCGTGGCTGGACGCAGCAGCGTTGACATCGACGATAGGCGAAGGACCGGAAGAGTCTAGCCGTCTACGTTTCTCTTTCTTGGGCGTCGAGGCTGCGTTTGGTAGGGAGAAGTTTGAGAGAGGGATGTGCGGGGAGGGAGGAGAGAGGCTGTGGTTGATGTGGATGGGAGAGGGAGGGGTGGATGTGGAGGTTATTCTGTGGGTGGGGGGTTGGTTAGTGTGATGGTTGGATGTGAGTGAGTGGGGAAGGACAGGACGAACCGGTCGTGATTCACGACGTTGGCAGATAATGGGTCGTAATAACCTAGCGGGTCATAGTCTAGCGGGTCGGAACCGAGCTTCATCTTGTCGTCGTGCCCGTCTTCGTCTTCGTCACCAACGGTGATGATCGACATAGCACGGCCTCTATCCACGTCGCTCTCTTCCTCGTGAGAACCCCGCCTGTCTAATTTTCTCAAGGCGTCTCCGATCTTCAGTTTGTCCCCCTCCGTCATGCCTTTGCCGTACAATACACGTTCGAGTAGACGCTTCGCCGTTTCGTATTTGTTCTCGGAGCGATCTAAATGACGTTCGGCACGTTTCTCGCGGACGAGAAGAGCATCGTATTGTCGTTGGAGGTCGTGTAGTTGGGTGCTGAGAGCATTGGTGTCGATGTTGGAAGGCTTTGATTTCCTGTATAAGCTCATCAGCAACAATGACAAAAGCAAAATAAGAAAGTGGATAGAACATACACGTCTACCGCCTTCAACGCCTCCAACTCCCTCTTCATCCTCTCATTATCAACCCTCAACCTCTCCAGCTCCACCTCCGCCTCATCCACCTCCTTCCCTTTCCCCTTCCCTTTCTCTTTCCCCTTGCCTTTCGACCCACCTTTCCCCTCCTTCCCCGTTCTGAAAATCCTTTCTAGCTCCCCCACTCTCTTGGCACTCCACTCAACACGACTCCTCTCCCAAACTGCCCTTTCCCTACCAATCACCTCCTCCGCCTCCTCCACGCTCTCGAACCCGAGTTTGAACACGAGGTCTTGCGAACGTTGGGTTAGGGAGAGGATCTGACGTTCGAGGGCGGATTTGGACGCTTGGGAGGATGAGAGTTGGGATTCGAGGATGGAGACGCGGTGTGTGAGGAAGGAGGAGGTTGGGTTTGCTTCCGGTGCGGGGATGTCGTCTGAGTCTTGGGGAAGACTGGTAGATGAGGACGGCTCGAGTGGCAAGGGCGCCATGATTAGATTATTCGTGACTTGGCCCTTCACCTTTACCTTGAAGTATAGGATGTGGAGATGGTGGTAATGAAGGAAGAGAGGCAAGGGCCACAGGGATATAAACGGAAGAACAAAAGGACGCGGGTGGCACCGAACGGCGAACGCGTCGAGTCACGATCACGCACGTTTAGTTCCCACGATGTGACCCGTTACGTACGCCACGCGGACCCACATCGATATCGTCCGCGGCCTCTTTTTCTTCCTCCACCACCGACGTTCAAGCATCTCGTCCTTTTCGCTGCTTTCCTATGTTCTTGACTTTCTATGCTCAAATCGGCTCTCGACGTTGGAATCTGCTCGGTCGTGCGAGTTGACCGTCATACCCGACACTTTTTGATCTCGGGAACTACGAACTCGACTTGACTCCCGAATCCTCAATACGGCTGTCATGGTGACTCTGATTTTCCATCTCGTTCTGTGTCTTCTACAATCCCCACCACCGAGACGGCGGGAATTCTGTTCGTACCTCGATTGAGCCGTCGTCTCGTCTGTATCTTCGTGATTGGCGTTCTTCGTCGTACACCGTCGAGGGCCGAAGACCTTGTGGACGATCTTCTCGTCGTTGCATAGCTTTAATTGCCTGTCTTCGAGCTCCTGAGTGGAATCTTGATGTATGGGCGTCGATGATATCTGAGGGCCTGCTAGATGTCGATTTTCTGTCTCGTCTGTATCTTCGTGATTGGGGCGGAAGACCTTGTGGACGATTTTCGAATCCGAGTCGTTGCATAAGTAGCTTGTGTCTTCGAGTCTTCGAGCTCCTGAGTTGATACATGGGCGATGGGCGTCAATGATATCTGAGGACCTGGCAGTGGATGTCCGGAATCCCCTCACTGGGAGGGTGTATGTATGCGCTGCGAGGGATGGCCGATGGCCTACTGAGGGTGATTTTGCGGTGCCTGTGGGTCAAGCTCCGATTTTATTCTTCTCCTTCTTTTTTTTGAATCTTGGCGTCTTCTTTCATGCTCTGCATAGAGGAGGTAGAATCTGCGAACGATAGACTGCGTTGCAGCATACTTATATGCATAGAAAAATCCGATCTTCATCTATGAGCTCGCTGCATCAGAGGAGTATTAGGGTTTTCTCGGAACACGTTTACTCGCCGTCGTCTCGTCTCCATCCTCGTGATTGGCGTACTCCGACGTACATACACCGTTGAGCGACCGAAGACCTTCAATATGGACGATCTTCCGATCGTTGCAAAGCTTGGTCTTCGAGCTCCTGAGTTGATGCATGGGCGCTAATGGTCTCTGACGGCCTGGTGGATGTCTGGGATCCCCTTGCTTGGTTTGCTTGGTGGATGTATATATGCTCTGTGAGGGTGCTCATCGGCGACGGTTTATTTGGGAAAATAGACTGGCAGTCAAGCTTCCTCTCCATTGTCCCCAGAACGGTTTTCTAATGTTTCCTTGTATCTTGAGAGATCAGACATAATCTATACCAGAATGACGGAATACATCAGATCAGATCAGACGGCATCTTTTGAACTTCTTTTGCGAGCTCTATGTATGCAACTTACCGTCTGAGTCTACCGCCTTAGCGCTCATCGTTACCGTTCTTGCGACGGTGGTAATCATTGGAACTAAATGAGTACCCTCTCGTCTCCCCCTTTCATCTTGGACGATTCAAGCCTTTCCATAGAACGGATAATTTTCTCTTTCTTTTTGCTTTTTTGGAGATGTGGCTCAGAATCTAGTAACCGAGGACTCTGGACGACGATCAACGTCGAGTAACCACCATACCCCCACACAAAGCTGTGACTACTTATCGCATTTCTCCAGCCATCTCCAGCCATGGCCATGGCCATTGATCCGGACTTCTCTCCCCGGGTCTCAAGGTTCTCATACCCCTACCCCTCCCACCAAGATTTTTCGTATCTGATGGAAGCGCACACCACCCACCCATTTATCGCCACGATATTTGATTGGCGCGACTACCTATTGACTTCTCGGCGACGGGCTTTGATGCAATCCGAGGACGTGCATGCGTATTGTGCGGTGTGCGGTGTGCGGTGCATATAAGGTCAACGAGTCGGTGTTGATGGATTCGTCTTTTTCGCCCCTCCCTTCGTTTTCGTGTCTTCGTTCGTTATTCTTTCGTTTTTCTGGGTTTTATCTTCGTTCGTTCGTTCTTTCGCTTGCCGCTAGCTCGGCCTTTGTTTTTTCTTGCCCTTCTTCTTCTTCTTCTTGATTTTTCGACGTATCGCCTTTCTACGCTACGATTTTCGTCTCTTCGGGTTCGAGTCGATCTTTATCCTAAGTTATCCCCTCTACCCATACCCATACACATCACTACCCATCCCAAACAAAATCACACGCAATGGTCCAGATCATCCACACCACCCTGCCATTCCTTCCCTTCCTCTCACTCCTTGCCCTAACCCTTCAAGTCCGAACCGTCACCGCCGCCACAGCGCCACTGAAATTGAACGACTGGTCGGTGCCGTGCTTCCAGGGTCGATGCGCGTATGATCTTCCGGAGGCTGATGTGGATAATTCGACTTCGGGTTCGAGTGGGGGAAGTGGGAGTTTGCAGATCGTACGTCGTTTTTTTTCTCTTTTCCGACCCATCAATTGTATATATGTGCGAATGTGCTCATTTATGTGTGTGTTGTGGCGTAACCAAAGTGGGGTTCCACGACCGGTATATCAGATATAACCCCTTCCGCGGGCTGGCTCGTCCTTTCCTGCAACACCTCCGCCTCCTCATCCGCCGTATTTATTTCAACTTCTGCCAACACCACCTCCAACCCGACATCGGCACAAGTAGATGTAAGGCTCGTGTGTTCGAGCGAGGATATGACGGCGGCGGGGTGTGATCATCTGTTTGCGAATGGGGCGGAGGGGACGTTAGTGAGGATGCCGCCTGCGGGGGAACAGAACGTGAGTGCAACCGCCTTGAATGTGTGTCGCTTTGGTCGCTAATGAGATTGTGCTCGGTTTGTGGTTTGGTTTTGTGCGATATAGTGCACCACCGCGCCCTTCCTCCGCGTCGCGAAAGCTTGGGTATCGGAGGACCAAACAATTCCGGGCAATGTGAAGCGGTCGATTGATAGCAGAGGAGGGGATGCGAACGTTACAGTCCATGCGTTGACGCTGGATACGAATTTCGTGGCGATGGACGCGGGGAGGTCGGTTCCCTTTTTTCATGTCCTCGCCACTTTTACCTCTTCTAACTGACGTTTTTCGTCGAAATTGGGAAACATGTTATAGGCACGGAAATGTATCCTTCTCGATCCAAGCGGGTAGCGTCGTGTACGCCCCTAACACCGGCAGTTCAGCCTCTTCAGGCGCAAGTCTGAGTAATAGGAGAAGGGGGCATGAACGTTCGGGAAGGAGGTCTATGGTTGCTGAATCGAGGAGGAGACATGCGTTCGTCGCTGATTCTTTGGCTCGTCGTGGTACGCATCTCGTCTCCCTCTTTCTTCTCACCCAATTTTACTACTCCTGCGATCTTGCGCTTATTTTCCGCATTTTTTGCTCCCGCGGAAACAGATGACCCGACGACAATATCGCTCCAATCTCCCTCCACACCCATCACAGTCTCCAACGCACTCTCCACCCTCCTCTCCGCGCACATCCCCTGCTCCGCGTCCGTTTCGGCTACTTCGCCTACTATCAGTGCGGGCCCGGCGACCGTACAAGCGGGCGTGGACGCGAGTATGGACGTTAATTTGGATGCGCAGGTGCAGGTGGGCGTTGTCGCGGTGGGGCAGATCGTACCGCCGGGGATTAGTAGTCTGGGAGTTACGGCCGGTGAGTAGCTCCCTTTCTTCTTTTACCTCCCCTTTCCCTACTATCTTTTCGCACGTCGAAAAGTTAATTCTGACGGTGTTGCTTGTGGTCAGACTTCAACGCCTCCATGAGCGGAACCCTCTCCCTCACCGCCTCCGCAACGGGCACCATCGACTCCGGCCCCCTCACCCTCTTCGAACTCGGCATCCCCGGTCTCTCCTTCCCCGGCATCCTCACCATCGGACCTTCCTTCAAGATCAGCGCCGATGCCAAAGCCTCCCTCGAACTCGACGTGGATATGAAGCTCGATCTCGCGCACAATATCACTAATGGACATTTGGTGTTCCCGCCCCAGGCGAATAGTACGCAGACGAATGGGACGAGCGGGGGCGTGTTCATCCCCGGGGATACGGGGTTGACGTTCGCGGCGAGCCCGGAATTGGATGGGAAGGCTAGTGTGGAGGCGCATTTGATTCCTGGGGTATGTCTTTTCCTCCCTATCCTCTTTTTCTACTTCTCTTTGTCGGAATCGTTGACTGATCCACGTGAACAGCTCGACATCGGCCTCGACGCATTCTCCGGCCTCGCATCCGCTACCATCTCCCTCAACCTCGACGCCTCCGCCACACTCGCCCTGAACGCATCCACCGGCGCCTCCGTCAGTGGCACGGCGAACTCGACGGGCGTGTCGGTGTCGAACGTGACGACGACGGCGCCGCAGGGGTGCGTGGATGTGAGCGCGGAGCTGAATGTGAATGCGGGCGCGGATGCGAAGTTTTTTGATTTGTTTGATGAGAGTGTTAGTGTGCCGATATTTGATAAGGTGTTCGAGATCTTCCAGGTGGGTCTACTTCGGTTCTCGATACTTATATCTCACCGCATGTTGCTGAAGTTGTGTTGGTTTTTCGGATGAGCAGAAATGCTTCGATGCGTCGAACAGCACGGACTCGTCCAACTCTACTTCGTCTTCCAGCAACTCGACTTCTTGCGATAACTCGACGACGAGCTCGAATTCGACTTCGATGTACAACTCCACGTCGGCCTATTCTTCGTATAACACCACAGTATACTCTGCCTCCAATTCCTCATCCGATGGGTCCTGCAACCCTACCACTTCGGCTTCCATGGCCGCTTCTACCTCCACGTCTACATCTGCATCTGCATCTGCATCTGCGGCATATACGATGCGCGGTTCGTCATGGTGGTACTCCCAATCTGACGCATACTCCGCCGCTGCCGCCGCCGCTTCCAATTCTGTGTTTGTCACAACGGTGACCATAACGCCCTCAATGCACATGGCCACACCTTCAGCCTCAGCAGCGGCGATGCCATATGCCTACGGCTACGGCGGGAACGCGAGCTATGGTTCTATGATGTCGAGGAGGGAGTTGAGTGTGATGGGAATTATGCGGAGGGCGGCGGATTTGCAGTGCGCGGGCGTGGATCTGTTGCCGCCGGTTGGGTTGGTCAGTCAGACGGTTAAGGCTGGAGAGTGAGTGTTTCTCCTTTTTCGACTGATGTTCTTTTATGTGATCATGAAGGCTGATTGGGTGTTTGATTGTGGTGTTTTAGTATCACGATCAAGTCAACTGTCGGGTGAGCATTCGGAAGCTGCGTAAGGGTATCTCAGAGATTTTTGTTGAGAAGAAAACGGCTGGTTGTCATCTTTTTGGTGGTTTGTATGAGCGATTTATCTCTAGTCACTACTGTGGACTTTGTGCTTTTAACTTATTACTTTCGTTCTTTATTGTCTGTGCTGTGGGATCTGGGATTCAACCATAAGTATTGTGCGGGTGCACCATTGATGCGTTCACTTTCATGTACAGTTCGCGCGTACGCCTTGTTCTCAGTATTGATCTAAGTTATATCTTTTCGTTTGTATGATAAGAGCAACGTCCTACTTTTCAATGTACTCGCAAGATATATAAGCACTTTCGTCGTTTTCTAACCCAAACATGAACAGAAGTGTTCCTAAAAGTGGGGTGAAAGCCTTCATCATAACCTAAGTAGATTCCTGGATGAGTAACACTCGTGGTGAAGTGGTTATCATGCTTGCCTTCCATTTCAGTGTTACGCTATGAGCGGTTAGCAAGCGGCACGGGTTCGATTCCCGTCGAGTGTATGACAGTGGTACTGCCTTGATTCTCACTTTTGTTTTGTTGAGAACGAATTTTGTCCAGAGTATTCGACATGCCGTGGGGAGAAGTCGTGCGGTGTGGCGAACGTACTGTATGTCGTAATTAAGCGCTGTCTATGGGGACGGGAAAACAAATTGGGCGCGGTGCACGTGTTCGAACCCTGCCTTGTCCATTTTTGTTTCTGGAGTTCCAAATCTGACTAGACTTCAAGAAGACTTACATACTAGTTGACGATGTTGAGTGCAACTACTGCTAAAATATTTACTGAATATCAGGCTCTGTACCCAGTCAACAAGGTCTCATTGCACTTCAGGTCCTGCAACACCACACTCTTGACCCTCGCTCTCAATGTCAGCTTTTCCCTCTCGACAAGATTTCCGAGGCGACGCAGGTGAGTCGCATAGACACCCTAACTCCACTTCGAATGTCGCTGATCTAGGATCTTGGTCCGCATAAGACTCCAAATCATATGTGGTTGAGACTGGTTCGCTTGCGTTGTGGCTCCGTCTCATATGGTGATGGTGATCGTGGCTAGCTGCTTGGAAGCTAGGAAGGTCGAACGAGGTTTCCGAGGTATCCCATACCGTTTGCTTTTGGTGTACGAGGACGATGATGACGGTAGGATAGAGCCCCTGCCAATTGGAGGATAAGTTTCGAGCATACAGTATAGTAGATGGGTGTAGGAAGGCTACGCACGACGATCTGGTTTGCAGTTGAATTGATTACAGATGCGGCGAGTTGGGCAGCTGTCGAGCTCGTGGTTTCGTCACGTATGTACGTGAATATTTTGGACAACTAAAGGGTACCAATGAAGAGCACGTCTCCTTCAGTCACAGATTCATAGTTGGATGCATGATGAGGACGTACCCAGAAAATAAGGTAGATGGAGCCAGACTCGATGAGAAGGATCACGATCCTCTCGCTATAGGTCCGATGTCCCTTCCTAGAGGCGCGTGATAGTGGGAAATCCCCACTGAGTGAATCCCGGAGCTGCCTATAGTACGGCAATGTCAAACAGTCAAATTTGATTCGGACTCCAAGGTATGCTGGTTCGAAGGAGACGATGATGACGGCAAGACATACCATGCCCTAACAGTTATCATAGAGGTCGCGACGAAGTTGATGGCTATGGAGAGGTAGAAGCTTGCGGTCTCCAGGTTTTGACAAGTAGGAGGTCGTGTCAGATAGTTCCAGTCATTGCGTCCTATGCAGCCTAAATATGCGAATGCCGTTGCTATAGGGGCAGAAGTGTACTAGTCAGCCGAAGTTCGAGAACTGCGAACTGAGAATTTGAAGAGAAGATTTGAAGGTGCTCACCAGTGGACGCAATCAATGATACTGCAAAAATTGAGACAACTAGTAGCGAACGATTCCACAGAGCACAAGCTCGCCACGCAACTACCGCGTCTCCGAGGATGAACTAGAGAAAATATTCGGTCAATGGACATTTTTCTACGACACCTCCCAGTCTAAACGACTCGTACTCACCTCCAAAGTGAATATGAACGACTGCCAAAACCATCTCGTTGCATTGAGATTTGAATACTTTGTCTGGAGGCCCTGCTCTGACCCGTCAAGTATTTGACAAATGGGGAGGATAATGTTCACGACGTCGATGGACCAAAGGGTGGAGGACATAAGGAACATGAGCGCGCAGGTTGAGTACATAGTAAGGTGAGCTCTTGTACAGTCTTCTTTGCGTCTGGAAAAAAGCGGAGTGAGATTATTGATGAATTGTGAGATCGTGCAGATGAAAGCGTACATCATGATAACGGTCGCAAAGACGAGGAACACGATGTATCCTCCTGAAGACTTCTGAGCATTCAAAACATGGGTCTGCCCGTTGTTTCGATCGACGTACCGTATACAACAGTTTCGGGAACAAATGCCGCTATTGCGGAGATGAGAGCATCTCCTGTGGCAAGAGCAGCCTTACCGTCTTTACTTGGAAGTGCCATGATGACGAGAAAGAGTCTGAGGCTTAATTGAGTGGGAAGAGACAACGAGTGGTGAGGGTGTATAGAAGGGTAACTTCTGTTAGAACACCTTGAAGCACCCGACTCATATATCTTGCATGGAGCGCACTTGCCTTACTGTGGAGACGGAAAATGTCTGAGACCGGAAGGTTGTTAACCACTCTAGTAAAAGCCAGAGTACCTGATATACATAATCAGCGCGCACAGAATGGATGGAAGCAAGCCGTGCCGGCACTGTTCCCAAAATATCCGTGTTAAAACGCGAGCGCCCTGTACAGCCTCTAGGTCGCGAGCAGCTGACCCAATGAAAGATAGTGGAGATTTATCAATGCAACAACGAACCATGATGACTTGCTGAGCAAAGACAAATAAGGTTGATGGCGAGTCTCGGTGGAAAGTTACTGGACGGTATATCCGGACCCATCACGCTCAGATCGGAGTCCGTGCTTATCCGCGCTCAGACTAAACCCTCTTGTTGTGGAGATATATATATGCAAGAACCGCGGTCGCAAATCCTAACGCTCCGTGGATAGCGATGCACCTGCGCGCTATCTGGGCTCAAACACAGAGTAGAAGCAAAACATGCACGTACAGCATCGTTGGCCACATAGAGACTAGCGGGTACAAGAAAAGGACAAAGACTATCCTGTTGGACGAGGTGATTATTCCGATTTGGCTCTCAAGAACTGCTAGCTGAGATATATCATGAGGTACGTCGCGCATCTGTTGAGACTGTAATGCAGGTCAGGCAAGCGATTGAGCCCGGCATGGAGAACGAGGAAGCAAACAAGCAGATCGCATTTTGGCGACCGCTCAAAGCTCTTTGGAGCGCTCCACTTACCCGCCATTTCACGCCACCGAGGCCTCTGGAGCTGCACTAGCGCCCGTCAGCCAAAACTCTCTAATACTCAAATGCTTCTCAGATGTCTGCAGGCGTTTAGAGATCTGGCAGGCGAGTAATTCCGACGTGAACCGGACGTTGCAGACCTTCCGTTCAGGCTATAAACAGTATGGCGCCTGAGCAGACGCGTTCAAAGCAGAGACTCGGAGTGGATCTGAGTCGTCATAGGGGCTGCCATGACAGTTGGGGAAGACGGCGTCAGCGCATCAGAGTTTTGAAAAGCATACCAAGAGTTTTTACCAGAACGGAGTTCTCCTAGAGGTTACCAATACTAGTACCTACTGGGTAGCATTCATGACGGGGGGAAGTGAAGTTCTTGAATCTTCTCTCGTGGCGATAGTTCGCGTTCGGTAAAGGCCGGCGGAGGTTGAAACGAAGACATTACTTACGTACGATTGGGACACCACCAATGATGGCGTTAGCTTCACTAGGTTTACCAACGTGCTCTGTGATAGGCATCAAAATTTTCTCACTCAGAGCAGTGATGACGAATTTCGCGGGAAGGATGAGAGAAGCAGTGGACGTCCCTCCCATCGTATTTTACTTATACCATATGGCGATGTTCTCCAGAGTTCATTTTTTGTGGCATCCATTCAAATGTGTTGACGGCATACCCATAGTGACGAACATAATCTCAGTGGTCGGCATTCCGAACGAGCACCTTCCTCATTTACTTTTTTTTGCTCGCTCTAGAAGTTTGGCATGCTTTCTCTCATCGTGGTCCCATAAAGAGGCTGTGCAGTGCACTCGCATACACATGTTTTACCATGATGTGTGCTCCAACGACAGTGAATAGACAACGGGTAAGACAGAAAATTCGATCATTAACATCCAAGCGTAGCTGAATAAAGAGATAATCGGAAGACATCAACTCACGTAAATGAACGACGTTAACACGCGCCCACTGATTACTCTGCCCACTCGACCATTACACCCCAACACTCCATCTCTCTCGCCCTTTCCTCTGTTACCGACTGGCAATTCCTGATCTTTACTTTCTTCATCCTCGTCGCTTCCTCGCCCTCCCTAGCGGCTGTACCTTCCACGCCGCACCAACCGCCACCTGTACCCGCAGCGCCTCTCTTGAGTGGTTTGATCTTTCGTACCCCTACTCCCGAAGCATTAATTTCACCTGCTTTTCTGGAAGATTTTGGCGCAGCTGAAACCTTCATCTCTTTTGTATCCTTCACCATCCCACTTCTCAGACGGACCACCTTCTCTAAACACTCCATATGAAACCCGTTATCGCATCCCCAAAGTCTCATTTCCTCCAATCGCAAACAGCTCTTCAACACCATCCTCTTCCCATCCTTCGAGACCCTCGTCATCGCTAACCCTTTCAAGACATCATCCACCCCGTCCACCATATCCATGTGCATGACTCTCAGCGCAGGCATATATGCCAACAATGTCTCGACGGAGTCCGGAACGATCGCGAACGAAGCGAGGGAGAAGGACGTGAGGAATGGAAGGCGCGGGTCGCGGAATATGGACTCGAGGCGGGGGAGGTAGGGAAGAGTATATGCAAAGGTTTTTGATGCATGACAAGCTACCCATGCGGGTCCTTCGTATACCGCAAAGTCATCATCGAGCTTTTTGCGATGATTGGCTTCTGTGTTCGAGATGGAGAGGGTTTCTAGAGCCGGGACATCGATGCGACGGAATGGATGACGGAGAGTGTCTCCTGTCGAGCAGTCAACACAGAGGGTCTTAAGTGTTGGGAGGATGATGGTAGGAACGAAGAGAGGCTTGGTAGAGTGGATGGCTGTGCTGTTTTTGAGCAGAGTGTCGAGGCTCGTGAAGGGGGAGTGAAGAATTGTAGGTTGTGTCCTTATACGGAAAGAAGGTGGGAGAAAGGCGACGTTGAGTGACTCGAGAGCTAGGGAAGGGAAGAAGGTGAAGAAGTAGTAGAGGCATTCGACTGGGGGACCTATCCATTCGAGCTCTTTGAGGTTCGCTAGGACGAGAGGGGGGACCTTGTTTGGCCCAGCTGGATACCAGTCTATGGCTTTATCCCAGAATGTAGGTGGGAGGGAGGTGTCGATCCCAATATCAAACTCGGGCCCGGCCTGGAGGAGAGAGAGTTTCTCGAGATTGGGGGCAGAAGAGAGGAACCGAGCAAAATGAGCGATCTTGAATGATGGATTGTAGAGACAATCTAGCGGGTGACCAAAGGTGAACTCCCGCAACAGAGGAAGATCACAGGTTGGGAGGAAGTCAAACGGGATTCCGAACAAAGATAGACACTGTAGTTTGCGGAACGGTTGCGGCTTCCACTTGACGAAGCTCGGCGTCTCGCGGCATGATGTGATGTAGTCGAGAAAGGGTCTGTAGAAATTTAAATCGAAGATGCGCAGGGACAATGTCTCCAGGGATGGGAAAACGGGCTCCCGCATGCAAAGCAGCAAGAACACGTCCAGCGTCATGGTGAACCAATCGTCGACCAAAATAGAACGTATGTCACCCAAGGTCTCGAGAACGTGAAGCGTACGACTGGGGTAACCGAATCTGAAGGCGTCGCTGCGCCTCTGAATCATTAGCTGTATATGACCAGACAAATGGAGCAAAATAGGATCCGGTTCGGCTTTTAGAATAATGTCGAGTGGAACTGGTTGAGCGCGGCGCAAGAATGCGAGAGCCTGAGGAGAGCGGACTCGTTGAGGTCCAGGTTCATCGTAGGAGGCGTCGCGGGGGTGCAGCTGAACTCTTCGCCACAGCATCGGCGTACCCAAAGCAATACCGCGCCATTTCCGACATACATGCGACAGGGTGATGGGAGTCGCGTCACAGGACGTATCGTCGAGATCGTCGAAGGGGTCGGTAGATAAAACAAAGATGCGACAGAGAAGTTCTGTAGGTAACCAGTTGATTGGTACTCTCAGAGCCTCTAGATCATTATGTTCAGCTTTAAGGGCGAGTCGTTCCAGACGTACGGAGCGGACAAGGATTTGAAGCTCGTTTTCGCGTTCGCATAGAGCGTCAAGTTGACCTTGTACAATAACAAGCCTTTTATCGAAATTGTCCAGGCGAGGTTTTGACATAGTGGTGAAAGAGAGGGGGAGAGATATGAGACGAGGAGGTTGGGAAGAGGCAGTGTTGCAAGGATGAGTAGAAGAACCTTTATACACACCTGATTTCGACGGCCCATTATCCTCCTAAAAGAGACGAATGAATTATGAAACGCTTAGGTCTCAAACGTTTTGGTCACTCTGGAAACTCAGCTGTAGGACAAGCTAAGGATCGAGCACGTAAAGAGCAACATCATATGAAAAGAGAGAACAAAGGAGCGCACTGAAGGAGACTGAAGGGCCGTTTGCGGTATTTGAAACCCCGAAACTCCGAATTTGGCTCTCAATTTTCAACACTATTCTGAGCCACTCGATGCCACACTCTCTGGTTACCTCCATTGTGCCCCCGGTCGAATGTTTGCCTCTTCAAGTTCTTGAGCTTACTCTGCATATGTATGCGTGTATCTAATACGAACGTCATATTCACTGCACTGTATGTGATGATTGTGCGCTTCGTGAATCGTCTCGGTGCTATGATCGATGGCATTGCTGAACGCCTGGCTGCGCTCTCATCAAGTCGACTATGAATCGACGTGTCTTTCGAATTCTATCTACTCGTATCTTTTTACTAGTAGTGTGGACTCGTGGACTGATCCTGTGAGATCCGAATCTTACTACTCGGGACTGATGATGCTAACCATCAGCACGTCAGTATCATTTATCACAATTATCGATCTATCGAAGGGCTTCTCGGACGTGTGGGCTGACCGTCAAGACCGATAGGTTCTGTGTTGGGTACTTATACTCAGGCACTTGTCCCAGATCTCTGTCTAACCCAACGCAGCCTTGCTACCTGACAGACGCAGGTATGTATCTCGAACTGTAGCCTGGTCCAGTATTTGCTCATTCCCACCCTCCACATAATCGTTTTCAGCATTATCGGCATGTCCACCAGCAACGAAACTACTACGTCCTTCACCGTCAATGGCCAAACATATCAGACCTGGTATAGAGTTTACGGCGACCTCTCCACTCGCACCCGTACCCCACTCGTCGCACTGCACGGCGGTCCAGGTCTTGTCTCCGATTACCTCGTTCCACTGCAAGGCCTCGCCACGTCTTATGATATCCCTGTCATCGTATACGACCAGATAGGGAACGGGCGCTCTTCTCATATCCGTGACAGAGCGGACTCCCCGTCATTCTGGTCTCTCGATCTCTTCCTTGACGAACTCAACAATCTTCTTCTACATCTTGGCATCCAGGACAGGTTCGATCTCTGGGGCCATTCGTGGGGCGGCATACTCTCTCTTGAGTACGCTATCCGGCAGAAGTCGACGGGACTAAAACATCTCATCCTATCCGACTCGCTCCCCTCGGTGGGACTATGGGGCCAATCGAGCATGCAGCTTTTGCAGAAGTTTCCTGAGGATGTTCAGGAGGGGATGATGAAAGGGATGGCTAATCCGACGAAGTACTTGGATGCGTTGAAGAAGTTCCATGCGGTACATGGGTGTACAGTTGTGCCGATGCCGGAGGAGGTTGTCAGGACTTTGGAAGGGGCCTTTGGGGAGGATGGGGATCCATCCGTCGCGCTTGCTCTGTACGCCTTCGATCTTCTCCTCTGCGTATGTAGCTGCTGATTCGTAATTTATGCACATGCTATACCCAGGATGCAACCGAGCTCGTGGTTCTCCACCTGGTCAGCCATCGACCGTCTTCACCAAATTGATATTCCTACCCTTGTCATCAATGGTGCGAACGACATATCTCAGGATTTCGTCGTTGAGCCGATGGTGGAGAAAATTCCTGGTGCGAAGTGGGTGAAATTTCAGGAGTCGAGCCACATGCCGTTTTGGGAAGAGAGTGGGAAGTATATGAGGGTAGTCGCCGATTTTGTAGAGGTTTGAGTATGAGTGTGACGTAGCCCTGCCGTCGGGGCACACGATGTTCACGGATGGCTTCAACAGCCTATCCTATACGGTCTCGAATATATCACTTGGAGGTAGTCAGATTCTCTGGACCATATATCAATAACAGTCCAAGAATTCAGCGTCAACTTTTGTAGTTAACTTCTCTCGCCACATCCCAGTGGGACTTGAACGGTGTTCGTGAGCGATCATGTCCTGTCGAGAGTTCCTCCACGTAGCGTATTCAAAATTCCAAAATCATGTCGCACCAAAAATGCTGCAACCAGCAGTGAAGGCTACTGTGTAAAAGTATGAGAAAAGTCGTAGATCTTGCGTAAATCTCCACTGTGGATCGTGGGAATACTGTGGGCTATCCTCCAGGCCACGCGCGTTCTTTGAACCTTGTCGCCACTCGACTTGACCACCTTCCGCCGTCGACGTCGGCAACAACAACGTCTGGATGGAGGAATCCCCGCCGCCGCCACCACAACCGGTAGATGATGCGAGCCCGCCGCCGCCTCCCCCACAAGCCTCAGGCCCGACAGGTTCGCCAACTGACTTCTTAAAAGGCGTTGTGGGCAAACGCGTCGTTGTGCGACTGACTTCTGGAGTGGATTATCGAGGTGCGTCCCGGTTTTCTTATCACGATCAATCGTATCTTTATGGACTTGCAAAATGTATGCTTTCTGTAGGAGTGTTGTCGTGTTTGGATGGCTATATGAATATCGCGTTGGAGCAGACGGAGGAGCATGTTAACGGTGCAGTCACGAACCGTTACGGAGACGCGTTCATCAGGGGAAATAATGGTGCGTCTAGTTCGGTATCTAGCTGATAGGCCTTCCGGCTGATCTTCGTACTATGCTTACAGTGTTGTACATCTCTGCGGACGAGGAGATATGATGTCCTGTATCATTATTGTTAGCGCCTCAATGTGCTCTTACTGTCCTTGCTTTCTATCGCTCGCCCATCTACACGTCATTCTCCTCATCCTCTGACTACTCACGCATAAAATGCTCTGTGCGTAGCGTCATACAATTCCATTCGATGGCGGTGAGCTCGGTTACAACCCACGAACGCCGATTGATGGGCCACGGTGGCTCCCATACGGCCGGACCGCGTAGGGATAGTTTTGCTCTGTCTGAGAGCTCAGCAATGAATCATCTGTGCGTCTAAAATGTACGAGCTCGTTTGGTCGGTTAGATACTCAGATTGAAGGAGTTTGCGGAACTCAGATTCTACACGATGCGGCATTCTCTAGATAGCTCTGCATCATAACCCTCACCATTCTAAGGAATGCTGTTCTATAAGTCTATAGAGTACTCAGGACTATCTTCAGAAATCTCCAGGTGACGAGAATGCCGCCCAAAAAAACATGCCGAGCGCAGATTATACGCTCCATAAACTCTCTAGTGTCTCGTTCGCTGAGTGGAGTCTGAGTCACAGAAATTCAACTACGACGAGCTTGAAACAAAGTTCGATACTGGCATGGTACGTTTGCTGTGTGCCAAAATGCATGCCATTTTATGTGGCGACTCACTTACATAGCGTATGGTCACAAGTGTGGCACCGGCACGACAGACCCGAAGCCACGCACTGATACCGGCATTTGCCGAAAGACCATGACACCGAAGCATTCGTGACAATTTCGTTCAACTCTATCTTTCTCCGGTACTACCACGCCGTGCACCATAAAGCATCCCACCCTTCGTTCGTTCTTTTCTTTCTTCGATACGCAAGACATCAATTGATATAGTTAACTGACAATGACTCTGTGGACTCATTAGAATCGTCACTAGTATAAACCGGCTCAACGCTCGAGACGTTCGCTTCGCCCACCACACATCTGCTTCCTCCTGCTCATATATTGTAGCTGCCTCACTATGCCAGAACGTGTCAGCACAAAATTCACGGTTTCGGAAGAAGAATACGACAGCTTACGAAGTTCTGGCAACGAAATTCAAGATCTCCTCGACTTCCACATGGATAGACTCAGTCTTCAGGCTGAACCTGAAAGCATGAAATCTCAACGCACTTCCATACATAGCCTCCCCGTTGAGCTTCTCTGTCGAGTATTCGTTCTCGTCGTTGAGCCACACGACTCTATGGGTGACACTGCATTTGACACTCGTCCTGTCTGTCTCTCCCATGTATGCCGGCGATGGCGGGAGGTCGCTTTGGGCACGCCAATTTTGTGGCGAAGCATACATTTTTATCATTCCGATCTTTTTTCTCCTTCCAAATCACTGCCAGATTGTGTGACTGCTTTCCTTCAACGTAGGCAGAAGGTCACCCTCGATATCGTGCTCAGTAACGACGAGACCGACCCCTGGATCCCCGAGTCATATGATATTATCAGGACCACGGCATCATGCCTTGAATTAGGCCTTTATAATGGTCTATCGCTCCTCATCGATACTCATAACGTTCGGTGTATCTCGACCACCTGCTGTACCATGTTATTGGTGGACTTGTTCCTACAGCTCTTGTGCAAAAAAGACCGGTTCTCGTCTTTGGCGTCACTAGACCTGCGGCCCACATCCACATCATTCTATCGTTGGTTTTCCACGTCTATAACCAGATTTTTTGAGACATCGTCTCCTTTCGCCATGCCTTCCAACCCCCAATCACTTCCTTCGCTGCAGTACCTCTCACTACATGGGATACCCTTCGAATTCATCCCGGTCTGCGATTTTCCCTCCCTTCTGGAGTACTCGTTTGCTCGACCACTCAACATTGCAACCGAAGAACAGTATCAACGATCCTTCAAGATTTCTCACCTTGCTCAGCTCCTCGCATCCGCACCAAACCTAGAGAAACTTTCGTTCATCAACGCGGGTCCATACGTTGACGTCGAACTCGACTTCGATACGTCTATTCCCCCTTCCTTTTGGGATCATTCCTCCGCATGGTCACGACAAAGTCCCAGGAAGATCCCCCCTCTTGTCTTACGGAATCTGAAAGAATTCGTATGGATCGGTGTTGACTCACTTGGCCTGTATGCATTCCTCGCCTACTTTCCTTCCCCAAATCTCGAGCTCCTCGATGTGAAACTGTTCGCTCCAACTCAGAACTCTCTCTACTGGAGCGATTTTATCCTACACGATGTATACCAGGCGCCACCACACAGTATATCCCCCACCAAACTCGTTTCCCTCAACTGCTTGCACGTCCAGTCTTCCTCGGTCTCGGCTATGGAAATGATCGTCGGACTCCTCGACATTCCGTCCGTGGAGACCGTCTCCATAACGAACACCGAAATAAAACTTCTCCCGTCAGGCTACTGCATCCTCCCGGATCTACAAAGATCCGACAACATCTTCTTCGACCCGCGTCTCCTCCACCTCACTTCGCTCGCGCTCTCCGCATTCACTTTCACCTCAGAACACATCGCGTCGATGCTCTGTTATTTACGCACCCTTCGGGTATTGCAATGTGACATGATGGACGGGATGGACATCCTTCTGGAAAAGCTGGCCGAAACGTGTGTTCTGCCGAACCGGGAGTTTCTGTCGATGAGATATTGTCCGAGGTTGGAGGAGTTGAGGCTTTGGGAATGTGGTCGTGGGCTGAGGTTTGAACGGCTGGAGGAAGTGGTCAGTTTGAGGAGCGGGTTGTTGAAGGAGGAGATGCGGATCCAGAAATCGACTAGGCAATTGATGTCCGGTAATACGGGAGCCTCAGCGAGTGAGACGAGGAAGATCAAGCCGTTGAAGCGAAGGGCTATGATGTCCGTAGGTGGAAGTGCCAGCAGTAGTACGGGAGTGACAACGCCGCAGTCACGAAGAGTTGTAGCCTTGATGGAGGCTCAAGAGGCAGCGAAGATCAAACGGGTCAGCATTGTAAATTGTGACTCGGTGTGGGAGGAAGAGGCGAGGTCGTTGGAAAAGTGGGGTGTCGAGGTAGATTGGTCGGCATGATAGTTCGTATCAGATAACGAGTTCGCTAGACTGCATGTATATAGAAATAAACAGGTTTCCGTTTGAATCATAAAGGCAAACGCCAATAAATTTGTCTATTCTAAACGGTACCGAAAGCAAGGAAGAGCCAAAAAAAAATACTCCTCACTATCGAGAAGCGACCGTACTAAGCCCCCCCACATCTGAATCCAGCCTAAACCCCGTCACATCCAACCTGCAGAATCTGCTATCCTATGTGAAGCCATCCAATCTACTCGACTTGCAAATCGCCTTGGAGCAGCGTGGCGGTCGACCGTTCGATAGCGGGGTGGCGCGAGCGGGAATAAACCGCGTTTCAAGCTCCGCCAAAACTTTATGCCCAGCGTGTCAACGTGTCCAGTTGGCCGAGGCGCCTTCCACACTGTCTTATTGAACTCTCACTTATATTCCTGGTAAAGCTTGAAACTTTGCTGCCAGTGGAAGAACTGATCTGGTGACCCTGCAACAACTCTACCGAGCTGCCGCGATTATGCTGATGTTCTTGCTTCTGTGTTCAAGCTGGACGTTACTCTCAACACAGAGTAGCTCAAACCATGCAACATCTCACTCTTCCGCAACTTCTCGGACTTGGTATATTTGCCTCGTATTTTGGACTTATATTGGCTCTACTGGTTGTTATATTTCGGAGCCTACCACCTCTTCACAACCCAAACGTATCCAAAGGTCGCGTTTACTCTTTTATAGCTCTTACACTTATATCATTCGCACACACATGGTTCTGTGAGTCTGCTTCTCGAATCTCCACTACAATAATGCTGATTTATACAAGATATGTTTTCATTCATGCACGTAAGTTCTTGTCTTTCAAAGTTAATGTACGTCTTCTGAGGGATCACTTCGCACAGTGGAGTTTCGTCGATTACGAGAAATCCCATGTCGTACATTATGAACAGACCCAAATGGAGCGCGTGGCCAACTGGCTCTCTGGAACAGCTCTATTCGAGCAGGCGTGGAAGATTGTATGCTCTCATCCGCAAAACTGGTGGTGGAGCGAACAACTATGCCTGTTTACGGTCGGTGCATGGACTGTTTTCCTGCTTAGCGAAGGTAAAGTGCCTTGATCTTGCGTTTCATCTCGTTCCAAGCCAAGTTTAATGGTGCACGTTTTTAGCACGTCAGCGCTCCATAAAGCATGTCTGGGCATATATGCTTCTTGGACAGGTTGTCGCGATATCCGTCGCGTCGAACCTGTTTTACCTCGCGGCGCTCCTTTCTCCATTACCAAGCTCCAAGCATGGCGCGCCACAATTGGTCCCGATAGTGTTGTGGCTCAGCATCGTCCTTTCCTTGGGGACGGTCTTCCTCATTCCACATTCTCTCGAGCACGACTACTTTCTTTCGAACCTTCTCGCCATGCATATCCTCCTCGTCATCCCACTGGCCGCACCACGCTCTCTTCTCTCCTCTAAATTCATGCAGATTCGGCTGCGGACTTTATTCGCCATTCTTGCCGTGGCCACCCTCATCCCACGCTCTCGGACGATATCCCTAATGCTCGAATCCATACCCGTCGAGGCCGAACCCCGTTATGAGGCTATAGCAAGAGGTCTATGGCAGACTCTACACTCTCATCCGGCACAGTCCTCGATCGGCTGGGATGTCGTATGGACGACGGTTTCTTTTTTAGCGTGGATATCAACTACGCCGTCCGCCACAGTAATGTTGTTACCCCTTTCTTTGGGCAGTGTGGCATTTTCTGTTGGCCTTATGGCACCAGTTGCCCTCTGGGTAGCAAGCTCTTTGTAGGAATAATGGGGTGCGTCCTTGTTCCTCAAAACGGTTTCTCATCCGTATATCTCACTATCATTCTGAAGATCATTGCAGCATTCCTATAATGTCGTTGTCATCGCTTAATGTCTCTTGTCGTACATGCCTCTCAAATATTCATGTTCTAAATCTCGTGCCCCACGCGATTGAATATTTGAATGCTCTCGATGATGGACCACGGAATCTATGATCTGACGCACTTCTTTCGGTGTTTTTTTCTTGTTGATGATGCATCGCCACTAATCTGGCATTGTGCTCTTGAGCTCCGGGGCGATCTCGGCGACTGATGGCGAGTAAATCGACGATTATTGCTCGCTTTGACTGGTTTCACCTCGCGAAACAACTCCGGAGAACAAGGGGCCTTTTCGTTCACGCGGAAGAGTGGAATCGGGAAAGCCAAGATCGCTCGAGTCAATTACCGCTTGCCACATCGTCATCCTGCATCTCATCTCGAGCACGTGTGCTTTACGGAGTGCTTGCACGACCAAGATCGTTGCCCAACAGGATGGCGTGGTTCCTAGGTTTTGCTTCCAGCGATGGACCGACAGTACTATTGCCGCATACAGAGCCGCATGCCGTAGGAAAGATAATGCCAAATTCATGCCACATGCACAGACCGCCGGGCTTGAAGCTTGAACGTTTGAACACCAGTCCTTCTAATTTCATGGTCCCGACCATATCGCGAAGGCACCGTCCACTCACTCGGTATGCATACCACGATGACTGCCTAACCGAACTGCTCGCCCACAATCACTCCTCCACTGCTTCGATCATGTTTTTTCCAACTCTCCGTCCAAGTCCAACGCCTAGATCGGTAGAGGAGCAAAACCCGGGCCGGCTTTTTTCTTCACGATCTAGGAGGTCTGTTTGCCAAGTTCTAGATGCAAACCGTCCTACGGCCTCCGGTCGAGCATTTTCACTCTCATTATTGCGTCTTTGAGTGTGATTATTGATTACCGGCGTTTAAAACTTACAGCGCATTTTCCCTCTTGGCAAATGTTTTGTCTGTTTTATGCCGGTTTTCACGCTATTCCGAGTCACAAATATTCCTAGGTGCCTTGATAAGCATGTCGGGCTCCATACAGGCCTGTGACACAGGAGTTCGCCCCTCGCATCGGCGTGGTCAGCGCTCATCGCTCAATGCCGGTGAACCGAACTCTAGGTCGTGGCCTAGATGTTTGAATTTACCGAACGGAGCGGAGGTGGTGCCGCTGCTTTCACTGTCAGCTCTCTATCTACCATGAATGAATGGTTCCGGTGAAACAAGAAAGTTACGGTCGGTACTCGAATGAGAGTCTCCGAACGCTTACGCATGTGACCGTCAAAGTTGGACGTTGAACTGACGAGGCGAGTTTTCACGTTTTGGAGAGGCCGCTCCAGCCGCTAGTCCAGCAAAGAGATGTTCGTGTCCCATTTTTTGGTGGAACAGTAGTATATATATATATATCAGTAGATAGATACTTCTGAGAGAGGTAGAGGCGTGCGATACGATAACGGGGCAAGAGAAATGAGGCACGATAGATGATGAATATAGCGAGAGATCCAAATCATGGAAGCACTGAGTTACTGGAGGAATAAGACGAAGATGGATATGGGATAAACATAGATGATATAGAAGGTGCAGGGCCGCGGAGCAGATCTGAAATCAGAAAGTGTAAGTATAAAATGGAAACGGAGATGGGTGCATGTGCATCTGGGGAAGGAACGGGATAATTTATAGCGAAGAACACTGTCAAGTTAGTCTTTGGAAGAAAAGCGAGAAGAAAGAAGCCGAGGGAGAGCAGGGAGCTGCTGCATGCGTAGACGTTTTGAAGTGGAAATGAAGGATAATGACGAAGATGAAGAAATGAGAAGATGAAAAAAAAAACGATGATCAATGGCTCATTTCACCAGACTTCGGGCTATCTCCGTCCATACGATGGTCACCCCCCACATAATACCCCATATGAAGTGCCTCAAGGCGGAGTCCACCATCAAAATCACCGTCGAACTCTTGACCGTTTCCGTAAGATTGGCAGGTTAACATCGCGATGTCGTGGTCAGATGAGGCGGAGTTGGGAGGAAATTGGTCCAGGAGGCTATGGGGCGTAATGGGGGAGGGGTCGGAGGGAATGGAGCCGCTCGTAGAGCTGGAGCGGGCATGGGAGGTAGAGACGGCATCGTAGTGATGATGTTGCATCGGATTCGAGTCGTGTGGGAAGCGGTACGAGTCCGCGGAGAAACTGTAACGAGAGGAAGCTACAGTATGAGTGAAGAACGAGGGATGAATAAAAAAGATGAAGAATAGGACAAGACTGACGGTTGGTGAAGATACATGTCGTCGATAGGCTCCCCCGTGAACGTCCAACCATGCGCATTCGGCAGCATGGGAAGGGGTAGGTGCATGTGAGACACCTCCGAGGCTGCCCGTGCCCGCCCGACCTCATGATGACGCTCCAGGTTACTAAAAGAGACGTTCGGCTGAGACGTCCTACGACTCCCGTAAATCTCAGCAGCAGCCGTAGAGCTACCGAGATGCCCGCCATAATATTCGTCCTGACGATAGTTCCAGAGAGCTTGTAGTTGCGGCTGAGGGTGAGGTTGATGCTGAGGCTGGTAATGAACCTGAGAGGCGGAGTTATTGGCGTCGAGGACGGTAACGGTGTTCTTCGTTGTGTCCACCGTCGTTTGGAGCGGGTTGAAGTTGACGTTGGAAAAGTCAAGCGGGGGAGGTCGAGGTCGTCCACGTAGACCGGACGGGCGGGCTTCCAAGGAAGTTACTGACCTGATACGACCGCCGGACAAAGCCTCTGCAGCATGCTCGACGGGGCCCATAGCCTGCTAACCATGACGAATGTTAAGTCGCTGGGAAATAGGCAGGCAGAGGGATTACTCACGGTAACGACGTTAGAATCGACCGCCATCGAGTTAGACATCGGACTCGAAGTATGAGCCGTAGTTATTGAACTCTCCTTGGCCAGCGACGACCGGCGGAAGTGGCTGACATTCGGCTCGCGAGGATGCACAGGAAGCGCGGAGAGCGTCGCTGCACGTTTGCGGGAAGGCTGAGCTGGCGAGTTTTTGCGACGGAAAGAGGCGGCAGAGTCAAGCTTCTCGATGAAAGAGGACTTGGTGGCGGAGGTCGGCGAGCCGTTACTCACAGGACTGGCCGGAGCGGGTGGGGGTTTCGGTTTGTTGGGGCCACGCATCTTCCGTTCCGGGGCGTACTCGCAGATAAGTCCGCGAGAGAGGCAGCGTTTGCAATTGGGCTGTTCGCCAGAACACTGTTGAGGGAGTGGGATGAGACGGCGTCAGGATGGGATTAGAGTGGAGGTAGAGTGCGAGAGAACGTACCTTTGCCTTGCGAATTCGACATTTCTCGCACGCCTGAGCCGTACGCAGACGGGGGTGCTCTACCGTTCTCAAGAATATACCAGTCTCAGGATCCAACGACCCAGAAACACCCGCACTAGCTACGCCACCGAAGGCGTTTGCGGCAGGAATGTTGGTGGTACGAGGCAAGATTTTGTTGCCGATCGAAAGATGTTGTATATCGAGTGGAGACTGGAGAAGGGCAGGAAGCGTACCGCCGGTAGGGAAGTGAGCTTGCGCTTGCTCCTGGGCGAGGACGAGCGCCTGATGATGCTGACTGTCATAGAAGTTTCCGTGTAAGAGAGCGAGACTCGTGGGCGAGGTAGACGGTTGGAGTTGTCCGTAGCTATGGTGAGCGGCGAGGGCGTTCATCGCCCAGAAGGAGTTGTGGGCGTGGATGTGCGAGGGATGTTGCAGATGGGAATGATCTGACTGCATGGTAGGGCTCGAGTGTGGGTACGCCTGCTGGGGTAGTAGTCGCCCGTGCGAGGAGCGGTCTGAGGTAGTGAGTTGGAAGTGAGAGTAGACGTCGCCGTGGCCTTGCGAGTGGTTGAGAACAGAAGGCGACGAAGGATAAGATACGTCGTTGAAGGTAGTGGATATGGATGAAAGGGGCGGCATGACTGAGACGGGTCGTGGAGAGGATGGATCGGTTTCGGAGTAGATGAATCAACCGCTGAAAGCCCCAAATAACGGCCTTCTCAGTCGGGCGATATATATGAGGCGTAGCTGTCACTGGACCCGTAGACCAAGTTCGATCGAGAGGACTGCCGGCTTCCTTGGGAGTACCTGATGATGATGCGTACGCTCGGACGAGCGATTGAAATATTGAGGCTTTTGTCGGAGATTAGTCTGTGACGGTCTGGAAGACGATGGTCGGGGCGAGATTGTAGTGCGCTGAAAGTGTCAAGAAGAGAGAGAGAGACAGCTTGAAGCTGGTGATGATTAGCTGTCCGACTTGAGCACGATCGATGTTCGTTTGTCACTGTGTGTACACGATCTCGCGCGAACTATCCATAGGCTTGGCTCAGCTCCAGAACAATGGGAGACGATGATCGGCTATGACCAAGGATAAACGCCATTTGCCTCCGTCAACTCCGAATCAACCGAGTATACGATCGACCAAACAACGATCCACAACCCGTATGTCAACGCGCTCCTCAAGTGCGCTGAATATTTTAACGGTAACGCTGCGGGTACGGCGGTTTCAAAATGCGAAGCCGGGTATGCTCCACAGTCAGGATTATGTGGCACTTTGCAGCCGCACGATGGCAAGGAACGATCGCCGAAGCGCACGGACGTGCGTCGCTTTTCATTATGGTTGCCCAATTCTAGCCACAACGGACCACCTCGCCCACACAACGTTCAACCATAGAGCTTCCGTGTGCTCCCGGGAACTTTCGTCTCCCATGGGAGTATCACGAGATTTCACCAGCGAAGCGAAGAATCCCCTTTCTCACAATGAGGGTCCCACGAGAGGAGGTTGTGTCCCATTCCTGGGGGCGTCGTTGGCAGGCGTGGTAATTCAGAAACAATATACAGCCGTAAAAGATAGCCTGCGATTGGTTTGTCATAATAATCATCCTGAATGAACGCGGAAAATACGGAACGATCGTCAGAGAGCACGTACATATAGGGATATACAATTAGGAGTACCCGACCCACAACACAGCCTCCTCTGTAACTCCAGCCTGGACCGTCGATTGCGTCCATTTCCAACCAAAAAACAAACCGATAATGTTACACAAATAAGGCTACATCGAGCGATTGCCACCGGGGCACGGACCATAAGATAGCGTCGCGAATAAATAATAATGCAAAGAGCGTGAATGATAAGGATTCGTGGGTTTGTCGACGTAGCCGTGCATGGTGTCGTATCGCAAACGTAGTACGGTAGACGAAGGTGGGTGGAGAGGATGTGGGCGAAGGCGTAATCATGAATGGCGAATCCAAGAGCGCAAGATCTTGCTCCAGTGGCTCCTGTGTTTCGCGGCGCCCCGCTTGGCCAAGGTAGCGGTGTCCCGTTTCTTGAGATTGCACTTGGCCACATTGGAGGAGGTCGAGGATGTCCCAGATGATCCGGAGTCCGAGCCCGAACCTGTACTTGAACTTGAGCCAGAACTAGTTGTGGCTGCTGACGATGCTGTGCTCTTCGTCGCAGTAGCAGTAGAGGTCGTTGAGCCAGACGCACCGGTGGCTGACGAACCAATCGCGGAGCCGGTCGCTGTTACCGTCTGGCCGTTCTCGAGTATACCGGACGGAGCTTGTCCACCTTCCTCTGTGGATTGATCTGCTGTAGCGGCGAGGTTCGAAATATCAGGACCAGGGAAAATGTAGATCTGGTTCCCGTTGAAGATCTAAACAATACTCTGTGAGCTTAAGCATGAAAACCTCTTATAAAGTACAAGGACGAACCGTAGGATCGTAGATACCGGGGTCGTCATCGTTGTACGCTCCAGGAAAGGCGACGGTGCTGTCTGGGGTACCAGTCCCCGAACCGCCGATGCGAACTTGCGTGCAAGAGGGGTAGAATTCGGCACCGCCCTCTGAATCGGCAAGGTGAAGAGCGATGATCTCGTGACGGATGAGGTAGTCGCCTGGCGCGAGATTGTCGGGGAGTGACACTGAGAAGGACTTCCCTTGCACTGTCGGAGTGAACAAGTCGAGAATAATTAGAATGGAGAGGAAGACAATGGCACAACGTCGGTTCTAAACGTACTAATCTCTGCCTGATACCAGGTCGAATCGTCCGACTTGAGGCCAACCTGATCGATTTTGAACCAGGCAGCGTTGGTGGAGTTGTACTGGTCGCAAGTCGTATCCTCGCACATAGCCATATAGGTCATCAACGGGCCAACTTCGTGAGGCCACTTTACCATGGAGGGAAAGGATATACAAAGATCAGAATCACAGTCGAGGGAATAGAAGATGTCACGACGTACGTTGTCCGGCCCATCAGTCCACTGGAACACCACGGTGCTTCCAGAATTGGCGTCTGCGACTTCGCTCGCCAGCTGAGCATCAAGACCACAATTCAGATCTGGATTGCTTGCTCCCTTGACGGGACCGTTCGAGCTGATCTGGCGTATAGGGCTGGCATTAGCAGTTTCCCCCGGAGCATTTCCGTTATAGACCGTCCCATCGATGGTGACTTGTCCAACATATCCATGGGCCAAAACATGAGAGAAAGAAGCGAAGAAAGATGAGACAGTGAAGGCCAAGCAGGGCAGCTGCGTTCGCGAACGCATGAGAGGAAACATGTCGAGATACGGTGTCTGGCTTCAATCGTTGCAGACGTCGCGGTTTGATAGATAGGCCTTGCGAAGGTCGTGAGCGTCGGGGGAGGCAAAAGCAGGCGAGGCCCTCCATTTTTGTATGATCAGATGAACAAAAACGCGGTGGACAGGTCGCATTGTTCTGAAATTGGCGCCTCGAGGCAAAAGCTCGTGTGAAGAGGCACTGCCACATCTGAGCTTGTCCCCTCCCCTTTTTGTACGCTTAACTGAACAATTCATGGATTATACAGTGATTCGTCGTTAGGAAAGCGACAGACGGGTCCAAAGATTGTCCAAAGCGAAGAACAGAGACATGAACAGAGGACAGCGAACAGCAGTGAACTTGACTGGACAGAAGAAAAACCTCGTTTGGATTTGGTAGAATTTGTTGGTTGAATTTCACACGATCCCGGATTTTGCCGAATCGGGGAAAATATGCCGGAAAAGCGTCCCAGCGCCGCTTGCACGCAACCACGAACAGGCCCACGCCCGTCGAGCACAGTGTGTCGCGCACTTGCTACTGTATCACCTCGACTTGTAGAACGGAGTGTCATAGAAAACAGAGACAAGCTTTTCCGACCGCTTACCTTCGGCAAATTCGACTTATGATCTCTGAACGATGCTACACGCATCATAGCCCAGCACCTCAGCCTTACTTGTTCGTTTCCCTTGCTAATCGAATTTTCTGGATATGGTTGGGCTGTCACTCCTACGAATTCATGCTGGCGCATGATACATATGAGACTAGCTTTCCGGTATACTCTGAACAGACGTTCGTGGCCATGGCTTTAGTCTGTTCAAGTCTAGCGACCTCTTCTCTACCTGCCATGAGTACCGTGACTGCATGAACGCTCTTTTAAACTTCCCTGGCTTCGTTGTCTTGGTCTTCTTTCACGCATCGATTTGGATAATGCTACTAACAGGCAGCCTGCGATCGTCCAACTCTATTAGACGGAGCTATTATGTGCTGCTTCTCGATGTACTTCATCGGAGATCTGCCCTGACTCTGTACTCGCTGCTCGGAACGGGAGAAGCTCAGGTTCGAGCGACTCTTGTATACGCACGTCGACTTGACTGTGCATCTCACCCATTATCCTCTAGTCTATTCGACAGCGACGCTGCAGGCAGCTATGTTTGGTGTTATATGTTACGCGCTGTTACTCCTCGCACATTACAACATCGTCACCTCAGCTCAGGCTGCTTTCGATCCCGGAGATGGTACACCATCCTGGAAGTATAATGTCTCGGCATGCCCTGGTATGTGACCTTCGTATTGCGCGCCCGAGAGCGAACAGTTAACACGAACACGCGTCTTTCCAGGGTACAATCTCAAGTCTCTCCAGAACACAAAACACGGGTTTACAGCGCATTTAAATCTGGCGGGCCGGCCGTGTAATGCCTTTTCCAGCGACATTATTAACCTGACCATTCAGGTCTCATACGAGACGCAATCTCGGTGCGTCCAATGTCTCCATTCCCCATCTCCATTTCTCTGAATCATAGTCCTCTGTCAAGACTGCACGTCAACATTTTCGATACTGCCAACCAGCAATTTACACTCCCGACAGCCTACTTTGAACCTAGGTCTACGCCACCAACCGACTCTTCGCCGTCATTCACGAGCTCTTCTAACCTCGTTTTCAACTACGAATCTACTCCCTTCGCCTTCTGGGTCACACGCCGCTCTGAACCCGACGCTGCTCCCCTTTTCGATACGCGGGTTTCATCATTGCCGCCGACGCCAATACCAGCTTTCTTCCAGCCGACTGAGTACAACCCAGGATCCAGCACCGGTTTTGACGGGTTTCCGCTTGTATTCGAAGAGCAGTACCTCCAGGTGACTGGGCAGGATCACTACAGCAATGTAGCGTACATGCTGATTACGCGTATGTTAGCTGACTTCTGCCCTTCCACTGGACGCGAACATCTACGGGCTCGGAGAAGTCGACGCAAGCAGCGGTTTCAGGAGGGATTTAAGCGTGAACGGGACTATTCAAACGATGTGGGCTCGCGACGATCCGAACTCTGTCAATCTGAATCTGTGAGTTTCCTCGACACCGATGGGTCACATGATCGCGTTTCTTTCTGAGCACCGTTTCGCTCTCCCACCAGTTATGGATCGCATCCGATCTACCTCGAACATCGGTTCAATGGAAAAACAAATACCTCTCGTTCCCATGGCGTGTTTTTGTCTAGGTATGCATGTCTGTATTACTACACTTGAGTTGCAGGCTGACATTCATCTGGACCGTGCGAACAGCGCCGCCGGAGCTGATATCATTCTCGCCACACCTCCGTCATCGGGGAAGTCGCTCATTCAGTATCGTATGTTAGGTGGTACCCTCGACTTTTATTTCTTTTCCGGTCCAGATCCCAAAAGCGTCATCGAGCAGTATGGAGAAGTCGTTGGCAAGCCTACTTGGCAGCCTCTGTGGGCATTTGGATTTCACCTGTGCCGGTGAGCGACTTATTTCGCCAGAGATTGTTCGGGGTTGGCTGATAGTACGGAAGGTGGGGCTATGAAAATATATGGCAGGTCGAGGAACAAGTTGAAAACATGCGCGCTAATGATATCCCTCTCGAAAGTACGTCCTTGAGAAATAAAAAATTCTCTCATGATCACTGTACTCATCAGGATGTTTAGCAATCTGGAACGATATCGACGTGTATCATTCATTGCGCGACTTTACTTCTGACCCTGTCAGCTATCCCAGTGACGTGATGAGAGAGTTCACTCGTAACATGGTCAGTGAGCTTCGATATCTGTCTACGGTATTCACTCCTAACATCCATATCAATTCAGAGCGCCCGAGGACAACATTGTACGCTACCTTCACATTTTCTCAATCCATCCATTGATAAAATGTACTAGATATCCCGATCGTGGATGCCGCCATTGCCCACATCGCCAACGACACCGACATCGTCAGTCTCCTTCCATCTCCAACCGACTCCTAACTAACGTCCTCTCTCGTAGTACGACCCCTTCTCCGCCGGGATCGAGAAGTGAGTGTACCTTGGCTTCTTTGGTTACACCCCTATTAATGTCCCGACTTTCATAGGGATGTCTTCATCAAGAATCCTGGTGGTTCTCTGTACATCGGTCAAGTGTGGCCCGGTTATACAGTAAGTATATACTTGTCTCATCCTTGGCCTCCACAAAATAAATTGAACCTCGAAAACATCCAGGTGTTTCCCGACTGGTTCGCTAGCAATGTGGAACAATATTGGACGGAAGCACTGGCGAATTGGTCTTTAAGTGGCGTAGAATTCTCGGGCCTATGGTTGGACATGAACGAAGCGAGTTCGTTCTGTCTAGGTTCATGGTCAGTATCATTCACCAATTGAGCTACAAACAGATCTTTCATGTTATGCCTTTGCATTCTAGCGGAAGTGGCGCCGACCTTTCCAATACCACTGCACCTTTTCCGTTCCCAGGAGATCCTGGGAACCCCGTACTTGACTACCCAGAAGGGTGCGTTCTTTCGTATTCGCCGGTCTGTTGTTACGCCCTTGGTGACCCTTGTGGTCCATCAGATACAACTCAACGTTATCCGGCCCAAGTGGCAACATCACCGTTAGCGGGACCAAAACCTATGGAGTTGGTGCTCCTGTCTACTCACCGGTGTACCAAAGTGGGATCCGTAAGCGTGGCGTCGGTGCAGGTGGAGAGACAAATATCGATCTTAATAACCCTCCTTACACGATTCACAACGGTACGCAGTTCATCAATTCGTCAATGACGACCATGGTTGAGTAGTGCGTACTCCATCCAGGATTTTTGGGTCTATCGAATCACACAATCGCCACCAATGCCACACATGCTGGAGGCTTCGTCGAACTAGATACCCACAACCTCTTTGGATATATGGAGGAGCGAGCGACACACCGTGCCCTGACACAGATTCGTCCTGGTGAAAGACCATTCCTAATCAGCCGCTCGACGTTCCCCAGCTCTGGGGCTTGGACTGGTCACTGGGTGTGTTCACGTTCTTTTCGCTCTTTATTATTCGAGATGGCGAGGCTGATATGAGCGGTGTGACGTTATAAATAGCTCGGCGACAATTATAGCAAGTGGGCGTACTTACAATATAGTATCGCTGGTATCCTCCAGTTCCAGCTTTACCAAATTCCTATGGTGAGTTCCTCAGCAATGGACCTCTTTGCAGTCTGCGTACGAATGACTTCTTTCTTAGGTTGGAGCCGATACCTGTGGCTTCGGTACGTGCTCTGCTTAGTTTGCACTCGCTCACAATCTCATGATGCTCCTCATATGACAGTCGGCAACACCAACGAGGAGTTGTGCAATCGCTGGATGCAAGCATCGGCATTTGTCCCCTTCTACCGTAACCACAACACGCGTGGCGCCATCTCTCAAGAGCCCTACCGATGGGACAGCGTTGCTGAGGCCAGTCGCACGGCCATCGCCATACGTTATGCCATGCTTCCGTACTGGGTCAGTTCACTTCTTTATTCTAGAAATGGTTCGGCTGAATGTGCTCATTGTGCTGATGTGATATGAAGTACACACTCTTCGCTAATGCGTCAATGTACGGAACGCCTCCCGTCCGTGCGCTCTTCTTCGAATTCCCAAACGAGCCTGAGCTATTCCCCGTCGACTTGCAATGGATGATTGGGAGTGATATCTTGGTGACACCAGTGACGAACCCAAATGTGACTTCCGTGGATGGTTCGTCCCACATATACCATACTCTCTTTCGAATATACACTGAAGGTCTATACAGGTGTCTTCCCAGGCCGTGGAGGTGTTGCTTGGCGCGACTGGTATACCCATGAAGTTCTTAACTCCACCCCAGGAGGCAACACAACCCTTTCCGCTCCTCTCAGCCACATCAATGTCCACATTCGCTCTGGAGCTGCCATCCTCCTCTTTTCTAAGCCAGGCTACACAACCACCGAAACCGCACAATCGCCCTACTCCCTCCTCGTCTCCCTGACCTCTGATGGGTACGCGTCTGGTAATGCATACATTGACGACGGGATCACATTGCCCACTGAGTCCGCACCCGTGGCCAATCGAACGGTCACTTTTTCGGTTGATGGAGGACGACTGGACGTGGCGAGCGTGGGAAATTGGGATGTGGCGCAGAGGTTGGATATTCTGACGGTCCTCGGTGTGCTGGATCCACCGACGGTGGTCAGTGTGGGTGGCACTAGGCTGACCAGCGGTTGGTCATATGAGAGTGTGGTGCAGAGATTGAACGTGACGGGGATGGGGGTGGATTTGAACCTCGGGAGTACGACGATTACATGGAGCTAATGAACGCGAGAAGGAGGCTCAGGGCGTCCGTTATGATACTCAAAACGCTTCAACCCGCGGTCTTTCTGGACTCCATTCGAGGCCCGGTTGTTGTATTTCGATTCGTAACAGTTAATTGCCCTCCCATTTATATCCTTCTCTTGCGTGATATTTTACACCATCGCCCGGTCACACTTCATTTAAACAGCGTCGTCGATGTATTTGTACTCCGACACAGGGGCCTGTTATATATCAACCTCCAAGTAAACACATACCTTGTCTCTAGCGCTGACTCCTTGCTCTTCCGCAGATCAAAGGCCTCCATCTCACTCTCCTCAAGTTCAGACCTACATTCAATTCGCAGTGCGTCTAGTCTCCACTTTCACTTGGACGTGCCCTGGATTCTTACGAGCAACCGTCGATATCAGTATATTAGGACGATCCTGATCCTGGTGACGATGTCACCGATGCAAACGGTGAGGGTGTCCTTCTGCCATTGCAACGAAGTTCGCCGTCGCATAGGGCGTTTTGCGTCCAGCATCATAAATTTGTGTCAATCAACTTCAAGCACCTTGAGGTAGGGAACCTCCGGGCACACATCGTACGATGTACGACGGTGCTCGTCATCGAGCCCGACGGCAGCGCCCAAGACCTTCAGCTGACCCTGAACAGTCCAAGGCGCCTCGGCGGCGCAGAAATTACGTGTTTTGTCCAATATTGCCTGACCCTGTTATTTCACTTTAGCCTTCCTACTGGGGAAGTCCATCAAAGAAGGCGGCCACAAGACGCGGCCGTTTCTATCCGCTGACGTCTGTGAGTAAATTTGAAGGTGTTCCCTGGCTAGGGTTTCGTATAAAGGCAAGCCAGGCCGCTTCCACTTGATCGTCGGCCCTCTCCTTCATCTCAAAATTGTAGGTGCTCGTTTTCTTTGCAGCAATGTTGGCTGCCTCCCTCTACCACCTGGGAATGCTGCTAGGCGCTGCGACAGTTACCTCCGCTGCGACTGCGTGGTCTTACAATGTCTCTAGTTGCCCAGGTACGTCGTTGGTCTATCGGCATGGAGCAAGTTGATGAACTTTGCGATCGAACATAGGGTACACACTGGATTCTCTGCAGACAACTCAACACGGCCTCACGGCCTCACTAAACCTGGCTGGAGATGCGTGCAACGCATTCTCGAGTGATATCGCAAATCTGACCGTCGAGGTCACGTACGAGTCTCAATCTAGGTGAAGTGCTCGATGGGATTCCGGCTGTGGCGAAGACTTACATTCGCGCAGGCTTCACGTCCATATATACGACACTGCATCGCAGCAATTCACTCTTCCGCAAGCTTACTTTGAGACCCGCTCCTCGCCTCCAACCTCGACATCCCCAACGTTCGTCAATTCCTCGGACCTCGAGTTCAACTACGATTCTACTCCTTTCGCCTTCTGGATCACCCGCCGTTCGGATCCAGGCTCAGCTCCTCTCTTCGACACTCGGATCTCCTCGCTACCTCCCACCCCAATTGCCGCATTTGTAAACTCCCCTGCAGATGGTTCCAGCACTGGCTTCGATGGGTTCCCCCTCGTGTTTGAGGACCAGTACCTCCAGGTCAGCTGTTTCCGCGTTAGCCCCAAATGAGCTGTTTGTACTCATCGAATATGTTTTTAGCTGACGTCCGCACTTCCACTGGATGCAAATATCTATGGCCTCGGTGAAGTCGTGTCCAGTAGTGGGTTCAGGAGAGATGTGAACGTGAATGGTACGCTGCAGACATCTTGGGCTCGCGATGACGCGGACCCGGTGAACCTGAACGTGTGAGTGTGTGTTTGCACATGACCGCGAATCAACGCTGACGCCACCTGTGGCCCTATAGCTACGGTTCGCATACCGTGTATATGGAACATCGATTCAATGAAACCACAAACACTTCGCAGTCCCATGGAGTTTTCTTATCAAGGTAATTCTCCTCACTGCCTGTTAACTTGATGCCAGGGATTAATTACTTATCGAACATGTTAGTGCCGCTGGATCCGACGTCCTGCTCGCCTCGCCGCCTTCCTCAAACTCCTCTCTCATCCAGTATCGCATGCTTGGCGGAACACTTGATTTATACTTTCTTTCGGGGCCTGATCCTAAGTCTGTCATTGAACAGTATAGCGACGTCGTGGGAAAGCCGGCTTGGCAACCTATGTGGGGTTTTGGCTTTCATCTCTGCCGGTATGTACCCAGGTACCTCCCATAACCTTCTTCACAGTTAATGACGCGTTTCTTCACTTTCAGGTGGGGATACACGAACCTGTCTGAGGTGCAAGAGCAAGTTGAAAACATGCGAGCTGCGAATGTACCTCTTGAGAGTGGGTCCTGTCTTGCTATGTTTTTGAACCATCACAGCCTAACGATGCCTTGTGAAGCTATGTGGAATGATATCGACGTTTATCACTCCCTCCGTGATTTCACCTCTGATCCAATCAGCTACCCTGGCGATCAAATGAGAGACTTCATCCGAAATCTGGTACGTCTGACTACAATGTTTGTGCGTTAAATGCGTTTGCCGACTGCCATTCTTAGAGCGCCAACGGCCAACATTGTTCGCTCATTTTAACCAATCCTGCCATAACTCAATTCATGACTCGTTACCGTTGCTGGTCTAGACATCCCCATTCTTGACGCAGCCATCAATCATGCCGCAAACGACACAGACGTTGTATGTGCCGTCTGCATCCCAACACCGACGGTAACTGACCTTCTCCATAGTATTATCCGTTCTCAGTCGGAGTAGAGAAGTATGTCCTATTGACGATTGTGCTTTGATTACGCATATCTGATCCTAGTCTTCACAGAGATATCTTCATCAAGAACCCGGATGGCTCCCTATATATAGGCCAAGTGTGGCCCGGGTATACAGTATGTACTTGCGTCTCACATGTGTCGATATATCAATACCTTAACGCTGTTCTCTTCGGCCACAGGTATTCCCTGACTGGTTCGCCAACAACACCGAGGAAGTGTGGATGCAGGCTCTCGCCAACTGGTCGTTGGGTGGCGTCGAATACTCCGGTTTGTGGTTGGACATGAACGAAGTCAGTTCATTTTGCGTTGGCTCGTGGTACGTCACCATGCTTTCATTCGCATTGGTTACCGTAGGCTAGTGTGGTTTTTAAATTTTTGATTTGACAGTGGGACTGGTGCGAACCTCTCGAATACGTCTGTTCCTGTCTCGCTGCCCGGAGACCCTGACAGCCCAGTAGTTGACTATCCGGAAGGGTGCGATCACAAACATCAGTACACATTCTGTACCACGCAAAATACTTATGCTCTCACTTAGATACAACTCCACGATCTCAGGACCTAGCGGTAATCTGACCGTCAACGGAACATTGACCTACGGCGCCGGAGCCGAACCATTCGCTGAGCCTATCAGACGGTTTACCGTCTCGAAACGTGGATTAGGAGAGGCGAACGAGACCAATGTTGACCTGAATAATCCACCGTACACTATCCACAACGGTAATCCACCACCAGTCAGTCGTTTTGACTCGTTATTGAAATGTTTATTCCGTCATCAGGCTTCCAAGGACTCTCGAACCATACCATCGCTACCAACGCGACCCATGCCAGTGGTTACGTCGAATTGGACACTCATAATATGTGGGGATATATGGAAGAACGAGCGACGAACCTTGCGCTTAGACAGATTCACCCTGGCCAGAGACCCTTCATGATTAGTCGGTCATCCTTCCCTAGTTCTGGGTCTTGGACGGGGCACTGGGTGCGTCTTCTAATACTTCTTGCTTCTAGAAATATAATATGCTAATGACATGGTTTGTATCAGCTCGGCGATAATTACAGCAAGTGGGCATACTTGCAGTACAGTATCTCAGGCGTTCTCCAGTTCCAGCTATTCCAAATCCCTATGGTGAGCACTGAGCACCTAACGGGGCCTATCGTATCTCGCGCTAATGTGCGCTATGGTTCAGGTCGGGGCGGACACTTGTGGCTTTAGTCAGCTTCCCTTCACCTTCAATATGTTGTGTATGCTCACTGATAGACTCTCTGGCACCAGTTGGCAACACTGATGAAGAGCTGTGCAACCGCTGGATGCAGGCCTCAGCGTTCGTTCCCTTCTACCGCAACCACAACCAGCGCGGTGCCCTTTCTCAGGAGCCGTATCGATGGGACAGTGTCGCTGAAGCCAGCCGTACCGCGATGGCAATTCGATATTCCCTACTACCATACTGGGTGAGTCTATAGCCTTGGTAAAGTTTTCAGCAGCGACTCACTGATTCACCCTACATACCAGTACACCTTATTCGCGAATGCGTCCATGTTTGGGACGCCACCTGTACGGGCTTTGTTCTATGAGTTCCCGAACGAGCCAGAGCTCTTCAGCGTCTCCCTGCAATGGATGATTGGAAGCGACATCTTGGTCACCCCGGTGACAACTCCCAACGTCTCTACTGTTGACGGTGACTACTCCTTCATTACCCTTTATCATTTCAGCTTCTTACCATTCTCCACTCAGGCATATTCCCTGGTCGTGGATCCGAAACCTGGCGCGACTGGTATACTCACGAAGCCGTGAACGCCACATCGGGTGGCACCACCACTCTTTCAGCGCCATTGGGCCACATCCCGGTTCACATCCGTTCCGGAGCCGCCATCCTTCTTCACTCCCAACCGGGATACACAACGAACGAGACCCTTCAATCTCCTTACTCCCTCTTGGTCTCACTTTCCTCTGATGGATCGGCATCTGGATCCGCGTACATTGACGACGGAATCACACTACCCACTGGAAACATCACGGTATCGAATCGGACGCTCGCATTCTCAGTCGGCGATGGACACTTGAGTATAACCAGCCAGGGTGATTGGCAGGTCGCGCAAAAAATGGACATCTTGACCGTTCTAGGAGTGCAGACTCAACCAATTGTGGTCAGCATCGGTGGCGTTAACTTGACGAGCGGATTCACGTATGACAGTGGGGTGCAGAGGTTAAATGTGACGGAAATGGGGGTGGATTTGAATGCTGAGGGCCCAACAGTCGTCGCTTGGAGTTGAAGAGAAATAGGAGAGCGTCACTGTCTGGGTTCTTCGTGACCTGAAGCAAAATCCTTGCTCGTTTTCTTTATTTTATCGCTCTTGGTTTCCGATCTTCAGGCACTCTATCCATTAACTTGCCGATCCAATGCGATCTTCGAAGACCGATGTGGTACTCTACTTCGATGTCTGACTCGTACATTGTGGCGATGCAAGACCCGTCCGGATTGACGAAGTCCAGGCCGACTTTGGTGCTGCACTTTTTTTTTTTGGAGATGAGGTCGATGAGATCCGGCAAGAACAAACAGAGTGGTTGCACCATTTCAGAAATGCCTATTCAGAAGCTCCGACTTTCGGGTTGGGCTCGAATTTTGGTGTGCCCTGGTTCCTTTGGATCGATTACACTGGCGATATTTCTAATATCTACATAGGAGGTCATCATTGTGCATTTTTCAGCGCCATTCTTTTCGTGAACAGAGCACCAGGCCTGTATTTAAGGGAGCCAATAATCGATGCGAGAGCTACAAAATTATGCCACGGAAAGAGCGGAGGCGAGAGTCGTCGAACAAATTCATACAAAGCAATGCGAGCCTTTGTCTCGAGCAATTGCGATCAGTACGGATGCGAGAGGGGACCACGAAGCCTGGCAACTTCGAAGCTTCGAAGACTGCGAAAGGTAATCTATCGCAAACTTGAATTATCTGCCATGTCAACTGTCGCGAACGACGTGAAAGATAAATGCTCACATACTACTGTTTCTAGCTCGGGCATGAGAATTGGCATGTCATGGCATGCTAGACAGGATACTTACCCCAGTACTTATTTTGCCTTCCATTTCGCTTTCCTGGACCGTGTCGGCGGCAGCAGTTAAATTGTCACGGCCACAAGTGGTAATTCCACTGGCGTCTGCGTTGAAAATGCCTCGGTTCCTTGGTCGATTACTCGAATGCCTCTCGCGTCCGCGAGTGCTAAGTATTTGTGAAATATTGTGGCCCGCTTACGCGTAGTCCAATGTCAAACGGAGACAGGCGTCATTCTCATTCTCGCCACACGTAATTTAAACTCCGATGGGGCCCTGCACTCCGACTGGCCGACGACAAATGTTCTCGTCCTCATCGTCCACGTAAACCTACGTAAACGCGTTCTTCCGACTGCCGCCAGTGCACTGAAAGGTTCCAATTTCTCGCCAGGACGATTCAGATATGGCCTGGTCTTGTATGGACCAAGGCAAGACCAAGGTCAGCGAACGACATCATCGCGACGGAGTCTCACAGGACCGTATCCCGGTCACAAGACGCCTTCCACCACATGAATCAATCACCGAGCGGTGAGCTGACGTCTGCCCGCAAGAATTCCCTGGCAGGGGTATGCTCCTATATAAACATGGGCTGAAACTGCGTCACCCCCAGCGCCATTGTTGCCCCTTAACCTCCAACGGTCAACCCAAATTGTTCGTTGCAGCAATGTTTGCTCTCCCCCTCTACCCAGTGGGTTTACTGCTGGGCGCGAGTGCATTCGCTTCGGCTGCTTCTTGGTCTTACAATGTTTCAAGCTGCCCAGGTTCGTCAGTGTTGGTCTTCTTGAAATCTAATCGCAAGCTAACGAGTAGGCAATAGGGTATACCTTGGAGTCACTTCAATCGACTCAACACGGCCTCACTGCTCAATTGAATCTTGCGGGCGAAGCCTGCAACGCGTTTTCAAACGACATAGCTAACTTGACTGTCGAAGTTACCTATGAAACGCAGTCAAGGTAGGACCGACTGTTCGATTTCTGCTATTCTTCTGTGCTCACGTTCCCAAAGGCTCCATGTCAACATCTACGACACCGCGTCGCAGCAGTTCACACTTCCTGAAGCTTACTTCGAGCCTCGGTCCTCTCCTCCAATCTCGACATCACCAACGTTCGTCAATGAATCCGATCTCGTGTTCAACTATGACTCTGCCCCATTCGCCTTTTGGATCACACGTCGCTCAGAACCAGACTCCTCTCCCCTGTTCGATACCCGGATCTCCTCACTGCCTGAAACTCCAATTGCTGCGTTCGTCAACTCCACCGTCAATGGCTCCAGCACCGGATTTGATGGGTTCCCTCTCGTGTTCGAGGACCAATATCTTCAGGTCAGCTGCTAAACCTACTCCTATCGTTCCCAAAAATAATGTCAAATTCAATGTTGGGATCACCATGTGGTTTAGCTCACTTCCGCTCTTCCGGTGGATGCCAACATCTACGGTCTTGGCGAAGTGGTGTCTAGCAGTGGCTTCCGGAGGGACGTAAGCGTGAATGGAACATTGCAGACCATTTGGGCTCGCGACGACGCGGATCCTGTCAATTTGAACATGTCAGTGCGCGTTTCCAGCGTCATCACATGATCGCGTTCTATTTGTAACTGACGCCACTCTACGCCACATCTTAGTTATGGATCACACACTGTGTATCTAGAACATCGCTTCAATGAAACCACGAATACATCCCAGTCCCATGGTGTCTTCCTTTCAAGGTAGCTTTCTTTTGTCGCCTCCTTGTTCTTTCCAGTACTGATCGATGTTTCAACAGCGCTGCCGGATCCGACATCCTCCTTGCGACACCGCCTTCCTCCAACACCTCCCTAATCCAATACCGCATGCTAGGCGGAACCCTTGACTTGTACTTCCTCTCGGGTCCGGATCCTAAGACTGTGATCGAACAGTACGGCGAGGTTGTGGGCAAGCCGACTTGGCAGCCTATGTGGGGCTTTGGTTTCCATCTCTGCCGGTTCGTGATTTGAGCTCTCATGCATCCTTGTGATCGAGATTATTCATGAAAGACGGTGCAGTTGGGGATATACGAATTTGTCGGAATTGCAGGAACAAGTGGAGAACATGAAAGCTGCGAACATCCCTCTCGAGAGTGAGTACTCATTATCGCTGCGTCGTCCTTCCACGGTCCTGATGTTGTTCATTGAAAGCCATCTGGAACGATATCGATGTCTACCATTCACTTCGTGACTTTACCTCTGACCCGATCAGCTATCCTGGCGACCAAATGAGGGAATTCATCGCGAACCTAGTGAGTTTCCTCTCTCCTCTTCCTTAAGTCCATGCATTATCTGATGTCGAAACCGTTCTTCAGACTGCCAATGGCCAGCATTGTACGTACGAGCACTTATAAAGATCACGATGACCGCTCAACTTCGTCCATCTAGATATCCCCATTTTGGACGCAGCTGTCAACCACGCCGCGAACGATACCGACGTCGTAAGTCATGGTCTTTGTCACAAAAATGCCCAATCATGAACCCTCGGGTTGTCTTTAGTACTATCCCTTCTCGGTCGGCATAGAGAAGTAAGTGAAACTCACGATTACATTGCAATTGATGTTTCTGACTTTCACCGCCACTTACAGGGACATTTTCATCAAGAATCCAGACGGTTCTCTGTATATCGGTCAAGTGTGGCCCGGATATACTGTACGTTCTTATCTCCTTCCCCTATTCAAAGTGAAGTTTCGGTCTGACCTGTCGTTGTTCTTAGGTGTTCCCAGACTGGTTCGCAGAAAATACTGAGGAAGTTTGGACGCAAGCCCTCACGAACTGGTCGCTCAATGGTGTTGAATTTTCTGGTTTGTGGCTGGACATGAACGAAGTCAGTTCCTTCTGCGTGGGTTCATGGTATGTGGTCGTTTGGACTTGTTAGTTTTATAGTGACTGAATGTGGTTGCGCAATCTGGATCTCACAGTGGAACTGGAGCGAACCTCTCGGATACGTCCGTTCCTATCACCCTACCCGGAGAACCTGGCAATCTGGTCGTTGATTATCCTGAGGGGTATGCGTATATCTTTCGATATCGTGATCGGTCGAATGCTTATGATCTTCATTAGATACAACTCCACGATCTCAGGACCTAGTGGCAATATCACCGTCAACGGAACCTTGACATACGGTGCTGGAGCAGCGCCATTCTCTGAGCCTGCGAAACGAGCTCTCGGAAAACGCGGTCTAGGAGCAGCCAACGAAACCGATGTCGACCTTAACAACCCGCCCTACACCATTCACAACGGTAAGATACTTGCCCTCTCCCACGATCACTCTTTTACGATGTAGCTCACTTCGATTCACCCCAGGTTTCGAGGGCCTCGCCACCCACACGATTGCTACCAATGCAACGCATGCCGGAGGTTACGTTGAGCTCGACACCCATAACCTTTGGGGATATATGGAGGAACGGGCGACGAACCTTGCACTTAGGCAGATCCATCCTGGGCAGCGTCCTTTCATGATCAGTCGGTCGACTTTCCCAAGTTCGGGAGCTTGGACTGGACACTGGGTGCGTTGATCTCGTTCATACGTGGAAGGTGCCCGACAAGCTCATTTGTTGTTATAGCTCGGGGATAACTATAGCAAGTGGGCGTATTTGCAGTACATGATCTCGGGTGTCCTTCAATTCCAGTTGTACCAAATTCCAATGGTAAGCTTTGGCGCACATCGAATGTATCGTGCAATGATGATAATAATCTCCCTCGTCGATAGGTTGGATCTGACACTTGCGGGTTCAGTCAGTATCGTCTCCTCTTGCATCAGATTGTCAAATTAACTAATTTTGTGGTTGATGACAGACGGTAACACCGACGAGGAGCTCTGTAACCGCTGGATGCAAGCTTCAGCCTTCGTACCCTTCTATCGGAACCACAACGAGCTCAGCGCTCTCTCCCAAGAGCCTTACCGTTGGGATAGCGTCGCTGAGGCCAGTCGTGTGGCGATGGCGGTACGGTACTCTATGCTGCCTTACTGGGTCAGTCTTTATTCGAACCAGAACTTCTTGGACCTATAACTTACACCACATAACAGTACACCTTGTTCGCGAATGCCTCCACACACGGGACGCCTCCCGTGCGAGCCTTGTTCTATGAGTTCCCGAACGAGCCAGAACTCTTCAGCGTCTCCCTGCAATGGATGATTGGAAGCGACATCTTGGTTTCCCCAGTGACAACTCCGAACGTCTCCACTGTTGACGGTAAGTAGTCCTCGGTCACTTATCGCCCTTCTATGTAGTTTCTTACCTTTCCCCGCTTAGCTGTATTCCCCGGCCGCGGCACTGAAACCTGGCGTGACTGGTACACTCACGAAGCTGTGAACGCCACATCGAGTGGCACCACCACTCTTTCGGCTCCATTGGGCTACATCCCAGTCCACATCCGCTCCGGAGCTGCTATCCTTCTTCACTCCCAACCTGGATACACGACCAACGAGACGCTCCAATCTCCTTACTCCCTTCTCGTCACACTCTCCTCTGACGGCTCTGCCTCCGGGTCCGCGTATATCGACGATGGAATCACCATGCCCACCGAAAACAGCACGGTCTCCAACCGGACGCTTACTTTCTCCGTCAACGGCGGGAGCTTGAGCATCGCCAGCCAAGGCGACTGGCAGGTCTCGCAGAAGTTGGATATTTTGACTGTGCTCGGAGTCGCAAGCCAGCCGACCGTGGTCAACGTGGGAGGGACGAACGTGTCGAGTGGCCTGACGTATGAGAGTGGAGTGCAGAGGTTGAATGTGACGGGGTTGGGATTGGATCTCAATGCGGAGGGTCCGATTGTCGTGAGTTGGAGTTGAGTGATGCGGGCTATTGTGAAGTGAAATCTTTTCTGTTGCTTTCTTTATTTCCTAATATCTTAGCCAAAATTTTTACTAAATTTTGCACTTGCAAATATGGTCCGTTGTCTGAGCTGTTTGTGACCAAACTTGTCAATAGTTCGTGAGAACAGGGCTTTGGAACGCGAAGCAAGCTGACGAGAAAATTAGCGGAGAGCTTGATCGATATTAGTTGTGTTCATGGGCTATGTAAACTGGAGCGGGTGCCGAGGGGGAAGTAGTTACATATTGCAGGTGGGTAGTGAATAGAGGATGAGCAAGCAGCGGTGTTCCTTGGTGGACACTGTTTTGATGATTGGCGTCGAGATAAACATGCCTATATGTGTACCAAACCCACATTCACAGGACTACTAAACTGATGATTTAACAGCAGCTCGGTGTGCATACAACAGGCAGCTTTGATATAGAAACGGCATATGAGCTAATCCTACATTTGATAGACCTCCGCTCTTACAGGAAACTTCTGGTACATTGTGTCGTGGCTTGCGTGCTGAGAAGATAGAATCTCGTTTACTGGAGGAAGTCACCCTGGGTCTCCTTCATGAGCAGCTGATACTCGGGCTGGAACTGTTAAAGGACCCTAGGATCAGCAAGGAATTGTGGTTTAGATATTCATCAGAACGCACTTGGAGGTAGAGATTCTCCCAGTACGCCTCCGTATCAGCATTGAACTTGGCCTCATGAGGGGGGATGATTCTCTTCGGGATACCGTTCGCCGCCGCCGCTTCAACCATGAGTTGCAGCTTGCAGTGCTTGTCCAACAGGCCGAACATATAAGCAGCCTCATCAACGGTGTTCCCCACTGTATGCAAATTGTGAGCATCTCTCTCCGTACGACACCAAACATGAAAAAGCTTACGAGTCAAGAGACCATGGTTCTGCAGAATGACATTCTTGAACTTTGGTCCAAGAGCACGTGCGATGTTCTCGCCTTCCTCCCATCCCAGGACGACGCCTCCATAGTCGTCGTATACGCCCAAATTATCGTGGAAGAGTGAGCCATCCTGCTGCAGAATGTCAATCGGACGGCCGAATGCAGACCAAGCACATCCATTCAAGGAGTGGCAGTGGGCCGCAGCGACGACGTCGGGGCGAGCCTTGTGGATGGCAGAGTCTGCAGAGGTGGCGACGCAGATGAGACCTGAGAATTTAGGAGACATAGGCAGCAGAGAACCTACGGATCCAGTAGCCAGCCTTGTTGATCGGAGCCTGGGCACCGTATTTTGTAACGTATCCATCTGGGCCAACAAGAACCAAGGACGATTTCTATGGTATATCCAGCAACCTCTGAGACGCGAGCAAGGTCGAACAATGGTTTTTAAAGCTCACAGTGATGCATGAAAAGTGCACGCCGTATGGGTTCATCCTAGACGCCCGGCCAATTAAGAAGCTTGACATTCATCGGGAAAAGGTGTACATACCAATAGTGGTCGGGAAGAACAGGATCACGGACGGTGATATGGCCAGAGGTGCCTTCGCCAAAGCCCAGTTTACCCCAGTAACGGAATGCAGCAGCCATATGCGACTGAACGAGCACAAGAATCAGTTTTAAGCAAGACCTGAGAAGAAGACAGCGCTGCCTACCTTGATCCACTCCCTTTCATCATAGGGGCTGTTAAACTTCGGTACACCCTCCATTTTAATCAGCCCCTGTTTATCACCTCGATACGTACGCTCTAGACGATTCTCCTCTAGATCGGTGGGGTGGTTGCCACCGTTCTTATGTCCATTTTGCTCTGAAGCATTCAAGTCGAGTGCTGGAGACATGACGAGAGGTACAGTGCAGGAGTGTAATATCAATGGTTATCTACAAAGTGGACGAAACTGTTCAGTTCGTTATTCTCCATATATTCGACAGTCTGCTTGAGTCCCAACCGACTCACCGTTTGTTCACCGCACAAGTCGTCCAAAGAAACGGAGCAGAAGCTGACCGTTCTGACTGAAGCTAGTATTATAGCTTTGGATCTTGGCTATCGCTGAGCAACAAAAGACATTCCATTGGAGAGTGGACTGGCCATGGACTGGTGACCCGCAAGGCGTGTTGGTGGCGTGTTGCGTTGAGGCGCCTTGGATGGCCGCGGCCAAGAAGTCGGCGAAGCCGAGTTATCGTCGCCACCTTGTCGCCACCTCACCATGTTCGTTTTGGACAAAAGTTTTCTTTCTTTTTTTTTCTTCGCAGCTACGCTCACCTCCTCTAAGGTGCTAAAAAGAAGGCGTTCGACATCCTGTACCACTAAAACTCTTGGATTTAGAGATGGAAGGCGGGCTAGTCTAAGATGATTCAGACTCATTCAAGTTATGTCCGGTGTTCCGTGTCATGTAGACTTTGCTGCAAGATTGGGCTAATACAGGCTAATGCGCAGTACCACAGCTACCCAAAGACATATCGTGGCTTATATATGTACTCCGACATCCTGTTTTACCGAGTATACGATTAGTACGATGTTCAGCACACCTTTTCTGAACAGGCTACTCTTCGACGGGACAACCTCGGTCACCGCGTCTGGATGGGACAACTCAAGCCCACAGCTGCTCACCCACTTGGAAATAATCATCCAATTCGATTGCTAGTCCTTACCTATACGCCAGAGCTCGAGCGTTAGGCGAGAGATCCGTTAGTGACGGCTGAGATGAAATATTTTCGCTTGGTCTGTAGCGACTGGTTGTCACCTGTGCAAAACTCGGTGCGTAGTCCGAAATTCTTCCTACATTTCTTTTCGAGGGGAGCGTATAAATTGGCTAGTATGACATGGAGATAGGTCTGGATAAAATTTGAGGTTTCTCTTTCCATCACATTTGACACGCGTCTTTCGTTGTGGCCCATTCGAGGTCACACCCGACGTTTCTCCATATTCTTTTCTTATGAGCTTTCTGTCTCAAGAAACATCATGATTCACATCCTAGCTATGACTGCGTGCCGAGGCACAGATCCTCGCTCTCCTGTGATAGAAATTCTTGTTCATCGCACAGCAGTGTGGCACCCCTTGGCGTGAATGACGTTTCTTCCTGCTTTAGATGTCCTGATTTTGTCACTAACGGGAAAATTCTTCACTCTTTTTTTTTTTTTCAGAAAACGGGTAGGCTAGTCGAAGTCGCAGTTGTACGGTTGTCTCTGAGCAGTGGGTCATACTTTCGGACTAAGACGACCGATGTTTCCCCAATTACGTGAGCCAATCGTTTTTCGATGATGCCTGCTTGCTATCTATCGACACCCTTCATCATCCTTCTTTCCGAGTGGAAATGACCCGCTGCCCACGATTCCCCGTTCTGCGATCATATAAGGCAGGAACCATAGACATTGTGGTCATTTTCCTGACATGGCATCCAGGACACACTTCAGACTTCCCTCAGGAGTTTCTGAACGATCAGTGAAGTCCAAAGGTTAGATGTGTGCTCTTCTGCCATTGTTTCAGTAATGGGCAAAAATAGCAGATAGATTCGGACTGGAGGTTTCGTAAGTATGACCCCTTCACGGTGGTTCATTAGTAGCTATGCTCATCTGGGCCGCTCAGACACCCTCCCCCTTTCTCAGAATTAATCGCAGGCCATCCTTTTCCCTTCACTCACAACCTACATTATCAGCGTCTCGCATGATCTGGGTTCGGTTTCCTCTACTTTTAGTCTCGAAGTTATCGATCCAACGATATCATTCTCGATTCCACATCGCCCTTCCCGTTCTGGCTTCGTTTCTCATAGTTCCTTCCTGACGTGGTCATGCAGGATCAGCCTTTGCTTTCTTCGATTACCTCTGGCTGAGGATCCCCGGCACACCGAGCCGCTAGGTCTTCTTTTTGTGGATGTCTCTTCCAATATAGAAGCCTCTGGCATGTGGCGAGCTGGGCCTGAACTGGTACTCTAAAGCGACACGAAGCCTGTGGACCCGACCGTATTTTTGTTCCTTCTGTCTCGGTCTTGAATTTGTCCTGAGCTCTTCTATCCACATCCCATACGGTGTTTGGTCCGCCCGACGCCGTGGGGATTATGTCGGGGCGACATCGCTACTGTCTTGAGAACATGCTGCACTTGTTCCTGATACCCTTGGATATACAGATCGCCAGAGATCTGAGGGATTCATCTATTCTGCGTGGATAGAACCAAGAGACTGTATGGTTTTCTTCTCAAGAAAGGTACGAATGAAATACCTATCTTCAGCAATCGATACTTGGCATCCGCCAGCCCTAACTCCTAGTCTCAGGTGTAAGATGCTGGTTACGCTCAAGTCTGCGCCTCGACCTTGACTTATGAGGGTTTAGTATGCATATTATATACCTCTTCACCACTCATGAACTACAACATTATGTGGTCAGCATGTGGATTGTAGCAGGCACAACTAAGTCTGCGTGGACACATACGGTCAAATACTCCTATCATTCAGCTCGAGCGACGTTGTGCTTGTAAGAGACTACCCTTTATTCGAGATTATACTCCAAATAGCCTATGGCTGATTGGGAGTAGCGTTTGACCCTTCCGAACAGAAGCTCTCTGGGACTTCGCAGAGATTGTTACACTCCTCTGCGCAGATGGTCAGATAGTGACCTTCACATTATTCTTACTATCTTCCCTGTCCACGCTCTTCGCTCGTGCTTGACCGTCTGTCCTACCCTTTCCAGACGGTTATATGCCGCACGGTCATCGATCATACATGGTCCAAAGTCGGTGCGATGTTGTGGCTCCGATCGTGCTAATTCTACATCAAGGATGGCGCCTGACCAGTCCGTCTGCACCAGTCAATTATTATCCATTGCCCCTCGTCAGCAATTTGTTCCCATATTGTCTGGTTGCGCAATCTCTCGTCTCGATCGACATGGGAATCAGGCGGATATCAGCCGCTAGAGTTACCCTAGTGTCCGAGAACATAAATCATCGATGCCACCGCAAGCGAGGTATCGGCTACACTTCCACCTTCCTCTCGTGGAGATGAACTTTGCGGCGGGGAAAGCGAGAAAATATGGCAGATCTCGCCCCGCATTCTTGGTGCACACGGGTGCCACCTTCGACCTGAGATTCTCAAGGAGGCTTAGTGGCAACACTTTCTGAAGCAGATGGAAGTTTAGGGTTATAGGGATACAATTCTCCATTTGTCTGGTTCTGATCAGTCATCCCTTCATTACAGCGGACATCTGCGGGGCCACATAACGTTGACATCGCTGGTACATGCCCATCAGAAATACGAAAATAAATCCCATGCATAGCAGTGACAATACAACATGATACAAGCAACAGTGAAAAAGTGTTGGTCCCTACATCCTGGCTTTGATCATCTTCTGCACAGACTCAGGGTCTAACACGCTCTGCGGGTAGGGCAGAGACGTGCTTCTGAGCTGATCGAAAGCTCCATCGACTACGAGGACCTGTCCTGTAATGAAGCTGGCCGCATCGCTGAATAAAAACACGGCTGCATTGGCGCAGTCTCTGACGTCCCCCATGCGTCCCAATGGAGCAGACTTCTCGTACCAGCCTTCGTTCTCGCCACCCTTCGCAGAGAGCCGGTCCATGCCTTCTGTACCCGCGATAGGTCCAGGGGCAATGACATTGGATCTAACCCCGTGCGGCCCTTGTTCGATGGCAAGGACAGCGGAGGTGGCGTCAACGGCTGCTTTAGCGGCGGAGACGTGCACCTGGTATGGCGTGGCTTTACGATAGTAGCAGTATTGCTCACAAATAAGCTCGCTATTCGCTTCAAACAGGAATGGGGCTGACCATGGTAATGCAATGTGGCGCTGACATGAATGTAAGAGCCCTTCGACTTCTGGACATGGGGTAAGGTGGCCTTGATCGTGTGATACGTTCCAAGCTAGGGTAAAACCATGAGGGTAAGCTGAAGCACAGTAAGCTTGAAGAAATTTTCCTTGCCGTATCGATTTCGAGGACCGTGCGGAATGCATTTTCCGACAAACCAGATATGGGAGCAAGGAAGTTGCCGGCGGCACCTATTCTTTGCAAGAACGTTGAACAAGACATGAATCGGAGCGTTCTCATGAAAAGATAGACGTGCCACAGATTACAAAATCTATCTTGCCGAACTTTTCGATTGTTTTCTGAACTGCGTCTTGCACTTGCTTCGGTTGACGAACGTCAGCCTGAAAGGCGACACATGTCCGGCCTGTTGTAGCTGAAAGCTCCTTGGCGGTCTGTGTCGCTTTGTCGAGACTATCGCGACAGAACGCCGTGTGTCAGCGATCGTAGTTGAACTTACAACGTTTGTTTGAGACTCAGCAGAGACGGACGAAGTAAGATGGCTTACTTCCGTCCAACAATAGTCGCATTGGCACCGTGGCGCATCTGTGAAAAGTTTGTATGGTTGAGATAGCACAACTTGAACCAAGAATGAAACGGTAGATTCGAACCACTGCTTCCGTCATCCCACGACAGATCCCGGAGCCACCGCCAGTGCAGAACAGCACTTTGCCCTCAAAGATATCATCCCTGAATATCTTGTTCGAGTCAACTACAGGCTGCGTATAAGATTTATATGACATGGTACCGGTGTGAAGTCGATTGAAGTGGGTAAAGGCTAAGATCGTGAGAGGGCGTCGCATTTGAACGAGACCACGAATCCGGCTATGCTGCTTACCGTACCGAGCGGCCACGTGTACTCGCAGCCTCATGCCACTTTTTTGTGTCCGCCTGTGTCCGCGTTCAACTTGCCAACTTGCCACTCTAACCTTTCGCCAGTCCACTGCTGGCCAGGCAGTTCATATTCACGGCCAGCGCCGATGTGTCCTTGATTTCTGGGGAAATCAAGTGACATACCGGGCCTTCAGAACATGTGAGTGTTATTACGCTCAAGCCATTACTTACCACGTTGAAGGAGTCGTAGAGTTCGTGGGCTCGTCTGACTGCTTTTTCACCAGCTGGACCATCGTCACCGTTGTTTATCTGAGCAGGAAGGATCTATCACCACGAGCATCCAAAGCTCTCATGAGGTGTCGATATTGTCCAGCAGCAAAACGCCTCTCAATTTCGGCACAATATGTGATATGACGGGAATGTCGGCGAGACGTCTATAACTCGGAAGACGCAGAAATCCCGCCTTGTTCGAACTGTTTGTTTTCAGTTTTGTGATCCTTTCATCTCGGCGTAAGGGTACTCATAGCTCACCTTACTCTCACTTCACCCAGTTCACATGTCAGTTCCGACATACGTTGCCTCGTTAATCTGGCCTCAGCGCTCGTTGACTCCAGACTATCGAACCAGTGCTTTGCACCCTTGCACTTCGGATAGGTCCAGAATCTCTCGGAGAATATAAGCCCTGGTGCTATGTCCACGCTTGAAGATCCTTTGCTGGATGCAGGTCGTCCGTCTCGATGGCACATGTCGGTGTCCATGTGTCCCAGCAATCGCAAGGAAGGACACTATTCGCCGCTCTCTCCCCTACTCAGGTTCTTCCAGAAAGCACCCTTATCACCGAGATTACTCTCACCTTCGGACAACCGTACTGACGCTGCCTGTGTCTTTCTAGATCGACGAACAGGCACACGATGCCCAAAATCCTGGATCAGCTACACGTAAAACGTCGCCCATTCTTAGCACTATGGGACATGTCTGTCATATTTGAGTGTGTGGACCAAGGCTTTACGGTCGTGGTTATGGCTCATGGATCTAGCCATAGAATCGTAATATACAACTCGAGGTATTATCGTCCTTTTCGAATATGTGTGTGTCCTTTTTATCGACGTCTTATTCCCAGATACCGCTCGTGGCTGACAAGTGTCAAATCCCGCGCAAAATCGACCAAGTTGACTCTTATCCTCTTCCCACATCCAACTTGGAGCATGATATTATTCTCAACGTTACGCCCTATTATGCCCCGCGCCCACCGCAGTCAATGTGCGTACTGTGAGCGAGGGTTCTCTTCTTTACGATTTGTCACGGGCATATCTATCGGCCATTTTACTAGGAAATGCTGACTCTCCTTTCGGAATTTTGAGGTCCGGCTCATGATAATGCGTGGTTCTCACAGAATTACAGCAGAGGCCGCTATTCTCTCGCGGTCATCTTATATTCGTCTTCAAATGGAAACTGACAGCCTTCCGATGCAACCGACCTGGATGGCGCTCGAGTTCCTATCTCGTGCTTCCAACAGTTCATAACACTCTGTCCGCGTTCGAAAGCTTACAACCGACTTCGTCTTCGCCGCACCGTTCTCTCTCCGCCAGAACCTTCAAGCGTCTTCCCACACAATAATAATGCTGGTAACTTGCTTTCCTACGTGTCCACGGATAGAAGACCTATTTAGGCTCTCCTTCCTGCACGCGCAAATCAGCAGATTTCCGTCGTGGCGCGTAAACAGTTCCAAATATGTCCTGCCAAAGAAGCATTGGACACCATCCGGTGCGCTCTCGAGCTCTCGACCTCCCATGGGTCGTCCGCCGAGAAGCTTCCTCCAGCCAGTCATAGGCACTACCATTGCTTCTAATCACTCACTCCACCGATGCTACCGAACACGCCATGTAGCCTCTTCGAAATACGGGTAACTCACACCTTGTCCCGGAAGGCTCCCTTGTGTCGTTCCCTCCCCCTTGTCTTGGCGCTTCTTTTGGCTTGTTCGTATGCTCACAGAACGTCAGCGTCTTCCTCTATTGGCTTCACGGGTCATGGTCACGAACTTTTACTTTGGGGGCCGTCAGTCTTCAGAGTTGAAGCTTTGAAGGGAAATAACTACGTCTAAGGTGATTTCCTCGCAAGCTTTTCGAGGATTGCTTACACGCAAGCATCTCGCCTACCGAGTTTGGTCTTTGTTCTCCTGGAGCCACCTTGACGACACATGTTCCGGCCCCCATAATTTATTCTACTTGGTTCCTGCTAACGGCGGTCTTTCCCTACTGGGCCATGGTTATCGTGGTATCAGCAGCACTTACAGGAGGCGCAACCAAGATCAGAACCACCCTCTATTTCATGTGCTGTCAACTGACACTACCTCTGTAGATGCAATATAGGACCCGCAATGTCCTCGTCATTTGACCTATGAACAGCGAGATGAAGACGTGGTGTAATGAAATTCAGCGATGACGGATCCGTGGTTTAGACTTTCGGTTTAATTTAGACGGATGCAATACCAACTCTTGCTCGTTCCAGACACGCGCCAGAGTACATCCCATGGTACGTCCATAATCTATCCGCTGTGAAGGGCTCAACGAGGCGAGGCATTCTTGCCACTGCTACATTCTTGAATCACTAAAAATGGACATCAGTTATGATGGGGTTCGATCGACCTGTGTTCTCCGTTTCTTTCTTTGCGTCGTCGGATGTTCAGATAGTTCTCTTTGGGAGCCGAATGGGCTTGTGGCCATATTTATCCCCAAATATAAGGTCCTGCTCTTACGACCAACTTTCACGACATGAAGCAAGCCCTCAGGACGAGCTCGGTTGTCTTCTAGACAGCACCCAGAGTCTTCGCTCCCGAGCGCAGACAGTGCACTGGTCCTTGTCAACCCGATAGCGTCGAATACATCTTCTCAACCCTCCCTCGGCGGCCTCTCTACCCCATTCTGTCTGTCGTATGACGAACGTGGTCTTGTGCTCGCATATCACGACCACAACCAAACTCTGCTGCCGCCGCGTTGGAGCCGATAGAACACCGAACTACCGAATACCGCAGGTCTTCTGGTGGCTCAGGCAGAGGAAGTCTCGGTCTGGCTATGTCTGGGAATACTGCTCTGATGCGACACAGCAGCCACATGTCCGGTGGCGATGGGGGTAACTCATGGGGTCACAGGACACACCGCTTTGTTTCTGTGGCGGTTACGAGAATTTTTGGTGTGCTCCATGCAGTGACAATGCGAGGGCAGCGGCTGCGTTGTCTGGTCTTCCTCTTCGAGACGTTCTTTGATCCGTCAGCGTCCAATTTTCTTTTTTCCCGTCAGAGCTCGTGTTTGGCTTTGGTGTTCTCTCCGAGATGTCCAATCGTTGTTTGACGCTCGAATGACCTTCTTCTCTTCCATTTACTCGATGATTAGAAGAAGCATGATAACGTTGTTGACGTTCTGCAGATTATACATTCGTCGATCCTGCAATGTGTCAATCAAAATACCAAAACACGCATTTATTCATCATAAGTTTGAGCTTTGCCTCTCCCTGATCTGATGGAATTTATCGCGGGACTGACGGCCGTTGACTACGTGCGCTCTCTCATGTTGTTTCCAAGACGTATTCGACACAACATGCGCTCTTATGGAGTTTCACTGTAATGGTATATACCGCGACTCGAGAAACATGGAAGAAGCGGTGACTTGAGAAATGGCATCCTCAATTTCTTCAGATATCCACAGTCGCCCGAAATGGCCGCGCTCGACAAGATCCCAAGCCTGAAAACGATCACCGACCCGCTCACCTCAGGCCACAAACAGCAACCCCACCACCCACTAAGTCCAACAAATTACCCCAAAGCCGAAGAAGCTCAAGAACGATCGATATTTCTACCTCCGCTCGGTCGGTCACACCTTCTTCCTTGAACTTTGAAGTTCCTTCTTTCTTTCCAAATGCTCAAAAAGGAATACTCCTGTCCAAATCCGGCGACACGGGCTGGACTTGGTACGCTGCTTCCACTGGCGCCGTCCCACCCTCTGATTCTCAGTACGCTGGCAACTTGACACCATCTCCGTTCTAAGTGGCCTCCTTCCTCCTCCTCCTCATTTTCCTCCTGCACTACACAGACGAAGGTCAGCACATACCAAAACTGGAAACATCCTACATGTCTACATGCCTTCCTACTCGAGGCAGGATAATCAAAATACCCGCGCCCTTCATTTCAACACCTGTACGTACGTCTAACAACGATCGAAATTCAACCCCCGCGAACCTCAGAACGTTCATCTTCATCCTCATCTTCGCCGTACTTTCATAACGTGAACGAGATCGCCGCCCCGGCCTCCTGCCCTATGTAGAATGAATGATCGCAGTGATAGTGATAGAACAGAACGCGTCGTATAGCCTACAAACAAGGACATCCAACTAAGTATAGCATCCACTGACACACCCTCAGACTCGCGTCCTCGCGTCCTCGCATCCTCAGGCTCACGCACTCTAAAAATCCCTGAGAACAACCTCGAGTCCACCTATAGCTATCTACCGAGTCCACCTATAGCTATCTACCGTGTCCACGAACGTGGAACGCTCACTATAGTCTATAAGTGTAAACCAACACCAAGGATCCAAAACTAACCAACTTACATACATGGCTCGGATAGGGATGGCGATACCTATACCCTGATCGCTAATCTCGAACCCTAAGGCCTAAGTTCCAACGGCGAACAGCGAACGACGAACGGCGAACTCCCTTTCCTCTCACTCGCACGCACGCCCGTCGACAAAGACTAAGAACCAAGATGAACGTGGAACGTACGGATGCTAACTTAGGTTCCGGAATGAACACTGACTAACTAACGAACGAACAAACGACGATGAGCGTGTAAATTGACAATATGCACTTTATCGATTCGAGTTCTCAACATCGAACAACACTACAACTGACTGACTAACGAACGAACAGACAAACAACAGACACTGAGACAGCTCGGAGGCAAAGAAACGAAGACTATAAACACAATTTTTGAATAACGAACGAGCGAGTGCGACGAACAGACAGGAACGGATATGTACGATCATGATGAGGGCAGTGCAACGGAGACAGAGACGGAGATGGGACTGAGACAGAAAGAGACAGGGACTGCAACTGAGAGGGAACGTGATTTGGGTTTGTATTGTACCATGTACCATAAACATAATGCATGTCCGACGACGACGACGATAACACATAATCATAATGAAAAACAGACAAAGGAATGAATGATACAGCTTGAAGGCAAAATAACAACTGGCAACAACAACAAAGGCACAACCGACGGCAACAACGGGGCAGGCAACGACAAGAAAACAGGCAAACGAAACTGAAAACCAGTGGGACGAAGGAAAGGAACGATCGAAACTCGTGGCGAGGACGAATGGTATGCAGAGTATCGAGGATGCATAAAGTAACAAGAAAGGAGAAAGAGGATTAACTGACCAATATTTAAACCTCGCTTTTTCGTGTGTGAGCTGCAAACGAGACGACGAGCGAGGGTTATCGAGTGTTCCACCCCCACCTCCACCCTACGCCAAACCTAAACATACGGATACCTGCCACCCGTCACCGGTATCATATGCGGCGTCCTCGACGGCAACATCGAGGTCTGCAACAACTGCGAATGATGATGATGCTGCTGGTGCTCCCTCTGGCTTTGATAGCTGCCACTCGTCGGGTGAGAATTATGCACGCCATAGCTCGGCGTATCATACTCGGCCGCACCCCCTCCCCCTCCAGCTCTTCCGTATGCCGATCCGTTAGCGATCGGAAGCGGCAACTGAGCAGCAGTCGAAAAATACGCCTCCGGACTCGCCGAATTCGACGACGCGCCACTGCTATGGTATTGCGGCGGCGAAGGAGGCCCAGTACGTCCGTCTGGGAAGAAGGGCGCGGAGAGCGTCGGGAGAGGTTGATGAGAGTAGGACTGAGAGGATAGGTGCGAAGAGGCGCTGGATGCGGTGGGGGAGGGTTGCGAGGCGGTGCTGGTGGACCAGGGGCGGGAGAGGTGCGAGTGTGAATGGGGAGGGGGAGTGTAGATGTCGAGCTTCGAGGCTGAGAGGGCGGGTAACGAACGATCATTGCGACCGCCGCCACCAGGACCACCACCACCGGTGTTAAGTGGTGTGATCATGCTGGGCGGCCATGCTGTACTCGCCCCTCGAGTCTGGTTAGCCCCTCTAGGCGCGGAGGGGAGCGGCCACTGGTAAGCGTGCACGCCGAGTTGTTCAGAGAAGAGCTGAGAGGGGGGCATCTGCGAGGACTGGCTGGAGTAACCGGCATGGCTGGTCAAGTCCCCAGAGGACGAATGTTGCGATGTGCTGCCGGATAAGGAGCCCTCAGATCCAGAGCGGTCGTGCACGCTCGGGAGCTGGATGACTCTGTTCCCGCCGGAGTGGGAGAGTTGACCATGCGGATGGAGATCAGAGGAAGACGAGTAGGACGAGTAGGAGTGAGGGTGGTGGTGATGGTGGGAGGAAGGGAAGCCCTGGCTATCTTCGTACGCAGCGGACGAGAGCAAGCCGGTGCGGCTGAAGGTAAGGTCGCGTGGAGAGTGATTCACGCTATCGTCGTCTTCGACGGGACTGGGGTAGTCGAACTCGTGAAAGCCCGACATCTCATCGCCGGCGTCAGCTGACGGGCTGCCGTCGAGCATAGGGTGAAGAGACGGATCTGGCTTGCGCTTCTTACGGGAGTTGTTCGGACGACGCCTATAGACGTAGTCCGGATACTTCGCGTTGAAGTTATCCTTGAGCTTCTTCGCCTGGTCGAGGAAGTACTGTTTGTCTGCCTGTGGGGGAGTTAAGCGGTAAGTCAGACAGGGGAAAATTAAGGTGAGGTGGGGGAAAGGCGACTGGCCATTTCCATGGTGTTCCACTCCTTGCTCAGAAGCTTGCTTATCTCCCCCGTGCGCATCATCTGGTTCTCGGCGGATACCTGAGGACGCCGTTTGCGCGCGAAGATCATGAAGGCGTTCATGGGCCTCTTCGGCGTGCCATCGGAGTTGAGAGTCTGCGCAGTGAGCCTGGCGTCCTCTGCAGCCCGCTGTGAGAATGCGAAAATAAAATGGAGCGACGAATCACTGACCTGGAGATTCATGCGATAATTGTTTGGCGTGATGGACGACGCGACTCGAACTTGGGTCGGAGTCGGAGAAGGCGAGGTCGTGACTGGGTTCGATTATGTCGGCATCTTCCGAGAGGTGGTGGGCGGGGCGCTTGAGGGTGTAGCGGGCGTTCATGGCGGGCTACGACGTTGTGGACGGTGAGCAGGGCAGCTAACGGTCGTGGTGGTCGCTAACGAAGAGGGGGATGTACGAGTGGCGGACGGGTGAGCGGAGTGATCGGGGCGGGAGGACTACAAGTTGAAGTGGAGGACGGGAAACTATAAAGGGACGGATTGGGCGTGTCGCCTTTGTAGTTTCCGTGAGGCTACTGCTCAGCCGGTGATGCCCCCGCGCCAGGCTAAGCTCGATGCGACCCTCGCTCGCCTTTTCTCCCGCCCGAAAATGACTCAGTTCCTTGATCTTCTGCGCACCACACGCCCCGTCCTCCTCCCGCGGACGACACTCCAGATCCCATCTCACCCTCCCATCCCACTCCGATCCCACTCCCCCACGCTCCCCCTCGCCTTCCCTCGGTCGCCATCGCACCGTCGAACCGCTCGGCAACTTACGGCGCTTCGATTCCCTCTTCCCTCCATCCCAAAAAATCACCGAAGACCCACCGTGGCAGTCGCCCAGTCCGGGCGACGAACGTGAACCAGTCTGCCAGCTACCCTCTGGCTGGCACCCGCGCTGATTCGACTCTTTTGCTAAATAAAGCCTTATTTATCCTGGCCCTCTATCCCTTTGACAACTTGGCGTCTCGTTTCTCCGTGGGGCTGCCAATGACGGCGGACCAAGGGCTTTGAACTCGAGATGCCGTCTTATGAACTGGCTGGGCTTCGCGGCAACGTCGCTGTCTTCGAAATTTACCTTTCTGAATTAGATCGTATTTGCCATCTCTCTTCCCCGACGTCTTGCCATCTTCTTGCATACGTACGGAGATCTGCCATGCTAGCTAGCGAACACCTTACCCTGCCGCAGACGCTCTCGCGTTCCTAGATCTCTGATATATCCCGACTGTCGGATATTTGCATGCTCGGGTTCAGGTTTTGGACACCAACCCAACCCAACCCAAAGCAGATCTGTGACCTCTTCTCCTTTCGTCGACCCAACAACGCCAACGCAAGTCCCCGTCGTCCTCAAGCGCCTCAGGCTATAGCGGTCCACACTGCACGAAACTTGTGATCACTCCATCTGACCACAAAGAGGCCTTGGAGTAGCCGACGTACGTACGTTCTGTGCTGGCCTCGCCTCTACATCTCAGAACTTGTGTCGCTTGCACCTGTGTCGAGCTGGTGCTGGTACTGGCGAGCAAGAGCAATGAAATCATCCTTTGTTCTGGACAGCCTCCGTCCCTGGGACCAGATGGATCTATCATACATACATACACACATCCTCATCTCATGCATATCGCATATCGCCATGTGCACGAAGAAACCGCATCGCCCGCGCAGCAGGCCCTTTCGCAGATCAAAGCTCCCGCTCAGGGTCCTTCGGGTGCCTTCGAGTTCTGGTCATGTTCTGATATGTACGACGATCTGACTTCCTTTCGACGGGAAGCGCAAGCGAGATGAATCGTTTGTGGACTGCTCGAGAATGTTCCTGTGTTTCCGCCGGTAGGTAAGAATAAGGTTGCGGTTGCCGCTGGTCTGAAATTCTGACAGAAAACATATGTTTATGACTTGCTAGCTGGATGGCTCTGGTCTCAGTAGCGCTTGTCTGTTTGTCTGCATGCTCGCGCTACTGTAATCACCAGTCATCATGTAAGTATTAGCCTTGACGCCTCCAAGATACCAACTCCGAAGTCGCGACGTCGGACGACAGCAAATGCCAATGCCAATGCCAACGCCAACGCCACGGTAACACTGATATCCCATCAAGCGTGGTGCACTGTGCGTATCCCTGCATAACTCACAATATCCTCCACTACTTATTCGCCTTCGCCTCTTGGGTCTGAATCTTAACTAGTGACTGGCAGCTAGTAGTAGTAACTAGCGATTTGCTCTCGTTCAGACCCTTTGGAGCTCTGCGCTTATGAACTATGTAATGGTCCAAAGAAATGTAACCTGGTGTAGTCTCCCTCCATCCATGCATCCATGCATCCATCATCCCTGCTCTCCGTCAAAGTCCCGTTGCACATACACATATTCCGTCTATCCCTCCGTCCGTACGCGTCCTCACGGCTCCGGTACTACACATCCCCATCGGACGTGTACATCTCCCGTCTCAGTGTCAGTCCCAGTCCAAGTCTCAGATCCCGCTCTCTACTGTCCCCATACTTGTCTTTATCACAATCACACAATTCCCGTCGTGGTTTCATGCATCAGATTCGAACGGCACTTGCCAGTAAGCGACGATGAGTAGGATGATAATAAGGCTCGCAAAGGTCCGCATCAGCATCAACGCATCAAAAGAAGTTGGACGAGAGGCCAGGGTATCGTCGTGATTGAGGTGCGTGCATGCATCAATTATTATTTATTGTCAAACACAACAAATTTTCAGGGAGCTTTTAGGTTGGTTGCAGCCTGGGGGCTGTACGACCACTGCAGCACGCAGAGTTTTCGTACCGACGAGAAGAAGGTACTGAGGTAGCTGTACATGCGTACCTATCAAATATGTAACTTACTCTCCACCACAGTTGTTACCGTACCCTCCATCCCAAACTCGCCTACGAGTTATACTTTGCGGTCATATCTGGATACACTGTGACCGTAGCCTCGTAGCCCCAGCTGGAGTCTTGCACCGGACGCCCACCTATCCTACCCCACCTATAATTAGCGATGAAACCTGCACCATGCACAGTGCGACTTGGTTCGTGGTTGATGGTTCGTCTCGAAGGGGGTAGCAGATAGCACAGCAGTCGTACTAGTAGGGGATCGGTGCTACAACTTGAACGCAACACACCACCACCACCACCACCTGCAGCTGCATGACACGCGTTCTGTCAGGCGTCAGTAAGTACGTGCTTCTTCATCCCCATTTCTCCAGAACGTGATGGACGATCTAGAATTGCGGACCCTACATAAGAACTTTGTTCAATGTATGCGGATGCCAGTGACGGATGACGTTGCGTGAGGTAGCGAAGAAGGGGAGCTTAGTTGGAGTGAATTTATGTCCTGTCAGCCCCTGTCCTGTCCTGATGCTGTATTTGGTCTTTCGAGTGCCACTTACGTAGAGTAAGTAGACTGGTCCCGATTCCCCTTCGAATGTCGATCGGGCCTGGTTTGACCTGCTTCGGGGAGGCGTAACAACTTCAGCATTCCAACCTACCGCACCTTGTCCCGATGCAGAAGGCGCATTGCCCTACTTCCCGATCGTACTCGGCAGCGGCACACCACATGATGGCCAGGATGCTGGGAGAACGGAACTGGAATGCGTACGCGTACTTCCATTTGTGTAAACAATGGTATGTACAGCACCTGCGTCGGCATCAGTTGCGAAGAATACGAATCAAACTTAAGAAACTCAAGATTCTCGTTACGAGTACAGTATTGTAACATAGCGCGACAATCGTTACAGACAGAAGAACCAGAGCATCGAGCGACGAGTCCTCTCCGTTCCCCGTCTTCCGTTCTCTGTTCTGCATTCTTTTGATCTTCCCAAAGAGGCATACTCTCGATCGTAGAACAAGGGGGAAAACCAGGACATAAACTGACAGTTCATAATTCGCGTTTGCTCGGTCCCATAGTCCATCGTGTTATGAAAGAAGGTGCGAGCTCTGAGCTCAGATCGAACTTCGAAGGCAATCGGGCACATCGCATCCAGGTCAAAAGGAGAACAGAGAACATGCACAGAACAGCGACGGTAACCATTCTGTCCCATTACCACCGTCGTCGTACTGTACCCATCTGTCGGGCCGAGCGTACATACGCGTACGGAAAGCAGGCCATGTACAGAGGCCATAGCCGCTGAGATGAAACGAACCATGGACATGGCAAGTTCCACACTCCGCTGCGCTCGCACCGACCAACTCCGACCAAACAAACCAAAGTCGTAACGGTACGGCAGCGTTAACTTCATTAAGCACAGTTAAGGGCAAAGCTGACCCGTTGCGTCGTTATGTAGTCGTCCGCACTATGCACGCACGCCTGTCGTGGACTAGTAGTTCGCCGTTCGCCGTTGGCCGTTCGCTGTGTTCGTATCAGTCACATCAGTGGATCAAACCTTTCCGAGGCGGGAGGGAGAGGGTGGACGTCGAGAGAAGGGTGGTCTAAACGCCGCACGGAACGATTCGGATGATGGATGGATGGATGGATGGATGGGATGGCTTGGGATATCGATCATAGTGGAGGATGTGACCCTTAGTACAGTGCATAAGTACATACATGATATGCTCCCCTTCATCTCATCTCTCCGGAGCTCGAACGCAGATAATACGGTATCATTGTCAGCCGGCTTCGTTCTTGACCCATGGACCATCCAACCTTAAAAAATTCGTCGACGAAACCGCGAACAGGTAAGGGAAGGCGAGAAGTGACCCACATAGCCGAAGGGGCCACCATGATGGAATCAGACGCTGGGACGTGATTCCTCCCTTGCGACCCTGCACCTGCAGCCCCTTCTCCTCCCCTGCACACTCTAAACCTGTCTCTCGAGGAGCATCAAGAACGAGAACGCGCGCACCATGAGGAACCAAAGACGTTTGGACGTTGGACTGAGCTGAGAACGCGGATGGGAAGGATGCGGCGAGGACGGAGGAGATCATGGAGCGAGCGGGGTGTGTACGACACTGTGGGTGTGGGCGTTACTGTCGAGGAGCTCGTTTTGTACTAGCCTCTATAAACGCGGGAATGAGGACGAGGTGGGGGACGCGAATGGCAGGAGTTTACCTCAAGGCAAAGACTAGACTCGTAGGACGTATGTTTGATAGGCCCCTTCTCGGCTTGCAGGTTCACCGTCACTTCGACAGACAGCGGTGAAGTAAATTGGAGCCTGGACAATGGAAAGGACGTCAACATGTAATGCGAACCGATGTTGTCGGGACAAAAGCGCACCCATGACCAGTCGTGACCCTGTCATTGCCTACCTGCACCCCACCAAAGCCATCATAATCATGACGAACAAACAACGACAGTTCTATCGGAGCACATCGAACCCATCTCAACGCGATCCCAGAATACTCCCCCGATGTTGCCAAGACCATACCATGAAAGATCGGCGGTGGTATCCAGAGAGACCGGGGCAGCATCAGTATCAAGCATCTCTTCTAACGGGCGGAGTATCAGGCTGAGAAGCCAAAAAACAGCCTCAGCGCTGATTCTGCACAATATCATGATAGCAAATGAAGCGGAGCCCTAAATAAAGATCACGGCAAGGAAGACATGGGCTCACCTTTCATCGCCATCTTTGTCCAAACTCATACTAATTGCCAGTCGTTGACGTCGTGTCCTATCGTAGGAAGCAAGTCCAGATACCCATCAAACGCGAGTATGATCGGACCAGCAATGTAGCCTCTGAAACAAAGACATCGCACGCAGTGTGGATCGTCGTACTTAGGCTCAGACGCCTTCGAGGAAGCATCAACGACCGATGTGCTGATACCGTCGTCAAATCGATTGCGCAGTGCGCCTGGTAGTGGAGCATCACAGAGGATGATGATGCAAAAACGTGAGGAAAGGGGAGATTAAAGGTGGAAGCAAGCAACGATCATGGACATGAAAAACAGGCGCGGCCACCGAATTAACAAGTGTCAGTGAAGATTTAACCCAAAGGACGGAAGAGGGGCGGTGAAGATCAAGTGAGCATGAGGAGTGTCTGGACGGTGGGGCGGCTGGGGTTAGAAGGCGAGCAAAGAGCGCGCTTATATACCGTATATTAGAGAGAAGAGCTTCGCCTCGGAGACTCGGTCTTGTCGAGACTTCGCGAAAGTGAATACAGTTGCATCAATGACATAGAGATTTCGCCGAGAGGAACACACTCCAAGAAGGAAGAGAAGTCAACATCGACGTGCATCGATAATATATTGGTTTGCGCCAAGGAGCGAAGATCAGGGCAGGGTTGCGCGCATGCTGCGCGAAGAGGACTGCATACAGAGTGTATGAAGTCATGGTATCGCCGCATGTTCTGGAGGTGAGCGTCAAATATATGTATGTGGCGTCGCCCATGTATGTCCATGATGGTGCGCCGGCATTCAAAGCATTAGAACTGCAGAAGGGCCCACTTCTGTATTGATGCGGATATCACCTCGGATGTAAGCGCTCCAATGTTTCAATATGAAGTAGGAACATACATACGACTTCTTCGAGGTATTCAATCGTCGAGGATCAGGTTCTGAAGCACAAATACTTGACGAATAAGATCAAACCTAGGCCTGCGAGAAGCGTCGAATCGACGATCTTGTAGGATCAATGCGCCGTAGCTATGTCCATTCGAGGCAGACATGAAGTCATAACCAAGCCTTCTTTATGAAGAAGGACATATCAGAGAAGACCGCAGATGAATGGCGCGCGAGGTGATGAGCAATCCGAATTTGGAACTTGTATAACTTTGTCATGTGTTATTTGATTATTTGGACTTCAGACTACTTCAGAAGGATCGTGAGCTGAAAAGGGAGAAAAGAAACACAGTAAATCTGCAACCCGAGTGCCGACGAGCTATTCGCTCACTCACCGTAATATCCAAGCGATATTCGTCGCCTCGTTCGAACACATGAGCAAAGGTTCGAACTCGTTCGCTGCCGGAAAAGGAGCAGAAAAGTAAGCCTAAGGACCTTTTACGCGTTAGACCGGGTGCCTTTCCTCCCTAAAAACATACCACAAAGTCAATCAGGAAGCATCTTTCCATGTCTCTCCGTCTTCACAATTGAAATAGCGAAGCTTACCGCTCGGCTGGAAGCTCTGTTCGAGCACAAGATGGTCATTGAGCGCCCGAGGCCGAACATCCGTGAGGACAAACGTCGCCACTCCGTCAGAAATGAATGGGTGAAAGATCAACTTACTGACCCATGGGGAGGATCCGATGTCTATCAGCGTGAGTGCTCGGAACGTTTCCCCGCCAGAAGTGGGTATGAAGGCGGATCGCTTCTTCCGCGACATTTCAATGGACAAAAAAGTCAACATCATACCTTCCAACCGTGGGGTAAGGGCCGAAAGTGTGAGAGCGCAGGACTACATTGGTCCGTAGAAGGCCGCGGACGACCACCCGTTTCCTGGGAGGAGGACGAACGGATTGAGCGATGGAGAGTCGAATGACGACGTCACTACTCGTCTGTTTGCAATGTTCTCAGAGGGCAATAGCACGAGACGAGCCGTCGACGATGAGATTAGGAAACAAGGTGCTAAAGCGGAAGAGGGCGCTGTCGCATGAATAGATGAAGCAAACGTCGTACGGAAGCCTCGGCGAGGTGGGATGCCCTTTACCTGAGGTCCTTTCGTGTCGAGGTGGTCACAACGACATGAGGACTTATTACGAAAAACAGGGATGGGCTCGGCACGTCTGTTCCCAGTGTCAATCAACGCCTGTTCTCTTCTGCCCAAAGGAAGAAGGCGCCATGCTTGCTCCAGATAGTTTTCGAGAATAACTAAAGTGAAAGGACCCTGATGGAGAGAATAGATGGTGAGTTACAAGAGCCAATGAAGGCGCAACAGGAAGCACCTGGAGACCATAACTCTAATGCAGAGAGTGGGTTGATGTGTCACCGAACGTAAGTTAATAACGAAGATACTTCTTCATTTTAGAGGAATCCCGTTCAGCATGGGCAGACCGACGTGAAGATGGAGGAAGACCTCCAAAGTCGCGTAATAGGTAAAAAAAAAAAAACGAACAAACAAAAGCAGTTGAGAACAGACGCGAAAGTTTGTCCAAGGCCGCATTGTTCCTTCCTAGACCGGTTCGGCAAAGATCAAATAGACAGTTGGCTCCGTCACAGTCCATCTAGTTCTCGTCTCGTCTGCTTCGGGAAAGCAAGGAACCGGAGGAGGTCATTATAGCTCATTCACAATGTGTGTGGGATGAACAAACGCGGTTTGTTACGCTAAGGTAAGATTTACGGACGTGGATTTCTGGTGAAGAAGAAACCCTCGGAATAGCCACGATCAGGCCCCGAGAACGGAAAACAAAGGTGCTCTTGGCAGTTCCATGTGTGTTCACAACATATTTGGTGTGAATGAGAAATGCGCGACCTAGAAGGGGCAGACCCTGGTCAAAACTTGATCCATAGTGCGAGAACATTGCGCGCAAACGAGAATGGATACGCGTCACCAGAAAAAGGGGAGACACACAACTGCGAAGGTGACATTGAGGGCTCGAGCTGAATGATGTAGCTTGTGAAGGAATGCTTCAATGCCAAGGACATCTTCCGATGAGAAAGGTAATAAGAATAGTACAAAATAATACTCACCTCGGAACTTGAGCTTGAAGGCCATTGGTTTAGACATCTTTATAGCTGCCGTATGTCCGCCGAAGTTGAGAGGTGCACATTGGGATACTATGTATGTCCCTCAGGGCCAGCAGAAAGGAATATGTTAGCTGTTACTCCTGTAAGCTATCCACAGTTCCCGGCAACAATCGCTGCTGCTCTCTGTTGGGGTGTGATGGTGTACAAGCGCTCCCTGCTAGCCCCTATGCTCCGAGGAGTATGAGTTTACCTTGACAACGAGCAGAGGGTACATACCGAAAGAAACCACGCATCCATCGCAGTGGCGAAGACGAGGCGAAGAATAAAGCGTGCGTGAGCCCCACAAGTTGCAGACCCGCCGTCAAGTCCGAGCGGTTTGCTCTGCCGATTCTCAGCGCGTAAGGAGAGATGTGTCCCATCATGACAAGCATACAAGACATCCTGGAAGCCCTCAGAATACTGCTTGGGGTTTCACCAAGTCATCTGCACGAAGACGTTGCTCGATACAAGTTGGAGAAGGAAGACAAGGGAAAGAAAAGGCTCGAAGTGGGCTCGTCGCGGTCACATTTCATTTTCCAACTCCGCGGAACGTGTGCGCTCGGCTCCGAAGTCCCGAAAGCAACCGGGGCCTGCCGCATTTGAGCTTGAACTCACACCTCCATCATTTCTGAAGCCTTTGTGGCGTTTTCTCAAGCGTCTCGATTCTGATACTACTCTCTCTCTGGTCTTCTCTGGTGCAGTATCGGATAGAATATTTCTAGACATGCCAGCAACCTCAGGGGGACTTGCTGAACTGGTCGTCAGTCGACCATCTACTCTCTGATCTTGTTGAGCTGGCTGAGGGAAAGCATCAAGCTGCACACTGGTTTGCCCTCACATCATAAACCACGACTATCAGTAAGTACTATGCGAGAGCATCTCCATCCTGCACGAGGTTTAGTCTACATGGGAAATTTCGTTCTTCTGAATCAAACGCCGTCAGACTGAGGGAAAGCGCTCCCTCAGCGCGTTTCATGGGAACAAATATCCACGCAAAAGGTGCTCCCAATGTTACCGCATGGGAGGTAACGTGCATAGTTTGCCAAGCCAAACAAACTTTTGATGAGCGTTGGGCACCCTACGGCCAATTGGCCCCCTTTGGCATTCCTTTCTACTTGGATGCCGTCGAGGTAAGTCCCAATTTACTTGCCGTAGGAATTACCGCCTCTTTGCGGTTGTTCCACGTCATAGCGTCACTCGAAGCGCAAAATAGGTGAGAGTCCATCATAGAAAATGACATTGACCTCTCGCTGAACTTCACGCGAATTGTGTAGTATGTCCTCGGTTTCACAGACTGCGTATTCTTGTTGGCAAAAAGTTCTCTTTTATCTCGCATAGGTCGTTATTTACGGTCAGTATGTGCAACCTCCTTGAAGTTGGCTGTCTCAATGTTTCGAAGTGCGAAGACAGTCGTTTGCTGACTTTAGAACTTGACCGTGAACAATACCACCATCTGCAAAAATACTTATATGCCTCTGCCTGACGGTGGTCGAATCCTCTTTATTTCGCAATGCCTTCTCTTCCACGAGAATCTCACTCGTACTCCCACGAAAGCCGTCCATCGGATCCGCACGGCTCTCCAAGACAGTGCCAAGTGCACCAGGTATTGGCCAAGACGCTGTCCCCGGTCAAGCCAAGCACTTTGAACCATTGACTGCTTCACTGGCGTTTGTTTCGGTCGCAGTGCCATCTCCACTTACTAGTAAGTCCTGTACCTTGTCATGAAGAGCTGTGAACGGCTAATTAATTGCCTCAGTCCCCCGCCTTGCCACATGCATGCTGTAACTAGCCACGCAGCTTGACATCGCCGTAGTTCTCAATGTTTTTCGACGTGTCGCCGCCCACGCTATACCCAAGTGGCTCCTGGTGAGTGAGCCCCGGTCCAATCCTGACGGATACCTTATGGTTGGGTACTCGGGTAGCACTCACGTCTGATCCCAATGTTGAATTATCAATCGAAAATTCACTCATCCATTGAATGGCCTATGCCAGCGAACTACACAAGCAGGGAGAGCAACTTTTCCAGGATATGGACTATAAAGACTCTTGCCAAGTGATATCCAAGGTCCAGAACGCACTGCACAAGCCAAGTTCCAAGCAACTCCAGCATGCATTCTACCTTCCTTTCCTCGGTGCTCTCTGCGCTGGCTCTTTCTCGCTTGGCGAGTGGCGTTGCGGTGAACTCTTTGAGCCGCCGTGCAACGAAGGCGGTCACTCTCGACATCGTCAACACCGAGTTGGCTCCTGATGGGTTTTCGAGGAGTGAGTCCTTGAATTCTACTTTCAACTAGTTTAACATTCAGCTTACGGGAATATTCAGGCCTCGTCACTGCTAACGGAACGTCAGTTGCACACTCAAACTTTCTTCGTTCATTTTCCTGACAATCAACCCCACAGTTACCCCGGTCCTCTAATTACCGCTACCAAGGGAGACACCCTCGTCGTTACCGTCAACAACCAGTTGGTAAGATAACTTCACTCTGCCTACCTTTATGAGTTGATCTAACTGTCATTGCATTAGACGGATACGACAATGCGTCGTAGTACCTCCATCGTGAGCTGCTATGTAGGCTATACAAAGCGTCAATAGACTGACGCATTTTGATCTACAGGACTTCGACGGCATCTTCTTCGGCACTGAAAATTCCTACGACGAGGGTACTCCTTTCGTCACTACATGCCCAATTGGGCCAAACGCCACCTATACATACGAGGTACCACTCATCAACGACCAGGTATGCACACCTCCATACTTCGTACGGAATACTTTGCTGAGATTTTCCCAAAAGGCTGGAACCTTCTGGTATCACTCTCAGTTGAGTGTGCAGTACAGTGATGGTCTCCGTGGCCCACTGGTTGTCTATGGTACATTTCATCTTTTGGCCTTCTTGTAGTGCGTGTTTATTGATGGACTCACAGATCCTGAGGACCCACTGCTCGACCTGTACGATGTCGATGGCGAGTCAACGGTGAGCAGAGCTCCTGCTTCCCGCCGGCCTCACGCTGAACAGTGTTGACGTTCAAAGATTATTCAACTCGGAGATTGGTGGCACAACGCTAGTGTTGCTCTCCTCACGGGCTACGTCGCCACCGGTATCGTCCCGTGCGTATATGCCGCGTATACCATATTGATAGTAAGCTCATAACACGTTTGTTCTTCTCTGAAGAGTCTCGGACAGTGGTACCGTAAACGGGGTCGGACGCTACAACGGCGGCCCAGAGGTTCCCTGGTCCGTGACCACCGTCACTCCTGGTCTCCGCCACCGTCTCCGCATCATCAACCAGTCCATGCGAAACGTATTTACCTTCTCCATCGACGGACACAACCTTACCGTGCGTTGGCTTCTGCTTTTATGATAACTCGTTTTGATTGTGACTTCTGGACTTGCAGATTGTGGAGGCCGACGGTGTGGCCACTCAACCATTGGTCGTTGATGAAATCGAAATTCTCGCTGGCCAGCGCTACTCTGTCATTGTACGTCTGTATTCTATTTTCTTGGGGTATTCCCAGCTAACAAAAGTGTCTAGCTCAATGCCGACCAACCCGTTGACAACTACTGGATCAACGCTCCGTAAGCTCCCTTTCGTAATATCCTGCACATCCCTAGAAACTCATGTCTCTGTATAGCTTCGTCGGTGGCGACCCCACTCGTAACCTAAACCGTGGGTTACTATAACATCGTCTATGAAAGCGTTCTCAAGTATAATTGTAGAAAACGCCACCCTTTCCCGCGCCATCTTGCGTTACACTGGCGCTAACGAGAGCGACCCCACTGGTCCGCTGACTCTCGGTCCCGCCAACGGCACTGCTCTCGTTGAGGCTGACCTCCACGTATGTACCTCCATGTCCTCTCATTTTCACTGGACTCATCTCGTCCCATTATGTAGCCCCTGATTGCTAGCCCCGTGAGCTACTGCGAACCAGCCGATTCTGAAAACGAGTACTAACTATACCGTGTCTGCAGCCACCCGTTCCCGATGTCAACATTTCCCTCAACCTCGTCGTCGTACGCATCTATTGTCTCTTACTTAATCCACGACCTCTCACTGACTTCATTGCAATCAGACCACCGGCAAGGCTCAATGGAACGTCAACAACGTGTCTTACCTCCCCCCGGATGTCCCCACTCTCATTCAAATCCTGAACGGTGCCAACGACACCGCGGACTTCAACGTCACCGAGAACACGTTCGTTCTTCCCGCTAATAAGACGATCCAGATTGACTTCCCTGCCAAGTAAGATCAAGTTTCTGGAATGTACGATTTGTATTCCTTCGAGCTAACATACCGACGATATTATTTAGCGATGATGATGAGGCGCATCGTAAGCATCGTACTACTTATCCTGTATCCTGATTATCTGGCTAACATATGAGCATCTCCCAGCCTTCCACTTGCACGGTGTACGCTTCTCCCTTGTCGTCCATGTTATACATAAGGCTAACCAAGATCTCTGTACTGCAGAACAACTTCTGGGTCATCAAGTCCAACAGCTCCGATGTTGTTAACACCGTTGATCCCGTTGTTCGTGACGTCGTCGGTGTCGGTGCCGCCGGAACTACCCTCAGGTAGACCTCATTTATTCATCTCCCACACGCGTGAACATTTGCTGATTATTCACTCTCTGATCTATTCAGGTTCAGGACCGATAACCCTGGTACGCCCATTTCTCCCTTTTCCGGACCCTCTATCCCATAGACTAATCATCCTCCGAATGATGTTCAGGCCCCTGGTTCTTCCACTGCCACATCTTCTGGCATATGCAAGCCGGTCTCGCCACCGTCATGGCCTCCGGCCTCGATGACACGCGCGCTGGAGTGCAACCAGATGATGAATGGTCGAATTTGTGCCCGAGCTATTTCTCACTACCTGAAGATGAGCAGTGAAAGTTTCTGCTTTGAGGAGTGCACATATCCAATCTTTTCTTCCTCTCCTTCGTTATTTAAATCATTAGTCTGTTAGTGAAGGTGAATCAGCTGGTGCCCGTGTTTCGATTGATTGTATCTTGATTCTATTTGACCCGTACCACAGTCTTGATGTATGCTGACTGAACAGTGGTGGTGCTTTTTGTGCTCTCTTCCCAGCATGTCGTACAAGCGGTATGGACACTGCCTTTTTGAAGTACTTCCTGTGGCTGGATGAAATGTGAGGGTTTCTGACCGGCCTGATCCGTTTCTCTCCCAAACCTGTAAAATCCCTCGTTCCGGTAGATGAAATTCAACTATTGATGCACGCATCCGAGGCTAGGCGGTATTGTTGTCGACTTTGGCAAAGTAGGGCAAAGTCATGGTCAACATTCGGTACTGTGGCGAAAGGCTGGCGCATCTTATCTTATCTAAGGGTCCCTTCGGCAAGCGAGCTCCAGGTAAGTCCAGGATGGTTGCGGCTTGGTAACGGCCAGGAACGGCGGCTAGGCCCCGGATCTGCCACCGTCGGAGGAGATAAACAGTGCGGAATCCCTGCAAGTCACACTCAGTCACAGCACAACAACACGGGTTGTGTGGCACTGTTATCTTTCACACCATTTATTCCATCGTATTCTCCGTCCCCAGAAAAAAGCGCATTACAAGTCTGAAGTAGAGAAACAGTGTTTCCAATGCACATAGAGCACTTTTCTGTAGTGTATAAGCTCTCAAGCTGCACGTACTCGCATGTGTCACTCAAACCCACAGCAGCTGTAGCATCGCGTTCCCGATGTCTCCCGACCCTGAGTGTGACTGATATGATTTATTGGCTGCATGAGCTTCGCGTGCTCCGGTCTCAGGAACCCGCCCATTCCGGTCGGACTTATGCTCGGCCTGAGAGCTCTGAGAGATTTGGCGGGCAGAACCATCCTGGACTTACCTGGAGCTCGCTTGCCGAAGGGACCCTAACTCTCTCGGATTTGTGCGGAACTCCGAAAGGGGTTGGCAACAAGCCTTGTTCAATCATGACTTCATTTCGATCAGCTTACTGACAACCAACTGACAACTGGTCATGGTTTACTAGGAGAACTTAAGCTTGTGTTGGATATCTTTGTATCAAGATTGGTTCTCTTGGGTTCAGGAATAATGTGGCTCCGAAATCTTTTGATCCCTAGCTTTCGCTTCCAAGCTCAACACGCTCGGCACACGCTGCAGCCATTAGTCCCTCTAGTATTGCAGCAACGCCACTTCGGCGATTATTCCCCTGCTCCGGAAAAGCGCTTCAACGAGCCTATATACCCTTCTCTGACATTTCTCGGTACAAGTGCTGGTTCACCGACTCATGCTCGCTCATGCACGGCCACGACTCTCAATCTGGATGAACAACATAGCTTCTGTGGGTATCGTTCCACGTGCTACCCCGACCTGCCTGTAAACTGCCATGACAGCTCAGACTACCGTTTCGTTCTGAACATATACTTACGCACTGTCAATTGGGCTCGGTTATTTGCATGATGCAGTGATAGATTGTGGGGAGGGTACTTTACGCCAGTTGATCAAGACGAGGCGGCCACGGATCAGACTTCGTGGAATCAAGCATATCTTTGTAACACATCTGCATGGTAAGTGACGCACTCGATGCATCATCCACGACTTGTCGTACGGTATCATGGTGCTAGAAACTGACCGTGAATTCCTCGGACTGGCCGTATGTGCTTCGCAGCTGATCATTGCATGGGTCTAATCTCATTCACGAAAGAACGCCTACATGGGCTCGGCAGCCTGGAGGAAGACGTACGTAGAGAATCTCATTCCCTCCTCTAACCATGAACGCTCACTACCATCACGCTCCTCCAAACCTCCACGTATGACTCACAGAAAATTCACCTCCACCTCTATGGTCCCCCCGGTCTCCGCTCCTTCATCCGCCTCAACCTCACACATACCCACACGACCCTCCGCGGCCTCTACGCCGTGCACGAACTCGTCCCGAATCCCCTCCACCGCGAACCCAGCGGCGAAGCATTAGCCGATCCACCGGCATTTTCGACTCCCTCTCGTTGGGAGAAAGAATTACATGCGAATGAAGCGCAGGGAGAGGACATACGTGCGGACGAGGACGGTCTGTGGCGCGATATTCTGTCTCTGGAGAAGCGTGGAGGTGGAAGCGGAGGCGGAGCGAATGAATCCGAAAGGAAAATCAACGTTTCGGCGGCTTCGATAGTGCATCGCGGTATGTAACTTCACCTGTTCCTGCTGTTCGTCCATACCAGTGTGCGACGATTTTTCTGACGAGATGCTATATCTCACAGTCCCCTGCCTGGGCTACGTCTTCACCCTCTCGATCCCCCCTTCCCCTTCCCCCTCCGTCGCATCCAAGGCCAGCAGCAGCTACAAAGTCGTGGTTCTCGGTGATACCTCTGACCCATCGTCTATCATCCCTCTCGCCGAAAATGCCACAGTTCTCATCCACGAAGGCACGAACTTCGGACCCGTCGACGTCCTCAACGAGTATCTCGCCGCCAAAATGGACGCCCAAGACGAAGCAGACGAAGCGAGGGATCCGGAAGCGACGGAGGGTAAAGCAGAAGCAGAAGAGGCTCCGGTCGGAGACAAGCTGTTGTCGCTGAGCGAAAGGCGGGAGGCTTTCTACATTGACTGGATGAGGAAAAAGGAAGCGAAGATGAGGAGTAGGGCGATCAGCCGTGGTCATTCGACGGTCAAGATGGCTGCTGAGTTCGCGCAACGAATCAACGCGGACAGGTTGATTCTGACTCATTTGAGCGCTAGGTGAGTTGAAGCCACATGCAGTTCCCTCTCATCATTTTCAAAGGCCCTAGCGAACGCAAACCGAATCTAACTCTCTCTCTCTCTCTCCTTCTCCTTAATACGAAGGATCCCACCGGACCCGCCCAAGAACACACAGAGGAACGGCACAAGCCCACCCGAAACGCGACAAATTCCATCTATTCTACCCCAGCTCCGCATTGTGGTCGACCATGCGTTCTGTACAGGCCACACGATCTTTGCACACGATTTCTTGACTGTGCCTCTGTCCCGCTACGATGTATCATCTAATGTGGGAGATTGGGAGCCTTCTTCACGGTCACGACCTCTATTTGAATCACTGGAACCTTCAACGTCTTCGTCCTTAACCACGTCCTCATCTTCTTCTTCATCCTCATCCTCGCCCACAAACCCGGATGAAGTCGCCGAGCCCGAGCTGAAAAAACGTACACGCAGCGCAATAATGTGGCAAAGTCTTCATGAAATTATCGTTTCGCGACGTATCGAACAAAGGGATGAGGGCCCGACCGGAGTCCAGGGTCGTCGGGCATCTATGGAAGATACAGCGATGACGACAGAGGATGCTATTAACATATCTGCGACATCAGACCCAGAATCTGTGAAAAAAGGAAAGGGAGAGGCGAAGGGAAAGGGAAAGGGGAAGGGAGAGGGGGAAGGGGAGGGCATTAGGAGGCAGGTGGGGGACGTCCGGGAGTATTCTATGGATTCTGAGACGGTGCCGAGGAGCAGGGACGGGGACCAGGAACGACGGTGATTAGGGATCTACACGGTGGCGAAATCGTTGCGATTCCAGTGCGATTTCGACCGCGATTTCGCACTCGGTTTCGACGCGGCCTCAGCGCTTGCCGCCCGCGCCGCGCCGGCGGAGCTTGAATTTGAGTGAGCAAGCCAGCGTCATGGGCCCATTACTTAATCGTGCTTTGATCGATCTGCCGCTCGACGCTCGACGCTCGACGCACGTCTCTCATCGGATCCATCATGCCGACTCGCACAGAGCGACAACTTGAGGAAGATGCACTCACACAAGCATTCCTTGTTAGCTTCCTTGCTCAGTTAGAGGCTGATATGCGCCTTGGTGACTTCGAGCTCACAGATTTTGATGAGGAATACAACCCTGGCTCTTCTTCCCCGTCTTCTTCCTCGTCTTCCTCATCCTCTTCATCAGATTGTCGCTTCTGGGGATCTACTGCTTCTTCATCCTCTTCTTCATCTTCATCCTCATCCTCCTCTTCCTCCGATGATGAAGCCGAGCAGTATCTACAGTCTATCGCGGCTCTTTATTCACAGCACTACTATAACGAGAGGGGTACTATACCAAAAACACGAGAGAATATGCGCCTTCTTCTCAAAGAATGGAAGATCCAGCGTCCCGAAATATTCCGTTCTTATCTTCGAGTTACACCAGACTGCTTCGATGCACTCGTCAATGCCATCAAAGACGATCCTGCCTTCCACAACAACTCGAATCAGGTACAGATGCCTGTTGAAGAGCAACTTGCAATTGCATTGTACCGTTTTGGGCATTATGGCAATGCTGGTGCGAGTCTTCTTTTTTTGTTTCTTCCGAGTCAACTTATAATTATGCCACTAGCAAGTACCATGAAGGTCGCTCTTTGGTTTGGGGTAGGATATGGCACTGTACGGAAGGCAACAACAAGGGTGATGCTGGCGCTGAACTCGGAAGCCTTTCGTAACTCGACTGTGCAGTGGTCAAATCAGGAAGCAAAGGAGAAGGCGAAGGAGTGGGTCGGTGACAGATCATGCCCAGCGTGGCGGGATGGATGGTGTATGGTGGATGGTACTCTGGTACCTCTATACCAACGACCTGCTTTCTTTGGAAACACATGGTTTGACCGCAAGCATAACTATTCAATGACAGTCCAGGTCTGGTTTTTTCTTTCTTTGTTTCTCCTATTTTTGCTTGTGTCGGAACATAACTGAAATATTGAATATCTCTATGCAGGTCGTTTCTACACCTGATTGTCTCATTATCGACTTTTGTACAGGCCTGCCTGGTAGCCAGCATGATGCTACAGCATGGCGTGATACACGGCTCTACCAGCAACACCGACTCTTATTAAAGGATGGTGAATGGGTATGGGCAGACTCGGCATACCCTTTGGCTGATTGGACTCAATCACCATACAAATCGTATGTTCCCGTTGTGAAGTAGCCTCAACATTTTCTGTCTTATAACCGTCAAATTTATATCCAGGCCTGAAAAGGAGCGACCAGATAATGAGCAGTACAATTACTTTGTCTCCCGAATCCGGATCTGCTCGGAACACTGCATCGGTTGGCTCAAAGGCCGTTTCGCATCTTTGAAGGGTCTTCGTCTCCGGATTGATGATGAGCTCCATCTTCAATATGCCACACTTTGGATTCAGTCATGCATCATACTTCATTGCTTTGCTTTACGGGCTGAGGGAGGGCAGGACATGGAGAGGGATCAGTTCTATCAGGATGGAAGGCGATACATGGAGGAGTCACGATTAGACGAGGAAGAATGGAGAGATGATGCTCGAGAGCAGCGTAGAGCTGAAGAGAGCGCAAGTGGGGATGATATACGATTATTATCAGGGAAAGTCAAAAGGGGAGAGTTGAAATTAGCTCTACGTGAATTTCTTGTATCTAATGAGTAGTGGTCGTAGTAGTATAACATATATACAAATAACATAGAGAATAAGGGATTGAAAGGTAAATTAAAGAGTATAAAGGAAATAGAGAAATAACTTTTAATGATCACCAGTATCCTCAGGCTCCTCAGCATCAAGTTCACCAATCCCGTCACTGTTAGCACCCTGCATCCCGAAATAATCATCAAAATGCTCAATCCCACCCTCATCAGCACCTTCTACTATATCACCTATGCCGCCAATATTCACCTCACCTCCAAGCCCAGCATTCATCATACCAATCCCAGCTCCATTCATCCCACCCAACTCGCCAACCTCCAGTTCGCCTATTCCCCCGCCATTCATATCCGCCATTCTACCACCGTTGATCCCGCCACCATTCACCCCATCTACCCCATTCATCCCTCCCATCCCGCCCATCCCGTTCATCCCGCCCATCCCGTTCATCCTGCCCATCCCGTTCATCCCGCCCATCCCGTTCATCCCGCCCATCCCGTTCATCCCGCCCATCCCACCCATCCCGTTCATCGCACCCATCCCATTCATCCCGCCCGTCCTGTTCATCCCGTTCATGGCGCCCATTCCCATACCATACATCATCCCACCCATTCCACCACCACTCATGATTCGAAACTGGAGCAACATCATGTTTTCCTCATGACGGCGACGATCAGCTGCCTCCTTCGCCCTCGCCCTCATCTTCAGCTCTGCAATATGGTACTTCCCCTTCATCTTCCCCTCTACCTTCACCTTCGCTACATCAACCTTTGTCTTCTGATTGCGTGAAGCGATATCTTGCACGGTATCGGCCATGGTCTTCTTACGCTTGATGGCAGTTCCGAGATCGGAGTCGGGTGGCCGCTTGCTTGTAGAGTTGGAAGCAGAGGATGCTTTAGGAGCAGGAGTTGGGGAAGGAGATCGGGAGGGAGCGAGTGATTTGGGGTCATCTTCACCATCAGAAATTTCGTCTGGGATAGGAGAGCCGATGCGAGCACTATGAGGGGAAGATGTGATATGGATGGTAAGATCAAGACCATCGTCAGCATCTGCCACCAGCGCACGGTGACGCTTAGAGCGAGAGGAATGAGCCTTGGACTTCCGACAGAGCGATTAGATTTCTAGAGAAAAGAATACAGGTATATGACACTCACGTTCAAGAAATCAGTGCTCAGGGGCTTTGCACTGTTAGCGACAGCGACACGGCTTGCAACCGGACTCCCACCCATGAGACGGTTCATCTGGGCATACCACGGGAAACTTTCCCTCACCACATCTGCAGCCAAATAAGCTTGGACCGGCAAAGCAGTCAATCACAGTGAAAGAGACATGTACCCCATGCTGAGGAGGTAGCATTGTCAACACCCTCCCAAATCTCATCAGCCTTTCCTGCATCAACAAGACCTTGACCTGTTGCCGTCATTGTCTTGCGCCATTTTGAGTAGCCAGCCTTGAGCCTGTAAATCCAAAAATAAGAAATATATAACATAATGCATCCATAAATGAGAACAAAATGCGCACGCTGTGACTCTGTTCTTGAAAACTGGCCTGAGATCCTTACGATTGGCCTCCGTAAAGCCTAGCTGCTTGTTATTGTAGATAACGACCTCGTTGATGAGTGTATCATAATGCGCATCCATGTTTTTACCCTTGGAGCTTACGGTGACGGTCGAGCCGTCCTTCATGAAACCAAAAGCCTGGCACAGCTCTGGCCGCTCCTCAATGGTGTTAAGCACAGCCGTTGTCACATAGTGCAGCTCGGGTTTTGACCACCTTTACAGCAGGTAAGACTTCCTTCAAGCATCTACTACGGAAAGCAGAACAGCAAGAGAGAGGGACATACTCGAGAGCTGGAGCTGCCCGAGGCTTCTTTTCCTCCACTTCCTTCGCATCCTTTCCATCTTTGCCAGCCTTCTTAGTGACTGGTTTCGCAGCGACAGCTTCGGCACCCTCTAGCTCCGCGAGCCGTGCTTGGAGAGCAGCAATCTGAGCTTCTTGCTCAGCTTTAGTGGGCTTCTTCTTCCGAGCCATGAACACAGAACCAGTAAAACAGAGGATGTATGTGAGAACCCGAGAGCCTGAGAGTCAAGAGCTAAAACGGACGCGTGCGAGGACTGCAGGAAACACGCACGAACGCGTATGAGAGAGCGAGCGCGTCGAAGAAGACGACGCGCGTCACGACGCGACGCTGACCGAACACTGGGCGCATACGAATTCAAGCTCCGCCGGCGCGGCGCGGGCGGCAAGCGCTGAGGCCGCGTCGAAACCGAGTGCGAAATCGCGGTCGAAATCGCACTGGAATCGCAACGATTTCGCCACCGTGTAGATCCCTATTGACGATGACGATGCGACGAAATTCGTCCACTTACTATGTACTATCACTAAAGCGCAAGGGCTTTCAAAGGTTAGCGTCAACGCTGCCTTGGAATCTTGCTACCTTAGCTTTGCTCAGGCGTGATTTAAGCTGAGTTAAAGTTAGGGGTTGGCAAAAGTGTGGCGCGCCACATCACCACCATATAACATCCTTGCTCACACATCAACTTGATGCTCGAAACTTACCAAAGGACAACCAAAAAAAGGGGGAAATGCGACTCTATCGAGGATCCTATTGTTGAAATATAATGTGGTGCTAGAGTACTGTGTTACTTTTGTCCGTTCAACCGTCCAACCAAGAGGAAAGCGTAACGTCATCGACTGTTGAGAGCCGTGTATCGTCGTGTGGGGTTCGTACGATCATAGAGAGAGTGGATGGGAGAGTGTGGCCAAGACGGGATTGAAAGGACGAAGAGAAGATCATTAGAGCTCTTTCTTCGAGGCGGTAGAGGAGCCGTTGGCCTTTGTTTCGGCTGAGGAGCGGGACGCGTAGATCATGTCCGTCCAGGGCCTGCAAGTCGAGGATACGAGGTCAGTGAAATACACTCCAAACACAAGCAGCGAGACGAACGCACCCCTCGTACTTCAACGCCAACAAATATACCACGTAAACATATGCGGTGACCAATAATCCAGCAGGCCTCTCATACCACAACGCAGTCGCCGCGAAGCACATCGTGCTCCCCACATACATCGGGTCCCTCAACACATTGAAAGGAAAGCCTTCGACGCGATGATCCATGAGGATACCGAAGTAGTCTCCGAGGAAGGTGCCGGTGATTCCGAGGGCCCAGGTGGAGGTAATGACGAGGGTTTGGCCGGCCAGAAAGAGGATGGCCGGGACGATGGTGTTGAATGGTTCCGGGAGGATGGGGGATTGGGGTTGGTCCATTAGGGCTTGGTGGTAGCTAGCAGATCCAAATGAATAGTACCAAGAAAATGTAATGTAAGGTTGTTGAGAAGTTGAGTTTGTATAATAGAAGGATAAAGATATTAACACGTACAGTGAGTCCCGAAGGATACCGAAGCCGAAGATGGACAGCGCGAGGAAATAGCATCCCGTACGAGGGCTTCCAAACAGACGCGTTAACGTCTTATTGTGATATTCTGTGTTTCAAAATAAATAAGATCACGACGACTATAGAGTACACCCAGATGTTGAACTGACCATTACGAGCGACGATGTTCCATGCGGTAGGATTGAACGCAATCGACGCAAGAGAAATATACAAGGAAGTTTTGGAAAAATCAACGGCCGTCGCAAGAGTGTTGCTCATCGTGTCTCGAAAGAAAGAAAAGGAAATGAGAAACGCGTCCTAGTCGTGAGCGTTGGGAACAAACAACCTGCAGGACGCGGCGAGGATGATGCACGTGAATATAGCGTGCCTGCACACCCGCGGCCAAAGCAAAATCCCGTTTTCGGCCGCGTCACTACCGATGCACCCAACACTCATTGTCCCCTTCGGGGTGACATACGAAAAAATTGGAACGATACAGAGAAGATTAGCATGGCCCCTGCACAAGGATGACACGCTTCTCCAGAGTGGTAGACCTACGGGTCTCAATATTTATTTTATTTTATTTTTCTTCGTAACTCATTGTGGGGACGACGGTGAGGTAGTGCCATGTTTTGAAAATACTCGACCGGAATCATATCGTGCCACAGCGCGTTGTGAGCTGTCCAAATCGTCTCCAAGAAATCATCGTGACCATTTCATTGAACACGAACTATCGTGAGGAGATGAATGAAGAAACCAAGTATGTACCACGAACAGATAGTCAGATGCCTGAATACAGATAGTCAGATGCCTGAATAGATGGTAGTACGTACTCCACCAGGATAACAAATCGAGAAACCCAACGTCCAACCAACCCAACAGAAAAAGAGAATCTGCATTTTACCCAGCCCGACCCCTGGATCCTGGCACGTCAACAATAATGAGCCGCTCTACACCCAGACCTCTATATCCCAAAGGACCCTATATCACCCGTCTATATCAGCCCCATCCTCCACTACACACACAGCGCAACGACCTTCCGCTCTCCGTTCAAACATCCCTCGAAGGCCTCAACGAACTCGTCCTGGACTGCATCTCCACCCCTCCCGTCTTCGACACATACCCGACCCCATGTATATGATACTGCTCCCCCACCAACTCCTTCGTCGCCAACATCAAGTTATCCAGACGGGTGACGATCCCGAACGCCGTCGATACGCCGACGCAGAAACATCTGTGCGGAGTGCGTCAGCATCCCTCGTGGTACCATAGAAAGTGTGGCGGAAGAGAGCGAGAACGACAGAACGGGTATCACTCACAGATACTGCTCATTTTCTAACGCCTCCATCGTCATCGTCCTCGGCAACCCATAATCGTCGTCCGCCTCCCCCCTAATGATATTCAACCCATGATTATGCACAATGAACCGATCGAATAACGGGCAGGGCGTGATCTGCGGCAAGGGGTTGCCCGTCCGGAGGGCTGTTGATATCAAACCTATATCACACCCAAATCAGTCTCAAGTGCACGTCGAAAGGGTGGTGAGTGAATGGTGAGGGCACTGACTGATAACAGCAAGCACATCCCCCTGAAAATCTGCATCGAGGAACCTCGTCCGTCGAAGGAAGGCGCGATTCCATGCCGGCTCGAGGTGTTGCACGATTGACATCAGGTGAGAGAGCAGGTATGCGATTTGTCTGGATTGAGTAAACAGTGAGCTCTGTACTCGCACCTAGAGGGAGCGAGAGGGACGTACAATTGTTGGTCCAAGACTTTATGATACCGTTCCGCAGGCCACGTCCCCCGCATCGAGAACTATCAGCGATCAAACGATCAAGCACAGACATCAGCTATCTCACTTTCATAGTGACAATTGAACACAATACACATACCTCGTATATAATATTCGTCTTCAAAACCAAAGACCTCTTCAGCTTCGCTCTGACCGCAAGCAGACTCTGCACGATCTCCTGTGTCTCTTCTGAGTTGTGGTGTCTCGACCCCGGGCTCGAGTTCGCGAAGGAGACGATCGAGCAGTAGATGTTGCCGATCTCGGAGACCGTGGTGGCGAGGGAGGTGCGTTGATACCGTCGGAGGGTGGTGGAGGGAGGGAGGAAGGAGAAGAGGCTGTATTAGGTTGTTGGGGAATGAGGTATAATACATGATCAGCTGGCTGTTTTCAAGAGAGTATAAGAGGGAGAGGCGTACAAAGCTGCGAACACTCCGACTGTGACAAGGACGAATCGTCGCTATTGTATGTGGATGTCAGGACTCAGAATGCAGCTACGATAACAAACGAGGTGTAACTCACCCAGGCAAGATTGATCCCATACGCCGCGAACGAGCCCAATCGGTAATGCGTATTCTGCCACGAGAACCCAACGACCTACATCCCCACTCTCAGCCAGGGCCCTCCATAAAAAGCGAAGTTGCAAAAGTGAACACTCACCAACACGACCGTAACGAAAAAGATCATATTCACCATCGGCGGCCCCGGCCAATTGAGTCTCGCGAAAAAAGCAAAAGGGAGCACGACCGCGAACACGCCCGCGAGCCCATACGCGTTACCTGTCCCTTTCGCAGTCGAAATGTACCAGAGCGAGGTGCCGACGAGTCCGCCGGCGAAGGTACTGAAGATACGGGCTACGAGGCCGAACGTGGTGTCGCCGCGGAATCGGGCGAGAGTGAGTTGGCCCATGAAGCTGTAGCGGAGAGGTGAGAAGAGAATAAGGGTGAGGATGAGGTGAATGGGTGGAGTGGAGAGGGGTGAAAAGGTGGACGTACATCGCCCAGCTAAAACGTTCGGCTAAAGAAGGGAGAATATCAACAGGGGCCTACATGTTCAGAGAGAGAAACGACGTACTATACGCAAAGCCCGCAGAAGACTTGATGAAACTAGGCAAACTGAGTATAACTGTCCCAAAAAAGCCCCGTATTAAGCATATAGACCTAACGACCGACAAGACGTATACGTACCTGTCAACATGGCGGCCTTCAGCGCGAACAACACATCCCCCCTCGACATTGCCTGGAGCAAGTTATACAAAAAGTTCATCACGCTCTCGAAATAATTTCGTGGCGGGAGTGCGTCGGGATCACGGCGCTCTGCGAGTCCGAGGTCGTTAAACGTTGGATCCATACCCTGGATGATGTCTATCACATTCGCCGATGAGCTGGACAGAACAGTCAGCGCAGATGTGGTAGGCGGAAGGCATACCGGGATCCTCATCCTCTTCTCTGTCGATGTCGACAGAATGCTCCCAGACGCCCGTGAAGAACTTGAGGAGTGGCACCTGCGGAAGCCATAGTCTACATTTTGGCCGTTCCTGCTCCAGGATCGCAATGTCCTCAAGCTAGAGATCCGCCTTCTTAGCCTTCTAGAGCGGGGCTTCATGGAATGGAGGTGCGTACCAGTTCGAGCAAGTTATCGGAGAACCTCATGAGGTGATACTGGTACAAGAAACAATGGAAAAGATATCGATGTGGCGGGACGCCATCACCCGTCAGCATCCCCTTGTGCTCCGCACTAAACGCGGACCTGTACGGCTCCAGCACCGTAAACCTTCCGTAAAACGTCAGTACACACGCGTTACTGATCCACCCCAAACAAACAGGAGAAGAACTTACCTCTTGTCTTTCCTAAACCTCTCCAACGAATCCGCCAAATCAAGCCTCGTTTTCCTGACACCAACGAGCCGTTCCTGATGCAACCTCCTCTTCTTCTCTCCGCCCTTCCAAAACGTCCACCTATCCATCCTACTCCACCCCAACCAATCGTCCAGCCCCTTCAACGCCTCCATATTCGCAGTCAACAGCTCGTCGCATCCCTCTCTCAACAACTCCGTCGCCCGTTCGGTATAGAACACAGATAAAGGATGCGAAAAATGCGTAGACTCGAGGTCCATGTATCGTTGTGATTCGAATACACCGACGACGTGTTCGCGGTGGTGATGGTGTGAGTGTATAGAGAGATGATGTAGACTATGCAGAAGCTGCGAATGCGCATGCGAATGGTGGGAGACGTGCGAGTGGCGACGGTAGAGAGAAACGGGCGTGGTTGCGCGAGGCGAAGGCGCAGGACTCGAATTGCCCAGATCGAACCGCGTATGGTGGCGCTGCATCTTCCGTCCCGTCCTCGTCGACATCTTATCCTTCTCGTCTGAACTTGAGCCCGTACCGAAGCCCGAAGCCATCCGTACACCCTCGAGGATAGGTGACGTCGGTGAGATAGGTGAGGTCGGTGTGGCTGGGCTCGGTTGGTGAATGACCGAACCACGCTCGTGCTCGTGATCACTTGAAGGAGATGGCGGACGCGAATGTACTGGAGAAGTAGGTCTCGAAGTGGCTGGTGTGGCGGGCCTAGAGGGCACAGGCGTGACTGGGAATCGTTCTCTCGTCGGATCGATAAGCGCCCAGTAGACATTCAGCCCGTTTGCGCGCACAGGCAGCTTCAACAGCCGTTTCCTCAACGAAGCGAGATCAGCTGGTGAGAATCTTCCCCAGGCAATGTCGCGTTTGAGCAACCGATACGAAGCACCAAGAGGGACGAGGGCTCCCTCAGCTTGGAGCGTACTGTCGATGGCGGCTTTGGGTGAAAATTCGGGTGATGAGGTAGAGATGGAGAGGATTATGCGGTGGTGTGAGAATGTGGCGGAAAGGGGGGCGACGACGCCTCGGAATGCGCGTGTGTATTGGGAGGAAACGGAAGAGGGGAAGATGAGGATTGAGGCTAGTAGTGAGATCGCAGAGTGGTAGGCTAGTGGGACTACAATGGCTTGACCGATCTGGAACGTCGCATTGGTCAGAAGCAAACCACGCTATATTGAAATGAAGTGTGATTACCCTATATAGAGCATACGGATACAGAACAGCTGTCGTGAAGGATATGTCGAGAGCAATACACCCAAATATAGTAGCGATGAGGAATGGACCGGGCCCTTGTCTTGCTTTGATATAAAGGAAGACGGCAGCTCCGAGAAATAAGAAGACAGCCATGATGACGGAGGGCTGTTCTTAAATTGAGCAAGAAGCATGACGGTAGACCACGGAAGAGCTTACAGCAGCTTCGACATAGCGCCCCGACCAGATATCCTCATTTGTAGCAGTCACAATAATTTCTGAGCGTGTAAGACTAGCTAGCCAGATGCCGAGACAGCTCCAGCTAGGATAGGGGTTAGCGAGGCATGGATAAAGAGAACAAAGAACGTACCCCCAAGCTGCAGAAACGAACGCGAGAAGAAATATTTCGCGCTCCAAGTTTGCTACAAGTGGATCACTTGGAGGCGAAAGAAACGAGGCTGGAGGTCGAGTCAGCACGGGTGGCGGAACGGACAAAGGGACAACGTACCAATGATGATCAAGAACCCAGCCTACATGACAATCAGTTCAACGTTCAAGATCAATAGCAATAGTTCAACGCACCTGCCCCATCGTCTTCAGAACCGGGTCAATGACCATCAACACGACAGATACCCATGCTGCAATCGCACAGCGCAGCACAATCTTCCATTTCGGCCAAGTCAAGTTCGGTGGAATCCAAGCAAGACTGCTCGGCAGAGTGAAAAGTTTGTTGTCGCTCTTCTTGTCGACATCAACGTCCTCCTTTGCTGCCTGCGATGACTCCCTCTTCACGAGACGTGGCTTGGTCGTCTTTTCCGTTCGTGAGACCTCTGAGTCCGGGCGGGGTGACTCGTCGCCGCCGTCCGCCTCGTCCCCAATGCGGGGGTCATATTTTCGACGAATCGAATTGTCGTGTTTATCCATTCAAAGCTAAGAGCAAAGCGCAAGAAGAAGAAGAAGAAGAAGAAGAAGAAGAAGAAAATAAGAAGAAAGCCCCGGCGGGCATCGCAGGCTCTTATATTTATCGTAGAGGAGGTTCTAAAACATAGCGACCAGAAGCCGAAACCAAGGGTCTCAATTTCAAAACTGACGTCACGTTTTTCGCGGAAAACAAACACGACGTGCGGGGGGCGATGCTGTGGCGGCCAGTCGCAGCAGACCGGGCCACACGTCCTCCTCATTCGCTCAGAATCGTTCTCAGTTCGCAGGAAGATTCCCGACCGCGGTTCATGGACAGCCCGTGTATGAGCGTCAGGTTAGCATGAGTATTGCTATATGAAGCTTCAAGTTGTCTTAGGTATTTTTGTCGCAGGCAGCGGGACAGCGTGTGCCCTGCACGGAGTTCCGAGAGGGTAGATGAGACAACGAATCCAGTCACAACATGCATGGAGGACCAAATTGATGATGACAACTTGTATTATACTAATAATGGTAAGTCAGGTGCACACTGGATACGCTGAATAAGGCTTGACCATCAAAGGATACATGCAGGAGGTGGAAGAAGGAGGTGGATGGACGAAGCAGGGTCAACAAAAGTCCTTCCCGTTGTCTTTTCGAGAACGGTTTATAATGTTGCTAAAATCTGGCTGATAAACCTGGATCCACTGACAAGCCACGCCTTTTCCGGATAAGGTGAGAGAGGTGAAAAGATGAGGAGATGCTGAGTATACCTAATGTGATTGTCCACAGATGAGGTTGTAAGATGGCAAACGATGGGAAGGGGTGCGCAGTAGTAAATTCCAAAAAAGCCATACGATCCTTCTGGAGTCAGCGTACAGACAAAATATGAAAACATCAAGAATCTTCACGAACGGCTCGACGACGAACTCATCGAGATATGTTTTACGCCATTGATTACGAGGATAGGAACACGGACTTCGTGGCGATGCTATGGCGAGTGCGATGGATAAGACGGAATAGCAAACAGCGAGATGTTTGAGCGCCTTAGGGCGTCTTTGTATGGCGTTAGATCGAAATCAGCTTGAACGCAAGAATGGGGAGGAGATTGTTACAAGATATCGTCGAGGAAATGACAGTTCCCGATCTGGTCGTATGCGATGACTGGTACATTCTGCGATGTGTCGAGACCCTCTAGCGGCGGTAGATATCGTGAAACGGGTTATGAGATTTATGAGGAGGTAGGTTATGATTGATGACGAGAGCACGAAGTTCAGAAACTCACTTGAAGGATTGCTGGATGAGATTGTTGGCCCAGACTCGACCAGTAGGCTTGACGGCGAGCTCATACTCCTGTCAAAGCGTCACTACCGTAACCAAATGTACGAGTAATTGACGGTATGAATCTTAAGTTCTCGAAACAGTCCTCGCAGAATCATGCCCGCAGGTCCAAGCTGGCCGAACTAACGAACTAAAGCAATCCGAGAAACACGTCGACGACAGAAGCGCCCCGCAAAGCTCTCAAGCGCGACAGCGGGACCATGAACCATGAGAACCAGAGACATGGTATCGCTTGGCCATAGAGTTTGAACGAACGTAGTGGACTGGACGAGGACGCATAGAAGAAGGGCCACAAGGCCACAACATGATGGTGAGGAACACAAAGGTGGCGCGACAACGATGTGGCAGCGCTGGCTTTCGGAGCTTTGCGGAATTTCAATCTTCAGTGTCAGCGCATCGTCCTTTCCTTTCGTCTCTCCTTCCACACCCCCTTACCCTTTCGCTGCTCGTGCTGAGATATGTGGGGTCAGCTCTTCCTTCAGCATCAGAGCTTCTAAACACTCGAGAGGATTCTACGGATGATGGTTCCTATGCTCTCTCGGAAGACTTAATGCGATCGACTGGCGACGTTCGAGTCAAAATCACGACACCTTCTACACTAGTAACCCTAATAACACTCGTCCTGCACACCCTCTGTCTACTCTTCTTTTCTCTTCTCTCTTCTCTTTTCAAACTTTCCTCTGCCATCAAGTCTAAAACCCTTTTGTCTGGTGTCTCTCCAAGCTTGCTATTCTAGAATGCCAATTCGACATTATACCCCACTTCGATCGACGTGGTTCAGCCAAGGTTCAGCAGATCTTAAGCGCATGCCCCTCTGACACTATATGAGGAAAATGATCCGAACTGGAAGCTTCCCAGAGCAAGCAGAAAGGAAAACAAATGGAAAGTGGTGTGTAATTCGGAATGCCGGCCCCGATCTCACGCTCGCCACAGTCGGGATTCCGCCAACCGACGAAGCGCAAGATGTGACGATGAGAGCGATGAACCTGATCGGGGCGACATCGTCGCCATAAAGCTCATGACGTGGAAGGTGCTCTTGTCTTGACGGCCACCCTCGACCACCCGCCGACACAAGTACTCAAAATCAAGATGCCTACTGTAGAACACATTGGCACACCCAGTGAAGCCAACACTACCATTGGTGGCGTTCCAATCGTACGCAGCTTTCTAATTGCTCACTTTCGTTCGGACGGCTTTAACAACTCGCTGATCACAATTATAAACGACGATTCTTCGTTTGATCACTTCCAGATACATTACTTCGACTTCCAGTCTCGCGGTCGCGGCCAAGTCGTCCGCCTCCTCTTCGAAGACGCAGGAATTGCGTACACAGACGTCCGATACTCCTTCGGCGAATATCCGGAAGTGCAGAGCACGCATCCTATCCTATCCCAAAACCCAACGAAGAGCGTGCCGATTATCGAGTTGGACGGGAAGCTCCTGACGCAAAGTTATGCTATCCTGAGGCATTTTGCGAGGGTCCTCGGGGCGTACGATGGCAAGAATGAGGAGGAGAAGTATTTTGCGGATGTCATTTGTGATATCGTGGTAGACTGTGAGTATTCTATTAGATGATGGTTGCAGCGGGTCATGGGGATATGCAGCGCGGAAGCCCCTATTCTCAGGTGGCACAGAAATGTGGCGTGAGCTAAGTGATGTATTTTGACAGGGCGCACCCTCTTCCTCGCCGCATTCTTCTCCCAGAATAAATCCACGGACCTGCCCAAACACCAACAAACTACTCAGCTTCGCTTCCTCCATGCAATTGAGCAACATCTCACTACGAACCCACTGTCCGTCCATGGTCCATTTGTCATCGGCTCTAGTATCACGTACGCAGACCTCGCCGTATATCAGATATTGCATGACGAGGAACTTGTTCACCACGGAAATAAGGGTCTGGAGGGATATCCGAGGCTGGCGAAGTTGGCGGCTGCGGTGGAAGAGAGGCCGGGTGTGAAGGCGTTCCTGGAGAGCTCGAGGTATAGGGGATGATTTCGTTACATCTCAGGTGCGAGAGTATATCGATTTGGAGGCCAGAGAGAGGAGCTGAGAATGGTGTTGATAGCTGTGTGATACCTTGTAATAAAGAAGAGTGTTATGAATCAATAATGTGTGCAAGCATCAATTTCCTCTTTTCAGTAGCTGAGGTGTCGAAGAACGCTTGGGGTGCACTATATGTTATTTTGGATGCAGATGCAGCACTGCAAGCCCATCTAAGTACTGGACTCGCCATTTATAGTCGAGAGTACGCGTCACCCCAAGGACACGCAGCGCTTACCTAGATGCAGGATTTATATATACGGAATAGATTGCGCGGGGAACGATCCAGTAAAACCCGCAGCAACACCACCAGGTAAGTTTCGCGCTCTGCTTCGCCCATAAGATGGTTGTCACGAAATTTACCTATTGGCACACACAGATCACCGTGCTCTTGGACTACCTGTCGCCTACTTACTGTCGACATCATCTCATGGGCTCTGTGCACTCATCCCCACACCCCAAGTTCAAGCAAACCTACCGTACCGACAAACCATCAAAGTGGCGACCGTACATTACGAAATCACAGCCGAAAGTGCCAAAGACTCACTGGTGGCATGGTGGTGGTCCTTCCAATCCTAGAAGCAAGTTCTGGGATCAATACGATTTGACGGAACAGAACAAGGAAACGCTCGAGAGGAATAAAAGGGTTGCAGACGGTTTAGTCCAGGGGGTTGTGACTCTTGTTGCATAGCCCGTAAGTCCCACACACCTCGAAGCCTTGCTATGCTGTACTGATGCTGCTGCTTGACGTTGGGGCACAACAACTTAAATCAGGCCATCGACGCATGATTATTATGGGCATCTGTGATGCGAAGTTCAGTCCCAATAAGCATTAAAGGTTGAGAGCCTGATGGTCCATGTATATTATATTTGTGCATTCGAGAATATTCCCAAATATAGACGAAGCAGAGTCCGTGAGGGAGAACTACATACGACCAATATCATACATTCTGTATTCACCGCTCGGACGGCCCAGTGAACACTGCGGCCTATAATCGGAATTTGTTTGTGAGGGTGTACAGGTGAACCCTCCAACTTCTTCTGCCAGTAATAAAATAGGCCGTAGGTGGAATGCGGGGTACAGTTGTCGCTCGGATATTGTTTGCGATGTTGTGGGTATTGGCGAGTGCAGTTCGCTCCAGCAACGATGAACGGAGTACGGTGTGGCGTAGGAAGCACTAATATCGGGTGAGATCGGAGCGCGACTTGAACTCACGAGCCACGCCTGTTCGCACCCGTTTCCCAACCGTTTCCACAACTCTTCCTCGAACCCTGCTCTATCCGAAACATGAAGTATTGACTGCTCTACGCACCTCCACTGCTCCCTCTTCGCTCGTGGAACCTCAGTCAGCATTCGTCCAAGCCTGAATAGCTGACAGTACGCATCGAATCACATAGTACGCAGAGCTCTGAGTTGCAAAGCTATCATATTCCGGAGTGAATAATCAGAAACTTGATGTACTAGGCGAGCTCGGATCTTGGCTGTAGGCGACCATTTACTTAGAGTCTATTGGGGCGAGAGGCCCTCTTGCCAAGCCTGAACCTGTGCATGCGATTTACTCGAGCATCCAACACAGTGAAGTGTGGCGGTACGTGCTGGTCTCCATTCAACAAGGACTTGCCTAGGCTCCCTGGCGACGCTTCTCGTCCCATGTCTTGAGGTCTAGCTAGTCGAGGTAAGAGATGTTCTTCCTTGATATAACTTAGATCAAGCGACACCGGGGACTGGACGCTTCTCGGTCTTTCATGAGTACTTGGGGTCGCCATTTTCCGGCGAGTTTTACACGTGTTCGTCTCCCGTTCCAGCGCTCCGAGTCTGTAACTCTGGCGACCCTGTTGTGCTATGCATATAAAAAGAACAGGTCGACTGCCACGAAACCCCCCAAGCATTCAACAAACATACACCGGTGAGTAACGTTGAAGCCTCCAACATGTCTACACAGAGAACGCGTCGCTCACGAGGCCTACCGTACTTATTCACACACACAGATCATACTCATCATCCCCATTCTACCAACCACCATCTATCATCATATCATGGGCTCCGTCCAGTCCTCACAAGCCTCCTCGCACCACGGTTCTAAATCGAGCCTCCATCTCAAAGAGACTTACCGTACCGACAAACCCTCGAAATGGCAACCATACATCAAGTCACAGTCGCAGCCAAGCACCCACAAGACGCATTGGTGGAGCGGTGTTGGTTCTTCGAAGCAGGTTCTCGGATCAGCGTAACGTCTCGGAACAAGACATCGATTGAGAGAAGGGGGCCAGGAAATTGTAGATATTATCAGTCATTGAGAGCAGTAGGGGTGTACGAGTAGGGCTTACGAATGGCTGAACGCATCGAGCGTCACAGCGCAGTTCGTTATGGACAGTTGTATCATCGCCATGGTCATCATCTCCCACAACAATATCATATAATGGACAGCTTTTCTATCGTGCTTTGATTTCTTCCTCGAAACTTCCACCGTTTTTCCGAGCTTATACGCTGGGCTGTGTAAGTGGTTGGCTATTTTGACTGTTCACGACTTCGCATGTGGTAGAATCCCAAGAATGCGGAACATACTTGACGGTATCTCATCGAGCCTTTCAAACATTCATTTCCAGAGTATGTCAAATATGTTCAACCCACGAACAATGCCTGCGCCGATCCCCACAGGGAGGCAAGTCATTCGCGTCTGAGAGAGGAACTATTTTGGCGCGGGAACATCTACCTACTATGGGGCAAAACTCTATGCGCGAAATGCTGTATAGTCCATTCTTAGAATCGAGTGAGCCGGTCACGGTAACGGTTGAAATCATATGGGTGCCTACACGAGTAGCATATATAACCCTCTCTCGTCGCTCGACAATATCGTGTATCGTGCGACATCTCCCGGCTTTACTTTCTCGAAGGAACACATCATGCCCACGACCGAAACCTGTGGGACACCCACTGAAGCGAACGAACGCTTAGGAGGTGTTCCCATCGTATGTTTATTTCATTATTCCCGCTATCCATGCCTTCGACAAAGCTAAAGCTAAATCGTTGTGCTTGTGATCGTTGTAGGTCCACTACAAAAATGCACTCTCCCGCGGACGCGGTCAACTCCTTCGTCTATTCTTCGAAGACGCAGGCGTCGCATACATCGATGTCCGATATTCTGCATCCGAGTGGCCTGAAGCTAAGAAGAACCATCCTATTATATCGAGAAACCCTACAGGAAATATACCGGTGGTGGAGCTGAATGGGAAGATATTGACACAGAGTTACGCGATAGTGAGGTATTTTGGGAGAGTGCTTGGTGGTTACGACGGTAAAAGCGAGGAAGAGCGATACTGGGCGGATGCGATCTGCGATATCATCATTGACTGTAAGTAACGTTTATGAGCCTCTCGTTCGACACAAGCGGTGATCAACACAGTGGCGGAACATGAACAGGGCGCACGTACCTAAGCAACGCCGCCAAAGCCCCCAACAGCGACGTCGCCCTCGCTGCACATAAAGGAACGAATCTTCTGCGCTATCTGCAGGCCATGCAGACTCACCTCACCAACGGAAATCCTTTCTCGATCTCTCCAACTGCCGTTGAGGGACCCTTCATCCTGGGTAGTACAATCACATACGCAGATCTTGTTTTGTACCAGATCCTTCATGACGAAGACCTGACACAGGGGGAAAGGAAAGGATTGAGAGAATATCCAGCATTGGCGATGCTGGTTGAAGCTGTAGAAGCAAGAGAAGGTGTTAGAAGGTATTTGGAGAGCAAAAGATATAGAGGATGAGCCTGTGGCCGCAAGTCTTCTGAAACGAAGATACAGTATTTGTGGCGGCGTGCCTGCGAATGTCCAACCAGTTGGTGTCGGAGACTCTCAGAGTGCTACATCACTACAGGATTTCACTGTATTGCATGCTGTGTCTTGGAAACCTATATTTGAGGCATGAGGTGATATATGGCATGATTCAACAGAGAACCTAAGCTCAAGTGCGTGGATACTATGAAATGACCTCAAAGTGGTGTGGCGTCAGTATAGTCTGCTCTGCTGTAATGGATAAAAATGGCGTGACGTCGGAGGGAACCTATCGAGCCTCGAATATATAGATCTTGCAATCCTCACTGAGGGCTCTGAAGTCGAAAGTGGTAAAACAACGAAACAACGCGAGACTTCGCGAGCGGACGCGATACAATATTACAACGTCAAACTCCGCTCGGCTGTCGCCGACATCGACCTCACGAAATTCTCAGAACCTCCCTCTCGACATCAGACAGGTCACAGCTGCAAACAACAGTCTTCTTGATCCTTGCACGATCGAACATAGTTGATTTGGGTTTGTGGGCCACTTATCAACCACTATACTCATTCTGACCCCCTCACTAACAAGCTAACTTTGGAAATTAGTCTATTCCAAGTCTATGCTGGACCCCCATACACCGAATGTCGATGCAACAGAGCCCATTCGCTTCTCCATCATGTCCGACAGAGATACTTTCTCGTATATTCGAGTGCTGCATTGATTGGCCATTGCAACTTCACGAACCTTCACTGGGTCTACCCCCCTCATTGACAGCAACTTGCCAGCGATGGCGCGAAGTCGCCTTCTCTTCCCCTCGTCTCTGGTCATCCATCTACGTCGACTTTAGCGAGGGCTACAAAGAGGAACCGCGATCCCTGTTAACGAAACAACATGCGGAAAGATTGTTTCTCTTTCAGACCTGGCTTGCGAGGTCAAAGTCTGCTCCACTCCGGTGTGGAATCTCAGGCGATCAAGTGTCCAGGGCAGATCAGATAAACTTCATGACATACCTAGGATGCATGGTTCTCCACGCAGACCACTGGAATGAAATTGAGATTTTTCTAATGGGAGATCTCTACTCTTCCTTGTCCAACCCTGCAAACTACAGGAACCGCCTCGGAGCTCAACGCCATGATAGCCTCGCCATCCCACGAGACTTCTCAACGTCGCCTCTGGAGCATCTAGATCTATATTGGGACTCCTACCTCGACTGCAGCCCCTTCGAGCGCGCCTTCGAGTTCGCACCCAATCTTCGGATTTTGAGATTCAATGTTCCCCATCTCACGCGGTGGAATTTCCCCTGGTCGCAGCTCACAACCCTTTGCATCGGAGAAGTCATCGACGACAAAAACCCGGTCCCTCTGGATATCCCGTGGCTTTTAGTCACCTTGTCACAATGTCTATCACTCGAATTCCTTGCCATAGCGTCTCAAGATATCAGTCCGTGCATGCCTCTGCCCTCTGCAGAGCACGTAGTATTGACCAGAGTACGAGAGGCACACTTCGATTCTTGGGATGCCAATGTCCTCGATATTTTACTTCGCGTTATATCAGTCCCGTCTGTCCAAAAGCTCTCATTCAACGAGAGCACATGCGGACCTTTACCATCAGACGGTGATTCGTTCATGAGATTCATCTCAAACCATGCCGCGACCTTACAGGAGCTCCTCACGAATCAAATCGGAATTAGTAACCAAACGCTCCTTCGCTGTTACGGATGCGCAACCAATCTCTCTCACATCCATCTGTTTTGTCTGACCGTCACTCAGAATTCGAACGAAATCCTGCGCGGTCTTGTTCTGCGGTTCAGGGATGATGGCACGCCCTTGGAGGGTCAGAACATTCAGCTGCAGAGATTGACGCTGCATTTCGGAGTGCCAGACGATCCAGACGATCCAGAAGACCCGTCTACACGCCCGCCCATGTACGGTATAGAAACCCGTATGGAGGATCTTGTCGAACCTTTTCTGGACATCATCAGGTCGCGCTGGAACCCGCGAACGAATGCCGTATTACGCTCCGACAATGCGACACCCGTCGCTGTTTTGAATACTGTTTGTATCGATGACCGCACGTTGGAGTGGATGAAGAAGAGGGATCCTGGGCGTTATGGGTGTTTGATGAAAGCTGTTGATGAAGGGTTGACTCTGATCAATGAAGTTAGGGGACGCGGTGTCTGGCCAGACTTGCCTCAGTAGCTCGGTAGTACTACTAAGGCCTTCTATGTTTCCTTCGACCGCAATTATGCACTCACTCCTACATATAAATGCACGTTCCTGTACCTACTAGCTACCCTCGCGGCAGTAATTACAGTGTCCTCTTGTATGCATTTTGCACCGCGCACAAGTGCTCTTCATGTTATGGGCAATTACGGTACTGACCTTTATTCCACAGTGCACAAAGGGGGTAAACTTACTGTACTGTGGCGCATCACGTGGAAATAAACGAGACGCGTCGAATCGCGTCTCAGCGAGCGCCTATATTTCTTTCTCCTCCACGGCCACGTCTCCTCTTCGCTCTGCTAGTATCTTCCAATTAATCTCATTAATTTTTTGACTTCAAATGCCGGTATTTGAAGGCCAGAAATATTGCATATCATCTTCGGTACCTCAAGAACGCCAAGCGGAACTCATCATCAGCCTCGACCAGAACGGAGGGTCGCAGTGTACGGGCTTGGACGATGAAAGCTTGACTGTAGTCGTCACGAATGCGAATGACTTTGACGGCAGGACGAAGGTCAGAAAAAATGTCGCAATAGTCACCGTGAGTCCTTGACTTTCACGGAGCACATCGCAAGCGGAATGGACGTGATGACTGAGACGGGTCGTGGCGTGTAGGACTATTGGGTGGATCGGTCTTTGTTGCTTGGGAAGTTGCAAGAGTGCGTGAATTGCTCGATTATTGTACTTTTATATTGAGCCTAACGTGTTTTTGTTCGGCATCCATCGCTCAGGACGCAATACTATTCCCCAGACCCTGCCATGATATTCTCTGGTGTTGTGGCGTGCTCGACAGATGTGAGTGTTTTCAATACCCCAGTTTACTTTCACATACAGCCCGCACTGTTCATGTTCTCGTTTTGCACACCATGAACAACTGTATACGTTACTTATCCAACTTCACCCACAGTTCACACCGTCAGATAACGAAGTCCTTCAAGCCGGAATTCTCGCCTTCGGCGGTCAATGGCGAAACGGCTACCTCCGCGACGTAACCCACCTCTTCGCGCCTGCTGCTGGCTCCGATAAATACAAAACCGCATTGTTCCACCAGGTCGACACGCATGTCAAAGTCGTCACGCCACACTGGTTCGACGATTCGGTGAGGCTCGGAATACGGAACTTGCCTACGGACGTATATGAGTGGCCGGAGCCGGAGATCTTGAAGGTGGGGAGGAGGTATTCAGGGATTAAGAAGGTGCTAGGGGAGCAGGAGGGGAAGAGGGAATTGTCGAAGGCCACAGGAGAGGATTGGATGAAAGCGATGACGGCAGAGAGGAGAGCGGTACTAAAAGGGTTGGTTGCGGAGGGAAATGTGGAAGTGAGTGGAAAGGATGTATGGGGAGGGAAGCGGGTATTATTGAGTAAGGAATTAGAGTTCTCAGAGTTGAGAAGGCGGACGGTCGAGGATGGGATCAGGCTGTGTGGCGGGGAGGTAGTAGAGTCGAGTGAAGGAGAGGATGAGGTTGATTTGGTGGACGAGGCGGATGTGCTGGTGACGACCTATCGCTGGGGCGAGCCATATATTAAGGTAAGGATTATAAATCTGCTTGTGTCACGATCGGGCATTTCTTTGACGCACGTTTGTGTCTCTGTCCTCAGGCTGTCAGAGCGAACAAGCTCGTCGGAAGCTTGACATGGCTCCTGCACGTTGAACATACTGGTGTCTTGTCTGCACCTACCAGCCAGCTTCTTCACCATCCGATTCCGAAGGGAAAGGTCGAGAGGATGGCCCAAGAGGTAGGCTGTACGACAAAATATTTCGCTTGCCCACAGCTCACATTTCGTCCAGGAAATGACTGTGTCGAACTACACTGGTGAAGGACGCGACTACCTCAAGAAGCTTGTCATGATATTGGGTGCCAAATTTACCGCAAGCATGACACAAAAGAACACTGTACTCGTCGCCGCCTTGTAAGCTCATCCTCATTCGTCGTCGCCTTCTTCTCGTGCGTCTGATTCTTACCTGACTCTTATTTAGCATAGATGGTAATAAAACCAACAAGGCTGCCAACTGGTCCATGCCGATTGTCAACCATACGTGGCTCGAAGACTGCTTCATCCACTGGAAGTACATCTCCCCCGCGCACGAGAAATACATCTCCTTCCCTCCGAGCATGAATTTTGCCCAGCTTCTAGGCGATAGAGGATTGAGTGGCGCGGCTTTGAAGGAGAGTTTGAAAGAGGTGGAAGCGCAGATGGAAGAAGAGAGGAGAGAGGCTGCGATTGGGGTGGATGTGGAGATGAATGATGTTGGTGGTGAGGGGATGGTGGGAGAAGGACAGGGTGAGACGGAGATGCCAGATGATGGCGGTGTAAATGTGGAGCAGGAGCAAGAGCAGGAAGTGGTAGCCGTGCAGGAGGAGGAGGACATCGTGGAAGACGTCCGACCTGCGCCGTCTGCCAAAGCGCGCGGGAAGAAGGCTCAACGTCATGAAGACGTTATCGAGGTCAGCTATAGACTGTCTTGCTTTAGTTGCATGTTTGATTCGCTGACGAGGAACGGGTGGCTCAGATCGAGGATGACGAGGAAGCAGAAGTTGAGGAACCGCAGCCACCTCGCCCTCGAGCCCGTAATGGGAGATTTTCCTCTTCGCAGACCAAAGATGCAGCCGTTGAACCCGAAGAACGTGGACGGCCAATTTCTCGGAAACGCAAGTCAAGGGGCCAAGAGGAAGAGGAGAAAGAACAACAACAACCTCATCCGCGCCCAGCTTCCGTAGCTTCCACGCGGCGAAAGTCTAAGGGCGAGCCCGTGGACATGGACGAGGAAGACGAGCACGACGAGCACGCCGACGCAGCCAGCACGAACCGTACACCCCTTCGCAAGTACGGGAGGTCCAAGAGCACCCGTCTAGCCGAATTCCGTTCCCCCGCATCCGTCTCACCGAACAAACGCACACCAACGAGAAAAGCTGCTCCTAAAAGCTTTGCTCTCGAGGAGAGTTCTTCAGAAGAGGAGTTACCGCCTGTCGTATCCGTGTCCGCCAGAACACCTCGAACACCTAGCCGCTCGAAACGTCAGCAGCCCGATTCTGATGCATACACTGAACCAGAGCCAGAGCCAGAGGAAGACGAGGTCAACCGTCAACTACGCCGCTCAGGTCGTTTGTCCCAAGGCACCACCCCTACCTCCAAACATGCGACACATTCGAAGAACGACGAAGTTTCGCCGTCGAGGCCTTCAGGCTCCAAGACTCAAACTCCACGGCGAAGGTTATCAGTCGTCTTACCTCCTATCGGTACCGGCGCTTCCGGAGGACGAGGGAGATCACGGTCTCGCGTTCGTGCGGAAGGTTCGACTACCAGCGTCGCTAGCCCGTCGAAACCCCAATCCACTGCCGCACCGAAGGACGCCGCCGCTAAACCGAAGTCGAAACCAAAATCTGTTTCACGATCTCGGCGAGCTGAAGCTCAGCGCGATGGTGACTCTGACGACGAGCCTATATCTATACCTGCGCCCGCTGCTCCGAAGGGGACCGTCAAACCGAAATCAAAACCAAAACCGCGATCTGTTTCTCGGTCCAGGCGGGCCCAACGCGAAGAGGAGTCTGACGACGAGCAGGGGCCAGTGCGTGGACCAGAGCCAAGGTCAGAGTCTGAGTCCGACCCTGAGCCCGTCGCCTCGACTTCTCGCGGACGTCCACCGCGACGTAAATCCATGCCTGAGGTCGTGATATCAGTCAGAACTGTGTCCCCTACGAGCGAGCAGCGAACATCGGCGACACCTATTGGAAGGTCGGGACCTAGGCGGTCAGCTGCTATCAAGGCTTCGGGTAAACTCGAGCATACGATGAAGGATGTGGTCAATTACGAAAAGCAGAAAAGGGCGGGGACTATCAAGGCGATCGGGGAGGGTAAAGACATCTATGTTGATCGGAAGGGTAAGGGACGGGACTCTCTCGGTGCTGGTTCGAGAAGGCGCGCTTCGATGGCGGCGAGCGATGATAATGAAGAGGAGGACGAGGACGTGAGGGGTAAACAAGGCAAGAAGAGGAGAATGAGTGCGGCGAAGGACAGGGACGACGAGAGCGGGAGAAAGAAGGCGAGGACGAGCATTAATAGTCGGAGGAACAGGGCTCAGTCTGATTCGGAGGAGGATGTGCAGGCGAGTACGTCGAAGGGTAAGGCTAAGCAGGACGAGAGTGGAGGGCGTAAGAAGATCGTGCACAGCAAGATTCAAGAGGAGATCAATGGCGGGCCGATATACGCTGCGTACGTCTTTGTCTCTCGGTTCAGCGTGGCGTGGTTCTAACTTCCCCCCGAATCCTCTGTTCAGTGAGCCCGTCCATAGACCCGAACCTGCAGCGAAGATTTGCTTCACACAGCTGAAGCTCACCGACGATGTAGAGAGAGTATGCCCCCTCTGCTCCTGTGATATTCCCAACCACTGGTTGACTTGCTTTTGTGTATCTAAGGGTCTCATCAAGCTGGACGTCAAGATAGCGTCACGCGCAAGGGATTGTACTCATCTGATCGCAAAACACATCGGACGTACAGAGAAGTTCTTATGCGCCATGGCCGGTGCACCCTTCATCGTCACGGAAGAATGGGCTAAGGAGTCTGCTGGTGCAAAGTCCTTGCTACGTGCGCACCTTCTCCGCCTCGCTCCTGTCTACAGTATATTGATATATCCTCTATCGTGCACACAGCCGCCGATGAATTCCTCCTGTCGGATCCAGCGAACGAGAAAAAGTGGAAGTTCAAACTCGTCGACGCTGTCAAACGTGCCAAACAGAACAAGGGCCAGATCTTCAAGGGCATAGGGTTCTATGTCACGACGAGGGTTCTCCAAGGACTGGAAAAGAACCTCTTGAGGAATGTTGTCGAGGCTCACGGTGGCTGGGTTAGTCCTTGCTATCCGTTTTATTTTCTCGTTACTGATTTTCCACAAAACAGTGGCGTTCGTCGGAGCCCACTGTGCGTATGCTCAAGACCAGAAGGGATACCGAGAAGCCCGTCGTCATATCCTGTAAAGCAGATATCAGCATCTGGCGACCTTTAGAAGGGGCTGGATTCACGATATATAACAAGGAGTTTTTGCTCAATGGGGCGTTGACACAGGAGCTGCGATGGGACGACCAGAGTTGTCAGAAGATAGAGTGATATTTGATTCGGTCATGGTTGAAATCTTGTTTTGTGTTGTGGAATTGCGAGCTTGGCTCTCGTTGTTTTGTTCCGCTGTGTGTTCTGCTGTCTTGTCCATCTAATTTACATTTTACGAACTATATACAAGGAACCAGGTTTCTCGACGACAAGCCGAAGGCCTGCTACTTTCCAGGTCAGGTCATTGTAAGTTAGAGCTCAGCAGTCATATTCAGAGCTTGCTATCACGCTCTGACTTCTTTCCATTGCCTCCTGGTCTCGTACCAATAGGCTCGAAGTCGATTTTCTGCTTCTTCATCGCCGCACGCGTCGCATTGACTAAGTCCTAAACATTATTTGGGCCACAGAAGACTTCAATGAACACTTCCCCCGCACAGTGATTGAGGTTGAGACGAAGGTGCGACGTACCGGAGCCTGGAGCATGGCAGAGTTCCAGGTGATGGTATATTCGAGGTTATCATCGATTCTGTACATCCACATTGGACCCGTCAGGATGAGAAGGCTTAAATGTATGCACATTTGAAGCGAAAGAGAGCGCACGTATGATCCCTTGCATGAGCCAGCAAGTGTTTCGTTCCTACGACAGCGACCGGGCTCTTCGACGCGATTTCCTTCGCAAGTTCAAGTGCGGCCTGTACGACCTCAGCGCGAGAGCCAGGTGTGATCTTTTGCAATGCAACAGGATGAGAAAAAGTCCAACTTCGTGCTTAGTCTTTGAGGACGTACCCTCGAAATCATACCCAACTCTTTGGCTTCTTCAGCACCAAAGATCCTGGCCGTGAGCGCGAGCTCATTCAGAAGAGATGCGTTTCCCGTTAATTTGGGTAACCGAGCAAGTGTGCCGATGTCAGCGGCTAGTCCTACATCTACTTCCTATGACAGAAACAAGTCAGTCTTGGAACATCAAACATAACGGTTCCGGTCATCCAAAGCAACGGGTTTGAGAAACAAGCTGAACTGGATCTCACCTTGATACTAAACTTCACATCGCTCGTAGCATACCGTACGTCGCAAGCGCTGACCATGTCAATGGCGAGACCAAATGCGACACCATGGACGGCAGCGATCACAGGACACAGGCAGCGCGTCGGAGCGGCGATAGCTTGCTGGAATTCGCGGATGGTTGGCCGTGTGATCAATGCTGTACGAGCGGGATCGGAGCTTGAGACCAGGCCGGTCAGAAAGTCGACTATGAGTATGAGATGATGTCCGGGTTAATATGGAGACGGAGAGGTAGAGGAGGTGAAAATATAACTCACGATCCACCCCAGCAGAGAAGGCTTTCTGAAGGCCGGACGAGAGTACGACTGCTCGGATGGTAGGGTCTTTTGCAATATCGTCGAATAGTGTTCCGTACTCGCGCCAGAATCTGATGGTGTAAAAATAATCGTGAATTTCAGAGACAGACGTAGGCATCCGGTACTTACGGTTCAGAGAACGCATTGACGGGAGAACTATGGTAAGCAGTCTACTCATGAGTTTCGGACCAGACATGGACGCACGATGCAGAGGGGTACCACAGAGTGTGAGTGGCATGATGAACGCACCGTACAAGTTCGACATGTAGGACGAACGGGAACGGGCATGATATGGGGTAACTTTATAGATTATCCTCGCTAATAAATTCTGGATCCTATCAAATTACTTGGCTTGTTTCAGCCCAGTGATCGCACTGTGCCAGCCACAACTTTAGGGCTCCGACAAAAAGTCGGTTGTTAATAACAGCTGTAAAAAAGTGCTGTTAATAACTGTTTATAACTTGTTATTAACAGCCCTTCCGACACGCTGGTTTATAGAGCTGTAAGAAAGTGTAAGAAATCTAGACGTCCGGAGGAGTAGATACGCGTCCAGGCAAGACGCTTTCGAGTTCCTGATCACCCCTGACATCGTATTCCATCCTCTCGAGCCCCTAACCCGACCTAGACACACCTTTATACGAACCGATTCCCACGATGTCGACTCCACAGTCCGACTCGCTCACCACAGCTGAGTCTCGTCCACGTCCAAGTTTAAGTACGGTGGGTGTTTTCGCCAACGACCGCACATACCATGAGCGTATGTGCTGTAGAGCCTGCTCCAAGAGTTCAAATAGTGATCAAGGGCGATCAAAAGAACTCTTAGTGCTCTGAAAGCCCTCCAGGCCAGTCGAAACTGGCAGCTCCTGGGGGTGAAAATAATATTTAATTCGATTTAAATAATGTGTTTTTAACTGTTTTTAACACCTGTAAGAAAGTCCCTCGGGGGCCACCGAGTTAATAACACGGGGTACCATCCGCCGTGGACTTTTTGTCGGAGCCCTACACAACTTGAACTTGAACAGATATCCTACTAGTACCTATGTCATCCTCGAGCGTGAAAAGCGACGTGCCTTCTTACGCATCAGTCTTGAAATTTATCTCTGAAGGTTAGCTACAGCTCACCTACCTCTACAACATGCATTCAGACACAACTCCCAGTTGACAGTTGTCCCAGCTGAGAATCAACCGGCGTTGGCAGACGGAGACCGGAAGAATTTGAAATGGTCTCACCGGCATTTTCCATGACCGCCAAAGCGGTGCATTTCTGCCTGGTATGTGGTGTCCGGCGCTTCTCATATTCACGGACGGCACAGAAAGAATGCCCGAAGATGGAGAATGTGGTGTCAAGATGACCGGAGGACGTGTATGAGCTCGAGCGGTATGAAAACACTGGATCAAGTTGAATCTCGATATGATATTTACAAGGGGCGATCGAGAACTTTTCGTTGACTTTTCGAGAACGAGGAGGCAGATCAAGGGTGGGCGGGCTGAACCGCAGCGCGACTCTTTGCTCACAGTTCGGACAACGAAAAGAACGAAACAAGACAGAATGTCATTGTACGCTAGAGCTATGTGAAGTGTACAAGACGAGCAAAGAGTGCAACTGAAAAGGGTGTGGTGGGTGGGACAGAAAACGGCGCAAAGACGTCGAGCGTGAAGAAACGACGACGAACGGGCGGAAAACACTGCACAGAGGCAATGGGAGGAAACAGAAACACAGACGGTAAACCGACGGAAAGAAAACTTCCTCGCAAGCTCGCGTGGCACCGAACCAAGAGCTAATTCTTAGCGCTTTAGCTTTCGCTGTCCAAAATAAGCACACAAACACAGATACGAAAATCAAGAAAAAGGCGAAGCGTCTATATGTCTATATACGTCGCGTGGGTGCCAATGCCCACCACGTCTGAGCCAAAGATGCCCGCCCGGTCCACTTCTACACTATTCAATCAGTGGGTATCCGAGTCGGTATCCAGCATTTTTGAGCATCCACCACCTTCTTCCCATAACCAATCAACTCCGCCCTCGTCCTTCTCCCAAGGTCCAGGTTCTACGGTACCTCAGGCGACCTTCACGCCCTCAACCATCTCCACCACAGGAGCGATCACACCCAACTCCTCTTTCGCCGCGTCGGCGGCGTTGACAGCGCTCAGGTACGTGTCTGTTCGGAATCCAGAATCCAACACCATGATCCAGAACGGTCAGTGCGTGCGAAACAAAGACAAGGAGAAAAGAAGGAACACGAGAGAAGGAGGAAAGGAGAAGGAGGGAAGGAGAAGGAGGGAAAGATAGAAAGATACGCACTCCAGAATAAGGACACGACGCCGACGAAGACGAACCGGAGTTGGGGCGGCATGATGGAGAAATTGAGGATCTGTGTCGGGATGAAGACACACCAGTTGCGGAAGACGGTGGGGACGTAGGACTGTCGTGCCGGTTCCATTACGATCCAAACGAGAACGAAAACGAAAACGAAAACGAAAACGAATAGAAAAGGAAGAGCAAAAGAGGAAAAGAGGAAAAGGGAGAGGGGGGAGAAGAGGCGAGGTTAGTGAGTGGATGGCAGGAGCCGGTTGAGCAAAGAGATGAGAGATGCGCACTTTAGACAGTCTGTCCTGCACCTCCGCGACGCCCTTACCCTCGAGGAAGGTCATGCTCGTGAAGAACCAGCCCACGGCGACTGTAGTCAAACGATATCCCCTCCGTCAGCCGTCAGTCGAAGAACCACGGATAATTATGACAAGGAAGGGAGGGAGGGTCGAAGGAGAAGAAACGTACGAGGCGCCATTAAGCTCTGGTCCAGGAACGTCTGTCATATACACCCAAAAGTATGCGTTAGCGATAATGAACGAACATCCGAGCACGGTATGGATAAATTTCGTATGGACGGACTCGGGTAGACAAGGAAGAGGTGATGGATGAAGGACCACAAAACGAAAAAAAGAAAACACACCCTATATACGACCGCCTTCGTCGGACTCGCGAACTGCAGCCTACCCAAGAACTGGAACCATTTCGTGACAGGAGGACCAAAGAAAGCACCGCCGTATAAGCTCAGACGGAGTGTGCGGATGGGCTGGAGGCATCGCATCAAAGTGCGATCAGTATCTTATTCCACCAGTTTTTTTTTTGAGAGAGGACAGGATGTGAGAGGTAGAGATGGTGGAGAGAGAGCGGATGAAAGGGGCGAAACGCACATCATAGCGCTCCCACCCCCGCTTCTCCACCGCCTCTTGTGCGAGAACGTCGCCAGCGCCGAACAACACCGCCGAGCTCAGACATTGGGTGAGGAACGGTCTCTGGATGAGAGCACGGCTGTCGGTGTGGGTGCGTTTCGTTCGTTCGTTCGGTAAATGACGCGTAGGTGAGGGTGGTCGAACGATGACGAAGGGATAGAGCAATGAGCCTGAGGTCAGTAAACAATCCACGAACGAGGAAGTTGGAAATAAGTCCACGCACTTGTATGCACGAAAAAGCGAAGCCATCTCTCGTTTTATTTTCTTCAGTTCCTACCTATGTAATTCCTATCTCGATATGTTTCGAATCCAGTAACTCGAGCGTCGTGGAGAGTGTGTTCGACTTTGTCACGGCCGTGGTGATGAACGAGCGGGGTCGTGTGCTGGCAGTTCAAACGTCCCAACAGCCGCGCGGTCGTCGTCGGTGTGAGGTGTGGATGTGGTGTGCGGTTGACCGTTGGAGTCGCCGTTTGACGCGTAAAATGGTGCGCGTTTGGGGTTCAATGGTTTCGTTACGAGAGAGAAAGGGAACACCGGTCCGTCAGTCAACGTTCAACAAATTTAACTGTCCAGCTTTGTTTGCTCCACATTAATGCTATGTTATATCTGGAATGCACTCACACAGAAAGAGAACGAAACAGCCTTCACGAAAGCTCGCAGTCCTTGTCGTCCAGAAAGACGAAGGATGGATGGCAGGAGGGGGATAAGAATCGGAGGAACCTCGGCGCGCGAGCGGATCAAGCCGAGCGTTTATTACTGGTTAGCCTGGCGCTTACGCTTGCTTCCCCGCAAAAACGCAAATGGGGAACTTCATTCGAATGTTTACCCCAAGGCGCGTGACGTCAGGCGTTCAACACATCCACATCCTACTTATCAGTTCTTTGGAGGGTTCTTCGCGAAGGGCCCGTGGCTGCTCACATATAAGCATCAACACTTTGTCGGGCTGGATGTCATTCTAGGCAGTCACGATTGAAACCATTAGCCTCGGTCGTCGACGAAATTGTTAACATGCTAAGTTATGTACATAGACACATCCAAGAAAGGATGTATAGCTCGCAATCTTCGCCTCAACCGCCACCGCCCAGCCAGCAGACTACACCGACCGGCGACCACCCCCTCTCGATCTGCATGTCCAAACGATATAAGTATAACCAAATCCAAACCGAAACCGAAGCGAAAGCCAGGTATGTGTCCGACTCATCAAGCACATCAAGCACCAGAAAAGATCAAATAAGAAAAAAGAAAAACAATGACATAAACATAGAAAGCCCATATCTCCATCGACTGTACGTCGCTCCATCTACCCTCTCTGGGCCATAGCCAGGCAATGTCCGGTAACGAGCGCAGGTCAACCGTGCGACCGTGAAGGCTGGAAGGCCACAGAGGGGATGTGGACAAAAGGGCAAGAGGATTGATGAGGCCGAAAGGGGGATGGGAAGAGAAAAGGCCAGAAGCGAGGCGACTAGGAAAGCTTTTCCCAGAGGATGATGACGATCAATAGGATGAGCACGACGATGATAGCGCCCGTCACGACGCGCTGTTGGTACATCCTGTGTTTGTGTGTTTTGCCACCAGTTCGTTTCGTCCAGGTCAAAGACGGTAGGTGGAGTGACCAGTGACCAGGGGTTCGAGGGAAAGCAGGCGCCATCCAGTAGAGTGTCCGATATGATAAAGGGGGTGCGTTAGAACCATCTTGTGAATACGAGAAGAAAGAGCAAAGATGAGGAAAACGTCGGGTCGGCCACCGATGTGGCAAAGAACCAGGGGCAAGGCGGGGACAGATAATCGGTTGTATGGATAGAGTGGCGACGTACCGTCTGATCATAGTCTTCAGCGTCCCAGACGCACGTCCAATCGACGTCTCCGCCGTATTAAGCTAAAACAACGAAAAATCCACGATCAGCCATCAGCTCCCTCTCCCTCCTCTCCACTCCCTCCCCCCAAAAAAAGAGAAACCTACCGTATTCCTCGAGTTCTCAATCTGTTCTCTCTGCTCCCTCAACACCCTCAATACATCCGCGCCCTGCCCCTCCGTCTCCAGCGCTATCCTCTGACTCTCCTGCAGTCTCCGTGTTCCGTCTTCGAGAATCGCGGTGCCGGAGAGGAGGCGAGCGCGGTCGGAGCCGTAGGGCTCGTCGGAGGTGGGGGTGCCGGTGCGTGGGGAGGAGAGGAGATCGGAGCTGGTGTGGCATTGGCGTTGGTGGTGTTGAAGAAGAGGGGGAGGTCGAGAGGGAACGGTGGCGCCGAGCGATTAGCGTACTGCCTCTATGCTGAGCGAGATATATATATGGTGACGTACCGGTTCGCGGCGGCATGCATGTCCTTGGACAACTTCTTATACTTCGTCAAGTCCGCTTTGGCAGACCGGATGCGCGAAGTGTAAGAAGCTTTCAGGGACTGTGGAATTCCTTGGATTTCGATCTCCATTTGTGAGAGCTAAACAACAATAAAGAACGAGTGTATCATAATTGCACATGTCAGCGTAGATAATAGAATAAATACATGGGTATGGGTATATTCAGCCTGGAGGACGTACCATCTCATCCGCCTCGTCGAGCTCCATCTCGACCCTCCGCAGCGCCGCTTTCTTCTGCTCTATATTACCATACCAAGTACGTATCACATCAGCATCCCATACTTCTCGATCACTTCTCTAGCAGTATTTCAAGTAGAACAAAAACAAGGAATAAAACATACCTCCCCGTCCCTCCTTCGCATCCCCGTCGAGCTTCTCCCTCACGCTGCCCAGTATCTGCTGCAAGTCCTGCTCGTACGAATCAAACAGCGCGGTCGGTGATTGGTCCATAGCTTCCTTCTAGATTCAGATATACGAGACAAAAAGATAGGCTTCTTCTGTTAATGCCTTGATGGAAATTAGGGACGAGTGCGGGTGGTGTGGACCGTGGAATGTGGTTGCAGATCTAGAGGAGGAGTTGGAGGGAACGAAGGTAGGCCACCGGCACCGAGGCGTGCCGAGCGCTGGATTGCGTATCCTGGGAAAAGACTGCTATTTCTAGCTAAGGATTGTGGCGCCCATTCTCCAAGTTCTGTTCCTCGCCACTTCCGATCCCAGTCCCAAACCTCCATCTCTCTTCCACTTCTCTGTATCGAGCTTACTTCATAAAAACTTGATCTCACCACCAATATACCTGGTACATCAGGGCGAAAAAGGAAAGAAAATGTCGCTCGAAGCCCGCTTGCAAGCCGCCTCTGCAGAGTACCAGAAGCTGCAGATCGATTATTCGAATGCGGTCGAAGCGCGACAGAAGCTCGATGCTCAGCTTTCGGAGAACGAGTTGGTGAAGAAGGTGCGTCCCATTCTGTATTTCTCCCTTGACTTATACCTCCTGACCTTCTACCTCCTGATTGAATATATCGTGTGCGTGTGGATCGGTGCGCTCAGGAATTCTTGACCCTCACGCCGGAAAACACGGTGTTCAAGCTCGTCGGGCCTGTGCTCGTGAAGCAGGACCAGAACGAGGCGAAACAGAACGTGAATACGCGGTTGGAGTTTATTCAGGGGGAGATGTGCGTCTTTGTTCTTGTTCTTATCCACATTCCCATTCCTATATCTATTTATATCGGCTCTATTTATCTTTCATGCACTGACGGACCACGCCGCCTCTAGTAAGCGAATTGAAGCACAGTTGAAAACGCTAGGCGAGAAAAACGAAGCGAAGAAGATGGAGGTGCGTTTGCTCTTTTGCCCTATACATCTGCTCTAGGTTTGACATTGGTCATAATTATCATTAGCTTGTGGACCTACAAACAGCACTCCAGCAACGACAACAAGAAACGAACCCGCCTGCTGTCGCGGCGAAGGCATGATTATTCTCGCTGGACGCTCCCTATCTCTCTGGATCTGTTCACCGTGATCCTTGTCTCGTCAAGCGAGTTCATCCGTGGCAGGTAAAAAGGAGAAACAGGCTCGTAAGGTTGGGTGGTGACGAGGTATATGTATATGTGCGCTTTTTTTTACCCAGAGAATCATCCGTCCCCTCTTCCGACCGTCCGAGGCTGTAGTACATAGAACTCCGGTGCGAATAAGGCTGACGGATATCTCTTTCGATCCGTCTGTTTTAGTGGTGCTCCAATGCAATGTATTTGTATGAATTATCTGATCGCTCGACGACTTTCGAGTTATGTCCTGGCAGCAAGGCAGCATGAGTGCTCCCTCGTCAAGACTCGGGTTCAAGGTCAAGATATGTGCTCCAAACCGACTATCACACTCGCGACTTTCCTATTTCTGAATCTTGATGTCCACCTCTCTGACGTGGGGGCATCAGTTCACGAGGTGATGGGCTCGCCTTTCGAGCTAGTTTGACATGAGTCAGAGTCCTTCTTGAATCCTTTTGCGGTTTGCCGTCGTTTATCGATGTTTACCTTGATTCATCCATGTCAAATACTCACTCTTCCATAGGCATGTAGGTAGGCAGGAAGGCATTGTCGGTTCGTTGAATCTCCTCTCCAGGATTGTCAAAGGTTTACGCATCATCTGCAGATTCAAAAGGCTATCGCGAACGAAGTGTGGCGGTGGCATATCCACGCATACGGTCGGACTGTACGGCTGTCCCAATTCGTGTTTGTCGGCTCCGAGTCGAGGACGGATGCGAGGGTGTCCGCGATGGGGAGGTTTGTTGACAGTTGCTGGGTAGGATATGGACCGTGTGGATCATGTCACAAAACGCGCACCATTTTGCGCGTCGACGGCGACTCGTACCCCAGATCACCCATCTAGTGATAGGAACGTCTGGACTGCCAGCACAGTTCTCTCCTGTCATTGTTTATCACCACGATGCGGACTATCCGCTGACTTTTCATTTCAATCTCTGTTCCACCCTGTATCACCGTCTAAGCTTCTTGTCACGAAATGGGACCAGCTCCTGGGCAGTTTGGATTTCTGCGAATCCGACGAAGGCGGTTGTGTACCGGGTGCGTTATCCCCCTCCCCCTCTCTTTACTGACTCAACTACACGAAACCCCTTCCGTACATGGGGAAGGTCATGTTTTTATTGCATTCATAGATGTACATGATCGCCAAGTTCAAACGTCGGGAAGGAAGGAAGGAAGGAAACAGTGTACTTATTACTCCAATGACCGTGCACAGAAATCATGACACAGTCCAGCACAAATCCTCCTATACCAATCTGAATCCAAGCAGTCTACACCACCCCATGACTGTTCGATCTTCTCGCATTCCTCATCCCCATGCGATGAGCAATCATCGGGATCGTCGAAGTTGCAGTCCGGAACCCACCGGATATTATTATCCTCGATCCATTCTCCGTTTCTTAATTTGGCATGCCACTCGTTCCACTCCGACCTTCCGCACACAACTCCTTCAATCAAGACTAAGCCCTGCAGCTTCTTCCCCTCGCACGATGCTCGGACCTGAAACACGAGCTCCCAACTTTTGCCTAGTTCGAGGATATCGAAGTTCCATCGGGGAGACCATAGTTCACGACGGCCGTAACAGTCGAGATCGCAGTAGTACGCTTGGTCGATTTTGTCGAGCAGCAGCTCCTGGAGCCTCGGAAATACTACGACCGACGTCTCATTCCCCCATTGTCTTGTCTCCGAAAGGTGAGGGGCGATCCATTCCGTCGCACTTCTACCCTCGACGTGAAGGGAACGAACCTCCGTCCAGTTCAGAAAAGATGGCGTCCACTTCGACTTCGCGACGGTGTCGCTCTCGAAAGAGGATGTCAGCTCGGGGAAGATGGGGTCGTTCGAGCTGAGATGAAGATGGTCGACTGCGTCGGTGCGGAACGCGCGAGAGATGGAGGAAATAAATGTAATAAGGATGGTAGCGTGGATGTCGACCGTGTCCTGCACCTCCACTGGCAGCTCTTCCGAGGAGTTGAACATGTATCTCGACATGTATGGCATCTTGTATCGTATGCCGAGAACGAGCGCAGTGTCATCATTATCATTCACGTTGACTGCGTCATCAAATGTGCTAGAGCCAAGTCTGCGCTTGGGTGCGAGCATGACAAGGACCTTCAAAACAAAGCTGCCCTCCACGAAAAGTAAGGAGAAATGGACCCGGAAAGTCTCCTCCCGACCTTCCTGTAAGTTTCGAAATGCCAGGATGTTCTCTACATCAGAGATGAAGTATCGCTGGTGATCATTGAGTTCGTCGGTGCTATCATTAACACCGTCTAACTGACCGACCGGCGGGACCAATCCCTCTTCTGCCCGTTCGCTGTGGTAGCAATTTTCACGCAGTTCGATGTTTCTCGAAGTAGTCACGGGGATGGACAGTGAAGGGATTATGTACTGATAATATACCGGACTGCCACAGAAGCAGAAGTCACGAAGTCGAGGTAGCGATATGGGTGGCACTCTCGTGTTCGTTTCGCCCGGAGGAACATATCTACCATAATACAGACTGCGGTCATACTTGATGTGCAACGACTCCAAGCAGGGCATATTCTGTATGGCATGCAACATTGCAGCTGAAGGTTCGTGATCCCATGGTTGGGGTGCTTTCTCGATGTGCAAGGATGTGATCCCTTCACACGGAATAGCGACAGATAGTAGGACTCGATCGAGGGTGATGGATGAGAGCGACGGGGGAAATGGTGGGATGTCGAGGGTTTGGTATGAAGGTATGAATACATCGGCCACACGTCCAGGCGATCGAATCCTCAGCGTCTTCAATCCCGGCTCAAAGACAATCGCAGAAAACAATTCACTCAGTATGCGAGAATAATATTCGGGCGGCTCGTGGCCGGAAAAGTCGAGAGACAGCGAATCGATTCGGGAAATATGGTTCAGGACGGTTTTTAATCTTCCTGAAGCAGCCGGGGAAGGGAGCTGAGTCCAACTAGAGAAAGAAAGAGGCTGGATACCCGAGTACTCGAGCATGAAAGATAACAACGGCGACGGGGGGTCATCGACGTTGATGTCGGTCCATAGGCGACTCTCCGCCAAAGCGATGTCTCGCCACCGATGACATACCAGAAGAATTCGAAACAAAGTTGGGCATTTCGTCGGATCGAGAATATAAGTCGAGTTTCCGAAGACGATGAATTCTTCCCTGGCATCGTTCTCATCGAATGAGTGCTCTTCTCGTAACCACGATCGAGAACAGCGGAATATGCGGGAAAGGAGCTCTGGTGGTAAGATTTCGGTCATGTCAGACTTTGCGTGCGAGGAGTCCATCGTGGGTATCGATATATTTGCCTAGATGCCTGCGTTAAGAGTCAGCTACAGTGCATATGTTATATGATGGTATCGACGAGGGATCCTACTAAGATCAGTTCACTCGGACGTCAGAGATGGCAACTCGCAGGATCTAAGCAGCCGGTTTTGATATCCCGATGTAGGAGGATAGTCGACAGAATGGTCGAAATGTTCTTGAGTGTGTTTGGTTCGTCGTCGTTGCACGCTATGGGCAAACGCCCGTCTGTAAGGTCCATCCAGGTTTACGGAAGATCTGTCACCAAAAGTTGCAGTTCCGTCCCATTTCTTCCCCATTATGGCCACATTTCCCACGGTGAATCCCGTAGCTTGTCGAAAGTCTCCGTTCATTCTTTCATCTCTTGAACTTGAGCGCTGAGCCTTGAATCGGCTCCTTCTCCTGTTATGCAATAGATGTTTCACTTGCTGGGCGGAATATAGACCTTGTCAATTGGTTTCCCAAACGCGTACCATTTTGCGCGTCATGGTCGACGACGACTCGTACCTTACTCCGAGTCGTAAGTACCCCACACCACCCATCCATTGACACCCCACACCGCCGACAGCCGCGCGGCTTTTGAAAGCTGGAAGATTTCGACTACCAGCACAGTTATCATTCTCTCATTATTTATTACCACGACCACGGACGTGACGATTTTCCTTCAGTCTTTCTTCCATCCCGCATCTCCATCTGACCTTCTGCGGTGCCACTTTATTCGGCCCCCCCGTCACGAAATGGTTCCAGTTCTTGGCAGCTGCAGTTCGCGAGTCCGACGAAGGCGGGTGTGTACCGGGTGCGTTCTCCCCTTCCCCTCTCTTTACTGACTCACACTACACGAAATTCCTTCCGTACATGGATAATTTCATGTTTTGTTGCATTCATAGATGTACACGATCGCCAAGTTCAAACGTTCGGGAAGGAAGGAAGGAAACAGTGTAATCAGTACTCCAAAGACCGTGCACAGAAATCATGACATAGTCCACCACAAATCCTCCTATACCAATCTGTATCCAAGCATTCTACACCATCCCCTAACTGCTCGATCTTCTTGCATCCCTCATCCTCATGCGAAGAGCAATCATCGGGATCGTCAAAGTTGCACTCCGCAACCCACCGGATATTGTTGTTCTCTATCCATCCTCCATTTCTCAGTATGGCATGCCACTCGTTCCACTTAGACCTGCTACACGCAACTCCTTCAACCAAGACCAACCCCCGCAGCTTCCTCCCTTCGCACGACGCTCGGACTTGAAACACGAGCTCCCAGCGTTTCCCTAGTTCGAGGATATTGAATTTCCATCGGGTAGACCAAAGTTCACGACGGCTGTAACCGTCGGGATCGCAGTAGTACGCTCGGTCGAGCTCGTCGAGCAGCAGCTCCTGGAGCTTCGGAAATACCACGACGGACGTCTCATTCCCCCATCGTCTCGTCTCCGAAAGGTGAGGGGCGATCCATTCCGCCGCGCTTTTTCCTTCGATATGAAGAGAACGAATCTCTGTCCAGGTCAGGAAAGATGGCGTCCACTTCGACTTCGCGTCGGTATGATCGCTCTCGACAGAGGATCTAAGCTCTGGGAAGATGGAGACGTTCGAGCTGAGATGAAGATGGTCGACTGCGTCGGTGCGGAACGCGCGAGAAATGGTAGAAATGAATGTAAGGATGGTAGCGTGGATAGCAGCTCTTTCTTCTTCATCCAGCTCCTCGTGGTCCAAGTCATATCTGGGGGTGAATGGTATCGTGTATCGTATGCTGAGAACGAGCGCAGTGTTATCATCGTCGTTCACGTTGAGTGCGTGATCAAATGTGCTGGATGCAAGCCGGCGCTTAGGTGCGAGCGTGACAAGGACCTTCAGGATGAAGACGTCCTTCACGAACAGTAAAGAAAAATGGACCCGGAAAGTCTCGTCTCGACCATATAGCGAGTTTCGAGCTGCCAGGGTGTTCTCTACGTCAGAGACGAAGTAACGAGGATCATCGATTATCGGTTCCTCTGGCACCCGTCCGCTGTGGTACCTGTATCTATCACGGAGCTCGATGTTTCTCGAAGTGGTCACGGGGATGGATAGTGAAGGAAGTATACACACATAGCATATCGGAGTGCCAGAGAAGCAGAAATCACGAAGTCGAGGTAGCGATATGGGTGGAACTCTCGGGTTCAGTTCTACTGCAGGAATGTCGAATGAATGAAATCGATTGGGGTCATACTTGATGTGCAACGACTCCAAGTTGGGCATATTATGTATCGCATCTAACATTGCATCTGAAAGATGATATTCCCATGGCCGGGGTGCTCTCTCCATGTGAAAGGATGTGATCCCTTCACACGGGATAGGGACAGATAGTAGGACTTGATCGAGGGTGATGGATGAGAGCGACGGGGGAAATGGTGGGACGTCGAGGATTCGGTATGAGGGCGGCATCATACCTCTCCTACGTTCAGACCATCGAATACTCAGCGTCTTCAAGCCCGGTTCGGAGACAACCGCAGAAGACAATTCTCCCATTATGTTGGAATATGGTGCAGGCTTACGGCCGGGGAAGTCGAGAGACAGTGATTCGATTCGAGAAATATGATTCAGGATGGTTTTAAATCTTCCTGTGACAACTGGGGAAGAGATCTGGGTCCAACCAGAGAAAGAAAGAGGCTGAATCCTCGAGTACTCCAGAAAGAAGCATAACAACGGGGACGGTGGGTCATCGACGCTGATGTCCGTCCATAGACGACTCTCCGCCAAGGCGAGATCTCGCCACCGATGGCATACGAGAAGAACTCGAAACAAAGTTGGGCATTTCGTCGGGTCGAGAATATAAGTCGAGTTTCCGAAGACGATGAATTCTTCTCTGTCATCGTTGTCATCGAATGAGTGCTCTTCTCGTAACCACGATCGAGAATAGCGGAATATGCGGGAAAGGAGCTCTGGTGGTAAGATTTCGGTCATGTCACACTTTGTGTGTGAGGAGTCCGTCGCGGGTAGGTATCAATATGGATGCCTAAATGCCTGCGTTGGGAGTAAGCATTGGTCAGCTACAATGTGCGTCTGTTCCATGATGATGTCGACGAGGGATCCTACTAAGATCAATTGACTCGGACCTCTTGGCAGGCGAGCTCTAAGCAGCCGATTGCGATATTCTTGTTATTAGCCTGTTGGATGGCCAACGTAGGAGGATAGTTGACTGAGTAATCAAGATGGTCGCGAGTGCGTTAGGTTCGTCGTCGTTGCACCCTGACTCGATGACTCGGAGTGAACCTGAGTAAAGCCACGGATAGGTTTACCGAAGATTTGTCACCAATTGCTGTTCCGTCCCATTTCTTCCCCGTTATGGCCAATTTTTCGGTACTCGGCGAATCCCGTAACTTGGTTGAAAGGGGCGCATCCGGTCCGTTTCTTTCTTGAACTTTCATCTTTCCCCTGCTATGCAATACGTGTGGTCACTGATGGACATCTTCGTTGTTGGCTCATGTGGTGGTTTATTCACGAGTGGATCAGTGCACTTAAGAATTTCTCTCCCTCACGCCAGAAACCACGGCCTTCGAGCTCGCCGGTCCGTGCTCATGGAGCAAGATAAACCAAGACGAAACAGACTGTGCATACGGAGTTGGCGTTCATCTAGGGAGCGATGTGCGTATTTCTTTCTTTCTCTTCTTCTTCGCATGTCTCTGTATTTGTTTTTGCTGATGGAAGATCCTAGCTCGACGTTCCATCTTGCGAGGTACTGTAGCAAAGCCCCACCTTTCAGAGACTGCTCCGCTGTGCAACCTTCACTAGCTTCGCTAGTAGCTCTCCCTTCCACAAGCATGGCCTGATTTGTGCTCACCTTTGTCGGGACGGATGCCAGTTCGAGTCGACCGCCGGTCTCGGTGATGGAGCGCTTACTGACAGACGCTTCACTTGCTGAGCCGAATATGGCCCGTGTCAGCTTCGAGCTCTTCGATGATACTTTGATCCCTGCATGTTCTTCTCTGAGTGGACTTCCTGCGACTTGGATGACACGAGGTTAGTAGTTTGGACGTCAGAAGAGGCTACAAGCCCGTTTTGGATTTGGGTAGGCTCGCTGGATATAAAGGCAGTGTGCGCCCGTTGAACTTGGTCACCCCTTTCGCCACCACGGGCCCGAACGGTACGTTGGAAGTGGAAATACTAATACCGCTCCCTACTATAGATTCGCTAACGAACATCCCTCTCTCTATTAGCTGCTTACAGAATTCCGTTTAAATACGCAAAATCTAACGTTAAACATGATGCTAATCCCAGCAGGTCTCGAACCTCCCCCTATCACCGACGCCGATTCTCCCTTCGACGACATAAACGCCGACATCATCATCCGTTCCTCCGACAAAGTCGACTTCCGCCTCTCCAAATTCATCCTGTCCTCCGCTTCAGCAGTGTTCCGAGACATGTTCACCCACGCGCTGCCTGCACCTTTCACTCTCGATATTAAGGGCGACGAACTCGCTGATATACGTGATGGTCTTCGCGTCGTCCGCTTGTCCGAACCATCAGATATTCTCCGCCTTCTATTCCAATATCTATACCCCATGGACAACCCCTCCATCGACGACTCCCACGACATTTTCGCCCTCGTCCGCGCCATGGATAAATATTCCTTCGATCACTTCTCTAACACAATCACCTCCCTCCTCCAGACCGCAATGCGATCCAACCCGCACACAGTCTATGCCTTTTCCTGCCACTACCACTTCGGAACGCGGAGCATAGATATCGCTCGAGAAACGGCGATCGAGACGTTGAGATATCCTATGCTTCTGACGAGGGGGCCGCTGGTAAGGGAGAGCGAGTTATTGCAAATGACCTCGGTGGAGCTGCAAGATCTGTTGAAGTTCCATTGGGATTGCGCGAAGGCTGTGGTGGGTATCGTGCAGGGAATGTTTCCTGGGTCTGGGACGTCTAAGATGCCGGAGGATTATCCTTGTTCGATGTCTACCGATGCCCGGGACGCCGTCCCACCGTGCGTTTGTAAACGCGTGGATATAAAGATGACCGAAGGATCTTCTGGCCACCAGTCAATTACCATCCATCGACAAACGACGGGCGAGTTCGTCCGCAGACGGTTTATAGTCAACCATACGTTTACCGCCCCAGATTGGGTGTTCGGATACCTGAAGGGATGCGAGAAGTTGTTGGCCGAGAGACCACATTGGACGACGTTAGTGGGAGGAAAAGCGCAGAGGATGATGGAGGCTTGTCTTGAGGATGCGGGGGTATGCGGGTGGTGTGAGTGGAGGGCGAAGGACCAGGTGCCGAAGTTGCGAGAGCGGTTGGTTGCGCAGATCGAGCAGTCTGTGAGGACGGTACGTCGATGTGTTACATAGATATCTAGGTGATGAATGGTTAGCTGACGAGTTTCTTCGCATGGGTCGCTTCCATGATTTATAGATCGCTCGTTCGGCCTTTCGCGCTCACCGTCAGTGACTGAAAATCATCATTTTTATCCCATCCTAGCGCCTGGGCGTCTCGAAGATGGTACTTATTCTCTAGGGGTCACTTACATAGGAGCAGGAGGGTCTAAATTATGTCTCATGATTATAGTGTACGTAGTAGAGCTTATATGTTTCAAGTATACCTGGACTTCGTTGGCGGAAGATCTGTCCGATCCGCCAATCAGCTTTTGCAAAAAGTCTCAAGTTTTCACTAACATATAAGCCCTAGTGGCTAGGTGCTTTTCGAGTATAATCGTGTTTTCTTTTGCTCTGAAATTCCTAATTCTGCATCCCTTTCTACCTCCTCGTTCACGATCGCCTCCTTTTGAAGATCATATAGTAGGTTGAACCTGAGCTCATGTTTTTATATTTTTCGAGCACACTGCAATCCTCCAACTATTTTCGAACCACGTTCTCCTTCAAGCGCTCTTTCTGTACCGTTCAGAGGTTGGGACCACCGCTGTGGCGTGCGTAATACGATGAGCGATGGAGACCTCCCCGGTGACGTTGGCCAACATCGTTAAACAAGCCACATCCATTGTCGTGCTCAAAGCTTGCGGTCTATCATTTCGCCACCGGTGGGCCACACGTCAAGAACGATGCTTATAATCCTGCCCGCCGAGTTCCTGGGCCTCCTTCGACGAATCTTTGTGTCGACATCGATCCAGCTCAATCTGAACAACCATGACCTCCTGCAGATGTACCCTACATGGTCGGCGGTCTTAACATTTCACGTCGACCAATTGCTTCTCTTTCTGCCTGTTCGCATCTCTTCTCGGCGATCGTGTCTGACTCTCATAATTCAATATTCAATCCGGAAGTGGGCCGATCATCTAAATGCCCGAGCGGTTAACGGTGATTCTAAGCGACGATGAGACGGGGATTTATGTAAAGAGGCAGGGTCGTGTGAGCTGGCGGGATTTGTCTCTTTGCCCCGTTGCCTTCATACACGGTTGTCGGAGGAGTTCGTCGTGGTCGTTGAAGAGTGTTATTTTTTGGTGCGCCTTTTCCTAACTCTCGTGTGTGTTTGAGCGTGTGCTAATATTTGGGGGCTTCGCGCAGGTTATAGACTTAGATTGAGTGCTCTCTCATAGAAAGGCTCTGAGCACTTTGTCGCTAGACTTAAAAGCTGTCGGTGCGTCGTGCTCATACAAGGATGCTGCCTACGAGCGATTCCAGAGGCTGAATCTCCATCGCGTTATCCTCTGTCTCTAGTTTCCTTCATCTGGCACGTAAACATACACGCCATGTCCCACCTCACCTCGGACCCAACACCCCCATCATTGGAGGACAGTTCACCCATCGAACTATCTCCCCTTCCCACTTCGCCATCTATATCCCCAATCTCCCGCCTCCCCGACGAACTTCTCACCCGCATCTTCGCATACCACCAACCGCAAGCCGCGACCTGGAAATCCTACACCGCCAAAAAGCACCGTCACCTCCTCAAAGCCGACCCCGCCCATCCGCTCGGTATCTCGTTACGCGAGAACGCGACGGGGTGGTTGAGTATATTGCATACGTGTTATAGGTGGCGGAGCGTCGCATTCCAGTGTGGCGCGTTTTGGTCGAATGTGGTCATTGATGGGTCGGAGTACGGGCGGAAGGATGGTGGGCGCGAGGATAAGGATGTGGATAAGGATGTGAATGAGAATAGTGATGGTGGAGGAGACGGGGTCTGGTATGGAGAGGGGGGAATGCGTTTGAGTTTGACGGAGATGATGTTGGAGAGGTCAAAGACGGCGGAGTTGGCCGTGACATACTGGCACAAAGAAGACGAACGGCGCGCATTCGACAGGATCATGGACGAAGTCTCCAGGATTCGGCACTTGCACGTCATCGGTGCGGACCGAGAGCTCTGCGAGATCATCACCCATGCGCTCACGGACGTGGCCAGGGGAGGACGAAGGGACGCGTTGAGGTCGCTCATATACGCCACGGTGGAGACGGATTTCAAAGCTTCGATGCCGCTCATGGATCGGAACGTGCTAGAGTCACTACCACCTACTCTCGATTTCCTCGCGTTCTGCGGTCAACTTGGTTCTTCACTCGCTCGGAATCCGATCGTTCCTAGGCATTTATCGCACGGAGGTCCGATAAATTTGGGCCATATTTATCTCTGTCTCACTCCGCCCATCGACATCGCCTCGCTCGAGTCTACGCTCACGTATCTCCCGAACTTACAGACGCTTTCACTTCGATTGCGAACGTACGGCGCTTCGCCGGGCGCGTTCATCACGCTTCCCTCTCCACTTCTCGTCAATGGCACCTCCCCCCCACCGGTCCACCTTCCGCACGTATACCTATTCGACTACGACGGTCCTCTCTACGTGTACAATCACCTCTCCACCGTGCTTCGCATCCCGGAAAACGCACATCGTCATCTGACGTTGAGCGTGAATGGAGCGGACGTGGAGGACGTGAAGGGGCTGATTGGAGCGTACAGACCTAGGGAGGTGGGCGAGGTCAAGTTCGAGAGGGTGAATCTGGGTATGACGAGGAGGGCGCCGGAATACCTCGGGATGGGAAGTTTGGAGCTCGATCTCTATATCAGTCCCTCTCCCTCTCCTGCCCTTTCAGATTCGAGCCATCGCCGGTCACTCCCCAGACCATCGTACCCCCGCGCTGCGTACGACACCTCCCGTTTACCGGAATACGCCTCTTTATTCCTCACGCTCCGCTTTTTCTTCGTTTCTGCGGAGAGGCAGGCTGAGATCGTGACGGAGTTGTATGGAGCGGTTGGATATGGTGATGTGCGGAATTTGGGACTTAGGGTGACCGTTCCGAGTTTGGGGACGAGTTATGGTGGTGGAGACGAAGGTGGTGGAGAGAGTGGGAGGAAGCCGCCGCTTGGGGTCCCGGTCCTCGGCGCGTTGAAGGGGCTGAGGAGGTTAGAAGTCAAGGGTTGCGACGGGTTGGCGAGTTTAGTGAGCTGGATGAAGGAGCAGGATAAAGAGAGGGAGGAGGGACAGCATGCTGTGGGTGATTTGGAGGGATTAAAGGAATTGGTTCTGGACGGTGTGGGGCTCGAGAGTTCGAGTTCGGACGATGAGACTGAGCGGGCGGGAAGTGCGCGGGTGGTGGCGTTGGAGGGAAGATATGAGACGTTGTTGGACGCTTTGGTGAGACGGAAAGAGAGGGGAGTTGGGTTGGAGAGAGTGGTGTTTAGGGGGTGTGGGATTGGGGAGGGGATGTTGGCGCGGTTTAGAGAGTCACGGTGCGGTGCGGCGGTCGAGAGCGTTGAGTACGATGGGGCTATAGAGACGTGACGATTTAATGTGAGTTTTCTTTCCTATTCTTTACGGTTATCCTCGCTCAGATTTGACATGCGATGACTGACGGTGAACCTTTTGTTTCATCGGACAGGTTGAGACGACCATCTATACTTCATTTCGATCAGGGTTCTCAGTAGACTTGCATCCTAGATTTTCGTCTCGGAATATTAGGCTCGAGATGCCGGCGCGCATCGTTCGGGCGGATTGAATCTTCCTTCACTTACTACTTATACCCATTAATAGATCTTTATTTTATGGATAGAGCTAAGTGAACCAGCATTCCGTGCTACATCGTCTCCCAGGTCCCTCAACCACTACTAAAGACGCGGCGTCTTCCCCAAGAAAGTATCATATATATGCATTTATGTATATCCATCATTTCTGTCAGTGAGCACGACCACTGAACAATCATAGTACATCGTTGTTAGTTCTAATCCGGGAGCTGGTTACAGAACGCATGGCACAGTCCAGCACACATTTTCTGGTGCCATTTTATCAACAAGTAATTGGGATCATTGTACGTCTCGAAGACCTCCTCCACTTCATCAGTGTCATATCCCGATAAATTGTCATCTTCTTCAAAGGTGGAATCGGCAACCCACCGAATGTTGCCACCGTTGATCCAATCCCTGCTCCTGAGTGTGGCCATCCAATCGCGATGTTCCAATCTTCCCCAAGTAGACCACTCAATCAAAAGCAACCCCTGCAACTTTTGTCCTTCGCATTTTGCTCGGCCCTCGATTGCGGCCTCCCAGCCCTTCCACAGTTCAAGAGAATTACTCCTCGGTCGCATAGACCAGACTTGGAATGGGCTACGATAAGGTGGGGGGTTGGGTGGATCGTAATAGGTGAGGTCGATTTTATCCAGGAGCAGCTCCTGCAGCTTCGGGAATACCACAACCGACGTCTCTGTCCTCCATTTCCCCCCCTCCCTGTAGCTCAGCCGCCGCGTTTCCGACAGGTGCGGCACAATCCATTCCGCCATCCCTTTGCCTTCAACGTGAAGGGAGCGAATCGTTTTCCATTCCAGGAAGGACGGTGTCCACTCTGGGCTCTTTTCGTGTACGCTCTCAAGATCAGATTTGGCACTTTGGACGATGAGGACATTCGAGGAGATATGGAGGTGGTCGACAGCGTCCGGGGGGAACATGCGTGAAATGGCGGAGATAAAAGGAAGGATAACTGGGTGAGCAAGATCCCAACTATGTTCGTCCCATTCCATGGTGCGTGGTGAAATGTACTTGATGGTGAGTACCGGCACGGATCTGTTTGCGCTATCCGTATCAAAGAGATCATGAACCGTCCTGAATCCGCTTCGGTGTACGGGAGTGGAGACAACGAGGATCTTGAAAAAGTATTCCTCATCCTGTGTTAAGAGCAGGGAAAAGTGGACCTGGAAAGTTTCCCCGGCTCGATCTGGAAGCAGATTACGAGTCGAAAACATGTGTTCTAAGTCGGAAAGAAGATAGTCTCTGGAATCCTGAAGCACTTCGGGATGAACTGCGGACTCGTCCATAACATTCGCCTGAGATGTCGGCGGCACCCATCCTTCGGGTGTGTCATCGGTGTCATAGCATTCGACTGCCTCGTAGATAGTTATATCCCTGAGGGCTGTCGCGGGGATGGATAACGAGGAGACAAAGTACGCGTAGTGAGTCGGAGTGCCTGATAAGGAGAAGGCACGAAGTAAGGGCAGATAGATGGGTGGAACTCGTGGGGTTGGTCTGACTCGGGGGACTGAGTCGGGGTGCCGCTTTTGCGACATACGTAAAGACTCCAAGTTAGGCAAATTTTCCAGTGCGTCAAACAGACTGCCTGGGAGATAACACTTCCACGGTACAGGAGTGGAATGCATATGGAGGGATGTGATCGCGTCATGTCGCAATGGCACAAAGGGTAGAACTCCGTCTAGAGTAATGGACGACAGTGACGGTGGGAATGAAGAAATGTCGATAGCATACGAAGAGCCTCTATCTCTGGAACTCGCGCTCCAAGCCCACTGGATTCGAAGCTCTAGAGTCTTCAATACTGCTGTGGGAATGCTAGCGGCAGACAAGTTTCCGATCATGCGGGAGAATCCCGAGGAATTGGGATCGGTAAATTTGAGATGCAGAAGCTCAATTCGAGGGACAAGATTCAGAATGGTTTGAACCTCTGGTGCGACATGCATGTCGGAAGGTATCGGAATAGGGCCAGAGAAAGAGAGAGGCGAAGTCCTCGAGTATTCCAACATGAAGGACAACAATGGTAGTGGTGGATTACCAAGGTGGATATTACACCATAGACGACTGTCCGACAGGGCGATGGCCCGCCAGCGATGGCATACGAGAAGAATCCGAAATAAAGTCGGGCAACGCGTTGGATCGAGAACATATGTGGACTCTCCGAGCGTGATGTATTCTTCCGAGGAGGAAATATAGCGAGTCAACGAGCGGAAACAGTGGAAGATGCGGGAAAGTAGTTCGGTGGGCAATTTCGTGGTCATGTCAAACTTCTCATCTGGGAAGACCATCGTAGATATCTTGACCTTGAGATCCTATGTCGGAATAAGGGATGGAGTGTCTGTGACTGATGTAGGAAACTATGTCGACGAGAAACTTCAAGATGAAGATCGCTAGTACTGGAGGATCCTGGGGCTTGTGGTAGCCGTTGAGGGAACAGCTAGAAGGTTCAGAACGGGTAACAAGGTGAGCATAACGAGGAAGCCGGTATATCGAGTTCTGTGGATCACCTCTTCGAGGCGCGAAACTCTCTACTATGTAAATTTTTGGTATGTGGTGTCGTTGCACGTTGCACGTTCGGCTGAGTAGGCGCCTAAGGTTCAACTCATCCAATCCGGACTTTTCCGATATGGCACCACATACAAAATAAGTAGAACACGATGAATTCGTTGAGCTGCCATCATGTTCTACCAATACTCTGTGGGGTGATGATTCTACTTCTGCCCGTCCATAAATTTCTTGTTCGTTCACTACGGATAGATTTGGCTCGACGAGTCTATCATACCCTCACGGGGACTCAGCTTTCTCCTTTCTGGATTCCGCACGAGAAATGGAGAAAACGGCCTTTTCCCACTCGTTCAACTGCTCCAACTCGTATTTGAGACCAATTGGTTTAGTGTATCTGTCTCCAACCTAGAATGTCCCGTTCACCTTTAGTGGGTTTCATAGATGCACATGTCTGCTACGCCTACTTAAATTCGTCACGAAGAAGCCCAAAGTGAATACGGAAACCGACTTTCCTTGTCTACCTCTTCAATCCAGCCATCATCAGGTCCATCGCCTCTATCAGATTCGTGCTCCGTGTCGCTCATCTCCTCGTTGCTTTCGTATCCCCATCTCTCATCCCACTTCCACCTCGCATCGCAATCCTTCATCCACACCGTCTCCTTGGCCATCTTGAGCCACGTCCGCCACAGCCTTCGCCCTCCGCCCTCGACCAATCCCAATCTCTCAAGTTTCTGTCCATTGGCACATGCAGCTCGAGCGCGAAGGACACGGTCCCATTGATCGACGATTGATGTGCTTCTCGTGTGCAGCTGTGCCGACCAAATACGGTGAGGCTCGATGGACGAACTCTGGTTGACTTTGTCGAGGATGAACATTCTCAGTTGCGGAAAAACGGAAGGGAGATCACGATTCCTGGTCTTCATTAAATATGGGGCCATCCAAGCTGCTGTGCCCGCTCCCGTCACATGGAGGGTCTGTAGTTCATCCCAGTCCAGAAAGCTGGGTCTCCACTGCATGTCGTCGATGAGTGGGAATGCTGGGACGTCCGTTATGAACTGAAGTTCGCGGACGACGTTGACCGGGAAGAGATCGGAAAAGCGAGAAAGGAAAGGGAGGGTGGACTTGCGCATAATCGGATTTGCTTCCTTTATGCCGAACTCATTTCCGTCTTCGTCCTCGCTTCCGTCGTCCTCTTCGCGCATCTCGTGCGTCTCGCGCGTCTCGGAGTAGTTTATAGATATGAAAGGTGACAAACGGTCTTCGTTTGCCAGTGGTTTGACCACAATGTCGAGACGTTGAACATCTGTTGCGTGAAAGAACGAATATTCGGCTCTGTATGTCTCTTGATTCTCCGTGCCTTCCGAGCTCTGGTACCGTGCCATGACGAGCTTTTTGAGCTCGGTGAAGAACAGGATCGCGGCCTCGTTTATGGCCTCCTCGGTGACGTGATCGCCCAATTGGTTCTGAGGCGCTACCCACCCAGCAGGAACGTCAAGCGCATCGTAAGTCGTTGATTCGAATATGTAGAGCTCCAGCGTCACCATAGGAGGGAGGAATAGCGAGGATAACAGATATGCAAGGTGGGCGGGAGTTCCACTTAGAGTAAAGAGTTGGAGACGGGGTAAAACCGCTGGTTGGGGCCTGTGTGCGGGTCGTACACGAGGGACGTGTTCACTGCCACAGTGCATACTGAGGGATGTCAGATTAGGAAAGTTCTCCAGTGTATCGATCAGTGCACCGGGTAGAAGACACCTCCACGGTGAAGGTAAGGAGTTGATTGTGAGCGTGGTCAGTGATGTGTGTATGGAATTCGGGGGCATTGAGACCATGACGCGATTCAGAGTGAGCGAGGAAAGATGGGCTGGAAGCGAGGATGTGGTGGCTGTAACGTGGGCATGCGGAGCGGACGATTTGCCGTACCAGAGATCGAGTGACTGGAGTTCGGGAGCGGAATCTGCGTTTAGTACACGGCCGAATATTGTTGTCACTTTTGTAAGGTCCGTGAGGTCTACGCGTAGATGGAAGGCATAAACGCGGTGAAGAAGAGGCATGACTCTATCGAGCCTTTCTTCATCTTCCTCGCAATACACCTTAATTCCGCCTGACAATGAGAGCGGAGAATTTCGAGAGTACTCGACCATGAACGAAAAAAGAGGTGGGGATGGATTGCAGATGCTGATGTGGCTCCATAATCGGCTGCAGGCCAACGCCACTTCTCGCCAACGTCGGCAGACCAGCAAAATACGAAAGAGGGTCGGGCATAACTTGGGCTTGAGGGTATAGCTGCCGCCGGCACTGGAGATGAATTGTCCGTACAACCTGTCCGAGCGAAAGTTGAGAAATATGCGACACAGCAGCTCTGGTGCCAATTGGGCAACTGGGGCCGACATCGAACTTGTGATTGACATAACGTGTAGGGAGATTGCTGTGGTTTTGGAGGTAGTGATTCTTGTGGATTATCTATCAATAAATCGTGAGTCAGGTCTGTGCAACATGGATTCAACCAAGATATAGAGTGAGCCGTGACTGGTCAACGCACTTAGTGATTGTTACTCAGTACTATGAAATGAGGTTTCAATTATATGTCAGTCATATAGAGCAAATTTCGACAGGTGGAAAGCGTAAATATAAATGGCAGTGGGGGCTACTAAGGCAGCAAACATGACTACTTGTTCGTTTCGCTGCAGTGGTCAACCGTCCCTTTGCACGCTCGTCAAAGAGCTTCAGGGACACCAGTGACCAACTAGGCTGTACGAAGTTCACGACTGGAATCATAGAATATACTTACCAGGAATCTGAGTCAACAAGAATGGCTTTAATTATGGTGCCCCCCTCGAGTCCTTTATTACGGTGTGACCAGTGAAGCTTCGAAGGAACGCCAAATCTAAGATCGCCGGTGCTTGTCGTGGCACGTAGTGAGCAGGTAGTCGTTCACCGCTCGTGTTCAGCCTTGGTGCATGGTCGCCGGATTCCTCCGATAGCCACGCCACACGATGCCGAAGGTACTACGTGGGCCACATTCTCTATCAGATTTTTCCACAGAGCGCCGCCGATCTCCGCCGATAGAGTACTCGAGTATTTACGAAGATGAGAGGACAGTCAGACAGTATTAATGTCGATCTAAGTTAACGCTGTTGTTCCACTTCATCAGTAACAAGGCAGGTCACTGAGAATCGTAGTCAACATTGACGTTCAAGCTTCTCTAGTTTATCCATGCTATCCTACACACATTCAGAGCCAAAGAAATCAAGCAGGAGTAGTGGGTGCAACCGCCCCGTACGGGATCGCCTTCGCTGATAGATCCATATACCCATACTCCTTCCTCTCCGTGTCCTTCCCCATCTTCTCCACCCATTTACCCAGATCCGCCATGAACGCATCTACATTCTCCTGCACACTCAGATCCACCGGCTGCTCGTCCTTCCCAAACTGCCTGATCTGCACCCCCGCCGCCACATTCGTAATCTCGAAACTGTCCTGGTCCAGCTTCTGCGCGATCGCGCCCTGCACCTTCCCCGAGAGTATATCCGCGCAGAACGCCGGCTCCTGCGCGAGAGGACGTCCGAGGCCGACTCCGTCGACCGTATCGAGAGCGTTTACCATCGCACCAACAGTCTTGAGCCCACCCGTGACGTACACCTTCGTCTTCTTCAGCCCCGGCGCGATCATCTCCGCAAACTCGATGAAGAACGCCTCCCTCTTCTTCGTCGTCTCCCGCTTGTGATAGAACACCAGCTGCTCGTACGTTCCCCCGCTCAGCTCGACGAAATCGAACGTGTTCTCCTCCAGGATCCGTACCAGCTCCTTCGCCTCCTCAGGCTGGAACCCGTTCGCCTGGAACTCGGTGCTGTTGATTTTGATGCCGAGGATGAAGTTCGGTTTTGTGACTTTGCGGATGGCGGCGGCGACGTCGGTGATGAGGCGGGCACGGTTGGTGAGAGAGCCACCGTAAGAATCAGTGCGCTTGTTGGTGGTGAGAGAGAGGAATTGGGCGAAGAGGTAGCCGTGGGCGCCGTGGAGCTCAATACCGTCGAAACCTGCGGCTTCGAGGTAGGAGGCGGCATGTGCGAAAGAGGAGATGACATTTTGAATGTCTTCGAGGGTCGCGGGTCGAGGCTTGGCGAAGGTCATGCCCATGATGTTGCCTACGAACACGAAAAGAAAAAAAAACACGGAATGAGTAAGGTAAGTTCGTCGGAACGTATCGGGACGGTGTATAGGAACGTTAGTACATACCCTCGAGCTGGACGTCGCTCGCGGAAATCGGATGCTTCTGAATCGTATCCTGCACCTGCCTTCCCGGATGACTCAACTGTGCCACAAACAGGCTTCCCCCCTTCTTCGCCTGCCTCGCCATCTCCTTGTAAGCCTCAAACCTCACATCGCCCTCCTTCGCTTCCTCCTTCTTCGTCACGACCATATTGCCCGGTCCTTCCAGCTGGTCGTACTCGATCAGGACGTTACCAGAGAGGATGACACCGATGCTGCCGGTCTCGCCCCAATGGCGGTAGGCGTTGATGAGTATGGGTGAGGGAATGCCGCGGGCGGAGGGCTCGGTGGGCGACCAGGAGGCGAGGCGTTCGGACATTGCGCCTTTGAGGAAGCGGTTTGGCGCGGTACGGTTTGAGAAGGCGAATGTGAGGGGTTGGCCGAGAGGGGCGGGGGAAACGGAATCGGAGGTGTAGCGGACGGACATTGTTGGTGTTGTTGGTTTTGTTGTTGAGTGTGGTGGTTGCGTTGTACTGGACAGTGTGAGGACGAGTGAGTGGGATGAAGAGACGAGGGAACGAAAGATGGAGGAACAAACTTCGATGGTTTTATACGTCCTGACCCACCCTCTCATGACTCGAACTCCATATCCACATCAATATCGCTGCGTCGCACTGTTTAGCGATATCTGTGTTCTCGGAGAACTCCCTGAATACGAACCTTGACAAAGCCACGTTTCTGACATATACGGGAGAGAAAGAATGCGAAGGTGAGGTTAGTCAGGGTCTTCAGGCTGAAAAAGCACGGCATTCCGATTTAGACGCCGACAATTCACGCATTAGAAAGTAAGGAATATGATATGTCAGCGTATAGATTGGTGTTTCCGGTTTCGATTTTGGCAGTGGGGGATGTATCGATGCCGACCGAGGCCAGTGCTTGCGTTAAGTTGCTTCATGTTCCTGCAAGGCGTGAGGACAGACAAAGGCAGAAAAAAGCGTTGATCGCAAGTCTCCGAACGAGGACAAATGGAAGGACAAGGAGGATCAGGAATCAAATTAGTGTGATACTGATATGGTGCTCGTTCATCATGTCCTTTCACGCCAGGGCACGGCCCTAAGACTTCTTCACGAGCTTGTCAGCGTTCCAGCACGTTCTCGTCGGTGGGGGAGAAGATGAAGAAGAGGTAACCCTGACGAAGAGGTAACACTGACACCAGTCTGAACACTAATGGCTGTTAGTATACATATACTTTCCTGTGGGTAATGGCACGACCTCGGTGAATATCCTATATCTTCCTCTACCTGAGCATAGCGCCCACGAGTACAAAGAAATCACATAGGTACGCACGTATGGTTTCAAATCCTGACGGGTCACCGGTGAAAATTTTGAGACTGTTCCTCCCATTCAAATTTCGGCTCTTATCAAACGTCCCGTTTGCATCGTGCAGGTGTCCGGCTAATATAAACTCTGAATACCGGACGAGATCAGTATACGTATGTCACGATACGCCTAATGAGATACCGGTGTCATCGATTCATCTGCCATCAGTTCGAATGGTATGGATTCGGCGTACCTTCTCCCCCTTCCGCCGTCCGTCCGGTGGGTGAAATTCATGGACACTCCCCTTGATGGTTATGCATGTTCCGGAAGGCCTGTAAGAAAGAAGTTGGAAAGGAGAAGTCCTGAGACGAATCATCTCCAGTAGAGCGTCAGCTTGGTCCATAGAACGGCTTTGATACAATGTATCGTTTGACCTGTTCATTATACTGTACACGTTACTTTGTGAAAAATGAGAAGATGTGGCGGGGCCTTCCGATAGCGACACGAGGGTGTTCAGCGACAGAGAAGAGAGCATGGATGCGATTAGGACTTTTTCTATGATACAGACGATGCACGGAACAAGCGAGCGGTCGGAACGTCAAGACATTGGAGAAAGAAAGTGTAATATGTGGTTCGTGAACTTGGCATGGAAAGCGAAAGCTGCGAAGAGGGACTTTCTCGGGACTCAGTTTCAAGAGAGTCAATCAGAATTTCCGTGCACACCTGCAGATATTTTTTGATCTAACCCTCATCCAGAATCCGAGCTTTTCAGACCTCTCCAACTTCACTATCTTCCCCGACCATTCACCACTCCTCAGCTCTCAACTCCCGAGTCTCGCCTGAAACCCTCACCCTCTACGCCGGAACCAGCAAATCTCCCCACTTCCTCATGATGAATACCCCTCCAAGAAACACACTCACTCCCGTGACGATGCTGATGTTCCCTGGGAGCTTTTCTGGCGCAAGAATCTGCTCGCGCATCAACCAACCGAAGAAACCCTCATTGGGATCGACGGAAGCGCGGGATGGTTGGAGTTGAGCAGGGGTGTAGTAAGCGGGGCCAGAGTTGGGTGGTGCAGAGCGGCGAGCCATGATATGTTTGTTTTAGGGGTTTTTGGGAATAAAAGAGGAGTGCGAGTGAGTGGATTAGATGGTGGTCGTGCTGGAAAAGTTGACACGGGGCGGAATTTGGATGACGATGCCAGAAGAGGATCCCAAAAGGGGTCGGATTGTGATCCATTTCCCAAATACAGCCAGTTTGTGTGTTGCTTCAATGCTTGCGACGTGGAGTAAGCACGGTTTGTGAGGAAATGCCCGCGAGGCGCGTGCTGTTTGTCCCGTGTTTGCATAGAACCTTATTGTGAGCCGAACCAGCCGGCCGAGTCGCGCCGCGTCCCATGCAGCGCGTTTCCTGGTGTGCGACGATGCACCTGCTTGCACAGCGATCAGGCCATATATAATCACTAAAAAATCCTGAACTATACTTGTATAGCATTTTTAACGGAATGACCGAGCCAGAGTTTGTTTAAAACGGACTGCAGCTTGAGATATGGGCACTATAGACCGTATCTGCGAGTGAATTTTTGACCTCGCTAAAGCTCGCTAAGGCCCAACGGGACACGACGATTGGTCCGATCACAGTTTTAAAGCCGTTTTAAACGGTTGCAGATACGGTCTTATCTCAAAGAGCAAGACATTTATCAAGATTCTGGCTCGGTCACTCCGTTTGTATATCCAGTTCATGTGTTCAACTATATTCCTTGAATTTATTTATCGGTGCGTTGCTGCTGCAGACACCCAAATCTTGTGAGCCTTTCAGACACAGCCAGGCACTCGGTTTGCTGACAAGCTGAGGCGGCTGACCTGCCGCCATAACCGCGCGTCGGAGTTTGAACACGCGTCTTTAGCGAGCATTTGGCGAGCATTGCCCATCCTCACAAGTTTGCTCATAACGTGTACCAACAACGACGACCCGACACACCAAACCGTCTCGAGCATTCAACGCACCCAAGGTAATGACGACCACTCATCTGATCATTTACTATGCTAACCTTCAGCTATTTCTCATAACAGATTCTACCATGGTATCCCTGCACGCAAAGTCTGATATGACGACTAGATTGCCTCCAGAACTTCTCTCCCGCGTATTCCGTTGCTTTGGTTCATTATCGAGGTTTCCAGAGCGGCTCTCACCCGGTCTGAACGTTGCAGAGCGCTCTATCAGTATAGCTCCAGGAGATGAATACATCACACTCGGAAAGTCGACATATATCCTTGATTCGGCGAAATGTCCGGCCTGTTTTAAAATTCTTCTCGTATGTCGTCGCTGGAGAGACGTCGCTTTGGCAGATAGTCACTTGTGGACCGACATTGATATCGATGATCCTCCGTCACCGTTGTTGTGTTTCTTGTTCGAGTACTCGAGGAATTTACCTCTGGTACTCTCTGGCTGGACCCATATCTTATCCCGCGTCGTTCAAGGAAGAACTAAAACCATCCTCGATCATCTATCTCGAATCAAAATGCTATCCTTCGACTTTCTTGGTCCCGAGCCCGCCGAATTCTCTCGCATGATCAAAGCATTATCTTCTGCGGACGTTCCCCGACCGGCGTTGAAGACGCTGAGAATTCGATTGTCTCCGCGTCGTACTTTTGACGCCCCCACACCCCAAACCATCGACATTACATCCCTTCCCTCGTCTATATCATCCATCGCTCTCCGTCGAGTCTTCCCATCTGCACCTTTCCCGTGTGAAGGGATTACATCCATTCATATTGTGCACGCCCCGCTACCGTGGAAATGTCATCTTCCAGGTGGATTGTTAGATGCCATAAAAAATATGCCCTCCTTGGAATCACTGCATATCGGGTATCGTGAACGTGAACTTCAAGCGTTGGGAGCTCCCTCTACCCCCCTAGTAGAACCGGTCACGAGAACCTCTCCCGTACCGCTACCTCATCTTCGTGACTTCTTCTTCTCGGGCACTCCTACGCACTACACGTACATAGTGCCCTCGCTCTCCATCCCCGCAGTCGCTTCCAGGAACATCGAGCTCTATGAAGACTATTGGTACGGCGCCGGGGAGGTGCCAGAGGGGTGGACACCACCGGGCTATCCACCATACAGTTATGCTGTTAGCCCAAAAGTACTCCATGAGAATCGTGATTACTTCTATCCGACATAGATGCGATTCTTGCATCTCGAAGGTCGGAGCCTGGCCGAGCCAATGAGACCTTCGGCGTTCATTTCTCTTTGCTTTTCGTAGAAGCTGAATATATGTTGAAGGTCCTCGTCACCCCCTCGCCCAGGCGCCGACTCGAATCTAGCACATTCGACGACGCAGTTGACCTAGATGAACATAGCAGGCCTGCACCTGTTCTCAGTATCAGGTACAATATACCACCCGTCGACGACGACGCCCCCGTTGACGAATTCGAATACGAGAGGGATATCGTCCATGCTATGATCCTTCCACTCATCTCTACCATAGCGCGCATGTTCCCCACGGATGCCGTCAATCATCTCCATCTCAGCTCAAACGTCTCCATCCTTCCTCAAACGGTAGAATCCGACGACGACAGCGATACCGACGAAAACAACGAGGAGTGGACTCCGCCCTTCTTGGAATGGTCGGAGGTTCTCTCCCTTCACGTTGAGGGCAAGGGCATGGCGGAATGGCTCGTTCCGCATGTTTCGAAAACGCGACAGCTGATGTTTAGAGAGGGTCGAAAGTGGAGGAAGGAGACGTCCCCTGTGGTGTTCCCGAAGCTCCAAGAGTTGATGCTAGACAAGATTGATAGGGCGTTTAGTCCGCAGAGCCTCAACGAGGGTTGCTATGATGAGATCTGGTCGCACAGATTGAAGGTTGATGTTGTGGAGGTAAGAAAATGCTGGGAGAGCGTACTTCAGGCCCGGGCGGCGTGCGCAGGAAAGAAACTGCAGAGGTTGGTCCTGGTTGGGGGCGAGGTATGGGGGCAATTAGAATGGCGGAAATGGTGTGCCGTGCTGAGGACCAGTGGATGGATCGAAAATAACAAGGTCGAGTGGCAATGCGATAGTACTGCCGGGGACCCAGAGGATCTCCTTTGCGACAGAACATTTACACGAGAAGAGCTTGATTTGATGGAGGAGGGCTGGGATTATGAGTGGCATCGAAGGATTTGTGCGGGTTTATGCCATAGCTTCTGTGATCGCTTCTTGTACACATGAGCATGTAACGGAGAGCAGCGCGAGGTGACAGTCACTGCTCAGCTCAAGATTTTCTCCTTCATTCCCTAAACACTGAGGGCGAAAACAGCTTGAAAGTCGCTATCGATAAGTCGCCCCTTCAGATAGTGTATTTCGCCGGGGACGCCTTCACGAGGGTTCAAACTTTCAATATTTTGGGTTTGTTAGTTTTCTTAACTACTGAGATATTGAATCTCTCACTGCATACCACATACACGACTACATGTGGTACATGATTGTGTACATCGAACTTCTCAAGTAACAATATGACCTAGGTATTACATATCACCCGTCATGATTGAACATCTTCCGTCTCCTATGGTCGTCCTTCATGCGACAACCGCCTCACGGATGTATGGATCCAGTCCGTCACACTAATATCATGCTATAGTAGGCGGCTTCGGGTTATCATGATCTCGACGAAGATTGACCTCGAAGAATCAATTGTATGCGCTTGCATTCAGCAGCATTGTGTTCGAGAAAGCATCCCGGAAGAAGGTCCACATCTGCGTGCTAAGTCATGAGGAGATGATGGATGGGGGAACAGCATTGCTCTTAGCCAGGATCACGAAAGCATTAGTGAAAGACGGCTCCCTTGGGAGGCAGCTTCCAGCCTGCGCACGAGACAAAGAACGGCGGAGTGACATGTGAGGTAGACCTCATCAACCTGTCTAGTGGTGGCTGTCTCCGGTCGGTATTGATATGGGCGAGCAGTCTGCTGCCCATTGACAGAGCTTGAGCTTGAAGCTTGAAGCTTGAAGGGCGGCAGCGACTGTCGAACTGACGAGTGATGTATGACATTGTACAGCGCAAGCTAAGTTACGACTTGCTCTTCAGGTTCTTGCATGTCATAGGTTCAAGTGGATATTGAACACTACGTACTATGTCGTTTGAACACCTATAAACCCTGCCACAGTGATGGTCTTTCTTTTAAATAATTTCCGAGCTTGGTCGTCGTTAGTGGCGGAGGGCGCTCGGAAAAGACCGGATCGTGGCGTGGTAGAAGGGCGCGCTCTGCAGTTTTCCTCGAGTCTTAGTTTGCCTTGCTCCGACCCCGACTCGTTCAAATTAGACAATAGACCTTATATGTTTCAAGTTTACTTGGAACTCGTTGGCGGAAGATCTGTCCGATCCGCCAATGAGTTTTCGCAAAAAGTTCCAAGTTTTTACTAACATATAAGCCCTAATTCCGTCCGTCATCCCCACTTGCGCGAGCAAGGTATACGGAGATAGATCTCCAATGGTTGGGTCTCAGACTGTGACCGTGAAAGGACGTTCCAAGGACGTTCAGAAGTATGGGGCGACTTGAAGTACGAGGATCGGAGTTCGGAGAATCCTCAAAACGATGATCTTTGCGAGAAGTTATTCGTCTGGGTGCTGTCGATGCCGATAGGCTTGGAAGACTCCTTCTTCGTGGGATACTGCTGCCTCTTTGGCCAGTTTGATACGTCCTCTTAGCCAACTTCACGCACGAGCCACAGGCGGAATTGGAGCCCAAACAGTGCACACTAACGTGAGATGTGTCATTTATTGTAACCGGGAGTCGAGGATTATTAACCCTGTTGTCTGTTCCAGTTGGTCTGTGCACCCTCTAAGTATCGGGGCACCCACCCCTGTTAGGCATTCGGGACGATGGACTAGTCTTATGTCTGCGATAGTGACTGGTAAGGTTTCATGACCACTCACCTGAGGCTAATTGAGCGTAACGACATTGTTGATCAATATCCAGAGTGCGGCATTTGCAATGGATGGAGATGGCCAAAATAGTGTCTTCTCTCAGTGCTTCTTCGAAGGTCCGAGATTAACACCTTTCCTCCCTAAAGCACGCTATTGTCCTTCAGTACTTAGGATCTAAGGTGCGTCTTTACCGCTTGCTCAAGGTACTTCTATTATTGTCGTTATCAATAGGAGCTACATTGTTAATGCAACAGCCAGCTATGTGTGCCACATTGCATCGTCCTAGAACACATCATTGTCCCCATCTGTGATACTCATGAAATAGGGGTCGCTAAGTCCTTTTCTCATACCTTACCGTTATAACCATGCAGCTTTGCCTCTTTACTCATACATATCAATGAGGGCAGATTAATTGTCTGACTCTTGCATTTATGAGCCCGTTTTCTCTTGTCGGTGACTATGTGGGTATATTTGGAGTGATTCAAACCTTTCAAGCCTTCGCCAGAGCTCAATGCCTGATTGGCGGAAGCTTGAAGTGTCGTCGCCACCATTACGCCCTGCCTTGGGGCAAATGACCACCATGTGTTTCGACCAGACGTAGATAATAGACCGCATATCCATAACCCACATGGTCTTCCGGGTTTTACGGGGACGGGATTTCCGAAGTCTTGAGCGAAGGCGTGGCCAAAGTCTTCCCGAAGATTCTGCGGGTAATTGGAGGAGAAAGAGCTTCAATTCTTTCAGCAAGGATTTAGACTAGCGGGAGAAGTACCGACATGAATAGGTTGAAGTGTTCGTCACCGGACACGCGGAGAGGCCTGCAGAGAAAGAAGCCATGCCTGATTCAGCTTTAACTGAGATTCCAACTAGTAGATTCTCGTTCGCCTCAGCTTCAGAAACTTTATGAAATAACAGAGCAATATATTTTCTTAGTATTCTACCTGGACCAGTACATCGGGATGGACCACCAATTCAGGAATTCAGACTGGTTTAAATCGCTATGATATCGTCTCCAAAAGTACTGAATTGGATCAAAACCTCAAATGAGTGCATGAAGATGACACCCTATGACGTGCTGAGTCATAGTACTGGAGTAATCGGTCGTAATAAAATCTAACAGTCATGCAGCGGTCGAACATCTACACCTTGCACCCAATATTTACAACAACCATCTTGCTTCTATGACGAATGCGGGCGCAAGCACGGCTCGAACGCGACACCAGGATTAGAGTTGTATACCATATTGAGAAGCAGGGGAAGGAGTGTCTTTCGCTGTGAGTATAATCTTATTGTTTGATCGGCATACTCACTAATGTCGGCGAATTGGAATGACGGTCATTCACGTGAATGGGAAGCTACGAGAATGCCATCAGGGTCAATGATAGCGCGAGACGAACCACCCGGCGGTGAGAACGCTGTGCCCAGGAAGTCAGAGTTGGCTTGTACCAGTCTCGAAGAATGATACAAGTTAGGTAATGACAGAGCCTAAAACTCACACAGGCACCTTCAGACTTCTCTTGTGAGATTCCCGTCATGTTGGGCTCCTGTCAGCTCAACTTCTTTTAGTACTGAATAGTGATAAGCAGATCACTATCAAGCTTTCATGGAACCCATGACCACAGGGCTCGTGGAAGCCATGGTCTTACAAGAGACCACAGGGCTCGTCCTTACAAGGGAGTACCAGCCAGGTAAAGAGTATGGTAGTATTAGGTCTTGCTCAAGAGACGTTAATAATGAGCAATAACGCATTAATAATTGAAGTGGCCTGTGTTGTTTTCTCTGGTCGAGATTATTGCTTGAGTGCCAAGATGTCGAAGCACTCTCTATCTGTAATTATTATAGCATGTGTCTAGACAAGTCGGCAGATTCGGGACGCGCTATGGTAGCCTAGGGCTGGCGGAACGTTCTGAGAAGTCCACCAAAAAATGCTATACACCATCCGATGTTCTGGCTGAATTTTCGAAAGCGTTTGACACGCTTTCAAATGATGTTCTATACATACTTAACAGTATATAACACACTGCATCATTTTGGACGCAGAAAATCCGCTGGCAACTATCCAACTCCGCAAACAGGAGAGACGTGACGGACTGAAGTTACCCTCCTAGTGAATATGACTGCTACCCACTATCAATCTTATCTAGGGTCAGGTTTTATATGAGAGGGGAGTAAAAAACCATATTATTGTACATGAACGACATGGAGAACCACAAGCCACTGCACAGAACTCACTGACTCCGACATGCTGAAGATCGTATCAGTAATATATTGATAAAATTTCAAGGAATTACTTACCCACCGGCTGTGATATTGTAGTTTCAGACCACAGACAACTCTTAAAAAACGAAACAAGCATACATCTTTTCCTCGAATTGAACAAAACTAACGGCAGAAATAGTGGCGGGATATCGATGGGAAATTATGCGAGAGGATGCAGAAGAAGGTAGCTAAATGATACACAGCCAATAGGGTACAGTGGTTCGGCGGGAGGGACGTCGGCCATCGCGAGCGGCGAACCGTCTAGAAAGCATAAAATTACACAGTCTACTACAGGTGAAGCAAGATCCTCATGGCATTGTAAATGACGTCGTGTCTAATAATATAGAGTCAATCAAAATGCACAAAATGAGAGCATGGGAACTGTGGGTACACTGAGGAGCAATGGTCGCACGATCTTGGGCCGTGGCCAACTGTAGTACTACTACTACTGGCACAGCCGCAACAAGGCTAATGCTCCTTATCGCCGATGCCTTTGGGGATCTGTAAGTGGATCAACAGCGTCACGAAGGCATGATGCACCAGTTAGAGTCCCTGTAACGCACATATCACCCCGTACCCTGAAAGGACAACAACTAAGTCCGTTCCCCGAATGACGCTCAAAACAGCGTCGATATTTGAAGAGTATTATTTACTCGAGATAAAACGAGGATTAACTAGAAGTGACTTTCCGGCTCCCAGTCGGACGAGAACGGAACAAAGATCATCAGCAGTTCAACCAGAGAAGTTCTAACTCGGAAGTGGTTCAGCGTAAATATAGAAGTTTACATGCGAATCGCACATCCACTTTGGGTTCCTCGACATTCACAACAACGCACCGATGTCTCCATTCTTCTGCAAGGACATAACGCAAACCTCTTCCTAAACAGATGTCTTTTCTCTTCCGCATGCTCTACAGTAGGCCTACTCGGCTATGTATATATACTCACCCCAGAGAGGTGAGTTTTCTATCACTAATCACCCTCAAGCTACCAGAGTTTCCTACCGCGATTGCTTCAGTCAAATCGAAGGAGTAAAATCTTTGCTAGTCCGGTTTTTATTATCGATCAGGATCTCCATATTCCAGGCCTTCCTCGAATCTATCAAGGTATGCAAATGAGCCTTATTTACAATAACATGTGTCAGTACCTGATGAGGTACGGCGATGATATCTCTTTAACTTTTTTCTTTTTCAGTAGTTCTGAAGCTATGCCATTCTTCGACCATTCGGTCCCGGACTTTGACGTTCAGACCTTGACTATCAATACAGTGCGTCCAGTTTTTTCTCCGAGGCGATGTTCCGTACACCTGACAGCACCCTAGCTTAGCTCATCTTCAATTGATATGTCTTTGGACTCATCGTACTACAGCGATCTTACACGATTGGAAAGTCATCACGGAGTGGATAACGCATCCAATGTAGAAGTTCTGGTGAGTGTATTAAAGACGCTTGCGAGATTTCTTATGGTCCTAATATGTTGGAACATTGACGCGTATGTGATAGATGCATGCAAGAGACGCAGAGATACTCCCTCCATTCTCTCTTTATGGGTCTCATACTCGACACTGCTGTCCAGAAGCTACTACTTGTTCTTCATCGTCGAGTACGGTGAATGCTTCCAGTCTTGACAGTATACACCTTCGCGACACAATCTCCCCACTGTCAACAACCAATGATGGATCAAAAACCATCCCGCAGGAACGCTATGCCCATGCATCGAAGGCAGCACGAACCCGATACGGAAGTGCGACCGGTCTCGAGATGGATTCAATATATTTCCGACTAGAGAATGCGGAAGGAGACGGCGTCAGTCTCTCTGACATCTTGGACGACACAGGTACTGTGAATCTCTTAGGTGGAAAGGATGAAGTGCTTCAGGACCATGGCGTGAATGTTAAGCTACGCATTTTGGTGAGATAATTTTCCCCCGTATTAATTATTACGCCTGTATATACTCACTGAACTGTTTGTACAGTGGCCGGGATGCCAGCCCTGGAGTACTTTGCTGAGAACCAAGACATGGAGAAATCCGCAGGCCGCCATAACGCGCGAGGAACTCGCAAAACGTCTTGCTAGATCTATCATCAAATTCGTGAAAGTACGTCGCACTACATGTACCGCTTTCTTTTTCCTCATTTATTGACTCTTCCAAGGTGAGCGTGCCCGATATGGCGCATCCGAACTTGGGGTCAGTACTTAGGCCTCAGATTAATGCTCCTACACCATATCCGGGTCAGCTATCCCCAGACATGATATATCTTCGACGGTTCTACCAAGTGACGAAAGGCAGCTGGCAAGTCGAGCTCGCCTTCTGATCGCGTGTTTGAAACGTTTTAGTGCTCACTGGATTTTGTATAACCTGGATGTGTCACTCCACACTCTATCAACATCATTATCTAGCCTTGCCACGTACGAGTCTCATGTTCTGCTCATTCCACGGAAATTTCAATACCCTGTGGGATGCTTATAGTAGTACTTGTCTACCGTTATTGGTCATTTTACAGTGCACGATTGGATGTCTTCTCCGCCGCCGAGTTTTCGTGTATTTTTAGCCACTCATTGTATACGCAGTTTCCTACTACGTATACTGGACTTGTAGTACTATGTAATATATCATCGTGATCTCCCTTGATCTTTCTTTGTCCCTGACTACCCACAATCAATATATAACGAACAAAACATTTCAATGGCTTTTGATACGTTTACCAGTACACGGCATCCCTAGTATTTAAGTTTTCGTGTCTTTTACGACCATATAAGTTTAGGAAAATGCACAGCACTTCTAAGGCGAATATACAATTTTGTCAGACTTCGAAGTCCTCAATCCTTTCATCGCAAAACGTGGGCTCCGAGAGGCCAGATTATTCACTTAAATCGGTAAAATCGATATATTCACAACGCTGACTTGAAGGCCCTATTTATGTCAATGCATACGAACTCTTTACCAAACAAGGCTTCATACCCATTTTCTCCGCGTTCTTTTCCTCGCTGGCAGACAGTGGCAATCACCATCATGGCGCGCAGAGTTATGCGCGCACCTCGTGCTCGCAGCCGCAGTCTACATCAAAACGATTGAGTACTCAACCAGCGTCAGTGACTGCTGAGTTATACGGGACAAGAGCGACGACATACTTCTTAAGCTGTGTGCTCTCGTCATATCACCCACACTGCGGTACCCTGCCCTCGCGAAAATTAACTATCTCAGCACAGTGTTCCCTTCTCATTTATATATAATTATACAAGCATCTTGGAAGTGTCCTCCGGAAGCGCCTGATCTACACTACACAAGGGCCAAATGTGGCGTTGGCGACTCGTATAAATCATACCAATATAATGAATCAATGCGTTCAAATAGGACGTAGAACGTCTATTATATTATGCGGTATGCGGAACAGACAGATAATTCGTCACGGAGTACAGGGCCACTGTAAGAGTACATCAAATTTTGGGGCTAACGAAAACAGCTAAGTATGAAACACAGGAATTAGTTCAAAATAGTCCGCCGCATCACGGCACACCGACAACAGTAAAGATGAAGAGTGAGAAAAGCCTCCACCCCCCTACAACCAAACACTCATCCCACCAATAACAGCCCCGCCCAACATCACAGCCCAACCCAGCATCCCAACCCCAACAGCATTCTTAACAGCGTCCGACGAACTCGAACTCGAGCTCGAAGACGCAGAGGGCGCAGGGTTCGCCTGCGTCGCGCCGCCGACGGGGCCTGTGGCTGACGCTGTAGCAGCTGCGGATGCGACCGACGAGGCGCTTGCGATTCTAGACGGCGAAGAACGTGACTATCAGTAAAAACGAAAAATACGCAGGACATGGACGAGAAACACTCACGCAGAACTCGCCGCCGCCTCATTGACCTCCAAATTCAACAATACCCCATCGATAACATGGATCACCCCATTCTCGACCAACACGTCGCTCTGGCTGATCTTCGCGCTCGATATGCCGCCCGAGACGACGTAGGTGCCCGATGAGTTCGTGGTGATGGAGAGGGACTCGCCTGCGGAGGATGTGTAGTTCGAGGAGGTGGAGGAGAGCAGGAGGGGGGAGTAGAGTGTTTCACCGACGACGATCTGTGTTAGGGGGAGTATCAGCGATGTAGTCTCGATAGGTTCATGAAGAAAGGAGACGAAGTACGTACGTGGTTCCTGACCAGATCACCCAGCGCGGTTTGGTTCGACTGGACGGTCTGCAATGCGGCGCTCACGTTCGCGAGGGCACTGTTCGACGGCGCGAAGAGGGTAAAGCCGTGCTGAGCGGCCAGATATTCGAGCGCGCTGATGTTCGAGTCTGAGCCTGATCACCATTTCGTCAGTACATAGCGAGGGCGTTTAGGATAACATGGTGAGAATGAATACGGACCGGACTCTGGGAGCTCGAGAGTCGAAGCGAGCGAGGCTAGCGCAGATAGATCAGAATTGACTCCGACAGTTTCGTTGAGCGAGCCAGGTGGGGTGAGGGTCGCGTTGATGGCCCAAATGAGGAGGTTAGAGTACGAAGACGAATTTTGTACCGTGGTGTAGCTATCGCAATGACACGAATTATGATTAGTTCTCAAACACAAAAAGACAGGGAAATGAAATTACTTCTGGTTCAACACCACGACGCTTCCTCCCACCTTTGAGAACGCCACGACTTGACTCTCGTTCCCTTCCAATGCGACCAAGTTTGTGTCATTGAGGAGTGTACGTCCGAGTGTGACGTTTGGGTATGTAGAGACAAGGTCCGTGAAGTTGCCGTCCAGAATATGGTAAGAAAGAATTTCCAGGAGCGCCGTCGTGTTTGAGGTGGCAGACGAGAGGGAGGACACTAGGAACATTCCATTGATATTAGCGCTTCCGCGAGTGCAGATGAAGACTTTGATGAAAGTGACGACGCACAGGCTTCGTTGCTGGGTGCAAATAGCGTCTTGTTGCCGGATTGCAACTCCTCGAAGAATGCGGGACCAGCGGTATCGTTTAGAGCACCGGCGGCAAGGGTGGCGAGGGTGCTAAGACCTTGGTCGTTGAGCGCTTGCGCAAGACCGAGGAAGTATGAGGAGTTTTGAGCCATAGTAGCCAGAGGGAAGACAGCGAGAGCCAAGGAGGCGGCGGGAAGGATGGGGTTCAACATGGTTAACAAGAGGGAGCTACAATGATGGGATGTCCTGGAGCAAGTCTTTATATACCTGCCTTGTTGAACTTCGCAAGGCGTCATCGCTGGGCGCAAGACCGCTTGGGATCTCGTCTTGCCAAAAGGGAACAGTCACCTGGAGAGATCGACTACATGTGACTGAGCGAAGAGAGTTGGATTGAATGGAAGGAAGTGGCGCCAGTCAAGAAGGATCGGTCAGGAGGAGGCGAATCAGCTTCAGCTGCCTTGATCTCAGCTGTAAGCACAAGGTGCGCCGTGCAAGGTAAATGCGGAGAAAATAGGAATATATATATATACTCGCATGGTGAAGATTAGGAAAAGAATATATTGTGTTTCAAATCTCGGATATTGAGCTGCAGTATTCCAGATGTTCACAGGAGTGCAAGAACGAAGAATCCACAGACCTCTCAGGTGATGCATGGTGTTATGATCTGCATCGATGAGCAAACAACTGGAGAGCTCCTTCTCTTGTTCAATAGCTCCGAGCTCCGACTGAGATCAACAAGACCAGCTGCCTCCGCTGCAGAACAACTCCGAACAAAAATCATCGATCATTGGGCACAACAGGCAATAATGACGGAGAATCAGAGCCTGAGGACCCGGGAAACGTGGAATATTGGAAGAACTTTGTGTTCTGGAGTGCCTCAGACACCTGGAGAATGGGAGAGCTCAAGTGCTCAAACTTCAAGGATCGTAGTTGCGTGGAAGCATGATGAGCAGACGGGCACAAGAAACAGCGGGGTTTCAATCTCCATGCGCGCGTTACCATATAGGGATAGACCAGGCATTCGGCTCACGGCCCCGCCAATCCTCTCGATTCGGACGCTCGTCACGACTGGACGCTCATCTCTCCCGAAGAAGAGTAAGTATATCGCACTGGAAAGCTCGACCGACAATTTACTGTGTAACTAGAATACTCCTAATAAGGACGATGCGGTGCAATTCTTCTCCATACATCGGATGTTTGGTATCAGTAAGGAAACGACGGTTCATGCATCTCATCACAAACTGACGTGCACTTTCTATCACACCAAATCCCGTCGATGAACTTGAGAGTAAGTTGAAGAAATTTCACGCGTTAGACTTACTTAACTCCGTTTACTGACTGGCACATAAAATCGTCGGAGTGATTGTGGAATGCAGATGTATAGAAAGGCAAAGGTGTGAGCATAAGCTAACGCCATGAAGAAGACGAGTCCAAAAGAGAATCCGGGAGCATAGAAACAACAACGCCAGTCGAGGCAGCCTGTCAATGAGAAGGCTCATGTCTGAATCGGTAGCCAAGCCCTGTCTAGTTGATCGCTAGTAACTCGACCTCGAATCTAAGCGTCGCATTGGGAGGAATTATTGGTGGGACGCCACGGGAGCCGTATGCCTGTTGAGAATAGAAGATGAGCCCGATAATCATATGAGGAATAGGAGCCACAAAGAGACTCACACAGCCTGGGGTGACTGTCAGGACGGCTTTCTAGCCTAGCGATAGCTGTGGTATGCCTGCCATGTTTGCATCATCAAGGAGGATCAGCTCGAGTTTCAGCTCACAATGAAGATGGGAAGATGACAGCGTACCTTCATCCCAGCCCCTGATCACCTTCCCGACGCCGATCTCCGTCTCGAATGGGGATCCACTGGACGGCCCGTTTTTTTGAGAGCGACTGCGATCTGGGATGAATACAGTAATGTGTAGACGGCTAGGAGACTTACCGATCTCGACTGGAGTCAAACTTCACTCCGTTTGACAAGGTGCCGATATAGTATATCAAGACCCTGTCTGTCCGGCGGATGGCACGATTATCGGTAGACAATCAGAAAGAGATAACGCTTGAGTCGTACCTCCTCTTCAAGGGTAGTTAGTGTAATCGCCGTGAGAGAGTACCTGGATAGTAACGCCCTATAGATTCAGATGATCATGTTAGTGCGAGGCAGACGGTAGCGTGCGCGAGATGGGAGACGCCCCATGATGGATGTGGATGAAGATGGGGGCGATGATCAAAAGGGGTATATAGCAGGGAGAAACGTGGAGTGAGAACTCAAGTATACTGGCGTGGTTGCTGAGCGCTGAGTATGGATCTTCATCCGAACCACTGTCATCCGACCTAGTTATCAGCTACGAAAAGGTTCGCCGCTGTGGCACCGTAGTAAGGTCGTCGTCGCGTTGATCCTTCCCACAGCACCATTCCTTGTCATGTCACGAACGTTTCATAGAAGCGCTACTACTTAGTATTCCCAGCCGAGTCAATGGTCAAGAAGTTGTCGACGTGATCTCCCGGTTCTAATTCCAGATTTGGCTCAAACAAACCAATGGCACAGATGTCCACAAAGTATCCATTTCGCTTCATAGCCACATTAGACGCTGATATTGATTTATAAGATGAAATGGGATGTGGAGAGGCGGCTAAAAGAACAGAGGAAGCAGCCGACCAGGGGGCGAGCTCGTAATGCGATTTGGGTCAGAGGTCCTTTGTTTTGTTAAGCAATAATGGGACCTACGCGAAGAAAGATGTCACGAGCTTGTACTTCCTCCAAGTTCCTAGAGGGTTGGAAGAATATAAGAACGCGAGGCCATATTGTCAAAGACGATAACAAACACTCACTCGCTTCAAAGATCTACGTACACCTCCACTATCTCAAACGATGATCACCGAGGTCTTCCCCATCAGGGTCACTCCATCCTTTAACGCATCCACCGACCCGATCTTCTCTCGTCTGCGCGAGGCGACGAGCAAAGGTGGTGCAAAACATCAGTCGTATGGTATGAGCATCGAGGATCCACACAAATTGTGGTGGCTTGTCCGTGCGTCCTCGTTCACTCCATCACCCCCCTCCACCAGCATATAGATAATGGATGTGACCTGAAACTGAACACCCACACAGACTTCGAGAACGGCTTACTGCCCGACGACCTCAAGTGGGACTATACCACTTACGGCGACCCAAAAGATCTCTTCGGCCAACTCACGTCCGAAGCGCCCGCCAATTCGTTCGTCCATATTGAAGGGAGCGAGACGTTCCCTACCGGAGTTCTAGATGCTGCTGTGACTGAGATCGTTAGCTGCCATCATCTTTACTTCTTCGCATTGTGCTCTCATATAAATAAAACTGACCGAGATGGTTTGGTGAATTCTGTGTATAGGGCATCCTCGATCTCAATCATGGCTCTCGACTCTCCGAGTTTAGCAAGATCGTCGAAATCGTCGTAGCTGAGCTCAAGAAAGCGCCAGGAGCGAAAGGCGTAATATGGGGAGCCACGAAGCCGAAGGAAGGTCCCCAAGAAGGTGTGAAAGTGTTTATACTCGTTGGATGGGATTCTGTCGAGGTAAGCTCTTGTATGGAATAAGAGACAGTCAATGTTAAAAAGGGGTCGATATAGGACCACGTGAAACTTGCGAGCCAGGAGGAATTCAAGCAGAAGCAAAGTGCGATGATGCCGTTTCTGAAGGGCGCAAGAGCGGTCCATGTGAAGTTCGATGAGGAAGGGGTATGAACGTAGACCAGAAGGAACCAGTATAATTTGGGCGTGGCAGACTTGGAGGAAGGAAACGGACATTGACACGTAGTATACAGCAAGAGGATTGTGCAAGATCTGAGTGAGGCGATTGAAACGGGCGAAGAGTCATTAGAAAGTCATAGGAGAGAGTACGAAACGTACGGTAGTAATCGCGAGGTCGGGAATGAAGTATTCAATGCCGAGCGATAATAGAACGAGGCTGGACATTGGTGTTGGAGACACGATTGTCATGAAGCTCGTTCGCGATCATAAGAAAAAATAAAGACTCGCCGTGGTGCGGAAGACGTAGCAAATCGATGCATGCGTGACCTAGGGTTTGTCTAGTCCTTCATCACCGATGACCGTTCAATGGGTATCCTCTCTTTCTTCGTCTTCACCTTCGTCCCCATCCCACTCAAGCATACCGTCCTGAACCCATCCCTTCTTCACTATGTCCTTCACCCTCCATTCCCTCACCTGGCACTTCAAAATCTGCAGACGCAGCGATTGAACATCCTTCCCTGACCCATCATGACAACTGGCTCTCTGTGTCAACATCATCATCACGCTTGCCCAATCAAAGTCCATAGGGACGTCCATGATAGAGACGACATTCCTCGGCCAACATTCATTCATCCTAATCCTGTGCAGAGACAAAATCGTCATCTTCGGGAAAACGTCAGGAGTACTCGTCAAGCCCTGGACTTCCTCAGTCCCCCCCTTCGGCCCCTGAACTCCGTTCCCGTCCTCTTGAGCAGTTACCGTACCATAAATTTCCATAAGCCACGGGATCAGCCACTGCGCAGCGCCGGTGCCCTCCAGCTTCACATCTCTGACCTCTTCCCAGTCAAGCAAGGCAGGCTCCCACATCTCGAGTTTGTGATCTTCGATGTTGGTCTCGAAGTGGAAAGAGTCCACGATATGCGTTGGAAAGAAGTCGGAGATTTTCTCGAAGATGTCAAGGACGTCGCTAATTTCGTCGGAGTAGTCGTCGAGCTGGAGAGTGAGAACGGTGAGCTCGGGATTGGCAGCGTTTGGGGTGGAAGGCTGTTGAGTGGCCGATGATGTGATCACTGCTGTGAGCTGCAGCGATTCCTCGATTCCGGCGACGACACTGTTGAGAGAAAATTTGACCTGGTAGGTTCCGACCATGGCCTGACTGTAACGCCAGTTATCGAAAGCATCGGAGAGTTCGTTGCAGACCGTATCCACGTAAATTTTCCGCTGGACTTTGACCACGCTGGTTGCGAAAAAGGGGACCAGACGCGGTGGTTGTTCATTTAGGTGGATGTTTCTGACGACCGAAGACGGAAAAGATAGGTTTGGGAGGATGTCGAGGTAGTAGGATGAAGTGCCATAGAAATCGAAAAATTCAAGATGTGGCAGGTGGACGGGCTGAGCTCGAGGGAGAGGCTCCGCCTGGTCGCGGAGGTCGTAGGTTCCATGCCGGAACGTAAGGTGTGTCAGGCTGGGCATTTTGTCGAGGGCATCATATAGCGGAATGCCTCGACTCGATCGACGATGATGCCTGGCGTCTTCCTCCAAGCAGAAGTGGGTCAAGTGAATGAGTGGCGGGCAGTCGGCGAGGGGTACGAAAACACAATCCCGAAGCGTGAGAGATGTCAAAGACGCCGGCAGTAGTGGTACTGCCAGCGTGACGGTCGGATTCAGACCGAAATGGTCGGTCATTGCAAGTTTAAGGACGTCTAGTTGAGGAGCAGCACCCGGCGCAGCGATATCGCGTACCAGGCCGATGCATTCGTCCATGCCAATATCGGGACGAAGAAACAGGTCGAGAACTCGGATGCGGCGAAGATAGGTCATTACAATATTGCGTCTATCCGTGTAATTGTAGGCGCAAAGAGACATTCTGTCTCCGAAAGAGATAGCACAGTTCTTCGAATATTCCAGCATGAATAGCAGTAATGCGTGGTTGTTGCCAGTGGGAATAAGAACTATTCACAACTGAGCGAACGCCAATGCGGTGTCACGCCAGCGGCGGCACACGAGCAACATGACGAACAAATCTGGACAGTTCGAGGGTTCGAGAACATAGTGCGAGTTGCTCAGCGAGATGAAGGGCCGAAGAATGGCTTGAGGGTCCAGTCGATGACATAAGAAGATGCGGCATAGGATCTCGTTAGGCAGTCCATGTATGCCTTTGGAGGAGATCAGACCAGACACATCACGAGGGTCTTTCGTCCTGTGCACTATTCAGATAGAAAAAGAAGATCAAGACAAGCTGAGTGCGACTTCCGAATGGAGGCCGGGACGTACGTTGTGCCAGGATTCCTGTAGTGCTCCATGGCCCAGTCATGACATCTACGGCTACTGGATTTCCTACGCTGCTTTGCTTATCCGGGCAGCATATAAAGGAAGTTGAGTTAATTTAGTACCACCGATTTTCGAGCCCGGTCGAGAGATGATGAGGGTCAACTACAAAGTCATCATCAGACTGTATCAATTTTGGCCTATGAGTAGCGTCTCAATTTCCCACCCTTTCCTGGATTTTGACCTAAACTGACCAGGAATGGGATCCCTAGCCCTCATATGCATAAAACTCATCGTACTGATCACAGTTAACGAGCAGTCCAAACGATAAATACTTCTCAATGCACGTTGACGTGCGCGGTTGCAACAGCAATAGCAATTGACAGAGCGTACTGGCGTATGTAATAGATACCGTACCGCGAAAACCTGGCGGCGAGTCAACGAGCGCGGCATGGGTATGGACGATATACGAAGGACCGATGGAGAGGGGGAGACATATTGTTGGACCATATGCATGCATGTATGTATGAAGGTATATGGAGAAAAAGATGATATAGGAAAGGTATCGGGGATCGAGTTGAGGTATTTAGAAAGAACGGACGAGCCAGCGAGGACGAACTTGAGAAATAAGCTAAGGAGAACCGAGCGGGTTGTATATGGGAGCCAAGAAAGCCAGTGAATAAGTATACGACAACGAAATGGAACGGAAGCCCATAATCAAGCGAAGTCTTTGAACAGGGGAAGTCAAACGAACAGGGTAAAAGAGGGAACGCGAAGAGAGAAACCTCTATATACAAGCTGCCAGTTGAAGATGTTGAGCCGATTGACCATCCAAGTGCTGTCCATCGATGGAAAAATGTAGAAAATGGAAGATGCTTAGTGATGTGAGTATGCAGGGCGGGGCTGGCTGAAGATTGGGACCCCATGAATCATGGGGTATGTATAATAACTGGAAAGCAAGAAAAGTATGAAAGGTAATTTCTTTAAGTTATATGCGTATGCAACAAAGCGATGAACGGACAATGAAATGCTGGTGAAGGAATTGAATGCGCGAACAGCTAAAACGTAGTCAAAGCATAGCAAAGGAAGGAGCGACAAGTGGGATGATTTTGAAGTTACCGGGGTAAGGAAATCGCTGGACCTCCGCCCGAATTGGCCAAGAGCCCCCTCGTCTGCTGCTGCTGCGCTTGCCTCTTGATCTGCGCCTCCATCTTTGTCCTTTGCTTCCGCACGTCGTCATCCTTCAATTTGACAGAGTTGGCAAGCTCGACGAGAATGTCAGCAGTGGAAGAGAGCAGTATGGGTGGAGGGTGGTGTAAGACTTGGAGAACGGCTTCCTCTGAGTTGCAGTCAAGAAGGCGACGGCGACAACATGTTATGAGCGCGAGGCCTACACGGAAAAGATAGGGAACACCTGGATAGAAAACAAAAATAAGGCGTATGAGCGAGAGGGGTTCACGATAGAGTTGGGGAAATACAGACCCTCGCAGAGGAAGATATCCCACACGCGTTCAAAGTACTCTGTCGGCAGCGACTCCGCAAATAGGGAAGCGAACCTGAACGTGTCCGTGGTGTTAGCGCCACAATCAACCATGAAGAAAGATAAATCAACTCACCAAGGCCGACAGACCATGACAGGGGAAATGCTCATGTCGGTGAAAAGCTTCTTAGCCACAGAAGGGTCTGCGGACTCGACGGCCTTCACGAACAATGACGCGTCAACATCCATCTGGATCGCATTAGCGGCGAAGTACGATCGCAAGTGTGTATCCATCATAGAGATGAAGATCCAGAACGCGTCTTCCTCGGGGGCGTGCATCAGAAGTTGCCCAGCAATGACCGTCAAGCCTAACCACACAGTGAAAGAGACTTGTCAGTGAGATACCGGGAGAAAGGTATCAAAATGTGACACTGACCTCGGTGGTACTGAATATCCGGCACCATGGTCAGATACGCCTGCAACAGCGAGACAACAGGCCCATCCGGCTCCCCCAGTCTTCCCCTCGCATTCGCAAAACAAGACTTCGCATCAGCCACAATCAGATCCTTCGCTGCCACATCCCCCCTTTTACCCAACTGCGCATACAACCCTTCTATCCTCTTCGCCTTACTATCCGCCAGATGTGCCCACACCTGATATCTTACCGACCCTGGAACGCCCTCGTACACCAATTTCTTGAACTTCTTGCTCTTACGGGCCTGGGAGGATGGCGTAGACGAGATAGCGTTGATCCATTTAAGTTCGCGATTCCGGTGGGCTTCGACGCCAGTTTTGTTGGCAGAGGCCTTGGAAGGATGGGCCGGTTCCGAGAGCAGATTAGGATTTGACATGGGGTCGCCCGGGGAATGAGGGCTTGGGGGCATGCCGCCGGGTTTGTAATTTGAGCCACCCGGACTCGTGGATCGCAGAAACGCAGCCAGATCCGACGTTGGAGCCTCGGACGATTTCTTCCTAGCTCCTAATCCGGGCCCTGTCGAAGTATTGGGGCTGTGGCTGACGACCGAGTCTTCGGAAGCACGACCGTGTTCACGATGGATGTTCGGCTTGACGAGCTCGAAGTCCATGTCCTCGACTTGAATGGTCTCGTGAAGCGATTCGCTGGTCATACTTTCGTCCCGCGAGGTCTGGAGGCTAGGTCTTGAACGTAGGTGACCAAGCGAGAGTTTAGATCGCAGCGAAGTATTGCGAGCTACAGGGCCGCTGCCTGGAGTTGGAGAAGACCTTGCGTCGCCGTTCGTATACTGCGAAGCGACTGTATCGATCGACCCTTGCCTCCGCCTAGAAGACTTTGGTGATGATTGAGACGCCGAAGAGTCGAGCGAGGGTTTAGAGGCGGGAATATTGAGGGGAGGAGCATCGCGGCTGTATTGTGAAGCAGAGGAGACTCGAGACGAAATGCTTTCGCCGATGGAATCATCTCGTGGACGGTGAGCCCATGGAGGTTGTGCGGGCACTGAGGGTAACGGAGAACTGGGGCTGGTTTGACCCTGCACCAGAGCAGATGTCGAGACGGATTTTCGAAGATTGGAATTCCCGGGACCAGAAGATGGCGAGTGCAGCGAAGAGATCGATGGCCGTCCATTAAGGGCGCGAGGTGGCACTGCAGTGGCAGGAGAAGAGGGTACACTGCTTGCAGACACGATGGGCTGCGCCATAGCCAGAGGTGAGGGTCTATGTTCCCGAGGCGCATTAATGCGGTGGTTTCCCGTCGATTGGCGGGCTGTGGAAGCTGAAGGAATGACAGGTGGTCGCTGACTGGGCAGTGATGTTCGAACCGTGCGTTCTTGAGCAGCTGGGATCTTGATAGAACCATCGGGGCTGAGGGGACGAAAGGAATCAGCCCAGTTCTGCTGTTGCACAACCCGCACCGAAACTGCTTACCTTTCCTGTGGTATGGTCGACTCTGCAACAGTCGAGTCAAAGCCAGAGAACGACCTCGACCGAGGTCTTGCCCCAGAAGTCTTCGGGAAAAAGTTCGCTCTCGGAATCACGTTCCCACTCTCACTTGCTTTCATCCCTCCCTCCTCTCTTTCTCCATTTGGCCTCGAGTCTTCCCCCGAACGCCGACCACCATCGGTGGGTACAGGCTGGGCCAAACTGCCTCCTACTCCAGGTGCAGCACCATCCCCAGTACCAGTACCCCTCCTCGCCAACCCCAACCTCAACGCCGGAATATTATTCAACGGTTCCAACGAAAACACGATCGGCACCGGACCCATCGATGTCCCCAGCTCGCCCTGCGTCAACCCATAGACCGTCCTCGCTCTATGCGCCTGAGCCACCCTCATCGTCTGACTCGAGGTATTCATCAGGTTTGGTCCGTTGCCCGGTGATCCTATCGGACCGGGACCACCGGCACCGGGGCCCATCGGACCTCCTGGAATACCTGGAACAACGAACGGCGCTGCTGCATTTTGGAGCTGCATTTGTTGGAGCATATGTGGTGGAATAAGCTGTTTGCGGCCGTAGGTCGGTCCGAAGGCCATAGGTCCTGGTGTAGGCTTCGGTGCGTTTGGGTGGGGCATGAAGAGGCTTTGACGGGACTGAGGGAAGGAGCCGTCTTGAGGCGTCGAAGGTGCTGATGGAGGCCTGGAGAACGACTGGACTTGAGGAGATGGGAGGGGGGACTGCTGATGTTGAGGCTCGGGCATGGGCGATATGGGTGTGGCTGGTGTCATTGGGGTGACCGGTGGGGTGGATTCTGGGTCTGGGGATGTAGGAACAAGGGAAGGCGAGTAAGGTGGGGGCGGAGGTGCTGGATTGACTACGATGAGTGGTGCACGCTTTTTCTCGGAGGGATACGTATTGGCTGGAGGAACGTTGAGCTGGCCGTGGTGGGAATGAGAGGATGTGGAGGTCGAGTTGGCACGGCTCGGTCCTGCTTGGGGCGATATGACGGTCTCGTCTTCGCCTTCTTCTTCCTCGTCCTGGGACTGCTCGTCGTCGTCGATAACTATTTCACGGGTTTCCCGTCGTTCTTGGTCTTGAGGGGCCTTGCCTGCAGCTTCTGATGGAGGAACAGGACTGTTGGCATTCCGCTCGATCTCGATCTTCTGTCTCAGTGCTGAGGCCGCGCCACCCAAATTGCCTTGACCTTGAGCTTCTCGATCCTCGAACGACGTAGCGGAGTATGGAGGAGAAGCCACCTCGGATCCAGTCGATCCTGTATACCCCGTATGCATAGCGGGCGAAAAACCAGGCGATCCTCCAAACGTAGCATGCAAAAGGGGCGAGGTGGCGAACTCCAAAGGTGCCGGTCTAGCTCTCGCAAACTGCACGGACTCGGAATCGTCGTGGGCATCAGGGGCTTCCGCCGACGGTGATGGTTCAGACGGAGTGATGGGGGACTGAATGGAATATTGTGACGCATCCGACTGCCGAACGTTAGCCTGGATAGCCGTCTCGATATTGAGAGCCCGAGGTGTCTCGTCCTCGTCCTGATCTTGCTGTATCTCTGGTTCATCCCTCGTAGAAGTCGAAACGAACGAAGGACGTCCAGAGTCCTGCGACGGCGCCGCCTGTGTATGTCGTCTGGCTCCCTCCGAAAGAGGACTCTCCATCCCCGGTTTCGGTAGGAAATTCGGCTGGCCCGACCTGAATGAATCTGCTGAATATGACCTTTCGAACGTCGGCGGCACAGGCGGCGGGTACGGCAACCCCGCCGCAGACACAGATCCGTCTCTCTCCCTACCACCACTGCCGCCTCCTCCACCTGTGAAGACCGACACCTTCGACATGCGAGAGAAGCGGGACATTTTCGAGGCCATGGACATGCGGGAGTATCGGTAGTCGTCGTAGATATCCGAGGCGCCTTCCCAGTCTTCTGGGTCGAATGACGAGGCCTCGGATGGGTTGAGTGAGGGCTGGAGGGAGTTGCGGCGTTCGTTGGCTTCTGGTGGCGGGGAGGGGGCGACAGCTTCTTGCGACGGTTCGAGTTCGGGTTCGGCAGATTCAGGTTCAGGTTCGGTGTGTGATGGAATAGGTGCCAATTCTTGAGGGGTTGTATACTTTGTAGTATAATTATCGTGCCCGCCGACCGTGGATTCGTGCGATTGCGACTCCATCGATGGTGATTCGGCTCGTTCTTCAGGTTCAGGCGTCGACGTTTCACTCCGCGACATGAACGACGCATCGTCCCCGTCTCCTCCATTAGCGAAATTCTGAAGCAACGAAAGACCGATGCCCATGACACCGTCCGACGCGACCGACATGCGCGCATCTGTGCTGTCGTCGAACGCGCCACCCGACGAAGTATTCGAAAAATCCGTTCGGGCGGGAGAAATGGCCGAAAGTCCGTTCACAGAAGACGAAAGGGGCGCAGCCAAATCTTGTGTGCCGTCTCGTGGCGGACTATATGGAGATGGCATTGGCGCAGAAGCCGCCGGTGGCGTCGACAATCCCGTCGAAGTCGGTGATGCGACGATGCCCGGGCTCTGCGTTGATGAAGGGGGGGTCACGGGACGTTGATCACGGTCCGAATACTGACTGCTCGAAGGTGAAGGCAGGTCCATCGAATCATCCCGTAACGGCACCTCCCGTTGCATCCCAGGGTGTTTTGGGCTCTCGTCGCTCGTGAACGATTGATTATAGTAATTCGGGGTCTGTGGCGAGGCCGACTCTTGTGCCGAGGAAGACGAAGAATAACTTGCACCCGGGTGAAGCCGGTGACCGTGGACCGTGCCGATGGTAGCGTTCGAGTCCGCAATAGAAGGGATGGATGATGTGGAGAAGGCCGGCGACCGTGGGGGATTTGGGGATGAGACCATCGCGCGGAGGGAGATGGCGTCGGCGAGGGACGGGACGGGAGATTGTGATGTTGATGTGTGGCGTTGGGAGACGGAGAGGGAGCTGGAGGCTCGAGAAGACGACGATCGTTTGGTCATGACGGGAGTTTTGAGCTTCCCGTGCATGCGGACGTAGGAGCCATCAAAGCGACCCACTACACCTTCGCAGTACCCCTGCAGACAGAGAGCTGAGCGTCTTCGGTAAAGTCAGGATGGTCGGGTGGCACTCACGAGAAAAACGTCCTTTTGGTCTTTGATTTGCATGAGTACGACGATCTCGTCATCCTATGGGAAAAAGAACGTGAGTCATCCCGTAAGAAGGTAAACGTAGTGTGAAACAGATAGACTGTCGAAAGACGAGACCCATAACCCACTGAAGAATCATCGGAAGCTACGGTGGAACTGCCAACTCCGGGGCAAAGCAACGCTTGTAGCACGAGTGTAGTGTCGTTAAACATTCTCAATCTCGTGGCTGAGTCTAACTACTTGCCCGACACTACTGATCATAAAGAAGAAGTCTGGGTTGAGGCCGAAAGGGCTAACTAGCGTCGACGGGTCTCGAATCTCGAATGTAGCAAGATTCTTTCTAGATGATGTTAATCCTGAACGAAGTAATCTCCGTGTCGAGGTCATGTGGTGACCGTGGAATCGACAGACAAATTCGTGGAAAGGAATGATGGTCTTGTTCATTCCTCAAAGCGGATAGGGGAACGGTAGCCCGAAGACGCGGTCTAGTCTCGTGTCGGGACTTCGACATGAACGCAAGACGTCAAAAGAAGCAGGTAAATGGAGGAAATGAAGAAACCCCAAAGATTTGAGGAGGATACGGGGGGCCGCGAACCTCAAAAAGCTGGGGACGGCTGCCCTCAGTAAGAATTGATTGGTATGCATTTTGCGCACAGCCTGTAGTCAATGCAGCCAAGTGCGCAGGCCATCATCTACGCGACAATGTCGAAACAAGTATAGCCGACTAAATAGGCAGACTCTTGCCCATATTTCCAAGATATATCATGGCTTGGCTCGTCTAACACAACTGGTCTACACGCGTAGCACATAGGAGGAGCCTAGTACCTGTGCTCTGCTGGACCGAATCTCTCCGTGATGTGCACGAATGCCCAAGCATTGTAGCGACTCCTTGCACAATCCTAGCTGACTAGCGAAGCACATCCACGACCGTTCAAATAAATTCAACATACCTTTAGGAACATGAGGTCCTCTGGATTCTTTGCCACACAATCCTGCACCGCTGTCCCTTTGCCTATACCTCCCTTCCCCGCGAAGCGCGTCCAGCGTGCAAGTTCTGCAGCGTCCATTGTTGTTGTCCGCCACCAGCACCGGTTGGTCGTGGTCAGTGGTGAGAACGAGCGAAGTCAGGCACAAATTGGATGTTAGAGCGGGAGCGAATCCAAAACAGATGTAAAGATGCCGCCGCCAAATTCGAACTAGGTATCGGGAACTGTTCCTAGATTCGATGTCTTCAGAATAGAAAAGAATAAAAGATATTTCTAGTGCTAGCTTGAAGGTCCTAGGGTCGCCTTGAAAAGAGATGAAGAAAGGGAAGCAAGAAGGGGTGAACGAGTGACTTTGCGCGGGCGTAGGCGGCAAGAATGTTCGGAAGCGGCCATCAGCATGTTATGATCCTTGTTTTCAGGTTAGGGTTGCAATTTATAGCCAGGGTGGCACGGTGTGGCCCGAACAACTCTCTTCGCACGACGGCCATCTTCGCAAGTCACCGTGAGTCTCATTATATTGTGCTGTGGTAGACCGCTATCATAGAGACTGTTCAAGCTGATCAATGTCAGTTCTAAATCATCCTAGATATCTTGGTCGTCGCTGCCAGCAACTGCGAGTCTGCGATTGGTCTGCGACTCAGTTCAATACCTCATCTATTTACACCTAGGCCTGCTGTCACCACTCGAAATGCTGGGGATCCGTTCGGTGACTCAAGCCAATCTTCCTCCTACACCTGCTGCTACCTCTCAAGATGCTGGGGATCCGTTCAACGACTCTGACGCCGATCTCATAATTCGCTCGTCCGACAATATAGACTTCCGTGTCTACCGTGCTATTTTATTCAAGGCATCTCCAACATTGCGCGCCATCATCACCGGCAACGCTAGCCTTGCCTCCTCAGAACGTGAAACCAGAGACAACTTACAATTAGTACGAATCAACGAAAGTCGTTCGACCCTCACTCTTCTTTTCGGCATCATCTATCCTGGAGATTCTCCGGACTTTGAGAACATAACACTTGGCCAATCAGTCACCCTCCTTTGTGCTTTGGATAGGTATATCAATATTTCCAGCATCCCTAGAACCATCGACTCCATTATGGACAACGTTATCAAAAAGAAACCACACCTAGCGTTTTCCCTCGCGCGTCGCTTTTCCCTTGCCGAGGAAACGGCAGAGAAAGCCGCCATAGAGACGCTGCGCTTCTCTCCACTCACCCCGATCCAGCGTATTCAAGACGAGCACCTCTCCGAGTACATGACATCAGGGCTCTTCGACGACTTAGCGTGCTATCACCGCCAAGCTGTCCGCGCCACATCCACGGTCATACGCTCCTTCCTTCCAGAATCCACGACTCTCAGATCCGTCTACTTCCCGTTCGCTCGCACGGGAAATGCCCCGTCAGCGGATATCCGCCAATGGCACGAACGCTGCTATTCCTGTAGTCTTTGCTTCAAATGCCACTGCCCTAGACAGGACATGATAGGCCAGCCCCAAGGCCCGCATCAGCAGGTATTCAACATCCCGCAGTATGTCATCGACTACTTGACGCAATGCGGCGCCGCACTCAACGACAAGCCTCATTGGGATACCATGCTCGCCGATAATAGGTTGTTAGCTGCCCCTTTGCGCACGGCCGATGACTGTAAGGGATGCAAGTGGAGGGCGCGGGTTGAGATGCCTATATTCCGGAAGTTGGTCGCTGACAAGATCGAAATGGAGATTCGAGAGGTGCGTGTTTCTGTCTATCTCGTTTCTATCATATTCGATCCCATTGCTCATATTTTTTTAATCCGAATCGTCTCACCTTGTCACGTACTTCTAGACAGTGAACGTCCCTTTCTAACTTTCTTGTTCTCCTAAATTTCATTCGTTAAATATGCATAATATTTATCTATCTGTGTCATAAATTACGGACAGTTATTACACTTTCACGTCTAACGTCCTATTTTATTCTGCGATGCTAAGTATGCGCCATGATCACTGGCAATGCTAGGCTTCCCTCCTCAGAACGCAATTCCAGAGACAACGTAGAGTCGATGCAGATTAGCGAAAAGCATTCGACCCTCACTCCTCTTTATCGATGTCGTCTATCCCGGGCTCACGATGCATACACCATCAGTCCGCTTCAGCCATCTCTTCCAAGTATTATCTTCGGGCTCGGACGCCTGAACGATACGCTTCGCGAGAACTTGGAAGGCCGCACATGGCTGTTCGACGAGGGTAGTAGTGTCGGTCAGAGCTAAGCACCTCCGGAGCCGGAGGTCGAGCTGATCAGTACGATGAATGGTGGCGCCTTGTTCATCGAAGATGAAGTAGTACTGAACATTGAATTGGACCGCAGTTGGAAGTTGGTGTTCAAGAAGGTTCAAGAGGGGGTACAGGAGGAAGGCCGTTGTGTCTGGGGGAAAATCAGTGTTTGGACTCAGGCATAGATGGACGCCGTACGAACCGAATTCTGAGGGGCCCACGATCCCACGCCGATCACTCGCCTCTATCGTCTTGCGTAGGGAATGATACTCGGGGGCCACGACGAGGACATCAGTGATTGCTGTGGTTGATAAGAGGGTTCTCCTAATGTCTCCTACTTTCTCGAGGTAGACGTATTGGGATCCTTCGGGAACAGCGGGGATACCAAGATAAATGCAGCCCGCGCCGTCGATGGCTGAGCCGGACTTCTTGACGTCGTCGAAAATCATAGAAGTCTCGTGGCTGATCTCACAGAGTGATATAAAATTGTTTTCGAGGACAATGTTCACCTCGGGGCCTGTTCCTCGGCGCTGGTGTGGCCACGATCGGCCTCAGGTCTTGTTGTGAAGATTCGTTGCACCCGCGGAGGCCACGCTGCAAGAGCCAATTATTTCAGTAATCGACATGCTAAGCTGGTCAAGTAGCAAGTAACCCACCAAGAAACGATTGTTCTCTGGATCTAAGGGCGCCGGCGGGATTCAAGGCATCTAGATTGTAAGAACGTCAAAAACAACCTCAAGAGTTCGTTTGTTCTTTTTGAATACAGCCCCGGAAATAAACTGACTATTTTGTGGTACGGGAATATTTGGCCGCATGAAAAAGACATGAACTCCGGGGGTGGGCTGCTCAGGCCAGACATTCGAGAGATCCTGGAGGTTTCTAAGCCGCACGGTCTGTCCTGCATCGTGCATCTGGTTCAGTCGTTCGGTGAGCGAATCTTGTGGTGAAAAATCAATAGGCTCGGGGAGCTAGACAGGTTCAGAGACGAGTGGAAGAATTAATAACGAAACATTAAACACCGTCCAAAGGTTCAAATCTATCACAGTGATGCCGGGCAGCACATTGCTCTTCTCTTCGCGAATTCTGTCCTTCAAGTCTTGTACGATGCAGTTCGATGGTATCATAATCTTGAATGGAGCTTCTCCAATCATAAGAGCCCAAATGGTGAGCGGTGAGGCGTCCATCGTAAATGTGCAATGAAAGGAGGCAAGAACCAGATGAGCGACTCTCCTATTCCAGTCGACGGTGTTTCGGAAAACCATTCAAAGTCCGCCGGCATTTTGCGCCGAGGTGTAAATCGAGCGAGTCCGCTGCGGGCCGAGTAGGCACTCTCTTTGGCGTACCAGCACAATTGAAGACGAGCGACCTTTTCGTACGAATCGTCGGCGCACACCCACTATCTTCAAGTCGACTAGGACACCTATATATGAAGAATTACGGTAAGTCTCTTCAAGGGCGCCATAGATCTGGGACCCGACTTGTACCCGACTATCGAGAACAAGGGAATGCCACGTGTTGCCCCTTCCAACTGCGACAGCGCCAGTGTCTGTGTCTTGCCTTCCCAACCCTCATTGAGGTCTACTGGTACAGGATTTTCTAGTCCACATGGCCATGAATGTTCCCTTTGGCGGGTTCAACATCCGGTGCTATCAGTGTAATGAGCGGGCGGTTCTTTTCAAGTGCTCTCGTTGCAAGTACGTTGCTCTTTCCCTCATCCCTTCCCATGTTGGTTTCATCCCGATAGCGGCCTTGTCGCTCTTTGACCCTTGAAAACTTTCACACTGATATATACCTGACGTATCTCTTTAGAGTCTCTAGATACTGCTCCGTCGAATGTCAGAAGACTGCCTGGCAGACGACTCACAGGTTCATTTGCACTCCGCACGCTATCACTGGTGGTATGGACGCTATCAATGTTCAGGTTACATCGGCCAAGTCTTTCTGGGATCACTGGAGATACTCTCTGGAGGTCTGGATGTTCTTCGCCCTTGATTACGGGAACAGTCCAGCGGACTATCTGACTAGGCACTGGTGAGTTGCGCATGCAATCTTCGCTCTTATTCCAATGTACAACGTTGACAAAGCTGGCTTTTTTTCCAGCTTTGTACTCGACTTGGAGCGAAGAGACATGGAAACTTCGAGATTGAAGCTATACGCCGTGAGTGCTCACCTCTCTTATCATGGAACCGAATAGTCTCTCTCCCACTGACATCGATATAAATAACACACAGGTCAAATCCGCGTCTTTTATGGCGCACGCAGATTTCGAGAGAATAATGCACCGCATACTTCCCCTAGATGAGGGTCTTCGCAATTCAGTAGTCAACAGAGCCTTCGGTCCTTGGGTCACCCCACTGGAAACCGTCATCCGCTACTGCATCATCTGTGAAGGCGTATTCCTTGGAGGCATGCAGGAATTGCCCTTCCTGGAGAGTTACCTTCGAGAAAACGGGAAAAGGGTAGACTTGGGCGAGATGAGGTCGACGACGAAGGGGAGATTACTCTCGCGGAGGTTGCAAGAGGGATATGAGCGCGCGCTCATGTCTCAAGTAGATGGGGGAAACTGTAAGTCTTTTCCGGAACAGTGGTCATTGCGCTGACAGCTGACGATGCTTGTCGTCGATACCAGTGGACGGATATCTGATTCATTACGAGGTAGAGAACCAGGCCGCGCTCAAAGTGATAGACATGAATAGTGGGCCTGCTGAATGATAGAACCGCCTAATGCTGTGAATGTCTCTTGTCCTTTCTACTTAGATATTGTCAATAGGCTCGTTGAATATGGTGGCACGACCAGTCCTCTTGCTTTGCAGTTAGGGACCATGCGCGAAATTCTTCGTCGTCACACCCATTTTATCATCGGCTTTGTGTTGAGTGTTTCACTACTCTAAGTTCATTCGGATAGTGAGGATGATAGTAGTACTACATATTCAAATTGTTGAAACGAGAATTGTCAAGATATATTGTATCCTGCTGGGCTCATGGGCGAATATCCGTCCTTACGTCCCTCAATTCGAACACATAACACAAGCAAAATACAGCTAGCCTTGGACAATCGTCTCTCCCATGGTCCACCGAAGTACACCATGCTTTTCTGCGATGCCGGAATCTACCACTTTGCGCCTCACCTCTCGCCTGACATCCTTCCCAAGACATATTACCAATTCCCGAAGTCGTTTGCCCCCATTTTCCTGACGGGCCTTGAAAGCACCCAGGATGTTGTCCAATGTTGCCGTAACGAAGGCGGAACAGTGGTTTTTGTTCACGTGTAACACGAGCATTTGAAGGAGTGGAAGAGGGATTTGGCCACTTTGGTGGGGAACGCGTTGCATAACGAACTCGGTAACAGTCTCGATCGCTACGAGCCCTATCAACCGGAGACGCGTTAACTGAGTGAACTGATCAAAAGCGGGGAAGAGAGTCGACGACTGGTACGGTAGGTTGTGAACTCGAAGGTTGAGAACGAAACTCTCGATACGTCTACATCCCACGATCAGGAGGAGGCCCACCGAGCACTGGGTTATAAGAGGATCGGATTCCGACCTACTCATGTAACGCCCAGACATGATCAGAGCACCAGGCTCTAAATGAGGGCCTTGCGCCTCGGGAAATAGGCATGTGTTGTGCGGAGAGCTGCTTTCCACGGATGAATTACATGAAACGGCAATTTGTCCGTTGTAATTTAGAGAGCCTTTCGGACCCATATCATCGAGCTGAAAAGTGACTCGTCGGAAAGAGGCGATTCCTTGGCGTTGCCGATTATCAAGGTAGGTTGAAACTGCCATGATATCTCTGACCACGAGAGAAAATATGAGGTTTACGCAGAGATTGGCGTTAAACTGGATGACGGAGTCCAGATGCGCGATGGCAGTGGATGGAATATGCTGAGTGAATGATAATATCTTAAGATGAGGAAGGGAGACAGGCTGTGCAGGTGGCGTCGCAGTGTCAGCATTGAACATGAAGCTTTGGAGAGTCAGAACTTCCAGATTTGGAAAATGTCCGAGCAGAGCGCGGATGTCAATGAGAGAGGTGGGTGGGAGAACCGGGACATGAAATTCCGTTAAATTGTCGAACGTCTGCGTGTGCAAACAGGGCAATTTAATTCGAATTCGCGGGAGCCTGAGCCAGACTAGTTTCTTGGGGAGGGACGAAAGAAACTGATCGTCGATTGCGATGTCAGTGTCCTGAGACGTTCTGAAAATGGGTAAGATGTCATAGTCGAGTATCGACAAGATATTGTTGGGGTTCTGAGACTCTGAGAAGGATTTAAGGAGGAGGCCAAGTAACTGGTCGTCGTCCGTACGGACGACGAGGTTACGGATGCGATGGACATGGGCCAGAATGCTAGAGAAGGAAGATGACAACTCGGTCGAGTGTATGTGCTGAACCTGTAAGGCCATCTCCCGAGAGTGCTCGAGCATAAATTCCGTGAGGGACGTGTGTCGGGAAGATATAATCTCGGTCCACATTTGCGCGGATGAAAGAGCGACAGCGCGCCACCTATTGCACACGTGTATGATGCTGAGCCAAGTCCAATCGCGCATCGTGTCGGTGATGCTCGTGTGGGCAGGCCGTAGCAGAAGAAAAATCTGGAGCAGGAGTTCGGTGGCGAGCCTGGATATAGGCGCATGGGGCGAATAATACACAACCTGCACCGAAGAATAAGGAGGGGCAGCTGCAGAGAGAGCGTCGTCCATGTTGGTTTTGCTTTGGCGATAGTGGGTTGTCGGTAGCAAAGTGGTATCTACTTAGAATGTCTGAGGTCGGTCAGAGGACAGCTCGAGGATATGACGGCTGAGAGGAAAGACAACAGGCGTGGCTGACTACGGCTGACCACCGCAGCAGCTGCAACCCGATCGCGAGTTTCAAACTCAGACAAAAGACCTGCTCCAATTTTACTTCCCGCGCAATACATGGCACTATTGAAGCGGGCTACTCCCAGGCTGCACTTGGTCATTTTGTAGCGCAGCTGGCGGAGACAGCGCTCCCCAGCCTGAGTCTGCCGGCCCAGAATACTTAGATTTACCTAGATTCTGGGTAGCGAAACCTCGAGTTGTTGCTTGTGTGAATCTGCAAAAGGCAAACAACAAGAGGCCGGATACATACATTGATTTCTGTTTAGCACTATATACTCTGATCAAGCCGTGAGTATGCAACTAGGTTATACTACACACTGTCACAAGAATAACGATTCTTAATCATAATCATAAAAGGTCGTCAACATCAAGATAAGTCTGATCGCGCACACCAGCTTTCCCCCTCCTGCGTGAATTCCACACGAAAAAAATGTCAAACAAACTGCAAACCTTATTAAAGAAAAGTCCCACCCACTCTATCGGTCCGTTCAAATACTCCCATATTATCTGAGATGCATCTTCCTGAACAGACCACCCAATACACCGTCCGCCTCCGCACTGGCCCCGCCACCGCGGCCATCATGGCTACTCACATGTTCGTGCTGTAGTCCACTCTTCTTCCCGGCCTTTTTCCGCCTGGCCGGCCTCTCATCCTCGCTTCCGAAATCAAATGATCCTGGCATCCTCCTCTCATCCTCGGAGTCTTCTTCTTCCTCATCCTCCTCGTAGTCTCTAGAAACACCAATGTCCGATGGCTTGAAAGTAGCCTGTGTCGGCGTCTTCCCCACGACCTCATCCTCCAGGATCGGTTTCCCCACCTTCTGCACCTCATTCTCGTCCTCTCTCTTCAACTTCTTCGCCTCCCACGCCTCCCTCACCTGCTCTCCACTCCCACCCTCTCCATCCGGTCCCGTAACCCTCACATTCGCGTTCTCCCCCGGATGCTCCCCTCCCAACCCTCCTCTCGCATAATCCACCGACTTCACGCTCTCACTCCCTTTACTTTCCTTACTCTCTCTACTATCCCTCCACCCACCCTCGTCCTCGTCCTCACTAACCCCACCAGCCCCAGCCCAGCCCCCGCTACTCCTCGTGTCCGACTCGTCCCTCCCACCAGGCGTCAGAGGTCTCCTCGCAGCGGGTGACTTCGATCGTGATGCATTGCGAGCGCTGATGCTGAAGCGCTGGATGGCCTGTACGGAGGCGATGGCGGATTTCCAGTGTTGACGTGGGTTAAAGTTTTCGCGCAGACCGGAGAGATCGTGCGTTGTTGAAGCTTCATGGGTTGTTAGCCACTGCGAAGAGATTAATGTCAGTAAATAGTAAACAGATTTTGCATGATAGGGGATAGGGTAGAGGTTCGTACAGGATGTTGGAGGGCCTCCGCTGCCGTAGGCCTCTTGTTCGGATCGGGATCGAGCAGTTTCTTGATGAAGTCTTTCGCTATTCGCGCAACGCCGCGCCACCGCCACGCAGATCGACGGAAGTCAGCATCTACATCCGGCTTCGGCGGGCGGAGTAGAGAGAGCAGGGTGGTGAGAAGCCTGCGTACCCTCATCAGAAACGTTCTTCCAGTACCGTTCATGGAAATTGATCTTCGCCTCCGTTGTCTCTTTCACTAGCTGCTTGACGTCGTCCGACCGGAACGGTGAGTAACCGCAAAGGAGAACGTAGGTGATGATTCTTGCATTCCAATTCCAATCGCATCCAAATTGAATAACAAGTGAGTGACATAGCAAAACAGATGAGAAAGTGAGACGTACCCAGTGGACCACAGATCCACAGCCTTTCCATGCCCCTTCTTGTTCAACACCTCTGGTGCTACGTATCCGAAACTGCCAGCCAGCGACATGAGCTGTTCTTCGGAAGAGTGTAGATGCTTTGCGCTGTGGACAAAAAGTAAGCCTTTCAGCAAGGGGGATCATGAAGACAGGCGAGACTCACATCCCGAAGTCGGCGATAACGATGTCGGAGTCTTTGTCGCGGGTGCGGTAAAGGATGTTCTCGGGTCTGTGGGATACGATGGCGCACGATGAGTCCGCAAGGAAATAACTGTGAATGGACTTGATACATACTTGAGATCGCGATGCACTATATCATGCTCGTGTAGATACTTCACCCCATTCAACACGCTCCTAAATCTCCAACGTTAGTGCACTTTATTCCATGGCTCGGGCATGGGCGTAACGCACCGAACAACTCCCACCGCATCTGACTCCGTGAATTTGCCCCTCTGACAGATCCGCTCGAATAGTTCGCCACCCGTTGCAAGTTCGAACGAGAGATAGTACTTCGTGCGTGACTCGAACCATTCATAGAACTTAACCTGGTAAGGAAATCGAGGGGTGAGTTGGAGTGAAGTCAGGAAGGGAAACGCGAATACTGCATTCGAACGAGAAGCCTGTCAGAGGAGCATCATCCTGAAATGCTCAATGCCAATCATGACTATGACGTCTTTTCTAGACGCTCTCAGGTCGCGAAATGACATCTGTGTGGCCTATGTCTGTGCATAGCCTTACCGGATATCGTGATGCGATTCGAGTTGTGAGAACAGATGGGCAGAGTCGACCGTGGCATAGACTGCATGGGCACACGAACACGGAATGGACGCTATCGCGAGGGTAAGCGTTGCCAAGCGACTGCGTAGCTTGGCACACCAACCCCACCCTCTTGCGTGCATGCAAATTCCGAAGAAACAGAGAGCAAAAAGTATGGAGGAAACTCACGATATTTGGATGATCCAAACCCTTCAATACCTCCATCTCTCCCCAGACGCTCGACTCATTCCCCTTGACCTTCTTCTTCGGGATGACCTTCAAAGCAACTTCTCTGGTCATATCCTGAGCCTTACCGGCCTTTGACGTCTTGTTCGACGCAGCAGACCCGATCGAGGATGTGGAAGACGATGAGGAAAGAGAGGGCGAAAGTGGAGGACGATGAAGAGAAGAAGTCGGCGAAGTGGACGGAGACGGGGACGTGGAAGACGTGGAGGAGGATGAAGACGGCGGCGCGAGGGATGATGCGGCTGCGCCACGGAGGGCAACATTGATTTGTTCGGGTGGTACATGCCATGTTGCGCGCTGTATGAAAAAAGAGGGATGTTAAGTACAGTGATGTGCTTGTCCCGGAACGACGTGAGTCTACAATGCGCTGGCTAAGAAGGCCTTTAAGAGATGTCCCTCTGCCCGCAAAGTCGAGACGCAGACTTCGTGAGAATAGGGGATAGCAGTCCCACCCCTTGTAGTTTAGGAGAGTCGTGGAGTTCTGCAAGATACCACTTTGTACACGACATCTCCACACACTGCGGATATCTAGGGTGGAACATATGGATGGCTAGTGAAGTTATCCTCTCCTTCCGTGGTCAGCACGGCTGCACTCCAAAGGCATAAAAACTCGTCGAAATTCGTGTTGTTCCTGTGAAAGCTACCGAGTGCTCGATGTCCAAGTTCACTGATAAAACGCAAGCGATCGCGCTCTCCGTGTATTGCCACCCACCAGCATTGTCTGAGCTAGTGTTTATCTCCCTCGCACACCCTCTCTGCATCACGCACTATACTTGCCACATTTAGAAAAGAGACAAACGCACCATGACTTTACCAAAAGTCCCCGTGCCGAGCACATCTTTAACCTCGTACTGTTTCTTCTTTGTGAACGATGCTGGCTGAGGCAGCATCGCATTCGAGATTGCCGACAGATTCATCTTCAACGACTGGCTGTCTGATGAGCAATAAAAACAGTGAGACAAAAGACCAAAAATACGGAAGATGATAGACGGATGGAGGAGAAGCAAAGCACAGCCCGCCTTGGTTCAGTTACGAAATCAAAGCAGGCACGAGGCATGACGCGCCTTCGGTGCCTGGTTGATCCCTTCCTCTTTCGTTTGTCTGCATCAAACTCCGACGCAAAAGGTCGAGCACTCCTTCGTTACAACCACCATCATCTCTAGCACTACATCCTAGGGAGTTATTTTTGACAATACGGTGAGTCAATTTTTATCAATACGGCTAGTCTTATGTTCAAGCGAAGGTAGTACGTCGACAGGATGGCTTCCTCCACCCCCAACACTCAGCGTTTTGCAGCACAGTCTGTGATCCAACAACGTCGAGGACCTATCGCCATGCTCGCGAACGAGATCTTGCTCACGATTTTTTTACTCCACCGACCAAGCCACTCGAATGATGCCGTGGGCGATTGGACTTGGCTGAGCATCATTCACGTGTGCAAGAGGTGGCGCGACATAGCTCTTTTGTCCGCCCAAATGTGGACGGAGATCATTTGCTCTCGACATACCTCTCTTACAGAGTTCATGCTCGAGCATTCTCAGAATATGCCTCTTCTCATCTGCCACACGCACGCTCCCAAGCTGCTACCGTCTTTCCGTAGCATCTTATCCCGGGCGAATCGCATCCAGAACGTCACCGTCCGCGCAGAAGACGGCCAGTTGCTTGATCTCCTTCTTAAATCGTTCTCGACAAGCCCCGAAAATATACTTTCGGTGTTTGATTATGATATCCTACCGATAAACCACGCAGAGTGGCACGTCAGCGATGGCACACTTAACGAGCAGTTTATATCACAGCTTCCCAAGAGACTGGTCTGGCTCAAGCTCCCTCGCATTCGAGTTATATCGCCATTCATGCAGGTACAGACGTTCGACAACCTGACAGAATTCTTGGTGAAGGTTGTTCCACCAACTTCTCTTGCCGACATACATGCCCTGCTCGGACATTTTCCAAATCTGGAAGTATTCACTCTCCACAGCTACATGAATGATGTCGATCATGCGACATTAACCGCCCAAACCGTCACTCTTCAGCATCTGAAGGTTCTCACGTTCGCCGAATGTAGACCGCTCAGGGCTGTTGCACATCTAGGTTCTATGATCATGCTTCACGCTGATCTCTGCATAAACCTACAATTCCTTATAATCCCAGAATATATCACTGGAATACAGTTATTCCTCCAGGCCCGACAACGCCAAGGAAGGACATTGTTCCCTGTCGGTATTTTACTTCAGGACAATAGTGCGATAGATCGTCTCAAGTGGACGAGACGCTTATTAATTCAATGCAACTCATTCATCGAGCCAGGTTCCGAGTTAACCAGACATCCAGCCACTCAGGTGCAAGGCCCACGGCCAGGGCCTGGCATTGTACTTCTGAATGGGATGTACCAGGCTAAAACACCCACTTCCTCTGTAATTCAGCAAATCATGCCCCTTCTCGAGTTGTTAGAGTTCAGACACATACAGCACTTCACCGTGTGCATCCAGAACCGCAGCCTCCCTTATCAACCATCGGCTCTCTTCCCAGTTTTGGACCAGCTAGTTCAGTTGACTCATCTCCAGCTGGATGGATTCTTTGCCATCTACACTATTGCCCTCTTTGTCCAGAAAGACAGAGCTATTGGCTATCAAGGTGGCAAAATCCCCTTTCCATCGCTTCAACACCTTGCACTTCGGGTGCCCCTGGAGGAACATGACGACATCATTAGGAACATGCTAAATGACATTGTGGATGCGCTCCGGGATCGAGAGGCATGTGGGGGTCAACGACTTCAGATGTTCACAATACGCCTCGAGAAGGATTCTATACAAGATGTGGTGAATAAGCTGCCGGATAGTGGGATCACGGAGCGGTACGATATAACGGGCCCAAACGATTCAGATTCAGAAGAATGAGAGGCTATCCAGTCCGGACCTGGTGGTCAGTATATATCTGTGCGGCAGTCGGTCTCGTCGGTATTCGCATTAATCCTTGGGTATTGCAATGCATGTATATACTTACATCGAGAGGATTGAGAACGACACTGGATTTTTTACACGTCGGAAATTTGACCGACAAGACATGATATACAATAATTACAGTGTTTCACGTTCGTGTCCTACGCGCTCCTAGTCTCGCGACAACACTAGTCCCGCGACAACACCCGTCCCGTACCATCCCTCCGAAAGAAGTCTCTGGGGTATCCTATAAGTATACTCCAAATTAGGCTCGGACAAGGCGGACGCGAAGCCTTCCTTGACCTCCCACATATTCCTCAGAAGTTCAGATTCCTTCCCCAATCAACCTCTCCGGCCGCTCATGACGAGGCACAAAGGGCAAGAAAAAATCAATAGCAAGCCATACGCGAGAAGGAACGAGATGGAAGAGACATTTATGGAACACCTGGCCAACATCTCTACTGCTCGCTGTCCATCTCGTCCTCAAATTTCTTCAACATATCAAGGTCATGCTCATGCATGATCGATCCCAGGACAGTAGCATCCTCCGGCCACTTGATCTCCTTGTTCCTGCTCGCCGGGTACGTCACCTGGCCCTCCGTTCCCGCCCAGTCAAAGTCCACAACCATGGCCTTGTCCTCCATGATCAAAATATTCGCCCGTCGAATGTCACCATGCACAAGGTTTTTACCGTTCAGCGCATCCACAGCGTCCCGCACGTCTCTCTTCACTTGTTCTCTATCCACCTTCCTCGTCTCCATGGAGCACTCTTCAACATAATCCATCACAATCGCCCACCAATCTCCGAGTTCAGGAATACACTGGCAATACCACAGCTTGGGTGCGAGGGGCCTCACCCGATTCGCAAGGCACTCGTGCGCCTCTTTCGAGTATGTGCGCGCAAACTTGACGGCGACGGGGTGGTGAACTTCGGTGTCATCGATGCAAGTCGCCTTGAAAATCGCCTTGCTGGTATATTCAGGGAGGAGACGCGCCGTATACATGAGCTTATATGTCCTTCCATCCATCTTGAACTCTGTGAAAGCTGGGCCAAAAAAGGACGGCATAACGAAGCCGAAGGACATTTCTTGTCGTGATGTTGAGGTCGAGGGGACGAGGGACTGGTTTCGCATCGACGCACGGGAAGAAGAGGGCTGTGATGAACCGGCTGGCTTTGTTTCTGGAGCGGGAAGGTCCCTATAGTACTTCTCAAGAGATAGCAGTGCTTTCCGCAGAGCGCGAAAGATGCACGCGACACGAACGATAGAGTTGTCGAGGTTGCCATGCAAGTCGCTAGCGCCAAGGTAGATAAAGTCGGTCAGGTGCTGCGCCATGAATCGGTCTGCGAGGATTGCTCCCTCAATGACGAAGTATGGTCCGGCGATAGCGAGGAGGAACGCTGGGCAGCAAGAGACGGCGCGAATGGAAGCGTACTGGCCATGCACGGTCATGAGTTACCAAGGACTCGAAAGAAAGAAAGAAAGAGATGCACCTTGTCTGTTGAAACCAATGCCCTGAATGCGCATCCTGCCTGCCACAAAGGATCGCATCTGCCCTCTCCAACCTCAGTCCTGTATTCCATGATAAGACGCAAGGCTTTAGCAAGTCTATGATTGAGGCAGACCGTGAAGGCATGACCGTCAGGCTTGACAGATGACGTACCTACAGGAAAGGTCGTTTCCTGAGAGATGACTCCGCAACCGAAAAATATCGACGCCACAACTTCTTCCAACTTCTCCTGACGCTCGACTTCATTCTCGTAGAATTCAGACGATATGGCTATGAAGTCGTAAGCGGTCTCCACCTCTTCCTGGGTAAGCGCGGAGGTGTCCGACATGTCGCGGGCGAATTGGGAGAAGACAGGGTGGTAGATTAAGATAGGGGTCGGCGAAAGAGAGATCGGTCTCCCATTATAGAGAGCATCAACGTTCCTGGACGTTTGCTGGCGCCGCATCTCGTGCGCCTGTGTACTCGTCGAAGGAGCCTTGCGTGTCTTGGCCTTGTTGACCACATCATTGCGCCCTGCGTCCCCATAGAATCAGCACAAAAGGAGCGAACTAGCGAATGCATTACATGCCGAGTGCGTGTAGTTTCTCAGATATGGCATCGAGTCTTTGTGGTTGATGTATCTCAGAAAAAGGTTGTATTGGATCAGGCGAGGCCGGCGGGGGATCATGGACTAGGACACCGTCATTCATGCGATCAGGGGCGCAATTGAAGTGGACAAAGCTTACCAAAGATGGCACAAACCATAGTACTGACAGCACTCTCTCCGAGAATTATATCTTCCACATTCTCGCTGTGAGCAAGCAGGAAATAGTCGTCCGACTGATCGAAAAAACTACTCGGGATTTGTTTGAAATGATCATTGACGAATTTCCAGGCCTCTGCTTTCGGCACGATGGGGGCATCGGGGTCCGTCTACAAACATTATAAGAAGAATCGAAAATTTAATATATGGTCGTGGCGCACCATTTGGTAAAACTCCCAAATACCGGCCTGCGACCGTGTCCGAGCTGGAATAACACGTTGACTATTCCGAAGGAAAACGGCGGCGGTGTCTGTCGAGGAACAGGACAAGTGTTGATGTGACAGAAACCTGGTGCGCTTGAGGTCATCTTCGAAGATGAAAAGCGAATAGGCGGGCATGACGATGCGGCGTGCAAGCTTGTATACTTAAGACGGAGGTGGGTGATGTCGAGGGTATGGTCGTGCTCGTCAAGTTCAACGCGAGTCGGCAACCGCCCCGCCACAGACCTGGTCCAAGCCTGGTCCTCTGTTCATGATCATGTAGTCGCAGGTCGTGGCCTGCAGGCTTAGTGTTACGATTCCTTGAGCGGAGCAAGAGACTCGTCTTTACGGCCTTTCCGGCAAGCTTTCCGGAAGCTTGTCTTCAGCTAAACTAGTTACCAGTTCCACAAACTTCGAGGGTGGTCAAACCGAATCCGAAGACAGGCGTTCAGATGGGGCCAAGACTAGATATTACACAAATTCTGACAAAAGGATGTTTTCATTTATGCAGGACAATATGTGAGTGTCCAAAGAATCTCCCAATCCAGGCAGAGCACACCAGAACGGAAAGGCAGGCGGTGCGCCTGCCGATCGGGATCTCTCAGCCGCATACCGCACCCACCCGCTTAACGCAAGAGAACCTCGAGCTGCGAGCTGGGGTCGGCTCGCGGCTCGCGTTTAAGATTGAGCTGCCCTAATTGTACACGTCGGAAACGCGACCGACAAGAAATAATATCACACGCAGGTCCTCACGTTTGCGTCCTACGCGCTCCTAGTCCCCGCGACAACGGCCGTCCCATACCGTTCCTCCGAAAGAAGCATCTGGGGTATCCCATAAGCAGTAATTTGGCAGATTAGCTCGGACAAGGCGGACACGAAGCCTTCCTTGACCTCCTGCATATTCCTCAGCTTCAGATTCCTTCTCCAATCAACCTCTCCGGCTGCTCGACATACGACCTCCAACACTCCACGAACGCCGCCAACTCAGCTCCCTCAACGACCCTATGATCCGCACTCCAACTCACCCCAACTTTTAATCTCCTCTCACCCTTCCTATCACCTCTCTCCACGTCCCAAACCCACTTTGCCCTTCCAATAGCAACGATCGCCACACCTGTCCCGGGAACTAGCACCGGCATGGCGAATTCACCTGCTCCGATGGCTCCGACGTTGGACACCGTGACTGTTCCGCCGCGTTTGGGCATCTCATTCGGTGTGAGGGCGGAGGGAGTTTGACGGCCGAGGTGGGAAATATGTTTGAGTGAGGAGGCGAGTGAGCAAATAGAATGCGTGTTGGCACGTTGGAGCGTGGGGATGTAGAGACCTGTGGGTGTTGAGAGTGCGATACTGATGTCGGAGTTGGGGCGGATGGTGAGTGTGGGTTTGGCGGAGGGGTCAGAGGAGGGTGTGATGGAGGAGCGGAAAAGGGGCCATTCGAGCATTGCTCTGGAGAGGGTCTTGAGGAGGATGGGGAGGTAGGTGAGTTTGGTGTATTTGCCTGAGTCGGGGACGGGTGGAGGTGAGGGAGGAGTGTAGATGGAGGTGGGCGAGACCATTACGGGTGTTGTGGGTGGCGAAGGGAGGAAGTGGGTGGGTATGTGGGCGTTTAGTGTCGGTAGGAGGTGGTGAAGTGCGGTCAGGTCGAGGTACGTCGAGTAGCTGAAGCAATGTCAGTACAATAGCATTACGAGATGTGAACAGAGACGACTCACCCGAAATGTGGAATCTCTAAACTCTGTAACCGATATTAGAGTAGAGCTGGAGAGAGAATGTGTCCCAAACGTACCTTGGTCATCGCCTTCCACATCCCGTACCTCGTCCGTCCCAGTTCAACAACAACATCTTCCTCGAGGGCAGCAGTCTTATTCTCTGGACTCTGCTTTTCAGCAGCGAGATATCTCTCCACATCAACCTTCTCTATCCTTCCGTTCTTTCCACTCCCCGGAGCAAGCAGCGTCAAATCTACCCCGCTCTGCCTCGCAAGATGTCTGACCGCCGGAAGCGCCAGTACGTTATCCTGACTCGTCGTCGATGGTGGTTTGTTTGGATCCAACGGATGCGGCTGTCGTGATTCAGAAACTGAGGGTAGAGGAGGCGTTGCAGAGGATTGAGTATTGGCAAACGAATCCACTTCAGATTGGGTGGCTTCCTGCTCTTGGTGAGGTTGTGGATTGCTAACGGGTTCAACTTGAGCTGGGTCAACACCTTCGAGCGTTTCCTCATCAACCTCGATGATACAGAGGTCAGAGCCGACTTTCGCGACTTCGCCTTCGTCGACGAGGATCTGCTTCACCACGCCGTCGAACGGACTCGTGATCTCGACGCTCGCCTTGTCGCTCTGAACTTCACAGAGCGGATCGAACATGGTGACAGAGCCCTTAGGCTTCACGTTCCTGAACAAAGACAATGACACAACGCAAACCAATAATGAGTTTGACGGAAGATGATGGAGAGACTGAAGTCACTCACCATTTGATGACCTCACATTCTGTTATTCCCTCTCCGATGTCTGCCAGCTTAAACTTCTGCAAGACCTTTCTGGACGCATGCCAGACTGAAGAAGTATGAAACCCAGAGTTGTAGTAGAGCCTACGGCCGAGAAGGATACGGCGGTAGGAAGACAGGAGCATCGGAGTGTGGGGTAGCAATAGAGAGCGGGGTGAGTATTGGAGTTGAATCCGTTCTTATTTGGTACCGCTTTTCGGGCGGATCTTAGTCTTCGTCAACTGACGAGCACGAGCCTGACACAAAGATGTGTCCCAGATGGGCAGATGAGTTACATAGTATTTGCCGGTATGTATCATGTTACAGGGATAAGTAGGTGTCGAAGCTGGAGATGGGAGACGGAGCCAACGTTGGTACGGAAGAAAGATTAACGCAGCATAATTGGTTATGGGGATGAAATACTGTGCCACAGTGGCGTAAGTACGATCAAATTCCAAGGAATCCTCAGGATTAATTGTGAACATCGAGTGAAGAGGGACCATCGAGTAAGGATGCATCGGTGCAGTAGAAGTAACTGGACAATCAAACATCACTTGGAGCAACACTGATGGCCATCAGGAGCCATCGGCCGTGACTGAGCAAACTTTGAAAAGGTCAAGCAAAGATTATCCTTCAGGCAGCAGGCTCGTCACCGCCGCAAGCAAGATTTCTGTGTCTTCGGATTTCCAGTGAAGACGTTATGCCGGACCTTTCTTCCAGGATCAGTAGCTCTGAATCCATGAGGCCGCAGGCAAAGTATACCACCGTGACCCCTTGACCCCGTGGTGCGCAACTCCACCATCTCGATGAGTTGCCGAAAAGTGAAGCGGAGAGGTCCATAGTGCGTGTTTCAATGTTCATTCGACGGTTAACTGTGCAGAAAAGGCTCTACGATGCGACATATTTGCGACATCTATGGAGGAGAAATGTCACTGATGAGAGCGGTGTCGACATGGTCAAGGAAAGAGTAAGTACACCCTGAGTCGAGGGGCATACCGAGGTCGTCTGCATGGCGTGGCACAGAAAGTGCTGTTAGTAAGGTGCCATATCTAAGGAATATCAGCGAACACGGTGAGAACAGAAGTACCGTCCCATTATAGTTCGACAAAATAATGGGCCACAGAAGCCCACAGACTGTCAAAGGCGACGGACATGGAGGACGTCTCAATCGAGCTTCCCAATCATTCTGGGAGTGCGTCCAGGCAAATGCATCCTATATATGGTGCAAGAAGGCGATCAGTAATTATCTAAGGGGAACGACTGTCTTCCCCTCCTTAGGTCTGACTGTGGGAGACTAATCAGTAGCATCTCGGGAAAAGGAAAGAAGTTAGCGTTTTGAACTAGCACGTCGTGACGGCCTTTGAGATTGTGAGGTATTGGCCTGAAGTGGAAGGTTTATGGTATCCGCATCCTGAATGCACGATAATATACGTAGGCCTATGCGGTCCTTCCGAGTCAAATGGTGGGGGGATAGGCAGCAGATCGCGCCAGGGCAGATTTCACTAAGATCTCTTCAGCACGACCGCCGTTGCTGATCCAATATGCACCAGGTGAAGACCGAGAGATGTACCAATAATTTAACAGGGTATATCCCCGTGTATCCGCGCTCCACCAGAATTGCGAGACGGGGAGAAATCCGGGAAAGCGTGTATGCAAAAGTATTTTTGGGAAAGGGAGTTCGGGGGTTCCGGAATGTCGAAAGGTCGACGGCGAGCATCGGAAAGGTCAGTGAGAAGCTTATTGCTCCATCCACCATGGATAGCGATCCATCGTCCCAGGGAAAAACAAAAAGAATGGCTTAGATGAGAAGGTGGGCCTCAGTCGTGAGCGTTCGGGACAGGAGAACGTTCGCCACACTCGGCGCCACACATATAGTAGCGCACAGGGCCGGGAAATTCCGTGTGATCGCCGGTCGTACTTTTGACTCGGTCTAAACTCTTCCCCATCGTCTCTAAACTTGCTCTGAACGCTTCTTCTGTTGTCCTCTAACACGGTTTATTTGCTGGTAGTTCTCTGTGTTTTTCTTTCATTCCTAGAAGTGGCCCAAAACTTGCCGGCATCCATCCTCTTTTGACCCGGTCTATACCCACCAATCTTGCACCAATCTTCGTTATAACTCGCCCACTTGCATTGCTCGGTTTTCAGTTCGAATCCCAGTCGAATATCTATCATATCTAATGGCTCCAACCGCAGCTTTTTCATCTCTCATAGAGCAGACCATCCATACCGTTCCGTCATTCGAACTCGAATGCGGCCATGTCTTGAAGCAGGTTCCGGTCGCATACAAAACATGGGGCAAGTTGAACGAGAAGAGGGATAATGCTATGATCATATGTCATGCGTTCACTGGTAGTGCTGATGTTGAGGATTGGTGCGTGTACGTTCCATACTCCCAATGATACAAAATTCTGACGTTAGCCATTGTATTCACAGGTGGGGACCTCTCATGGGACGAGGGAAGGCCTTCGATCCCAGTCGCTACTTCATCTTTTGCGCCAACGTGCTCGGTTCACCCTATGGAACCGCCTCTCCTATCACTACAAACCCAGAAACCGGCGAGCTGTACGGTCCAGAGTTTCCAGGAACCACTATTCGGGACGACGTACGGTACGTGACTTGAACATGTCTTCTATTCTTCGTCTATGTTTCTTTCGTTCTGGAGCATTGGGGTGTGTCATGCGTATCATGACCACCATTCAAATACTTGGGATGCTCGGTCCTGTGAGGTACGGAATGTGCGTCCACAACTGCATGGGTTCGCTATTGGTCGTGGGCCATTGTGGCACCAATATCGTTGAGCTTGAGCTGCTCACAGTAATAGACTGCTTATTGGCATTCAGACAAGCCTGGTCTGCTCTTTGACGTATCTGCATGTTTCAACGTGCATGTTGTTTGGAGACGTTGTTCGGGTGTAAACATGTACCCTGTGTCCTTTCTTATCCCCTATACTTCCGGACGCGGCGATCTTATTCCCAACTCGGAAACGTACGGATGTTTCGTTCGGCGCTTTGGAACCTGCCTGTATTTAAACCCGACATTATACACGCAAACAGCGTCTTTTTGCCTAACACCGCGCAACCATTCGGAGAAGCCGTATTCCCTTTACGGTGTTAGGATCGCCTCATCATGTCTATTGCGACCTAATTCCATCTTGTTTGGCGGTCACGAAAACTTTATTCATAAAACTGACTTGCACCTCCCTGTTAGCCTACACAAACATGTCCTCGACCATCTCGGCGTAAAATCCGTGGCTGTCGTAGTCGGTGGCTCCATGGGCGGCATGGCCGTCCTCGAATGGCCCCTCTGCACACCCCCAGGCTACATCCGCCACGTCGTCCCCATCGCCACCTCCGCCCGCCACTCCGCCTGGTGCATCAGCTGGGGCGAAGCCCAGCGCCAAAGCATCTACAGCGACCCGATATACGAAGACGGCTACTACTCATCACAACCCGCCTCTGGACTCGCCGCCGCACGCATGGCCGCACTGCTCACGTATCGGTCTCGAGACTCGTTCGAGAGTCGATTCGGTAGGAATGCGCAGGTGAATAGGACGATGGGGGCGTCAGCGTCGGCGGAACTGATTACTCCTCCGAGGAGTCCTGTGCTCTCGCCAGACGATGCGCGGCAGGCGCATAACGATGGGCTCAGGAACTCGAAGCCACGCCCTTCATCGCGCGCCGCCGGTTCGATCTCGGAGGGATCTGCGTCTTCACCACCTCGTACCCCCGCTTCCCCACCTCCGATTTTCTCCGCTCAGGGTTACCTGCGTTATCAGGGCGACAAATTCACGGCCCGATTCGACGCGAATTGTTATATCCATATCACCCGCAAAATGGACACGCACGACCTCGCGCGCGGTCGTGTACTTCCAACGGACTCGACCACCACGTCGCCCTCCTCCGTTGCGAAATCCGAATCTGACGCCCTTGCGAAGGTTCTCGCTCGTCTGCCGCCTCGTGCGCTTGTTATCGGCATCCAGACTGATGGTTTGTTCACTACGACGGAACAAATCGAAATCGCATCAGGAATTCCGGACGCTGAGCTCATTATCATTCCTTCTCCGGACGGGCACGACGGGTTCTTGTTGGAGTTTGAGAGGATCAACAGGCATTTGATGGAGTTCCTGAGGAGGGAGTTCAAGGAGTACTATGTAGGGGAGCGTGGGGAGGAGCTGGAGGTAGTCCCAGAGGAAGGCTTCGATGTGAAGAAGACGAGCATGTTTGGAGAGGCGGAGGCGGATATTGCAGCGTGGTAGAATTTGGGGGTCCGGTAGTGCCAAGGTTAGAGTCTGCGCTTTGCTCATGTTTTTTTGGTGTTTTCTCTTGATGATCGCAGAGATGGTGGATGTGGCGTAATGCTCGAACATTTATAGAGCCTGTCCTGGTAGTAAAGGCGGACTCTTGGATTCAACATCCCTTGTAATACTCACAGTGTAGCGTTATCCAACTAATGTACATGTATATGCTCTTGAACTAGACTGGTAACTACTTTCTATAGCAGGATATGTAATGGCTGCGCGTTCCTAGCCGTAAATCGGACGCTCGAGGTGATAACGGTCCGAATCGTTGGTCTACCTTCATTCAGGTTGTGCGGTCGGTTTGCTTTGAGCGGAACCGACACCGTTTTCAGACTTTATGACACTAGTAATGCTCAGAAGTAAGCTCCCCCGTAGCCCAAAACATCCTGGACCATAGCGGTTAACAACCCCTTTAGCTCTCAGGATCCATTGAAATCCCGGCCGCCAGTCGTGAGCGGCGCGCGAGAAGGTGTTTAAGAGCTCATTATCAGTCCGGTGATTGGGCCACGGGGATGGAAGTAGGTTGCAGTTGGGTGAAGAAGGCTAGATACGTCAGGCGCAGGGTCCTCCGAGGACTTAGAGCTTGCAGGAGATAGGACAGGAACGATCTGTTTTGGAGATCCTGTCGTAAGAGAAAGAATCATACCGTAGTGCGATTGGGCAAATAGTGGTGATTGTTATGTATTAACAGGCGCCATAGTACGCCTCCAAAACACAACTCGAGCATAGATCCGATAAAGAAACGACTTATGGGGGCTAGCGTACCATGGTCCGCACATATCGATGGCTCTTACGCCCGCTATCTCCTAGTGGTGGTTGCAAACCCCTTTGTGAAGGGCCGAGCGGTGGAGCAGTGTGGACGTTAAAGAGCTCCGCTCACGAACTACACCTGAGTAAGCTGCATACGAGCCTCGAACCTGGATACCGGTGACCAGAAGGAAACCTACGCCGAGGATCACAGGCGCTTTGATATTCAGGTAGAAGACAGTATCACCCCACTAGGATCACAGCCATACGGAAGTTCATGAACACGAATACCGATTTGTCTGACGATAGGAACCAGTGGGTGCAGAGGTTCTAGTTTGGTGGCTGATGGTCGTACGACTGTCGGCGGCATGCAATAGAGAGCCGGTAAGCACACACAGTCATTCCGCATAAGTTAGCAGGGATTGAGGTGGACATCATCCGCGCCTCGCTCAATCTCGTGGCGGTAATTACAAATGTGGTCCATCGTCGATAAAAGAAAAGGACCGGAAACGAGGAATGAGGTATCCTCACCCCCAACAATCCCTTACCTTTCGGCCTCCCTACTCCTACCACGATGATCGCAGTACAGCCTACCACGCAGGCCGTCATCACATCCGCAGGATATGCCTCCTTGCAGCCTGAGGTCAGTCTTCGTTAACGCCTCGCACGATATGACATTCGGTGCGCTGCTTGAACGAACATGTTTTGACGTGATCATATTCAGCTCGTGGAGACAGAGCCGAACCTCGAGCTCGACGTGCCCATGACGATACCGTATCGTATTCCCGATATCTTCGACGGTTGGCGTTGGAAGACAAGTCGGAACCCGCATTATGAGGAGGCGAAGGCAGAGTCCTTGGCGTGGTTTAGGTCTTTTGAAGATTTCTACAAGGAGAACGAGGATAGCATCGAGGGATGTGACGGGAGTAAGTCGGCGTATGAATATATCCTCAGCCTCATGATGCTGAAGCACCTCGCGCTGGATTAGTGCTGTTCGTGGCCTGGGGCTTGCCTGTGACCGATAAACGTAAGAATTACCTCGATGCTGAGGGTAGATAATGACACAACTCACATCATATTCAGAGAGGTTGCGCTGCTGTGGCGATGTTAACACTCTGCTTTTCGTCGTGGACGACATTCTGGATTACGAGAGTGATGATGTTGTCAAGGATAGGATGCGGATCATCCTCAGCGCTCTGAAGAACCCACACACCCCTCGGCCTCCTGGAGAGTGGGTCGTGGGAGAGATGACTCGTCAGTGAGTATGAAGCGCCTTCTTGATTATCCCTAATAACTCTTACCTTTCCTGGTCTAGATTCTGGGAGCGAACCATCGAGGTCGCAAGCCCGCTCTGCCAAAGACGGTTCGTCTCCGGCGTGAAGGATTGTATGGTCGCAATGGCTCTTGAATCCGATGCTCGCAAGACGTCGTCTGCCCATAGCAGTATCAGTTCATTCCTGAAGACGCGGAGGGACAGTGCGGGCTGTGCCCTGGTATTCGCACTCATGGAGCTTGAAATCGCCCTACCCGACGAGGCCTTCTACCATCCGTACGTCCGAGACCTGATCGTGACAATACAGGATATTAGTGTCATGGCGAATGTGAGTAGTGTCAATCATTCTTACTTTCCGCCGCCCTGTCTCTCGGCGCCCATCACGTCGAAGAACCTGTCGTTGATCGTAGAACGGCGTTCATCTCATCTCAGGACGTGTTCTCCTATCGCCGGGAACAAGCACGTGGCCGCACCGAAGACAATATCATCACGGTCGTGATGGATATTTACGACTTGGACGTCAACGGGGCGATTGATTGGGTGGAGAAACGTCACAAGGAGCTCGAGAAGGAGTTCATCGAGAAGTACGACAAGGTGCCCAAGTTTGGCGAGCCGGTCGATTCGCAGGTGGCTAAATATATTGAGGGTTTGGCGAATTGGGTCTGGGCCAATGCGAGATGGAGTTTTGAGTGCGGACGGTATTTTGGGGGAGAAGGGTTGGAAATCATGGAGAAGACGAAGTGGGTGGGCCCTGTGCCCAAGCTGCGAGCCTGATTGCGTGGACATGAATTATGGACAGTTCGTGGGTTTCTGGATATCCAGTCTGGAGGGATGTATCAGTGTTGTAGAATATTATGGGACATGTACAGCCGTACGATTTATATGTTGTATATACTACCTTGCCTACTACCTGTACTACGATCGAACATCGAGACCTTTCGATGCTGAGCGCTGAAGTGCTGCTGAAGGTCGCAATTCGCGATGGTTCGTCTATCCCTGTGCGATGAGTTCCAATTGAGTCGTTATACTGAGCTCGAGCTGTCACTTCAATGAAAAGGTCGTGAAGGTTGAAGTTGGTTTGAAGGATTGTATGTCAGCCACATCCGAGCGCTTCCTTGGCATCGCGGGCGTTCGCGGGTGTGGCAGGCCAACCGAAGCCATGGCGCATTTTCTTATGCTACGGTGGCGCCATGTCGAGCAGAGTCCTGTCGCACCAACATTTTCATGAAAGCGTAAATGGGCATTACTATAGAGAGGGATCCAATTGAAGATACAAACATATGCTGGTCATGAAAGAAGTAAAACACGGGAGAAAGAAAGGGAAGATAGAGACGGAGCGAAAATGAGGGAAGGAAAACATAAGGTAAATGAGTGTATGAACTTGCGAGACCGGGACCAAAGACCAAACCGACGAACAGTAAGACCAGAAATCTAACAATACGAGACGGTAGAAGCGGAGACTCTCAGAACCTCCTAGGACCCCCGCCGACCAAGCCCTCAATCGACTGATGCTCCAAATCATTCCTCGCCTTCAAAATGCTCGCATGCATCTCCTTCATCGCGTTCCCCAGCTTCACCCCAAACCTGCTCAGAATATCCCTCTGCCAAGCATCATACTTCGCGTTCACCCTCGCCTGCACCTGCTCGTAATCGATCACGCAGACGCCGAACGATTTCTGCGTCTCCGAGGTATCGAACGTCGAGCGCGTCTTCTTGATCTCGGTGAGGAGCTGTTGCCAGTGCGCGAGAGAGTCTCCGAGGCGGTTGAAGACGTATTCGGCTTCGAGGTCCCAGAGGGATTGGAACTGGAGCCACTTGTTGACGTAGTCTCGGAGGTGTTGGATTTTGGCCTCGACGAGGGCGAATGGCCGGGCGAAGGTGTCGTCGGGGAATTGTGTGACCTGGTAGCAAATGCTCCGTCAATGATATATTTCTCGAAGCGGACCAATAAGAGCTTACCAGTGATGTATATGTTGTCTCTGTAACGGTCTGCCCCTGCATCTGAAGACCAATCTCGTACCGCGAACTCTGTATGCGTCGTAACCGGCAGATTATACCTGGAATGACCCTGTGTCAGTAGACTCATCGCTGAATCAGTGGAGGCATGGACATACCGAGCCAGTCGTGAAGCTGTTGGATCCAAGTCTGACGAGCATACTCTATTGGCGGGTCCAAGAAGATGACTTGATTCTGTATCCGAATCTCGTGCACGATAGGTTTCAACGTCATGCCCTCCAGGTGCTATAGGCAAAACGGAGTCAGTTGTTGTCGCGTGCTGACAGTGCATGGTCGTCAGAGAGCCCACCTTCTCGTTATGGCGCTTATCCCCTCGCTTCTTCGTGATGAGTCCGGTAGCATCTCTTCGCGTGTCACCATCGTCCGATCGGTCAAACTCTTGACACCAGAGATGGATGATGTGCGTAAGCCGCTGAAGAAGGATGCCTTCGATCTTCTTGTCCAGCTCTGCAACCCATTGGTCGAGGTTCGCGTAGCCTTCCAAGTTCAACCTGTCGATCTGATTCATATCGTCAGATGCGATGCAAGGGGAGAGACAGACGGAAGAAGGCTTACTGCTGCTTGAATACGACCGAGCAACTCAGAGAATACCTCACTCTGATAGGAGCATGTGGATAGATCCTCGACGGCCCTGAGAATGTCTTTGTACAGATCAATAACATTGTTCGTCTTGTCCTGTATATAGTACGGCCGCGAGTGAGCACAAAAGTAGCCAAATCTTAAGGGAAGTGGCGAACCTGCAAGACAGAGACCACGCTAGCGAACTCCCTGACGAACTGAATGTGCCTCTGATCTCGTCCGTCGCTCGCAGGAACATACCGCGCCGCATCATACTGACTGACGAAATGGTCCCACTTGATGTTCATACCTATTCCACTCGTAAGCTCCTCGGACCACACAACATGCCTGAAAGTCCCAAGCTCACCTCTCGTGACCATCCTCTGCGCCTCGTTCCTGTACTCAGCGACAAGCCACTCGATCCCCTTATTATTCTCCACCAAATCCAACGTCTGCCCGTAAGTCCGCACCGTCTCCATCAAGCTCACCGCATGCGGATAAACCCTCTTCGCGTCCTTCGCCATATTCGTGATCGCATGCGGCACCTGAAAATTCAACCACAGCAAATTCCTAACCTCCTTGAACAGCGTGATAATCTGCGGATCGAAGTTCACCGCCAACTGAAACCCTCCCCCCCTCAACCTAACAATCTCGAACAGCCTCCCATTCACACCCATATCGCGCCGGTTGATATCGTGCAGCCAGGCGTCGTAGACCGGTCGGGTGTCCAGTTTCTTCCGGAAGGCGGACGATTCGGATTGGAGTTTTTGGCCCTCGGCGTAGAGTTCCCAGCCTTTTCCGAGGACGTCTTCGACGCGCTTCATGTAGGTGAGGAGTTGTCGTTCGATTTGACGCGCCCAGATGATGGCGCCGGCTATTGGGGGGAGGTCGCGCATTTGGGACATGTGGTAGGCTTCAGAGAAGCGATATTGGGTTTTGAACTAGGTAGGGGAAAAGGAGTTAGGGAGTGTTTGGAGGAGGTGGAGGGAAAGAGAGGTACCTTGTCGTGGAGGCGTTTGATGTCCTCTTTGACAGAGTCGATGAGCTGGGTTTGGTACTCTTGAATGGCGCCACGGATCTGTTCGAATGGTCAGTTATTTGAACGTCTTTGGAAGGGCTTGTATGTACCTTTGGTCGCACGAACAGAGCGTTGAACTTCGAGAACACACGGAACATCTCGTTAGCATTGCGAGCCGTCCCAAGTCTATCCCTCAGTCGGGAGATGATCTGGTTCTCGACTCGTGCCACCCGCTCGTTGTAAGCGTTCTCCGCAGTGACCCATATCTCCGTGCCCTCTGCAATACATATCAGCTCGTATCCACGCGAAGACAGAAAAACAGAGACCGCTCACCGGTCGAAACATCAAGCACATCGATCCTCTTCATAACCTCATACGCCTCCTTCACCTCCTCCTCCATATCCATCCCTCCCACTTCCATCCCCACCGCCCCCAATCCCTTCGTCGGCCCCGTCATCACCGCCAACTGCTCATGTTGCTTCCTCCACTCCCTCAAATACCTCGTCCTTTCCTGCAACTTCGCATGGGCCGGAACGACCTTAATCGGAATAAACTTCTCCAACCGCTTCCTCGTCACCTCCCGCGCCACATTCGTGAACTCCTTGATCAGATCGTCCCAGGTGCGGAAGATGGTGATGGTGAGGTTCAGGAGACGCTCGAAGGTCTCGTACGGCGTGTATAGAAGTCGATGCGAGGTCAGGATGCGGAGGAGTTGGTCGTTGAAGTCCCGGGAGATGGCTTCGACGAGGGGGAGCGCGCGACGGATCGGGTAGGGTGAGAGTTTCAGTTTACGGTTGATGTGGCCGAAGATGAGGATGAGCGATTCTTGGATCTTGTCCAGGTCGGGGGCGGAGAGAAGTTCGTTGAGCGGGAAATCTTTCATGAGCTGGTTGTACTTGTGAACTGTGACAGTGAGCGTCAGTATGATAGAACGGCCAGATCAACGAATGGGAATGACAAGGTCTTACCGTCATCGGAGGCGTCCTTCAGGCCGGTATCAGCGATGAAACTGACGGTGGCCAAGAACCGTTTCGCGTTCCGCAAGCAGTCCATCACCATGTTGACCTCCTCGCTGCGGAGCTGGTTCTCAATATTCTCGAGGGCTCGCTCCTTGCTCAGCCAGAAGTTAATTTCTTGCGAGGCAGTCCCGGACGCGACGTCGCGGTTCAGTTTGGTAACGGTTTGGATGGACTTGATCCATGTGTTGACGTTCGAGTGCAGGGTGTTGAGGAAGTTGGAGTCGTTGAGGATCTTAGCGGGTATGTGGGAGATGTTTGGTCTTGAGCCGGATGAACGAGCCTGACGGATCATTTAATGAGCGAAGACGCAAAGTGAATAAGAAAGTCGATAGTTACCTGTTCGACGGCCTTCTGGATGACAGGGTGAATGATAAGGTGGATTTCGGGGATTTCGACGTTTTGTTGTAAGTGGAGCAAGGAGAGTTCGAGCTCGGCGAACTTCTTCTTGGTTACGGGGATACCTGTGGCGCCAACCAGAGGTCAGTATGAAGGGAGGCTCGTAAACGGAGTATACCCACCCATCTTGCTAACGCCATCCTTCCCTCCGCCTCTCGCGCCCACAAACGCGTCGAACCAAGGTTTGACACCGTCCCTGACGACGGCATGCAAACTCTCGTACGGCGTCTCGTCTCCTCCGAACAGGTTCAGGATGTGGATTTGAGTGGCGAGTGGCGAGAGAGGGTCGAGTGTAGGTCCTCGTTTGATGAGTGCGAGCGTGGTCATGTTCGAGGGCGTGTACGTGAGATGTGAGGTGAGGTGATATGTATATGTTTGTGTTGCATCGTCTGTATGAATATCGACCATGTTCAGCACAAGTCCGGAAAAGCAAACATTGAAACAGCAACGCACCTTCGACTTCATCTCGTCGTTTGACCACATACAAAGCTGCGCCTCCCTCCGCCGCAAATCTCGCTATCCGCTCCTCGAATTCTTCGTCGAATATGCCCTCGACCTCGTCCGTCGACGCGCCGAGCACAGGTGGCAAAAGTGAAAGCAGATAGCTCCTGAAGATGTTCGGATCGAAAGCAGAGGTCACGCTCGTAGGCGGCGCGTCGTCGTGTGGTATCAGCCCGTTCCCGTTGGTGGTGCCATTGCCATTGGTGAGCGCCGGTGTATACGATGCGTCCATTGAAAGAGTGCCGTTCATGGCGAAATATGCTGCGTGTTACGCGTAAGGCTGGGGCCACGCTCTCCGTTGCGGTCTGTCTCCGATCCCGGGTATCCCCAACACGTCCTGTATTTATTGTGAGTTGATTAATAACAGTGAAGTCGAAAGGGACATTACAGTCGTTATGAGTCTCTATTACAGATACTCTTGTGGAAATGGCAATAGAGCTCGATGTCTACAGCAATGAACAAGGTGGCGGCTCGAAGCCAAAGCTGCCCAAATGAAATGTTGCGTCGCTAACCGGTTGAGTTGCCTTTTGCATTACCGTATGATGATACGTCTATTTTTATCGGTTGCATGGTTCGATGGCGTAGTTGGTTATCGCATCTGTCTAACACACAGAAGGTCCTCAGTTCGAGCCTGGGTCGAATCATCAATGAGAACTACACATTATTTTTTTCACCCTTTTACTTACTCACATATCGCCAACATATTGCTACAGTATGACCCTTCCCCTGAGTTTCGACTACATGGCGTCTACAGCACCAGTGTAAGGATATATCCCTCGACTAATAGAGACGCAAAGGCTGACCGTCACAGAACCCCTACAATTCAGAGGAATTTGGGTCTGTAAGAGTTCGAAAAAAAATGTGATCTACCAATATCTTATAGGCGTTGTAAGCAGGCTCAACAAGGCTGCATGGAACTGGTCTGAACAATGAGAGAGTTCGCTCTCAGTGAGTCAGTGATCACTCAGGGGCCTCAGCGCCACCTGTAGGAAGATCCAAAGTGTGGCGTCCAAGCTTCGTCACCGTGCCCCACATTGAACCCTTCTCATCGCCATCGTCAACGACGACGAGCACTGAATCCCTAGGCTCATCTCATCCTATCAATGTCCCTCGACATTTTCAGCCTCCTAACTCTCGGACACAGCCCATCCACATCCACTGTCGGGGCAGCGTTCAGCGCCTACAAGTCTTCCAACCCCGTCCAATTGCAACTTCCCGATGAATCTGCTGGGTCGGCATCTCCTGTCCATGTCCACAAGGTAGCACGTCTGGACAGCGACTCTGACTCTGCTTCTGCTTCTAGGTCGAGGGCTGGGGAGGCTGCTGCGACTACGAGGAAGAGAGGCGTTGCGCAGGTCAAGATCACTGGATCGGCTTGTGAGTATGCTTTGTGACATCGACTTTTGGGCCACAAATCATTCTGGCGTTCTCGTTGGAAGAATGAATTGCGGAAATTATAGCTAAGCCATCCACGAGATTACCTACACCTACCAGATCATTACCAGATCAACTCGGCATATTCAATTTTGGCTCGTCCATACTCATCACCTTCCCTGTCCCTATCCAGATCGTCCCTCAGACCGCCGTCAATCCACCCAAAGCGGCTTCACGGACCTCCAACGCTGCATCATCAACATCCTCTCCCTCGACGAGCCCACACCGCGCCACACCCTCCCCTACGAACGCATCTTCTCCACATGCCTTCATCTCGTCTGCGCCGCCGGCCGTGGCCAGGACCTCGAAGATGTGCTTAAGCTCGAGTTGGAGAAGTCGTTGGCGAGGCTGAGAGGGCAGTTGGTGGGGAAGGAGACAAAGGGGGAGATGGAGTGGGTTGAGTATTTCGTGAGGATGTGTCGGATGTTCGAGGGTCGAATCGTGCGTTCTTTTAAATCTGTGTTGTTGGAGCGAGCGCAGAGTGTGTTTTACTGATCGGAGTCTCATTAAATTTACAGAGACTGTTGCAGAACTTGTTGGCGTACTTGGACCGTGTGTATATGATTGAGATCAAGGGCTCGGAAGGAATCGAGTGCGTTCTGTTCTCTCCATATAGCGTCTCGTATGATATTGCTCTCCTGAACATGACATACTTCCAAAACGCAGGAATATGGCCTACGGCCTCTTCACCGAGGCGATCCTCGAGCGCGAGTCCGGCATAGTTCAACGCATAAAGAAAGGGATCGAAGAATGGGTCACTGCTGAACGTCTGAATCCGTCCGTACTCCCCTTCCTCCTCTTCCTGCTCTTTCTGCTCCTCCTCCTCCCTTTCCTCCTCCTCTTTCCATCTTCCCTCTTGTAATCTCAATTCACTTGGTCTAATCTCGTGTTATTTTCCACTTGCACAGTGACACCCCACACCCGTCCCGCCCCACAATCCAAAACCTAATCGCCCATCTACACCGCCACGCGCGCTACGAACCCATCTTCGAGTCTTTCTACCTCTCCCTCCTCGCCTCCTTCTACACCGCCGAGTCATCGAAATTGGCTGCAGAAGAAACTAGGAATGCACGGGAGTTCATCGTCCATTGTGACGCGCGGATCGCGCAGGAGATGAAAAGGGCGGAGGAGGTGCTGCCGAAGAGTAGTTGGGCGATCGTGAGGAGCAGGACGGAGTATGCGCTGCTGGAAGGACGTGGGGGGTGGTTGGCGCAGGATGGTATGTCATCTATCCATCCATTCCCTTCCCATTTTGTTCTCCCCCCTCCCCCTTTCGTGAGTGTGAGTATGGATAGGCTGATTCTGATTGGGCGGGTGCAGGAATGAAGGCGTTGATGAATAAGAGGGATATGGATGGGTTGAAGAGGATGTATAATCTCTTCGACCGGATCAACGGCAAGAAAGACCTGCTCGTCCAATTCAAGAACACCGTCCAAGTAGGTACCATTCAATCCCCATTTTCCTCATCGGTCACTCATCATTCTACATCTACGTATACGCTGCAGGACACCGTGAAACGAATAGTCGAAGACCAACCCCGGGACGACGAAATGGTCTCCCGCCTGATCTCCTTCAAACACTTCGCCACCACGACCCTCTCCACCTCCTTCGCCTCCTCCCCCGACTTCAACTACGCGCTCCAAGACGCCTTCACCACCGGGTTCAAGTGCCGGCGCCTCAAGCCCGCAGAGATGATCGCGAAGCATGTCGATAGGTTGTTGAGGCAGGGACAGGCGGGGAGGGAAGAGGCGGAGTATAAGAAGGAGTTGGAGGATGTGTTGGGGTTGTATAGGAGTACGGACGATAAGGATGTGTTCAGGACTTTCTATCAGAGGGCGTTGGCGAAGAGGTTGTTGTTGAAGAGGGCGGCGAGCGATGATGTGGAGAAGGCGATGTTGGATCGGTTGAAGAAGGGTGCGTATTCCTCCACCATCCTCATTCTTCTCTACTGACCGCGTGTTTGACCAGATTACGACCCCGAGTTCGGAATGGGCGACCAGATGTTCACGGACCTGAACCTCTCGCGCGATCTGGGGAAAGATTACCGCGAAACTCTCGCAGGGAAGAACAACAATACAGACTCAGACCTCGTTCCGGAAGTCATGATCCTCCAAGCGAGCGTATGGCCCTTCACGTCCCGCAAAGGCAAAATCACGGCCGTCCTGCCTCCATATGTACGTGCGTCTCCTCGTCTCTTCCTCCCTCCTCCTTCTCCTTTCCCCACTTTCCTTTCCTTTCCTGGTCCCTCCCTTCCTTTCATCCCAATCCCAGTTCAACTGACACCTCACACTCCCACGTCCTCCAACGACCAACAACGTAATCGTAATGACAGCTCCAAGAACAACTAACCTCTTTCACGGCCTACTATAAATCCAAATACAAAGGCCGCACGCTCGAATGGGACCACTCCCTCGGCACCGCGACGCTCGAGGCGCGTTTCCCCAAAGGCACGAAGAGACTGACGGTGTCGCTCTATCAGGCCGTTGTGTTGTTGTTGTTTAATGAGGAGAAGGAGCTCGGGTTTGGGGAGATTAAGGTTGGGGCGGGGATGGGTGCGTATTCATCTCCTGTCTTGTGTTCTTCCCATTGCAGGGAACTGATATGAGAATGTGTGTGTTTTTTTTGGTGTTGGTGTGGTGTGATGTAACAGAGGACGCGGAGCTCAGACGAACACTACAGAGTCTTGCGTGCGGGAAGAAGAAAGTGCTCACGAAGCGTCCGGCGGGGAAGGACGTGAATGACGGGGATGTGTTCGTGTTTAATGAGAAATTCACGGATCCGAAGCCGGTGGTGCATATTAATTCGATACAGTCGAAGGAGACGGTGCGTTTTCTCTTATCCGTCCATCTCATCTCACCGAATCCTACTGAATGCACTCTACCCCACCCAGGCCGAAGAAACAACCCGCACGCGCAACGCCATCGAAGGCGATCGCAAGCACCTCCTCGACGCGGCCATCGTCCGACTCATGAAAGCGAAGAAACAGATGCACCACGGGCAGATCGTGAACGAGACGGTGCAAGCGGTCCAGAAACATTTCGTGCCGAGCGTGGCGATGATCAAGGAACGGATCGCGAGTCTGACCGAGGCGGAGTATGTGAGGAGGGACGAGGAGGATATGGGGCTTTATATTTATGTTGCGTGAGCTTGGGAGGGGGGTGGATGTGCCAGTTGGATAGGATCTGCTTTCTCTTGTATTCTTGAATTGATGGTGATCATCATGTACTTTTATGCAATAGACGCTGTTGTAGAGCTGTGGTATATTTCCTCTGAATTTATACCACCAAGTGCAGTCGTTTCTCGTCTACTTAATACGCGATGTGGCCTGTGTCGTGCCCTAGAGCGGCGATGCGATAGACATGATGAGCCGCGACAGTGTCACAACCATTAACAAAATCCAAAATATTCCGGTTTACCAGGCCACCGAAATACAGCAATACAAATACCTATAACTAAAGCAATCCACCCCCTCCCCCAACTGCCTATACCCTCTCACCAACATCAACATCAACTCTTCGGCTTCACACTGACAGTGGAAGGACTAAAATTATACTTCCGCGCCGCCCTCCTCTCCACGAACCCCGGCCAAATCGCATACACGAACTGCACCCACCAATACCACGCCGGCACGAAGACCGCCTGTCCGCGCGCCCAGCCCCCTTTTCCACTCCCATCTACAATCTCGACCACCTTTTTCGCTACGTACTCCCTCTTCAGGCCTTTACTCTTCGTGTTCGTGGTGGCGTTCGGGTCGTCCTCGTGCAATGGGCCGAGGGACGCGTCGACCGCACCAGCCCTAAAATCACCCTCCACAGTACTCGGCAATGTATAGCTGAACCCAATAGCGGGATGTTCGATGGAGAGACTGCGGTAGAGCTGCAGGGAGGCGGATTTGGTGGATGCGTAGATCGTGCGGGTGGGGGCGGGGATGGAGGACGCTAGAGAGGATATGAGGTGGATTGAGGGCGAGAGGGAGGTTTGGGAGAGGAGGGCGATCTGTTGGGTGTGTTTTTTAGTACGGGATTTTGGAATATGGGAACGATGAACATAATATCATTCGACTGTGGCGCCACACGACGCCACACTGCGACGGCCAAGTCAGAGACAGAAAGCACTAGTAGTAGTACTCACAAAGGTAACGGCAGTGATCAATGGACCTATGTAGTTCCCATCCACAGCAGCAGACGCAATCCTCGACGCCCTTTCCACGCCTTCAACACTCGGCACCGAGGTCTCGTTCGAGCCGGGTTCGACGCCAGCGAGGGTCATGAGCGGTTGCAGCGCGGATACCCCAGCAGAAACGATTATTGTGTCCAGGCCTCCCCATTCTTTTGTACAACATATCCAGCACATAAGTCACAGTGCAACAGACCGACCTACTATATCATCATCGAGAATAAACGTACCTCGTTCCAAAGTCTCCCTCAACGCGACCATCTGCTTCGGATCCGTGAAATCCGCCCCGAGCCCCAGTACCCTCTCCTGCCTTCCTTCCAATCCCTCAACAACCTGCACCGCAGCACACTCCTCACCTACCCTCACAGCCTCCTCTTCCCTCCTGCCCGTGATACATACTCTCGCACCTCGACGCGCGTAGAGCAAAGCTATAGCGCGTCCGATCCCGCTCGAGCCTCCGACGATGAGGACGCGTTCGGAGTTCGGAGGGATCAGTTTCGTTCGTGGCTTATATAAACACCGTCGAATGAAGGAGAGGACGTAAAAGGTGGATCGGAGAGCGAAGAGAGAGATTGTCGTAGCGAGGAAGAGACAGAGTGTGGTGGCGAGGATGACGGTCGCTGAGCTCGGTAGAGTCATCGGTGGCACGTCGGGGGATGATAGCATTCGCCATTGGTTTAGAGGCGTACTTTTCGGGTCGGAGATTTGGCGTGCGGAGAAGCGTTGGATGGCCTGCCAACGTTGGCCTGCCATTTTGGAGATGGGGGTATGTACTTAGAAAGAATTTATTGTAATTGAGTGCGGTTGTGAGAGAGGGTGGATGCACGTGTTTGTTTGGTTGTTGTGGCGTAAGTATGAAATATCGTGTTGTGGCAAAACACGAGTTTTGCGGTATACTTAGATAGATCAGCCAACGATATAGTATTAGGAAGAGAAACAAGATGCTTGCCCATCACTTCACCGCACAATATCCAACGAATTACCTTGACAAATCATCGACTGTAACAAACGGTACCGAGGTTGCAAAACCTCACAAAGCGGCAGCAAGGACCAAAGGAATCGTCCTTAGAGGGAAACAACTTCGCGTAGTTCATTTTGAAGGTACATACTTGGATGCACGGTCATGCATGCATCGCGACATGTATATTACCGATGGAGAAGACAAAAGACATGCATTAAGTCGTGGAATTTCCGGAACTCGGCGAGGACCCAGATAGTCAGATGCGCCAAAGAACGCTGCAGATCAGTTCTTGAAGGGCTGTGACTACTGTACTATTGGAGTGAACATGATTTTTGGTTATGAGCATCTGATGTAGTAGATGTGTGGACAGTGCAGCAGGATTAGCGATGTATACACATGTATGAGATCGTCCCAAAACGATTGCGCGACAAGAGAGCAAAGCACTGCGAGATATCAATGGGAGTGGGAATCAATGAGGGCAATAATCGAAGAACGCGACTTACCGGAAAGCAAGAAACAAAACTTCGACAGCAGATCCTACGCCACACTCTTCCTTCCACTCTTCCTCCGCCCCGCGCTCTCGCTCTCCGTCGTCGACGCTCCATACCCCGACATCTCTCTAGCCTTCTCCTCAATCTCCTCCTTCCTATCGTCCCACGCCTTAATAACCCCATGCACGCCGTCCTCCAATAACCTGTCCCTCGTCTGCCTAGTATCCCACTCCGGTCCCCACGTGTCCCACCTCACCGTATACCAAACCTCCTCGTCCCTCTTCCTCTTCTTCGAACTACTGCTCCCAGAATCCGTATGCTCCTCCATCACGATATGCGAAACTTCGTACTCAGGGTCCTCCGCGTCCTCATCAACAGCCCCACGGCACTCGTACGTCTTTCCGTTTCCGTTCCTCGCGCGACTAGCGGCGGCAGCGGTCGACTTCCTCTTCTTAGAAGACCCCCATTTCGACTTTTTCGATTTCTTCGGCTTAGAGGCGAGAGGCATCATCATCTCCCTCTGTCTCTCCATCCATTTCCTCGGCACCTCCGTCGTCGGCCTCGGCCTTCCCTCTCCTTTCCCCAACGGATCGAACCGTCCCCTAACATCAACCTTCTTCGACACCTTCAGGCTCTCCTTCGGATGCTTCAGCCGGGCGTACTTACTCACTTCACAAAGCACGTGCTCGAAATCGACTCTGCTGACATACGGCGGAGAAGAGGGCGTGAGGCGCGGACGGAGGGAAGGTGCGATACCGTAGGCGGAGAAGTAAAAGTCTTGGTTGTCGTGTAGGTGGCTTACGGCGGGGCCGACGTAGGGCCCGATTTGGGGGCCGAAGATTTTGGAGAGGCATTCGGTGGCGCCGGGGCCTAGGAGGGACCAGTTTTCGGGGAAGGAGAGGGAGGGGATGAGGTTCAGGTCGAGGGATAGTCTGGGAGAATAAGGGTCAGATATATTAAGGTATTTGTACGGGGGTGTGAGGAGAAAAGCGTACTGGTATCCAAGGAAGGCGCCATTCATGGAGGGATAAAGTTGGACCTGGCCGAGGATCTCTTGAAGAGACTCCGCTTTCGCGAGTTTCTCGCATAGGCCGGTGGTCATCATCAACACTAACAGGCGAAGGTGCTTCAGCCAATTTGGACCCTCACCCAACGGAGGAGGCGGCATCTGGTACGCTGCCCCGTACATTTTCGCGCCCTCGGCACTCGCCTCAGCGAATGCCTCCGTATACGTATCCATGTCAAAGTTCTTCCAGGTGGGTACACCGAAACGATCCTGCAAGAGCCTCCAAGTGTCGTAACGCGCAAAGAAACGAAACAGGATCACTCGGAAGGCGGTTTCTTTGAGGTCCTGAGGGCCTTTGGAGATGACCTCGCGGACGATGTATTGCGTCATGCGGTCGTAGACGCGGTAGACGTTCACGAAGGGATACCTCTGGAAGTATTCGTCCGATGTCCACGGGGCGGGTTCGCCGGCTAGACGACGTTGGAAAATAGCATGGCGTTCTGCCATCCAGGTGAAGAGTGTCTCGAGCACTGCGGTGGGTTTGAAGGTCATGGTCTGTTCCGTGCCGTCGTCGTCGACACCGATGACGATGGTCACCTCTTTGGGTTTCTCTAATTTCGGCGTAGGGAGAGATGGACGCGCTTTGGCCTTGGTCTTGGACTTGCCTTTAGGTGGCAGCGAGACCGACGAGGTTTCTTTGAGCGGATTCAAGGAGAGTGGTTCGTCTAGAGACGTGAGCGAAGACGTCGCAGAAGAGGTACAAAATGAGGAAAATGGCACGGATGAGGACGAGGGTGTTTCAGCCATGATGATGGCGGTAGTCGAGATGAAGAGCAAGACAATCCCTCGCGACCATCGCGCTCTAAGTACCGCGTACGTATTTGCTCTCGTCACGCTCGCGTCCTGTCACACCGCCGCTCACCTTTGTACGCTTTTGTACGTCGCGAATGCGATCACCGTGGCCGGTTCTGATGCCAATGCCAAAAAGATGTATAAAATCCTCCTAACGGAGAAGGAAGATCCACTAGAACTGTCCATATCCGAAAACAGTGGTACGGACTCACACGAGCGCAACGAGCCAATACCGTTCGAACGTTTCACGGGCCTGGCAAAGACTCATGCGTTGGCGAACACTACTGGTTATTGTGGATGTGTGATACGAGCGGTGTTCATAGCATTGCAGCAGCGGGACAGATATGATATGAGCGCACGGCGAACTGAGAAGATGATGGGCGTGAACAAAATTGTTCTCGATTCACATCGCCCTTCACAGGGCCACATTTATCCGTGCGGTGCTCGGGGTGCTTTCTTCCATAAATGGGCAGAATTAGGGACTCCGGACACCTGGTCCTGTTTTCCGAGTTCGCGACTTTGCAATTCCTCGTCGCGCTCACCGTTCTCACCGTTCTCTGTATCGTCCTGCTGTCCGTCGTCGCCGTCATCGTCGCCGACAATGTCAAGAGGAATACGATCACTAAAACACGCGAGTAGGGCCGTTGATATTTCTGCAAAATCCTTCTTGACACGGTCGCCGGGTTCGTGCGCCTCTACTCCGTCCAGTACACTCCGAGTTGTTCCAGTGAACCAAAACTAAAGCTTTATTTGATCTCCAGTGACGCGACGATGTCTTCATTCGACGACTTCGAGGCTTGATGCTGCAGCACTGGCAACGAAGCCGGTACTGTCAGCGCAGGACGGCCCCATACCTTCAACATCGTCTAGCGGGTCTTCGCTAGGAGTCCGAATGGCAGAACATCTGAACGAGGTCTTCGCACCGCTAGAATTTCCACCAGAGGTCGCGCAGAGGGTGTTGACGCATTTGAGTCACAAAGATGCTGTCCAGGGACACAACGCTCGCTTTGCGTTCATGGGTGCGTCACCGTCGAGTTAGTTGCTCGTGTGGACAGCTTGCTCACTGACATATCCTGCTTCGAACGTACATTGTACTTTCCACCAGGCCGCAGAGTTCTCGAAACATATCTTCAGCTGTTTCTCCACTCTACGCCAGGCTTGCAGGCCACCTCATCACCTGATTATGACTTCGACAACATCACCGCACGCACCCTCAACACCTACGTCCTCGGCGAACACGTAGCCCCGCAATGGCGTCTTCCAGACATAATGCGTTGGAGGCCCGTGGCGAACGATGGGCTGAAAACGAACGATATGAGGAGTATAGGGCTGTATAAGGTTTCGGGGACGATGGTCGAATCGGTCATGGGCGGGCTATTCCACCAATTCGTACGTCGACTTCAGTCCTCGCCTTCCATAGGTGCTAGTCTAAACATCTCACATGAAATATCCATATCATGCAGGGAGGCTCCGTAACCCACCGCGTCTTCCACACCCGCGTATTGCCCCATATCCTCCTCCCGAACCGGCCAGAAGGCCTACACTCCGCATTCCACGATCACGCGAAAGACGTCTGTCGTAACATGGGTGGACCGGAAGGACCGCTGGTTCTTCTCGGAGGGGCGGCGGAACGGCCGTCAATTCTTGAAAAGTAGCACGTTACAACCTACAACACATAGCATATCTTCACGCGAGGGCTGGGATAATACATATTTGCTGTGAGTCTTTTCGCTGTTGAGGTGGATGGCGGAGTGTGCTCTGCGCAGATTGGGAGGGACAGAGGCTGACTTTGATTCTTGCTCTACCTATCTTTTTACAGTTGCATGATGAAAATATGGCCGCGGTGACCTCCGGACCATCTAAGTGTGGCGTATGCCTTCGATCGTGTTTCGAACAACGCCGGTTTGCATCCAGCCACTGATTTTGGCTAACTGCGATCGGGCGTTGCAGTCTTACTGCACAACGTACCGGGATACTCGTCCGTTTCGTCCAAGGCTCGGAGTTGTAGCGACGACTCCGCTCGCACTTCGATTGGTGGCGACGCCAGCTATGCTCGCTTTTAGCGAGCAGGCCGCTACTAGACTGATCATTTCTGTTGGCGTGTCCGATCTCGTCATTATTGCAGTGCACGTCTGCCGTCGTCGGGCTCGTCACCCTGGAATAACACTGCACAGAGAGCCGTGCCAGCGCCAGACCTGGCTTTGGTCCTCCGCTATGGTCGCAAATCAGGATGCGGCATACCATACCTCAGTTGTCGGCAAAACCACAATGCACCTCTTGTCCTTGAGCTAGTGATACTGGTTTGCAGGTGCCCCATCGGACCACACCCTGCCTGAGTTCAGAGGCCAGACAATCGAGACACCCCACCTTTAAATTGACTCCTTACCTGTGCTCTTTCTTACTCCTAGAATTGATGATCAAGGCGTTCAGGCATTATCATCTATTTGACGTTTTTATCCACGGCGTCGCTCCTTATTTCCGCCTGCAAATCCCAGACGACATGTCATTGACATGCGAAACTACTGGGGGTAGTTCCACCGTAAGTCTGCTTGAACCGCTCTGTACCCTCGTGAGCATTTTCACCGTAAAGTTTGCTTTAGGACTTGAGATTGTCAACTTGTATTGCATGGATACGAGTAACTTTGGGTTGCTACGGCCCACCATCCGAGTCAGCTACAGCACGCACAAGGTCCATCCATCTCCTTCCAACGTGACTCCCTCCACTATACATTTAAACATATATTTTCCCTCAAGTTCTCGACCACTGGACTAACCACCCGCTTCTGTCTTCTTCGCTAAATACCAGACCAGCACCTGCTTCAATCGGCGCCACGACCTCCAGAACAGCATCGACTGCTGCGGGTACCTGCTCTCCATCGTCTAGCAGGGGCGCCGCCACAACACCACAGATGAAGCCCGATAAACCTAGGAACTCTCGCGCAAAGTATATCTTCGACTCGGATGCCCTAGAATTGTAGCGTTCCAAAACTCAAATATCATTCAATATACCAGTAACACATAAGTGCGAACATACTGACTGCCTCGAAGCTATGGTACGAATCAAGAAGAAGGTCTGACGTACAATTAAGCACTTCAAGACATCATGCAGGCTGGTGCGATCGAATGCTACAAGAGTCTGCTTGGTCTCTCCAACCGCTTTCTAATTACAGATCGTACGAATCGTAGCCGAAGACGGTCGTGTTACGGAAACCGACTCGAATGTCTGTCCACTCCGCCCAATTCTTCTCCATCTCCTCATAGACCTGACCCCAGTCTTCGCAGACATGTGTTGCCCCCGTCCTCTCCACCTCGAAGTCGCGCGTCAGAACATCCGGAGGCTCCAACGTCAAATCAGGACTGCACAGAATCATTTGCCGAATATAATTCAAGCAATGTTCCACGTGAGCCTGAATGACCGGCCTGTAGTCTCCATCTAGCGCGGACCGCATCAAACGGATACAGTGAAACTGGTGGAACATCGATATCGCAAACGCGCGATGCTCGTCCCCAAGCCTGATATATCCAAAACCCTTGGGCGAGCTCGTCGCCCATTCCTCAGCGGCATCGAGGCCATGAATCGGGTAGTGTGCGCTTTCTTCGACGGTCATGGCGACGGATGGCCTTTCTTCGAGGTGCCAAACAGGAGGATAATCCTCTCCTCGGTAGGCTAATATATATCACTTTAGCGTGAACGCAGTCTTTCTAGAGCGAATGTATATACACACTGTATTTTTTTCTTCCTGCAGGGTTAGGGTCGAACTCCCTGTACAATACGGCATTGAGATTGAGCACGGACAGGGCAAGGGCACACGTCCCAAGAACATAGAGACAGGTTGGGTGTGTCAGTTGGAACATGTTTGGAGGAGTGGGTGTACTGGGAAATCTGTCGTCGTGACTGCACAAGAAAGCCACAGAAACCTAACGGCGTTGCTTGCCAGAATATCCATCAGTAGTAAGTCCTGACTCCTTATCTGAGCGTCGAAAGGCTGATTGGAAAGGAAAAAAATCACAGGCACGTACCCATAGAAGCGAAGAAAAAAAACCATCGCACATACGGACGCCTCCACTGACAATCTACGGTTGGAACGGAGCATCGTCGCGAGTTGGAGGCCAATCTACTGGAGTCACGGTTGTGCAGAAGTGGTTGGACACCTGGCACTCCGATCCGCGCGCTCACCGTGCTTCAAAGACGTCGCTTGTATTTTCTCATGCGACTAGAGACGGGATCTACGGAAGGCAACAAGGTTCTTGTCATCGTACGCTAAAGAAGGCACCTTGAAGGCGAACTGCTCCCGGAGGATTCTGGCGCCTTCCCACTATCCATTACACGGGATGTGTTACTAACAATCCTAATTATCGATTACATGATACCTTGACTAGAAGAGAAAGATTCGATTGTTTCGCTTTACGACATCTGCTCCGAGTCGCACTGCCGGGCGCTGGGACCTGAAAGGTCAACACTGGCTACCATCTCCCGGTCCACTCTTCTCGCTCAGTTCTCATTCAACTGAAATACTCTGACTATCTTACTATTCTCACTGAAAATGTCTACAGTGTTCCAATACCAACCTCTTTCAGCCGACGAACCCTCAGTGCACGCCGAGGAATATGATCTGGGAAAGGCGCACTTGCAAGAAGGCACATATCTGCTTTAATTTGGTTCCACCTCCTTCAAAATCAAAGGGCTGACTTTTTCTGTTGCAGACCTAACGATAACAGAGCGACGCCGTGGTCAACGAATGGTCTTCTGGGCATGCATCGTGGCCTTGTCCTGTTCCTTGCTCAACGTCCTCGTCCTCGGGGCACAATCTGTTGCACCTCGTACACTTTTTTCAGCACAGAACCCGCCCAAATTGGAGTACGCGAGCTCTTACATCGGGCTAGAGACCGCTGTTCGGGATCCCTCTTCTCCCCCCTTACCCCCCATATCCAACTTTCCCATCGTACTCGCACAGGTCAACGCCTCACAGCCGAACAATGTGCTGTATGACAGCCATCGCTGGCGCTCAGGATTTGGTATGATCTACCCTGAAGATCGTCGCTTCTTACTAACACTAGACGTATGAAATCTCTTTGGCATCACCTTTCCATTATCACCCACCGCTCAGTGTAAACAATATTTGATATATCTTCCCTCCAGGTCTCTACCATCGCCCAATTTCGTGCAGGAGACTTCGGAATGGAGAGATGCTCCCTCATTATGTCCATACCATATCTCCTGAATCTGGAAGAAGATATGAATATCACGTCGCCGTCTTTCTTCTCTGACCCTGTTGTATTCGTCGACGTTTGGAAGGCGGATGTGGAAGAGATCGACCGTCGCAAGCTTTCCTGGTCGACGCGTCCCACGAAGCAGAGTATGTTTGCGTCGCTGGAGTTAGGCTTCGGAGTTTCATGGGAATCCGCCGAATTTTTCTGCCGCTCTGGATCCTACCACACCTTTACTTTCAATCTGGGCGGGGGAGAAGTAGACGGTAGGGTTGATTTCAGGCAGGATCCGAGGAAACCGCAGCTTGGTAGGCGTTTACTTATCCTCAGCACTTTGATGGCTGTTTCCTAACATCGCTCTCAGGGCTTTTACTGGTCCAACGGTCGTCTCTATAAGATGCACAGTAGAATTTGAATCAGATTGCACTTTATTCTCCCATATTTGTTTCAATTTTCGGATTATAAACATACGTTGGTTCACTTGTTGCGCCCCATGAGTCGTGACCCAGCTATGTTGCTCTCAGATCTTGTTGATTGAAATGCCTGAATTTTAAGATCTCATAAATCTAGAATGTGCGGCCTAGACGACCACCAACGCATGAAGCGGTGAAACTTGCTACACGTAACAACTCCATGATGAAGTAGAAATTACTGTAACTTCGCGATGCTGAGCGGTGACTACGAGCGAGAGCGCGAAGCGAACACTCTGGTCATTGACCAAACAAGATCTTCCGAGCACTGCTCGACAACATACTGATAACTTTACTCTCGATAGATACTCTCGTCTCCTTTCCCCTGATACCTCCTGCAGGGGGCGACAGCTCAACTGCGCTGTGCTAGCGTAACGGCGACCGGTTTTACTGGATGAAGTTACTTTGATCAGTCCTCGGATGGATTCTCTCCATGGAAGTGCGTGTATACTCACAGTGTCGAAGTCATCATCTCGCACCCGTACCCACTCCTCCCAATTTTGGGCCATGGCTTCATAAACGAGCCTCCAGTCTAGACAGGTGTGCGTGCCTCCAGAGCGTTCGACATCGTGGGATCTCCAAAGAGCATCTGCCGGCTCCAAGGTCAAATCTGGAGAGCAGAGAATCATCTGGCGTAGATAATTCAGGCAATATTGTCCTCGTACAGCTGCAGGCTCACTTCCTTCGAGTAGAACACGGAGAATGCGTAGGCAGTGTGCTTCGTGAGACATGCCTATGGCAAATGTCCGATGCTCTTCCCCGAGCCTCAAATAACCAAAACCTGCAACTGAGCTCGACGCCCATTCTTCCTTCGCATCTACACCGTGTATAGGGTAATGACCCGTCTCTTCGACGGCCAGTGCTACTAAGTGTTCCTCGAGAGGGTAGTACTCAGGATAGTCGTCGTCGATGTATGCTTAGAAATGGAATGTGAGCATTAATACGTCATGGCTTCAAGTACACCTACAATACGTCCGAGGTTCATTGAAACCATACTCGGCGCTATTAGCCTTCAGTATGGACAAGGCGAGGTTTGCGATGGAAAGGAGGGCGGGTAGACAAGCCAGTACAACACCAGCATAGAATTGCAGTCGGGAACGACCATACCAGAAACGAGCCATCGAGGTACGTAGGGCGCTAAACGCGACGATATGGACCACAAGCTTCAAATTGTACAACGAAAGTGCTAGGGAAAAGTAAGGGTGCCAGTGCGGCAAGGCACATGAGCACTTAGTAGCCGCTCGACAGCCGCTTCATCCACAGGCCAGTGGCCACCTTCTGACGTGCGTCGCACCTATCAAGCTCCAGCCCAGTGCGAGCTGTCCACGAGAATGTGTTGGAGATCATGTTGGCCTTCTGTTGGCTACTCAAAAGATTCTGTAAGTGCCAGGGTCCGGAGTAAGCTGCCCCCGGCGCCCGCACAATGGCCTCGGCAGTTTCCTGACTCGCCGATTTTTAGAGCGCCACAAATTCCTAATCCTGTTTTTTGTCCGCCATCTTCCTGCGCTCGTTGTTCACCGTTCAGCGCTCAAGAAAATTTTGGAATCCACCGCGAGGCACTTGCAGCTCATTCCATATCCGATAGTTTGCACATAGAACCCTTCGGTCGCCCAATCGATTGACATCTCCCCAATCATAGCTCAGCGCTCAGGTTCGATGTACAGCCTACTATGATGGAACACCTTCCCTTACGCCAGCCCGTTCATCAGAACTCGTCTCAGAAAACTTCCGGGCCCGCAGGATTTAGGTGAGCGATACTATCTTCCACATGTAAGTCCAAACTTTATGCCTCGCTCGTCATGTTATAAACACAATACCTTCTGATGGCGTCGTCACCTTTAGAAGCACAAATACAAGCCATAGGGCGGAAGTTCCTGTATGTTCCCCCGGCGTAACTCTGGGGTGCCAGGTATGCTACACCTGAGTTTTTTTGGAGGACTGGATATCAACTAGGGTCACTAGACAATGCGATATCAAAAGAAATATGTAGGTGATTCTCCACTGTCCTCGAGGAGAACCGATTTCAAGTCGTTACACAAGGCTTGTCACCTGTTTCCCCATATGTCACATTTACACACAAAGAATGTGTATCGGGAGCCCGAGACAAACTTCACATGCTGGAAGAGCACAAAGGCCTTCAACCTAGAAATAATGTTATTCCGGATACACCGAGAGGACGGATCAGGGCCAACTTCCAGAATACAGTATCGTGATGGAGTCAGCATCCTCATGCCTCGTATTCTATTCAAGAGGAAACTGCGGGCTCTCTCCGAACTTGCGTCGTACCGGGTGGAATTAGAAGCCCTATGCTGAAACTATTCGCAGGATGTCGTGATAATAGTCTCCGTCTCAGGCTTCTGAAGACTTTCACATGGCCACTTTTTTCCGATTCTCTTTTGTTCGTTCAGCCACCCGAGTTACTTACTACTTCTTTCATTCACACCGTGTCAAGGGTCATCAAGTACCTGGGCCGAAAAAAACTCTTTCTCACATCAACCCCTCGCTCCTCGGTGCATAGATGTTTGTCACCGGTCTAGGAGTTATCAGCATCCAGTCGATTAGCGCCTCTGCACGATTAGTTGGGAAGGCTGATGCGATGCACTTGCTTCCATATTGACGGAATGCGTTGGATGTCTCTTGTTCATTATTAGAGCAATCGCCGACTCCGTGTCATACCTGAACGGGACGGATAATCGCTTGCTTCGTGTAGCATGTTCTCTTTGAGATCCCTCAGACGCAGGGGCCGCGAACCTTCCGCATCCGTATCTGGGGTCCTTCTAGGCCGTCTTCCCTCGTGCATTCCTCAGACCTCTGAACGTGAGTACGTGAAGATGGGATTTGAATCCTTTGAAGAGAGCCTCCCGATAGAATCTTCACTTGGGTTATGCGTGAAATAGAAGTCTTCGCGTTCGGCAGTGGGCGTTCGAGGAGACGAATCGTGTCATCAAGGCTCTACCTTTGTGTCCTTTCTCTTTCACCACTGACCTCTACCAGTAACTTCACCGATGAAAAATTCCTCAAAAATGGGCTCTCCGGTCATTGACCAGAGCAACTTGAATCCGGAGAAAGACCTGCCTCCAAACCAATCCAACATTCAAGTCGATCCTGTCCCCGATGTCCCTTCAAAGTTAGTCTATCTTCTCCTCTCACAATGACTCGTACTGATACACAGCAGTAATCTTGCGATAGTCATTCCTGCGTAGGACTCTCACCAGCTCTTTTGAATCTGCGCCTGACCGATTTAAACTGTGCAGAATTTTGCTGCTCAGTATGTCGTCCATGTCCAAGCAGAAGTTGGGCATGATAGTGATTATTCTCAGTTTTAATCCCCGCCCTTGATCAGACAATCACATCTGTGGCACTACCAACCATCGTCAGTGAACTTGGTGGCCAGAATGCGTACAGTTGGATTGGGGCTGCGTATTTACTTGGTGCGTGAGCTTCGCGTTCATCCTTTCTCAATCGAGGTGTTGAATCGTGTGTGCGTAGCTAGTGCCTGTCAGTTAGCCCAATCAGTCTTTGAGCTGCTTGTTCTAACGATTTCCTCAGCTTTTTCAACTATCTACGGAAGGCTTTCTGTCTGTCGCAATTCGTTGTCTGGCAGAAAATACTCAGTACTCACTGTCTTGGGTAGGACATCATAGGGCGCAAGCCAGTATACTTCATTGCCATGACTTTCTTCATGGTAGGATCTGCTCTTGGTGGTGCCGCGCAAAGCTTTTTGTGGCTTGCGATAGGTATTTTCTTTTGTTCAGCTTGTGTATGATCCCTGCTGACACTGCTACCGATTGGTAAGCTCGTGGCATTCAAGGTGCCGGAGGTGGAGGACTGATTCAGCTTAGCATGATCACAATTGCCGATATAAGTTGGTATTTTTCTACTGAGATATCGAATAGCTGTCCTGACTCATCGTTAAAAAGCTCCTTTGGAGAAACGTGGATTTTATATTGGCTTGGTAGGAACGACTTGGGGTACGCTCACTTCAATCACAGAACCCCACCATTTCATCTAGAGCTAAATATAAGGACAGGTGTTGCCAGCGTTACTGGCCCCATTGTAAGCGTCATGGTATCTTATCCATGAAGGCCTGCTCTCATGTACCATAAAGGTCGGTGGCGCTTTGACGGATCACGCTTCATGGCGGTGGTGTTTCTGGATGGTAAGCTGTCTCTCATCTCATGTTGATACGACTCATGAGCACCATTCTAATCCTTGCGTAGAATCTTCCTGCAGGAGGCATTCTGTCCTTGATACTTCTATTCTTGCTGAAGTTGAAACCAGTGCCAAGGCGTCCTTTTGGTCAGGTTGTCCGTCAGTTCGACTTTATTGGACTGTCTCTGGTTATCTCTGGGGTGGCTTGTTTCCTAGTGGGCCTTGAGGTCGGACAAGATCACTGGTCATCTGCCGCTGCCATTGCTCTTATCTGCATTGGAGTAGTATTAATTATGGGGTGCTGCCTCCATGGGTTGTTCACCGAGCGTATCCCTGTCTTGCCCTCCCGACTTTTTTGCACGATGACCCCTGCAGCCGTACTGATCTGTGCATTTATCCACGGTATGGCGGTATTTACGGGGAGCTACTACATTCCTCTATATTTTCAAGTCTTGGGATCGAGCGCCACAATCGCCGGAATCAAGACCATGGCCTTCAGCCTTACGTCTTCGGTATCGGGAGCGTTGGCCGGTATTATATCCGTAAAGGCAGGGTATCGACTGGTACTCTGGGTGTCTTGGGCATTGATAGCGGTTGGTTATGTCAGTACTTTTTCTCAAAATCAACATTGGATGGTTTTCCGACAATATAGTGGGCTGACAGACGACTAGGGGCTGATGATACGACTCGATAGCTCGACGAGCATGTTTGTATCAGCATCACTACGCGAGCGATATCTTGTGACTGACTCTCTTGGCAGCCCTCTGCAGATAGTATATATATTCATTGCTGGAGTGGGAGTGGGAGGCGTATTCCAAATTCCTCTCATTGGTACGCAATTTTTCGGATATCTCCTGGGCCCCGTGCTCATCATTTGACATTAGCACTTCATGCGAGCATGCCCGTCAGCGATATTGCCATGTCTACATCTGCCTTCATGCTTCTTCGGTATGTGAAACAACCACGAATACTATCTTCACGTTTTTAAAATGTCTAGTCATAGGCTACTCGGAAGCGCTGTCGGTGTCTCCGTAGGCGAGGCAATTTTCGTGACCGAAGTAAAAAAGCGCATCTCTGCCATAACCAACTATAGCGTCGGAGACAGTAATACCCTCACGGATAATTTGACTGGCCTACATAACATCCAGGTATTTTTCGCCGTTGTTCTTGATTGACTTAGCTAACCGGTGTTCTGCTAGCCTATCAGCACGCGCAACGAAGTCCTGCATGCTTACAGCCGTAGCTTGTCGGTTATCTGGTATGTATCCTTGTGATTGCCGTGACGTTCACAGTGCTCTCACTCACTTTCTTATTAGGGAGGTATTGACACCTATTGTCACAGTCGGTTTTCTGCTCTGTAAGTTCTTGGTGTCATTTTCGGAATGAATATTGACGACTACCAGCCTTGTCCGTGCGCAAATACTCTCTCCACGAGAAGCCGACGGAGGAAGCGGATCCAGCCAAGATACCTGGCGATAAATCACTCATACAAGGGGAAAGTTCTGTCTGAGACTTGCATATGTATTTACGATCTTTCTGAAATCTGCTGTTTGCGAACTGTGGTTCACGTTCAGGCTTCCGTCAATGCTCGACTAGGACGTAAGCTTCCACAAGTGTGAATTATTCACGTTATACCTTCAGCTTGGTTTAAAAAGCTCTGTTTGTTGTTGAATCTGATGCACCACGAGAGCTGTTATGTTGTAATTATGACTATGTGTACCACACAAAGTCCTTTTGTATTCGTTTAATCAGGATATTACCCGGCTCACGCTGGATACTCATCTGCCCGTTTCGGATTGGTCACGCTGATATGACTCTGTACGTTCCTTTATGCGGCACAGATGTCCGGACAATATCTTACCAGTTACTTTCGAGCTAACCCCAATAACTCAAGCCAGCAGAATACCATTTGTTGCTAGAGCTGACTTCAAAGGACTCGACGATAGATAAGTCAAAGTACAGCTTAGACTGAACAAGAATGATCGAAATACTTCGTGGTACACATATGTTTCTGATATATCCTAGTGATGCTTGACGTCAAACTTACCGTTCGGCGAATGCACAAGGCTCAAAACAGGGTAGAGGTTCACATGATCATTGATGAGTCGACTGGAACACAAAAGCAGGACAACTCTGCCAAGCTCGCAAAATCCTCATGCATGTTCGTACAAAAATTTGATTCGCAAACAGTGAAGGCTAACAAGCGTCACCGGGCAGTAATCTGTTAATGAGGTGAATCAACTGTTGAATGTACAATAATACCCGAAGATAAAACCTACATGTCACGATCAGAAATCAACGCGGTCACATATGTCGCTAGTGAGGCCGGGGACATCACCGTCGTCCCAAGACATAGCAGCTTTGGGAAGATCGAGAGTATCTCCGCTGCAACCTGAAGAGGTAGATGAGCATGTATCAGGTACCTCGAGTCGATGCGACAATCAAAGGATGACATACGCTTCACTTCGGATTCGATGAGAGGAAAGGCAACAGCAACCACCGCGAACAGGAGAGAGAGATAGAGCTTCATGTTTGACTCGTTGAGGCTTTGTGGATTTGATGAGGGGTGCTTGTGGATGTAAGTTTCCTCGAAGGGACCACAGTCCTTTAAAGCTAATTTCGGTCTAGTATAACCGCGGGATGAGAGGGGTTCTAGAAAACAGCTACGTAACATGTAAACAGAAGCGAACTCATCATCCGGCTACTAGAACCTAGTATTTGGCCATGGCTGCATGGAGCTACGCCGTGATATCGACTATTGAGTGGATCATCCTGCTTTTTATTTATTAATATTATAAATTACAGCCCTTTTCCTTGGGTCATCTCGATGTCATTGATTTGCCCCGGTCCATTGGGGAGAATCTCCTAGTTGATTTGTAAGCCGCACAAACGCAGAGATTCCCTATACACACGGTAAGGAATCTTCTCCCCGCACACTACCGAGTTACTGATAAAGACCGCACTGACCGTCCTCAGGACCTCAAGAGAGTGAAGATACACAGAGATTCGCACAACTAATACCAGCCTGTGGAAGTTTCTCACCATGCCAGCATCACGCAACCATGTAGACGATCGTACTGTCCTGTCCGGGGCAGGACCCGGGCTAGGAACGGCGACTCTGAGTAAGTACTTACCCACATTTCGGTCATTCGAGCGTTCTGTTATGGTGCCTGTAGGAGATCAGTCAGAAATAATGTTCTCTACGTGTCGATTCTTTTTAGCCCTTTGGCACCGTGGCCCCGTCGTTTGCGAGGAATCTCTCGAATGTAGTAGGTCGGAGATGATCTTACAGATGAACCAGTCCAGTGGGAAAATACTCAGGGAATCGCGGGCATTTTGAACCTGAATCCGGTCATTGATCAAGAGGACCCCCAATGCTACGGGCTCAATAATCAATAATCGAGAAGAAGACCGCTCCGACGGAGTACGAGGATTGGTAGAGCTGAAGAAATTTGGACCTCTAAGTGATTGTAGGCACTTGACAAAATCCGACTCTAAATCCATCAGGCCCTCGGGAGCTTGTCGGCTTGTTGTCGGCAGCTGTCGGCAGTTGGTTGGTAAGGTAAAAGTGTCGGCGAATTCCGGGTCTTCCCAGCTGTACAGCTCGTCCTCAACTCGTCCTATTACAGATTTACATTCATCTTTCGCCTTTCTTTTCTGGAAGCCTTCAGCTGTCCTTTTCCACAGATCTAGCCAGAAACACATCTCATGCTGTGAAACGGTGCTCTGTTTCTGTTCACCGGCACAACAAACACTTACCAAACCTCAACCCTTCGATCCCTTCTGCTTATTGTCAACCAAGCATTGGGTAGATGTAATGATGCATCTCATCACAGGAAGCCTCTGAGCTCTATTGTTCATCAAGATGGTAAGATTTTTAGTGCTCTACTTAGGCGGTACCAACGTACCATTTCCGGGATCATGGCAGCAGCGACGTGGTGAGCACGTCCCGATGGATCGCGTGAACGACAGCAAACATGTATCCAGACATGGGTAACTCGGAAGTCCAAATTGATTGATTCTTGTTGATTGTGCTGTACACCGTAGACGCGCAGACACTGGGGTCAGCTGTCTATAAAGTCAGACTGGTCATTCGTTCCGTGAATAAAAACACCTCAGCACCTTGTCGGACGGATAATCACTACGTGGATTAAAAGACCCGAGATGTCATCTGCATCGGATCATCCTGGTACGATAGTCGAGTTCGTCGCAGTGCTTGCAGATACTGGCCTTTATGGAATCACAATCATGCAAACGTAAGTTGGTCATGTTAGATTATTATTCCCTGTCTCCTTCAGATGGTCAAGGACCACAGCACTAATGGCAACCTTTTCGGTTCGTTTTCACTAGCTTCCTATACTTTGTCTAGTATGACTTCAAAAATCTCGTTGCAATAATTTTTTCTCACTATCTTTTCAACTTAGCCACTCTCGCCATGACGGATGGACGAAGCGTTTCTTAGTAAGCCATGCTTGTTACTTGACTATTCTATCCGAATTCCACAGTTATATTCAGACTGATCATCTGCTTTCAGGTTATCTATTTGCTGTACGATTCTACGCAACACCAGTAGCTCACTGCGATATCTCATTCACTGCTGTGATTTCGTCTACAGCTGCATGAACACCGTCCACGAAGTTTTGGTCAACAGGGGTTGTGCGTGCTATCCTCCAGATACCGCTCATCGGAAGAATTGATGTATAATTGATATTTTTCTTAGTTTGGGTCTTGATATCTCGAGTTGATGACCCATTTGTACTGTCTCAGTAAGTGCGCTCCATGATACCTAACAAATATCTACGGATATTCAATGCCACCCTTTGATACTAGAGAATATCTAGTACGTTGATTCTTGGCCCAATCAGCTCGAAGGCTGAGCAGTTTCATCATACAGTGGGGAGGATTGTTCACAGTGAGTCTTGGATCACCACCTCCGTCACCGGCACGCTGCGCTCACCGGACTCCAATCTCTACAGGCACTGGTCGCCTTGCCCACACAGCTTTTCTTTGCATACAGAGTTTGGCAGTGTATGTCTTATGTTTGATGTTATATGTCGGAACTCGTATCTGAAGAGCAGGTTTAAATATCCTAGTCAGTGGAAATAAGTGGATATTTCCAGCGATATTTGTAGGTTTACCGAGCCGCTAGAGCGTATGATTCAAACCTCTGACCTGACACTCAGGTTCCGTGCTCCCTGTTTCAGTTCGGTAGGATTTCCAACTTGATACATTTACTTTGATCGTCACTGACATTGTGATTGTATGTAGCGGGATATATTGGTGGGTTGCATTGACCCTCTCATCAATTGCATCTCTGACTCATTAAGCTGATGTAAACACGCTACAGCATTTATTGCACTCTGGTACGTTTTGGATTCTATGTAAATCACACGCTTGCCTTACTATGAGGGCATAGTCTCAACGGTGGGCCCACCGCACAGATTATCTTCGCCATAGAGGTAAGTCAGATCAGCTTTTAAATGCGATACGAAAAAAACTGATTGATGGCCTACTGGGAAAGAAATTGCCCATGGCGTTTTGGGGTGTTAGTGCAGCCGAAGACATGCTGATCTCTCTTGCCTTAATGTGGTTCATATGGCGCAAGCGGGCTGGGGTAGGGTTTGACAGGTAGTTTTCCGGTTGATGTATACGTCGTCTTCTAATCCATCCTCTTGTGCAGCACGAACCGTATCCTGCATCGACTTTCAGTTTTCGTAATCAATACTGGCCTCTGGACAGCTCTCTGTGCACTATTTGTCATCGTAACGGTGGGTGGTACTGGTATCTTATTCGTCTCATAACAACTGAAGACTTCTTCAAGATGGCAGCATACCCACAAGTTCAGATTTATGTCTCGCTATACTTCATCCTTTGTCCATTGTACTGTAACGCTCTGATCGCCAATCTGAATGCCCGGGCATACATACGTGGAGAAGACGTATACCAATCTGAATTCCATGACGGTATGCAGTTCGCAAGCAATCACAACGTTCCGGTGAGTGTATAATCGTGAAGACATGATTCCAGCTAACAAGATTCGCTAGTATGGGACGCAGCAGCAGATTTCTCTCAATGCTGTTGGAGAACAGTCGGACCCTTCTCAGACGACGCTGGAGACTAGAATAAATATCAAGCCTGGGAGGTCAGTCGAGGGATCGAGCGTTTGAACAACTATGACGATCTCAAGTCATATGTTATGACTTGCATTATGTGAACACCACGTCTAATATGTTTTCCCTTTGGCACCTTACTTTTGAAATGTTATTTATTTCAGTCCGATCCGGACACTATAGGCATCTCGTCGAAAGAGGAGACGCATCATCGGGCTAACCTCCTGCGTATATCATTCGCACCACTATATTTACTTACCACATGAATACGACAATCCAATGTTGCACGAGCTGATTCCTCGTGATATGACAGAGGTTCGCAATTGATCTCAGTAACTCATTACTCGAGGTGATGATTTCAACACAATCGCATTTCGACAACATGCAATCAGGAAGGAGGTTTGGACCCGAAAAATTCAACATTACTCCTCTCTGTTTTCTGGATGACATATACTGTAGCCTCGCCGTCCTACATAATTGTATTCATCTCCGTTTGTGTAGCATGGGGCCCGTAACCGAAGTCGATCGGCGACAATATCGTTTTGACCTTGCTCATGATTGGGATGAGTCGACGCTCGCCGACTGACACAAAAATTTCTTATTGAGACAAGAGACAACGAAAACAAAACGCCAGACGTAAGCTATATGATTGCCCTGGAATGTACAGATACATGGTCCTCTCCTTCACAGCCGTGCCTCACCAGGCCAATCATGATGTTACGACCCCTATCAACTCCTTCTCCAACAAAGCGACCGCGTGTTCCAACTCATCCTTGGGATGCCCCGTCGAAGCCCATTCACTATTCTGCTGAATCTCCTTCGCAAGCCTCGTCAGATCCCAGTCGCTCGAATCTGAGCCACGTTGAGAGTCATGGAATGCATATTGCAGGCCACCACGGCGCGATCGCTCAAGAACATCATAAGCGAATGGTAGGCGGATTTGAGAATACACTTTCAGAGCTCGAGGCGCGTTGTCTCGTGTGACACCGGGATGTGAAAGAAGGTTCGACAGGACGTAAGCATCCTGGGGAACGGATACAGCGTGGTGAGTTACACCCGAGAGAAGAATGACGGATCGGCGCACTGTACCTCGATGGCTTGTGCCGCCCCCGCTCCTTGAAATGGGGTCATAGCATGGGCCTGGATGAAGTTCAGTATCCAGAGCATATGAACAATCGTACACTGGTAAGGAAAACAACGCACTGCATCACCCAGGAGCACCACGCGTGAGTCGACGAAAGACGGCAGCCCATTTACAACGTTGACGGCCCATTGATTGACAGTCAGGCCGTCCATACACTTCAAGATAGTGATCACGATCAGAATTCAAGAGTAATAACACAAAGGATACGGAGTGACATACGCACCCCAATGAGGTCTTGGACTTCGGGCTCCCAGCCACGGAATGACTCTATCACTGCCTTAGTATCGACGTCGGTAGTGATCCAGGGTTCAGGGTACACAGTTCCTTCCCTGTTATAGTCAGCCTCAAATACAGCGACGTTCACGAGGCGACCTTGCGAGATGGGGTAGACCATCAGGTGCTGTAAAACGAAGTTCAAAAACAAAATTGAATCAGACAAAGGACGGGTTATGATGTCTGAGTACTTACACGGTCTTTTCCTAGATACTTCGAAGCACTCAGTAAACAAATCTAGGCATCATCATGTTAAGAAAAGAAGACTAACTTGAAGATTCCTAGTGAAGGCTCGATGATTTGGAGATATAGCGCGGAGTTTCTCTGCGGGAATGAGAGCTCGTAATACGAGAACTCCACTCCAGCGCGCCCTAATATGTGATCGCAGCTCCGATGCTCTGAGATTCTCGCCGTCTAGCTCCTCCTTTGTCGCCAGTGCCTCGAACATAGATGAGCGGACAACGGATTTCACTCCATCCGCTCCGATGAGAATGTCGCAGGTGGCACTAGAGCCATCTTCGAAGTGTAGGGTGATGGGCTCAGAGGCCTTGTGAGGTGATTCCTCGTATGCAACCAGGCGTTTAGACGGGAATGTTGCACAGCGAGAAGACAAACGTTTCATAAGAACCCCGTGGAATTCTGAGCGCAGGAAAGTTGTATATCCGCCTGACGAAAAGTGAGCAACACAGAATGCTTGTTGGAAGGACGCCAGTCTCTCACCTCGAGTCATAGTATCCATGAAACTTATACCTTCACCTTGGTCCGACTTACGACAGTGCGTAGCGGGGACTTGGAAGGAAAAAATTGTTTTAGAGAGGGAGAAAATGTCTGGAAGAATGTTCTTTTACCCATGTCTTCGGAAGGGGACGCGGGCAAAAGCTGCAACAAGTCCTCCTCTAATCCTAGCTGCCTGAGAACCATCCACCCTCTCCAAGTCACCCCGATACCAGCACCAATCTCGGCGAACTTAGAGGCAGCTTCGAAGACGTTAACCTCGATATTCTTACACAGCCCAAGGGCGTATGCCGCAACTATACCCCCAACGCCACCACCACTACAACCAGGACAGGATCAGGGACCAATCGCTTCATCATCCGTCAATTCGAGGACCTACTCACCATACTGCTACTCGCATTTTGTGAGGTGTGTTGCTCATTGTCTCCAGTGCGACCACTTGAACGTAGAAAAGTTTAGGAAACTGACAAGATACAGAGGGATGACTAATCCCTAATCCTTTACGCCGTTCTTGCAGGCTCAGCGAGATCGATGGTGGAAGGTGTGGGACCTTGCGAGTATGAAACAAGTTTGAGATTCAATCCGGATCCTTCCTTCCATTCTGCCAGAATCTGAGAAGTCGATGCTGGGAGTTGCTTGTAGCGTGAGTGTTCTATAAGGTACGTAGGCATGCTCAAGACCCCGAACACACCAATTTGTCATCAGACGTACACTCTCACGATCTCCAACGCTTCGAGTTCGACTACACCTTAGGTCTCGCTTCTCGGGCACTACATACACCGTAACCTGACTAGAGATCTTATCGTCAACTCTTCATATTTCTTATTGTGATGTCTCGAGCGCTGGATTCAACCTGTATTTCGTTCTGCCAAAGCACTTTGGTCCTGCTCTCACAAGTCGGTATCGATCTTCGTCTTTCCTCAACTACATTTTTTACGATTTTCTATCGCAGACATGTCAGCACCCATACGATACGCCATCATTCTATCCGCCGTTCTCGTATCAGGTCTGCTTGTCCTCATCGTCTCGCTCAACCTGAGCTCATCCAGCTCTGCTTCTACGGAGGGCATTCGTAAGCAATCGTTCAATAGTATTTCATTATATAACTGATCAGGCTTTCGTAGGTTTCGATTTCCACAATACGGCGCCGACATGGGACATCGGTCCTCTACCTGATGTGCTCATGTTCGTAGAGAGTACCGCCAATTACCAGCTCAATACGTCTGGTGCCACTGAGCAGTGGTCGGCCCTAGTCCCCCATGACGGCATCATTCATCTCGGCGCAGAGAATCAGCCATTCATGTTGTCGATGTTTCACCAATTGCGATGTCTGGACATCATCAGACAAGCATACTCCAGCCACCACGACGAGGCTTCTGTAGCTATCAGCCATCATTGCCTGAATTACCTTCGGCAGATGGTACTCTGTCGGAGAAATCTACGCCTCGAACGCGTCGTGGATCCTGTCCAACTACCATCTGTTCAGCCATGGGGTAGGCTCACGTGTAGGGACTGGCGTATGGTGTATAGAGAGGCTGAGCGGAATGCAGCAGAGCATCAGGCCCGGGGGTGGGCCCCGCTAGAGGTCGACAATCAACTTTGACTGTGAGCTATTGGTCTCTTCCCATATTCTGAGCGTTGTTGACTTCCTACTATCTGCAATCCGCAGCCCTGCTGATGCGCAAACTACTAGATCGATGAGTTTTGATGATGCTGTATCAATTTACTGATTGGCGACGTCAGAGAGCCCGATTTCATGACAGGCTCGTGCGCGAGACGTCCTTGTCGGCGAGTGCAAGCGAAGTACTATCGAACCCCCAAGTGCTGTATAAGATACAACTCGATTGGTATATCATGCTTTAGGCAGCGTTTCATGGCGCGTATACAGTAGAGGTGACCACCTCACCATAATGAAGTGCGTGGTTCGTCGCTTACTCCACGTCTCTCATAATACGCCGGGTGTGCGAATAGTGAAATTCCCCGTTACGCAATCTTTCCTGTATCAGTTCTTTCTGTTGGAAAGCCGTGCAGCGAGGGAAGGCAGAACAGGATGCCTGAGATGTTACGTACCGGAACTGCTGAGAGCTTTGCATATGGAATTCTGACGGGCCGCACATTGTACGAACGAGACTGAAATGGCAACGCGGTAGTTGAGGTCAGTCTCATCCGGCTACTTCCCATGAAGACGAAAACTGATACCACTACCTTGTACCTTACTGTATGAAACGGTCGGTCACCATATCCATGTCATTCCTGGGAGTCGTGAGGGACATCGTGGGTGCTGTGGGCTCCAGAATTGAGATTTCAGCGTTCACAACCATTTCAGCTGCCTAGTATTCTCCTTCACCGTTTAGCAGCACTCTCCGACACTGTTCTAAGAGTTTCGGATCGTATAATAAGCTGGGCTATTTCGAAAATGTGAGAGGGCTCGAGGCACACTTACTACGGGGTTTTGGTCCTGAGACTACCGGTCTTCGGGTCCCCGTCAGATGCAAGCGATACGCCAGACGGCGCACTGGTGTTCTGCTTACTGTATCTCGGACCTGGAGTCAGGCGCAGAATCGACCCATCATCGGAATCGTCGCGGTACTTCCTGCATCGATATCTCATACCTCACGCAACACTGATCCTCGGACAATCGCACTGATACCACCCTATACCACCGCGGTATCATTTCTCCACGAAGACGATAACTTCCCGAAGAACTGCATCCGATTTTGCCAACCCACTGACAATTAACCGCGCATGAGCGCACCATGCGGTACCATCATAACGCAGTAGGTATACTACTAGAACAGGAGAATCGGGAATGAGTTACTAGTAACAATCTGATATAAACACTAGAGTCCCGCCAAACGAGTGGGTCTAACTAGTTTACAGCAAGGCATCTTCTCACTCGGACACCGTAATCTCTCGTAATGTCAGATCATACTCAAGCGCCAGTCCCCAACTATCCCCTGTTCTGTAACGAATCGTCTCACCAGAACTTGTGATCTTTCCGGAATCTGGAACGTCGGCACATGCCTCATGCTATCCCAAGGAGTGTATGATAGGTATGCGTAAACACAACTCTATCATGAGTAGACAATCAGCTCTGCTTTTTCTGCGCCTCGATCTTGCCCCACCGCGCCTCTCCAGTCTTAACGACGTCCGCTCTTACATTCGGAATGACCTCGGTAGGGATCATAGGCTCTGGACAGTCTGGCTTGATAACCGCCTATACTCTTCATCGCGATGGATTTAACATCGAGGTATTGACGAGGGACGTCAGCGTTGGTGGGGTATGGTCAAAAGCGCGCGTTTACCCCAATCTCCGTCTCAATAAGTGCGTTGTAACATATCGTCTCAACCCAGCATTCAACTGACGTCGTACCCTTCCGTAGTGTTCACGGAGAATACAGATTCTCAAACCTTCCGATGGACCTACCGCCGGACTCTGAGCAGACGGGAGGCAGGCTCACTGGGCCTGGCATGCAGTGTTATATGGAGACTTTCGCAGACAGATTCTTGAATGGCTGTATTCGATTTCAAACCGAAGTACTTCAAATCTCACGAGACGACGAAGCCCAACTGTGGCGCATTGCCATCCGAGATATCAAGAGTGGGTCCGAGACGACCTTGACTTACGATAAAATCGTTCTTTGCACCGGCGTGAGTGTCCACCTGCGCCCATCTCTTCTTATAACGACCAGCTTACCTATCGTCCAGGGCTGTAGCACTCCAAAGATTCCCGACGTGTTGTCGCAACGTGCCGCTCATGATGCCGAGTTCGCCGGAATGGTGTTCCATTCAATCCATTTCCGAGCTCGCCTCGACGAGCTCTTAGCGTGGACTAAGGGTTCTACAGACTCCCATTTGCCTAGCTCCACTCCGTCTGTCGTGATTGTTGGAGGTGGTAAGTCTGCGCAGGAGTACGTTCCCTTCCCCCATTATGAGTACCCTTCAATAGTCTGATAGTTTGATCCTTCCAGTATCGCTGCATACCTTGCGAACGAAGGTCGCAAAGTATCCATCGTCTTTGAGAAGGCGGACCCCTTCACTGCCGGCGCAAAGCCATTGCCTGGCTTTATTAGGAGAAGCAGGTCTGTATATATTGCTCACCATTATTTTGATTACGATTGATTTTGTCGGATAGGTTACTATCGATATTTTCTCCCCACATACAGCTAAACACCTGGCTCGAGTAAGTGAGCTTATGATGAGTTATTCGTATCTGACATGTTCCTGTCAGGTGGTTCCTTCACAAGACGTGGCTCGGGAACAAAATTGTTTCTGGCATGTGGGATTCGATGGCTACCGGTGCAGTACGTCTTATTAGCCTTCATGCTGCCTAGGTCCATTGATTTCGTGTAGTTTGAAGCAGCTGGTGTACCAGAAGATTCTCCTTTACGCCGCACCCATTCGATGTTTTGGTCCATCCGCACGAATGACGAAGGTGTCCCACGTCCGAATGGGTTTCACGCTTTAGTCAACGAAGGCAAGATCGACCTAATCGCACCGACACGAGTGGAGAATTACGGCACGGACGGTCACTCCGTCGTTCTCAAGAACGGTACGACCTTGCGCGCGGACGCAGTCATCCTCGCGACTGGCTACTCATCGTCTTGGGATCACCTCTTCGATGGTAGGTCGCAACCATCGTCCACACAAGTCGCTATTTATTTTCTTGTGTAGATCATACAAGCGAGAACCTTGGGCTCATGCGTCACCCACCTATGGGGTCAAAGACTTATAATTGGGGCTACACGACACTAGCCAACCCGCCTTCTGCTCACCCACAGGAAGACCAATGGGCTTCATCAATTTACCGTGGTCTAGTGCCTGTCAAAAATCTGCTCCGTCGTGATTTCGCCGTCAATGGCGGTATTGTACGTTTCTTCACCAGAAGTTCCTCGTCTTTCTGTTCATTGACCTACATCTACAGTTTTCACCAAATAACGGCTACACGTGCGAGGTTGCCTCACATTGGATATCGTCTTATTTCCTGGGGGATTCGATGCGTTTGCCTTCGACGCTCGCTGAGGGATACGAACATACCGAGCGTAATGCGGCCTGGATGCGCCGAAGATATCCAGATCAGTTATTGTGGATGGATGAGAGCTACACGACTTCGATCGCTTGGTGGACGTACGTGTTTTATCCCCGGATCAATTCTAACAAACATGTCTAACATAATAGTTCGATGTAGCTGGCCACAGGTCGTCGACGAGCTGCTCGAAGACATGGGGCTGCGCTCCATGAGAAGTGGGGGGAACTGGTTGACTTGGCCTTTTAAGGTCATAGATTTGAGCGAGATCGCTACTCTCAAGGAGGAACGTGATGCGAGGCAAGGTCGTTGACCTCTCATCTTTGGCTTTTCGTTCTCTTGGAAATCATGTTGGATTGAGGTCTCCTCGACGAGTTTTCCTGTATCATATATCCTGGCCTTTGAGCTCTATCTTGTTCATCCTTCGGAAAGGAACCCATACGTGAAGGGCTACTAATTGATGTAATCCAATTTTTGGACTACTAGCTCAAACTTCATCTGTCAACCTTACACTGTTCTACCCACCGACAGGACACAATGCGACAATGTGCTCGAACGGCGTAGACCAGCGTAGACCACTGAGTAAACACATTTTGTATGACCCACTGGTATTATCTCGCTGCCAAAGTCACGACGCTCCTTTTGTCAGCGAACACCCGTTGGTCAAACCAGAGCCAGTGCCTCTGTACAGACGTGGAGATGATTGGCGTGTGCGACGATTAGTGTTCAGGTGACTACTCGGACATTGACAAGGGCCGGTACTAAAGTAGGTACTTGATGCATTCACCTAAGGACCTGGGATCATGGAAGCCGAGCACGATGCAGTCTTGATGAAGTCCTCCCGAACAGTTTTAACGTGCTTGCCAGTTTGTTGCCAGTGTACGAGCCGTATCGCAAGCAGTCGAATCGTGGTGCTAGTGGCGGCGCCTAGCCAGGAACCTATTCTCATGAAACATAGGTGGATATTTATAACATAGGTGGATATTTATAAGGCTCCTACCGACTTGGTTATCCAATTGCCTGGAAGTATTTATACCATTTCGCTATCAGTCTGCGGGCCACACAAGGGCCACACACATTTCTTGGGTGAGGACCCATGCCGGGAACTGCCGACGAGTTTGCTTGCATCACCACTTCCTTCCACCGCACCAATTACTCCTACTGGTTTATCCTGGTTTTCTCTAGAATGACAACCAATGCTCAATCCGACTAAATGTGGGAGATTTGATCATCTCAAACTTGATAGACTCAAGCTGGGCCCTCAGCGATGTCCTGCTTCGGCAGACACTCATCGAACAACGCACACAAATCAGAAGATCCGAGTCTCATTATACGAAGCATAGCAGTAGATGAGGAACAATACCTTTTCTGGTCGTTATCATAGTCAGCCAAAGGACAGAACGGTGCGTGTGCTTAAACTGCAAATAATGCACCTCATCGAATAACAGCCTCTTTCTTATTCTATCGTAGCTGGAACAGTACCCCGCCCCATCAGTCTCTACGGCGCCCTGTGGCCTACGAAGGTGCACACCAATATCTCTACGGTGGAGCCATTCTCCATGTTTCTGATGTCATGGCTCCCTTGCTGAATATAAAGCCGTAAGCCGTGACACGCTATAAAATCATGTGTGCGTGGGCTGCAGGAGTCGCCACAACAGCATCGTCGTCATTCCAAACTTCAGTCTTGTTCCTTCACAACCTCCAAGTTGATGCTGCGTCTCACGAATAGCTGTCTCCTCGTCTGTTTCTCCGCCGCATGTCCAAGTGCCCGAGCGTAGAACTAGCTCTGCTTCTCATGTCATACATCCAATAGGACCTCCCCGAGAACCGTCTACAGAGGATAAATGGCAGAGCTTGCCACTTCTTGCCAAGTGGTAGAAATTGTCTGTCTTTGATCTTCTTTGACCACTGCCTGAGACGGTGGCCACTCGGGATGCGCTGCTGCAGATGGCTCGGCGAGCTAGGCTGTTAGCGACGTACCTTTGTCTCTCCTTGCATATGGCTTCGCCGGTCTAATCCTACGGACCAACTTGCAAGGTAGCACGTGGCTGCGAGTCAACCGCTGACGGGTCATACGCGCATTCTTCTCGGTCCAAGAGAAGGAGCGTCTTCGCGTGTAGCTCATCGACCACGATGGTGTAAGATACTTTATGCGCACCAACAAATGGTCATACGTCGTGCACAATGTCTCTAAGCCTGTGTCGCCGATCCCAGAGGACCCCTGAAATATTCCATGGTCAGCTCGACGATCCGCCGTCCGTGCCACAAGACCAGAAAGACCCCGTATTTTCCCACTGTATATTCTCCCGCATGTACGCGAACATCCATTTCTGTTTGCTGTGGTGCTGCTCATGAATGTTTGGGAGAAGCACGGTTGATGCGAGCCGCTCGTTGATCATCTCCGTCCCTCCGAGAGCTCTCCGTGGTACCCCTGAGCGAGTTCCTTTTATACTGCGTCGAACTTCTCTTCTGCTAGTGCTACACTCGAGCTCATTGATCCCAGCCATCCGTGCCCAGGCATCTGCTCTCAACAAAAATGGCGCTTGGATCGCAGCTATACACCTTTCTGCTTCTCGCGCCCTTGTCTTTTCTCGCTATTACCTGTCAAGGAGCGAGCGTTTCCTCAAGTCCTTCCCAAACTTTCAACGGTATCGGAGGCTCCGGCGCTTGGTGGCCCACTGACCTCTTCAACTTTCCCGATGACGTCAGGCAAAACCTCAGCACTCTCTTGTTCGACCAAAGCGGTATGGGGCTTTCTAGCTACAGGGTTCGTTACTGCCGCGCTCTTCCTCTTGCTGCACTTTATGACATCTATCTTTTGTAGTACAACGTCGGTTCTGGCGGTGAGCGACTCTCCTCTCTCAACAGGATGTACTTGAAATCATTTCGTTCCTATTTCGTTATCAGGGGTGAACGTATCCAATCCCACCCGCGCAATACAGTCATTCTGGGTGTCTCAAGGAGTTTACAACTGGGACGCGGATCCAAGCGGTGTCTACTTCATGCAGCAGGCCGCCCAGCACAACGTCCCATCCATCACTGCTTTCGTCAACAGTGCACCTGCCGTTTTGACCTCTGGTCATGCAAGCTGCAACGGCGACTTTGTGACCGGTTCGTCGAAATTATTGCACCCAGGTTGTCGACACGGACTCGTGACCTTCGCTGATTGTATTGCCGCTGACATTTAGGTACTGGGAACGAGTACGGCCAGTTTGTTGCCGATGTTGTCTCCCACTGGAGAGGCCAGGGGATCAACATTACTCGTGTTTCACCCATGAACGAACCTGACAGCACTTTCGGGCCGTCGCCTTGTGGTCAGGAGGGAATGGCTGTCGCTCCCAGTCAGGTACATAATATCGTCTCCAAGAAGCCAGCATCTTGACTAACGGAGTCGCCTTGTCTGTCCTGCATTTTCTTTCATCTCGCCCATGAAAGCGAGCTGAGGTCGTCAACGGGCTTTACCAGGCCCTCGAGAACAACGGGCTGACGGGGACTGTCGGTATCATTGTAGACGAGTCTAACACGATGGAGAAGGCTACCAGCGAGTATTCTGCCTGGCTCCCACAGGTCAAAGACAAGGTCATTGGACTCTCGTCGCTTTCTATGTGCGCTACTACTGACGAATGTTGGTTTTCCTTCAGGTCTCCGCCCTATGTCACCATACCTACGAGTTCCCCAGCGACAGTGAATACACTTCCTTTGTACAGGATGTACAGGCGAATTACCCTGGGATAGAAACGTGGATGTCGGTTCGTATATTTTAAATACCTCACATCATCATTATATGCTGAAGCACGCCACAGGAGATATGCTGTTCCTTGGGACAGCCTGATGGTTCTGGCAAAGGCTACGGCGGAGGCTACGATCCTACGTACGCATATTCCTTATTTTCACAGCGTGTCTTGGTGTTCATGAGATGCACGCTAGGATCACCAACGCTTTGATGTTCTCTGGCATGGTTTTCCAGAGTCTCGTTCTTGCTGGAGAACCACATTATGACGTAGGTTGTTGAACATGCTACAAAACATCTCATGTCTGACATATGATATGTACAGTTCTGGACATTGGTATCCAATGGTGCGTTATAAGTCCATCAACTCTCCACGAGTATCACAGCTAATGGCTGTTACTCCTCCACTATAGCAATCGGATGCTCCCCTGGCTCGAGTTCTTCGTGCAACCCCAGCGTGGCAAACAGTGGTGGATGGACGGTAAGCGTCTTGATACAAACCTCCAACAATACGCGCAGTGCTGACTGAGCGGGACCAGGATGGACTCATATATTACGACTCGAATTATGCTTCAAACGGAAACCACAACCTTTGTCAGTTGCTTCCTTGTCATGAACTCTTTCAACCTACTAACATCGGACATACTCAGACTTGACGAAACACTTCTGGACCTATAAACATTTTGGCAACTTTGTTAAACGTGAGTAGCTAGTCGTGCATGTTCTATTTCACTTCCAGTGGCTTTAACTATTGTCTCATACCATTGTACTCTTCGCAGCCGGTAGCCAACGTCGCGCCATCACCGGTGATGGTTCTACCGAGACCATGATGGCCGTCACCGACTCCAGCAACTACTACGTTCTCGCCATGAATACAGGAACCAGCTCAACTAGCCTCAGCCTTACCTTCCCGGAAACCGTCTGCGGTACGGCAGCTGTACGCACGTCCTCGAGCGAAGATTTCACCTCTATCGGTGCGGCCACACAGTCGAATGGGGCGTGGACGCTGCCGTTGAACGCGTTGAGCTTGACGACATTCACGTTCAAGAAGGGGTCTTGTCAGGCATTGTAGGATTGTGGGGAGGAATAATACGTCGTGTAGATGTTTTGGAAGTATTTTGGAATGATGAATTCGTTGTGCAAGGACATCGGCATTGTTGAGGAGCATCAGTGTGGCCCATCGGTGCCATTTGAGACCTTTCAGTTTCTTTGACGAGCTGAAGCCAGAAACTCGACAAACGGCAACTATTTTTTGAGTAACGCTACGATGACCCCATACACCAAACACACAGTACACTGATACAACATGTTCACCGCACCATAGTCCATCGCGGTAGCGCAAGAAAGTCCATCATAGTAAAACAAGAAAAGTCCAGAGAAAGAGTCCGTGATCGTAACAAATGTTCTTTCTGTCCATGATATACCCGTGTTTTATATAAAGTGACTTTTGGGATCCATCGTTTAACAGAAGGAGACGGTGTAGGAGGTGCCAGTCGCACAGGTGGAGGTGTCGCCACATCCGGTTCCATCCCCAGCAGCGTTCGTGCAGGAAACGGCACCGGTCGAGCCTATAGGCCCAAATAAAAAGCATAATACCATCACGATGAGAAAATTCTCCAGTGAATGAATGTGAATAGAAGGACAACATACAAGAACTGTCAGGGGTGATGGTGGTGACCAAGTTGAAACCGTCCGCCACGCTGGGATTGAAGAAGTCCAAACTTGAGAACCTAATATAGTGTCACATTACGCGTCAACAAAGCAGTGTTCAAGACCTGTCCCGAAAGTATACGCACCCATCAATAGTGAACTGAGCGATAGTAGGGCCAGTCAGAGAAGGTCCGGTGCAGTTCACGCCACCTGCCGAACATTGGCCTGAGGAACAGTTGCCGTCCGAATCACACCCTTCCCTCCCCCAGATCCTTCCACTGTACCCATCAGGAAGACTGACGGTATTCTGGCTGCCAGCGGAAAGAGCGAAGCCGCCGAGTCCATTGTCAGCAGCGGGGAAGATGGCAGGGTCAATCTGATCTCCGCAGTTGTTAACGATCGTGACCGAACTGTATCAGGAGGGGGGAGGATAAGAAGTAAGTCAGCGCTCAGAAAAAAGCTGAGTTGAGAAAGCGTACGTTGCGACGACCGAAGTGACTGCAGCGGCAGCAAGGATGACGACGCGGGCGAAGAACATGACGGGGTTCGTGAGAATCGACGTGAAGAAGAGCGAGGGCGAAGAGTGTGAGGTGAGAAATGTGTGAGGAGTGAGTGCACAACATCCAACCTTATATCTTTATATACTGCACCCTCAATTGCGATACACGGACATGCGTTGGCCGCGCGTGACATCGTATGCGGTCATAACAGCTTCGACGGAGGTCCAAGACCACACCAGGCCATCAGAGGCCGTCCGAATCAGCGCCTTGAACGAATCGACGTGTGTCGGACGCTAGATGTCCTCCACGTGAAGTCCGAAGAACTCCACTATAATGTGAAACTGCAAGCAATATCTAGAAGGACCTGATCATGACGGAGGTCGGTGATATTGAGTGGAGGATCAGTGCTATATCGATGTGGCACACCATATGCCTATGCAGCATATTACTGGTAGACTGTTCTTCAGTCTAGCCCAACGGTCGCTCCATGAGAGAGAAGTATGCAAAGATACTTAGAGTGAATACAGAACAAAACAGATAAGAACAGTCCTCTAGTCCAGAGTTCAATACGCCACGAAGATGCCGTCCAACAGTCCAATTTGAGAGAGTGAGGTAAATGGAACGCCGCCAGCATACGTTATGACCCTAGTTTCGCTCAATTCATAGGTGGCCCGTGATGGAAGGTCAACAGAAGTTCTAAGTCTGGAAGAGGAGCGCGGGTCATGAAAGGTCATGAAGGACGTTAGCTTTCTGTGGGTGTGGCGAGTGTGGTGTCCGAGTCGTCTGGCGTCGCTGAGACGAGAATTGTTATCCCTGAGGGCTATGTATGTTAGTATTGCCTCGATGCATCAGAAAGATCGAAGTCGGTGTTATAAAATGGGTAGGAATTCAAAGCAGGTCAAAGCCGCCACAACCGGAGGCGGTCCACTACATACTGCGGGGACGCATTTAGATTGCTGCATATACCAAGCTTATGTCACTTCATCGACATCCAACGAGTGATGAGCTCAGTTTCTATTGCAGACTGCGATCGCAGGCGTGCAGCCAAGTGCAGAGACTTAGATGATATGGCCAGTGTGGCCATGCACGTAACTGTGTATTGTTCGATAGGGCATGGTGATGGCAGCGGAAAGCGCATGGTAGAACTAGCTGAAGAATGACTGTCTATTAGAAGGGATTTGACACGGCGAAGGAATTCTAGGCGCGATGCAGTATAACATGAGCGGAGATGACAACCAGCTGGGAACAGCGAGGGAAGTTTGAATGATGGGGGGACGTACAATGCGGCGATTCGACTAGAGAAAACTCTGATACCATGTATGGCCCGCTGATAGTTGGCCACGATGTATCAAAATAAACCCATAGCGAGAATGATTTTCTCTCCGATTGACCGTCTGGAGGAATAATGAACGAGGGACAGTCAGCAGCCGCCAATCACGGCCACTCGCCCCCACTCGAGCAGAACGAAAGAACGAAGGAACGTGTGCTACAAGAGATTTTCTGACTTACGGAGAATCCCTTCTTAGCTTCGTTGGCTTGGCATCCCAAACGACAGCCTCTTTCACGACAGCCTCTTCCCGAAATCGAGACACGGTATGTTCATGTATGCCACATTCCGTGAACATCAAGGTGTCCAAATGTACCCCGCTCTCCGCTCTGAGCGTCAATACGTCGAGTAAGGTATCGAAAGGCTCGTCCTCGTCCACGTCTGGTGGGCTAGTCGGGGGGACCCTAGGATATGAAGGTGGCGCAGGGCGGGAATGATGTGGCCTCAACACATCTTCCATTGACGCTGTGACGGTCATTATTGCAGCAGCGGAGTCCAGAATGAGGTAGGTCAAAGCTGTCAGGTTCTCGAGTGCGGGAAGAAGAAGCGGTTCCGATGGATCTTCCTTCAAGTGTACGGAGAGCGTGAAGTGCTGTATTCCAGCGACGCGCAATGCTTCAAAAAGTTCGCGCAACATCAAATGAAACATGTCCGTGACGGTGAGTTTGTACTCGCATGTGAAGTACAGCACAGGGTGTTGGGGACTTAGCAAGCGAGGCATAACGTCGGTGTGCTGAGAACTAAAGGAGGGTAAGATGATGTGGCCCGTGCGTGTGAGGCTTTCGCCTTTGCTGACATCGTTCAAGATGGTCAACGTGACGCACGGAAAGCTGAGTGCCTGACGGTTCTGATACACTTGCCCTCCGGGCATCACCTGGTCCCTCCGATGAAATGGTTTGAGTAAATTTTCGAAGTAATAGGATTTTTTGGCATGGATCCAATATCTATCCTCGTGGCTGAGCCGCGAACAGAGGATGGTAGGCCACTGTCGCGCCAGGGCTTCGCCCAGCCGCTTCGTGGCCCACCTCTTGCCCCCTTCACGCGCAGGGGCTTCGCCCCACGCGAATATCTGCAAGAGCCTTGTTAGGCTCATTATAAGTTCACTGCTGAATGTGTCCATCATTATTGATCTGTTCTAACTCATCGGGAAACCAGTCCGCCCCTAATTCCGCGCTAGCTGTCAGCTATTGAGGCGGCACTTAGCCACCCACCTCTCGACGCGTCCCGCTCATTAGCGCGTCTTAGCGCGTCGTTATGGCGAGGTGTTCCGCAGGCACCACAATAAAGGTGCACTCGTAGTACACTTTCTTTATTACAGTCATGGTCAGCAATGTCTACGCATTGGGCAGTCGCACTTCGACATACCCTCTGCTGACGCATAGATTATTTTATGTTGCTCTAAGACTGCACTTGTTGATGTACATTGTACATCTGTGTCCTATTTTTCCGACTTTTCCTCTCATTTATCTCCATGTCGTGCATATCTGTGGCGTCGGGCCACTGCCAGAAAGCCGCCAAGCCCAAGAGTTGACCCAAATTCCCGCTTGCCCTTTGAAGCGAGCGGGAATTTGGGCTCACAGCAGCGGCCCGTAAGGCCGTGGCGCACTCGCTCCAGCTCTAAGTACTCGCTCTTGTCTGAATCTGTCTGCTGGACTTCTGCTAATGTGTGTATATTAGAGAGTAGCATATAGTGTCTAGATTAAATTCAGGCTCAGAGAGCCGGATGAAAAGGCCAGGTGGTTGCGTATAGGAAACCTGACTGTTTGGTGTCAGGCCGTCTTCGGCCTGATAGAAATCAGTCAGGTTTTTCAAACTCCGCTGGATTTATCCGGTAAAAATTTCGTTGCTTTTGCGCCACAGACAGGATCTTTGCACTTCACCCTGTCTTTGCATGCTGCAGATCCTGCATACCATATAGCACTTGTAATTCAACCCACGGCACACATCCAATCTATATCATGGAACACTGTGGTTCGAAGGGTGAACCAAAGATAATGGCCATACATGGGCCACAGAGTTTAGCTCTACTAATATTGGTGCGCTTTTCGACACAACTGATAGATAAAAATAATGAGATAAACATATGGGACTCTGCGAGAGGCCATCAGCGTTCGACGATTCAGTGTGGTGACTTTGTCGAAATATAATGTAGCAGAAGACCTAAAGATCGCTGCTTGCAAGTGTGGGAAAATTGAACTAATGTAGTAGGACGTCTGGAAAACGCGATTCGGGTGTGGAGTGTGGGAGATTAGGCCTAATGTAGAAGGACGTCTGGAAAACGCGATTCGGGTGCCGAGGGTGGGAGAGTATGCCCAATGTGGCAGCTTAAGTGGTTGTAAGACCTGATCCCTGTAGGGACCAGGAATATGATCGGATGAAGGAGAATGCGCTGAGGATATTTTCGTCCCCAATGGTGTAGGACACATCGAGGTGAAGGTCCTTAGGGACATGGTACAGTGCGGAAGAATGCATGAAGGATATCAGGATTCTCGTTCCATAGACATCGCCACTTTCCGGATCCTCGCACCCGCCGGTTGAACACCGTCTACTCTGCTTAAGGAGACTAACCGCTGGCAGACATGGAGAACATTACTCCATGAAAATGCGGACCTCCATATTTCGCGCTTGAGGTCTTCGGGGGCTGTTCTGATCCAGAGGAACTGCATGATCTGTATGATGTCGGTACTTGGCTGGTTTGTGTGGCGCGAGTTGAGCGCCACATACATGGTCAGAGGTGCAGGTATGCGGGCGGAAGAAGTATAGTAGTGACACCGATTTCTGGCACGACAAGGTGGAAACAGTTAAGCAGTATGAGCAAACCCCGTCAACCTATGGTCCTGGTCGTCATTTCTACGGAGTCGTCTTCATGAAATCAACCATTGGAAGTTTGAATTTCGGTTCAGCTCGTAAACATCTGCAGAGGACTGTACTCTTTATCAAGCGGTGCATGTCCTTTGAACGCGCAGCATCCAAGAGAATAGACATGCAAAGTAAGTGCCGCCAATAACCGCCCAATCATTCTCCGTACGCCAGCGCCTCACTCCACTCCGGCCCCTCCAGATCCTCGAAAAATCCAATCTTACACTCTTCGTACTGAAACTTCTCCAATCCATCAAAATAATCATCATACTCCGCGCTCAAGGCCCCAGATAGATCCTGCGCTTCTCCATTGGGAAAGATGGAGGACCAAGGGGAAAGGCATGAGGATCCGGAACAGCGACGGAGAACGAGGAGCAGGGCGTCGAGACGGGGGGCAATGGTGGTGTAATCAGTGTTGTTCACGGTGGCGAAGGAGAAAGTTGACTTGGAGTTGATGGCGAGGTTGGTGAGTTGGTAGGGATCTGTCTGTTCATGGTTCGTGATAGGGTCAATGAAGCAAAAGGGAAGATGCAGGTTCGATGGCAGGGGGGACCATACTTTGAGATTGAACAGCTCCCGCTCGCCCGTACACCAGACCCCATAGACCCACTCATCGTCGTCGTCATTCACTCGCAACGAGCGATAGGTCTGATTCCGGAACACTCGATCTGTAAACAAAAGCGCGATTAAAAAGCGGCATCTTAATGACGTCTGGGTCTGTCCATCTCGCGAAACACGACTAACTAGCATAGATACCCTCCAATATTCCAACATTCCAATACTCTGTGATGGTATGTCTAGGCTCCTCCACTGGGGAAGTCCTATTCACGTCTGTTGTAGTTTGGGTGCCATTATCGAAAGCCGGAGTAACGAAAGATATTGGTCGACCATCGAGAGTGTAGTTCGCCGTGGCACCGGCCAGATCGAGAATTGTGGCCCCTAGGTCGGGCATGGAATAGACATCGGCAGCATTGGTGACGTTAGGCGCGATTCCTGGACCACGGATGAAGAGTGGAATGAGGACATCTATATGTCAAACAACATGAGCGGTCAAGCCGAGAAATTAAATCAGCGACCGAGGAATCATAACTTGAAGGTGTCGAAGAGCGTTCAACAGGGATGAGAAGACGCACCTTCCTGGAACGGGAGCGTTTTACTTGGTTGACGGCGGTGTGAGCCGAGGGCATAGCCGTTGTCCGCTACGCTGCAGTTGAAAAAATGTTAGATATGAAAATCAAGTGAAGAAGAGGACGAGTAACGAACTAGATGATGTACGTATTGTTCGCGATTCCCGCGTCCTCGACTTGTTGAACAGTGTTCTCTACCAAGTCATCCACGGTTCGCAGCGTTCGCAACCGTTGACGATACACATGATCAACCTGAAGCACAATCACTCAATACGTCAACCTTGCTCCAATGCCAACAAACAAACCGAAACACAACACGCACATAACTTAAAACGGTCTCATTCAATGCCTCCAGCTCCTTCAACCACGAAACCCCGCCACCCGGGCCACCCACCGGAACATTATAATTCGGTACCCTGGGTACCACAGTCTCGTTGAACAGCCCGGCGTACTCTGGAGGAGGAATCGGTTCGGTGAATGAGCCGTTGAGTTGGACTTCCATGTGTGGTGCCGTGGGAGCGATGCCAAGGAAGAATGGTTGGGAAGAGGAGAGGGCTTGTTGGAACATGGCAATGGATTTTTGGACGATGAGGTCCATTTGGTAGGTTCCTTCATGATTGATGGCGGCTTCGCCTGGATACATCACGAATGTAAGTGGTAGATAGGAATATATGGAATGGACGGAATAGGGGAATGAGTAGGTAAATAGGGGAATGAGTAGGTCATGGTGATCGTACCATTAGCAGAGAAAGACGAGTTGTAGAACAGGTAAGTATTCGGATCGACTAGGAAGTCTGCATTCGTCCATCCAGCCGCTGGAAGTTGTTGTATGTTGTCAACTTGCATGCCGTTCATCTAGCGAAATCGTCCACAGTTGAGCACTTACGACGGGGATTAAAGACTGTGATAACTTGACTGTCAGACGCACCAGCTTTCCTGTATAATAAGTGCCATACCCAGCCTCCTGCAGAAATATGGGCAAATACTCGCTGTTATGCCCTTTCTCGCAGAACACTTCCCATCCTGAAATCATGATAGCACAAGATCGCATCGTCAGCGCTACACCTCCATCCTCATCAATGAAGGAGGACCCATCACTTGCCTCCATACGGAGTAGACACATACGTCACATTATGGTTATGTGCGTATTGACCCTTCAACAGCGACACTCTCGAAGGGCAACACAGCGACACAGGTGCGTAGAAATGCGTGAATGTTGAGCCTTGTTCTGCAATCGAGGCATGCAGCTTCGGCATGTAGTCGAGCGTCCCGGTGCGGACATCTTGATCGTCTGTGATGATGAGGATGATATTGGGTTTCGAGGGATCGAGAGAGGCCGCATAAGCATGTAGCGAAAATAGTACCAAGCAGATGAGGAAGCGGCTCCAGAGAGAACGCCAGGAGGGTCGTAATACGAGGCTCCTTGGCATTTCCAGACGATGAAGGGGGAAGGAGAGGGGGCATCAACTCACAAACCGCTAGGGAGTACTTATAGCACATCTTGTCCCCTGCCCATCATCGTTAGTAGGAGGCGTCAGCGGACCCGACTAGAGTGAATTGAAAGTTTGCGCCTTTGAGGACGTGCCATGCATCATATGGGAGCTCACGGGCGCTTGAGTTCGTAGTAAAAATACTTTCGAAGCTAGGCGGAGTCGCGACAACTGGTGACGGATGCTATCGGATGCCTACCCATTCCGCTGGGGGACAATGGGTCTTGTAATCAAGTATAGATCGTGTGCCACGTCGATGATGTTGAGCGAGCCCGGGGAAGTAGTGCACTAAGACCCTCAAGCTCGTTTCACGGTCGCCCCCAGGATCGCCTAGTCGGGGACAAAAAAAAAGAGTCAGTGTAACGAAGTCAACGGAACGAATGGGTAATCAGAACAGACATACCTCTCAGGACATGGTTCTCGAGATCTAGGTACTAGCTATGCATGGAGTGGATGAATCCATTCTCGAAGCCAGGAGAGGAGGTCAGAACGGACTTACAGCTCCCATGTGTTGGCTATGCTCAAAGGCGTCGGAAGACGATAACGAAACTCGAACTATGCACATATATAAACTAAATACATAATGTCAAGGGAAGACAGCAATCATCATATGCGAAGTAAAGCGAGAAAGCAGAATAATGACATGTAACGTTATGGTCCTCAATTGCAATTGCAAGAAGTTTTGAGGTTGAGTGTGGATGAGTTACCATCTGCTTAACTTAAAAAACGTGATCCTTCATGAGCCCGTACCTTCCTGGCATTCAACTTCTCGTCTCAGCTGCCAATTCCAGTGTCCCTCCGACGCCACATGGACCCATACCAGAGTAAACGTCGCTCATTCTCCCACCGCAACGTGTACTGTCTTCGAGTCTTAAGTCGTTGAACGGCCACTCCGTACCCAGCCACCAGCTGCCACCAGCTCTGTGACACCTCTAAACTCACCCCTCCTCAGCTCATCGGACTCTCACTGATGGTGGCTCCATACGTTCCATGTCCATTCCCGTTCGCCACCTCATTTTCAGGTATCGGAGACCCAACCCCAGCACCTCCTGCTCCTAGAAGGGGGGTGCGGTCTCCTGGAACACTAGTATCGCGACGTTCGCGTTCGACGATCCTTTGTGTAACGCGTCAGTATATGATGAGGAACAGTCGAGAAGAAATTCCTGCATGAACCGAGGACAGGGCCAGAGAGAACAGGACGAGGAAAAGAGACAGAATGAATTCAGGAATGAACTGATCACTCACCCTCTCATGACAGCCGCCGTCGTCATCCTTTTCGCCCTCTTCTTGCTCTGATTATCCTCGTACCGATCCGTCTCATCCACGATCTCCTCCGAGATGATTTCTTCGATGATGTCCTCGAGGGTTATCACGCCGAGCGCGCCACCGGCTTGACCGGGCGTAGCGCTGATGAGGAGGAGGTGGGCACGGCCGGTTTGGCTAGGTGAGTCGAATAAGTTGGGATTATTTGTGGGATTGTGAAGCGCCACAGACGAAATCGCGATGGCAAGGAGGAAAGAGAGAAAGAGAGAATGTCAGCGCGATTTGATACGAGGACGTCAAAATTTGAAGGATAGGGGGGTGAGTGAAAGGACGCACAAGTAATCCAAGGCCTGGAAACAATTGATGGAAGGTTGGGCCTCTGGCAAAATCGAGAGCTTGAACGACCCGACGGCTTGACTTTTCGCGGGGTCGTAGGACAGGAGCTGTTGATAGGGAAAATGCAGACCACACGGGCGGGTGATCGAGTCCAAAGACATCGCGGGAGCCGTTCATCGAGGGGAAAAGACGCATTGGTTGAAGGAATGGGTGAAAAACACCTTTGAGTTGAAGACAAGCTGAAATGAAAGGAGAGCGAAATACATACCTTCTTAATCAAAAGCAATCCCACGAATGCAAGGGGTTTACCGGGCTCGTGCACCGGGAAACGAGAGTATCCCGACGTGAGGCTATCGTAACGTCGACGTTAGCCGTCAGGATGTGTGATACTCCGCAAGAAACATGCAAGAAATACTCACAGACTCTCAACAGTCTTCGAGTCCAAAATCGTATCCGCACTAAGCGTCACAACATCCTTCATCCACCCAGCCCAACCCGATTAGCCGGAGGGAAAACAAACACACAGACCACAAAACGTACCTTCATCGGCGTCATAATTTCTTCTACGTTCTTCGTGTTCAATTCTAACACTCCGTTCAAAATAGAGATCTCGTCGTCCCTCAGCGGCTCCTCGCCTGTCCTGTGAAACTGCAGGAACGACTTGAGCTCCGCTTTTTTGTACGTGTGTTCTTCGGAGGCGCCGAGGATGTAATCGAGCAGTTTAGCGGTAGGCCATGCGATGGGGGCTAATTTTCGTTTTGTTTTCGAAGCGTAGAGGAGAGGAGGGATCAGTGTTAAGGTGGGGAGATAGGATGAGAACGAAAAGAGAGAAGAAAGGATGACTGACAGAATATGTACATCATGGCGAGTACGAAAGGCGCGCACTTCGCGCCGATTGAGAGACCGTAACGGACACTGACAGCTTGAGGAATGACCCTGTGTCGCGAAATAATTTTCACAAATAAGTATCCTACCATTCACGGCTCAAGAGACCTAGAAAATAGAACGCACTCTCTGTTGATATGACATAACAGAGTGGCAATATATCATGTGTTAGCGATTTGTTGTGCCATAAACAGAATGGGAAAGAAGCGTACCCAAAGATGACTGCCGATTGGGAAAGGACAGAGAAAGAATTCATTCAAAGCATCAGTATAACCCAAAGGTATGAAGACGAACAGACGGGGATACGGACCGATGAGCGTGGTCGAGATGACCACAGCGGCTACACCACCACCTAACTGCATTAGTTTCGTCAGTGGGTGTCTCATGACGCGACATTAAAGTCATAAAGGGACGTACAGCGCTATCCAAGAAGATTGGCAAGCTTTCATTGACAATCTAGACGCGGCACCACACATAGACAAGAAAATACTGAGAGCAAGTTGAGCCGGCCTTGGAGAACGGGGCTTACGACATTGCCAAGCAAGAGAACCTGTGCCGAGTAACAATGGGGTCAGTATCGGTTGATCTGGGTGACTTCAAGAGCAGGATTGTGTTGTACGGAGGATTCGTTGTAGATCCAAACACCACACTAGGAGCATGCGTTCCCGTTGAAGGTAAAGCAAGCATTACTGACACCATACGACGGCAGAGTATCCCTGCAGATGAGTCAACATCAAATCCAAGCTTTCATTTGAAGCCATATTCTGCTTCCAAGAGTGCAAGACAACTCTAGACAAAAGCCAAGAACACAAAGGCGGAACGGGACTCACCACCAAGACCCAATGTCTTCCTCTCGTCAAGAGCCGCAGCACTAATCACTCTCACCTCAGTATTGTTCCAGATATCGCAAACAGCTCACAGTTCAGTAAACACGCACCCTTTTGCGCGTTTCGCTTTTCTACAAGATCCTCCGACGAAGTAGAAAGTACACGTAGATGGAGTTCGTCAAGGCCCATAAGACCAAGAGTCAACCTTCGAACGTCATCGTGCATCAGTACCATGCTACAAATCAGTCCTAAATAAAGACTCACCCCGCAAATACACCACCAATCAGGACCAGCGCAACACTGATGATCAACTTCCACCAAAACTCTGGCGACCCCGGAGCTTCTCCGTGCTCATCTTTCTCCGTTCCAGCTCCTACAGCTGCAGTCAAGTAAGGAACTGCACGGCCCAGTGATACATGCAGTAGAAGTGGAAGAGACCTAAGAGGGGAGCGACGCATGCAGAATAAACAGAAAGCTGAGATGAGGGAAAGGACGAAGGGGCGTAACGACGGTGCTAGCCAAGCGAGGGCGCTTTTGAGTGCGTGTGACGTCAGGACGCGTTCGTCACGCTTGATCACAGTGACTGTTCGCGTCACGGACATGTCGCCAGGCCCTGGGCTCCCCACGTGGAGGTAAAACTCCGAAGTGCTTATTTGTCGCCACATTTTTTGAACCATTTGTGCGCCACTCCTCTGCTGTCGTCGTCGCTGTCATCTCCTGCCTCGGACGCATCTGCGCATGCTTCAGAGCTGTTCTAGACGTTCTCTACTTGGGTGTAAATATTCCACACTACGTCTTTCTCCAACAATCACGTCTAGACCGATATACTATCGCCCAGCTTACCCAGACCTAACCACCGACCTCAGACGCAGACTCGGCCTCAAACAGATAAAGTCTACAAATAAAATGACAGACACACAAGAACAACCATCCTCATTGTCGGACCCATCTACGCTGGGATCAACTTCAAAATCAAAATCTACAACCAGACCAGCTTCTGAGGTAGAGGACTTGTCTACTCGACCTGGCGCGGAGAAAAAACCACGACTTGGATCTCCACTAAAATCTGTGGCATCTGCACCTATCCCAGCTCCAGCAGCCGATCTTGAAAGATTAGAGAATGGCAATCCAGAACTCGTCGTAGCTGCCAACGAGCTCGCCACCATCAAACCCGCACGAACTCAAAAGCAATCCAACAAAGCCGCCAAAAAATCCCGCAAACAAAAAGGCAAAGAACCCGAGCCAGGAACGTCGGAGGATGTCGTGCTGAGGGAGGTCAGGGCGTTGTTGGGCAAGGAAGCGGTGGAGAAGGCACAGGAAGAGGGATGGGAGTTCAAGAGTCCGTTTGAGTTCCGGGAGGAGGTAGAGGTCGTGGTTAGTGCGATGAGTTCGACTGGTGAGCATTTGTTCGAAGCCGTGTTTTCCATACAGTGCTATGCCTCTCCTGCAGTTGGTCACAATATCTACTTCAACGATAGCCTGTTCCAACGGTGACCATACGGCCCCAAGCGCTATTGCTCTATCCAGGCTCTCGAATCATGTGTATTATGCACTACTCTCTATGATTGTGCCTTGGAATCGTTACCTGCTTCATTGTTCATCTGTCAATCTGTCACATACGAAGCATAGGCCCGGACTGTGTAATGTGGCACCAATGTGCCGCATAGGGGGATGCGAACGGACGTTCTGTTCGTCCTCGCATGATTTAGATGCGTGATGCGCACCTGTTTGATATTCTTTCACTTCATCGACATATAACCATCAAAGCTTCCCACTAATCTCCTCCCTTTCTCCCTTCTCCTCAACATAGGCGAAGCCCTCGCCCTCGTCCACCCCTCTTCATCATCTCCCTCGAAGCCCCAGGCCAATCCTCACCCTTGGGTCCTCATAGTTCCCTTCTGCCTTCCTGGAGAAACCATTCGTGCCCGGGTGTACCGTTCGGCTCGGCTACACTCCTTTGCAGACTTGATTAGCGTTGTGAAGCCGAATGATGAATTGAGAGATATGGAGAGAGTGCGGTGTCGGTATTTTGGCAGCTGTGCAGGGTGTCAATATCAGGTACGGTTTTGTTTTTCGTACTTCGGCAGAGACTGTACACTGCGGGAGAACATATCATCACTCACGGGGGATATATTTATATACACGACGTAGATGTTATCGTACGAGAAGCAGCTGGAGCTAAAGCAAGACGTCGTCGTCAAAGCCTACCAGCACTACTCCGGTTCGTTTCCCCACTTCCTACAGTCTTATAATTCCCTATTTCCTCCAATCCTTCCCCGATCACACTTCCCTCCGCATTCCCACCCCCTATCACTGTCTTCCGAAGTTAATTACCTTACCTACTCCAGACCTTCCCCCAACCTCAATCCCCACGATTGAATCCACGATCGGGTCACCCCTTCAATATGGCTACCGCACGAAGATAACGCCGCACTTCGACGCGCCGCCGAAGAAACTTCAGAAGAATGTGGAAGGTAGACCAGAAGGGAGGCCGGATTGGTTGAATATCGGGTTTAATAAGATTGGGAAGAGGACGGTGCTGGATATCGAGGTGAGTTGCCTTCTTTCTTCTATAATTTACAGTTTGGGCGTGGCTTGTGGGCAAGACGATGGAAAGAGCGACATGGCTGATACTGATGCTGATTCGGTATGCGATGTGGTAGGAATGTCCGATTGCGACACCGGTTATTAACGAGGAGTATACGAAGATGCGGAAGACGATTGAGCAGTGGGTCTTTTATAGTCATCGCCTTCTCTTCGGTAGATAGAACGCTGATTTACTCTGTACAGAAAAATATACACCTACAAGAAAGGCGTTTCCCTCCTCCTTCGTGACTCTCTCGAGATTCCACCTCCTAAAGAGCCAGAAGTCCAACAACCTACAGAATCAGAGCCAACTCCCCAAGAACCCACAGAAACCTCCACAATATCTTCTCTCACCTCCGCCCTAGAAAAACATGTCTGCATCACTGACCACAAAGCGACAGTCCGCGAACGCGTCGGCGATACAGTGTTCGACTACACCGCAGGCTCGTTCTTCCAGAACAATAACTCTGTCCTAGTCCCTCTCACTTCCTACGTTCGGGACGCCATTTTCCCACCCTCCTCCTCCGATCCGGATCTCCTTGCCGCCGCGAACAGCAAAAAACCGACGAACTTAGTAGACGCCTACTGCGGCGCCGGCCTCTTCGCGCTCACCCTCGCCCCCTACTTCACTCACGTTTCCGGCATCGAACTCTCGACCGCCTCCATCGCCTCCGCCACCTCCAACGCCGCTATGAACTCGCTCTCGCATGTTGCCACGTTCCTCTCTGGAGACGCAGCAGATATATTTGCGAAGGTCCAAGGGTTTGAGAGGGACGAGACGGTGGTGATCATAGATCCACCACGGAAAGGGTGCGATGAGAGGTTTTTGAAGCAGTTGATCGGCTTTGGGGCGAGCAAGGTGGTTTATGTGAGTTGCAATGTGCATACGCAGGCGAGGGATGTGGGGTGGGTTGTGAGAACGACGGCGGAAGAACAGGAGAGAGGGGAGAGGAAGGGGCGGTATGTGTTGGAGAGTTTGAGAGGGTTCGATTTGTTTCCCCAGACGGCGCATGTGGAGAGTGTGGCGGTTTTGAAGCTGGAGGAGTGATTCGCGTCATTTACAATAATTTATTGTGTCAGTATATGCGGTCAGATGTTCGTTCTCGAACTGGAGCACACAACTCTGCCACAACATCGGATTCCGCGTCGCCACACCTTCTACCACTCTTTCTGAGTCAGAGTCAGAGTTAGAGTCAGAGCGACATCTCCACGCAACGCATTCTCTGTACCACCCAACCATGGTCCGTGCGCACCTCGCACTACAGCTATAACAACCTGCTCTGGTCTCTCCGATGTTCCCCATCTCTTGTGCTCGGGCACGCACATGCGGCAGTGAAGTCTCGACTGAGCCCATGTCTTTTGCTGATTGCAAATTACACATCCGAACCCGTCTATTAGCTTTGGCTTTTAGCAATTTTTCGACAACACCCATACCGTGTGCTTTCTTTCTTTGAAACTTCCAGTGTACCTTTCGAAGAGGTACTTATCGCCTATTTTGATCGCGGTGATGGCGAGTGTGCCGGAAAGTATTGTCTGTTTGTTTGTCTCTATTTTATAGTATGTGCTTCCAATCTCGAACCTCAGTAGTTGTACGATGATCGGCACGTCTTTGGGACAAACGAAGATCAACCGTGATGAGGATGTGGGCACATAGGTTGTCGAAATTCGTCTCGAAGTCGTGAAAACAAGAATTAACAAGAACGCTACTAAAGCTCCTCCCCAGCCATCCACTTGTTGACGAGGTGAAGTGCCTCCTTGGGCTTATCCAAAGGAACCTATTGATTTAACATCGTCATCATACATAGTCTCGGTATCAGTTATGCGTCACGGAAATCTTCTGAACGTATAATGAACCACACACCATATGTCCTGCTCCTTCAATCGTCGCAAACGTTAACCCCCCGCTACTTCTCACCTTCCCGGCCACGGCCTCGCCTCCTGGAATATTCCATTCCCCCAACCCCTCTTTGCGCCATTCATCAGCTCCGCTCCATTCCAACGCTCTGACCCATCTCTCGTTCCCGACCCAATTACAGATCCAGTCGTAGCTACCTACGTATATGAGGGCACGGATACCGTGCTCGAGGAGGGCTGCGACGTAGTCTTTGGAGGGGTGTAGTTCGTCGTTTGAGAGTGCGAAGAGGGTGCCTACGCGGTTGGAGCAGGAGGACCAGTTACCGGACGAGGGCGAGACACCAAGGGTGGAGCGGACGGAGGGTTGCGAGAGGTACTGCGCGATTGTGCTATGTTGTTTTGCCACATAGATAATCATATTAGCTTGATAGGTCTCAATCGGTTACGGATGTACCATCGAGAGATGCAGAGAGGGGAGGTAAGAGGTTAGCAAACGTACACAGTGATAGGATAACACAGAGTTTCCTCTATCGGACCCTCGCACGGCTGGCTGATATCATAGTAGTTCAGTCCCGTGCTATCGAATGGGTCCATAAGCTCTGTTGTGCAAAAGCTCATGGCCGCCTCGCAGTTCATCTCGTCGAACTGGGTGATGCAAGAGGATTGAAGCCACGTTTCACAACGGGGTATCTATGCAGTGAAAGAGGTTTGTGATTAGGTGTTATAAGGTGCGGGGAAGGGGAAGGGGACGGAGGGTGTGATGGGAAGAGACGATCCGTACGGCTTTTTTCATACGGACACAGGTGCTGTGTACACAACGTTGTAATAACCCTTATTAGTATAATCCTCGTACAATTCAGAAAGAGGAAAGGAAACACACCCGATAGGAAGGACAGGGTCGACAGAGGCAGGTGTGCAGGTCATGTCATAGTACGATGGGGTCATGGTGTATGGGTCCGTCAGTCCGTTTCCTACGAACAAAAAGAGACGTCATATCACCGAGGTATGAGAGCATATAAGAAGGGCGTACCAATTATGACTGAAGTCAAATTGATGGGAGTCATTTCAGCAGCTATGAGGTCTGCGTTCTGGTCATAGACTGCCGATGCGAAGACCGGGATGTAACGGCCCTAACGAGGTGGACCGGGTCTAAGTTTGAGTATTCCGTATGTAACACTCAGCCTAAATCTAGACGTACAGCATATGATTCGCCAGCCATGTGGAAAGCGCGTCCTTTGAAAGACGGAAAGTTCTCGAAGAAAAGCGAGACGAATGCGGCGATGTCCACCGCTGCCTCCTCCGTCGTACTCTACAGCACTTTAATTGAATATGTGCAGATAATGGGGAAGAGCAGTGGAGAAGATCGATACACACGACAGACTCTCCGTAGTCGGCGTATGAAAAGCCAACGCCGATGGGTTGGTCGACGAAGAAGACGTTTGCGTTCGAAGTCCAGGATTCCTCAAAGTACTCTGTAGACGTAGAGTTCACGACTCTACACGGTCCTGCAGTATCATAGTCAGAGACGGTACTGTCGCGTGAGAATCGAACCCACCGAGCTCCATATACAGTCCCATGGAGCTTGAGCAACCAGGACCTGTCATTAGAATGAGTGAGCTTCGAAGCTTTGAAGTCGCGAGAGACATTAGAATCTTGAGAGGGTGCGTACCTCCATTCGTCCAGAATATGACGTCGTCCTTCGCAGGATCGTTTCTACTCTCAAAAAAGTAGAAGAAGATATGTCTCGCCTCGATGTCGATGTAACCTGTGTACGAACTTCACGAAAGTCCAATCGAGCCACCACAGGCCCTATGTTTAGCAGAATTCAACCTCACCATCTTTCAAAGTAGAAACAGCTCACGAGACCGTATCATCACAGAAACCATCTGTCTTCTTGATTCTGGCACTATGTTTCGGGAAAGCAGGGTGGGTCAACGTCGTGAACTCATCTGTGCTCAGCGCACTCAGAGAATCTACAGGCGAGAAGAGACCACTGTCGTAAGAGCCGTACGGCCCATATTCAGACGCGAGCTGAGACTTGAAAACGGCTGAGCGTGCTGCTACAGCACTGCTTAGGCTCAAAGAAAGTAGCAGAGAGGGTGAGAAGGGGATGAACATGGTCGTGGCCTGCGCGCACGAGTGTTCTTACGATAAGAGCGCGAATTTATGAGTGGCGTTCCGTCCCCTGAAGCACATGGCACCAACCCACGCCACCCGTTATTCGAACTCCGATGAAGGCAACTTGTTTGTCTTCCAAGTTCATCCTTCTTTCCCATCTTTCTCCACCTCAAAACTCGCCAGGGAATGATTTTTCGCACCGTATCACACCATGGTCTCTATCCCTGCAGCATGGACCACTCTTCCGCTTCCTGGCCCGCCTCTCGGCCGTGAACAACCTGGCGAGAATGATCCCCCTACAATGGAGCTCCCGGAAAGTCTCGGTTGGGAGAAGTACAAGAAAGAGTTCAAGAAGAGCCCTATCAGAGGGGGCGAGTCGTATAACGCGTAAGAATTTGCACCACTGCGTACCGTTTTCCTACCAGCGATTTAATCAACTAACTGGTATCCACCTTCCTTTTGTTCAACGTAGATGGCATGCACGCAACCAGGCCGACCACGCTGCTTACGAGCGTGGCCGAGTGAAACACAACCCTTCCAAACAGCTTCTCTACGCCATTCAGCGTGGCGAACGTGATACTGCTCTCTTTGACGATCTTGTCGCTCGAGGGGCTACCATCTGGGACCGCGATTCCGCCACCAGTGACTCGGCTTTACACCTGGCTGCGATCGCAGAAAATCCTGTTGCTGTGAAATGGCTGCTTGAGAAAGGACTACCTTGGTGGGTTTCTGCGGTGGATGAAAAGAACAAGTATGCGATTGGAAGGGCAATCAAAGGTGGCGAGTGTTGGAAGGTGCTAATGAATTGGATGGTAGAGAGCGGTATGTCTAGCTCAGCCCGAGTCTAACTGAACATAGTCTGACTCTATGCAGATTATGCGCGCTATTACAGGCCTTTTGAGGGAAGACCCAATACAGTAGAATGGCACTTTCACCCCATGGACGTGGAGATCGACAACTCTTCTTACCTTAACGAACGGTGCCAATATGTTTATCGCGTAGATCAAGGGTCTATGGAGGTCAGCTTGATCACGAGCAAGAGTCAGAGCGCCGTCATGGCCGGCTGGGAGACCCCTATCAGTGAATTCAAAACAGCTATCTTCGTTCGTTTTCCGTGCTCATCCCTTTTGTAGTGAAGGAGTCGGCCAGGCTATTGATGGACGGTCAAGGCCCCGGAAAATCTATATTGAACATCGGCTTTGGACTTGGTATTGTAAGGGCTTCACTGACGTTTCGATACATACTTACACAGCGCGATCTGACGTTGTGGCACAACCCTTCGTAGATCGACACAGAATTCCAATATTACTCTCCCTCGAACCACACGATCATCGAAGCCCACCCCGACGCCCTCACCTACTTTGAAAACATCCAATTCGACAAGAGCCCCTTCTCTCCCGGCCACCCCGAAACCTCAAAGTGCGAACATATCGACAATCCGAAAAAGACGAACATTAAACTGATCCCACATCCGTGGAAAGAGGTATTCGAGGATCCGAAATTGAGGGCGAAGTACAGCTTGGGCACGTTCGACGCGATTTACTTTGATACGTTCCAGGAGGGATATAGAGCGTTTTTGGAGTTTTTCAAGTATGTGCCGGGATTGATGAAGGGACCTGGGTCGCGAATGAGTTTTTTCCAGGGGCATGGGGCGTTTGATGATTGTTTGCATGAGGTGGGCTCTTCTCATTTCGTGCTCAAACTCATAGGCATGGGCTAATCAGTCGCGGTGAAGGCGTACAGAGACATCCTGACCTTGCATTTGAACGATCTTGGGATGCGAACGATCTGGAGCGGTGCGTTCACATTCTCAACGACTTGACATTCTTCTTGCTAAAACATTTTCTTCGACTTTTACATCGGTAGACCTCAAAGTAAAGAGAACGCGATGGACGACAGAGACGTATACCACCGGACGAGAGATCGTGCGTTTATCTTCCCTCAATCGATATCTATTGTCCATCAGTCCTCCCTGCGGGTCCTTTTGTAGCGCTACTGATATAACGCATTTCTCTTCGTATTTATGGGCATTGTATGGTCGACAGCCCCTCTCCGAGACACCGCAACAAATGCCTATCTGCATCCCCGCACCCACTGTACCCCGTAAAGTCGTCGCTCGTTCCAATTTCTTCGACGGCTCCAGAATTCCTCCCACTGCTACGACACAAGATAAAGCTGCAAGCAAGAAGAAATGATGAAGTTGTGGGAAACACGTCTGTGCCCAAAGGAGAAGTGCGGGAGGAGGAAATAGAGCCGATTTCGAAGCGTGGGATTGATGGTAATGGGAACAAGCGAACCCGAGACTATTTCTTAAAGGACTGTTTTCGGTAGACCTGTATTTCTTGGGGGGTGACAGTGATCCAGAGAATGTCAGCGACTCAAAAGTCACCCAGTAAACCCCGTCTCCGCCATCGTTGGCAGCGCTGACGTCCGTCTAACGATCTCATGCAAGCCACCTCCGTCAAGAACGCGAAGATAACGTTGTATGGAAACTCGTACACGGATAGGGGTATTGGTCCTCATGGGCCCGTTTTGTACCCTGAATAAATTACCTTACCTTACCTCAGAAAGCGCCGATCGAAAGCGGTGCTTCGGCGGAGTTTCAAATTGAGCATGGTACCATTGAACGCCGTTGTCGCTGAGTCGTCATTGACATTGTCAGTCATCTATCTTCATGGGCTTTCTACCTCTTCTACTCTAACATCAACGAAGATGCTTGACGTGCCGCCTTCGAAAGACGTCGGAAGCCCTGAAGAACTGCGCAACGAGCTGTCGAACTTCATAACCCTCGCGACTATCGCCTTACGCTTTCACCATCCAACCGCGCCGGAAGAGCCAAATGTTCCGAAAGACGAACTGCTCCGAACTCTGCAGTATATTACTACCCTTCTTACTGTCGGGACTCCTCCGAAAGTACGCGGTCCCTTCAAAGATACCTTCGCTTCTCGCGTCATCGCTCTCACGGCAAACATCAACTGTGAAGCAATCGAGTCACTCGTTCTGGTTACTCAGAACACGAGATCTGCACTTTCTCCAGAGACGACCGAGCTGAAGTCTCTGCAAACAACTGTGAGTGGTGAGGAGGTTCTGAACGAATGGCACAAAAAGGAGTGAGTTTCGCAGGATCCTCTATCCTCTTCAGAGTTTACTGCCCGACAAGCTGCTTACTCTTTCCTGTTTTGATCGCCTACAGTCCCGATGGTAACTTCAAGAGCATTTTCGCCATTCTTGAGCTATTTCGTGTAGACAAGCCTAGGTTGAAATCCCCCGATTTTAGTGGAGTCTTCCTGGGTCGCTGTGAACGTTTTCACCTGTACATCGTGAACCACGCTTATCCCAAGATCGCCTCCCGCATCCTCATGGGTAGCAGAACCTGGAATAGGCACCCCATGGACGTCCTCGCTGCCTACCCTCTCGACAGCCTACGCAAAAGACTTTCTTTTCCGAGAAAGCTCAAGGTCGACAAAACCGGGGTAACTTGGCTTCGCAATAGATACGACATCCAACCCCAGACGGTATCTGCGAATAACACCTCGTCAAGCCCATACGTCCTCTACCAGGTTACCCGCGACAACGTTGGGAGATGGATCGCAGCCCTCACGGATACCTTCTCGGGCCTGAGGGATGCCTTGACTACGAAGGGCAGATCCAGAAACTCGCTTACCCTGCAGAATGTGGTGGAAGTTGTGCCCCGCTTGATGATGTTTCGTCTCTTGTTGAAATGCGAACTCGTTGCTTTTCTGCTATCGGATGGATTGCTTGTGCAGGAGATGACCGCGGTCAGGCCGGGCGATCTCGGACTTGGCAGCGCGACCGAACGTACGTCTCTCTCTTGGCCAGTTTGCTGCATGATTCGCCCCGTTGACTGTGCGAATGGTGAATGGGAAACAGGCGCTGGAGATGCAGGGAACGTGGGGCCTGGCGGAGACAGGATAGCGCAGGAGGCCGCGGAGAACGAAGAGGCCCTGGAGAATGAAGAGGAGGCGCGGGAGAACGACGAGGAAAACGATGGTAATGTCGGCCGCCGAGTCACTACAACCGGTCAATCGCGTATTCTGATGGTATTTATCATGTTTTCAAAGTTTTCGTCGAAGACCTCATGCCCAACTCGCCTGCCGACACCATCATTCGCTATCTGAAGACTATAGTCGCGTGGACCACCGCCGTAGATTATCTCTCCGCCCATTCTCTCCCGCTCCCTATCCATGCATATCTTATCTCCATTCCTCATCCCTCATTCCCGCCTCTCAACAATGTAATCGCCAACTTTAAAAGTACGATCCTTGACCACCCTGATTTACGGGACACGAAGGCTGAGACCGCAGCGCTACTTGAGACCGACTTCAAATTGGAACCATGGTCTGTGACTGACGTGTCGGTGCACGCAGAAGCACTTATGATGGGCCTCGCACGTACCTTCTGGTCACTACCTGCAGCGGAGAGCTCTTCACTGGACGTCAGCGCGGAGGCTCGAGACGTGCTTCTCAAAATATTTCAAGTTCGCCACCATCTCCTCGGAACGTGGTTCATTGCTAACGCTCCTTGGGTTACTCGTCCGTTAGACAAATAAGACTCCGATCGCCGTCAGCAAGAAGTGTTGTTGGTGCTGTTGGCAGCTGTATCGCTACTTTCACCCTGACGACCAGCATGAGTCGGACCCGCTACAGAGCCCTCACCCGCCGGCTGAAGGTCCTCCGAACATCGTGCTATGGGGCAGCCACTCGACAATCTATCCATGGTATCCGCCTCCCGTCGGAGTTCCCATACAGTTTTTGGAATCGCTGGCGGAGAGATTACAGGATATGTTAGTTGGTATACTCAAGCGGGCGTCGAAATCGTCAGGAGAGATATCCGTGCAGTCCACCCCTCGTAGCTCCGGCGAGAGCGAACGTCCACAGGGGCGTGAACTAGATACGATGGTCAACACACTCCAACTATACGTACGCCCACTATTTTGATTGTTCAACGTATAGTAATGGTCTGACTAACATGCCTTATAGCTCCCTGGCAGAGCCCAACATGGGTGAGCGGAAGAAGTGCAAGACCTCTGTTTGTAATTGTACAGTCTTCAAATTTTTTGTCGGTCGTCGAAGACATTTCGGCCGTGTATAAACTCTCCGTTTCACTTTGACAATCACACAAACCCGGGGATAATGTTCCTCTTTCAAACCAGCTGTTCTCATGAGTCATTATTGAGAGTTCCTGTGTTCGCAAGGTGCGGGCGACAGACTTACCCATCCCGCACGTTGTATCTGGCTCTTGCGATGGTAGCAGTCCGCATCCGGCATATAGAGACATGTTCTGTGTTGTCAGGGCCGTTCAAGGGCATACCGACACCGTCACCTCTGTTGCCTTCTCGCCTAACAATACATGCATTGTGTCGGGCTCACACGATGGAACGGTTTGTCTCTAGGACGCTCAGACAAGTATATTGGTAGCATGGCCATTGGAGGGACATACCGCACGGGTCAACTCAGTCGCTCTCTCACTTACCGGCATAAGTAGTGTGGCGAGCAGTTGGCAGAATTTCATAGAATTTGAATATTTCCAGGTCTAGGATGCCATGAAATACCATTCAGGACGTCCGAGGGTGGAGAAGCAGGGGTAAACCCAAAAAATGTGCAAATATAGATCGCCATCGTCCAGCGATATGGGGAATTCTCGCGTCATTCGTGAGCTGCATCGCGCGCGGTGGCAACTTGATCCCACTGGCACTCACCTCCGGCTCGAGCTCGTGCATTCATGCCTTGAGAACATCGCCGTAGGCCACTGAGCGCAAAATTCATTCAGACGAGTGTGGATGACCAAAATACTTGGATTGCTGAGCATACTGTCTTCGATAGAATCCGCTATAAATACTTGGCGATGTCTGCGAGAATGACGCTCCTCTTTTTGTCGTCGTCCCTCCTCTAGAGACCTTCCGTTATGGCATTCTCCTCGAGCCATTTTTGGAAGACCGTCTGCGGCTTTCTTCCCATCCTCTCTTCCGGTCTCATTCATGCCTCTAACGCTGCTTCCCTCGACCCTTCAAAACCCAACATCATCTTCATCATCACCGACGACCAGGATGTCCGTACTAACACACTGGACTACATGCCGAAGCTTCACGCCTCTATAGCTGAGCAGGGTGTTTCGTTCACTCATTTCTACGCGCCTGTTTCGTTGTGCTGTCCCTCGAGAGTATCGCTGTTGAAGGCTCAGTTCGCACATAATCACAATGTGACTTACGTTTCGGGTCCATATGGAGGTATGTTGATTGTTCTTTTTCAGTGGTTGGTGTTGGCTCTGTCGGTCTGACTATATGGTGGGCAGGATGGGAGACTTTCTGCGACCTAGGACACAATAACGACTATCTGCCTATTTTCCTACAGGAGGCAGGATATGAGACATATTACACGGGAAAGCTGGTGCGTATAATCGATCGATTTATATACCTCGGTTTATATATCCTGACACGAAATGTAGATGAACGGCATGAAAACCACAAATATCCAAGAACTCCCAGCCGCCGGATGGACAAATGCGGATTTCCTGCTTGACCCGAACACCTACCTCTTCTATAACGCGTCTTTCTCTGCAAACGGCGAAGCTTCGATCAACTACGAAGGCGAATACCAGACCGCCCTCATCCAGCAAAAATCCACATCCATGCTGCAACAAGCCCTCGCCTCGCCTTCCCAGCCCTTCTTCCTCGGCATCGCGCCCACAGCGCCACATCTCGAAGTCCAGTTCAATGGCTCGTTTACCGAACCACTCCCATCACCAGAATACGCAGGATCATTCAATGACAGTATAGTACCGAGGTCGCCGAATTACAATGTCCCGGTGGGAGGTCCGGGAGGCGGAGTTTCGTGGTTGAAGGAGCTGCCGGAGTTGAACGACACGGTGGTGGATTATGTGCGTATCGTGTTCGCTCTGGAATAGATCGAAAGGAACGTGGTGCTGACTTAGACTGTTATAAGATCGATCATGTGTATCGTCAGAGGTTGAGGTCTCTGCAGAGCGTAGATGATCTCGTGGAGAACATCGTTCAACAAGTCGAGGACGCAGGGATCGCGAACAACACCTACATCATCTAGTGCGTTATTCTCTCTCCCTTGTTTTCGCTCATATACAATGTCTAATATCACTTCTCTCGCAGCGTGGCTGATAACGGTTACGCCCTCGGTTCTCATCGCCGTCAACCAAGTAAAACACTCCCTTTCGAAGAAGGTCAGACTCCAGACTATTCTTTCCGTAGAATGTCATCTTAACCACGCTCCGCTGATACGCAGACGTTCTCATCCCCCTCTTCATCCGTGGTCCTGGAATCACACCCAACACGACCAACTCCGCCGATGTCTATTCCATGCCCGACCTTGGAGCTACGCTCCTCAGTCTCGCAGGTGCCACGACAAATTACACCATCGACGGGCGACCGATATCGTTCACCGAGACGAACGATACGACATGTGGATTGAGTGCTAATGAGACGGTGCAGGAGCCGAGACATACGATTACGGAGTATTGGAATATCGGAGCGTTCGAGGGGAACTATGCTGGTGAGTCCAATACCTATGCGATGGAGAGAGAGACGGAGAGCAAGAGAGAAAAGATCCAAGGCGGTGCTGACAAAGGGTGCTTCTTACTTTCGTTTATAGATAAGACCTACTCGAATGGCGGCTTTGTGAACCAGACATACCGTTCATTGCGCGTGATTGATGGCGAAGATGAATGGGTGTATGGAGTCTGGTGCACGGGCGAGCGGGAGCTGTTCAACCTCAAGGTATAGCGAAGTCTCCTAGAGACACCCTATCAGACCTCCGCTAAACTTAGTCCAACCTCTAAACAGACTGACCCATACCAACTCACCAACCTCGCCATCAACTCCAACTCCTCTTTCTCATTCGCCACCGTAGACGACACAGACTACACCCCGCTCGCCACCCGGCTCGATGCCCTTCTCCTCGTGCTTCGCCGTTGTTCTGGAAATGCATGTCTCTCACCCTGGTCCTTCATATTCCCCGACGGGGAGGTCCAAAATCTAGATGGGGCGTTGGATGAAGCGTATGACGACTATTTCGAGGGGTTGGAGAAGTTCGGGTACGATGAGTGCAGGCTCGGGTTCTTTGAGGAGGTGGAGGGGCCGGAGTGGACGGATGCTTTGGCCTATACGGCATAAAACCGGCATGATAGATGAACTATGTGGAATTGGGGAGTAGTGATGATAGGCGCTGTCCGTACAAACCTGGTAGCTCTAGAGCAGAAGAAAAGTAGTAATGATGTACGCTCAATCTAGTTCTGTATTCCGTGGACTCTTTAGTGTGGGGATATTATCAAGCACTGAGCAGTGCTTTAGCCTCCTCGCGGCTGTGCGCAGAGAACCTGTCTTCTACGACCTTGACAGTCTTGTTAGTGTGTCCATTCATGACCTCGTCTTCCGCACTGATCCGGGTCCGTGACCTGTTCCGGAAGGACTTCACGATCATGATTAGGCCCAGCAAAGCCGCAACTCCACCTCTGAAAAAGAGATCTAAATAAACATGGGCGAATATAGAATCAGAAAGGGCATTTGTCACGCACCCGAACATAACCCAACTCTTTGACCACCCTACTACACCCCATCCAAATCTAAACCATCCGCGAACCTCATCGTCTTCATCCTTCGGCCTGTGTGGTCCAACTGGCAATCCCTCCAAATCGGTCGCACTATGTTTTCCAGCTGCGTTCCCGCTGGTAGGATAACCAAGCGCAGCGCACTGTTCGGTGATGAACGAGGGTACGCCGCCTCCGAGTTCAGTGCGGGATTGTGCGATGAGGGGGGCTTCGATGATGGTTAGTGCGAGGCCGGATTCAAGGTGCCATTCGATGTGACCTGGTAGGGTGATGTCAGGTCAGTACATGGGTGGACTGAAAAGTGGAGGATGATGTTTAGGAGGGATTCTACACATACAGTGAATGAACCAGACACCGGGGTTGTCTGCGACGACACGTAGTGTGACTGATCCTCCACCGGGGACATGGACGGTATCTCGTCGCATAGGGTTCGCTTGGCCCTCGATGAATGGAGGATTCAGCTCTGGATCATCAGAGGTATAGTTTTCGGCGCGGTGGATGATTTGCATGGTGTGCCCATGTAAGTGGCTATACGTTGTTCGGGTCAGAGGACCATAAGAGCTGATATGCAGACGCAGGGAGAACTCACAATGGATGTTTACCGTCATCGTCGTTCATTAACACGATGTCTACAACATCCAAATGGTTCCATACTAAACTGGTGGGTCCGTACGCACCGGCCACCGTCGCGTTCTCCCCGAGAGTAAGTGCAGAGAGTATCCCGGGCACTAAAGGCGCGTTGTATGTTACATCGTTGAACATTCCGCGATTCGTACCATCATCCATGGTTTCTAGGAGGACGACCAATGGTATGGTGAGGTCTGCGGGAGGATACATCGGCACGACTTCGATCGGCACGAGTGCGCTATCGTTTAACATTAGAAATTCGTCTACAAATCCTATGTCAGCCGTCGGGGTAGACGAGTTGTATGTGATTGTCGAGGTCACGTCTGCGCGTTATAACATCTAAGTGAGGTACACAGTTTGGGAATGATAAGAAATACGAACTTGGATCCAATGCATCGGGTAGGTCGTCGAACATGTCGACGTCCATGTTCGCGTGGATTGCCCAATTAGACGAGGTATCGTTTCGCGCGGTGACGAGGACAGAGTAGCGCTGAGCGACAGTCAAGGATAGCATCTCGGCTGAGTACTCCTCTGTGTCAATCTACACCATCCGGAATTAGTTGTTATTCAGACCACTCAGAGTGCAGTATGGCTTACTCCGTCCGCCTCTATGACTCTCATCTCATGCCCGTCGATCCAGAAGTAGAACCCTGCGAAGGCCGCCGTGTTGACGACACGCAATCGGTATGTCTTCCCAGGCTCGAATGGCAAGGTCGCGTTCTCGTTGAAGCCGACAGCAGAACTAGTCACATCAGAGGATGTGCCGGAAACGGGAGGAAGATAGGTCGCGTTTTGGGCGAAGTACATCAACGCAGAGTCTAAAGCATCGATGATTAATGGCTAAGATTTTAGAAGTGGGTCGAGAGAAATTAGCTCGGATTACCTACCTGGCACGGGCTCATTACCCTCAGGATTATCGACGTTGATGAACTCGGCCAATAGGTCGCTGTGTTGTTCATGATACCAGTCTCCGAGGACGATCGTGTATTCTTCATCATATGAGTAGACTTCGGATTCGGGGTTGATCACGAATGGAGCACGTAGCCCATCGACATATTGACCCTATGTTCGAAGAATCCACCATTAGATGGAGGCGATGAATGGAAAGATGAACTGAGTGATGAACGTACGGAAGCGTGGGCATGAACCCAGTAAGTCCCTCGTTGGCCGGAGGTACTGACGGGGACGACATAGCCGAAAGTAGATCCAACAGGTATGCCGCTACAAAAACAACCGAAAGAAGAGAAAATATCAAGCAGGCGGAAACGGCAATTTAAAAGCGATCTATCGTACGAACCATTGGGAGAGACCCACAGCGCCGTCCATCCATGCGGTAGAATTGAAAAACATGCCATGGTGATGGAGCGAGGTAGGAACGTCCAAAGAGTTTGTCACATGAACAAGTAGGTCCTCATTCGAGTTGACGTCGAAGGGCGGTGGCCTAACACAAGACCATCAGCACTATCTCGGAGAACTGTGGGGACGAATGTGGCGCAGGACGCACGGCCAGGTGCCATTGACGCCGACGACGCGTCGGGGGTAGAGTCCATCCGGGCTGATGTCGTCCACGTAGGTTATATTCCACCAGATTTCTTTCGTACCAGCAAAAACAGGAGGTACGAGAGTGAAAGCAATAAATGCGAGGCAAGAGAGAAAAGATGGCCACATTGTGAAGTTGCGAGGCTTCAGATCCACCGAGTGGCGTCTCAGATATTGTGCGGTCTGTGGGGTAGTATGCAGAAAGCGAAGCCCTGGAGAGTGGGACTACGAGGGATGGAGTACTAGGTTGTTGTGGGTCAAAATAAAAGACGCATCCCCCTTGCCCTTCGATTGCTGAACAATATATGTATACCGTCCTCGAAGGAGCAGTGAGGGGTTAATAAGATGGGTGTTCGCATCAGTGCCTTATCTGATAATTTCCGATCGTGATCTTATCAATTGAACGTCTAGCAAGCGACTGTGTGGCGTCCTGTTGTGGCGACGTATAATTCCTCCAGACTCTTTCGAACTTTACCCACAGCGGTGAGAAGATAATGTATCGGGGGTTAAGATGAAGTACAGAGCTAAGAATGAGTCGAAGACGGGATGCGCTATATATACGCTGCGGAGCAATACGGAACCAATGGGAACACCAAGATGTGGCCCATCGCACTGAGAGGTGATCACTACGACCAGTACTATGCACTCCGCAAAACTGCACTCTATGATCATCATAGGTTTAACAAGAGACTGCTCCTGACATGTATGAAGTACGATGTATTACTTGCAATAGTGTCCATGGATATGGTGATGACATTACCGATGGAATACCAGTTCCTATTAAGTATTCTAGGAGGGTACTCTGTACACGGGTATTCGAGAAACTCGACGTACATCGCCGCTCACCTTGCGCCCTGCTGCACCTTTGTCGCCGGATGTGGACAAGCCAGACTATAGCGCACGAAAGCATTGGATGATAGGGTGGCGAATGTGTTGGCAGATGAAGAATACTTTCAGAGAGCAGGAGGTTAGAAGCACCCACGACACCTGAGGCTGATAGGATGATGTCCAATAAAGCGTGTATCGCATCAGAGCAGATCAGAGCAGCAGTACGCATTGCACTAGATCTCCAGGAAACCATCCAAACGGCGCGACCCAAACACGCTCCTAGTCTCCTACCAACACGTCATTCAAACCCCAACATCCCCCGCCAACCTTACCACATCCTCCCAATCAAACCTCTCCGGCTCCTCATGAAACCTCCTCAACACCTCCTTCGCCGCCGTCTCCTTCTTGCTCTCGCCCTCTCCCTCCGCAGCGACAGGCCACAAATAAAACCTCTGCAACCCCATCGTCAATAACTGCGCGTCCTCCTGGCTCAGCATCCACTCCTTTTCATTCGAACTTGATGAAGGAGTGATCTCGCCCCGCAGCAACACGAGACCGTGTGTATGTGCGAGGTCGGTGTAGAATGTGAGGACGAGGTAGGGCGTCGCGAATGTTTGGCGCATTTTGTATTCTAATAGCGGCGTGAAGATGATCATCGCTGTTTTCGGGTTCTGTTTTCCCAGGAGCAATGGATCGAGCGCAGGCGGTGAAGTGGAAGGAGGAAAAGGAGAGTCGTCTGCGGAAGGGAGTGCAGGCGGGTCGTGCGTCGCCCATTGCATGTAATGGAACTCGTGTCCTTTCTCTTTCTCTGTCGTCGTCGTGCCATCTGCTGTCGGAACGTTGGCGGGTATTTCCCTCGGGAGTGGCAGGATGAACGACGGCCATTTCGCGGCGACGCCGAGCATGCGTTCATACGTCTCTAGAGGCATCGAGGCGCAGATGTAGCCGCGGCCTGTGCCGCCGGAGCGGGAGGCGTGGTAGGCTGTCCAGAGGGCGTTGATTTGGGCTGGCGTGTGTGGTGTTTGGAGGAGTTTGGGTAGGGCGAGGATGGAGGAGAGGGGCTAGATGGGTCGTCGAGAAGGTGTTGTCAATATTCATGGTTTAAGAAGGCAAGTAATAGAAGAGAAAAGGTGTCATCCTGTCTCTGCGAGATGCGACCGATCTGGACTACCGACCACGAACCGAAATCACCTCGGTCCTCAAACGAACACAAACACGAACACAACACATACCTTCACAGGTGACGAATCCTTTCTCTTCGGAATCTTGGCCGCCCCAACCCCAGTCCCTGCCTCTGCCCCAGTCCCAGTCGTCGTACTTGTACCAGGCTCATCCACCGAAGCAGAAGCAGCCAGATGTTTCGCAGCGCTAGCTAACCGTGCCTTCCTCGCCTCCTGCTCTTGTAATTTCACTTTCTGTCGGAGTTCGTCGACTGTGGCGTTTTCTCTGTTCCGGATGAGTTCGAGCACGAGTCCAAGTCCGAGGAGGTTTGGGATTGGGAGGGAAAGCAACGAGGAGAACGAAGAATGATCAGATGACGACCGTGACTAATAAGTATCCTATCGTATACTATGACAAGTGCGCTAACGAACAAACGGACTCACTTCTTCGCCTTTTCCTGCAACTTAGACGCGTATTTCGACGCGTAGTCTACTTCTACGTTTTGAACTTGATGAGAGCGGTGGAAGTGTCTCGAACGGAGGGTGCTAGTGTGCTGCCGCGAAAGAAAGAGACGAGCGCGAGGGGTAAGGGTCCGAGCCCCAGTTGCAGATAGAAACGACATGGTGGAGTCCGTATGAAAAGAGGCCCGTCAAATTGTTCTATCAAGATGTATTCGAGATGGAACAGCGACGAAGTATTATAGAGATGTTGTACGGTGCCAAAGAGGAATGATGTCACGAGCAATCTAAGGACGTAGCCAGGACGAAGAGGAATAGTTCATGAAGAAGAGGATTCGAGTTCCATCGGTGCTCATATTGCGTTGTACGATCACGTGACTGAGATCGTGTTGTCTCGTCTCTCCACATCTCTCTTTGTCCGTCTATCACCTTGAAAGTATATATCCAACGCTACAATAGGGGACATATACATCCGCTCAAATAGCCAACTACGACACTATCTTTCTCATTCAAAACATACATGCGAACGCGTTGCAGAGTGAGGATTTACGAGTCCGGCCGGAGTGATTCTTGAGAGAAGTCCGCGAAAAATGAGTGTATTACAGCAACGAGCGAGAATAGGAAAGATTACAAAAATACACCATGACCATGAACAGAAACTCCAGACGAGACCAACGAACCACTCCTAGAACCAACGGACCGCTCAAGCATACTACCACAAACAAAACAACTAGTCAGCATCACCCCCTCTCATCAACAGCATAGTTAGAAAAATCGAACTCACCCTCGTAAACGTCCCCATCGTCATGAACGTCTCCTTCCTCTTCACCCCATCCTTCGGCCCATAAAGACTCTTCACAGCCTCACTCATCCCCGCCTTACGCTTCGCCTCCTCCATCGCCAAACTACTCGCCACCGCTCGGCTCGTACTCCCCACCCCATTTATCGAAGCTAAATTTGCCGTCGCTCTGCTCTCTCTGTCCCTTTCCCTGTCCCTTTCCCTGTCTTCCTTCGCTGTCTTCTTCTTTGGTGGCTCGAGCGACGTAGCATTGACATTGGCATCCGGGGAGTCACTGGAGGAGGTGGCAGCAGCTTTGCGCTTCTTCGATTTTGATTTCGCAGACTTCGTAGCAGCCTCGACGAGCCTCCTCGCCTGCATCGCCACACGCATCTTCTCTTCGTCCGCACTCGAGGGATTGATAGTCCGCACGTCTTCGGTCTTATCGAACTTCGTCGCACATTGCGGACATACGTCCAATTGCCTCTCCTTCTCCTTTTCGCCTACATCCTTCTCCTTTCCCTCCGACTCTAATGACAAGGAAGGAGGTGAGGATGATGATGCGGATGCGGAGGTGAGAGTCTTGAGGCCGGCTTGGGAGAAGACGCAGCCGCAGGTGGAGATGTAGACGAAGGGGACGGCGCCTGTCATTTCTTTGAGTGTGAGCGGACAGACGAAGAGTGCACGGGTGGGGGCGTCTTCATTAATAGAGTTAGAGGTGGAGGTGGAGGTGGAAGAGGAGGGGGTGGTGTTCGGGGTTAGATTTAGGGTTTTGACGTCCTGTATACGACGGTGTGAGCAACGGTCGGTCGATGAGGGAGAACTTGAACATGACGAGCGAACCTTCAACGAACGTATATGCCCACATATCTCCTCCCCATCCCCATACGCGCCCCGATCCAGCAGAAACTCCAGCAGCGCATCTTTATTATACAGCTTGCCCAGCGCACAACTGACTATCGGCTCCCTTAATGGGCGCTACATAGCCATTCCAAGTCCACCAATCAGCACAAAGACACCTTGTTTGTTCGGGAAGGTGAGAAGAAAGATGAGAGGACGCACCTTGGATAAAGCACACGAGAACCAGCGCGCACGGGTCTGGTTCGCCTTGTCTGCTTGTTCGGCTTTGGGCTTCGAACGAACGAGATCGCGACGGTCGGGGATACTTCCTCCATCATTACCCATGGTGTCTGAGGTATTTTGGTAGCTGACTAGACAGAGACGGCAGATAATACGACGACGAAGATGAGGACGAAGAAGAGAGGCGGCGATGTGATGGTGGTGGTCAGAGACAGAGGCTGAGAGACAGGTGCTGACCGAAGCGTGACCGGAGCCTCATCAGGGTGCCACTCGTGACAAGCCCTTCGTGACGAAATGTGACGAGCGCCTTGTCTCAGGGTCACAAACCGCGGCCTCACGTTTCGGCCGAGCGTGACAAACCCAACTCTTTCAGTTCCAAACACTCGTTTGTCCATCCGTCCGTCTTTTGTCTGCCTGTTCTGGTCGCGTTCGTTCGTTCGTGTTTTTCTGGCCCCAGAGATGCTCCAGGAATTGTCGAACATGGACCGCATCACACAACTGCAGGATGAAATCCAGAACGTATGTCCATTGCCCGTCTTTCCTCCCCTCTCCTCACCTCTCCTTCGATCTCATCTTCTCTTTCACCTGTCCCACTTTCCTTGTTGTTGTTTGAAAGTCGTTCGAAAGGCGCAGATAGCTGACGATGACATGATAAATTGACTATAGCTGATGACCATCATGTCGAGCACACTCGCCTACCTGACCTCACGCGCCGATTTCGCGCAAGTGTCGAGCGATATACCCGTCACGAAGACACGCAATGCGGAGAAGGTCGATTCGGAGGAGGTGTTTAATGGTGCGTTCATTATTTGCCTCTTCCCATCTGCCACCAATCTCAACTGGCGTGCTCCTTTTGCCTGTGCGTCTGGACGGGTGTGGGTCATATAGCGAACAAGAAGGAGCTCGTGGCGGATCTGATGATGAAAGCGAAACAAGTAGAATATCTCATCCAGAGCCTCCCCGCTCCTGAACCGGAGGAGGAACAAGTTGAGTTTCTCTACATCCCATCCCATTCACCCTCAGGTTTAGCTGAACGAACGTTGTGGATGTGTGCAGGCTAAACGACTCCAAGCCCTCGAAGACGAGATGAAGATCGCGAACGAAGAGTATATAGCCGCTGTGAACCGCGCAAGTCAGTCTCTTTAATCTTGTCTCACATCCTCTCTCCCCTCATGGTGTCGTGTTGTTGACACGCTGCACATTTGCCCTCAAACAGAGGCACTCCACGCCCAGATCGACGGCGTACTGAAGACGATGCTTTCCGAGGACGAGTTCGCAGCGGAGGCGGAGGTCGAGGGGCCAGGATGAACGCACTCAATGGTCAAAGGACAATGACCAACGGCCGAAAGACTACAATACCGAGAGACCACGAGAAAAGAGCAACACTTGACAGACGCACCCACATCGTCGAAACATTGGCTCATCCTCGTCGCACAATCGCCAAAGTCCGTCCCTCGACGGGCGTCCGGCTCTTACAAGAGAACTCTCTTCCTACCCAATATCACCCACCCAATACGACCTGGGCTCTGCCGTTTGGAACAGCTCCTTCTTCCGCAGCATTCAACCTCCTTACGAGCTGAAGAAGGCCCTTATCAGTACTGGGAGTTCCTGGGTTATGGATAGGCTGTCGACTGGACTCTGCACCTTACCCTCATGTCGTACAATATAATTTCCTCCATATTTATTGATTTTGCTCTCGAAATTCGAAATCTAAATCACATGCGAACGTTGGTAGCCTCGAGGCACGTCAATCTTGGAAGAAGTCATTTTACGTCGTGATTACATAATCTATCCCGGCATTGTGCCGTCGGAATCATTCTCTGAACAACTCTAGATCTCCTATGGCCACTGCTCTCCTTCGCCGCCATCGACGACCACGACAATGAGCAGCAAACACACCGTGCTCGCCGCCGTTGCCCGCAGTGTACAACGACGTACGCAGACGCACACGCTCCTGCGCATTTCAAGAACGCGAACACGAACAGAAAAACATAACGCCGCCGCCTCGCTACCCCTCCTCTCGGCATCCAGAACATTTCATACGACCGTCGCCCGGCTCTTCGAAAATAAGCACGCGCCGAAGGACGACAGCCCGCCACGAAGTAATCATATCGACGGCGCGGCCTCGAACCAGTCCTTGTTCAGTGCGTCCCTCCTTCCTCCTGCTTATCCCCTTCCCCTCCCTTTTCCTTTCCTTTCCTTTCCTTTGCCCCGTCCCTTACGATTTGGGTTGAATTGTGCGGTCGGCTGATACGTATACGGTCATGGTCTGGACAGAACGTGCGTCAGAGGCATGGAGGCGCACCCCCACGAAATGGTATCCCCTCCCTTGGTTCGTCGGTGCGATGCTGCTCGTGCTAGTGCAGTGGAGGCGGACGGTAAGGAAGGAGGCGGAGGTGCATGTTGATGGGGATGGACATGAGGTCGTGAGATTGAGGGGACCTTGGCAGGTGAGTTTGTTTATTGTTTGGTTGTGGTATGTATGTTTTGGTAGTGGTCGTGTGCACCGTCGGTTGAGACTTCATCTGAAACTACGAAAGTCCGAATATGCTTGTGCGCTGTTACTGTCTTTATAATGATTTAATACAAGAACATCGTCTCGACTCGTACATACGACTAGTATACACAATTAATCTCCAACATACTCACCCACTTCACTCATCCCTTCCTAGGTCCACATCCTCGGCGCGCTCCCCCTCCGCAACCTCTCCCGCGTCTGGGGCTACCTCAACTCCCTCGAACTCCCCCTCTGGTTCCGTCCGTACGGCTACAAAATCTACGCCTCCCTCTTCGGCTGCGACCTCTCCGAGATCGAGCCGTCCGACCTGCACGCCTACCCCTCCATGGGCGCCTTCTTCTACCGCGCCCTCAAGCCCGGCGCACGCCCGATCGACGCGTCCGCACCGCTCGTGAGCCCCGCGGACGGCACCGTGTTGCATTTCGGAAAGGTCGAGGGGGCGAGGGTGGAGCAGGTGAAGGGATTGACGTATAGTCTTGATGCGTTATTGGGTTTGGAGGACCAGAGCGGGAAGAGGACTAGGGTGAGGAGGGCGGAGGCGGATCTCGGGAAGAGGAAGGAGATTGAGGTGGTGGATGATGAGGAGTTCGCGAACGTTAATGGGATTGAGTATTCCCTTAACCAACTTATTGGAGGAGCGGGGAGTACGCCTTCGACACCTGTTACGCCTTCTGCGCCATCGCATCCGACTACCCAACGTTCTTCTTCTGCGTCAACGTCAGCCACGGAGAGTACAGACGAAGAATTCCCGACGGATCCAAAAGCGTACAGCACCCCCTCCTCGCGCGACCGTCACCCCTCCCCTCAAAAACACGGCGAACGGATCGACGCCTCCGTCGTCGAGCCCGACCGCTCCATCCAAGAAACACTCTCGCACGACGTCTCGGTGGCGAAGGAGATGGGAGTCTCGCCTACGCTGCAGAGGACGCGGAGCACGTACGGCGCGACGGTGAGGCCCGGGAACGCGTTGTATTTTATGGTGGTTTATTTGGCGCCGGGGGATTATCATAGGTTTCATAGTCCGACGGCGTGGGTCGTGGAGAAGAGGAGGCATTTCATGGGTGCGTGATTGATTCCTTGCACGCTCTTCTTCAGACTTCTTGACGGGATTTGCTGATTGCTGACTCGGGGTGATTAATGGCAATGACACAGGCGAACTGTTCAGCGTGAGCCCCTACGTCGCCAAACGGCTCGAAAACCTGTTTGTGTTGAACGAACGCGTCGCCCTCCTCGGCCGCTGGCGCCACGGCTTCTTCTCCATGATCCCCGTCGGCGCCACCAACGTCGGCTCCATAAAAATCAACTTCGACCAGCAGCTCCGGACGAACCTCCGGCACCCCCGACGCTCGCGCCCGCCACCGGGGACGTACGAGGAGGCGACGTACTCCGCTGCGAGTCCGATATTGAATGGGCAGCCGTTGAGTGCGGGGGAGGAGATGGGGGGATTTTGTTTGGGGAGTACGATTGTGCTGGTTTGGGAGGCGCCGGAGGGAAGGGAGGGGTGGGAGTTTGGGGTGGGGGTGGGGGAGAAGGTGAAGGTTGGGCAGGGGTTGGGGAGGTTTGGGAGTGGGAGAGAGAAGGTTGAGTGAGGGGAAGGTTGTTGATGCATATACAGCTGACGAGACTCATCTCTACGTGCTTTACTTACCCATTTGGATTTCAACATCCGGAACCAAAATAATTCACTGCTTGCTCTTCGATGGGAGGGTCAGGGCTTTAGATAATTTATCTGCAGTGGCCCGTGATTTCTTGCATACTATCACGATGTTGCTCGTCTCAACTCAGGTCTTTTCGAACGAATATGTACGGTGAGGTTATACAGTACGTTCAATATGAGTGTGTCGAGTACTTGCAGCTGATGGGAATGTCGGACTTTCAATTTCTGTGGCGCCACATTCCTACGCCACCCACTGACATCAACTTGAATACACCGTAACGGCGACCATACATCGGAAACTCGTCTCAACCTCGCTTGCTATTGTCCTTGCAGCTCCAGTAATATAGATATCTTTGTCTCTGGCTTGTTATATATATCGTCTTCTGAGGAGCTAAGTACTCGTCGTCTATTACCACTCAAACTTCAGGACATGCCCGGGCATCTCCTCATTCTCGGCTCGACAGGCGCATGCGGCCAACTACTCGTCGAAACACTACTCGACATCCCCCATTCCAAATCCCCCAACTTTCCACCGGGCTCATGGCACACCCCAAACCCAGCCCTCCCGACTCTAACTCTATACCTACGCACCCCCTCGAAGCTCCCCACCACATTCAGCACCCACCCGAACGTCACCCTCGTCGAGGGCACACTCACACCTGCCGACGAAGCCAAACTCACGTCTGCAATGACGGGCGTCTCGGCTGTTCTTAGTGCTATTGGGCCCAGTGTCAAAGAAGGACCGGACACGCCCATCGCAGAGGCTTATAAAGTCGTCTTGCACGCCATGCGAGCGAGCGGGGTGAAGAGGCTCATCGCGCTGGGCACGCCGAGTATCACGGACGAGAAGGACGGTTTCAGCTTGGTTTATAAGGCGATGGTACATGGGATCGCGCTCTATGCGCCCAATGCGTACAAGGATATCGTGAAGGTGGGAGAAGTCATTCGTGGAGCGAACGAAGGTGTGGAGAGCGGGAAGGAGATTGAATGGACGATCGTGAGAGTGCCGGCGTTGACGAGTTCGAATAATAAGGAGGTCGTGGCGGGGTATATTGGCGATGGGAAGACTGGGGCGACGCTTGCGAGGGCTGGGTTTGCGGCGTTCGTGGCGGGAGAGTTGCGGGCTGGAGAGTGGATCCGTGAGGCCCCTCTGTTGACCTCGGCTTGAGTGAGTACTTGGGACGCGATCGTCTGAACGCGATACTCGGGAATATCGTGTCCTCGTGTTGTACTGGAATACCGTTCCTATCAGATAGAACCCAGTGTCTCGGTATCCAAGTTGTAAGTCTCTAGGAGCTAGTGCATTCCGATGTATTCTAATATATTGTGCAAGAGAAGGCGGCAGTATAGGGTAGCCGCACTCTCCAGTACCTGTGACAGACATGAACACTGTGCTAGAGAAAGGAGCAGCTCGCGAGTCATGATCACTAGAATATGTTCAACTCCGATAGGGGACAACGATAGCGAGTACTCAGGATGATAGATGCAAGCGTCATTCGATGTAAGACCAAAACGGCGAATTATTGACAGTATAAAAAGCATAGCAATACATTACCGTAACGCAACAAGAGGAAAACGAGACGAGATACCCACCTCACATCTACATCACAACATCCTATCAAGAGACATGAACTGGACATCTCAGCTTGCCACCCCCTCACACCCGCTTCTTATAAGCGTTCAGGACGCCGCTTCCTTGGTCTTATCTTCCTCCACGAGCTTCTTCACCTCCTCAATCCTTCCCTCCAACAACTCAATAACCGTATCCATCCCTTTCAACAACCCCTTATCTGGCCCTTGTCCAGGCGTCAACTTCGTATGCGCGAAGTCTATGAGCTTGACGATATACGGCGGACCAGGCCTCTCCTTCGCCTTCTCGTCTTCATCCTCCTCCTCTTCGTCCTCGTCGTCCTCGTCATCGTCGTCATCACTCTCCAGCCCACTCGGATGTTCTTCCATCCACTTCACACCCTCCCTCGCTTTCTCTATATCCGCCTCATATATGAACAAAAAGCTCGAAGCGATCATCCTCATCTCGATACATCCCGCGATCTCGCGTATCATCTCCACGTCGAGCAACATCGCTTCGAGGATAGGAAGAAGAAGGTGCGCAGGGAGACCTTGGTTGTGCGTAGATGTAGATGATACCTGAGGGAGGGTGGGGAGGAGAAACGTCGGGTCGGAGGGGTGAGAGGCGGGTGTCGAGGTGAAGGGAGAAGGGGAAGGAGAAGAGGAGGGGACGGGGAAGAAGCGTGCGATTCCGGAGGGGAGGTCGCTGGGTTTGATAGATTTGCCGTAGGATTTGGAGGTCTTGACGGGTTTCGAGGTCGTATTATCGTATACCTGCGCATGTCAACATGTCAAAATTTCGCTCCTGCTCACGGTCTGCATGAGCTGGGTCAAACCTGAAATCCAGTCAATCGCACGCCCGTCTCGAAAGATGTCGTGTCCCGTGCAGTCTTCGACATACGCGCCTTCTTCTCTTCGCTCGCGTCGTCGTCGTAGAGGACGGTCCCGAGTTTGATATCGAGGATGTTAGGCTTACGAAACGGAGTTGTGAGATTCTCCAGGACCAACCTGCACCCAAAACCACACCGTCGATCAGCACAAACGCATCCCTCACCGCCCGCAACAACTCGCAGCTTAAACAGAAACAAAGAAAAACTCACGTCTCCTTCTTCTCCTTCCCCTCCACCTCCTCAATATTCCCCCTCTCATCCTGCACCCCCTCCAACCTCAACGTCCCATAAAACCTCGGCACCCACCTCCTCAAATCGCCCAACCCCAGCTTCTCCCCATCTTCACTCTGCAGTACACTCGCATAGAATTTATGTTCGAGCGGCAGGGCGGGCTTGAATACCAGCGAGCCGTCCTCGGACGTCTGTACGCCGGAGTGGCCGCCGACTTGGTTTGCGAGCTCGAGAGGGTGCGAGGGGGGGTAGGGGCTGTGTGAGCGGGAGGGGGCGGAGGAGGGGGAAGGAGAGGGGGAGAGGGAGGACGGGGTGGCGCTTAGGCTGAGATTGTTGGGGGAAGGGGTCACGATGGCGGACATCGATATCGGGATGGGGGGTTGCTTCAGAGGTGGTGTAAATAGATGGAGGCGAACTATAGACAGAAGAGAGCTAAGAATGCACTGCTTCAGATTATGAAGATAATATTTGTTTCGACGTGGCAGACTACTCTGAATGTCGTGGAGGCCTACCTTAGATATAGTGTGAGGCGTAAGTAAAGGTTCAAGGTGACAGAGCGGTACAGAGCAGAAGAGCGTTCATGGCCAAGGAGATCATGGTGGCATGGAGAGCATCGGTTCGTGCAAATATCGAAATTCGAATGCTTGGCGGGCGGTGTGGCACCTACAGCAGTGGCACTTCGGTGGCGCCCTCGTCCACTGATTTCATTGCGAAAAGCAACTGTATCTGTAGGAACTTCGTACAAACAGCTCATCCAGTACATACACAAGTACGTACACTTTTTGACTCCACTATAACTATATACCTATCCACGTCCTACCACCCGCCCTACTCACAAAGCACACTCCACCCCTGCCACTCCACCCTCCCATGCTGCACATCCACCAACCTCTCATAAAGCGCACTCGCCACCGGTCCCATCGGCCTCGTCTCCCCCCCTCCCCTCTTATCCCTATACTCCGGCAACACCACATCGCCCAACCCCTCCTCCCCTCCCTTTCCGCTCCAACCGATTCGCGCCACGGCAGTGACGACCACCGCCGTGCCGGCGCAGAACGCTTCGAGGAGGCGGCCGGTGGAGGAGTAGGCGTAGAGTTCCGGCATGGAGATGGGGCGCTCGTGGAGGTGGATTTTGAGCGCGTTGGAGAGTTCGGGGAGGGAGGTGGAGGTGGGGTGCGCGGCGAGGAGGGAGAGGACGGAGGCGCGGGTTATGCCGGGGAGGATGGTGCCGTCGAGAGGGGGGGTGATGATATCCAGGCCTGCACCAACACCCACCGTCAGCTTCCACAGTCTCTCAAGGGAGGGAGAATATGAAGGGAAACGTACCACCGTCATCTCGTTTCACGACGATAAAGAAATTCATAGCCCCCGCCTCCGTAATATTCTCTCCAATCAACCACAATACCTGCTGATATCCCTTCTCAATCGCCATCCTCTGCGGACTAAACCCAGGCGCATAATTCAACCCCAACTTGAACCCTCCATGTCCACCTGGCCACGACCTCACATGTTCCCCCACCGCAAGCAAGGATATGCCCTTGGTTGTGCTGGATTTGAAGTAAGGCCCGGTGGGGGAGAGGATGACGAAGAGAGTGGCGTGGGTGGAGGCGGTGACGCCGAGGGCGGCGCGTGTGCCGATGAGGGTGGGACGGATGTAGAGGGAGGAGCCTTTGGGTTTGGGGATCCAGCGGGATTCGAGTTGGACGAGACGTTTGATGAGGACGAGAAGCGCGGAGGAGTCGAAGGGCTGTGGGGGTGCGAGATGGGTTAATAAGGGGAGAGGCGGGGAAAGTAAGAGGGGAATTGGGATGTGAGGCTTACGGGGAGAGCCATACGGGCTGCGGAGCCTTCGAGGCGCTTCATGTTGAGTTCTGGGCGGAACAGACGGGGTTTACCATCTGCGCCGAGATAGGCCTAAGAGGACGAGTTTGTGAGCTTGGATGAAAGGATATGAAACGACCGAGATATCGCAGAGAGCGGTATCTATGCATTGTGTACATTCTCCGTGATGTGATGAGTAGTAAGACTTTTGTAAGGACGAGCAAGGCCCTTTCGTGATAGTCATACCACTGCAACCGATAGCAAAAATCCTCGACCAGCCGCCAAAAATATAACCATGACCTCATCAAGTCCATGCTTTCATTACGCACACACAAAAAATTCCAACGCAGCACTCAACTTTACTCGCATCGAAGCGAGATTTGACGTAGTACGAAGAAGACGAAAAAACCACACACCTTCATACCCTCAAACACGTTCGGACAGTATTGCAAACACGAGCTCGCCGGATCGATGCTCAGCGGGCCATAAGGCTTGATCTCAGGTGCTGACCATCCGTTCTCGGGCTCGTAGTGCATGATGAGCATATGGTCTGTCATTGTCTATTCCCATTCCCAGTCACATCAAAACGTTAGTCTACATACCAGTGAAAGATTTTAAGGAAAAGAGAAGGACGCACCTGGCCAAAGACTAAGTCCTCCACGGCCGGCATAGGTTTTAGACTGTTGCTCATTGTAATCGTCAGTTTCGATGGCTAGTTTCGTTCGTATAGAGTGAGCATCCTGCTTGAAGTTAGTGCGAGGAAAAACGCACGTCGATCTCGTTCAACTTTGGGGGCATGCCCCCCGGGTTTTTGAGGACCTTCGCATCTCCGGCAGGGAGGGGAAGCCCATTGGAGCTCAGAGGCTCGTTCGTTTTTGGGATCGTCATTCTGTTCTAGTTCCGAGTCTATGTATGTGGTCTAGCTGAGCAAGGAAGGAGCGCTAGCAAGAAAAGCTGTGGATGGATACAGACAAAGGAGAAAAGCAAGAAGAAAGGAGGTGAAGATATAAATACAGGCCTGAACAGAGACAGTCGAGTCAGGAGATCGACAGTGATTCGCGGAGCTTATCTTATCTGACCCGGGAGATCGGCGGCTCACCCAGTGATGCCACCGTAGCGCTGGGCCACCTTGCTTACTGACCAGCACTGTCGACCATGGGCCTCCCTCCAATACTCTATCATCATTTCTCAACACCCCTACCATATATCCAAACTCTTGCACTGCAAGAAGCTATCCACAACTTTCAACTTTCGTTGCGACGTTCCGCGCCTTCCAAACACCGAGATATCCTACTTCTTCTCGAGCACCGACCCGTCTACACCGCCGGTCGACGACAAGCATCGACTCCAGAGCACGAACGGGAGCTCATCGCCGAAGAAACACGTCTCAAACCTCTCGGAGCCGACTTCGTCCGCACAAAAAGAGGAGGCCAGTTGACCTACCACGGTCCTGGCCAAATGGTGGGCTATCCTCTGCTGGACTTGAGCGCCGGGTCCGGGTCAGGACCTCCCCTCAGCATCCGGGACTATATCTGCAGACTTCAGAAGACGATCGAAGAACATTTTTCGGAAGGGCATGGGATTCCGGTGTCGAATTCGGAACATACGGGTGTTTTTCTAGATGAGAAGACGAAGGTTGGGTCGATTGGAGTGCAGGTGCGACATCGGCTGACGACTCATGGATTTGCGTTCAATGTTACGAGGGAGCCGCTCCCGTGGTTCGATGAGATTGTCGCTTGTGGGTTGGCGGATGTGAAGGCGGGGTGTATCGAAAGCGCGGGTGGAGAGGATAGGCGGGTCAGCGTGGCGGGAGAAGTGCAGGGCGTGGTGGACAGGTTCGGGAAGAGGTTTGGACGAGATATGGAGAGGATGGAGTTGGGCTCTGGGCAGATGGGCGAGGTTGAGGAGATTATTGTTGGGCTGGAGCAGGAGGCTCGGGAGGCAGGAGACTGGGGGAAAGCGCCACGCCAGACTGGGACTCCATGACGCTGTCGGTACGTTTGCGCCGTTGTCATTTTCACTATACAAGGGCTGAACATCCTCTCTTGAATCGTTGGCTAGCTTGTTGAGGATTGTACAATGTATCAGGCCAGCACCTCGTTACGGATTCTGAGACGTGATCCCCACGGTAAAGCTAGTTCGAGCGGTATGTCTAGTCGTGCATTCTAACATAGTATTGAACAGCTCATCAACTGCTTTTGAGAATAGACTACCCCTCGAGGCCAACTTCGACGCACGAGGGCAGCCTTGCTGCTTATTTTGACAGGATACACGTCAGATTGCATCCGCCCGATATTTCCAGGTGACACTGTATTCGTACTTCTTGATCATGAGCGGTGATAGTGCGCCGCCGGCTTACAAGTTATGGGGGTCCTGGAAGTTTCAAGCATGCACTTTGGCCATGGGAAATGCAGACTGATTGACTGTTCCCGTCGATTACTTACCTCGAATTCTCGGGCGTAGGAAGGGCGAAAGCACGTGTATAGGAAACAATCAATGAGAAATGACGGAGAGTACACGGTCAATAGACGAAGGAGAAATTTGTCTGGGCGATACAAGAGGCCAGGTACAACGTTAACGAGCACTCCACTCAAGCGTCGTTTCTTCCCGTGTCTAATGATGACGTCAAAAGTCAGCTCAACTGCAACCAACTGCCTCGTCGTGACAGAGTTGAGGAATGAGGAATGAGGAATGAGGAATCAGCCTACTCACATTGTTTCACGTTCGACGTGACACCGGTCTTCTCGACGAACTTCCCGGGGGAGGTCACGTTTCGCTCTATGTAGTGTCAAGTGTCAAGCACAGGGAGACAGTCAGTCAGTTCGGATTTTCGAGGCGATGAAAGGTGAGCATGTACAGAACATGACGTACTTTTGAAATCGGAAGTGTCGGACGTCACGCCGACGCCCTCAACAAAAGCGCCAGGGAGAGGAGTGTCGCGAGCTGAGTGGAGAAGGTCAGTCCAGATTCCACAGTCGACGAGATGTATCACGTACTTTCGAAGTCGGACGTGTCGGACGTGGCGTCAACGCCTGCGACGAAAGCGCCGGGGAGAGGCGTGTCGCGGGCTTTCACTACAAGCAGTGGAATAATGATCAGGATGAGTGGCAGCCCAAAAAAAAAGAAATAGGGAAGGGTGCGAACTCTTCTCCAGGCCGGAAGTGTCGGAAGTCACGCCCTCGGTTTCAACGAAACCGCCTGGGAGAGGACTGTCGCGAGCTTTCACTATAAGAACGATTAGAACGAGTTGCGGCCCCTAAAAAGTTACAGGGGAGGGTGCGAACTCTTCTCCAGGTCGGAAGTGTCAGATGTGACGCCGACATTTTCAACGAACAAGCCTGGAATGGGTGTCGCGCGAGCCTCGACTGTTCATTCGAACCGTCGTCGGCTCATGGCAGTAGAAATGATGTTCTCGAGATGAACTTACCGGCGTTCGCTACGGGGCTTGCGACGACCGAGGCAGCGAGGAGGAGAGCGGAGAGAATGATTGTACGCATGGCTCGAAGTCGAGGAGGCTGAAATCGCTGAGAAAAAGATAGTTAGTTCACGACAGAATAGTTTATGACCATCAGACGTTCCCCGGACTGTGCCAAGAACGAAATTCATGTCGTTGCCTAACAAGGTCAACGGCGATTACAAAGCGAAAACTATCGATCCAGTGCTCGTCTGGAAGATGCTTGGTCTTCCGATTTTCACGGACAGACCTAGACATTATCCAACACGAAGCTCTCCAAACGAGCGTGGTCGGTTTCTCCACATATCACAAAGACGAGCCAGGGACAGGCAGGAGAGAAAGACACAAATGAGACTTACAGTCACAAACAGGTCCTAGATCCGAGTGGGTGCAAACAGGGAATCGCGGAGCGAATGGTGGTGGTTGGGTTTATAGAGAGATGGGGATCGTCCTGGGGCCTGGGCGAGGACTTTGTGCCGCTATCCTATCAGGGTATTTGGAAGGTTGTTGGGAGGGCGGTTCCGATGAGGATCGTACCGTGTGACGACTCTGTAGAGCAATGAGGTACGTACTTATGCCCCTTTCTTCCGATACTCCGGCTCCTTCTCGCTTCTTGAGCGCTGAGCTTATCCCCAAGTAATACTTACGGTCAGTAACGGGCACACATATGTTACTTACTGGTCTTCTGACAGCATTGTGACGGCGGCGATTCAGATCCGAGGGTGATCGTCAGAAAGACTTGGTCCTGCGAAAGCGCCTTGAACTTGAACCTGTACACCACAGTTGTCGATCCTCTCCTTTGTGCTCCATGGCGAGCTACCAGCGACTCTCCGCCAGCGACGACAACATCACTGAGGAGCATGGGCTAGTCGACGAGAAGCAACGGTCGTTATCACGAACATTGACACCGAAACATACCTTCGATATCTTTCGCTACCTCACTCTCCTTCTCATCGCCGTTAATGTCCTTTTGGCTGGTGTCAATCTATGGGCAACCAATGCTCTCTCTTCGACCATCCTGGACATAACTCCTCTCACCAAGGTCGCGCACCTACCTATGCCAGACCAGTATGTAGGCCTCAGCGATGTCTCTCGACAGAAACGTGCGTGCGAGTTCTACTGTCCTTGTGTCGTTGAAATCCAGCTGATTGAGGTGACCGATTATCCACTTCAGTGATCCATACCGAAGAGGAGAAAGCCAGTGTCCTTGGTTCACGCGATACATCTTGTGAGTTTGCTCCCATGTCCTAGTTGCCTCCCAATCTCAGTCGACGCGACTCGTCTACAGGATTGTACTTTTGCAACTGTTGAGATAGGAATAGGACTTCAGGAGAGCACACGGTTTGTCATATTGACGCATGTGCGTGCAGTCATCGTGGGCTTCGTGCATCTTCCGCAAGAGTTGTGCCTTTGATCGTAGTGACAATCTATGCAGGGTCTACTTCCAATAGGAGACACATTTCTCCAGAGAAGAATTGAACAGGGTTTCAGAGGGTTTCCCGGGCGATATTATCGTGAGCGAGGTTCTTAAGCTAGCGTGAAACAGGAAAGCAGCCTTGCGTGATGCGTAGGTCGGAACAGAACCGACTGCCGAACACTTCGAGGCCATCTGGTGAACACCATCGTAAGGGTCACTGGTGTGGTCCCCCTGGATCCTATCCACGAAGCTCGTACATACTATGTATTCTGCACAGTGAGTAAATCATGGTCAAAACACCTCTTTCGGAGGAAAGTTATCTTGTGAGATACACCGCAGGGTGAACGCTACGTTGGCGAGAGATGTCACTGAAAAGAGCGCCCAGGCGGTCCCCCAAAGATTGCTCCGAGGAATGAATTCAAAGCGCTCTCTGAGTTTCTTCAAAAGCCGTGACATTCCTTCTTTCAGGGTCGACCTCGGCCAGAGCCAGACTACTTGGCGGAATAGTTACATCATACTCGTATAACCAGCAACTGCTACCATTGCTCCTTGGATCACAACGCTCCTTACACTTTCGCCTCCTTCCGTCCCACAATCTTGTTACGCGGTACGCAGAGAGCGATATGGAAGGCAAAGCCTCGTCTTTGAGGTGGACGATCATTGGGCTTCTCTGCCTCGCAGTATATCAGGGCATGGAGGTTGCGTCCAAACTGCGAACTCTGCGGATCCTTCATCCCGTGAAGAATCCAGAGGCAGTCTCGTACAGTGAGTGCCCTTCAAGCGCTACATTGATTGCAGCTAATTCCCATGGCTCGATGGTCTCGTAGGCTACATCGGTGATGATTATCCCAAGGAGCTGCCTCTACGAGTCAATCAGGTCGCAATGAACGCCGAATGGCTCGACGACGAAGTCTACGGGCCTTACGCAGACGAAGACTGGGCATCCAACTTCCCCAAAAGCAACGGATGGGTTGCACTCGGTCCAAACCACGACATGTTCGTTCTGTCCATGTTCCATCAGCTGCATTGTCTCGATGCATTGCGGTTTGGATACGTGACTGCGAAGGCAAGAGTCCTCGACTTTCCCGGGAACGGCACGGGCGTCGAGCACCATGTCAATCATTGCCTGACCTGTATGTACCGATTTCCCCCCTCCTTCCTAGAATTTCGCTTTCTGATCACGTACCTTCAGATCTTCGAGAGATGATTCTCTGCGCGGGCGATATGACGCTCGAAACATCGGTGCCGACCATCAATTCCATCGGCCAGCCGGATAACGCTGCTACAGGCCTCGATATCCTGCACAAATGTCGCGATTGGACTCAGATACGGGATTATCTTGACGAGAATTACGAAGAGAGGCAGAAGTGGAAGGCAGAGGGAGGCAACTCGACGTCGATGTACCCGTGACGGGCTGGAGGATGGAGGGGTATGTTTCGGTCGATATATGCGTCTTTTTCCATTGGTGCTGCTTGCTTCGAATACTCGGGCGATATGCGAGTCTGTTCTATCCAGGTTGTATCAACCGGGGGCTGGCCGTTCTGAATGTTGCTCGACAGTGCTTCGGAAACAAGGAAACCTTGATCAAGCCGCCCACGCCACTCCCGGCGGTTGCCGCTCTAGTCTGACGCCACAAAGTTCAGACAATTTCTCCGTGCAAAAACCACTCACGTCCGACTCTACAACCCGACAATTTCACTACAAACAACACCTTCAAAGATGCTGGCTGCGCTATCTTTGAATCTACTTGCCCCTATGTCTTATGATCTCTAGCTCTCACCATCACCCATCCTGTTTTCGTGGGAGTTAAGTACTGAAGTACCCATCGCTTGCGTTTTTCGATTCACTTGATGTTCAGAGCTTAGGTACCAACAGAGTACCTCGGGAACCTCACAACATCTACAGAGACTGGGCGACGTATTGCAATGATTCTGCTCACACACATATACTCGTGTGAGCTTACTTGAAGGGAATTCCCCACGAGAACATTCGCGGCCATTTTGCGATAACCGTCGGTTCTCCTGGATCTCCATGAGCGTGAGCCTGCGTGAGCGCATGAAATGTTCTTGGTGATGCGATTGTTCCGATGTTGATGGACGCCACGAAGTTGGACCCCTATACGTTTCAGATTGTGGTCGTATCAGCTTCCACTTGCTAACACCGAACACGCCTCGAAAACGAGTTGTTTTTCTAGGATCGCGAAGAGGTCAGTATATTTTGGCCATAGACATCGACACTGTCGATAGGTGCTGCCGCTCTCCCGTTAGGCCCTATGGGGCGTTCCTAGTCGATACATGATAGCATCAGCTGTGCGTGCGCCAATGCAACGGGATGCTTCCTTCTGACCAATTCAATGATTTCGGTCAAACGTTCAACGTGCATAAAGAACGAAAGGTCCTGATCTCGCGTGTTCTCTCTGCATCTTTTTCCTCATCATGTCTTACGCCCCAGACGAGTCAGCAGCACTCCTCGACAGGGAGAGGGGCTTGTATGATGGATTCACCTTGGGTGCTGCGGCCTACGGTGCGAACACAAAAATACTTTCTGGCCTATAAGCGCTGACTTTCATAGCTTGTGCGATTATTAGGTGTCCTTCTCACTCTTTTTGTACAGTGTATGAACGCACTCACTCAGAACCCGCGGGGAGGCAAGATTCTATGGCACTATGTCGCCTACGTTTTTGTAATGTTCGCGCTGGGAAACGTGGGATATTTCACGCACCTTCGCTTTATCCAACTCGCTTTCGTGGACGATCGTGAATATCCTGGAGGGCCTTTGGGTTACCAAGCGGCTCACTACACTTCAGTGATCAACATCACTGGTATAGTTGCGTGCGTACCCTCACTCAATCTTACCGTCCTCGTTGGTTTCTGACGCTGGGTTTACAGCTACTTTATGATGAATTGGATGGCAGATAGTCTGGTGGTATGTCACAGTTCGCTATGCATATATGATTTAGCAGATTTTATGACCTCTGTGGATAGCTCTATCGGCTATACGTGATCTGGGAACGTAGAACTCTCGTGGTCGCCTTCCCCACAATGATGTTCATGGCGTCTTTCTGTGCGTTTTTGCTCTTTTCGACATTGTTCTCTAAGATATGCTTAGTTCGGTTGAAATTATCATTAATGTAGCGCTGTCTATCGTCGAACTGTACAGCATCACTCAACCAGGCGCCAGCATGTTCTCTGACTCGGCGGTCAACTACGGGCTTCGTGCGTCCTCTCGTCTGTGCCATGGCCCCCTAATCCTAATATGCTCTATGTTCACTTCTGTTCAGTATATTGGTCTTTCTCGGTCGCTTTGAACATCGTCGTCACATTGCTTATAGTGTCTCGGTTGATGTACATGCGCTACATGCTCATGAAGACAATGCAGCAAACCGAAGCCGGGGTCTATACCAGCGTAGCCGCCATGATCATCGAATCCGCCGCTCTTTACTCCATTTCTGCTATCATATTCCTTGTCGGCTACGCGAAACAGATTCCACTGCAGTTCGCTGTCGAACCCGTCGAGCTCATTCAGGTATGTCTGTCCTGGTCGAGTATTCCCGTACCCTCCTAACGCGTCTTGAACATTAGGGCGTCTGTCCTCTCATGATCATCCTTCGTGTGGCGAACGGTAATGCCTGGTCCAGGGAAACATACCGTTCAGTGGTACCTGGCTCCATGACATTCGCCCCGAACCCGCATGTGACGCAAACAAAGCGATCGTCGAAGCGTTGGGATGGTAGTAACACGGCTTTCGGAAGCAGCGGTGACAAATCGTTCGGCCTGAGGTCCATCCATACGTCGAATCCAGGAGACCTCTCATTCGTCGACACTACTGTGGGCTCACATTCAAACATCGAGCAGCATCCGATCTCGGAATTTGTTATACATGAGGTGAAGGAACCAGAACCATAGCACCGGTGTAGGAATATGCACCTTGATTACTTTTCTGGTGGCGAAACCAGCACTCATCCCTCATTGTTTGTATGATACTCATACCAATTGCCTTGGACTATATCAATACCATTCCCTTCGAGACGATGCTTCCTCAGCAACGTTGCGAACGCAAAAATCTTTGGTCATTACAATGAAGCATGCATGAAACTCCAACGATACACCTCTGCTCGTACTGCGACTAACTACTCATGGTTTCTGGGCTACCAACTCGCAGGCGATGATGCATGCACCTTCCTCCTTGATCCCATCCCGAATCTCCTGAACCAGAAGCTTCCTCCCCTCTTCGGTCTCTATCTTTGTTCCTTGGGGCGCCTCGAGCACCCCACGCTTCAACATCGACTGGGATAATACTTCCAACACCAAGTCAAAGTTCTCAAGCGAGAAGTCTGCCTCTGATGCCAGTGAACCACCGTCAAGACCCTTGTAGACGTGGCAAAGCTTGCCGAACGGCGAAATGCCTCTCGTCGAGTGGATGATGGGAAGAGAGATGTCATTCAGGAGGTCCGGAAGGCGATAGGAGAGGCTGTATGAAGATGGAGTCAGAAGTCCGGATGGTGTGAAGAATAACAAGAAGGGTAGAACAGCTTTACTCAGTGATGAAGCCGTTACTGAGCGCGCCGCCCGTAAACATAGTGTTCCATTTATGTCTCCATGTGGGGCCATTCATGGCGGCCGCAAAGTCATGCCGCTCACTGGGTGTGGGTGGAGGGGCACTTTCCGTGTAGAAGACGGCATCGGTCTCACTCAAGATGAGATGCCCACCAGGTGCTGGCACCGTCGCATTGAGAAAGTCAGCGACTCACTGGCGTAGATGAAACAGGGTGACGCACTCAGTAGATCCTTACAGTTCTGTAGAGCCTTCTTCCATCCGTCTTCCGTCAAAGCGTACACCAGTAGCGTCATATGCACCAAATCGAATGTGCCGTACAACTCGGAAGGGAATGGCTTGGTCACATCTTGCTCGAACGTCTTGAGACCCACACTGTCCGCGATTTCCTTCTCAGGGAACTTCGCCGTACTGATATCGCACGCCCATAGTTGCAAAGGGGCCTTTGGATCGCGAGATTGTCCAGTAGAAGTGCTGGCATTGGCGAGGCGTGAAGTGACTTCAGGAAGTTTGGCGAGGTCTAAAGTCCAGATACAGGTTCCTGCCGCAATGTCAAGGACACTGGAGACAGAGTTGATGTCGATGCACGATGGAAGAGGTGATGTGCGGCCCAGAATTTTCTTCGCCATGAGATACTGAGAGGTCAATCTGACGGTGCCCCAGTTGATCGAACAATCAGACACGAGGAGCGATGTCCGTGGGCAAAGCCATGACGAGTCTAACATACCTAACTTTCTCGGGGGCGCTGTCCCCAAGAACATATTTTGCTTCCTCTGGTGCTGTGGACATGTTAGTCGGTTATAGTCCAGTTTGAATATTCAACGGTAGGACACAGCAGAATGTAAACACACGCGATGATGTTGGAAAAGAAGATCAGGTTCGTGATCACGAATCCACCACATTGACAACGTGTGGTCTAAGCACATGAGAAGATGCGCATATCGGGTCGGAGCTCTTCACCTTGTCAACAAACTTGTCCGAAGAATCAAAGCGAACACCCATCAGAAGTCGCAATCGTAGCACATGGGGTGTTGCTGCTGATCGGCATCCCGACAGCAGCGACGGTTGAATTGTGAGACGGTCAGGGGAACCAGGATAGAGTTTACATCCTGTATCACTGGATCCAAATGGCAGAGATGGTACGGCAGAACGGCAAAGGTCAGTCTGCTAAAAGCGGGCGCCACAAAGCATCAGAAGAAATTAGAATTGTGAGTTATTTCAAGGCTATCGCACCTACATTGAATAGTTGAGCAGTGGCCAAAGCTGCAGGGGCACCGTCGACCGGCGTTGAATGGAGAAAAGCACCGATTGAGATATAGCATGCAATTGAGTAGATATATACAGCAAGGAACGAGCAAAGAGTGTCGCCGAGAACGGCGGATATATGAGTGTAAGTAGATGTAAGACTGTCAGCACGAGCAATTGCAAGGAGACCGAGAGGTAAAGATGAGATCAAGGGGAGCGAAAAAAGGTTCAGCAGAAATTGTGGGGATATATGAAGATGGAGCGAAGCTTATGAGTAATGTAACGTAGCCGAATAAAATCCTCCGAAAGAAACGCATAGTGACCAAAGCTGGTGAGAAATAAGGGAAGGAAAGCGACGAGCAGATAATGAAGGAGCCGAACGAAATTATACATTGACATATTCCTGGATATTTTATGACCACCAACCGTCCTCTCCTTGGGTAGGCGTCACAGAAACGACGCTCGGCGTCGGTGATGCCGCAGCTTGGCGATAATACGAGTGAGCTGATCGCTGCTTGGCGTTGTAACTGAGATGGGGGTAACGAGAAGCTTGTGGTGCTTTGGGAGCGTGCATTGAGTCCCAGACCGAGGTGGTTGGAGGAGTGTTCGTGCGGTTTGTGGGCGCACGCGAGACAGGACGGCCATTGGCAGGTGCAGTCGGTGTTGCAGCACGGCTGGGGTATACTGTACTTGCACGAGAATCCGGTCGAGGAGGAGAGTTAACGGACATCTTCGCGGTCTTTGCATCCTCTTTCGCCTTGTCAGCTTCGGCCTGAAGACGGGCAACTTTCTCCTCGAGGGAGGCGACCTGATCGCGCAACTTGCTCTCACGTTTCTGCAACATAGCCATCAGTTTCCGGACAGACCGTGACTCAAAGCGATAACGGTATCGAGTGAAGATAATGCTTACCTGAGCCAAACGCTCATCCGCATCCTTCTCGTCGAGTTGCAACTTGGCGAGAGAATGGTCCGTCTCAAGGTCGCTTGCCCTGCGCTCGGCCTCATCGCACCTCGACCTCATCTCCTCCACTTCCGCCTCATATTCCTTCGCGCGTTGCTCCCACTCAATCGCCCGCTGTTGGGCCTGAGTGAGGCTCTGCTTCGCAGCAGTGGCCGCACGGTCGCTACTGGCGGCCTTACTCTCTTGGTCCTTGAAACGACGTTGGAGGGCCGCGTAGTCGCTCTCGAGGGCTTTGGTCTTGTCGCGAACGCGGCGAAGTTCCATAAGCTCGGGCTCATTGCTCTTCTGCTGCTGCATCAGGGAGGTGAGCAACTCGATCTGCTGAGTGGCCTGGTTGAGTTGGTCCCAGTTTGACTGCTGTGAGAGGAGGACGTCGTGATCGTTTCGGAGCGAAGCGAGGGCCTCGTCAGAAGCTGCTTTCTGCTGATTGGCGAAGTTGGCCTGCATCTCGAGAGCCTGGACCTGTATCAAGGATAAACCCTCTCAGAGAGACGTACGGTGTATGAGACACAAACGATGCGTACCTGCAGCTTGAGCTTCTGCGCCTCGGTCATATTCTCTCGTCCAATCCTATCCAACTCGGCGATCCTCGCCGCTTGAGTCTCGGACGCAACATCGGCAGCTTTCAATCTATCCAACGCCTGAACCAACGCCTCCTCAAGCTCGGTATGCCGTGCTTCCGAAGCGGCAGCGGCAGCTGCCCTGTCGACCATGCTCGCCTGGAGCTCGTCCACTTGAACCCTTAATCGATCCCGCTCGTTTTCAGCGGCGGTAGCACGCTCGGCGAGCACATCCTTCTCGACGCGAACGGAGCCGTGGGCTGCACGGGCCTTAGCGAGTTGGACTTGGAGTTCTGCATTGGAGTTGAGCGTGCGGCGGAGTTCCTCGAGGTCTTGCTTGGATGCGGCGCGCGCAATGAAGTCGGCCAGTGTCGATTGGATGGCTTGAGACGACGAGGCCACACTTTCGGGCAAAGTCGTGGTGAGTCGGGCGAGGGTATCCTGGTGAAGCGCCAGAATCTCGCCGTTCTGAGCCTGCAACGACTGCTGTCCCCTGACGAGACCTTCTACCCCCGACTCCACGACCGACAAGTCCAGCGGGGGTGCGACGGGCTGAGCAGCGGCATGAAGATCGCGTTCTCTGGCCACTCTGGCGGCGTCGTCGATCTTCATTAACAACGCCTTCTGCAGGTCTCCCAGGCCTTCCAGCTTCCCTTGCAGACCCTCCAGTGCCTTCAGCGAGCCGGAATTGACAAGCTTGATCATCTCCTTCGTTTGACCCGCCATCTCCTGCTGCCCGATAGTCATCTCCCTAATCTTCTTCACCACGTCCTCCATCGGCGCCTTCAGGCCCTCAACACCGTGCTCTACCTTCCCAGCGAGGGCGTCCAAGCCCCGGTCTCTAACTGCCAACCTCGAGTCAAGCCTCTCAACAACCAAATCCGACACCTGCTCCTTGATCTCATGAGCATCGGCCGGTGCCACGATCCTCCTGACCTCCGTCGTAATCCTCGAGATGATGGTCTCCGCATCAGGCATAGTAACAGGAGGATAGATATTCGGGAGAACAGGCAGGAGCTTATCGACGATGAGGTCCGCCGTCTCGCGTTTATCCGACGCGAGGTCGATGAGCTGAGCGATATGCGGCTTGACGGCCTGCGAGAGTTGATTCGTGAGACCTTCGTAGTCGATGGGTTCGGAGCGCATCATCGCCATATGAGGAACGAGCGCGGCCATGAGTTCGCGAACGAGGGCTTCACGGTCGAACGCAGTGGAGGCGACACCGTGCGAATGCGACGACGAGGACGAAGGACGGTTGTGGGTCGCGAGACTGACTTCGATTCGGTTCGCCAGCTGCCCGACGGCGCCGAGCACGGTGTTCATCGTTCGGCCGTGGAACTCTTCCATCATCCCCGGCACGTTCAGACCACCGAACTGGGGCTGAGACTGCACCCTCCTCAAGACCTCGGCCAGGTCCTGTTGCATGAGCGCCCTCGTTTCTGCGTGTCCGTTCTCGACGATATCCCTGACGAGCTGGAAGTCCAATTCACCCCGAGCGTCCATCGTGCTGTCGTCCAGGCCTCTAGAAGCCGATTCTTGCAGTTGACTACGGAAGAGGGAGACGACTTCGTTGATCATGGCCTCCGTCTTCGGGTTGAGCGCACCACCGTCTGTCGTTGAAGCATTAGCCTGGTAATGGTCCTGAAGATCCATCCTAATCTGGTCGATCTTCTCATCGAAGAGAGACTCGAGGCGGTCTTCGAACTGTTGCAACTCCAGCCGAGCATTGACATTGTTGCCGGATGAAGACGAACGGGGAAGAGCAGGCGGCAAAGAATCCGACATGGACGAGCTTGAATGAAGAGCAGGCAAAGACGACCTTCTCCGTGGCTGATGCTGAGGCGCGAACGTAGACTCCCTCCTACCATCAACAGCAGACTGACCCAGATCCTCCCAAGGCGAACTCGCACCAGAAACAGGCTCGGTGACCAGCCTTCCTCTCGATGCTTTCCTCGAGATAGCAGGGACGTTAAGATCATCCAACGAAGGCCTCGACGAATGCATATGCGGGTCGAATCCGCCCAAGAACTCCCTCGAGCTAAGCCTCGAACGGACTGACTTCCTAGTCCTCTCGTCTGAACCCTCACCATTTCCGTTTCCGAGAGCCTTGAAGAGACCAGCAGGAACAGTGTTCGTGGAGACGGGGTGTTTGAAGTCGAGGGGAATAGGGGCACGACGGGCTTTCATCGACGGGGGAATGGGAAGATCTCGCCCGACTTCCTCTAGCGGGAGTATGCTAGCCTGCGCTTCGTCCTCCGACTCGTTGTACTCTTCTGGACTTTCGACACGCTGATGCTGATGATCTTGTTGCTCGGCGACAGGAACGAGAGGATGAGGCAGAGGGAAGGGAATCGTGACGACTTCCTTCGGCGGCATGGGGAAATACTGTGGCAGAGTCAAGGGTCTCGAAGAAGAGAGATCAGTAGTCGCGCCGAGAGTGGCTGCCTCTGCACTGACGGCGGTAGCCTGCTTCGAGGGCGAAGAAGGCGCAGAGCGTTGCAGGGTCTTTGTGGTTGGCGGAGAGAGGGTGGCATTGGGGAACTTGAACGACTTGATATTGTCGATCCCGGCACGATCATGGATTTCACCTTCATCTTCACTCGCACCGTCATGAGTAGAACTCGAACCACGACGCATCCTCTTTTCCCTTCCTTGTGAAGCACGAACAGGTGAGGGATTTGCTTCTGCGGCTGGCGGCGAAGGTAAGGGTCGCGGGGCCTGGGGTTGCACGGATGATTGGAGGTGTTGGGGATGCGGCATGTGTGGCGGAGGTTCGTGGTGATGATGTTGAGGAGGCGCGGCGAAGACAGGTATCGGCATCTGGGGTGCACCAGTCGGAAGACGGAAAGTGAAGTTTCCGGGCTTGAATTCAGCAGCAACGGGGTTGAGTGGCTTGCCCAGCGAAGGTACTCTCGTGTGGCCTGGTGTAGTCGAAGCCGATCCATTTGCTGAAGTTGTTGAAGGGCCGAATGTCGCTGGCACAAACGATCCCGAACCAGATCTTTGCCCGAATACGAACGGTTTTGCATTCGGATTCAATGTTGGGCCTAGCGCGGAGTTCGGTGGCGGGGGCATCGTGGGCTGTGGCGCGGCGAGTGGCGCGTTCGTCGTGAAGTTGAACATTTGTTCCGAAGTGCGACGCGAATGGGCGAGCGCGGGATCGTGCACTGAGAACTGGGCTGTGTCTGGCCGTGAGGAAGGTAAAGGGGGAAGAGGTCGGCCGACAGTCATACCGCTAGAGACCGACAAAGGTCGATGATGTTGATACCCACCATCATCATATCCACGACGTCCATCCTCACTCGGGTTCGAAATCATGTCGTTCTCGTCGTCGGTTGTGGCGTTCGCGAGCGCGTAAGAAGGTGTAGCAAGAGGGGGAATAGGGAAGCTAGGAAGTCTTCGAGGAGTTTCGATCGGGCGATGGTCGGCGTGATTCTGGCTTTGTCGTTGGCTATGGCCGCCCTTGCGCATAAGCCTTCGTTGAAGTCGATCGTTTCTTGCTCGCTCTTCGTCTGAGGGATTTGACCACTCGCCGATGCTCTCCTGAGGTGGTAAAGATAAAGACATTCAAGTGCGCATTCAGCAGATGAATGGGAGAGATGCCTGGTGGTGAACACGAGGCCATCGCGATTAGTGTTACGTACCTCGTCCTCCTCGCTCTCAGCGCCAGTTCGCATGTCTTCTGAACCCGTCCACTCTCCAACCGCATCGCCATCAAGGTCGTCGACCTCAGGCGCATTCGCGCCGTGATGTAGCGGTACTTGATGTAGCGGTACTTGATCCATATCCCTCCTCTCCGGCTCCTCCACATCGACCTGTCCACCTACAGACAACAAAGACAATGCAGCCGATAGGCGCGATACGTGCCTCGAGTGTAGCCTACTATGAGCCGCCGTCGTGACACTGCCTTCCTGCGTTTCATCCTCATCGAGCTCCATGTCCACCGATTGGTCCTCAGCGAGTTGTACGACATGTGATGACTCCACCACATCCTCTGGCGGCTCTTCCTCCTCCGGGATCTCGATACCAAAGCCACGCACAAAGTCTGGACGGCTGTCTGCACGTTGTGGAAGTGGAGGTGGCGCAAGCGAGGAATCGGTAGGCGCCCCAGGGTCCGACAACGTATCCTGCCGAGCGAAACTACCAGGGGTGATGGTGTCTGAACCAAGCGTGGCCATAGGGCCGAAGGGATTGAAGGAACCGGATGGGTTGTACGTCGAGGACGGTTGCTGAGCCAGCGAGAGACTGTGACCATGCCTGTTTTGCAGGCGCGGAGGCAGTTGTGCGCCGAGGTTGGGAGAAACAGAGAGTGACTGAGGAGAGACAGCGGTAGACGCATTTTGGGATGCATTCTGAGACTGCTGAAGCTTGTTAAGCTTGAAGTAGAGTAGGGCTGGGTCTGCCGGTGAAGAAATCTGCGTAACAGATGAGTACCGACATGACGTAAGAGAAAGCGGGATACTTACCGAGGCGGCACGGGCATGGGGAGCATGAATCTGGGGGACCGAGCTGTAGCTGCCAATACCCTTCTCGACGCCGAGTTTCTCGAGCTTCTCTTCGATGGCTTGCCTCTTGACATCTTCCCAGGCGAGCTATAATTCGAAGTAAATTAGTTCGAACCGAGCGGGACACGAAGCAAGGATTTGAAAGCCAGAGGGCTCGCGTGACGCGCGCAGACCAAACGAGCTCTGTTCAACATGTTGAACAGGAACGTGCCCCTCTCAAAATAGGCTTGCAAACGACGCGGACTGCATCGCCACGAGGAGGCGATCGACGAGCACGACCCATTGAGTTACGAGCCGCTAAACAGGCAACGAATGACCTTTCACGGGGGTGCAGCACTTCGATGCTCCCAAGAAACACCTTCTGAAGATGGAGAGAGACATACCTTTCCGGGAAGGAAGACATCGATAGTATCAGGCAGTTTCTGACGCCACATATCCTCCGGGTAGATTTCGCGAGTATCAATAACTGGGGGCGGCAACGGTAGCTGCTCTGGCACCTCGTCGATGGGAATAGGTACGCGAGCCCACTCGGGATGCGTTGCTGGTTGACCGTCTTCCCCGGGTATCGTTTCCTTCGGGAAAGAAACGATAGCTTTCTTCGTCTTCACGGCCGTTGCAGACGCGGTCGCAGCAGTCGCGGCAGGAGTGAGTGGCGTCGGGACGTGATTCTTGCCAGGCCCGCCGAGTTGAGCTTTTGGAGGACCTCCGATGCTCACGCTCGGCTGTCTGCCACGGCGTTGAGGGTACGGCTGGCCGCCCTGTCCGAGCATGATATTTGGCGGGAACTGGCCCTGGCCAAGAGGCGTCATTGGCATTCCTGGTGGAAGTCGTCCACCCATGGCGGCGAGTGCGAGCGACGGGTGAGCTCTGTGCATAGGTCTCCCGGGGGGACCTGGTGGCTGGAAAAAAGAGGCCTGCATCGGGGTCTGCAGTGCGGACTGCGGGTTGAAAGGAGGGGCTGGATGAAAGCTCTGCTGGATCGCGGTTGGAAGTGAAGGCGAATACATAGGCTGCACGGGCTGCTGCTGGTGGAACGAGGGCCCTGGGATGTTCAGTCGGGACAGCTGATGTCGGTGCTGCCCAGCCATCATGGCACAGTGGCCTGCAGCGCAGGGGGTAAGAAACTAGGGACGGGGTATAACGGCGAAGACAGTGTCCTCGCTCACGAGCTCACTGTCGGCAACGACGACGGCGACGAGTGCGGTGGTGGAGGGAAAGGGAAAGACGTGGACGGCGTTGGCGGGCAAGTTCTCGGAAACATCGACCGTGACATGTGACTGCGCAACTTGCCGGAAGCAATCTCTTCCTCCAGAAGTATTTCCTACATGCACAAACATTTCTGAGCTTGGATTTAATGTTCTACCCTATGCCGATCAGCCATCAAACATTCTGAATATTATTCGCTTCATTTGAAAAGAAATAAAGAAGGGTATCCCAAAAATTCGCAGAAATATCAGTTGTTACACGCTCTCGACGTCTCTCATCATGCATATGATTCGATGGCGTAGTTGGTTATGGCATCTGTCTAACACACAGAGGGTCGAATCAGTTAAGGCGTAAATGAATCCCAATATTTTGGCATCACGTTTTGAGTACGAATCATCAACGTTTTAATGGAGGACATGTCGTCCGGCCCATAGTTGACCTTATGCCTCTTGCATTTTTGTGCATCGAGAGATTGCGGTCAGCATAGCGCGGTTCAGGTAATGGCATGTTGAATATGCAGCCAACGACACGAGCATCATCTATTAGACCCAGCACCGAAATACTTAAATCGCCCACCCCCCTCCCAACACGACCAACGCCCACCAATTCCAAAAAACCAAACCCAAACAAACCCCACCGCTCCATCCGTCCCCTCAATCATCAAAAGTGATCTTCTTCGGGACAGCGCTCATATCCACATCGTCCCTGAAAAACGCCCCATACACGCTATGCGTCTTCTTCCGAATCGTCATCGGGAACTTCTGCAGCGGCTCAGAATCGAACCCGCCGTCCCGGAGGACACGCGCGAGTTCGCCCGCGAGGGCGCGTTCGTGCTTGTCGCCTGTGAAGAAGGTGATGGATTTGCCGGATTTGCCGCCACGGCCTGGTTAGTCGACCAAAAAGGAAAGAAGACAATTTGACAGTCAGCGGTCTGGACGAAGGTTAGGAAGGGAGACCCCGGAGGGAGGAACGCACCTGTTCTTCCGATTCTGTGGATGTAGTCCTCGATGGTCAGAGGGAAACTATAATTCAACACACATGCGACGTTAGGAATATCCAAGCCCCTGGCCGCGACATCCGTCGCCACCAACAGTCTCGTCGTTCCGTCCTTGAACGCTTGTAGTGCGGCGAGACGAGCGCCTTGCGACATGTCGCCGTGAAGGCCTTCGACGGAGTAGCCGGAGCGTTTGAGCGTGGCTTCGACGCGGGTGGCTTCTTTTTTGTAGAGGACGAAGATGAGGACGCGGTCGGATTCGGGGTCTGAGGCGTGTTTCTTTTTGGGGGAGAGGGTTTGGAGGTGTTTGAAGAGGCGAGAGCTAAATTGGAGAGATAGTAAGGTTAGTTGGAAGGCTACGAGGGAGCTCGAATGAACATACTCCTTTTCACGGTCATCATCGAAGACCTCGACGACTGAGAATAATGTATTAGCCAGGAGAAAGCAGCAGGACTGAAGTAGGATACTGACCTTGAGCTACACGAGCGTTCGCCGTCAGGTCATCGCTACCAATCGTGACCCTCACCGGATCCTTCTGGAACGTCGCCGCCAACCTTCTCACAGCATCCGGCCAAGTGGCACTGACTGCACCCACACGAGGCCATCTCAGCATCCCGCTACACCGTGAAAAAAAACCGATGAGATACTCACACATAAGTGTCTGCCTCTCCTCAATGGGCTTAATATGCTCCACAATCCTCCTGATATCATTCTCGAACCCCTTGTCCAACATCCTGTCCGCCTCGTCCAGCACCAGATATTCCACCCCACTAAGATCGCACGACCCATCGCTCACGAGGTCCAATATCCGTCCAGGCGTGCCTACCACGATTTTAGTATCGGGCGAACGAAGCGCTTTGATTTGCGGGATTTTGTCGACGCCGCCGTAGATAGCGATGGAATGGATGGGGGGAGAGCAGTAAGTGGAGCCGATGTGGGAGAGGGTGTCGTGTGATTGGACGGCGAGTTCGCGGGTTGGGGCGAGAACGAGGACGCGGACGGAGGATTTTGATTTTTTGGCTTTGGAGGAGGAGGAGGAGACGAGGCGTGCGAGGGCGGGGATTCCGAAGGCGAGGGTTTTGCCACTGTAGTCGTATAAAGTAAATGAATGTGTCAAAAGTGTTGAGAATGGAGGAAACGTACCTTCCGGTCTCTGCGATACCTACAACGTCCCTACCTTCGAGAGCTGGGGGCCAGGTGCAGGCTTGCACGGGCGTCGGCTTGTCAAAGCCTTTGAACGCAGCCTGGAATGCTGCCGGGATCTTTAAAGAGGCAAAAGACATGGCTGGGACGATCGGACCCGAGCCCTGAGGGAGGTTCATGCTGATGGAGTGCTCGGCAAAGTACGCCTCGACGTCGGAAGATGATGGTGCATTGGGTGCGGAGGTAGATGCTGTGGGAGGAGGCACGGCGGGTGAAGAGGTCGACGAGGGTTCTTCTGGAGCATGTTTCTTCTTCTTGTCTTTTTTGGAGCGTTTAGAAGGGGATGCGACCTCAGGTGTGGCGACTTCGGTAGCGGTCTCGTCGCGCTTGCGCTTCTTTTTCTTCTCCGGTTCTAGGGAATTGATTTATGATATATAACGAGCTTGACATAGATGATACAACGCACCTGAAGGGGATACAGCATCTGAAGCTGGTACAAGCTCGCCTTGTAGAGCAGCCTTCTTCTTCTTATCCTTCTTCGATTTCTTACTCTCCTTCTCTGGCTCAACTGCTACATTCGATGAGTTAATATCGCCTTTCGGTAGAGACATGATGAATAGCACGCACGAGCATCAGGTGTATCGGCTGATATACTGGCAGCCTTTGCCTCAGCCTTCGCCTTCCGCTTTTCCTCCTTCCTCCGCCGTTTCCGTTCCTTCTCGTCCTCCTCAACTACTGGTGCAACAACTACTTCCTCTACATCCATCGGGACCGTCTCCTTTGCATGCTTTTTCGACTTTTTGCGCTTGAGAGTGGGATCGGACGAGCCTGGGGTCGTGTCCATCTCGAGAGTCATGGCAATCGTGGATAGAGGTACGGAACAGAAGGGTGTGTGGCAAGAGTGTGGCGAAGAGTGTGGGGAGCACGAAAAAAAGGATGAGAGGACAGACGCCAAAGTCCGAGGCGAAGGCTCGATCATGAATGGCCGACGGACCACGGTGTGGCACAACGAAGAGGGGCCACAATTGTTCCCTATCCTTAACCACGACGACTCGGACTACAAGCTTGGTCTCAAAACCGGACTCAAATATCAAAATAACATCCATCGGTCATGGTGGGCATTACTCGTCACTGGAATTCCCTTCACTAATTCAAGTTTAGGACTTCAAATCCACCTCTAAGTGCAGGGTGCGCGTGGCGCCCTCGTCGTAGGTCCCTTCTCTTCCACAAAAAATCCATGTGATCGTCGAAAAATACAGGTATGGAGGTCAACTATTACTTGGTCTCAGTCTCATTTTATGCATATTATCGTTGCACCCAAGTTGCGGCCGTAGTGCGCCTAGTGCCACAGGGGGTGGCCTCATTTCCTCATCGCGGGCCTGACGTCACTTCAACTTCCCGACGTCATGCTCCTCACCAACGAAAGTATATAAACCGCCGCGCTCGCATGTCTACCAACCACAACAATTCACAACTTTCCTCGTCACCGCTCCTACGAAATCTACGAATATCTTCTTCCGATTTACCAGTAATATCATCATGTACTCCCGCATCGCTCTCTCCACTCGCACCCAAACCACCGCCCTCTCTCGCGCTGCTGCATCGCGACAGTTCCATGCCTCACCAGCAGCTTTCAAGACCGTCACGGAGACAGTGAAGGAGAAGGCTGATGCTGTGCGTCTCCTCTCTCAGTATTTGTTCGTTCTGCTTGCTGACGCTACTGTATCTCTCGTTCTGTGATGTAGGTGAACAAGAAGCTCGGAAAGGGTCTCGCATCCGCCATTGAGTCAGGAGAGGTCGCTACGGAGAAGACGAAGCAGGCCACTGGTACGCACGGCTCATTATTCATGCCACTATGAATATATACTGATCCTGGCGTTTTCTACATAGGCGTAGCATCGGAGAAAACCTCCGACGCTGCTGGTGTTGCAAAGGAGAAGACGAAAGAGGTACGTGTATGTCTTGTCGATTGTTCACAAGAGATACTGACATGGTCGTATGGCTTGTAGACCGCCGGCGTCGCTGGTCAGAAGAAAAACGAAGCCAAGGCGGAGATCAAGAAAGACCTGTAACGAACTTGTCCTTGTTTCCTTTCCGTTGCAACACACATTTGTACATTAAGCATGATTAGCGTATCTCAGTGAACACACTATATTTTCCGGCTTCAGTATCACTGCAAAGAGCTCTCATATGAACTGTGCAAAAAAGAAAGTCGAACCAAACCTCAACCAACAGTTCTCCGAATTGTCAGCTGTTTGTGGCCCCAGTTCAGTCCCGCCACCTCGCCACAAGGGTTTTCGCAGAGTCCCGGGATTGCGCGCTTTTCGAGTGCATCATCTGGCGACATCCTCTGTTTCTCTCTTTCACCATGACCTTCGAGTCAGACCCAATGTTCTGTTTCCTCTTCGTCCAAGGCATGTAGAAGGTAGACGATGCAAAGCTCTTGATGAAGCTTTGCCTGGGTTCCGTTCCAGTTCGTTTCCTCAGAATCCTCAGCCGCCGAAGGGATCCGAGCTTGCAGATAATATTAACTTTGGCACGGCACGTAACTCGACCAGGCTCATGTCAACTGCATCTTCAGGGTGTCGCGTACTTTTTCTTGCTTCAGATTGGCGACGGGTTCAGCTCTGATCGACGCCACGACATGATCTTGGGATGTATCGCGATCACTCGAGGTGACTACGTGTACATCGTTGACAAGGACGCGGCCAAAGCACAGTCGGGGACAAGATGGTCTGTTCGGAACGGAAGCGCTGTTTGAACGCTTAATGACTATTTTTCACCCTTGCTGTTTGCCCTTCTATGAGTTCGCGGAACTCCTGCTCCTATATCGACGGCCTCCCGTCCAGTAACGCCGGTCTTTTTACGCTCTGAATCATATGGAGTGAGATGGATTGGTACGTCTCTGCCGTATTTATATCGTGCATCCTGACATGGTGAGATATGACATATCTTTGTTTGTTCCTCAGATTAGAACATCATCTCCAGCCATCCGAAGGATGCTGCATGCTTGCATCTCACAATATTAGCACAGTCGAGAACTTCTCGTTCTGGTCGGCCTATGCTAGACGTCGAGGCCTTTGCTCGGTTCTGTCACTGCATTTTTAAACGTTCAGTGCTCAGGCTATAGACTATCAGCGATTCAGGAGGGTCTCATAACGGCTCAGCGTATAGTGCAAGGTATTCCTTCTCATACTTGCTCGACGATCACACATATGGGATAACACCCCTTGAATAGCGCGTTCCGTGATCGAGCAATCTTATATATCAAGGACATGCTTGGAAGATGTACGTCACTATATTTCGAGGCATAGTATATCGCCGCTCCACCTATTTCGATAACACTCCTAGAGATATATTCGGCTCAATTCGTCAGTTCTATCTGAAAATAACCTGGGTTGGTCTTTCCGCAAGTCAGCTCTGTCGGCAGTCGATGAAGGATAGAGAAGTCAAGCGAATGTCGAACTCCACTAATCTCACTCCAGGATGAGCACTTTCAGCCGGCTGCAGACCACATTCACCCTTCTAGAGATTTGCGGTGTGGAGGAGCATACGAGCGTACTCGTGTACTCCCCCATATGAGAAGGAAAAGGAGTTGAAGTAGCGACTTGCGAACGTACTTACGCTCGTTCAGTCGGACTTTCAATTCCCGGTCAACCCCATTCTGCAGCATCGCGATGTTTTATTCGTTTTTCTTCTCGTTTTTCCTTGGACTACTGAGCTGTCCCACTTGAGCACTTCTAGGGAATCCCAGGTATCGCCTCCAGCACTCGGAGCAATTGTTTTCAAGTAGTGGCGATCACGGCACGCTAAATCGACATCGCTAGTGGACGAAGGGCCGGAGCCATCCGCCCGGGACTAGGAACGGAACGCGCGGCCTCGGGTTCAGCCACACTTCGCCTCTCCTTCCACTTTGTTCGATTTATTGCTAGCACTTCCCCTTCCCCGTTTGCCTCGAAACTTTGTACAGAACTTCACACATATCTAACCTTCACTGGCAAATTGTTTTCGAGTACGAGTCTCATCTGGTTCTCTCTAGGCGACCCTTCGACTCTGGGCCTCACCATTAGTGCACTTTTTCACCCTTTTATTTGTTTTTCCTGCTTCTTTCAATTTCCACCACCAATCCCTATCGCATCGACGGTTTATTGACCTGAAAGGAGTGTCTTCCGGTTCGTAACCTTGCGCCGCAGCATGTGGACAGGTCTTGGCGATTGGATTGGGCACCCAAGTCTGCAACTCTGTGTGAGGGCCACAGAGGACCTCCACATCGCTCGCGTTCGTCAATAGCTGCAGGTTTCGATCTTGGAGTACTCTTGGATGGTAAATAACACTGTTGACATCTTCAACTTCGAACATGGAATGCTCTCTTTTATTTTTCTTCGATTTTACGATACTCTATTCCACTTGGCCTCTCCTTCATTTCCCGGACATTCTAATTATGTATCTAGATCTATGATCGCATTTTCCACTGTTCACTAGCGTTCCGATGCACTTGTAGCTTGCCCGACGGCGCAGGAGCACGCGCGGCTGATCGGGAAGCGAAGATTCTCTTGTCACTTATACTGGTGTCCTGCCACCTCTCGAATGCAGGTCCCCCCTCACCCCGTGAACTCGAACGTCTCTGTCTGCGTGTCTGTCCGTCAACCGTCTGTCTCCCCCACTCGTCAACTCTATCGTCTGCCTCTCGCTCTCATCGTCCTCCACTCTCTTTATTCTAACTCCACTCGCCTCGCCTCAATACCCCCATTTTCTCCAATTTCTTCTGCTTGCTTCCCTCGTCTCATTTCTCCACCACGTTCCGGCTTATCCTCGGAGAACTCGAACTCTCTCAAAACCCTACAAGTGTCCGCATTTATTAATCCGGTGCGTACATTGCTACTCTAATTTTCCTCCCTTTTCCACTCGCTTGATCGGCCTCTCTTCTACCTCTGTAGACCGAGCGACCACGTCCCGATCCCCTCCTCCTCCAATCAGTTTCGTACCTCCACAGCGGCTGGATGCGAACTTGGCATTTGGAGTGACCTCGCTCGTAACGGACAATCGAACGACTCCATAATCTAGGAAGGACTGCGATCAGGTTCTAATACAGAGCCTTGGCAGGGCTCTGTACTCGCTGTATCCACTCCCCAGGAGGCGTTGGGAGCTCTATGTCCAGTAATTCACGCACAGTCCCGCTTGACGGGAACCTCTCCCGGCGCATCCCTAGCGCACAGTATCTCTCGTGGGGACGCTGGAGTGCGAAAACGGATCCAGAGCCCCCATGGGAACGTTTTTGGCGCACTATGTCTATTTCACTTTCGTCTCATCTTTCGCACTATTACCGCAATCCCTAACCTCCGTCACCCAATTTGGATTATCGTTCTCTCAGACTCTCAGTCGCGCTGCGGATGTCTATTCCTGGCTGTACAGCGTTTTGCGCATTGCTCGCGGCGGTTAGAGGACTTGGGCGCATTGGGCTCGGCGTTCCGCTGTCGTCGTTTTCTGGTCCGTTTTATTTTGGTTTTGGAGGGGCTGGAGGTGCTTTTGGGCCAGTAGGTAGGTTCATGACTATAGCTGAGATTGAAATGGGGGTCATGGGGTACTCACGTCTGTTGGAGAAGCGCAGGCTTCCGAGAAGGTTTGTGAGTGGTATATATAAGAGTGCGATGACAGCGGCCGTGGAGAATCAGTACTCTGCCTCTACCTCTATCATCAACTACACTCGTAGACCTCTGTCCTCCGTCAACTAGAGTGTTTCTACTGCATCCACAGACTCTTTTATCTCATCGTTTATCGTTCCCATTGGCAATCAACTCTCGTCATGTCCAACTCCATTCCACCCACTGTCTCCGCTCAGAAGAAGGCGAAGGTCAGCCACCCAGAGAGCTATCATTGTTCTCGTATGCTGACAGACGTCATCGCTCATGTAGAGATTTAGCACCCAATCTGCGGCTACGGGAACAACAACTTCAACTTCTTCCTCGGCCGCCTCAAAGCTCAGCACATTTATCGTGCGTGTAATGAGTCATGCTAGAGTTTATCACTGTACTGACAATGCCTCGTAGAACCCACTACGCGCGAAATTCACGTCGTCACCTCAAAGTAGCCAAGTATGTGACAAGTTAGAGTTATTTTCCCGTCATTGCGCTGACTATGATCTTGGTTTCTTCAATAGTCGCAAGTCCAAGTGAACGACCATGCCGAGATGATGGATGAGGACAACATGTCCTGGGGTGTTCCATCATCGTCGAGACGTCAGCGAAAGAAGTCGCATTCATGAGACGGCACTGGCAAGACGTCGTTTTCTTTTATAGACTGCTTAGCTTGGCCGACGCGAGGTACGCAGTTGTTCTCGCCTTCCACTTCGAAGGTGGGACGAGAAGCTGACTTTGGGTTGGGTGCATTCATCTAGTCGGGTCGAGCTCGGATTTGAATCTTCATCATGGATACCCTACTCATACATCGTTATTCGATTTCACGGGACTGCAAGCTGTATGGCTTCTTTCGATCCTCAACTTTCATTTTTGACCGTCATGCTGCGATTTACGACCACTGGACTCTTGTTGCAACCTATTTATTTATCAAGAGAATGTAGGATGTTATGGCTGCGTACCTACGTTGCGATCGAATTATTTATCACCCTTCGTTATTCGACAATACACTGCTCCCATCACAGTCCACACTCATCTAAATATGAGATACCCTCTGACAGGGGCGCACGCCACTGTGGCGACCGAACAAGCCCCTAACTAGTGTGAGTCTGACTGCCCCTAACCTCGACGCTGCCACCAAGAGTCAAACCGCGATAGTACTTACACGCAAACCTCTCCAAGTCATTGCTCTCTGTGAACATCTACGGTATGTCCTTCTCATTATTCAAAACCAAAAATTCTTAGAACTCACACAACGTCCAATACTCGTTGCTAGTACATAACATTCCAATGCCTTCCCGTGCTGAACGCATCGCCGAAGTCCAGCGAGCCATCCTCAAGTCGTATGGTGGGATGTACCACTTCATGCTTTCCTATGGGCTCAAGATGTACAAAGAAGGAGATTTGGAAGAAGCAAAGCAGATCTTGAGAGGTATGGCGGAGGCGGAAGTGGACGGTGAGGAATGAGGGAATTGGGTCAATTTATAATGGGTATCTTGAAGGTGAGTTCGACCGTGACGGTCAGATTTCCAACGGCGACGCTTATTTTGAGTTTTCGACTGGGAATCTTGTGTAGTGTGCGACTGAGTTATTTGATTAAATCAAAGGGTGTCCTGGAACCAGCACCCTTCCAGGTTCAGTCTGATCGACATGCTCTTTGAGAATAGCTCTCGGGCCTGACCTTCGAATCGTCTCCGTCTTGAAGACAGAATCATCGGTATGAGACACCCACACTCGTCCGAGACTTGGCGACTGTTTTCACTGGTAGACGGTTCGACGACACGACCAAACGCTCCGTGGGCCACATTCAACGGAAGATTCACATGCCAGCCGACACATCCTCCGTCGAGCTGCAAGATGTATATAAACCGTCTTTCCTTCAACTCTTCTTCACCTAACCGCGCACATACCTTGTCCATCAGACACTCACGAGCATAAACATGTTTACCAAACCCACTGTTACCTCCACCGCTGTTGTCGCTGGACGACTTAGGCTTCGATTCCGTGGACTGTTCCGTGCGTCTCTTCTTCATCCTACTGTATTTGCCTTCCAAGATACTGACACGAAGATTTATTCGTGCAGAAAAAGTTCACGCAATCCAGGACGTATCTACGCAGGCGTACGAAGTCCCCGTCATTCCCCGCCCTGTTCAACGCGCCTTCTTACAATCTGCGGACAAGGCTGCTGCGAAATCAGGTTCCTCGGCTTTGGGTCTCCCCACCACCCCTCGCCGCCCTCAACTCTCCTCCGACTTCGAGGAGTCTGCGTTCAGTTCTTATGCGAAAACTGACAATGGGCTCGATGGTGATGAGCTCAACAATGTTGGTGAGTCCATGGATCCGCTCGAGGCTGAGTATTGGTTCGCCTGTGAAGGCACGGGTCATCGTGATGTGAGGCCCTTCGAGGTGTTCGTTGATGGTGGTCTCGATGTGGACGAGTGTGAAGAGTGGGGATATCAGGGTATGGAAGACCTCGTTTGTGGGACTCTTCGTTGTGGATTGCTTTGGCCTTCGAAGGACTGAGGAATTAGTGATGAGGTGACATAGTTTAACGACGAGTAGCAGGGTCTCGATGTCTCAGCCCATGTCTCGGAAGATGTGTGTGGCTCGGTGGGTCTCGGAGGTGCTCGAGTTGGAGGGGTAACCTCCGAGACCATACTACTGACTACTCAGGCTCAGTAACAGGGACCCCTTAGTACACGCAGAGCATCCCGACGCTCTACATGCCCTCGCATCAGGATATTCGCCTCTACAGTCCTCGATACCGAATACCGACTTCCGCTGGTGACGGGTTGCGCGACCCCACCAGTGACGTCCCAACTTCCCAGGCTCTCCAGCAGAGTATTCCTCGACTCACGCGCCCGGACTTGGTATGGGGAAACCTCTGTAGCGAGAGGTCTCCATGAGAGGCCAGTAACTATATGCCCCTATACCAGTTCGCGAGATGACACGGAGACAGGGTTCGGAGGAAGGGAGTTGGGTCTTGTATATTTGTCCTGTGGAATGTTAGTGATGTCCCTGCTGGCAGCCTGCGCTGTACGCAACGCCGCACTGTCAATTATCCCGCTTTGGCAATCGTAGCATCAGCGCTGTTTATTCCTGTTAGTAAAAACAAACAGAAAATACTTACGGCACTCGGCCAGGCTGAGCGGTGAGATAGTGGCCTAAGTGATACAGAACGACCATATCATAGTTAGTGAACGTTTGAGCGAGTATCGCTGTTGAGCAACTCACCTTCAAGCATGTTTCTGCTGTCACTTTCAAATCTGTGATCCTTTTGAATGTGGCAATTGGCACGAGGAGTCAGAGTAAGTACTAGATCAGAGCCCCGGGCCCGAGCCAACCGTGGGACGATCGCGATGTTTGGGTGGCGCCGTACATATAAACAGTGAACACTTCTGGTCCTTCTTTGCTCATCCACCTTGTACTGCGACCACTTCAAACGATGGCTGCATCACAACAAACCGTCTCACGGTTTGCTCAGGTCTCTCCAGGCTTTGCGTATCAACCTACTGAAAAACATGATGGATATGCCCTAAAATTCCCTCATGAGACTTTACTCAGTCCACCACCTCGGCCCCCGTCTGTTCGCCGTCCAGTGCCTTCTCCATCTCGTCCACTCATTACAAACCATGACCTCCCTCCAAAAATGCGCTTCCTGTTACGCCCTCTTCTCAAAAAGTATTCTCGCACTTATCCCCTACTCAAAGTGGTAGTGGAGTCATTCTCCAAGGCCCTGTGCTCGTGCCATTGGACCCGGGTTCTGTGGCCAATGGACGACCAATTTGAAGTGCCTCATGGAAATTATACTGATCAGATGCATGCATACTATGTCGATGTTCTCGTCTCTCCAGTTTTGAATCTACTTTCCCATCTACGGGCGCCGTACATTGAAGAACCCCTGCAACTCATAGTCGACAGACTTGACGATGGTCAGTGTGTGCCTTTTACGCTACATTTTCTGTCATCGAAACTGTTCTGGGTCGTAGATTGGAGCCTGACTGCATTTACCCCCTTAATCAACGTCTTGGATAGGCATCATTTCTGTCAGGGTGGCAGCCACCTATCCACCCGTTCCGCGTGCTCGCCCCAAAAAGGATAGCACACCTGTAATATTGTTCACTGTACGCATCCAGTCTCTCATATCCAACACTTCAGTAAGCTGATACCTTCTTAGATGCCTGGATTTTTGGAGCAATATCCTGACATGAAAAGCCTTTCCGAATCCTCGTTCATCCACCCGCTCCTTCGCAACGCATGGAAGACAAACGCGAAATCGAAGATTATAATGACAGACCTCACCTCTTTCCACATCTTTCACCCTCCGTCTCCCTCGTCCGAGGACGGTCGCGTCGTTCCATACGAGTGTATTACAGTGGACGATGCCTTGCTTTCGATCCGCGTTCTCATTGGGGCATACATATACGAGGCTTTACCGTCCCAAGAAACCCGCCGGCACCCAGTGCGTGGCTATCTTAATCCTCAGAGCTCACTTGGTGTGGGCACTTCTGGAAGTGAAGAGCCTCCACTGTATGAGGCAATGTACTCGGACATGATGGGCTGTACTCCCAATCCTGACGGGCCAAAACCATCAGACGAAGAGGTCTTCGAGACGCGCAAGCGCCACTCAGACTTCGATCCGTACACCTTGATGCACGATCGTGCACAAGAGCTGCAGTTTCTCCGGTGGAAGACACACATGGAAGAAAATGCAAACCAAATCCAAAATATTCGTCCAGGAGATGTGCTCATCGCGTCTACGGACGGCTTTGCTCGCGACAACGCCACCCTTATACCTTACTGGCCCATTGACCTGGGGACCATCCCCGACTCAACGATGCAATTCTTCGACATCATAAAGCGCCCTCCGCCACTGGACGATCGCATGCGTCATCGCCTCGAGACATCCCAGACGTTCCAGCTCTGCATATCTTACAGTTTAGGCGGCGATTGTGGTACGGTGCATCGCTGCCAGCTCATATCCATCGACAACGAAGAGGCCCCTCCTGGTCTTCCGGAGCTCTGCATCAAATTCTACGACGACCGCCTGTTCGACGTTCGTCCTTCAGAGGATTGGGATACAGGCGAAGATCAGATCTTCTGGGAATCGTTCACGACGTCCGAGGATGATGCGCGAAGAGAGCGAGTCGTCTACGAGCAGCTTCGCTTCGCGCAAGGATCGTTCGTGCCGTGGTACTACGGTGTGCATAAGGTACGCCTCATTTTGAATCATCCATATCTTGACGCCGAAATACGACCTCTGACGGTGTTAACTTCTTTATGATCTCGTAGTTCGTTTTGCCTGATGGACACTGGGTCTATGGGATCCTCCTAGAGCTCATTGCTGGTAACCCTATAAGCTTGGAAGAAGCCATGCCCTCAATGAGCGATCCGGAACGTGCTGAGCTGGTAAGACTAATATATATCATCGTTAACTTGAAATCCAACAACGTAATAATCCTTCATCTTCCTCAGATTAAAGGCGCTCGACATGCTGTACGCGCTCTGCAGTACACTGACATCTCAACAGGTGCTTGGGCACACCGTGAGAGACCCATGTTCGTTCTTCGATCCCCGGTACCTCATGTCGTGTTCTTCGACTTCTCCGATTCGAGCCCGAGCACCTCCAGCGATGTCGTAAACACCACCACGACCGAGTACCTCGAAATGTTCTATCGTCTGAGGAGCGCTATGATGGACCTCGGATTCACTCCAGGCAAAGCCGTCAAGTTTGTTTTGCCACATTATGGAGGAATGGAGGTGTGGGATCACATAATTGATGCGTCGGACTTCCGCGATGGCAGGGAGAGTTATTCTCTGAGTGCGCCGGATCCATTTGATTGGATAGCTGGGTCTACTTGTGACAGTGTGCAGGAGGAGGTGCTCTTCGATGGAGTGAGGGTTGGGTTGTACAAAAGTAAACGAGCCCAGTGAAGATGAGTGAGGTACGCTCTTATCGTCTCATTCTTCTCCTTGAGAGGCCGATGACTGATCCGCCGTTGTGATAGTTTGTAACATAGAATCCGGAGTAGTCGAGGGATATGCTTCCTTGTTAGTTTGCTCACATGTATTCTGTCAGTCGTCACGAACTTGAGTGCATCATTATCGAGTACCATTGATTTGAGACACTGTCACAGAAAAACCTGAGCAAGAATAGGAGAATTATCACAGGAAGTACGGTCGCAAATCAACAACCCGGGCCTCCAGGAACGAGTGAGCACGACAGAGGCACGAACATAATCCAGATGTAACCTAAGTGTACCCAAAAAAGCGACGTTCAACAAAAGCCATGAACGCGGTCAATCTCTGGCAAATGCATCCTGATGATACCCGAGTCTCGTGCGAGCCATCTGGTGCTGGTGGAAATGGGTGCGGGTACGGAAAAATCTATGGCAGCACGCATAAGTTGGGTGATAAGCCATGCTCAGGTGCACCTCCAGTTCTCGAAGGGATTGCACGCGGGTGTGACAGTAGCCACATTGAAGGCGCTTGACCATGCTGTGCGTGAACTCGTGAAGCTTGAACCGCATTCCTGATTGGAGTTCGATGTGTTAGCAGATCAGAAAACAAATCGTGCGACGTAGAGAGACGAAGACGTACCCCAATGCGTCAGCCAGTCAAACTCTGTATGGCGAGCTTCCTCAGGGGCGTATGGAGGAATGTCCATCGGAGGAGGGGCAGGTAACATTCCGGCATCTGCGCCTGGCAGTTGAGGTCGTTGACGGTTGCGCTCTCGGACTTCGAGGAGCATCTCTTCGTCCCAAAGAGCGCAATTAGGATCTTGACTACACTTCCGCTGTGCGATATCCCAAAGAGCTACCGTTCCCGTAAGGCTATTAGAATCCGTCCAGGATGAAACGTTGGGGATCAATGGTCTTACATCCACATTTGAAACAAAACTCTGTCTTGCAGCGGCATGTAATGTGATTGCAGCCGACGACGAGCTCGACAATGTACTGTCACAGACGAATGAGTCGGAAGAGGGGAATGAGGAAGTGCTCGAGGACGTACGGAGCATTTCGGACATCTTCTCCAGTTGTGGGCCTGCAGTGCAGGATAACAAGATGATGAGGGTCATATGGAATGGGAAAAATGTCGAAGGCAAACGTACTTTTATAACTTGGAGCGCAAGAAGATCGTCGGGGGACCTATCTTCTAACGGCATGGACTGAGATTATTGGAAAACATGTTAGGAAGCAGAAACGAGGGAATAAAGATGACGGTCATACTTGATATTCCTCGCACGATATACCTATCAACCTTCATTAAGTTTAGAGCAAAGGAACTGAACATACATTACTTACCATCATGCCAAGATGATCGACACGGTATACAAAGCAATTGACGACAAGCGGGACACTCTGCCTGAGGATCATCTGGATTTTCTTCGACTTCGACGAGAGCGGAGCAACGTGGATTGGGACAGAAATAGCGAGGTTGAGAATCCAGCAGTTTTCGGTGGTGCTAAAGCATGATGATCAGAAAAATATGGAATGGCAACGTCGAAGACTTGGTCGCGGTGACTTACCCACAACACCATGGCTTTTTCACTAAGCACGCGCTTCGCTACTCCATCCTCAATTCCCTGCGGCCACTCCTGCGAGGAGCATTCTGGACAGAGAAGAGGGAAGACAACGATATCCATACGACCCCCACCATCTTCGTCGGGGTCTAACTTGCTAGTAATGTATGTGGACAGACAGGAGATACAATATCCGTGGCTTCCTGGGCAAGGTAAGAAGAGACCGAATGCTACCCTATCATGAGACGTCGCAGTAGTTGTAGCAGCAACCGGCGAGTTCGTGGGCTGAAAAGGTTCCATACAGATCCCACAACATGTGTAAGGTGTTGCGGGAGAAGACTTGACTGTTGCTCGAGAGGCCGTAGATGAGAATGAGATAAACAGTATGAGATCATATTAGCTCGAACAGTGCTTACTGGATGGTTGTTCAATGATGGAAGGCAGTTCTGGACCCGTTGTTGTAGTTGCCTTCGCCTTGCCTTTGCCTTTGGAGTTAGGGTCCGTCGACTATATCATCATAAGTAGAAAATTCATCATGGATTCTAAGTTCCACAAACCATAATGTTACTGATTGTATCAGCAGTGAGGAATCTATACAAGCCAAACGATGAGTGCCAGATAGAAAATAAATTCACGGTGGAAAGTCACAGGAATACGTACCGGTCAACCTCTTGCATGTTAACGTCTTCGGGAGCACCGTCATCATATGCAGCTTGGACTCGTTTTGCGTATTCGGCGTCTAAAATAAGCTTGGCCTCCGCGGCGGCGACCTGTTGTGCGTATTGGCGTCCAGCCGTATAGCTAGCGTCGAGATGTAGCTGGTACTTCGCCGCGAGTGCCGCATCTCCACAGGCACGGGTGTCAGAGGCAGACAAGCGAAGCGCCATTTCGAAGTCATCGACAGCAGGCGCAACGACCTCTGGCTTCGGGGTCGCGGCGGTCCCGCCTTCATGAAGTTCAACCGCAGATAGTTCATTGGCCTGGAGCTGTTCAGCGTACTGAGAGGACAATCTGTCGTTGAGCTCATCGTTGAGGAGTTCAGCGATAAGCATCTGAGACGCAATGTCGATATCCATCTCGCTGCGAGACATGCAGGAGCGCAAGGACAGAGAAGAGAACAAAGGGACCAACGGGGGGCAAAATCGAAATTCAATTCGCGGAAGGTGCAGTTTTATTCAGTCGCCGCGAGTCTCCGAACTGGATCATCACACGCTGTCAAACACCAAGCCCATGAAGATGGCGCAAAACCAAAAAAATACAGTCGCCGTCCCATCGTGTATCCAAGATGGGTAAAACACATGCGCATTGAAGAGAGCAAAGGTATACCGCACCAATACCGCCTTTTTCCTCCCTGGGACTTGCACCGAGCTTGGAGAAAGTCGCGTGGATAACGCCTAAATGCGTCGGCGTTGTCGACTGTGAATCGCCCTTTCAACTGTATTGTGCAGTTTACCATTTTTCAAATTGATGAGACACACCGTCGAAACAAGGGGAATACTTACTTGGAAATAGAAGCAAAACTGAGCATCGGCGCAAAAAATCGCCAGGGGATATTCATGTCTGTCACAGTACCAAAGAATCATACAGAGGACGAATAGTGGATACCACAGTGCTCTATCACCAGCCAGCAGAGCTAAAGGAAGGCCGTTTGCATCATGTAGACCAGACCGATGCTAACGCCCGTATGAATAAGGTAAATATCGATATCTTGAACTGAGAGATGCTGGAAAGAACTCCGGGCGACTGGTGTCTTCCGCGGCAATGAAAAGCTCTCCGGCCGGAGGATGCCGAGGAAATGATATTGATAGCACAGCATACTACCGTAATAGGTATTCTCGGACCCGGAACCGGCATGACGCAGGCGTGCGGCTGTGATGAATTACTTGCGGTAAATAAACGCGAGACGCCCCTCTCGGCGCTGTCAGTCAACTTGCTCATCAACCTCGACGACGACAAAACACCCCTTCACAACGCATCTCTCGTCTTGCCCCAGCTTTCCCTCTTACAACTGTTCATTGCCGCCCATTTCGCACACAAAGATCAATACAAACTCTCCATCGAGCGACCCCGAACCCTTGCCACACACTTCCTGTATCCCGTCCTCGCCTAGACCACGTAGCATACACGCTACAGAAGTATGATGGGTTTTCTTTCGACCGCAAGTGCTCATGTCAAAGGCAGCACTAGACCACGCGCTGGATCATCAAACACCAACGGAGAGGGAGCACCTGAGGGTACAGACCCAGATGATACATCGATCTTGTCCGTTCGTCTTCTTCTCCCTCCACAATGTCCTTCTGGGCTGAAACCTTTGACGATTGCTGGGGTAGAGATGAGAAGGAGGGGTCCATAATTACTTCGCTCATTTCGCAACTTCGGTGAGTCCTTTGCGTCCCAGAATACCGTTGTGTGTGTTGCGTGGCGCACACGGGCGCGGAGCTACTCAGACGACACTGTCTTCATTGATGGTGGAGATTTTTTTCTATGGGAATGTATGCAGTGCTATATGATTCATCTCCTCTGGCTGCAAGATGGACATCGGTGGTCTCAGAGACGCTACCACATTTGCCGGTTCGGTCACTCGCCTAACTCCTGTGTGGCGATATCGTTGCATATTGGAATTCCCCGTCATGTTCGGGTGTTAGTGTTTTTTCTGCACTCGCTGTATTGGCCAATGAGGGACATGCAACGCTGCGGGCCACCCGGTCCATCGTGGACGTTTATCCCGACGAGCTTTTGCTGACCCCAATGACATGACGCCGTGCGGATGTTGACGTGCCGTGCATAGCATCATGTCTCGGGTGAGGTCAAGCGGTGATGCCCTGTGTGTCCAGTCATCACCTATCCACTCCGAATTCATTTTCTTTGTTCTTTGTTGCTTCATGGTGCGAAGTGGCCCCTGCGCAGTAGTTCCGGACATATTTGGACGCGGGTTTGGTTCAGCGACAGTTGTTCAGGATCATTGTCCATATTATGATGTGTCACTGTCCACCGTCCCTTCACACAAGGCGTAACGGAAGTCGTCACTTCGTACAAAACACTTTGAACCTTTCAATAGACTGGTGAGGCTCACATTAATGGGTGGCGCTTCTACGGTGGCCCCACACTTATGACCTCCTGTCGTAATCCCTTCCAGTAGTGACGATTGCTCTTCGTCGGACTGGATACTGTGATCTCTTGAGTTTAATCCAAACATATCACTGCTTTTGTATCCCGGGTTCATCTTACGGGCCACCTTAACGTCATGCTTTTTTCGTTCATCTTTTACTTGCTCGTGGTGAGATCAAACGCTAAATCATTTTTGTGTGCTAGGGTTGGCATGGACTTATCGAAGGTCACGTTCCCGACATTCGTCCTCGAGCCTCGAAGTATGCTTGAGCGAATCACCGACTTCATGGCGCACCCTGACCTCATCTTTGGGTGCGTGACTCGCTCCACACCTGGTCCCAACATTGCCCTTGTCTCAATTGAACTTCGCCCGCAGCGCCGAAGAGTGCGATGACCCCGAAGAGCGGTTCATGAAGGTGTTGCAGTATTACCTGGCCGGTTGGCATATCAAGCCGAAGGGCGTGAAGAAGCCATACAACCCCGTCCTCGGCGAGTTTTTCCGGTGCAGATACGACTATCCGAACGGCACGCAGGGTTTCTACATTGCCGAGCAAGGTGCGTCCCGCTGTCTTCTGGTTGGTGCGATGACCGACTGATGCTGTGACGTCCTAGTATCGCACCATCCTCCCATCTCCGCTTTTTACTATATTTCGCCAGCTAATAAGGTCTCGATCGTCGGTGAGCTCCGGCCAAAGTCGAAGTTCTTGGGGAATAGTGTTTCGACGACGATGGAGGGCGAAAACCGGGTGCAGCTATTGGGCCGGCCAGAAGATGGAGGTATGTGTTGTCTGTACTCGCGGACCCAGTGCATGAAAACTTACGGTCGCCACAGAGTACGTGATCACCATGCCGAACATGTATGCCCGGGGAATCCTTTTCGGCAAGATGGTGCTCGAGCTTGGCGACATGTGTACTGCCACGAATAAGGCGCACGGGCTGCAATGCGACCTCGAGTTCAAGACGAAGGGCTTTTTCTCTGGGACGTACAACGCCATCGCCGGGCGGGTGCATAAAGGGTCGACGGACATCGGCGAGGTGAGCGGCAAGTGGAGTCAGCTCATGGAGTTCAAGAGCAGCAAGGTTCGTTCTTGTGGTTTATTTTCTTCCGCTCATTCTTGGTAGATAACTAAGCATGGTCCTGTGTTTGATTCCGTCTCGTAGACTGGAGTGAAATCTTCTCTTTTTGATGCACAGAAAGACGGCCAGAATGTGGCGCCGAAGTGGGTCGCGCCAGAGTCAGAGCAGGAGCCGAACGAGTCGCGCAGATTGTGGCGAGACTTGACCCTCGCGATCCAGGCTAAGGATATGGAGGCTGCGACGGATGCGAAATCGAAGGTCGAGGACGTGCAGAGGGAGGATAGGAAGCGGTTGGATGAGAGCGGTGGGTCGCATACGCCGAGGTTCTTCGAGTTGAGGAATGGCAGGTGGGAGCCAAAGTTACGGTGAGTTTTGTTCTTGTTTCTTTCTTGAGCCTCATGGGTGGTTCTGACTAGATCTACGGTTGGTTCGCTTTGCTTAGATTGCCCGAGGATCCGGAAGAGGCAGTTAAAGCGGTTCAAGCATGGATATGGAGTTCCCCCTCTGCATCTTGATGCCCTCGTGTCGTCACCACTTCTTAGACAAGCGGCCAACAGCATCATTTTCTCCTTCATCCCACTATTCGCCCACTATTGTACTACATCCAAGGGTCCTTATCTATGTTGTACACGAACCGGCCGTTCTTCGCGTCCCTCGCCCGTCGTCTCCTCATCCCATTCTATGAGCCCCTCATGTCATCATGACGCTGCGTTAACGGACACTAATATCCATGTCTCGTTGTCGGGTTGGTGTGTTCACGCATTTACATCGTTGCTAGTGTTTTCAAGTCTTTTTGTCGATGGTCATGAAGAAGGTTATCCCATATTTGTATAGTTCGATTAGTAGGCCAGCTGCGATGCGATACAAGTTTCATCATAGAATCTGCCAACGTATATGCTCAGCAGAAGAGAGGGCAGGTTTACATTTGTTTTGAGTAAGAGCTCTGCTTGTAAGACAGAGACCATCAGGGACCGACGAACGTCACGTGAAGTGGCGTTTCGACAGTTTTCAGCGATTTATCTCGTTTAAACGATGTTTCGCGGAAATCCAGGAAGACAGTCCTCTGGGTAACCCAGTCACCCATTATACTGTGTAGTCAAAACCAAAGAAAACGACGAATTGCGAGTGCCATTAACTGCAGACCGTCGAGAGCGACGGTGGCGCCGCGGATCGGATCTTCTGGGCATTGCAAGTTTAATGGCACTCGCAAATTTCGTATTTTCGTGAATTTCTTTGCACAGAGACATTACATTCAGGCATATGCGTCGGACTGTCTTCCTGGATCTTTGATTTAGGGCTTTTTGCGTGAGCTATTCGTCGAGGACTGCAAAATCGCCACTTCACGTGACGTTCGTCGGTCCCTGATGGCCTCTGTCTTATCGACCGTTCACGCCACCTGTACTATGACGCGTACGTAGGATATGCGCCAAAGCACTGGTCCTTGGTCTTTAAAATGTTGAGTTCAACTCAGACGCCGGCCTGTGGCGCCGCATTCTGTTCTTGTTCATACGTGGTCGATACGTGGCCCATTCTTCCACTACTTGCAGGAATTACTACGAACACGTCATCTTGGTAAATCCGCTACCAACATCGACCGCTAACTAGACGCCGTCTGCGAGCTTATAATCCTATCGTTTTCGGAGTGACTCGTTTGTTTGACTTCCGCAGCCTTACTATCACTGTGCTCACCAGTGTTGCATCGGGAGCTCTAATCACTTCTATACCGTCCTGCAATTCATATGGCTTCACAAACTCAGCCTTCTATCTTGCTTACTACTCCTGATCTAGAAGCCGGCCGTCCCGCAAGTCCAGCCGGCTCCTCTATCTTTGACCTCCCCACACACCCCGGGACGTCTACCGGTGGTATGGTCACTCGGCACCCTTCGAACGACAATGTTCAGGCATCCAGTGCCGGGAACGAGCATACTGAATCCGCCGACCCGTCTTTCGTGATTGTGTCCGGTGGGACGGGATGTAATGCTATCTGTTCGGCGTTTTCTAATGCTTGCTATGTTCTGCCTGTCTCGGATGACGGAGGCTCTTCGAGCGAGATTATCCGAGTTCTGGGTGGGCCTTCGATAGGTAGGGATTCCTACCATTATATGAAGTCAACCTAGGTGTAGTAGATGCTGATCCGATACGACGTATAGGTGATATACGGTCGCGTCTCGTGCGTCTCATACCGCCTGCACCTCCTGGATCACCGCTGGATGCTCTCAGGATTTTGCTGGCGTATAGGCTGCCTGTTGGTGCAGCGGCGAGGGATGAATGGAGGGCGATTGTGGAAGGCAAGAGTCCGCTGTGGAATGGTGTCCCTAACGACAGAAAGGAGGCTATTCGAGGTGAGTGTAGCAGGCCGTTGGTTCGAGTCATGAAGAGTGCACACTGATTGGAGTCGCTGCTTATTTTTTCGCCTAGGCTTTTTGGTATACTTTGAGAACGAAGTGCTCCGTAGAGCGCACAAGTCCTTCTCTTTTGTGAACGGAAGGTAAACAAAACATATGAACTCCCAGATGAGTCTATGCGCCTGCTAAAGCTTCGCGAAACTGTGTTTCAGTATAGGGAACTACTTCCTCGCCGCTTCTCAGGGCTTTTTCAGATCTCTCCCTTCCGCTATATTTCTGTTTTCGTCGATCACGAGCTCTCAGGTATGTCTCAAAGACATACCCACCTAACAATATACTAAATAAACTCTATTGGCCTCGAAAGGCTAACATCTTGCCCGTAATCGTTACCAACCACATTGTGACGATTGCTGCTGAACTCGTAATATCCTATAGTTTGCGAATTCAGAGTGATTCATGACGCTCATGTGCTTTTGGCCCCTTTATATAGAACAACGGCGCCAAGTTGATTGGACAATGCGAAATATCGCACCCAGTCCCCCGAATCACCTTTAACCCCGAAGAAGTTACTCGCACAGACCATACCGGAGGGGAAAACACAGAGGATGACTTCGATGTAATGTCTCCAACTGGCGATGCGGATGGGGACGGTGGTGAAGGCTCCATCCTTCCTCGAAATCAAAACGTTATGTTCAGTGCGACATCAAAGGACAATCATGAAGAAGAGGAACTAGAAGCACCCATCTCCCGTGCGTACATTCAATGATCTACGGTAGTCCAAGCTTTTCTCTCTCTAGATGCTGACCGAGTGTGAACCTACGTCCTGTCTGAAGGGTTGTACTACATCAACTCATATGGACACGAGATCCACCCGTCACCTAACCCGGACTATATCAAGAGTCTGGCAAGAAACGAGGTCTTAGTCTATTCTTGTGGGTCTCTATGGACTAGGTATGTACCAGGTATCCTCATATCTAGTCTGAGCATTATAATAGTGTCTTTCGAAACCAATTTCAAGTATCATCCCGTGCCTTGCACTTCGAGGAGTATCCACCGCTATTGCACGCTCCCATTCACTACGCGCCAAGGTCCTTTTTCGTGCGTTTGAAAACAACACTCACCTCTCTCGAATCGCCTACTTACTTTGCGTCATAGTCAACTCGAAGAATGACCGAGAAACAACAGGGTACACGGCGGTAGACTATATACAGTCCGTTATCTTCAGTATTCTCTCATGCTATATCATTTCTAATGGTTGATCTCTTCTGCATATTTCTCCGGAACATCGGCAGGGCGATCGTTCGTACCCTTAACGCCCGATATCAAGTAGAACCTTACGGGCTCGCTCGAGGGAACGCGGCCACACTCTACCCTGTCTCAGCATTCATCACGCATCTCGTATACATACGCGGCACAACAGTCAAGGTAGACGTGAGGAAGATTGCTGTAAGCATGCTTTTTTACGCTCGCTCAGCTCAGAAAAAGCGCTCATGATATATACGTCGGTCTCCCAGGATATGGGGGTGAGATGCATAGAAGTCGAGAGCTCATCACGGTCTAGTAGCGGAACGCCGGTCTACGATGCGGAGTGCGCGAGAACGGCTGTCGATGAGGTTCTGAGCAGTGTTACTTGAATGGTGGGTTGTGTCGTTGGGATATCAGTAACGAGGATGATATTATGGCGCAAGGGCTTTGGAAAGGCCCTTTCAGGGTATTACTATGCGTATACGATCCATGTTTATTGCTTTAATAGTTTAATAGCTACTTCTAGGAGTGTATGTGGAGTGTATGAACCGTTTCCCCCTGAGAATCAAATGCGATCGAAGTGGTGCTGTGGTTCACGATCGTGTAGGTTGGGATGGACGAGAAAGGCGCAAAGGCACGGTGTGTGATAGTCCGCAGGCTATGGCGTACATGGAAGCATCTTATACAGGTACAAAAAACGCCCCAACCTAACAGCATCATAGCAGCCCTCTAAATTAACCTCTTCTCGCGAACCAGTATGGGGGCATATAGTTACTGGCCTCTCATAGAGACCTCTCGCTACAGAGGTTTCCCCATACCAAGCCCGGGCGCGTAAGTCGAGGGACACTCTGCTGGAGAGCTTGGGAGGGTGGGGCGTCACTGGTGGGGTCGCGCAACCCGTCACCAGCGGAAGTCGGTGTTTGATATTGAGGATCGTAGAGGCGAATATCCTGTTGCGAAAGCTCTTGGAGCGTCGGAATATCGTGTGTGCTAGAATATCCCTGTTACTGAGCCTTGAGTTGTCAGTAGCATGGTCTCGGAGGTTACCCCTCCGACTCGAGCACCTCCGAGACCTATCGGGCCACACACATCTTCCGAGACATGGACTGAGACATCGAGTCCCTGCGACTCCTTGTTACACTATGTCACCTCATCACTACTTCCTCAGTCCTTAGAGGGCCATAGCAATCCACAACGAAGAGTCCCACAAACGAGGTCTTCCATACCCTGATATCCCCACTCTTCACACTCGTCCACATCGAGACCACCATCAACGAACACCTCGAAGGGCCTCACATCACGATGACCGGTGCCTTCACAGGCAAACCAATACTCAGCCTCGAGCGGATCCATGGACTCACCAACATTGTTGAGCTCATCACCATCGAGCCCATTGTCAGTTTTCGCATAAGAACTGAACGCAGACTCCTCGAAGTCGGAGGAGAGTTGAGGGCGGCGAGGGGTGGTGGGGAGACCCAATGCCGAGGAACCTGATTTCGCAGCAGCCTTGTCCGCAGATTGTAAGAAGGCGCGTTGAACAGGGCGGGGAATGACGGGGACTTCGTACGCCTGCGTAGATATGTCCTGGATTGCGTGAACTTTTTCTGTGGATTGTATTTTCGTGTTAGTATTCGGAAGGAAAATGTAGTAAGACGAAGGAAGGACGCACGGAACAGTCCACGGAATCGAAGCCTAAGTCGACCGGCGACAACAGCGGTGGAGGTAACAGTGGGTTTGGTAAACATGGTTATGCTCTGGGGTGAGGTATGTGCGTGGTTCGGTGGAGAAGAGATAGAGGAAGAAATAAGGTTTATATACGTTTTGCGGAGCGATGGTGGATGTGTCGGCGGGTAGGTGAATCTGCCGTGACTGCATTCCCGCGTTGCACGACTATGATCAGAGCATTGATGTATGTGCTCGGGGAATTCAGCCGTGAAGTGGGAGCCGGTTTCAGTTTCGGAGCACTGAGTCATCCCGTCCCCGAGTAGTGCCTTTGCCTTCGCGGTGGTGTTCCGAGGGTTGGATGAGAGTGGATGAGTGGTTACAGACCGACGCTCCCCAGACCAGTCACCAAGAGAGGGAGTTCAGTAAGATTTGGATGTGCGACGCTGCCAAGAACCGCGGACGAAGTGCGGCGTCAGTGACGCACTTACTATTTTCGAGTCCTTTCGCGCTTGGTTGTAAGAATCCAGGCATGCACGGCGATCGCAGTTAGGAGAGCAGTTCCACCACCGGAGAGACAAGGACTTCAACGCAGTCCTGCGGGTGCGTCTGCCCAGATCATTTTCCACCACGCTCCTTAGAATGCTCGTCTTTGGGCCTACTTTGGTAGCCCGCAACGCTCTCAGGGGGTGGAGATGCTGGCAAGCCTAGAGAGACGAGCGATGCATGAGATGAGATGCCGCGACTTTTTCCTAGAGCACGGGTGACGGCCTTGGCCGGATTAAATACAAAGTTGGTGATTCGACCCATGGAAGGAAGGACAGTGACTTCAAGTTCGTTGCTTCCTCAGCGCCGGCATTAGCCGGCAGTAAGGGGTGGAGGCTTTCGATCCTAACAAAACCAAACAACCGCATACGCCATTCCGGTTTCGGTGGACATTTCGTCTCAATTGTCTACCTCGTTCAGTGATATGTAACAGCCGCACTTTGTGCTAGCAGTGAGCTGCTCGCTGATCTTTAAATTGCATGAGCGGTGAAGAGCGTAACATGGACTCGTGTAAAGTGGCCCCCACAGGACACGTCACTTAGTTGGGCAGGAGGTCGTGGGCAGTATCATAGCGACTTTGCGTGGAAGTCTCAAGCGTATGCAGTATCGTTATGCAAAGGGCGTGCATGCATTACATATAGTGAGATGGAAAAGGAAAAGGAGGCATTCAACGGACCAAAGTGAGCGCAGAGGAAATATGAAATGGATTCCGATGCATGGAGAAAGGAGTAAGAGACTATCCACAGCGTTACGCGGCACCGCCGAACGAAACAAGAAATCTCCATCCAGAGACGAGAATATGAATGGAGTTATAAGGCAGAATTTGAATGTTTGGGTGGATGTTGGGGTGCAAGTAGACGCCGTGTGGTGTGGGAGCTGAGAGGAACGGTAGGCAATAGGGGTGGATGGAGCGTCTATGAGCAGCAACCAGAGGCGGCGGCTGTTGCGGGCTGGTTGACTTTGACAGAGCCGTCAGCCGCAGAGGGACCTCCTGGGGCACCGGCAGCATCTGCCTGCGAGTCGATCAACCGGGCTTTGATATCCCTGAAGACCCCATGGTCAGCCATCTCGAGACGCCTGCTTATATGGAGAGGAAATGATGTCAGAAACCCACCGTGCGAGGGTAAAGAATGCCTCCTCTACGCCCTCATTGATCTTTGCTGATGTCTCCATGAAGCGAATGCCCAACTCTTCTGCGAGTTCTCGTCCTTGCTCCTCCGTGACAGCCTTCTTGTCTGTCCAATCCGACTTGTTACCAATGAGGATCTTGTTCACACCTTCAGAGGCGTGCTGCTCGATGTTAGAGTGCCAGGTGCGGATGTCTACGTCATCAAGCGAGCGGATAGCCAAGTCAGGCAATCGGGCCACATGAAGAGGTGCCACAGTGGAGGGCAGAGGGGACAGTACGCACTGTTGAACGAGCGTTCGTCCGTAACATCGTAGACCAACAGGATTCCCATAGCACCCCTATAATAAGCTGTTGTGATGGTCCTGAACCGCTCTTGACCCGCGGTATCCCACTATAATCCGCCACGTCCGCCATGTGTGAGTGATTGAGTCCGAAGCGAGACGCGCGTGAGGGGTATGGGATGCGAGGCAGGGCAACGTACAATCTGCAGCTTGATACGTTTGCCATCAAGTTCTATGGTACGAATCTTGAAGTCGATACCGATAGTGGTGATGAAGGAAGGCGTCCACGCATCGTCACAGAACCGGAGCAGCAAGCATGACTTCCCGACACCTGTCGCGTTGTTCATATATCCCCAGATCGTTGAGAACTTTCGTACTTCACACTGAGACGAGCACGCTAAAGTTATACGTACCTGAGTCACCAATAAGCAGCAGCTAGAGTCAACATCAGCTTGGGTGTGCTGCGGGGATAGACCTGCATTCAGGTCACGACGAACTGAGACGCACCTTGATGAGGAAATCGTAGTGAGGGGGAGGCATGTTTCGTAGTCGTGCAAGTGTCCGTTCAACCGAATGTACACAGTCTGATGACTGCTTGTATAAAACGTATGCAAGGAGAAAGCAGAGAACAAGTCGTGAGTTGTAGCAGCACGACCAAGACGATTCCGGCCTGTTGCTTCACAGCGTGCCACTTCAAACACCGACCAGGCACCGCTTTCGGTAACCACTTATCGCACCATATTAGGATTTGTCCGCTTGGGCCACAGTCACAGGTGACTTGGGGAGAAATTGCTAGGTATGCATCATGGGAGCGAGACTGATATTTAATACAGGCTAGTATAATTTTACATCATTAACGAAGAAAGAAGTACAGGACAGAGCCTCCAGAAGGGCGAAACCCAGTTGATAAAATCGACTTGAGATCATCGCCACTGTGGCACCGACCCTCTTACAACCCTCCCTAGTAAATACTTGTGACGAGATCATATCAGTTACATTTCATCGAGGTCCTTTAGGAGAATGTCTCTAAAGTTGTCGAAAATATGAGATCGCGGAGGACTTGTGCCTATTTCTGGAGAGAAGGGCAATCATGGAGAAAGGTGCGTACAACTTGGGACTTGATACTTCTGCTATCAAGTACTGTATGGTAGGCCACAAAATTGAAGCCAGGTGGTCATTCCTTCATAGAGCTGAAATACTAAAGTAAAGAAGATTTCTCAACTCCTGGATGGTCCTGTCAATGGGAGGTCTAGACAAGCAAGGTCTGAATACTATCGAAGAGAATGCCCAAGCTACGAGAATACTCCTCTCGTTCGCCAGTGACCAGGAGCTGCAATGTGCCAAGTCAGAGAGTGTTTCATAAAGGTGGACGAAAAAAAACATCATCCCTCGACTAGTAACGCGCCAACAGATTGAAGTCCAGTTGCTGCTGAGCGTTCCACTGCTTTAAGAAGTTGTGCGGAGAGATGATATGGCTGGGGATTTTCATACCAAACTCAAATACGCTGGTGGGTTTATGGAGAGTCACACCATCATGTTCCAGAGTAGCTACAGCACGAACACATAGAGCACCGTCCGGCAGTGTGGAGACGTGAACGGGCGGTCTTTAGAGGCCCCTACCTACTCCAGCCCGACATGTCAGAAACAGAAGAGCATATCGACCGAGACGTAGAATTCTCTAGTCATTGTGACGAGCTTGAGAGTTGTCGGCAATCGGCAAATGCAGATTGGGCTGAAGGAAACTTGACCGGAAAGAACAAGGAGAGAATCAAAATGTATGTTTATCCCACGCTTCTCGCGACTGGCAGCATCCGGCCCCATCCGGTTGAGTCGTTCCCACGCGCTGTCCTCCTTTTCTTTTTTCGATCCAACCTCCACTTCGAGGGCTCTCAAGTCAGATAGCACTAAGTTATCACGTTTTCACACAATGGGGATACTTTAGGTGGCATCAGTATTACACCGTGCAATGCGAGAAATTAGCTCGATGTCGATAACTTCAACGTTGAGCCTAAGTATTCCAGAAGACGACTCGGAGCACAATGCGGCCGCAAGCTCAAGATACGCGTCTTGATCCCGTTTATCAGGTGCTGTTTTTTTCTTTTTCGTGGACATTCTCGATGGTAGATAAGTATCCAGTGGTAACTGTCCTTTTTCATGACGCCAGTTCGAAGGGGTTGACAGAGCTGCAGCAGGGGACCCGATCTTCATCCATTTCGTCCATAAAACTCTATGCCCAGAGCTTTTCAACCCAATTTTGACCATTGAGGACTTCACTCGTGTATCCGGCTTCGCGGGGTTTCATTTCCGCCGTATGCCCTTGATAATAGGGACCCTAATATACGCAAGAGGCAATAGCTTTGCGTTCTATGTGCTTTCTCACTGCGATTCGTGCGATTGACTAGATCACCGTGGCCTCGTTGTCAGCTGTAGGTTTCTATTTTCTCGGCAGACTGCGCCTAGTAGTTCACGATGTGCGCCACACAAATAGCCAGTAGAGGTTCTCTTTTTCCTGCACTCATTGTATCCCCCCCTATCGTACTCGACAATGTCGACCGACTTCTTGTCGTATCTCAATATTTTTGACCCGAGTCTTCTTCAAGACAAAGAATCTTTAACAGTCGCTTTAGAGGTCCTCGAGGGCACTGTTGATTCCGACACCGCGGAAGCTATCATCAAGCGAGCCGTCGAGGTGCCGCATGCGCTTGAATTCATCTTCTCAGGTATGCCATGACTATCTATTCCTTCAATACACTATGCATTAATCATTATCCAGCAATACCGGCCGACACTTCCAAAATTCTCTCGTCGTGGATACTGGACGGATTTCCGGACAGTTTAGACGCCGTCTCTGCGGATAAATGGCACTTATCCTTACTGTCTCGATTGGCAAAATTCTTAACCTTCTTGCCTTACCCAACCCGCGATGATGAGCCTCAGCAACTCCATACATGTTCACGCGCGGTCGACATCGCACCTCCAGTCCTCATCGAGCTCGAAGGCATGCTTGCAGATCCAAGCATGCTAACGGGCGACGACGCAGGAACTCCCGTGTCTCCTTCAAAAAAGAAAATACCTCCACGAGGTGAAAGGCGGTCCCAGGCAGCTCTCCGCGCCACCACCTTTCTTGATCCCAAACCTTTTCAAGCTATGGACGTCCAAATCCCCACTTCCTTGACGGAGGCGGGGGCCCTGGCTGCACGTATCCTTCTTGATCAAAAGAATATTCTTGAGGTGAGAGCGCTGAGTCTGCAGGCCGGGACAGTTACTCATGTACAAAGAACAGTACTTCATTATTGTTCTGCGTCGATCCGCTCTCCGCTCTCTCATCAAAAACGCATATTTATCCCTTGGGATAGTGGCGCCATTGAGCAATAACACCAGGTTCGAGACAGCTGCCTCGCCATCACAGGATCCTATGAGTCCGTCAGAGCCTATCCGCAACACTCAGCAGCTTCCGGAGACTGTTGTTCCCTTTCGGGCGAAATTATACGAAGAGAGTGCGAAGGGATTGGGCGAGTGGAGAATTTGGCTGTCTGGTCGTGCCGAAGAGGATCTGCGGAAGAGGAAAAAGGCAGATGCAAGCAACTTCGCCATCATTATGAAGAAATTGAGGTGAGAAACACCGCTCCGTTCTACCAACTTAGCTCCACCCGCTCAACTACATATCATACGACACATCAGCGAGCTGTCTCACGGGAAATTCTCTGAGACCAACATGAAACGTATCACAGGCCCTCAGACTCCCGTCCACATCTACGAGGCCAGACTTCCTGGTGATCCTAGGATTGTGGTATGTGCAGCCAAGCAATCAATTGTTTTGTCCACTGATGTGTCTTCATCATCTTCAAGTACCAAGTCGATTGTATGCAGGAATTTCAGTCAGATGTGCGTCGAATGTACACTTTATACTTCCACTGTACTCACTTCCGAGCATATGATAGAACGAGCATCAAGGTTTGTCAATAAATTTCCCGACGATCATCTACCCTCCACCTCACGACGTATCTTCCATCTGTGACCAGTTCTTACAATACACGGCATCATGAGCCACACGGAGATAAGACGAAGCGTATGGGAGCGGATAGGGCGTCTCCTAGGCAGAAAAGGCAAATCCTATCAAGAACGGTGCATAACCTCTTCCTCTCGTCATCACAAGTCAGAGGATTATTGACGTCGCACTTGTAGATGCCGATACCGAAACCATCCCCGCCACATCGGGGAAGACATCTATTTACCGGCTGCTTTTGATGGTATACATGAAGAGAACGCGGACGAGTTGAACGTTCTCGAGGAGGTTCTCGATGAAGAGGATCAAGCTCAAGTACGTGTCAATGCATTTGCTACTGCCAAATGTACTCTAAGCCGCATATATCCACCCGGGTTGGATCCTCATAGATGCAGAGTTTGTTAGTGTGAGTGCAGCTTGTACTTTGTGCTAACCCAGAACCCACTTGATATGAATGTTCACTAGTCATGAGAAGTATGTTACAATGTCAGAGGTATGGGCCGCTCTACATATGTACCCGCATAGCCTGATTTTCACTATATTAGGGCGTCATCAAAAGCAAGTCTATCTACTTGTGATCTTCAATGCATACTCAACAGCAGCTGTGCCACAGGTATCCTTACCGACGGGCCCCTCGCCCATGTTCACCGACTCTCGTGAGTCATTCCACTTGGCATCTGTGTTCATTCTCCATCTCATGCAAACCGTAGCTCACAAGAGCAAGAAGTTGTGGAATGGCCTTATTCATGCTACGTCCTAGGACGTAGTGGGACGGGGTGCGAACAAATAGATTCCTCTTTAGTGCGGCGCACATTCTGACCTAGTGTCGTTTAGCAAAACTACGACGATGATCTTTAAGATGGTCGGTATCGAGAAAGCGTGGTATGAGTCAGACCGCCAGCTTCCTCGTCCAAGGCAGGTCTTCGTGACCAAGTCTCGCATGCTAGCGGACAAGGTTGAGGACTATCTCATGAAACTTCTCTCCTCGACGATCCCCACTGAAGGAAGTGGAGATTATGCTTCCGTTGCGAGATGGAGGCGGCAAGGGCCGCGCGTTCGAGACATGATCAATATAGAAGAAGATGACCAGTGGCGCGCAGATTTACCTCGCAAGTTCAGCGAGCTAGGCGAAGAGCATTTTCCTTTGGCAGTTCCGTTCGATGTGGTATGTCCTGCAGTCAGTCTTTATATGTTACAATGTATATGACTTCTTTTGCACCAGTTATGTGGAATGGTCGAGGCCGATCTCCTCGAAGACTCCGAAAATGAGCCCAAACAACACTCTGACTCCCATCGACGAATGCTATCGTATGAAGTGTTCAAGAGTGAGTATTGGCCCCGGCTTTCACAAAATTTCAGATCATTCGGTAAATATCGTCCTTCGGCCTGTGTTAGCAGCACAAATACTCATCGTTCCAATGAAGCTCCTACATTAGTTTATAGCGAGATCATAGGTGGGCCACTTTACCACAGTGGAAGGTTCTGTAGCATATATATCACTTCTCCTTAGGTGTAATAAAGGGCTCCGAAGTTACACTCAAGCTACCCGGACGTGCCATGGACCGTCAAACGTACGAGGAACTTAGCCCTAGAATGCAACCGACGTTCGCCAATACTCGCTCCCGATTGTACGACCTTTACCAGCAATACTTGAAGCGAAAGCGTGAACTAGGAGATCGTGATCCCGCCGAAAGGCTTGTTCCTTCTCGCCGAGGCACTGAATCATTTTCTTACTTGCTTTCTATTATGGACAGAACTCACGACCTTCTCAGCTCCATTCGATCAAAACAAATCCTGAGGAAAAAGGTCGACTATCTGTGAGCTCATGCCATCAGTCAATTCTTTTGGGGCCACTCACCATACTCGACAGGTATGTTGATGAAGTGCAGGACCTTCTATTGATCGACACACTTGGTATGATATTCGTGGTTTTGCGTTGGTATGATGGGAAGATAATGACGAAGAACCAGTTCTACGCTGCATCTGTCAAAACCCCTCCGGGTTATTCTGGGCCGGAGACACCGCCCAAACGATCTCTCTCGGAAGTGCCTTCCGCTTCAATGACCTCACGGCATTTCTTTATCGCATCGAGGCAGGTATCATATTTTATTATCGCATCGAGCGCATGGTAAACATAGTAAACAGGAGGGGTCCCGAGCACGACAAACTCTTGCGAGGCCGGCGTTCAAGACACCCCAATTCTTCCAGTTGCTGGTCAACTATCGATCACACGGAGGCATTGTGGACTGCGCTCACTCGACCATAGAGCTGATCAAAGCCTTCTGGCCGTACTCCATCGATATCCTTCGGCGCGAGAGAGGAACTGTCGCTGGCTCAAGGCCAATATTCCTGTCGGAGTGGACTGACTTACAAGAGCAATCATTTTTTCAGCCCGACTCCGAGGTGTAAGTGTCAATATATCCCCCCATATTTCTTCCCGTCTCTTACCATGGGCTCAGGGATACTCCTATCGAACTGGGTGCTCAGCAATGTATGTGGAAAATAGCTTGGCTATTCTACTATACTTTCTATAACCTGAGGCATACTCTAGGTATTCTGGTTCGGAACAATGAGGTAAGAGACAGGCTGAAAAGCCGGCTGGGAGACATTGGTGCTATATTGTGAGCATTGACTGTGTCATTATAAATTCACCATTTTGACGATTCTGCCAGGTCACTCTACGATAGCAAGGGCATGGAATACGACGACGTAAGCTGCATATCTCTAACTAATGCACGTTGCTTATCCGGGAGCGTGACTTCCTCACAGGTTATTCTGTACAACTTCTTTGAGGACTCCTCAGTTGACCGTGCGCAGTGGCGAAGAGTCATTCATGAAGCCATTTCATGCGATACGCGAGATACCTTCGAAGTCGGGCATGCCAATGCTGGACTCTGCGTTGAGGTGTGTTATACTTTCATACCCACGACCAATGACTCAAGAAATAAGCTGTTATAGCTTAAATTTTTATACGTCGCCATCACACGAGCCCGCAACCGTCTCGTCTTCATGGACCGCTCACTCACGAGTGAACCTATGAAGGTCATTCCCGTCCCGTCGCTCTTTTTGCATTAGCGTCGCTAATAACTTGGCATGACATCAGTCCTACTGGAAGCATAAAAATCTCGTCGACATTCGTACCGGGGCTGACAGCGTACTGACGAATTTTGCCAAAAGATCAACGCCGGAAGAATGGGCCAGTCGAGCTCGCCAGTATTTCGATTCTCAGCAGTACGACCTAGCCAAAGCTGCCTACCGACGCGCCCAAATGCCACGGGAAGAGGGAATATCTTCAGCTTATGCTCTCCAAGCTGAAGCAGGCTCCACCATAAACAGCAAGCCGCGCGCTATTGCTTTTACGTCGGCTGCAGAGGCTTTCATAAGGTCTGTGGCTGATCACGACAATTCAAAGAAGGAGAGGGCAACTTTCTACGCTCAAGCAGGTAATTGTTACAGTCATGCCGACAAGCACAGTGAAGCTGCGGCTTCCTTTGTGAAAGCCTCGATGTGGACGCATGCGGTAGTGCATTATCAGAAAGCTCGCATGCTTGACGAAGCGGTTTCGATCGTCATGGCTCACAAAGACGAGGTCGAGCACACCGTTGCCGACAAGGTGGTGAACACTGCGCGCTATACATATCTGAGCCAAGAACGTCTCGAGTACGTCTCCGCCTGATTCGTTTCTATATATTTACTCATGCGTATGCAATTATCAAAGGGAAGCAAGGGGTTTATTCGATGCCGATGAGGAGCAAGTCGAATTCATGGTTGAGCATGATTTCGGAGTGGCTCACGCCACAGTGCTCGAATCTCGAGGTCAGTTATTTGAAGCTGCAAATTTGAGGCTACAAGAAGGGGACATTATGTACGCCATCCGTCTCCTGGTCAAGGATCGTCAGAGCTTAGCATCGTGCGAACGAGCGGCCGCACTGGTGTTAGAGGATTTGTGGCGTACACTGTCGTTTGCTACCGGCCGCACAGAACGCAACACACAGCGCCTCAAAACTCTCTTCGAGTCCATTCATGACTTGGGAAAGAGTATGCTGACACCAGAACAACAGCAAGAGGTAATAAAACTTTGTAATCACTTTGCGAAAGAAGATACTATGCTGATATTACACTTTACAGCTGGATGTATTCGAAGCTATATACACCTCCAACCATCAAGCACTCGAAGGCCTTATCAACTCCATGATTGGTCCTGATCTTGAGTATCCCAAGGCATTGGCTCTTCTAGCTCTTGACCACCTCTTCGGAGACGTGACATCCCTCCCTCTCACTACGCCGTGCGAAGTGGCGAGGTGTATGTTTTTCTTTCTGCAGTACACGCGCTTGATGCACGACAACATCGTCCAGCATAGGCCCGCTCAGAGCGACCTCGTCAAAAAACTGTTTGCTGTTTGCATATCCAGTGACAACCGGATATTGCTATCGCCAGGAACGTACCTCCACCAGTGCTATCTGGAAGAGATGAAGACTCCAAAGGAAGATATTCTCACCGAGGTCTATATGGAACCCATCAGGTTTGGCCAAGGCTTTCGTTTTTATCTACGGGAGCGTCTGTCAGGTCGCATCCAGGTCCAGCTGAACGTCATAGGTGGTTTTGACGCTTTGAAACGCACCTGTATCGATCCATGTCCACTCAGGCTTCTCGATCCTTGCCCTTATATTTCGGTGTCTCGCGATGGACGATGCACCCAAACAAGCTGCGCTCTATGCCATAATCTTGATGTGACCTGGTTCAATCAGCGGCTCAGTACTCACCTCCATATAATGATGGTCATCGACACGGCTCACAAGATATGCGACATGTACGATTTTCCCACAAGAATGTGGGTAAACCGGTGAGTACGCTACCTGACTCTGGCACTCTATTGTTAACTCATATTTATGCAGCTTCTGGCTGAATCGTCTCGACACCGTTATGCGATCCCTTCTCCCACAACAAGGCAATATATCCCTGATTCGCCTGGATCTCATTCCGGAGGGCGCCGCTGCATTCCGTGGAGTAAAGCGATGGGTTCTCGATGTCCTTCAGAACCTCGATCCTACTCGCCCTGGACTTCAGCGCGGGTTTTTGACAAACTTTTTCGAAGCCGCTACAATAGGTCAGCTCGTCGACAAGCCCCGCATCAATGGCGTCCTTGGCCGCGTTTATTGCGTCCACCATTGCTATCATCCTGATCTACGTTTACGAACCGTAAGAGGCGACGTCAACACTCTTCACGCCTTGGTAGATTTTTTCAGGGCACAGGGGCCTTCAGACCTAGTGCGCGGTGCATTGTTCCTGGAGTAGGTTTATGCCTCATGTTTAAGATGGCGCTCAATGGTTAATTGTCCTACGGCGCAGGTACATTATTAACCGAAAAATCACAATCGATATTGGCGTTTTATGCGGATATGTCGAACGACTCTGCGCCCTGTTCATATTGGCGCGGAATTACCAGGCCAGGAATAGCGTTCACAGTCTTGTTTTCCCAGTAACATGGCTGCTTGAGGTCTGGAAGGAATTTGACAGCTTCAAACTCAAGGCAAGCCGTTCGTATAGAGAACTAGTGGAACCAGTGGGAACTCTTTTGGGACAAATATTCACTGCTGATTCGAGGATTGGTGCATAGTACCTTTTATTCCATTGCCGATATTAACAAGAACTGACCGCACCTCGCATCGATGCGTGGTGGATTAGATTTACCATATTGGATGCCCCGAGAGTTAGAATTCTCTCCTGCCAAAGGAATCGTCATCGCTCGTCTGTGAGTATCATAATGATCTCTGGGTAAATCGGGATATCTGACTTGATTTTACGCTGTAATGTCCAGTTGTCGAGCCTTATGCCTTTGTAGGGCGTTTCAAACTTGTTACCATATGTAGATCCTTTCTGACATTGTTTCTCAGTGGCGTACAACATCCCGGGTGATCCGGTTCTCCAGACAGACGTTCTGGGGGCAGTAAGATCCATTCGTCAAGAAAATCGCATGCTGATCCCCTCGATCTGCCGACCGTAAGTAGGCGTGGACCGAAATTATTTCTCTCACTCTAGATATACAATGCTCATCACTAGTGGTATTAGATGGATCTATTGCACAAGCTGGGACCAGCTAAAGCACATACTTTGGCAAACTAGCACGAATACGGGTCTAGGAGAACTAGTACAACTATGCGATTACGGCCAAGTTCAACAGCACCGATCATCTGCCCTTCCCTTGCGTCGGCTGACTTACAAGGCTCTTGACGACATCCCTCTTCTCATCGACCCTACCTCCGAACTGTCTCGTTTGTCCACCGCCCTGAGTCCGCGCGCTATATCGATGGGCACTGCACTCGATGCGAATTCAGAGATCGACGACTCTCGCTCCCAGGTGGAAATCTCCCACATCGATGGCGCGACTGTGGTGAACGAAACTCTAGAAAGCTCTACCACCAAGATCATCACTCCAACAGCCGAGGAGCAGACGGACGCTCGCCTGATACAGACTCATTGGCGCAGCGCCATGCAGCGCCAGAAGGATCGCGAGGCTACAAAAGGAATCGCTGCGACGAGGGGACGTTTGTTCCTGGAATATTTTTCCCGTTCGAAGGCCATCAATTGGGGAAAACGAAGCGACCGCCATGTCTTCCTAGGGGCGCTTCCGCATATCTTACTCTCGGTCGACTGGGTTATGGAGAGAGCCAAGGAGATGAAAGAGTTGGCGAAGAAGCGCAGGGAAGGTGCCTCGTATAGGGAGTTGGAACAAGCTATGGAGTTGCAGACCAAAGCGAGGCAAGAAGCTATAATCCAGTATACCATGTAGCCGACGAACTGACGATGATTTTCGCGTCCTTGATAGCGGGATCCTCAAATGCAGCAAGAATATACGCGACCTAATCCAGCCTGACGCGACCCAGCATGCTACTGGGGTCTTGGATCTTGTCGCGTTACGGGCTCATTGCGAAGATGTAAAGGGTTTACTGGGGGAGCTTGGGCTGGGATCCAAAGTCCGCAAAGACTTGGACATCGCATACGACATGGTAAATGGTTCATTAGAGCGGGAGGGGCAGAAGGTTGGGATCAGACATGGTCGGAAGATGCAGAGGCCGTTTTTGAACACGGAGGACCTTTGATATCGGTGGTACGGGATTCTGGGTTATCGTGCCGTTTAGTAGTCTTGATTCGGATGGTGTTCGCAATGAGGATTTTGCAGCGTAATGTTGTAGTTGGCTATCTATGTGGTGGTATACGTAGAGGGTGATTGATCATGTTGTGCGTTTTCAAGCTATATTTCTCGCTCTTCCGACACGTATTATCAGTCAGAAACTGGTCTCATAGACGAAACCTTCAGAATGGAGGTAAGCAACATCGATGTTCTACAGACGGCACAAATATCCCTCTATTTGCTTGAACAACTCGTATATGCAAGAAATCACCTCTAAAAAATAGCCACGATTTTGATCTAGTCCAGTTAAATTTTATACATTTTGCATCATCCTTGAAAATCGCTAAATGCCTTCCAGAAGAGATACTGCGGTATAACAGCCTGAAGCAATGTCCTACGAGTCCAGCCATACGACAGTAGACAGCATCGTGCCCGATCCAACCCCTCCGTCCGACGAATTCCGTGGAAAACCTGCTCGGCGATGTTCTGCCGTGACAGACATGGCTGAGCTCTCGAGCTCTCTTTCTGCTGAATCTGTATTTGACGGATGTACTCGAACCGGTATTCGACTCCTGCGGCTCGCCCGCTCTTCGTGATCCGAAGGTGCAGATAATGACGATTTGCTGATCGTTCCTTGAACACTAACAAGAATAATAATAAGGGTTGGGTAAATGCCCTTAGCGTTTCCCAAAGAAACGAAAGGGATCAGCATTGATTCTACGTGATGCACATGGAAAGATCATACGGAAAGGTGCGCGAGAATGGCATTTGTTATGTCTCCTACGGACCATTGAGTATAGCTCCTGAAGAAACTACATATAATAGAGGAGAGCTAGGCAAACAAGGTTACCAATATGTTAGCTTGTGTTAATCTTGCTTCGAGATACGTCTAGTCAAGGAGGAGATATCGCACCACGTATAAAGAGTATAGAAGACCTGACTCTATGAATAGATCCATAATTCGTCCAACGTGAACGGTCTTTTGGTTCCGAAACTTCTTCCTGAGGAACTGGCGATATTTCCTGGTCACGGGAGTGATTTTAAAAGTCCAGCCTGCGTACTGAGTTCAGATCGAACAGCCTGAGGGGAGACACATACCAAACATAGAGGCCGATAATTGACGTGGTGATGACATTCGTGATGAAAGAGATGGCGAATGTTAAAATCTGGATAACCACCAGTGCACTGTTTATTCGGGTTGAATTTGCGCGTGCATCGTCTGTGCCAAACATAATGCTAAGCGTAGCTCTCAAGCAAATGGTGGCGCAAGCCGATGCTGAAGCAGGGCATCAAACATCATATCAATAAAGAAAGAGTAACAGGCGTTGATGAAGTTTCAACATACGTACCTGCGGTTAGGCAGAAGGACGCTATCGCGACGGCGAGAAGTTTCGGGTATTCGTGCCTGCTGATTACTCGCACTCGCCAAACAAGTACTGCGTCTGCAATTACGGTCTTGCAGAGGGTGTCAAGCACGTCAAGACAATAGTATCGTGAGAAAGTCAAAATATATGCACATTGAGTCGTATGACCGCGTTTACTATGTTGGCCCACATTACGAGCCGTGGCTTTTGTTGATCCTTCAGAACGGCCAGCGTATTAGCCAATGCGAGACTCCAGTCGGCTGTTGATAGTACGAACATAGCCCAGATCGAGACCGCCAGTATGAGATTTGCACGAAATTTTAAACCACGCCTGCTATGTTTTCGAGTGTCAGCCATTGACAGACATTCAGTAGAAGGTGTGAACTGACAGCAAAAGTGCGCTGGCAATCGGGACCATGATGACGAAAATACCTAAGGAACGAGACCATCCTAGTCAGCTGACACATCATTATACAGAATCGTCGGAAATGGCACACCATAAACCAAAGATTGGGCCACCATGATGGACATCAAATGGATTACGGTGTCGGTGTGCATCGGGATCCAGCGCGGAGCTCTGAAAGTACCACGGCCTCCGGGGTGAGGGTAATCAAGGGCTTCGCGAGAAGTTGTAAGTATCAACAAAAGTCCACTATGCTGCGATATTTATGCACATATTGGATGAGGGGACCAACGACGAAACGCGGATGATCATGATTTCATCCAGGAATATGTGACAGCGCGCTTGCAGGATGGACTCGGGATGATCATCTTCGCGGAAACTCTGATAGTGTACATCGCCATGTAGAATGGGCCGTGAATGTGATCTTTGCACAGTCACGATCGTGGCTGTTTTGCGAGGCCGTTTGCAATGCTGATGCCTGCTGATAGAATAAGTGGTCACGTCGAGGCTCGAACTCAGAGATTGAGGGAGCATCGAATCGACACAACTGCAGACTGATGACGGGAGCGCACAGCATCATCCTGCAACCTATTCCGATAAAATTAGGGTAACGATAGCTCTTGATACTACTGGAATGGCGTACTGATATTGTATCTTCTAAGGAAAAAGTGCCGAGCGCCACGATGGGCGGCCCGTCCATTGCCTTGAAGTTTCGATTACTGAGTTATGGAAGGAGTACGAAGACCAAGACGACGCATTGTTGGTTGTCCAGCACAAGCTGACGGCGACTAAGATCCTTATTAGGAAGTGAAACGAGTACTATTTAGAGATCCTATCTTCACGGTGTGATATATTGTTATCGCAGCACCGGTTGAACATGATCGGGGCTGTTGTGAACAAAGTATTCGACGCAGTATGGAGGAAAACATCTAAACTTTTATTTAAAAAAAACAAACTGTGCGTCGATGGAACTGTATCAGAGCAATGCATCAAATGTTACGACGACCCCCATAGGTATCACAGGGGGGTGACGGGATATCAAGAGCGGCTCCATACAACCTATCTTTTCCTCACATAGGGTTGGAAAAGTCGTGTATCTTCAGCCCCACTCAAACTGCATCTTCATCAGCACCATTATACAGATGACGATCACCCACAGCTGATATACCATATCTTCTCATCGAACTGTATCTGCGTGCTCCCAGTAAGTCGTACGTCAAACACACTCACGGTGGCAGCGACACTATTAACACCCAGGCCATGAAAGGCGAGCGCTGGGCAGCTCCCGGCAAGGTGAAAATTATCACTATAACGATTGAAAAGGCTCCCGAACGCAACACAGAATAGAAACCTCCAAGCAAGAGAATAGCACATCAGGTGCAGTATCCAAAAGCCTGCGAGAGCATACTGAGGATTGTCCGAAAGGAGTGCGAGCTCGAGCACTGCGCCACATCACTGTTCAAAACTATCAGTGTCTCGAGGCAGTCCACGTTCGGAGATGTCGGTGGATACTGCTTTGACTGTGAATCGTCGCAGTGATCCACGTGCGTCGCCAGAAGATCCCTGCTCGACATCTTGATGAGAATCGCCCAACCACTACTGGGTTCTGTCTGTCGACACTGCTGGGAAGCGTAACTAGCAAGTACTTAACTAGTGCTTGGGCGTGTAAGTGTCACAAAAAGACGCGCAGCAAGACGTACCCAAAGCGTTCGACAAAAGACCGGCCTCAAGCAGGGATTTGTGATATTCATGAAACCGCGATCTGCAAAGAATGACTCGGAGGAACAAAGCTGTTGAGCCCGGTGCCGCCTTAACAACACCACCCGGAGAGTCGGGCCGCCTTCTGGTTGAAATTCAAGATCATTTGGATGCGAGAAAGTAGGCGCTTTGGCTTGCTTTACTACCCTCGTCTGATATCTCACCAAAACCAGAAAAGTATTGGCTACTTTGGCATATACATATCATTCTCCTGAACTTCTGGATGGTTGCTTTGGCTTGAGAAATTTGCCCAATCTTGGCCCAATCTCCCCATACCGATAAACGAACATCATGTCCTCAGCCACTGCATCACTCGATCCTCAGAACATTGTTCACCTCCCTGCCCGGTTTATTTTCCCTGGTACTCGGGCTCCATTGGACAAGTACAAGAAGGCAGATACACCTATTCTCATTGACAACGGCTCCAGCACTTTCCGGTTTGGTTATGCGACTCAGCCATCGCCGAGGACTTCTGCAAACGCTGTGGCAAAGTACAAGGAGAGAAAGTTTGGGAAACAGCTGTTGTTATTTGGAGATGATATCGAGTCGGAGAGTGGAGCAAGGGGGCAGGCCAAGACGCCTTGGGAGGGTGACGTGTTGTTGAACTTCGATGCACTGGTGAGCGTGGCTCTTTGTTTTATGTGACCCGAGTCTAGTATGAAGCGCTGGGGAGTTTTGTTCAATGCCAATGCTCTGTGAAGAGATGTCCCAAAGCACCTCTACCGAGAGGTGATAAGACCCTGGTCTTCCATGTTATTCTGAGGCGCCAACCCACGCATGCTCATGCATGACGGGTGGCGGTGGCCCAGGAATGCATGACATGTAGTCCTAGTCCTCGTCAAACATCCTACACGCCATCGATATTGTTGCATCATGTCCGCTCAGATTTCTGTGTTGCATGAGTTATCTTTGATTGTACGAATATGAGGTAAATTGACCGCATTAGTAGGAGAATGCTCTGGACTATGCTTTCACTCAACTTGCAGTCGACACCCCGACAGTCGATCATCCTGTTATGATGACGGAACGCCTAGCCTCGCCACTGCACTCACGAGCATGTACGTCTCCCGGTGGTTGTTGCAAGTAGCAATACCCGCTTACATTGGTTCTTCTCTCTACAGTAACCTCCGAATTGATGTTCGAATTATACTCCGTCCCATCACTAACATATACGGTCGATTCTGTTATGTCGTTCTACCATAACAACCTCCCAGCACTGTCATCTCCATTCACTTCAGACGGCCTTGTCGTTTCGTTCAATACTGCGTCTACCTCTGTGATTCCTATGTTGAACGGAAAAGGGATTATGAGCCAAGCTAAACGGTTTGTCTCATTTTTAGTACGCTTAATTTCCCATATCTGACCAGCTAATGATTATGCGTATATCAGAATACCGTGGGGTGCCTCCCAGTCCGCCGACTACCTCCTCAAACTCATCCAGCTCAAATACCCCACATTTCCCACACGCGTTCTACCGACTCACACCAATGTATGTCTATCTTGTGGGCTCGCCAGAGATACTCATATGACCCCATCACTAATTCCAGTCATCTTACAGTGGATGCTGCAAAACTTCTGCGAAGTCTCGCCAGATTACACCTCTCTCCTTCGCCGCCTATCCGATCCAGCTCAAATGCGCCTTTCCGAACGAATAGTCCAGTTTCCCTTCGTCCTGCCTGCGGCGGACGAGAAATCGAGTGAAGAGATTGCGAGGGCGGCGGAGAGGAGGAGGGAGCAGGGGAGGAAGTTGCAGGAGTTGGCGGCGAAGGCTAGGTTGGAAAAGGTTTGTTATCATCCTCCGCCCCTCATTGGATGGTATATTCAGAGAACCGAGCTGATTGCTGTGCGATTGTTCTGCTATAGCTTGTGCAGAAAGAGAACGAGCTGCAGTTCTTGACGAACTTGAAGGAGCAGAAGGAGAGTGAGACGAAGAGAGAATGGCAGGTCTGTCAATTCCGCTCCTCGACCTTCTGTGTTTTCGTTCCCTGATGGTTATACTCACTCGGTTGTTAGATCTCACTACAGACTGCAGGCTACGACGACGACGCTGATCTTGACCAGGCCATCAAGAAGCTGGAAACCGATTTGAAGAAAGCGCGTAAGAAGGAAGTCGCAGAGGGCGATGAAGTGGCCGTACGTATAACTTTCCTGACCAGTTCCCACTAGGCTTCGCTATTTACCAGCATTGACTTCTAACCGCTGCATAGGAAGAGCCCACATATCCACTCGTCGATATTCCCGACGCAGATGTAGGCCATCTCTGTATCGCTGTACTTCACTACGTACACACTCATGACTGTTTCTTCTAGCTCGACGAAGAAGGTCTCAAAGAAAAGCGGAAACAAAAGATGATGAAGGCCGGTTTCGAAGCACGTCTCCGCGCCCGTCGCGAGAAGGAGAAAGAACGTGAAGAGCGCGAGGCGGAGGAACGGAAAGAGGAAGAGGAGAGGGAACAAGATTTGGCGGGCTGGGCGGGGAAGCGGAGAAGGGAACATGAGGTGTGTGATTAATCCTCCATCTTTTCCTATGCTATTCCACTGGCGGTGCGCCACAATTGGATTGATAGTGACTGATTGACATTACATCGGTGGTGGTGACGGTGTAGGCACTAATGGCGAAAATCAAGGAGAGGAACCGGAAGAAGGCGGCACTGACAGACAGGAAGAGCGCAGCGTCGCAAGCTAGGATGAAGAATATCGCGAGTTTGGCGGCGGACGACCGTGTGGCGCCGAAGAAGAGGAGAAAGAATGGCGGAGGTGTGTCTTTATCCACACTTTCTTCACATTGCCTGACTCATCTTGGATCTTCCAGAGGATATGTTCGGAGCAGACGATGCGGACTGGGCCATATATCGCAAGATCGTGAGTTCCTCCATGCTCGTTTCCAGGGACATTGTGCTAACATGACAGCGTCTAGAATAACGCAGCAGCCTCCTCGGACGAAGAAGAAGACCTCAATCAGCTCCAATCGGTGGAACAAAAGCTCCTCACCCACGACCCGACATTCCACGACGGTCACACCTACGCCTCTATCACCTCCCAGAAGTCCGCACTTATCGCGGCCTTCAAGCCGCAGTACGAGGACGGCGACGTTGAAGGTAATATAATTTCACATCTTCCGTACCAAAGCTCTAGTTGACCGCTGATGATGGCGTAGGCAATACACGTATACACCTGAGCACGGAACGCTGGCGGGTCTGCGAGACGTGGTTCTCGCCTTCTATGGCTGGCGTTGACTGTGCTGGTCTGGGTGAAGTCCTGCAGAACGTGCTCAACACGTTTACCATCCCGGAGCGGGGAAGACTTGTCCAGGTATATTTTACCTTCCTTTCCCATCCCACCTCCCCTTCGCCCTTCCAAACTGATCACGCTCGCACAATGGTATGGCAGAACGTCTTCCTCACCGGCGCTCCCTCAATGCTCCCCGGCCTTATACCCCGACTCGAATCCACCCTCCGCCCCATCTTACCTCCAGAAACCCCCATCTCGATCATTCGCGCCGACGATCCCTCGCACGACGCGTGGAAAGGAATGGCTGACTTTGCGAACCGGGATCCGGAGGGATTGAAGAAGGTTGGTGTGAGCAAGGCGGAGTACGAGGAGTGGGGAGGGGAGAGGATTAGGAGGTGGTGGGGTGGGAACTGGAATGCGAGTGTTGTGGATGGCTGAGGTTGGCTGAGACGGTGTGCGGTATCTTTCTTGGAGTCTTGTATGTACGGACCTGCTTCTTATAACTTGGCAGGTGAATTGAACGAAAAATGAAGGTGAGAATGTAAGAGGAAAATCATATTCGGATGGTTGAATTCGAACTTGTGTGGGCCACCTTCGCACGCCACATACGCGTCGCGTCGCGTGCAACCCTAAGACGCGCAGGTGGCTGTGCTAAGTGCCCTCTGCCGCCACCCAAATCGGAATCCAGGTCGTACTTGTCTCCTCCTTGTTCTTGACTTCCCCATCACAACAGAGCAGAGCCGTTGTATCCACATTGGCTGGCTCCTCTATCAAACTTTCTATATCAGCGCATACTAGTCTACAAGGTCTTCACCTTCAACCTCGACGATCACGACGGCGACCGCAACGTACCCATCGAATTTTCCTGGTTTTTTTGTATCCTCACCCTTCATACGTTGTTCGCACCTGCAGAATGTTGGCTACTTCTCCTGTTGTATTCTGTGATGCTCTGCAGGGATTTGATGCACAGAATCTTCACAGCGAGGAAGCAGTTGACGTTGCTCTAGGACGCCTGGATACATCATTAACCAATGGTCTGCTTAATCACAAAACTTTCTTGGAAGAAGCCTTACAGCAGGGGTACCGACTGGAGTTCATATTGTCTGGTATGTCATATGTTTTTGATTTTATTAGTAGTCAACTCATGTGTGCCCTAGCTCTTCCTGAGTCGGCATACACGATTTTGACCAGTTGGATACTGGGACAATGTACTACCGTTCTTGCCAAGTACTCTGCATCTTCGATTTCCTCGACACTTTTGAAAACCATGTCCGACTCTTTACTTTTCCTTCCGTACCCCGATGCCGAACTCGAACCTGCAAACCTTCGAGAACACCATCGTACCGTTCGGGACTCACAGCCCGCCCTCGGAGTCCTGCTGGCCATGCAACTTTCTCCGTCCTTTTCGAGGAGCGAACCTACTAGCGTGTCCATTGAAGAGGACCTCCCTCCTGGCTTTAAGGTCAAGGGCACTCAAGCCACGCGGAAGCACGCACGAAAAGAGAGCCGAGTCAAGCAGATGATCGACGATACCCCGTTGAAGGCCGTGTGCCCCTTCATTCCGACTACTCGTGAGGAGGTTGATTTCTTGGGAGAGACTCTGTTGATTGAACAGAAGAAAATCCTCGAGGTCTATTTCATTACCACCTAGAACATATTGAATGTTACTGATTGACCGTTGATTCTAGTACTTCTTGGATATATTCCGTCGTCCAAACCTCATCCCCGTGTTCAAGAATGTGTTTCTACCGCGTCTGAATGCGGTAGCCGCATCCTCAGAAATGTCGGATGAGACGGAGGCGTCTGAGTTCCCTTCAATCTCAGAGGAAGCACTGCCCGCAGAGCCCTCTTCTGCATTCCCCATGGTGCAGCCTATGAAAGCAGCACTTTACTTCGACAGTGCTGATGGCTTTGGAGAGTGGCGAATTCTGATCTCAACGCGAGCTGATAGGAACCTGCGGGAGGCTAGAAACAAAGACGCCAATTCTTTCAGGATCTACCTGAAGAAGATCAAGTATGTATTCATCTCATTAGACTTCGACATTTGACCAATGTGATGGTATCAACAGGGAGCTTTCGAACGGTCATTTCTCAGATGATAACCAGAAACGCTTGACAGGAGTCAACATTCCGGTACCCATCTATGAAGCAAAGATGACGCGTGATTCTCGCTTGGTGGTATGCCCTTGTTTTGTGCGTTGAAGGCTTCACGGTCGCTGACTTACTTAACATTCAGTACCAAATCGACTGCATCCCTGAGTTCGATGGTAGCCATGTCCGTCACCAATTCTTGACTTATTTGCTGTTTATGTGCTGATATGTTTGTCCCCTCAGGTTGAACATCAAGGTAACCACAGTATTCCACCACGTCTCATTCTCAACCAACTTATGTTGCATGCCCAGTAATTCGAGTATTCGGGATATACACCCATGCTCAACTCGACAAGCGTTTCTGGGACTCTATGGGTTTCCAGCTCGCTAGACGAGGGAAGGAGTACAGAGATCGGTGCGTGAACAACTCATGTCACTATGTTTTGCAATTTACTGAGACATACCATCTAGCTGTACGTTTCGCCAAGACCCTTACCACAAGGGAGACAATGTCTACCCGCCAGCTTCATTCCCTCCGACCCCGATTATGGATCTTGAGGAGACCGCTAGCGATGCTGCTGACATGCGGAACGAGGACTTGGAAGAGGTGTGCTGCGCTTCTGACTTCTTTCTGTATCCCACACTTACATTCTCCTCTCCTCAAGCTCCATGCCTTACTTGTGTATGTGTCTTTACTTGGCTGAGATGACACTTCTAAATTTCCGTATTTTGTTCTCCTTTAGCCTCGAGAAGTTCGTGACGTTCTCGCAGGTAAGCCGCCGTCCTCTCCTATATCAGTCTTGACATTCTAACTGACGTTGCTATTTGTACGCGTTCGGTGGCACCGCCCATCTTCAGGCCCTCCTCAGTAGTAAGTTCATTGCAATAATGTTCGATAGAAGGTGTCTTGACCTCTACGCCAGGCATTATCGCGGATCAGGATGCTTCCCACGTGTTCCACGTCTCGTGCGTCGAATGCATCTGTTGCAATTTCCCAATCCTCTAACAAACCGATCCATACATGTAGACCCCAGGAGCAGGAGATCATCGAGCACAGTTACTCCTGCTACGTCCAAGGTCGTAGCGGTACCGGGTGAGTTACAGCCGATAATTTTACACTTTAGCATCTAATGCCGCACCCAGCAAAACCACGACCATGCTCTTCAAGATGCTCGGCATCGAAAACTCCTGGCAACAATCGACCCCCGAATCCTCTGGCCTCGCTCGCCCACGCCAACTCTTCGTGACTCAGTCCCGCGTCCTTGCTGACAGAGTCGAAGATTACTTCACGAAACTTCTGGAATCGTTGGCAATGGAGTCGCGCACGACGGCCGATATATCAAAGCTCTTGGAGAGGAAGAAAAATAGGGAGGAGGCAGGTCTGGTGGATCGGGAGGAGGCTGTACAGTGGAGGGAGGATTTACCGAGGCATTTCAAGGACCTGAACGACGGTCATTTCCCTATGTTCATCACTTTTGACAAGGTGCGTGATCGAGGTGGTGGTATCACTAGGACTTGCTGACCGTGGTAGTCGCGGATAGTTGTCGAGCATGCTGGAAGCCGAGAAGGAGGACGGCGGCAAGAGGCAAAACAGCCTGAACGTGACGGATGCTCTGAGCAGCCCCACAGTTGAATTGTTCCTCCGAAATGTAAATGAACCGGTGAGCGATTACATGCAACGAGAGCGTGATCGCTTCGTGTCGTACAGGGTCTTTATGGAACACTATTGGCCGCATCTTCCACAACCACTGACCAAGGGGTTAGGTCTGTTTCCTGCCATCGCGTCGAAATTCGTGCAGGTCTCTTACAGCAGCTGTTGCAGATCCTTCACTGGTTTTCAGCGAGTTCATGGGTGTGATCAAAGGTTCAGAACAGACTCTCAAGACTGAGGGTCACATCCTGGACCGCGCTACTTACATGACCCTCAGTCATCGAACTCAATCGACGTTCTCCTCGAAGCGTGAGGAGATCTACAACCTCTTCCAAGCTTACTTGCGCATGAAGCGGAAGAGGGGAGAGTATGATGCCGCTGATCGGTGAGTTGAGGGTCTTGAATGATATTCAATTACTATTGACCTAACACCTCAATAGCACACATGCTATACTAGACGAACTGAGTAACGGAACGCCTGGACAAAAGCTGGATTTCCTGTGAGTTTATCTCTTGGGTCAACATATGAACCCGATCGCTGAATTTCTGGATTGCTAGCTACGTTGACGAAGTTCAAGACAACCTTTTGATCGACAGCAAATGTAAGCACATCACAAAGTCTCTTTCCCGCTTGTTACACTTACGGATCCGCACCACAGTACTCAGACTTCTATGCCGCAATCCTGACGGCTTGTTCTGGGCGGGGGACACTGCTCAAACCATCTCCGTCGGTAGCTCGTTCCGTTTCGACGATCTCAAGAGTTTCCTCCACAGAATTGAGGTTCGACTTCTCTAGCCTCGATCCCGCCATCTGTAGCTAAATTATGGTTCCTGACTCGCCTAGGAGGCCCTTAAATCCCGTGACATCCAAAAAAGAGCCTCACAGGAACCCAAATCCTTCCATTTGCTAACAAACTACCGGTCTCATGGCGGGATCGTCAAATGCGCTCATTCCGTCGTGCAGTTGATCACAAATTTTTGGCCGTACTCAATCGATGCGCTTGCGGAAGAGAAGGGTATTGTCGACGGGATTCAGCCTGTCTTCTTCAGTGGCTGGGACCAAGACAACGTGCGATACGAGTCCTTTCTGTTTGGCTCTGCGTAGGTCTCGTCCATATGAATCAGTACTCCCCAATGGTCTGATGATGTTCGTATCAGTGGGAGCCACATCGAGTTCGGTGCCCAGCAATGCATTCTCGTGCGCAATGACGCCGCTCGGGACAAGCTTCGCGAGCAAGTGGGAGATATTGGTCTCATCATGTGCGTCTCCATGTACGATATTTTCTCGTTCTGAGACTGACCCCACACATCGCACAGGACCCTCTATGAGAGCAAAGGATTAGAGTTCAATGATGTGCGAATAGTTCCCTTTTTGTACGCCATGCACACCTGACATTCATCCCACAGGTCTTGCTGTACAACTTCTTCGAAGACTCAACGGTCGATATCTCTCAGTGGCGCGTCGTACTTAACGCTGTGGCCCAGGCGCACCGTAACACGATTCAAGCACCGTCATTCGATGACACCAAGCATGCTGGAGTGTGCAGTGAGGTACGCTTCGTGTTAGTTCATTGAAGATTCAAGTCACTCAGAACGACGATCCAGTTGAAGTTCCTATACGTAGCGATCACACGAGCACGAAAGAATCTCTGGATCGTCGATCGCTCTGAACGCGGGGAGTCAATGCGAGTAAGTGCTCAAGGATTTCTCCCGAACAACCGACATACTCATATTAGCCATAGATGTACTGGACTGCCAAAAACCTAGTCCAGAACTGCAATCCCGAAACTGACATGCCGCACCTCGCCGCCACTTCGACACCGGAGGAATGGAGCGAAATGGCCGTTAAGCTCTTCGAGAACAAGCGATATTTCCAAGCGATGCATTGTTTCGAGCGTGCCGACAAGAAAAGGGAGACTCGGGTGGCGTACGCCTACTATCTTCGTGAACAAGCTCGTGGTATGCGCTCCGATACCCGCACGACCCACAAGGCGTATAACGAGGCTTACATCGCCACTGCGCAAGCATTCATGCGTTGTGGCCATGAAGCTGTCAAAGAACGAAGTGAATACTTCCGCATCGCCGGCAAGTCCTATCTGACCGTCGAGGATATTCCGAAGGCGGCGGAGGCATATGTCCTGTCGGGAGATTTTACGCAGGGTGCTTTGCTCTATCGAAAGGCGGGAATGTTCGAGCAGGCCGTTACCTTGCTGCGAGGTCACAAAAAAGAGGTGGATACCGCTGTGGCGGAGCGTATCATGAATGTCTCCCGGTTGCACTACTTCAACAAGAACAACTTCAAGTATGTCTTCCTCGTGCCACTTACACGCACAACACTGATTTAGCTTGCGTAGGGGCGCACCGACCGGTCTCTTTGAGAGCGTGGAAGAAAAGCTTGAGTTCCTGGAAGACTATGACCTCGACATCGCCCGCGCCGATGTTCTTCTGGAGGCTGGGAAGTATGAAGAAGCCGCTAATATCTATCTCGAGGAGGGCCGTACCTTCGATGCCATTCGAGCGTTCATTAAAGACGATGGTCCAGATCTGAGCTTAAGGCGGCGAGCAAAGGATTGTGCGATGGACGAACTCCGGAGATGCTTATCGTTCGGTATTCGGCCGGAGGAGGAATCCGAAGAAATGCGAACGACGATGTCCGATCTATTCAGGCTCGTCAGCCAAGTCAACAATGTTGTCGCAAGGCACGAGCGTCCAGAGGTCTGTACTGCCTAATCGACTCTATGACAATCAATTGACTGACTAGCCTTGTACGACAGCTCATGGTACTCCACTCCATTGAGGACGGACATACGGATCAGCTCAAGCGACTGGGCCTGCATCTCTTCAAGGAGAAAGACTGCCGGAATTCGACGGCCTTGCTGGCCTTGGACCGGTACTTCGACGATCTCGGAACAATGGAGATGAAAACGAAGCTCCAGATCAAGGATATATTGCACGTCCTGCACGTCTACGCAGGGCTCATTCAAAATATCATGGCCACGACTGCCCCAGCTCAGGACAAGGACCTCCAACTTCTATTCGCCTTCAAACTCATTTCCGCCGAACAAATCGCTCTTTTGGACCATACTTGGCTCTACCGTACACACGAACGATTCGCTGTGGCTACTACCGAGGAGGCCATACTTTCCCCTCAGATGTTTACCACATTGCTGCGCCACGCTCTAGCCGAACGACTGAGAGACAGGCTTTTACTCTGGAGCAAGCGGTTGCTTTCATCCACTGTCTTCGATCCTTGCATAGTACATGCATGCACCGGAAATTGCAAGATACCGGGCTGTTCACGTCAGCACACCATTAGCGTAGACATCTACAATGAGCGAATTTCGGTCATATTGGACCAAATCCTCCTACTCCAAGTTGTCTCAAACCTACCTCCTGATGGTCTGGCGACCGAAGTCAAAATGTACGCTTGACTCTCTTCGTATAAGTTTATGTTCATTAACATGTTTGTGCAGTCAATGGCTCGATCGTCTCTATGATGTCCTGAATCCACCGTCGTACATGCTGGGATCCATAGCCAACCTGAGAGACAAGACCTCCACGGTCTATCATCGTGGACTCGTTGTGGTCAGGGAATGGATTAGAGAAGCTTTCTATCTCCTCGAACCCGACGAGTGGGAGGGCTATTTCCTCACACTATTCCTGAAGAATGCCTTCCTTGGATTCAGCATTGACAAGGCTCAAATCAAGACCTACATCAATCAAACCCGCTGTGTCACCGTCTACAGACCTCAAAATCTTCTTCGCACTCTTGGTCGGGAGAAATATTATGTGATCCATGAGTTGGTTTCGCTCATGAGAGCAGAGTCACGTCTAAGTTTGAACCATGGTGTTCTGTTTATACGGTACGTTCTCTGCTACTAGAGATCCCCCCCACAAGTTTCTCTGACCTCATCTGCTTTAGCCATATTTTGGGACAGTCAGTGAAGATTGACGTCGTAGCGCTATGTCACATATTGGATCGACTATGTGGATCTTTCATCATCGCGAAATCGTTCGAGCACCGAAAGGTTGGGTTCCATGATATTATTTTACCTCGGAGCTGGGTTGCGGATTTGGTAGACGGAAACGGACTCCTTTTCAAAGATACGGGCATGCTGGACCTCTTCGTCCCGATATTCCGTAATCTGTTACAGCAACTGTACACAGGTGGAGACACCTCGGGTGAGCTTGGCTTATATCTTGAACCGCTTAACTACCAAATTTGCTGACACTGAATGACCGTTGGTAGATTATCTGCTCTACGAAGGCAAGGGCATCCAGCACGCTTCGATGGAAGCGCGACATGTGTTGATCGCTCAATTGTGAGTTTATCTCCTTCTATGATGACCTTTCTGCGTTGACGCAATGAATTTGTTCAGGTGTCGTAACATGGCTTTGCGTGCGTATAGCCTTCATGATCCCTTGCGACAATCCGGCCTCTAATGTCTGTCTAGTCGGAAACAACCTGGGAGTCAAGATCCCCGTGATGAGGATCCAAATTCTCCAAAGTCTGAATGCACTCAGAGCTCCCGACCGTCAGTTTCCCGAGAGTTATCGAAAGTCAGTCATACACCCCCTCCCATACGCATCCCCGACTTAATTATGGCACAATACCTGCATAGCTTCGTGCAAGCAGCCATTTGGTCCAATGTCTATCAGGCTCTGCTCACCTCGTCGGCAAAGCTCGAGATGGATGAACTAGTCCACTTGGTCTCCAAAGGAAAGAAATTCATCAAAATCCGTGACACTCGGCGGATCTTCTTCCACACTATGCCCGATATCGTAAGGACCCTTGACGAGGTAAGGAACAAGGCCTCCGCGATTGCTTTGAACCCGCTCGCACAGAACTTCGTACCCAGCCCAAGCATCCTCCTAGCGGAAAGGGCGAAAGCAGGTGGTGGGGGTGCAGATGACGAGGATGACGACGACGATGAGGCTGAAGCCGAAGGAGAGGAAGATTTAGATGCAGATGACGAACCCCAGAACTCAGAATTGGTCGAGAGCCCAACTACCGACATAAACGCCCTCATTAAGTCGAACAGTGGTGGAGACGCAGTCACAGTCGCGGACCCTGAGACGATCAAGCAGCAGAAGGCCGCTGCCGAAGTTATGTGGTCGTACTATGAACGCATCCGTCGTGGCCGACACGCTGAGCTTGCACCAATCCCAGCAGCACGGCAACGTTTCTTCGGCCAATGTCTCGAGCGCTCGAAGATGATCCAGTGGGCGAATACCTCTCATTATCGCTATGTCTTCTTGGGACCTTTGCCACATCTGTTGGCCTGTTTGGAGTGGTCGCAGAAGGAGTTGGTGGTAGAGAAGAAGAAGGTCCAGAAACAGCTTAAGGATCCGAACGTCAAGCATCAAGAGTACGACGACGTGATGGATCGTCAGCACAAGCTAAAGTGGGTCTGAATGTCAGCTTTTTTTTTATCCTAGTGCATCCCTGACTTGTTCGACTTGCGTAGGGATTTACTTCGGCAGATAGAAGCTGCGCTCAAGGCTCTTGACCCCACCAACTCGACGTCGTCTATCCATGACCGGAAAGAAGTGAACGAACTGAAGAAACACGTCACACAGCTCAACGACGTGCTACAGCAGATTCCTTCTTCAAAGAACTGTGACGACCTCCAAGATGAGTTCCAGCTAGCGTGGGCAGGTATCGTGAAGGAGAGGAAACAACCAGTGGCGAAGAATGAGAAGCCGACCTTAAACACGGAGGACCTTGATTGAGCGGTAAGGTCGGACGGGGTGTCTACGGTTGAGTCAACATCTGGTATCTCTCGTCGAAGTATTTCCCCCTGCATGTCGTTGTCTTGCCAAGCGTACCTATGTGACACCCGCACTTTTTTTTCCTCTAATTTTTTCTGTTTTTCGTTGCGATATTCGCTCCCAACCTTGACATGCACTGTAATGCGATCAGCCCTATCCATCCTGTATCCGAAATCTACCTCTCGCCTTTCTTCTTCAGTTTGTGTACACCATACAGCCTTCCTACTCCTTAGACTCAATGTCGACGTATCGTTTTGTCACTTTTTTTGTAGCATGTACCCTGGTCTGTCTCTATCATTTGCTAACATTTTGTCAAAATTTTCCCTGTTTTTGTCGCTATACGTCACATATTCATCGCTCCGTACTGTAGTCCGTAAACGAGTTCGTGTATGCGCGTGAATAGTCGTAATCACGTGAAGTCGTAGGAGAACAACCAAAGATCAAGTACATCATTCGCCGAGGAATGCTTGTGCCTGTAGTCTCCATAGCCTAGCGTATTCCCCGCCGTGCTTCAGCAGCCCATCGTGAGTACCCGTCTCTACGATGACGGAGTCGTTCATGTACCTGTACCAAACGTCAGTCTCCATAGATTCATGCTTTCAGGAGATGGGTAAAACGTACAGGATGAGGTCCGCATGGCGCGTGAGGTTTCCAAAACGATGAGTGGAAAACACCATCGTCTTGTTTCCGCGCAATTCTCGTAGACGGGCAAAAAGGTCTGGAAAGCAATATAGTCAGTCAAGGAAATACGACTGAGACTAGCTAGGTCGACCTACCATGCTCTGCCGTGGGATCTAAACTCGCACTCGGTTCATCAAACAACAACAACCCAACTTTTTGCTCCTCCGAACTGCTCCTCATGAACGTTCTCGCTACCGCCAGCCTCTGCATCTGTCCTCCGCTCAAACTGACCTTATTCGGCGCCTCTCCCCCACCGTCTCCGCCTCCCATGTTCCCCCTGATATTGCCAAAATCAACGGATCGGCCAAAGAGGGTCTTGGTTCCCTCGGGAAGACCGGAATAGATGTCGCGGACGGGTCGTTCGAGGTAGGTATCGAAACCTTGGGGGAGACGATCGATGATTTCTTCGGCACCGCCGAGGCGTGCGGCGAGACGGATACGTTCGTCGTCTTGGGCGTTGTCTGGGTCTCCGAGAGCTATGTTTTCTCTGATCTATTGAAGAACGTCAATGGACAGGGACTAGATAAGTGCGCATGGAAGTATACATACAGAGAGAGGGAAGTGAGTATAATCTTGGAAGAGGAGTGCCATTGCTCTTCTGAGATCGACCAATTTGAGGGTCTTGATGTCTTTTTCGTCGATGAGGATTTCACCTTCGGTGGCGTCGTAGACTCGGGAGATGAGCTTCAGAATGGTACTTTTACCAGAACCATTGGTTCCAACAATGACCTGTATAATAACATTGGTGAGTAGAGCTGGGCGCTAGGTGGTATGGATGATTCGCTTACACAGAGCTGACCACGTTCGATCTTGAACGAGACATTGCGGACGGCGTATACTGGACTGCCTGGGTACTTGAATGAGACATCTCTGATGTGAAAGTGCATAGTTAGCATCGGGCCGAAACTTTAGTCTATCTGTGAGGGTCACCTGAACTCCAGAGCGATCCCACTCTTCACGCTCTGCTCGTCTTCAGGATACGGAACAGTTCCGTCTTCTATCCTATTTTGGATATTCTCTGCCTCGTAAAGTCTTCGCAGGTTCGCGAGCCTCTCGCTCACCGACCCCACCTCTCTCACGAACCACGAGATGGTATGGGAGAAACTTTGGGCGGTTTGTTGGATTAGGTTGAGGGAGGCGAGGGAGACTGGGATTGAGGAAGGATATTGGACAGCTCGAAGTGTGAACACGATCTGTTGGCTTGTGGTTAATATCCTTTTATTATATGTAGGCTGTGGGCGTTACATGCCTGGGGTAACTCGTCGATTGGTCCACTAAGAAGGGAGAACAGTGACTGTGATTTCCAGTCATTGTAGAGGCTCCAGAAATCGCCTGCGCGATTACCAAGTTTAACCGTTAGTTCGCGATACTCTGCAAACGGCAAGGTGAAAAATGTCAGTATCAATTTGAGGCTTTTATGAGGGCTCAAAACAGGACATACGGTTCGTGAGATATTCGGAGAAGTTGCCAGCGACGATCTCCTTGCGGTGTGTCTCATTACTCACAAGGCGTTTCATAGCCTCCATCCGCATAAAGTCCTCGTCGAAAGTAGTTGCGGCCCATACTACAGATAAATGTACATCAGCCGCATCTTCTGAGTTCGCACAACATATTCGCGCTTACCACCTGACGATCCACCGATGTGTGCCCCTCCCTTTGCCCACCAGAAGAGATGCTCACTCAAAGATAACACCGCCAATAGCGGGCCATCCCTCTGGTTCCTCAACACACCCGCCAGCACCGCGGCCTGACCAACAAGCTTCACGATCGTCCCCAACAGCGTCGACATACTACTCAACGCGCTCCACGGTACACTATACCTATCCGTCGGCACTATCGCATCGATTTGACGAGCAACGTTGGGGTCCTCGGAGGTGGGTACGTCTAGCCGGATCATGGATTTGAAGATATGGACAGAATAGAACCGTTTGATGTGGCCATTGAGAGTGGTGGATATGCGCCAGCCGAAGTGGTGTAGGAGACGGGTGAGGACAGTGCAGAGGATGCGACCTGCGGCGACACGGAAGAGGAGGTTTTTGTCGACTTGGCGGGAGTCAACGGCGGTTTGGACCTGTAGCAGGGTGATACCGTTAGCAGTTGGTCGTGTAGATGCGGTGAGACGAAACTAACGATTTTGAGAAGCTGGCCCGAGAACCTGTGTATGAGCTGTGAGTCTTAGTCGAACAGACCGGGGATGTATCGATATGTAGAAAGAGAAGGCAAAAAGAAACGAAGTACTGGAAAATCCTCAGACCTCCAGCTCTAGGCATGAAGCACAATTTGTGTCACTGGGTGGCTCATTTTGTCAGGAAGAGCGTAAACAGGCACCAGCTGCTCAATATCGATGCATTTCGATGGTTCATAAACAACCGCAGATGTCTAGGTTATGATCGCCCTTAAACATTAGTCTGTCTGTCGTGGGTCGTGCATGTCGATGTGGCCCATCCTACTGTCCTTCGGCCTAGCTCGAACAGTCAACTCACAGCCAAGCAGCGAGGTTTGAAGAGATGGAATTGGGGAGTATCCTTCCTCAGAAGAAGTGAAGTTCTATATGACGGGCGTTGAACGACATGCGTATATGTATACTGTGTGGGCCACACCGCGCCACCCACCACGTAGCACCCATGTAGTCAACATTGTCTTGACCATAGGCCCTGAATACGGTGAAGACAAACGGCTCCAATTCGTAGTCATAACCAGTCCCAGCCTTTCATTCGTTACTTGACCCAAGCCTTCCATGTCTCCAAACTCGCCACCCATACCAAACCATGCCCAACGAAACAGAACTCACCAAAGCGTCACGGCTGGCATCAAACTCTGCCCAAGAATGATGAACCCATAAAGGATCAACAAAGTCCAACAATCCGCCCTGCCCACGTCCTGAATCGTCCTCCAAAGGTACGGCAAATCCTGGAACATCTGAGCCCACTCCTCCAATACCGGCGCGCCTGGCACATATTGCAGCTTCGGCTCCTTCTGCACGTAGAGATCCCATACGCCTATCTGGTGGTGTTCGACATTCTTCGTATCGGTAGGGTCAAAGGTGCCTTTCCGATTTGAACGAGCTTTGTTTCGTTTTGGTCCGCGTCCCATTGGTGGTGGTCCGCCTCCAGGAGGTCCTCCGGGTCCGCGCATGTTTTGAACTTGAATGTTGTGGCGAAAGGCGTGTGGCGCAGAGGTTCGAACGCTCTCCGACTGTTTTGCTGAGCGATGGGGGTGAGGAAGAAGGATGTCAGACTCGTTGGTTTAGATGGCATTATCGTTGTTTATAGCGAGTAGAGTTTGAGTCTTCTTGAGTCATAGTCTACATACTCCACGGCTGCGCACTGACATGAGCTCGACGCGCAGTGCGTCGAAGACATCAGGAAGCTGGCGCGCAGTTTCAGAAATTAAGAGCCTCACATCAGGAAGGAACATCCAAGGAACGTGTACATCAGGTGTTATTTATAACTATCGGGAATTGCTGGCAGTAGTCTTTCGAGTTCATGAAAGGGGAAAGCCAGGCGCACACATGTTCTTGACATCTATGATATCGACCAGCGGAAACATTCACGTGGTTTTCGTCTCAGTTGGAACATGGCCCTCCCCACTCATCCTTCAGAGCAGGGTCGAACATGCCACAATACCAATGAGCGTTGTAACGCCAAACAGAAAGTGGATCATCACCATAACAAACAACAGAGAAAACTACAACGAAACCTCAACATCCAGCCTCGCTAGATAATTATACACATCCGGCGACAGCCTGTACTTCAAGAAGCCAGCGAACATGATCACCGATTTCGATTTCTTCCTCAAAGTAGCTAACGTCTGTGTGACCACCATGCCAGTCAGTTTCGGACAACACGTCAAGTAGTACATCAGGAGATGTTAAGGAAGTGTGAGAGTAAGAGTAAGGAGGAAGACGTACCGCCTGTCGCGCCGAATCCGGTGCGTTCGACGTCTTGATCTTGCGGTATACCGAGACGACACAGTCCATAACGAGCGGCAAGAACATCTCGATATTCCTCTGGAGAGACTCGTGCTGGTTCTTGAACTCGTCCGCTTTCTTGTTGATCTTGCCGACATCGCCGTCGAGCGTGACGATCTCCGTACTCTCCAGGAGCTATTCAAACACCAATTCTCCGCATTCAGTATCAGAAACACGATGAGAAATGGAATGAGAACATACCTCCAACGCCAAATCCACCCTCCCCTCCTCTTTATACCCCATCGCCTCCCTAATCTTCAACAGTTTCTCCACCGCCTCCCTACACTGTCCCGCCCCCCTATTCATCCTCACATAATGCCTCACAATCTCCCTCGCCGTCCCCTCCACCGCCTTCCCTCTCTCGCCCCCCGCGTTCGGCTGCCCGATGGACGCACCGAGCGCCTGTGCGAGACACGCGACGACGGTGTCGTAGTCGCCCGCGAGGTTGTAGAGCTTGATGGCCTCGAGGGGCCGGTCAGAGGAGGAGGAGTGTTGAGCGGCGGGGATGAGGATTTGGGCGTTGAAGGATTCGGCGGAGGGGAGTTTGAGAAGTGGGGCGAAGTGTTCGATCACGCCGCTCTGATTTGTGCATAACATTACCGTCAGAGAACCGGATGCGCTTACAAGTTTGACGCGCAAGGGGACTCACGAATTTATTACCGTCGGTCCTGAACCCACCGACGAGTTCGTCCCACGCAGGTCCTGCATTTGCAAGGGTGATGATCCGCCGGACCATCTCCCATGCCTGCTCGACCTGCTCCTCGCCTACGCCAGGTTGATCGGCGTTCAGCGTGACGGTGTAGACGTATTGGAGCGCTTCTTTGCCGTCCATTTTGACGAATTGGCGAACGTAGCGCCAGATGAGCGTGGGGAGGTTGAGTGCCACTTGGCCGTTGGGGAGGAAGGAGACTGTTTGTTTTATGGGTGAGTACTTCGAGGTGCAACAGGGAGTGGAGAAAGTGGAGACGTACGTGTTAGTTCTGCGGTGTCCGTTCGAGAAGGAACACGGAGGAGGCCGTGATATGAGAGAGCGATAGCCATATGGACCGCCTCGATCTCCGTTTCTGGATGGTCCCAGAGCGCAGCGACAGCCTACACCAAAGCAACAGATAAGGGAAAATGTCGACACAGCCTGCACAAAGATCGCAAACAAACCCTTTCGAACTGTCCGGTCATCAACAAGACACTCGCCCACAACCCTGTCCTGCCCTTCGCCTGGGCCTGTCCCTCCGCCCCCGCACTCGCCCCCCCACCTTCGAAATACCTCTCTCCGTACCCCATCAATACCTCGCCCAACGAGTTCAATCCCGATCCTTCCTCATCTTCGTCCAGCATCGAAAGCTGGAACCAGAGCCAGTCTTCGGTCGTTGCGGTGACGAGGGGGACGGATCTGCGTGAGGGGTCGAGACGGCCCATGAGTTTGTAGAGGGCGAGTTTGAACGGGTCGACGGTGGAGGAGTGGAGGAGATGGGCATTGTAAATCGATTGGATATGGTCTCGGTGAGGTTTCGGTAGCCTACAGTGACAATAGTCATTAAACAGGAGGAAAAATCAAATAGGAAGAAGACGCACCGTCTATCAGGCGACTCGATCCACGTCCTAAAATGCATCACAAAGCTATCCTCCCTATGTTCAATAGCAGCCTGATGCTGCACCGCCTCCCTCAACGCCTCATCCCCGTACCCCGTCCTCACCAAATAAAACAACTTCGCCCACAACGGCTGGCCCGCCACCAGCTCGATCCTCTCCTGCCACTCCCCGCCCCTATAGAACCGGACCAACAGGAAAGCGCGGACCTTATTTGAGACGCTCGGGTCGCCACCGAGCCTGGCCTCGGTGGGGCGGGAGTGCACGGTGCGTTCGAGGACGTCGAAGTATTGCTCTTCGAGGGCTTCGCGGGAGCCTTTGGCGATTTGACGCCGGAGGTCGAGGGCGTCGCGGGAGGAGGGGTCGTTGAGGTAGGCGCGGGCGTGTTTGCGCTCGAAAAGGGGTGCGTTGAGGATGTGGGCGGAGGAGTGGGAGAGAGGGGGGATGGAGGGGGGTTCAGAGGTGATTTTGGAGAGGAGGTGGAAGAGCTGGGACATTGGGTTCGTGCGCTGGTTGAATATGAATGAGTGACGCGTTTTTTCGACGGAAATTGGAAGGGGCTGAGACAAGAACTTACGTCTGGGTGGAGAGCAAGAGAGGAATGGAGGAGGGCGTGGATGATTGGGTAGGAGACGCCACGGAGGCGGGCTTGGTTCAACTCGGTGATGGGGCGGTCGTAGGCCATCATTTTACTTTGCATTTGGAGGCTTGGGCTGGGGCCTGTGCTCATCTATGAACAGGAGGATGGAGTATGTCAGGGACCATTTGTGTTGGCAAACACAAGGGTGCAGTAGGGTGGCGTAATTTTCATTACAGCGATAACGTCTGAAAACACGTACTGCAAATGCGCTCTTGCCCGAATGACTCTTCCTGTACTGTGCCACGGCCGGGTTATCACCACCGACGCGTCCTCCAAGCTCCTCGAAGACCCTCTTCTTTCTTGTCTCCCAGTCTTGCCTTGACCGATCCTCCAGCACGCGGTAGAAGTCTTCCTGAGTCTCTCGCCGCGCCTCTTCGATCGTGGATATGATGTTTTGTTCGTGCGCATGGCGGAGGTAGCTTGCAATGTCGGTGTCTTGGAGAGGTCGTAGTGGAGAGAAAGTCGTTGATGTGTTCAGTTGGGTTATGGCGTTTGCTAGTGCTGGGGCATCAACATGTGCTTGTGCGAGCAGGTAATTTCTGAGACACAGTGTTCGAGTTCAATCAAGAGTACAAGATACTGGATTATGCTAAACGTACGCGCGTCCAGAATCTGTCGCAGCTCCGGGTTGACGAGAAACGAGTCGTCGTGACTGGGCCTCAATTTGATCTAGAGAAAGGTTGAGTTGTGGGAGATCTGGCCGAGACAGGTGCGACGTGAGCGCTTTCGACGAGGTCAGCAACGAGGCAAGCGAATCGGCAGCCATTTTTGCTTTCGATACAACAGAATATCTCCAGAGAAGTGGCGGTCAGAAGAAGAGAACAAGGAGAACGCGAACCGTGTCAAATTCGAACAACGACGCGCGCACGGCATCTGCCGAATGATGACAGGGGCTTGACCGTGAACTCGAAGTTCACCGCCAGCAACGTCTCTCATTACACTCACCACCACTACCTTGGTCTTTCTCTTTGGCTCCTGTCCTTACTCCTCATGACATCTCAATCAAAGTTCGCTCTATCACGGTTGCTTGAGCGTTTTGACGCGACTATAGCCGAACGTGATACGCTACCTCTGCAGTCTCTAAAAGAAGCAGCTGTAGCAAATAGACATCGGTTGGAACTCGAGCTACGGAATGCCTTGGCCGCTTGTGATGAGGCACGCTCTCAGGCATCAGGATTCTCTCTGAAACTTCGGGCATCTATAAAGCAGGTCTCGGAATTGGAGAATAAGCTTTCCGAGCTGGAAGAGCAGCATGCTCTCCACAGAAAGCAATGGAAATCGAATTTTGACCGTGCAAACAAGCGGTTTGACGCTTTGAGGGCTGCAGTGCGCTCATCCCCCGACGAAGAAAAGATCATGATGAGGTTTAGGACAGCTTCCTCGGATCAGGTTGTCAAAGCTGATACAAGTGTTACCACTTGCCGTAAGTCTGCTGATTGTGGTTTTCTATGCATCCTTGAGCTATATTTATGTGGCTTTTGTCTTTGTAGGTAGTGCTTCGCCAGCTGGCTCATTGTTTAGTGTTCCAGGTATGTACGAGATGAATTTTGTGATTTCTCGCATTATGTTGCAGTGTGTAGCGGTCTGAATGTCTAGGTTCACAGAAGAGTCGTCAATCGATACCATACCAGGAAGGGAGGATATCTCTCTTGCCACTCTGAATACTCAGAGTCCGGGTCACACACCACTTGTCAATAGACACCTTGCACTCCCAGCATACGAAAGTGACAACACGCAGGGACATTGTACGTTCAATTTGCTGTATACTTTTTTTGACCCCTAAGTAAACTCATGACAGTTCCCACCTTGCTCGAAACAGTCTTTTCTCCTCAATCCAGCCCACCTCCCATCCTCGAGACACTCTTCTCCCAAACCATGACTGGTCCAGACTATCCTGAACTCGTACAGTCGGAATCAGCCAAGGTCGACAATGAGCCATTATGTACTCCACCAAGCAAGAGGCCCAAATTATCAAGCCCTCAATCACCCGCTGTAACCACGTCGCCTTCATCACCTTTGTCACGCCGCTCTCTTCCTGCACAGAATTGCAATTCAATCTTCATGAAGCCCCGGGATTCATCACCAGATTGCGATACTATTCCAAGCACGTCTCTAAACGTAGATCCTCTCGTCCGTCCTGAATCGTGCGAAGGTGCACCGCCCTCAGCACCTAGGCCTATGTCCATGAAGACATACGCAGCAACACAGGAAGCTCTGGATATTGTCATGGAAGAGGTTGATCCGTGCATGGAGACAGAGGAGGATGAGGAGGATGAGGAGGGAGAGACAGAGTTTTGTGAGTTTAAGGCTAATTACATATCCTTGGCACATTATTCTCGACTTTCTGAACTAACAAATCACGTTTAGGGGGATTTGGAAGAGGCAAGAGTCACGCCCACCTGCAGGCTGCGTGTGACGCATACGGAGCTCTGAAGGGGTGGTAGGCTGTAGCTCAACGGCTTTCAACTTCAAAAACAACTGTTCGCTCTCTTTACACTCATATCTTGCTCATATTTTTGCTCTGGTTCTTCAATCTCTGCTTTCCATACACTACTCTCCCATGCTATTCATGAACAAGGCCTCATTTATCTTACAATATGCTCAGCAAATTGATCTTGTACCTGTTATCGTGTTGATTTCTTGGTTTCAAGTTTGCACTTGTTTTGCACTTCGCTGTCATCTCCGCTTTTGAACTACTCGTTATTCTACTCATTGCTATCGCGACTGCTTTTGACCTATCCTGTGACTAGTCATCCATCTTGCTACTCTTTTCCTCTATCCACCATGGCCGACACCGAAGTTTCTGCTCTTGTCTACCTACAGACAGGCGAACCTAGCATTATCCAAACTGCACATATGTCGCAGCTCCTAGTGATTGACGAGAAACTTGCGAGATACAAATCATCGTGACTGGGCCTCAATGTGATCCAGAGGATTGGGCCACTTGTGGCGAAATTGTGCGAGGTGAGCGCTTTCAACAATGACTGCAACCAGAAAAGCAAGTCTGAAGCTATTTTCTCGTACATGATAATAGTGTATCTCCAGAGAAGTGACGGTAGAAGAACAAGAGCCCGCGAATTGTGCAGGCTCCAACAACAACGTACACGCGCGTCAGCTGTCACTTGATCACAACTGTGATGAATAGTGACGTGCTGTGACGAGACGCGTTTGTGGCGCTAGATCATCTTGCTGCTCTTTTTCTTCAACCACCATGTACCATGGCCGACACTGGACGGACCGCTTCCATCTGGCTATAAGCTAGATTAACGTACTTGATGAACTGGTTAGCTAGCTTGGGATACCTTCTTATTGGCCTGCATCTAAACTAGATCCTCTTTATTATGTCCTCGTCTGGCAGTCAACATTCGTCTGCTGAGACTCGGAGCACTCTATCTGCGGACGAAGATTTTTGGCGCAATGCCAACATCAATATTGATGCACTGTCAGACATCATCGCTGCGCATATGCATTCCCCCTGTCTGGAACGGACCTCAATGGAAAACGGCGCATACGCTCGTGTGTATCTCTTCGTCCTTAAGAACGGTTGCCACGTGGTAGGACGCCTTATTCTTCCTGTGCGTGAGCACCTGAAAACCGAGGCAGAAGTGTCCGCCATGATTTTCGCCAAAAGTGAGTGCACTGCAATGTACTGTAATTTTTTTCCTGAATTGATTGTCTCGTAACCTAGAGCATACGTCCATTCCCGTCCCTAAAGTCCATCTGTTTTGCAGCAACCCTGACAATCCCGTCTGCGTAGAATGGGTCATCATGGACTATATTGCTGGTCAACAACTAGCCGATTGTTTCGACGACCTTGGGTATCCTCAGAAGCACCAAATAGCCTCCGACCTTGCACAGATCATGCACTCTCTATTCTCTATCACGGCGCCACTCGCCGGGAGTCTGTTCTATGTCAGACAGTCACAGGAATTATCACCTCTACGCTTCGGTGGCGTCGCTCATCCGGACGCAGGTTGTTCTCTACCTTCAACCATCGTCGATATTGGGTCGACCAAGCTCAGCATGAACCCAGGTCCTATCAACGACATCACCTTCCTGAACTTTCCGCACCAGCTCCCCGCCTCATTCTGCGGCCCATTCCCCTCCGAACGCTCCTTCCTTGAAGCCTTCGCCTACGGCGGCATTCCACCCCACCGACGCATACCCCACGAAGATCCCCACGGAAGTGCATACGACATGATCCTCAAAGTCTACGACTCCATCCGCCCTCTATATACTTTAGATCCCCATCTGTTTCACTTCGCCCATGGAGACTTTAGCGCTGCGAATATTCTCGTCGATCCTGAGACGGGTCAAGTCATTGGCATTATAGACTGGGAGATGGCAGGGTTCCGGCCTTCGTAGCTCGCTGCCGTCAGCCCGGGATGGTTCAATGACGATTCGTGTCGTTTTCTGGTCACGGACGATCAGTCTGAAGCAGATGGATATGAAGAAGATTCTGAGGAGGATACAGAGTTGCGCGAGTACTTCTGCACGCAGCTCTCGACGAGGAATGAGAGGCTGTTTCGAAATTGGCGGGATGGAGTCGAGCTTCGTGCGATATTCTATAATTTGTGCAATGAGTACGAAGGGAACGCGGAAGTTTGGGTGGAGAAGTATGCGGAGAGTCAGTGGCCGGAAGAACGGGGAGGTTTTCCGTTTGATGTTAAACGTTGGATCAAGGCGAGACTGGGTGTCGAGTGAGACAGGATATTGTATGTATGATTCCAGGTTGTTTTACATCGTTCGTGATACGATTCATCTCAAAATAAGGCTTCATACAGGTCGAGGCTTGGTTCCCGAAGCCGCAATCTTTCTTGGCATGGCTTCCTACCTCGATCCTTCACCTACCTCTCACCACATCGGCCTATGGTCGTTCAGTACGTCTCTCGCCACAGTACGCCGCGCAGGAGTTCACGATTGGCCGGCTGATCCCGACTCCTTCTGCTGAGCTATTCCCTTCAAGTTCTTGCCCAACGACTCCAAACGAACATCAAACATTCTCGAAGAGATTCCATCTCTCCAATTTTCTGCGCTGTTCCGGTTTCATCGGTGCTCCTTATTCTCCGCGGTACCGTCAAATTTTTCTTCTGATGTTCGCCACAGCGCTAACCATTGGCAGGGGGAAAGCCGCTGTCTATGCAGCAATTTTCGAGTTTATTTTCAAATCAATCATGTCCTAGTGAGACTGTTTTCGACTCTTCTATCTCTCGTCGGCCACACAGTCTCCATATTCATTGACGTACCTGGAGGATCCTTATTACGGACCATCATTCAACCTCATAAGGAAATGACCTCAATTATCCGCACTCGCTTCCGGGCAGTGGCTGCATCCGAAGCCATCAATCACCCCTCGAATGCTGTTCTGTGTCTAAACTGCGACCGCGCAATGGTGTATGATTCGCCAACCGCATGCATTTGTGCCTTTTAACTCGCATCAAGAAGCAAGGCAGTGGACGCATCCACCGGTGTTAGAGCTATCGTCTACCGTATTGGGACCATGCACACTAGCACCGATGTCGAGTAGGTGATTTTGGGAACGCTGCTGCTGCTCTGTATACTTGAAGTAGTGTCATTTTCTGGGTCCAGCTGTCCACGCGGTGTCCTACCGGAGCCTGGCTGTCAAATGAGTCACACTGAGTATATCATATTCCTCAGATCAGCCGTGAATGTACTCGTGAATGCTAGTTGCGGCACTTCGCTACGTGCTACAGTCTTCGGTGCAGAGGAACATAAGCTCCTCAGAACACTATAAAATGACCGTCTTTTTTCTTCTTTTTCAAAAACGCTCATCAAGGACTCCACGTCGCATCATGACTACCTCACCAACAGAATTACAGCAGGCCATTTTTGAAGACCAGTTATGGCAAGCGCGGCTATTCTTTCTTAAAGGATATTAAATTATCTGATACTGCCACATACAGGATCCTTGGCAACTACATCACATTCTCCGCTAACAGTGCGTACTTCATACACTCAATGTTCCTTGTGACGTATTCACTAAGCGCTCTCCCCATATAAGCCATGTGGATGACCGATTTTGTTTACACCTTACCGATGGAGATCGAAGCTATATGGTCAAGAAATGTTACAGGAACATCCATATTATACCTGGTGAACCGCTATGCGTACGGTCTGAGCATCATCATGATCACCGTGCTCGATACTCCGGGCTCCAGATCGGACAAGAGGTGAGTTGCATTATCGCCATGAGTGAAATCAATATTAACGACCCTACCACTGTCCTCTTCAGCTGCCAGACATTATATATACTGGAGACAGCTATGCAAATCCTTTCCCGGATCACTACAAGCTGTCAGTCGCAAATGTCCCATCTTACAACTCCCCTCAATTGATATTGATGCGACATTTTTCAGTAATCTTCACTCTTAGAGTCTATGCTTTATGGGGACAGAATAAAGCAATTCTCGCGCTGACATTGCTCATGATCATCGCGAAATTTGGGATCGACGTTTGGGTACGCCTATAAGTTTCTACGGAGCGTGAATCCACTGACTCGAATGACTTTGACGCTCACAGAGATCTACGTTGTCCATAAGTCTATCCAGCATAGGTACTCAATGGAACGAGTTCTCGATGTGTTGGTCGATCATAGCGGACCCGACGGCGGTTGAACAGTGAGTCGAGTTCCAAAAACGAGTTACACTTAGGTCGAACTGATCATTTTCTCGAGGAAGTGGTAGGTTCATGCCGTCTATCGTTGTCACGGGAATATATCATCTTTGTTGCGATGTGAACTGATACCCTTAACTCCCAATCCTCTCCTGATATGTACCAGCCACTACCATCAGTGCCTCCCTCCCCATTCTCTTCGATTTCATTGTCTTCGTAGCAACTGTTCTGAAGACATACCAACACTCCAGGGAGATGCGGGAACACGGAAGAAAGAGTATCGCTGAAGTCCTTCTTCACGATGGTATGGTTCCCGGCATCATATATTCTCGGCATCGTTGCTCACAGTATATCAATCAGGGACCTTGTACTTTTTGTCAGTAACTAATCCTGCATATCGCTCGACGGACCTTGACTTACCAGGTCCACCCTGGCCCCTTCTTCTCAAACAGCGCCGTGCTAGTTCTAGCAGCTGTGAATCTTGCTCTTCGTCTGGTATGTACTTTGTTATTTAATATGCCCTCAGTAACATAATGACTGAACCTGAATGGATTGCCAGTTATTCGTAGCGCACGTCAGTCATTCTTCCCATTCCACACGGAACTTATGTCTCATATTTCTTCAAACTCCTCACTAGGAAGATTCTCAGATTGTGATCCTGCTAGGGGACAGCATGACGCCTTACATTTCTGTGTACGTCTTTCTATATCTTTGTCTGGGCTGGAAAGCTGCCATATTTTCTCTACTAAACAGCAACAACTCTCGATTTCAGACTGACAAACCTACTCGTCAGCCGCCTCTGTCTAAACCTTCGAGCACTCAATCGTCCACGCACCACCGTACATCGCATAGATGACGGCATGCCCGACCAGGCTTTCGCGCATAATAGGTTTTTGGGCAACATCGGAGCCCCTCTGGATCCCGACTGGTGGAACGAACAGTTAGATGACGACGAGCCGCAAGTCGACACAATCTCCAGTATAAACCTGCAGAACTCTATGGAACCTGCGGGTGGCGGGGGAATAGTGACGCTTGTACCAGTCGTGAGTATCCTTCCTTTGTCTACAGAGCTTGAACAATTTATAACCTCCGCACTGGCAGGTCTATGATACCGGAGCTGTCGAGATGGTTCCCTTGGAGAGAGAGGCGGTTCCTGCTGCAGTACTGTCTCACCCCGTCAACGGTGTGGTATAGTCCTAGCAGTGTCAGGCCGAGTGGTCTGAGGTATTACTTTTTAATAACTCATGCCCACACGTTACTCTCGCTCATTGATTTAGCTTTGACTTCTTATTAGGGTAAACGGTAACATTTTTGTGGACAATTCGCTCTTTTCCGTCACGTCGGTCGAATCAAATGACCGTTTACGATGTGCTTTTGTGAATCTCTATTTTTTTAGTTTCTTCGTGAGCCAGAACCTTTTCGAGCCGTTCCTACTTAAGATTATTATTATCACTACTCCGTACTGACCGAAAGAACATACGCAACCGGATTCCTCTCGAGAATGTCACAACCGCCGCCTACACTTAGTCTCCCTAAGCAGAGTAGCCAATCGTTTCAACCGGCGGGCGCGAGGATCACCACTGCGCCATGTATGCTGAGAACTCCGAGAGGATTGAAGCAGACATGTCCGAGTCACACACTCCGCCCAATCCATCCGCTGTCCGAAGCAGAATGAGCGTGTGCTATGGGTACCATATTGATTCACGACTCGTCAACAGGACATATCACACAGCAGACTTCAGACATCTTCGATATTACAGTAACAACAACCTGATCAAGAATATGATATGCACGTCACATCTAAACACGAGATCACCTCCTAGAAATGCAGCTACGTAGAAACGAAGGGAAGAAAGACACGACAGAAAATAAATAAAAAAGGCAGCACATGGGGGTAAATGCAGGTATACGCCGTACGACTTCTCAACACTCAGCCTAGAACTCATCATCATCGTCCGAAAGCTCAAAAATGTACGCCGGCTTCGCCTTCCCTCTCGCCGCTCGCGCAGGCGCAGCCCTAGGCGGCGGAGCGAATCCGAATCATCACCACCACCTCCCCTCGAGAAATCGTTCTCCTCATCATCGTCGTCCGAGTCCGCCGCCTTCTTGCCCTTCTTCGCTGCAGGCGCTTTGCTACCTTTACTGCTAGTAATAGCGGTGGAGGAAGAGACTTTGCGAGCGGTCGTCGTGGATCTGGCGGTCGAAGGTTTTGCAGGAGGTTTCTTAGAGAAAAAATCGGTGACTTCGGCTTGGGAGGTGGCTTGTTTCTTCTTCGCAGGTTTGATTACGACCGAATCATCGCTGTCATCGTCGTCCGCAGGGCTACAATATCATGGTCAAGGGTTAGAGCCAAACTAGTGCGATGAAATCGAAATGTCAGATGTACCTCTTCCGCTTGGGTGGAGCCTTCGCTTTGCCCTTGCCCTTCGCGATAGCAGCCGCCACAACATCGCCATCAGAGTCATAATCAGACTTCACCACTTTCTTCTTCGCAGGCGCAGGCTTCTTCTTCGGTGGTGGCGGTACAGACTCAAAATCATCATCATCGTCGTTAATCATCTGAATATCCGAATCCGACTCGTCCTTCGGCGCAGGCTTCTTCGTCGTCGTCGCAGCGGCAGCAGCAGCTCCTCGCTTTTTCGGCAGAGGAGCAGATGGAGGGTCATCGTCGTCATCGTCATCCATCTTGATCGTCGACCCAGAAGGCTTGACCACGGTCGGCTTTGTCGCTTTGGACTTCGAGGCGGCAGCGGCATTGGGAGCGGCTTTGGACACGGGTGGCGGTTTCTTAGCCGCCGCTTTGGTCGGCTTGAAGTCGTAGTCCGAACCGTCGTCGTCGCCGTCGTCATCGCCTTCACGCTTGCCAGCGCCAGGCAAGGACTTGCGAGTCTTGAGCGTTGCCTGCTTCCGCTTGACTTTCTTCCCGGTGGAGTCTGTCTCGTTACGTTGGTCTCGCTCGGCATTGTGGGCCTAATTAAAGTGCGTATACTGGGTCAGCGTCGAAGACGTGTATGATCAGGCAGGGAGGACATACCCTGTATGCCTCGAGGAATTGTCGAGATCCGTGTTCCAGATCTCCACAGGCGTGAGCTTGAGCAACTGGAACAGCTCCGAGTCCTCCTTATCCCAGGAGTTTCGCAATCTAGATTCATCCGACAGGGCGGGTCTGAACTACTTATTACGAAAAAAGGTATCTAATACATACTACAACATACACCCCCTCGATTGACAAGAGCAGCTTAGCCGTGCAAACTCTGCAACATTTATCAAAATTGTCGATGCCAGGACCAGGGATCGTGCAGGGACCAGGGATTGACGACACGAACAAGGGTGAAAATCTGTGAAGATACAATAGCAGCCGGCACTTGCCGGTCTCAATTGAACTCCCGCATCATCGAGCCAGCCTCTAGTCACGGTGTTCTTCCGGCTTGCCTACGTTCTCATCTCTTCCTCGCTTTCACCATGTCCTCGAAACACCAGCCAGACAAGAGCCAAACTGATCCTGCCGGAGAACTCGCGGTCTCTGAGTGGTTGCAGTCCGTTCCGGGGTTGGCACGACAGCTCGATAGAACACGCTCAGAACTTTCAGTGAGCGACAGCGCGGACAAGAAATCGCTCCTCCGCTTTCTCATTCGCTATCTTCAATACGACGTCAAAGATTATGCTAGAGCCTCTCTCACAGCTCCGCCAGATCAGCTCGTACACGCTCTCTTTCAGGACGGGCCGCGAACCATGAGGGACGATGCCGAAGAACTCTTTTTGAAGAACTTCGCCAAACCAGAACGTTTTTTCCTTCAAGCATGCCGTCAGTGGTTCAGCCCTTACCTCTTTCACCCCAATGGTTCACATGCTTAAAATAGCTTGTGCTTAACAGTCCCCGATGTAGAGCACGAACTCGTTCAATCGAACCCACAAGGTATCCAACATAGCGTGTATGTAATATCCCTTCGTCCATCCCTACAGTAACCGCCGGGGGGATGAAACAATGCTGTAGATGCTGATCTGTCTTGGTTGTAAAGGACCGCAAGTGCTGTCGCCCTTGAGCTCGCGTTTGGAAGGACATATGAGGGAAACGCAAAGACACGGTTCAAAACCGCTTTACATAGTTATAATAAGCAATACAACCCGAAGATACACTACGGCCGCGTGATTGCCATCCTACAGTCTAGCGCATGTGGAAAATCACGCTTAGTGAAGGAGCTTTCATCAGAGGTCAGGATTTTGTATTTTCCCAGAGGATTGTCCATTCCGCTATTAACACATAATCCTCCGCTAATTTGCAGGATCACCTGATCAGTATCTGCCTTCGAAGTGATACCAAGCTTACCTCTGGTTGGCCACCTGGTGACGTTGCGGCATTGCAGTTCTTCAATACTCACTCCAATGGCAAGTATAAGGTAGTTAATTCTTCCCCACAATGCTCAGTTACCCGAGCGTTAAATGATGCGTTGTTACGTAGGGAGAAGAGCTGTCTGCTGCATTTCTAGGAGCACTGACACAGGTCATCGCCGACTCCATACCGATACCAGAGAGCTCTTCGCACAATTCTGATCAGCCGCCCTCGGATCCGCTCGCGACTTGGAAATACGTTCTTCCGAACGATTCCGGCCCAGACAGACGAGCAGAGTATGTGAATGCAGTCGTATCTCGAGCGACAAAGATGTTGAGGGAGAAGAAGGGATGGCTCGAAAGGGAGCGTGCTTGGATAAGCCGTGTCCAGGAACAGCCTAAAGACGGCCATGCTGGTCTATCTCCTTCGTCCTCATCCTCGTCCGCGTCCGACCAACGAGATCCTTTGTTCGAGGCTCCCAGATGGCACGAGAACCTTTTCACCCAATTCTGCCTGGAGGGGTTTCAAGCTTTGGACGCCAAGGTCCAAGCGTTGAACAAAAATGATCGATTCTTCATCGCTCTGGACGAATGTGGTGCCCTGGGCGACTTCGACCCAGACGATCTTCTCCCTTCCAACTCGATGTCACTCATTGCTATGCAGCGCATATTCAAGGCGGCCGACATTCTACAGACGAAGACTGTGTTCTGGTTCCTGGAGCTCGATACTAACTCCAAGGCATTTATGCTCGCGCCATCAGGACCACGAGCGGGCTCCGAGCGCTTGAGAGACGGTCTTGTTCCTCTGAACCCTTTCGTCTATCTTGGGTTCAATCAAATGGCTGGACATGTATCCATGAAGCACCCCAACGAGGTGCTGGAGTTGAGACATCTCAAGATGTATGGTCGTCCGGTAAGTGCCCCTGCTCATACTGTTTTATTGTAATCTCATCGTACCCCATAGTATTGGGCGACGCTTCCCGATTCTGCCGTCGTCGAATATGCCAGCCGCAAGTTGTTCTGGTCCGCCACTACCACCGGCTTCCATTCCTACAACAAAAGTCACGTGTTCGCTGCGTTCGCCTCACGGCTGCCCCTCGAACTTGGACAGAATGAAGCCGCCACACGTTTCGAAGCCGACTTGGTCAGCCATCATATGCGTATGATCGTTTCAGTTGTTCGCGACAAGATGGAGACAAGGGCACCTTCAGAGCCAGCTCTCGCCCTCGCTGCGGCCTCCGCGTTGAACGAAGACAGGGAACAGTACCGCGAAGCGCTACAGATTCTTGTCAACACGCTTATCCTTCAGGGCCTTATCATCGATCGTGGAGCGCAGGGCGAGCTCTGCAGCCGACTTCTCTGTATTTTTACCCGCGATCAAATCCACACTTCGTTCTTCAACGACCAGAAGTCTGCCGTTCGCTCCTTCACGCTGGCGCAGTGGCTCTCGGAACTGGCAGGCTCGAATTACGGGTGCCACGACTCGGCTTCCAAAGCGCTGGAGCCTGAGCTTCGTGCTTTCAGCGAGAAAGCGGTTATGACCTGGACCCACATCCATGGTCTTACTCGCTCATTCTCCGAAATTCCAATCGCCCTAGTGGAGTGGGCCTTCTCCACTGGAGCCGCGTTTCAATGCTCGCCTAACCAGGAGTCTGTCGACATGTTGTTTCCTGCGTATGTTGGCCCCATGAACGAACCATACGACAGTCTGCACCTGATTCTTATCGGAGAGCAGAGCAAGGCGCAAAGTCATGCTATATCGAAGGCAGTCAGCGACTCTCTCACCGTCCCGCACATCGTCTATCCTTCCGTGGACGGTCAGTTTCCTGTGCGGAGGAAGCAAGAGACGCTCATCATCGTCATGGACCTCTGCGCAACAGCCGACTTTCACGGCCAAGTCGGTGTCAAGAGTGAGCTCACACGTCGCAGAGCCATAACACCGTACGACAGGAAGCCAAATATGAAGCCTAAGCAGAGGGCCAAGGTTTGGAAAGGCTACTCCGATCCTTATCTCGCCGAGACGGAGCCGGATAACTTCCTACTAAATATTCGTGGTCGAGATTCGACGCAGTACCCCGCTATCGTTGGCTTGGAGAAGGAGTTTCAAGACCTGCTTGAGCATAGCTTATCTAATAATATTCCGCAGGAGTTCAAAGAAATGGAGAATGATATGGAGAGAGAGATGAACCCTTTTGAAGATTAGATCATGTAGGTTTGCTTGTCTTTCCACAGCCCTTTAATCCTTGCTCTGTCTTTATACTCTCCGTCTCCTGGTGCAGACCGTCTTTATGTACATATTATGTCGTCGAAGGCAACATCTGAATCGACGGCACGATGCGTCAGCGCATTCCGGAGTGCACGTGTGACAGACGTATGAAGAAATAAAAATAAAGCTACAGAACAATACACACGCGCTGAACTAAACTACGATACTTGGTCTATGCACATGGGACGTGGAGGACAAGGGAAGTGTGGCACATTGTCTGCGCTAGCGAGAAACACACGCGCCCGCATACTGAATGGAATTCGAAACCCGGAAAGATAGCGGAAAGAAAGACATCGACAAGAACCATGAAAGCGGTCACATAATGATAGAGATGCACGATCCACCAGCCGACCTGCCTAGAACTCGTCATCATCGTCCGAAAGCTCGATGTAGGCCGGCTTCGCCTTTCCCCTCGCCGCTCGCGCAGGTGCAGCCCTAGCTGGCGGAGGCGGCGAATCTGAATCATCACCACCACCCTTGGAAAAGTCGATCTCGTCGTCATCGTCATCCGAATCCACCACCTTCCTGCCCTTCTTTGCGGGAGGCGCCTTGCTACCTTTACTGCTGGTGGTAGCGGTAGAAGAAGAGACTTTGCGAGCGGTCGTCGTGGATTTGGCGGTTGAAGGTTTCGCAGGGGGTTTCTTAGAGAAGAAGTCGGTGACTTCGGGCTGAGAGGTGGCTTGTTTCTTCTTCGCAGGTCTGATTACGACCGAATCATCGCTGTCTGCGTCATCTGCCGGGCTAAGTGACAGTCAGGAGTTAGAGACGAACTAACACAGTGAAGACAAAGAAAAAATGGCATACCTCTTGCGCTTAGGTGCAGCCTTCGCTTTGCCCTTGCCCTTCGCGATAGCAGCCGCCACGACATCGTCATCCGAGTCATCATCAGACTTGACCACTTTCTTCTTCGCCGGCGCAGGCTTCTTCTTCGGTGGTGGCGGTACAGACTCAAAGTCATCATCATCGTCGTTAATCATCTGAATATCCGAATCCGACTCGTCCTTCGGTGCAGGCTTCTTCTTCGTCGCAGCAGCAGCAGCAGCTCCTCGCTTTTTTGACGGAGGAGCAGACGGAGGATCATCATCGTCATCGTCATCCATCTTGATCGTCGAGCCAGAAGGCTTGACCACGGTCGGCTTCGTCGCTTTGGACTTCGAGGCGGCAGCAGCATTAGGAGCAGCTTTGGACACGGCGGGTGCTGGTTTCTTAGCCGCTGCTTTGGTCGGCTTGAAGTCGTAGTCTGAACCGTCATCGTCGTCGTCGCCTTTACGCTTGCCAGCGCCAGGCAAGGACTTGCGAGTCTTGAGCGTTGCTTGCTTCCGCTTGACTTTCTTGCCGGTGGAGTCTGTCTCGCTACGCTGGTCTCGCTCGGCATTGTGGGCCTGATCAATGCACTAGGTCAGCGTCGAAGACGTGCATATTGAGGCAAGGACAACGTACCCTGTATGCCTCGAGGAACTTGTCGAGGTCCGTATTCCAAATTTCGACGGGCGTGAGCTTGAGCAACTGGAACAGCTCTTCCTCCTTATCCCTCGCTTGCTGAAGGAGTCTCGCAATCTAAAATCATCCAATAGGACGGGTCAGAAAGCGCACTACGTCGAACAAACCTATAAACATACCTTCTCCTTCGTCAAGCTCGAGATCGCCATCTGCAACAAATAATCAAAATCGGTCGTCGCCCCCGTCTCTGCCTCCTCCCTCTCCGCCGCCTCGATCTCCTCCTCCTCGACCGTCGGCGCCGTCTCCCCCGCCGCACGCGCCTTTACGATCTTCGCGAACGGCCGGAACTCGTGCTTGCGCAGCTCCTGGACGATGTCCGCTTTCTTCCGGTTGGAGACGACGAGCTCTTTGCTGACGATCATTTGGATGAAGCGCGCTTGGTTGGAGAGTTTCTCGAATTGGTTCTGTAGGTCGGCGGCCATGTGGTCCTACGAGACGAAATGTCAGCAAAATCTACACAATTTACAGAGAAACTACAGAGAGCGTACCTTGCGCTTCTGATAATACGCCAAACGCTTCGGATAAAAGTCCTCGAGGATCTCCTCCGGCGACGTGTACTTCTTGATCTTGCCGTCAAAGTCGAAGCACATCATGTTGTTCGTGCTGATCTTACCGGTCAGCTTGAAGAACTCTATCAAGCCCTGCGCCTCTGCCTTCTCGAGATCCTTCGCGGCCATGTTGATCACGAAGTGGACGTTCGTGTTGTCGTGGTGTTCTTTGTAGTCCTGCATACCATAACACATAACCACCAGGTCAGCAGTGATTCTTTACTTGACGTGAAGGGTGCAACAGACCTTGATAACACCATCCCCCTTCTCGCCAATCATGCTCTCCAACTCACCCTTATACGTCTGCGTCCACTTATGGATCGGCAACTCCGTGATCTCGACCGTCGTATCGTTCACCTTCCTTACGCACCCAAACACGTCATACTTATTATCCCCCGTCTTCTTGATCTCGCCCTTGAAACCGCGGTACCACGGGCTCATGGGCACGACGTCCTCGCCTTTCATCATCCGCCGGAGATTGTCCACGATCTCTTCCGGGTTGTAGTTCGGGATGGACGTGCTCCAACCTAGCCGCATATCGCTCAGCATTCGACCCCCCACTGCTGCAAAATTCTGAAGGGAGGAAAGTAACTCACCGGTACCGATACCCTCCGCTCCATTCACCAACACCATCGGCAACACAGGCATATACCACTCCGGCTCAATCGGATCATTATCATCCTTCAAATAATTCAACAACGGATCGTCCGCAGGATGGAATATCGCCCTCGTCACTGCCGCCGTCTCCGTGAAGATATACCTCGGCGCCGCATGGTCCTTTCCGCCCTGGTCGCGCGTACCGTATTGACCATTTGGCATGAGCAGGTTCAGGTTGTTCGCGCCGACGTAGTCTTGCGCGAGGTTGACGATGGTTTGGGTCAGGGATTGTTCGCCGTGGTGGTAGGCTGCGTGTTCGGAGATGTAGCCGACGAGTTGGGCGACCTGGGGTTTGACAAATTTAGGAGGGTTTTTTTTAAAAAAAATCGATGTGGAGAAAGATGGGGTCGGCAGATACGTACCTTGACTTCGGTCCTCATCTTACGCCTGAAACAACCCCAGACGACCTTCCTCTGACCAGGCTTCAACCCATCCGCGACACAAGGGATGGACCGCACGTTATCCGCATACGAGAACAAGATGAGCTCCTTGTTGATAAAGTCGTTGATCGAGATCTCGTCGGTGTCGTGGTTCAGGAAGGTTCCAGGCTGGAAACGAACATCACCGAGGTCAGTCACCTGAATCGGCATATAAACGGTCGAGATGAAAGATACGTACCCTCAACTGTCTCAGCCACTCCTTCCGCTCGTCCGCCTTCTTCTTGCTGAACGCCAAATCGATCAACTCACGGTCGCCTTCCGCAGTAGGCGCAAACGAGATCATATGTTTCGCCATATGGCTGAAATAATCGCGCGCGTCGGAGTCCTTACTCGTACCCAGACCCTATTCGCAAAGGACATCAGTTCGATAATTCCGAATACCACGACGAGAGCGAGAGCGAGAATAGAACGAGACGCGCCTTGTAATACTTGGACGTCCATCTATGCGCATCCGGCGTGACTTCGAGCCATTTCTCGTACTCGGGGATCGTGAAGAAGTCGATGCGGTCCTTGCCCTTCGTGACACGGACGATGGGCGTGACGAACTCGACCAGGAAATCGTCCAGCTTCAGGAGCGAAGGGAAGAAATGGTCTAGGAAGTTGATGAGCAGGCCCTTGATATGCGAGCCATCGTGATCCTGAGGCAGCTCAGTCAACGACACTTCTTCCAAGTTTTTGTAGAGGGAGAACGAACCTGATCGGTCATGATCATCAACCTCCCATACCTCAAACTCGACGTATTGCTATAATCCTTATTAGACTGCAACCCCATAATCTTCTTAATATTCTGAATCTCCTCATTCTTCATAATCTGATCATGTTTCGCCTCGCGCACATTCAGCATCTTGCCCCTCAGCGGAAACACGCCGAAGTTGTCGCGCCCGACGACACCGAGCCCCGCGACGGCGAGGGCCTTGGCGGAGTCGCCCTCGGTGAGGATGAGCGTGCATTTGGACGCGTTCTTGGTCCCGGCGTTGTTTGCGTCGGCGAGCTTGGTCATCCCAGCGAGCCGGGTGCGTTTCGTGCCGTCGGTCTTCTTGATCTCCTGCTGGGCTTTGAACTGCGCCCAATTCAGGACCCTCTCAATCACCGCGGACTTATTGACTGCAAACACCCACAAACTCGTCAGAAACATGTCCATGTCCAAAAATGTGAGGAAAGGAAAGAAAGGAGCATACCCTTCTTCAAAAAATCCTCCGAAAGCGTCGGCTTCGAGCCAAACTTGCTCACCGGCAACGTCATCGTCTCCTTCGTCTGACTGTCGAACGTCGGATTCTCGATCAACCCATTCACGAACACCCACATCTGGTCCTTCACCTTCGCCGGCGTCAACTGCGCGCCCTTATTCTTGCTCTTCACCACCTGTATGATGTTCTTCGCGATCTGGTCCGACACGGTCGTGACGTGCGTGCCGCCTTTGATCGTGGAGATCGAGTTCGCGAAGGAGACGTGTTGGAATTGACCCTCTAATGAACAGGCGAAGGCGACTTCCCAACGGTCGTTGATGCGTTCGTAGATGAACGACGGTTTCGCCTGGGCTGCGCCGCCTGAGGTTTCCGCGGCGGCTTCGGCTGCAGAAGTGAGGTACATCTCGACGTAGGACTTGAAGCCCTTGACCTTGATGCGCTCGCCGTTCAGGAAGACTTTGATGTCCTTCACGGTGCCGGCCATGTCGTACACCCGTTTCTTGAGCAGAGAGACCGTGTCGTCGTCGATAGAATCCATCCCGAAACGGGCGAGGTCGGGCTTGAAGGTCACTTTGGTGTATTCCTCGCCGCGCGCGTTTTTCGTGATCTTCGCTTTGCCGACTTTACCCATATTGTCGCTCCACGTCTGCTTGTACTTCTGGCCACTGTTCTTGTCCGCGGTGTCGACGGTGAACTCGTGCGAATAGATGTTCGCGAGTTTCGCGCCGTAGCCGTTACGTCCGCCCGTCAGCTTCTTTTCGTCGTCGTCGTAGTTGGACGAGGAGAGGAGGTGGCCGAAGATCATTTCGGGGATGTAGATCTTTTCCTTGGAGTGGATCTCGATGGGGATGCCCCGGCCGTTGTTGAAGACGGAGATGGAGGAGGATTCGACGTCGATTTCGACTTTGAGGGTGTCCATGTTGGGGTCGTTGATCTGGCGAAGCGATTGGAGCGCGAGTCAGTCTACGGATAATTAGGTACACGCAGAAAATAGCATACATGCGCTCAAACGCGACGATGAAGCACAGAAGACACAGAGAAGTAAGAACTCACCTTGTTGTCAGCAGCATTAACCAAGATTTCGTCCACGATCTTGAAGAAACCAGGAACGTACTTCACATCGCGCAGGACCATGCGCTTCGTGTCCGAATCATACGTCCATATGTTCTGCGTGATCGTCTCGACGGAGCCGATATACGAATCGGGACGTTTGAGGATATGTTCGAGTTGGGAGAGCTGTGGGATGCCGTTGCAGACCAGATGCGTCAACATCAACATCAACACCAACAACAACAACGACTCGTACTACTCATACTCATAGCGGGAGAGAACGCACCTTCTGATACATCTCCGACGCGTTCTTCTTCTTCGCCGCAGGAACAGCCCTCGGCGCAGAAGGCCCCGACCCGTCGCCGTCGTCATCATCGTCCATCATCATATCGTCGTCCGCATTAGAATCTACGTCGACGAGGGGGGCTTTCTTCTTCGGGGCTGCTGCCTTCTTCGCAGGCGCGGCTTTCGTGGTTTTCGGTTTCGTGGTTGGTTTGGCTGCGGTTTTGGTCTGCGTTGGGAGTGTCGGGGCGAGACATGTTGTGTCAGGACACGTGTGGGAGAGGATGAGGAGGGAGAGCAAGGCAGGGGGAGAGAGAAAACACGCACGGGCTTCTTCTTCACGACGGGCGCGTAGTCGTCCGACTCGGACCCGGAGATGTCGAGGTCGAAGTTCTCCGCTTCGTCAGAGCTCATGATGTGAAGTTCGCGTTGTTGTTGTGCTCGCTGGAGTGAAGCGTATGTTCCTTCAAATTCGGATTTGAGGGCGGTGTGAAACGCGCGACGGGGTTGTCCGAGATTGAAGGGATGTTGGTGATGATGGCCAAGTCGAAGAGGGTATTGGAGACTTGGCGAGGCGTCCTGGGTGCGGTCTTGGTGGTGGTGGTGGTGTTGGAGGAAGTTGTTGATGTCGCGTGTTGACTTGGACGCGCGAAAGGAGGCCGAACGCGACACCCACGTGACTCCAAAACAGACGCGTCGTCTTCGTTCTGCTTTTGTGAAATTTGTCGCGTTTTCGACTGAGGGAAAGAGGCGAGTGAGATATCGCAGGGGAGTGCAGTCGTGCAGTAATTGCATGAACAGAGGTGACAGTTCGAGAGCAGGCCCTTTGGACGGCGTTCACGTGCGTTTTTGGGGAAGATCCCGACGCGACGCGTCTTTACGGTAGATTCCAACGAGTTTTACGGGGTACATGTACTTATTAATAAGTATATCGAGCTACTGCATGCCTCACGATATTAACGTATCACGAGAACACAGAACCCATATCAATATTACAGAATACAGGAGACAATAACACAACAGTCCCAAAACGGTGCTCACAGCACAATAAGTCCAACACAACGCAAGTCCTACATACATCTCTCACACATCCTCCGCACCAACGCCGAACAAAGCCTGATACTTCTCCCTATTCTCATCCGCCGTCCCGTCCCAGCTGGTCCCCTCCATCACGCAAGCCTTCCACGAAGCACTTTCACGCGTCGCGGCAAGGATTTTGTAGATCGTGGCACTGTCGAGACCCAAGACGGGTCCGTCAGATAAAACTGAAGTATCGCCCTGCTGCATCTGTGGCTGTTGTGGCGGCGTAGAGCTCGTCGCGGGCGCAGGTGAGGGGGAGTTAGAGTCGAAAAAGCCGTGCGTCGAGTCAGCGTTCAATATACCCAACGATGTGATCCAATCCTGCCATTGGATTTCGTCGGGCGATTGAAAGGTAAAGTGAAACGGATTGTGCGCCCGAACGCGCAGCTCATGGATGAAAAGCGCGGGAAAAGGCGCATGACGATGACCGATGTCGAGCGCGATGGCTTTTCCGTGAAATGGGGCCTCGCCGTAACGTCCGGTGTAGTTAAAGAAGACAAACTTTCTCGCCTGCCATTAGATTAAATGTTCAGGCGTGGGTGCCGACCGGATAGATGCAGAAGGAGCAGCTCACTTCAGGCATATAGCGTATGAAAAACTCATATGCATCGAACGCCTTATGATGGGTGGGGCACATCAGAAGACCGTTTCGTGGTTCGTGCTCTACGTGTTCTTTGGCTTGGGACGGGATCCATCTGCGTCGCTGAAGGTCGAGCCACTACATTTGGAGTTTTCAAGTAGTAATACACTAGTCAAATGTCAGTAACAGCGTATTGTGCACTTTGAGAGGTATAGGCTGACTGATCACCTCGGATTTTTCTTGGACGTTTACCTTTTGATGCATAGAGTTCAGCCCTAACGGGGATTGGTCCACAAATCCCTCAATTATATTCAGAAATTCAAATACGCGGCAGAATTGGCCATTTACAGCCAAAAACTGATGTTCTGCATTTTTACTGTATCACACAGGCCAGTTATGACATAGTGGATCACCCAGAAACATTCATTATGATGTATCTTAGCCCTGTACCACACCACACCATGATAGCACTGCATTTGAGGGAGATCTGGTCCATATACGCCCCCAATACTACATGTGCACCTGCTCCCCCATCGGAAACATGGTTTTGCTTTTTCCATGATCTACCAGCGGCTGTTCTGGTGCTTGAATACTGTTTATACACATTTAAACTAAATTACCACAACAAGAACGGTGCCAAAAACGCGTAAATCGGTTCTCCTGTGATTATACTGTGGCCCAGCATGCCGTTTTACCCCCTCAGCGCACCACAATTGATGCAGAACCATTTTGACTGATATTGCACCGTAGATCGACTTCCCAAACATCAAACTATATTTTACAATCATTGTTTCAACATGACCAAACATTCTAACCATGGTAATACCCCCAGGGTAGATGTTCTCCTCCTCCCCCCCTAGACACCGCACCACTACCAATGAGATGGTCGCTGTTTTTGGGCCCCGAGTTGTGCCCATAGTTAAGTATTGATGTTTGCCCACCCGTGACAGCAAAAAACAAGTAAATCGAACCGTTGTATCAGAAGTTCTGGCCTCCCAACCCCCTGTGACCTCGCTGTGGCAATATCTTTCTAACCATTTACACTATAACTTTGGAACGAATGGACCGATTCCTTCAAAAATTGATTTTGAGCGTCCTATACATTTATAAATGTTTGTCAAATAGTCAGAACACCCAAAATCGGGCTCCTTCATCTCAGCGAAATCACATCGCCGATTTACGTTTTATACGCTGATTCCATTGAAACGACACCCAGCAATGCGATTCATTCGTTCTAAATCACAAAACTCGCAAAGTTACCAAAACACCCCCAAAACACCCCCTAACCCCCTAACAAACCAGAAACCAGCACCTGCTAGGCCTACCCTAGCATCCCTACTATTATTTCCCTATTTTTCCCAATTTTTATTGCACCTAATACTACCCTAGTACACCTAGTATCGTCCCCAGTACCCAAATCCCAGCCAAAACCCACCCAATTCATGTATACAGCACCCCAGCACCCCATCCCCGCCCTAGCAACCCCTACTGGGTCCCCAACCCGCCCCTAGAGCCCACCCGGTCACCCAAAAGCCAGCTAACCAGCCGGGCCAAAGCACTACAGGTTGGGCCACATCTAAAATGAACATTCTGGTGCCACACCTTCGAGCACAAAGCAGCCTACCCATTTTTATCCTTTTTGGGACATTCTGAACCCGGCATTTATCACAGAAAACAAAAATGTGCAATGCAGGCATTTGTTGATATCCCAATTGGGCCAGTGCAGCATTGTAATGGCAGCCATTTTCTGGCTCAGTGTGGCAGTGCGTACTTTACGCCAGACATTACAATGGAGCTCGACGTCCTTGCCTCACTTCATTATAATGGCACTACATGGTCTGGTGAAGGTGCGTAGATATACAGCATGTAAAAACTCCGGATAACGAGCTACTACAGGTCAAGATGAGGATACAGAGGCGGATCACATGGTAGGAAGTGGCAGCGGCGCGAGTTCCGTGGTAGACGAGTCAGGAACGACGAGCGAAGAGGAGACGGAGACATCAGGCAGCCCGGGGTCGGGGAGTGAAAGTGACAAGGGTGGATCCGAGGCAGAAGTTGACAATGGAGAGCAGGATTGAGGTAGAGCAGGGTAGGGGGCATCGGGAACGAGGGAGGGCACAGAACAAGATGATAGACGTCTTCTTCAATGGTGTAGTTAGAATGCATAGCGGGCGAGTTCGACGTGTAGATAACATGTTCAGATACTGTACTATTTCGATCAATTCGGCGGTCACGCGTCACAGGCCCTCCAGAATCGACGAAATGTCACAGCTGTAACATGTCACAACCGCAAGTGTCGAAACCATCGAGCAGATTTCTGTCCTAAAATGGTAAATTTTAATGTTTTTCGTCGATTTTTTGCCTGGCGTCACGCGGCTTCGCCGCGTTGACGAAACCATCGAGTGCGAGGGGCCTGTCACACGTCACACCGAGTGCCGAATTGATCGAAATAGTACAGTAACCTTGAAAGTAACGAGGTCTGGGTATGGGTGAGAATCGTCAAGGGGGGGCCCGGGTGCCGCCGACTAAGAGACAAAGGGACCAGGAGTAGCCCGGAGGGCAAGTGTATACTGCAATGGAGTTTACGGAGTTGCAATGTACCGGCTGTGTCCGAGCCTACGTTTCGGTGTGCGGGCATGCACTCCTTTTTCGCACTCCGAAACGGCTGGTTCCGAGACTATAAAAGCAGGCCTTCTGCTCTGTCAACCATCATGTCCGCTTTAGACCTCTTCTCACTCCCTCTGCCAGCCCATCCGCCCAGCGGATACGGCTATGCCTCACGCCCTCTGTCCTTGTTGTCGACGGTGTCTGCGTTTAAGACGGGGATAGACCAACGTGACATCTTCCTCGGTGTCAATTGCTGTGTTATCTGCGGTGAGGACACTCCAATTTTGGAGCATTGTCACATTGTCAGACAATCAGAACCTAAGAAAGTGAGTGTGTTTTCGTGCGGAAGAGTTCTTGGACTAACATCACATGTAGTGGCTCGACCTTCAGCGACGCAGATGGATCCCGTCCCAAGCCAAAGAACACGTAGAGCACGAACCACGAAACGGTCTTCTGATGTGCCCCACCCATCATAAGGCGTTCGATGCATATGAGTTTTTCATACGCTACATGCCCGAAGTGAGCTGCTCTCTTTGCATCTATCCGGTCGGCACCCACGCCTGAACATTTAATCTAATGTCAGGCGAGAAAGTTTGTCTTCTTTAATCACACCGAACATCGCGGAGCGGCTCAATTTCACGGAAAAGCCATCGCGCTCGACATCGGTCATCGTTATGCACCTTTTCCCGCACTGTTCATCCTCCATGAGCTGCGCGTTCGGGCGCACAATCCGTTTCACTCTACCTTTCAATCGCCTGACGAAATCCAATGGCAGGATTGGATCACATCGTCGGGTATATTGAACACTGACTCGACGCACGGCTTTTTCGACTCCAACCCCCGGCCCTCACCTGCGCCCGCGACCAGCTCTATGCCGCCACAACAGCCACAGTTCCCGATGCAGCAGGGCGATACTTCGGTTTCATCTGACGGGCCCGTCTTGGGTCTCGACAGTGCCACGATCTACAAAATCCTCGCCGCGACGCGTGAAAGTGCGTCGTGGAAGGCTTGCGTGATGGAGGGGACGAGCTGGGACGGGACGGCGGATGAGAATAGGGAGAAGTATCAGGCTTTGTTTGGTCCAGGCGGCGGCGTTGGGACTGTAACCCGCGCGGAGGAGGTGAGAGAAATGGACATGTACATGTAGGACTTGCGGGGTGTTGTGTTGTGTTGGACTTGTAGTTGTTGTGCTGTGAGCACTGGCGTGTTATTGTATCCTGTATTCTGTTATGAGTATGTACCTCCGATTGTAAGTTAACACCGATGTGTTGTATTCGTTCTTTTTCTGTGCAGTTTGTTTAATTGCCTTGTCGACGAAGATTGATGGTTTTCTCAGCGGGTTTCGGGCTGGTTTTGATCGAGTACCAGGCGTTTATTCCCTCCCGCAGTCAATGTCAATGTACTCGTACACAGGCGGCCAATCCTGCCAGTGCCCGAAAAGACTACATGTAATTGCCCTCGGAGGACCATTGGCAATGCGCGCCAACTCGCGAGTGACTGAGACTCCCAGTACTCGAGCTCGGCTATAGTAGACTACAACAAACCGTCACCGTCAATGCTAACGTACACCCCTCACCCCTCACTCTACCCCCAAATCCCGTGCCCTTGCCCTCTCTCAACTCAAGCTTCAAGCTCAAGGATCAAGGCGTCTTCTTCACATTGCTCACAATCAGATTCTGCAAAGGTAAAGGTCCCATATACATCCAAATCAGTATCCACACATAATCGCCATTTGGAATGCAGATGCAGATGCAGATGCAGAGAGGCCCGGAAAGAAAACAAAAACGGACCTTGTAAGCCTGCACGTCTCCCTTGAACTTCGATACCGTTCCGTCGCCGCAGACCCACAGCTATTCGTACCAACGTTCCGTCAGCCACGAATTCCACCAAACGACAACGTGATGAGAGGTGTAGGGAGGAAGTGAGAATTGGTGGGGAAGGAAGACGCACCTCTTTCGCGACAGTAGTGATAAACTTCTCGTCGTGCGAAATGATGATCACGCCTCCGTTCCATTGGCTGAGCGCGAGCATTAGCGCGTCGAGACCCTCCAGATCGAGGTGGTTAGTCGGCTATGGCCCCACATCGCATAATGAGTTAGTGAGTGAGAAGGTAGGAGGAAAGGTGTACGAGGGAGGAAGGGAGGAGGAACGCACCTCGTCGAGGAGTAGGATATGTGGCTGTTGCAGCGAAAGCACAGAGAACGCCACGCGCGACTTTTGACCTCCACTCAGTGTTCCGATCAGCTGTAACCTATCGTCGCAACATCAGCCCGTGGACGTTCGTTGGGTGCGGACAATCAGTGTGTATGTGGGAAGAAGGGAGAGAAAACGCACCCCGTCATACCACTGATCTGGAAATTCCCCAAGTGCCCTCTATACTCCTGTTCCGTCCGTCCCGGGAACTTCGACGCGAGGAACTGCACGGGCGTCATTGTGGGGATGAGCGTGTCGACGTGGTGTTGCGCGAAGTAGCCACTACGAGATGTGTTTGTGGTGTTATGAGTGTCTGAGCGTGAGAGGGTAGTGGACGTACACTCTCAGTCGTCCATTGCGGTTCATCTGGCCGCCTTGTGGGCTCAGCTCGCCTGTTAGGAGCTTAATCCTACATAACACAACAAACGGGGGTCAACAAACCTTCCACTCCTCCTCTTCCACTTCCTCATCATTCTTTTCGGAGTAGGAGAAAAACGCACAACGTAGACTTCCCCGCCCCATTAGCACCCACAATCGCGATCCGCGAATCCAGCCCCACGTCGATATGGATCTTGTTCAGGATAGGCTTGGCGGGGTCGTAGCCGAAGGTGACGTCTTGGAGTTGCAGGAGCGGCGGGGAGATCTTTTCAGTTTCGGGGAATCTGGGGTAGGGGAGGGTGAGTTGAGTGGGGTCGAACAACGAAAAGGGGAGTGGTGAGGAAACGAACTTGAATTTCTCCGTTTCTTCGGTTTCTGGGGGCGTGATTTCTGGAAGCTGTAGGCCATTGCGACTGTTAGATATGCGACTCGAAAGACGGTTCAATTAAACGAACATACCTTCTCCAGAATTTTGATCTTCGACTGTGCCTGCGCGGCTATACATTCCCTCGCACATCAGCCCGAGTACGAGGGCGGGTAGGGAAAGAAGAAAAGAGAACGCACCCCGATTAGCATTATACCTCCACCTATCAATGAAGGCCTGAAGATGTTTCCGGTACTCCATTTGGGCGTCGTATTCGCGTTGTAGATTCCGTTCGCGTTCGGATTTGGTGGAGTAGAATTGGGCGAAGTTTCTATGATAGAAAATGAGTTACAGACTGTTGGTGGAGGAGAGCCGAAGCGAAGTGGTATACCCTTTGTAGTAGTCCAGACGTCCGGAATGTTGGTGAACGATGTCGGTCGCGACGGCATCCCTATAACGAAAATTCTCAACCATCTGCGATACCCTGAGGTGTGCTGGCTAAGAACTTACAAGAACGCTCGGTCGTGAGAACTGGGAAGAGTATCAGCGAGTGCTTTAACAAGACGGCTAGAAAGAATACGTACACGACAAGAAGGGTGCCTGCCCATGTTTGAAGGTAATCTTCGAGCCACGCAAGAGCGTTCAAATCGACTATGGATGGAGTCAGCCTTGTTTCCGAAGATGATCCAGGCGGTGAAACGCACTGTGATTTGAAGGCTCATCGAGAAGCAGAAGTGCAGGCTATAAATGCGCTTCAGTTATCAGGATGGATCTAGCGTTGAATCGAAGGGCCACAAACCTTGACGAAAAGGGCCCGAGCAAGCGCAAGTCGCATCCTCCACCCACCACTGAAACTCCTCGTAGGCCTACCCTGATCCGCCTCATTGAATCCAAGGCCAGCCAAAAGCGCCGCAGCCCTCGCCGGCCCACTCTCCGCCTCCATCTCCGCCAGCCTCGCATGCACCTCCGCCAACCTTCCACTGATCTCGTCCTTCGCCTCCTCTAGTCTCACGTCCGAGTCCCCACCCTCCTTCTCGAGCTCTGCCAACTTCTGGTCCAAATTCCTCTGCTCCTTGAGGAGATGGTCTCGCCAGACGTCGGCTTTGAGCACGGAGTCGATGGCCGTGGTGTCGTCGCCGATGATTTCCTGTTCGACGAAGAGGATGGTGATGTGCGGTGGGATGGGGACTTCGCGCATCGCGATGTGCCGGAGGAGGGTAGATTTACCGACTCCGTTGCGGCCGATGAGACCGTAGCGACGTCCGTGGGCGAGGGTGAGAGAGGCGCCGGAGAGGATGCGGTTGGAGCCGAAGTTGACGTCGATGGAGGGGAGGTGGATGTCTTTGGATTTGTTCTTGGAGGCTGCGGCGGCTTCGAGAGGGTTGATCTGAAGGTGGAATATCCGTGAGGTTATGGTGGAAAAGGTGGGATTGGAGGTGACTACGTACCTGCATGTACAGTTCCTCGTAGGATTGCTAGTGAACGGGGGTTAGCACTGTGGTCCATATGTACAGACGGAACATGGAATTTGTACCTGTTTCTTTGTCTGTTCCAGTAGCTTGGAGCCCTCATACAGATCTCTCCGAGCTCTTTTCTCGATTTTAGCCTGTGTAGCTCGGATATTAGTATGTATGAGTTGTGTGGCGAAACAAATATTTTACCTTTAGCTTGGCCTCCTGCTTCTCAAGTTTTTTGACATCGACTCGAGAGGCTCTGTGTTCGTGTAAGAATAGGTTTAAGACGAAAGGGCCTAAGCACACACTTTGATTTATTGATCGACTCCAAGTCGACGCCTTCCGTGAACTGGATGGTACTTGACATGGCACTGGCCTTGCTCATATCCATGACCTTGTCCAGGCGCTGCAGCTTTGGTCCAGCTTTGGCCTTTTCTCTTGATGTGATCAAGTCCTGTAGAAGTGTACCAAGCTTGGACATGAGCTCGTCGACAGCTTCCTGCTTGCCCATTGCCAGGGACTCGAGCATGTAGCGTGCGACGCTGAGGATGTCTTCGTCTTCGGCCGCATCATCGACAAGATAGCCTGAGAGATATTGGACGACGATTTCTTCAGTTCCAGGCAGAGACGAGCGAATTTCTTCTGCGATATCGTAGGAGGACATGACGGGCCACAGCACGAAAGTGTGGCTCTAGCTTTGCTTTGACCGAGGGGAAACAAAGTAGCGCTATGGTGGGGTTAGGGTCAGCGTCACAGCCATATTTCTCATGCCGTGCTGTCCGCGCCTCCTTATCCCGTACACTCACCATATACTCCTCCTCACTGTTCTCTCCGACGATGACGAGCACCATCACATCCACGTCAACCGAGACTTGGTGCATCCTTGAGAAGCCCAAGTCATCCACCACAACCGTCAAGGTCGTCACACGCGTCGTCCAACGCAAAGCTTCCACGCCGCCACAGGAACGCCCACCGGTGTTAAAGGTTACTCCTCCAAAGGCTCTTCCAAAGGCCTCCACATCCTCGCGCTCTGCCGAGTCTACAAAGAAACGGAAACGCGTCACGCAGGACAAAGATGAAGTCAGGCGGCTCAAAAAGTCGCGTTCGAGCTCGGTCGAGTCAACCCTCACCGCGTCGTCGCGTGTTACCCCCTCCTCCTCACGTTCTTCCGCGTCTTCGTCGCGCGCGCCTACTTCGCCACCCATGACGGATTCAATATATCGCAGCGAGAGCAGTCGATCGCGTTCTACGTCCGTGCTGCCGCCAACTGTGTCGCGTGAGCCCATTTCCCGAAACTGCTACATACATGAAGATGGCAAGCCGGGGGACCTCCTATTATCCTCCGAGAGCGTCTTGAGGCGTCTGCAGAAATCGTACAAGCCATGTAAGCACATCTCGCTCGTTTAAGGTTGTTCTCTTGTTCCCTTTCTTCCGCTTGACTGTGAGCAACGACTCAGATGACACCCATTTCGGGCCACAGTTATAGTCAAACAGTATAACACATCTTCGACAGTCAGCTGTGGGTGGTCTCGGGATTAAGTCCAGCAGAGCTTACCTCCTTCGTGTTTAACTTCCTCGAATAAAGCTGGTTGATGCCCATAATTCAATTGAATTTAATGAATTTTTAATATCGTGTGGCAATCAATCGCCTGCACAGGCTGTCAATGCTAATACACCATACATCACAGATTTCAAGAATCCAGACGACCCGAACGACAGATACTATGACGATTTTGTCGTATGCTTGCAATATCCAAATAACAATGCAGTCGAAGACTTCCTCATGCAAGTGCCCATCGACCCCCAACACTACGACCCCATCATGGATCTGAAAGAAACCTTGCGGACTATCGTTGACCGTTCGTGTTCTTGCGACATCCATACCCTACACGAGTTAATATTTTCCTCGGCGTAGATTACCTTACACCGCCTCTCCGAGCTCTCCTTGGGACTCCTCCAAATGAGCTTCTTCCCTCCGGGCCAAGAGACCGCCCAGACTGGCTCCGTCTGCTCGAGCGCGCCCATCTCCGTGCTGATGGACCCGCCTTCCTCGCGGCCATCACTGCCATCAACAAATTACTCCTGGACTTGAAGTACCCCGCTCTCCCCCCTGATATTTTTCAAGACGCTCCCCCAAACAGTATCAAAGAATCGGTCTCAGCATGGACGCCCACAGGGCTCCCTTCCGCCGTCGCGAGGCGCATCGTCGAGGAAACCTACCAACGCGTCGTCGGGCCTCGAATCGCAGAACTTCGCAAGTACGAGTCGTTCTCGAGCACGGTGTACGGCGAGCTTCTGCCTAATTTCGTCGAAGACAATATCATACGCCTCGGCGGACTCGGTCCTGGGAAGCTGTTGGTGGATTTGGGATCCGGCGTGGGCAATGTCCCGATCCAGGCGGCGCTACAGACGGGATGCAAGTCGTTTGGGATCGAGGTCATGGAGGCCCCGGCAGATATTGCGAACGAGCAGCTGGATCAGGTCAAGATTAGGGCGAGGATGTGGGGTGTCGCGATGGGTGAAGTTGAGTTGGTGAGGGGAGATATGTTGGAGGATCGGAGGGTGTCGGAGTTGATGAGCAAGGCAGATGTGGTACTCGTGAACAATAAAGTGTTCACACAGAGTTGTGAGTATTCTGCGGTTCCTTTTGCCAATGCCGTGCTCTGACGAGGCTGGTTACAGTGAACGAAGCCATTCGTCCGAAGTTTTTGGACCTCAAGGAAGGCGCCCTGGTCATCTCCCTCGAACCGTTCGTCCCTACCCTCAATGCGCGCATGACGGACCGTAATATCGGCGACTTGTCAACCATCTTCGACGTCTCGCGACATGAGTACACGCCCAACAGCGTTTCGTGGACAGACAACGGTGGTATCTTCTACGTGCACCGCGTCGACAGGGAGGGCTACGCTAGGATCGTGGAGAAGTATGAGGCAAGGCAGAGCGGGAGGAGTACCAGGAGTCGACGATGAATTTGGACGTGTGGAATCTCGAGATATCATCGGACGGTTTGTACCGATTAATCGGATGGGCTGGTATACCATTTAGAGGATTGAAAGTGGAAAAGTTGTCCTTGTTTTCTGTTTCTGTTTTCCCCCTTTTCTTTGGTTCGTGGCATTTCTCATTCTGTTTGCCTCTTCATCGTTTTCCGCAATTGGACGCGTCGGGACTAGCGACCGAACGTCGGCATCACAATCGACATTCGCGCTCGGGACCTCCAGTCATGGAACTGTCTGTGTGTATTTAATGATCGCCATTCTGTTTATCATCTACTTAAATCCCTTTACGAACTAATCTGTCTATAATAAGTTCTGCACATTCTGCACGACCCTACCCTCCGCTCCTGCATTTCTCTGCACTTTTGCTCTTCCCTTCATTGGCCACAGCTTATATATTTTCTGGCGCGTTTCAGGTATCCTTGTTTGCTTGACCCTTAACTGGCCCTAGTATATACGACTTCTGTCTTGCCTGCCCCCTCTACTCATTCACTTTCGGGTCAGGATCGTTTCTCTGTCTATATTTACCGTACTTCCTCACGCATCTCGTTATATTGTTCACGTTCATAGGCCGCTTCCTTATTTGCTTGTGGTTCGTCCTGCCTTGTGTTTCTCCTGCTTTCGAGCTCTGTTTCCTATTTGTCTCTCTTGTTTTCGTCGGTCGTGGCCAATGTATATCCAAGGTTCTGCGTTCAGCGAAAGTGCTGCAGTTGGGATGTTTTTTTCGAAACGGAAAGGTAACCAAACTCGAGACTTCGTCTGTATGCCTTCAATCCTTTCACAAAACTGTTTATTTTCTTGCCAAACAGGCGCAATGGAATGTCATCTTTACTAGTGAGCCATTGTTAGGAGTGGAACACATTGCTATATCCACGAAGTGGTCCGCCGAGGTGCTGGAAAAATAGGCCGTAAATATTCCTCGGCGAACGCCGAGTCGAACGGTCCCGTTTTCAGACCTCGTTTTCTTCCTGACTTGCCTTCACTTTCGGATGCTTTATTTTCTGTAGTCGACCAGCCTCATGTTTCGCTTGCTGTACGCAAATGTTCATGAGCCGAGGAAGCGGAAGCGTCATCTACAACACGGACCCCTATGGACCTACAGGCTTATAGACTTCTGGTGACTCGAGTGGGAGGTTGGTGGGAGGACTCCCGGGCCTGAGGTCTGATATACTCGCTGGTCGCCCCAACTTGCATCGTTCCCTGAGGTTTTCGTAAAATAGACTGCCTTGACAATTCATTGATGTGCTATTCGAGCTCGCTAATGTGGACGTTCTCATACGAGTCAGTATGATATATCACAGAGCCTTCGGTCATTTTCTGGTGGTTCGGGTGGCGTAATATCCACGAAAGTTATATATACCTGGGCCAACCGCCTCCTGGAGGACCATCTCCTCGTCGTAAACATATCACGATGTCTGACAGCTCTGACACCACTCCTCCCTCTCCCAAATTGGCTACAACTCATGAAGAGACTCTTGGGGAGATTAAGGCTATCCTAGAGGCTCGACCGTCCTTCACCAGCGGAACTATGCCCCTCACTCCTACTGAGTCCACCCTGTTCTATGCCCAAGGTCCCGACGCGTGGTGGGTATATTTCAACCTCTCCATCTTGTCCATACCTGACCTCTCTGAACCCATGTTATGGATATATACAGGCGTATCGATCTTGCCAACGCAACAGAGGACCAACTCGTGCATCTTTCTCAAATCTGCGCCGCTGCGACATTCGGGCGCAACCATGAAGACGTGCTGGACGAGACGTACCGGAAAGCCCGAAAGCTCGATCGCTGTGATTTCGCTTGTCATTATGATCCAATCCAATCCGGACTCGTTCGAGTGGCGTGTGGAGATATTCTTGCCGCAAAGGATGGATCACGGCCTGTCAGAGCTGAGCTGTACAAGTTGAACATCTATGGTTCGTACTACTACTGCACGCTCTGACTCATGTTCCCGCTCACTCAATACTACCCCTCAATACTACCTGTCAATACCTCCTAACAGGACCAGGTTCTTTCTTCAAACCCCATCAAGATACGCCGCGCGCGTCGAACATGTTTGGGTCCCTTGTGGTCGCGTTCCCGACTCAACACGAAGGTGGCGAGCTCGTACTGCGTCCGCGAAACATGGATACGGAAGTGTGTCTCGACTTTAGCCAGTGGTTGGGAGCGAAGGAAGAACCGCACGTGGCCTATGCCTGTTTCTTTGGCGATGTCGAGCATGAAGTCTATGAAGTTACTAATGGTTCGCCTCTTCTCTCTCTCCCTTCATCGCGATATTCCATGCTGATAAGTATACTCTTACAGGCTATCGCGTCACTCTCACTTACAACCTCTATTATGCCGATCAAGATGTCGGAGTTCTTAGGCATTCCAAGATCGTCCAGCCCATCGAGCAAAACCCTCTCTTGCAGAAACTTTCGACTCTCCTCGATGACCCTGCCTTCCTTCCGAATGGTGGTACCCTCGGTTTCGGGCTCCGGTACCAATACTCTGTCAACGAGCGTTCGGACTCGAAGGCAATCGCTTCCGTTCTCAACGTCATGAAGGGCAGCGACGCCGATCTCCTTTACGCCCTACGTTCAAACGGGCTCGATCCGTTTCTCATGGTCATCTACATGGAAGAGGGATACACCATCATGTGTCCCGAATATGTCGAACCTCCCGAAGAGGTTGACGTTGATGATGACTGGGTCTCGGATATACTTCTTTCAAGGTGGGCAGGTGGTACCGTCATTGGCCATTCTGTTCGTCAGAGGAGGAAAGATTCGGATGTGGAAGAGCATGTGCGGTGGGTCACCTCACCGTGGACGAATATGAACACCCATGGGTCGCAGTGCATTGCGTATGGTAATCAGGCTTCGCTCAGTGGCCTGTATGGTGATTTGTCGTTGATTGTTCGTATCGGTCCGCCTGGTTCGAGAGGAGAAGTAGCTGAATAGGCGCAGAGTCGATCTACGCTTCGTCTCGTAGAATATTTCGTACATAAATAAATGAGCTATGTGATTCACTCCGTCGTGTGGTGGACAATGATAGTGATACTTTCTGTGAGAAATGACGGTGCTGGAATGGTTTTGGGCCACAACATAGCTCGGGGTGCCACCCAGTTCGTTTCCTGCTCTGATGTCACCTCAACCGAACATGGCCCTTCTCTGCGGACATCCGCTCTCCCTCCTCGCTCTAGCTCCCAGCCAGCGCATCAAGCCATAACCTATTCTTGACGTGTAGTATACTTGTCTCACCCTCCCCTTTAGGATTTCTGGTGTTGATTCCCACAGAAAAGAGCGACAGGACACACGTTCGTATCGCACTACCCACACAGCTATCAACTTTGCTCGTGTACGACTTGCTCTTCAACTTCTGCCTCGACCTTTCATCTGATCTCGTGCTTGCTCGAGCATACTACCATTGTACACGTTATACCATGGCTATCGATTCGGAACAACCACCTGCTGAAGTAGAAGAGGAGGAGGAGATTCCGGAGCCTGTGCCGGTGGTGCATGCTGAGCACGAGCCAGTGGATGAAGGGGAAGAGAGTGACGAGTATGATATCGAGGTGCGTCTTATCTCTCGATTCTTCAGAAGGAAACCGGGCTGACGTTTACTTGGTTCTCGACGGTGTAGAATGAGGAGGATGAAGAGGGAGGAGGGTTCGAGGAAGATGATGACGAGGACGATGCCGAAGCTGGAAAAGTACGTATATATCCTCCTTCACGCTCAAAGACCTACTGATGATCTGTGTCTTTCAGAGGCACAACTTGACTGCACTCCTGCTGGGTGGCGGCGGGGTTAGTCTCATTGTTTCATGCATCTATCCCCTTTGCGTCTTTCCCTTCCCCGTTCAAGGCCCAGCTGTATACATCGTGTCTCGAATCTAACCGCACAACGTTTTCTTTCAGGCTGATGAGGAAGAGGAAGAAGACTATAACGAGGAAGATGGCGACGGCGAGGACGACGAACCAGCTCCGACACTCGCGAGCTCTGTTACTGGGTCGATGACGTCTGGTCTCAAAAGAGCAAGGGAAGAGGATGTCGAGGACGAGGATGGGGTGGGTCCGCTGGCCGACGGAGAAGATAAAGGATACGAAGAGGATGCAGAAGACAGGGTAGGGGCGAAGAAGGTCAAGACGGACTAAGTCAGACAAGGGATGGTGATCAGAGCGGGAAGGCTTAGCCGCGAGTTTGTCAGCTACGAAACGAACAGACAGATATATCTGTGCAGCGGTGTTGTAAGATTCAGAAGGTGGCGTGAACTTATTTCTTCTCTTATTATATATGACGTTTTGCTGTCGACGCCTCCGGTGTAGAACGGACACAAAGATGCTATGTTTCGTGAGTGCATACATAAATCTTGGAGTCGATACTAATCTAACCTCCTCACTTAGTAGACAATATTAGACTATCTTACAAGGAACGGGCGACTGTCTGAAGAGTTGCCTTGGTCTCCTGGGGATTCATCAGGTAGTCGGTGGGGTGAGACAGCCTATTGGCGCCGAAATTTCGCCGTTGCGGGGTGTCCAGACCCCCAGGCTCCAGTTATTCACATCCAAAAGTGAAAAGCTTTCATAGTCAAGCAAGCCCTCCGGCGAGCCATTCGTACAGTGCACATTCGGCTACGGTGGTTCGTCGAATTTTCGATGGCAGGCATTACCCATACGCCACAGCTGTTTTGGCCGCATGGACGGAAGCTCACCATTAGGGTCGTTCAAAGTTCAAAATAAGAGCTCCTGGAAGCTCCATTCTAGGCTGTAAAAGTGTCCTAGCCTTCTAGGAAGGACTCTAGAAGCATTCCAGGAAGGACTCCAGGAGACCTCGAGCAACCCGGTTGTATATTTGGTCTTCCGGATGTCCACCAGGACTGAATATGTCTCCATTAACGCGCTTTACGTTGGGTTCCCCACTTTCGCAGAATCACCATCGGTCGTTACACCGATTGATCTTCTTTTCCTTTTTTTTTCTGTTTCTGTTGCACCACCGAGCGGTCATCACAACATCGTCACTCGTGGCAGATTCGTGATCACACCATGATCATCTTCAGCCTCGATACTACGGGGCGGTCCTGCTTGCCGGTTCTGGTCCCTACCGTTCCGCACTTGGACGTCTGGACACTGAGATAGCATCAACATGGCTTGTGGACGAGTTCGCCGATCCGAGGATGTTGTTTGCTTGGAGAAATGGCGGTGCATCATTTCCTTGCAACACGATATGCGCCATTTTTCTGATGTAGGAGTGTAAGTTTCCCGTGCGCTGCTCCGTACTCAATGTGAAGTCAGGAATGTGCCAGAATCTGTGGAGCGTGCTTTCAGGGTTTCCCGCCACTCCACTTACTATGTCTGACCCAGTTCTGCAAATTCGGCAAATCAAGGCATTGTGCACAATCATCGTGCATTGTATGAGCTATCTTTTTACCCAGCCATATGCAAATACATCTCAGCTATGTACTACGATTTTATCAGCATTTTTTGAAAGGGCGAATGTGGTTGTCAACGTCGAGCGCGACGACGAGTGCCTGCACCCTGTAATGCAAATTTGCACTTTTGGCGGGCCGGAAGCATTCCGACGCGCGTCGCGAGTCCGAAGTGCAAATTTTCGACATTATCGAGTATTTTGGCGGTTCATGCGTGACATTCGTCAAACAAAGTACCCAGGAACAATCCCATCCAGTATCTGCAACCTGTAGAATATTTTAAAGACAAACAGAAAGGACCTCGAGGTGCAAAGTCGGAATTTGCACTACTGTAAGATTTGCACTACTGGGTCAGGCATAGTATTTCCCACCCTCCATTAGCGTCATGACAGTCTGTTCGTCTTGTGAGTACCCCCTTGGAAATACATTAGCTATATCCTCGAAAATAGCCCACGTGTCTGGTTTGGGGGTGCGGGTGCGTCTCTGACACCCGCGGTTGGACTCCTTGTAGAACACTACCCCTGGCTGCCATCTGCTCCGTCTTATTGTGCATCTAGACAATTATTAGGGGTTTTCAAACCTCAGCTTTCGACGCAGCTTTCAGCGTAGCTTTCGACTATGCTTTCCGCTTTCGTGGCGGGACTGCCGCGCGTCGGACTCCGAAATTGAGACCCTCGTCTAGGGTTGGGTCTCGCCACTCAAGGTATAGCTGACAACATTTAAGACTTGCCGAAGTGTTACCTTTGCAAGAATAGATTTCTGAAGTGCTCAGACTGGATTCTCTGAAGATCTTGACGTACCTCACTGATAATTAAGTACACAGTGCGTTGAAAATCCGAGTAGAAAGCTTCCTTCCTCTGTGCATCATCTGCAGCTATGTGTCCAACTTGGAAATGTGGCAACCCTATCTGACTCTGTGCTGCATGCATGGACCGTTTATTGGGGCTCTGTTATGACTTGCTTTTCCCAGTATTCTTAAACCCTGTGAGCTCTCCATTCAATCTTATATGTGACAGTACAAGCGACACACTGGAAGACATGAGCTTGAGGGAGCATGTGTGGCGCACAGCTACCCATCCTATGGACAGCTCGGTAATTGTCCAAGATGTGCAATTCTAAGTTCAAAGGGGGGTTTTAGAGGACATATATAATGTGGCTCTCTATAATAAGCATAAAACGTGCATTCGGAGCACATACACCGGTGTTGCATGAGTATAAGTAACATGGTAGCTGATGATTGTGGCGTCCGAAGAGCATTACAATCAGTTATTAAGTTACTTGTAGACTTAGTAGAGCCGCCAAATTGTTCGAAACATTTCGAGCAGGTCTTAGATTGTGTAATTATATTTCCACCAATTTTATTCTGAGCAAGAGAAGGCGAGCTTAAATAAGGAGTGCAGTGCAATACACATCATGATCAGCCAAAAGACATCAAGTGGCGAGACCCAACCCTAGACGAGGGTCTCAATTTCGGAGTCCGACGCGCGGCAGTCCCGCCACGAAAGCGGAAAGCAGAGTCGAAAGCTACGCTGAAAGCTGCGTCGAAAGCTGAGGTTTGAAAACCCCTAATGTGTAATCTTAGCCACTGTTTGGTGAGTACTCTTTCAAGGTCCCAGGCGGACAAAATATCTCGCGTGCGATATGCCATTTTGGCACCCGATACTCACCCTATTTGGTAGACCTACCTCATTGGCGGGTGTTTTCCCACACAAAATTCGATTCGGAACTCAAACTCGTTTTCAAACTCGTTCTCGACCTCAGAATTTGTTGGGAATCGTCTCGCCGGCCGATCAGTGTGCGGTGAGATGCAAAATGGGCAGTTGCATCTCCGAAAGGGACCCTCACGCCAGCCGACCCCAGGAGATGCAAAAGAAAAGAAAAGAAAAATAATAATGTCCTGGTGGCCAATATCCTGCCTCCAGCATTGAGTCGCCTGAAACTCTCGTCTTTATTAGTTGATGCGCCTCCACGGCTGCAACAGGCTCTCCTGTTGGGTACTTATAGACACCTTCGCCACCTGAAGTACACCTGAAGTGCCGCACCTCTGGAGTCCGAAAAGTCCGTCTATAGGCCTATAGCGGGCAATTCTTTCCCCGACTGGCGAGGGTATGTCTGCGGGGTCCTAAAGTCTTGCACACTCTCTTTGCATCAATTGGCATGTAGAACTGATATTCAGTGGAGTGCCTTACGCTTTAAAGCCATACACGGGCAATACATGCGCCACAGTGGCTACAGGACAAGATGTGGCCCCGGCAACCGGCACCTTTGATGCCCAATATGGAACACTGGTGGCCCCATTGGGCACTAGTCTCCCACAGACAGACCTTGGTGTTGAAGATAGGACGTTCAACGTGTCAAGTCGGGCACTCTCCATCCCTGTATGGCCTTTCAAACTGGGAGTTTTAGTAGTATAAATGAGTTTTGAAAACGAGAACGAGTTCTGACAATGAAAACCAGTTTTGGCATCAAGAACGAGTTGAATATGGAAATGATGGTTCGGTTTCTGTCAAAAGTGTGAGAACGTCCCGATTTGATTAAAAACCGGTCCGGAAACCACTGTTCTCATGCGAATAATTTTGTCTGGTGAGGACCTTCATAGTACTCTGCTGTATACTGAAGCTTTATCTCCCGGACGAGTATATATTGGAATAGGTCTAATCGTTGATCTATTTCCCGGGTCTTCTACTCGTTTATCTATATCATGGACCCATTGGGTATCCTGAATACAATTCCTTCTTTCCTTCCTATCAACTCGCCATGTCGAACACTGTATCAGTCGACGGTAGCTCGAGAGATGTTCTCGGCTCGGTGGTCATTGTTGTATGCCAATCCCTAATTTATGGTAAGATAGCAACCTACCTTCACGAGTAGGACGTACTCTTTCTGGAACTGACTGTATCTGCTCGTTGTTTTAGGGGCATTTGTGGTAATTCTTCCAGTGTCGATGTCCCTTCTAATGCAAGCGCGCATTCTCTCTATATTGACTATGTTTCTCGTGTCGACAGCATACTGGAGTGTTTCCCTCATCTTTCTTCTCTCTAAGGTGAAACACGAAGCTGTTGAGGATCGCTCGCGCATTTGGTCGAACATTATGAGCGCAATTGTGACTATCAATGTGCGTTTTCTCTGACCCGTAGTGAACAGGGGCAGCATACTCACTGAGCGCCAGACTTTCATCGCAGATGCTGTCCTTGTCTGGAGAGTTGAAATACTGTGTGCAGATGAGTTGCATTGGTTGATCATAGTAGCTATGTTCTCTCTATTCTTGACTGGGGGTGCGAATTCTTTTCCTGATTCGTCGGAGTGACACTGGCACTTTGCTAACAATATTGCCGTTGTAATATCTCTCTTATCATAGCATCGGTGTGTACCACAATTGCATTACGCATTACTGTGTCCTTTCTTTCGGGAGGAATCACCCTCACGGAAACTCCCACATACCATGCCCTCACTGTCGTCCAGGTCGCGACGGTTGGCATCTCACTGATAACCAATCTGCTTTCTACCTCGGCGGTTGGGATCTATGTATGGTGCGTGTTTCTGATCTTCTTTTGGCGACCCATTTGCCACCATGATAAACTCATGCTGGAGTCATATTTCATCAGGAAGTATCGTCGATTCGTTCGTAATATGTTGAAGCATGACAAGGACACCAAGATGGGACGCGTTCTCGTGTTATTTGCGGAATCTGGCTTGTTGTATTCTCTCTTTGTGGTTTGTTTATCCTTCCTGCGACCACAGTATGCGTCTGAAGTAATATCTGGGTAAATAGACCATGACTTTTGTAGGCCGTTTTCTCAAGGTGACCATCGGGACCGTAGAAGACATCACTGGCAGCGTTCTCGCGCACCTTTCAGTGAGTATTCCCTTTTTCATATAGCGCCTCATTTCGTGAGGTTCTGGCTCATGTTCGTCGTTCTTGCTACGGCCAGGGAATTTATCCGACCGTCATTATAATTGTGGTCAGCTTGCAGGGCACCGTCCACAGCTCACAGTTCACGGTCAATCAGAGTGTCTGTGTTGATTCCGTCCCGTCCGCCGCGGACTTCACACAGCCCCCTACACAGCAGTCAATGCAAGAATCAAAGGTGATGCTCATCAGGGAGCGGGAGATGTGCAGGGCATCTTTCGCCTTCTTCCTGTGCTACTCTCTTTATGAGCTTCGGCGGCTCGAAAACAACTCGCGTATAGTCTATCTGTGTCTTACTTCCTTTCGAGAATAATGATCTTAGTTGTAGCCCCCAAAACAGTATCAGATTCTTCGTCTCATTCGCAGCGTTGTTCCTCTGAAAGTATCACGGTTACAGGACTTGGCTGCAGCATTGATGATACTCACTCGTTGACCACGATCACGGTCCACGTCCGTTCCGACAGAACCTCCATGATCCCGTAGTATTCAGATCCCGCACGACTGATATAACAATACCAGGACTGCCAACATGGCCATAAAGTTAACAGCGGCAGATAACCCGCGTCCGATTATTCCATGATCGGAGAGCAATCAATCACGGTGCGTCTCCAGTGTAGCAACAGGACTAATAAGTAGTGTCTCTCTGCCAGGACAGTCGATATCGAGACTTTGTCCAATCTGCATCTTTGCGATGTAGATCACGATCACGCGGCTAGCAGTGGAATATGATTGCGAGTAGCATGCTGTGACATTGACGACGATGGACTCCCTCCGTAATACTCTTGTTTCAGAGATATCAATCCAATTTCCTAGTGAAGATCATTAAAGTTGCTGTGTAGATCGGCCGAAGATCAACCTGTTCTGGTACTGCCTTGTTAGTATGACATATAAGTATCAGCGTACGTCCATACTTGATGTTTCAGAATTTCTATTCATGCGAGACTCACTTCCTCGATAGTGGGACCCATCGTATCTGTACTCAGATGACCACCAGCACAAAATCTCTCGTTTTCTCGGTAGCTACTGTCGTGGGTGAATCTTTGATTTATGGTGCGTTAGTACTCCGTCCACAATACACTGACCATGAAGTATGATTATTACTGCTCATATGTTTCCATATACTCTCAGGGATATTCGTTCTGATCGTCCCAATTACCAGCGCACTTTTGATGTCCGTCTTACATGCCTGAATTTTATCCTTCCTGTCAGCACTATTAATGTGGAGATACAGCAAACGTGGCTTAGGCACTCGTGCGAATCTCATCCTGATGGCGGCGGTGTGGATTATGTTTGTTCTGGCAACAACAGACTGGGGGATCTCCCTGGCTTTTTTAATAGCCAAGGTCACGGCGGGGGATGCGTCTCATACACGGTTGAATATATGGGCAAATAATATCAATGCGATTGTCCAAATAAATGTGCGCATGCGAACTCAAAATTTCTTTTTGATGTATGGTGTTACGTGTACCGTGCTTATTATGGGCTAGACGGTGATCGCGGATGCCGTCCTTGTGTGGAGAGTAGTAGCGATGAGCAGACACGAGTACTCGAAACTTGTCGCTACGTCGATAGCGTCCTTGGCTCTGACCGCGGGTATGTCCAGCGTTCTAAGAAATTGCTCACGAATATCATGCTTATACTGTGGTTGTGTGTATTGACCTTCAAGCATCGGCTTGCACCACTATTGGGTTGAGGCTTACACTCTCTATCACGCAGGGACCAAAGGATACCCATAGTCCCATAGTACATGCACTTCAGCATGTCCAGATCTCGACATCTGTGATGTCGCTCATGACCAATATCATCTCTACCTCCGTCGTGGCACTCTATGTCTGGTGTGTCTAACTATTTTCTTAGCTCTGGCTAAACTCACATCGAGATTCTGATGTTAGGAAGTATCGACAGATCTTGAGGAGAAGGGTCTTGAGCGATAAGGTTGTCCATGTTGGACGAATCCTGATATTGTTGATCGAGTCGGGACTGCTGTACTCCCTCTACATGGTGATATTTTTCACATCTCAGATGACACAAGAAATTGCCTTGATGGTTAATCTGAGACTGATGTACGTCTATTTTAGATATCGAACATTGCATGCTCTGTGGTTTCCGACGGCATTGTGGGAGATGTCGCCAACAGTATGCTTGCTCATGTCTCTGTATGTACCTTTGTTTATCCTGTCTACTAATTCACACTTATCACTGTGTCTATCTGCTCATATGAAATTCGTAAAATAGGGAGTATATCCAACGATAATTATTATTATTGTCAGTGCTCAAGGAGTGGCCGGAAGCTCAAGGGTGTCCGCCTCAGATCAAGAATCCCAGGCGCCTACCACGAAAGGTATACCCAGCGTACGATTCTCAGTAGAAGATGTGAACCCTACGACAAGCATAGCGACAAGTCGCTGTCAAGCTAATTCTCGATACCGTTCGTCGAATGAGATAATCGGCTCCAGTTCCATGCTGTCTTCAATTGTATGGGTGGACACATAGGGAAGGATTTTCACCTTGTTAGTGTAGTCACTTCACTTATCCTTCGATCTGAATTTGAGTAGTAATGTCGATGCCGTGAATAGTTGAGATATGGGATAGCATGGTTTACTTGCTTTCAGTCGCTTGGAATTACTTACTCTATATGATATCCTTACGGGTGGGGCTGATGCTTACAGCGCAGATTAGCGTAGCTCAAAGGACACAACCTCGATGAGGACAGTGCAGTGCGTCCATCCTACGTGTCGAGTAAGAGAAAAAGGCTGGAGAACTCAGGACGATGTGATCTATTCACCAAAGGACTCCGTCGGCATCGTCCGAGCGGAGTGCGACTGCCGACTGGACAAAGCTGATCAACTCTGCTGATCCCAGTTCTGTTTATTGTCTTCCGTATGTTTCCTCATGCGTGTGCACTTCGTAGTTCGCACTCTCGCAAGATTATTTATGCAAGAGTCAGTGTTAGTATGTACCTACCGTCACTCCCGTTTTTTGTAAGCTCTCCAAGTCATTTCATTGGCGAGGTCCGAGTCCTACTTATGCTAGAGATGCTATCCGCGCAGCCACAATCGTAATTCTTAGCCCTTCACAGAAAACCATCACAACCATCAACACTCCGTCACCAGGTACATTTCGTACATGCTCACCACTCGATAGCAACGATGCCACTGGCGTGGCGTGGTCATTGAAACTCATACTCGAGCGTCTAGTCAGAGTACTGTACCATTTCGATCGGATGCCATGGTCACACGTCACAGACCCCTCATGGCATAAGGTCTGAGTATCGCAATAATTTTCTTTCGCTTTTTCGGATTTTCAAAGTCGTGTCACACGAGAAATCTCATGGCATCCGATCGAAATGGTACAGTAAATGATGTGCAAAATGTACTTGGAGTTTGAGGTATATCCACTAGAGTACCGAAGCAACATCTCGACACGCTACCCTCTCCCTTGATCCGGTCAACGCGGGATATCCCACGTATCAACTTGTGTTCGACTCGAGTTCACACAAGTGTATACTATATAGAGCTGCAATCTCCACGGGTGGAGAATCCCGCTCAGGACGCCGTTTCGCATCAGCATTCTCAACATTCTAAAGGACTTTCACCATGTGTATAAGTATCTCCGCATAGCTGACACGTCCCCGCGATTTTACACGCAGCCGGGTCACCTCGTCCTACTGGTCTCGCTTTCGAGGCTGAGCTCTGATGGTCAAAATATCCATTATTTCTTCCGTAGTGGTCGTCGTCGCCCAATCTCCGGTCTACGGTAAGCATACTAGTAAAACATACTCTCAAACATTTCACTAAGACTTCATCAAGGTATCTTCGCTATGTCGGTCTTAATCGCCAGCGCCCTTTTGGTGTTAGTCCCTCATTACTTCTAAGCATCCTCCGTCAAGTTCTCTTATCACGATATAGTAAGCGTGGCTTGTCTAATCGTACCAATCTCGTCCTGGCGATGTCAATTTGGACGATGTTTGCTCTGTCGACAGCGGATTGGAGTATATCTTTGGCATTGATGATCGCGAGACTAAAGGAGCAAGACGATGCGCGTATCAACGTATGGTTAGACATGACACATGCAATCGTCGAACTCAATGTGCATAATCTCAAATATCGTCCCTTATAATTAATTATCTGACCTCTTGCATTGTTAGAACGTTATTGCCGATGCAGTACTCGTGTGGCGGGTGTGGGTAATAAGCAAGCGCGAATATCCCAGAATTCTCACCTCTTCGGTAGCATCATTGGGTCTGTCTACAGGTACGTGGCCGAGGACATCATCATGGTTTCTACGCGTCTCTTGTGACCCATATATTTATGCTTTAGCATCGGCTTGCACTACCATCGGCTTGAGAGCTATGCTCTCCATTACGCTGGCCGGGGACAATACTGTAGGGAGAAGTCGAATGGTGGAGGCACTTTCGATTATCCAGATTTTGACCTATGCTATATCCTTTGCCACAAATGTCCTGACCACGTCCATCATCGGCCTTTATCTTTGGTACGCACACCGTTGTCTCCGCTTTCTGCCGGATCATGTAACTCACCCTCGCTTCTTCGGCATTTTGATGATCAGGAAATATCGTCGGTTCCTCAGAAAGAAGTTCTTAAGCAACAAGGCCGCCCATGTTGGGCAGATCATGGTTCTGCTGATTGAATCAGGGTTGCTATACTCAATATTCGTAGTAAGACCTCCCCACCCACAGCATATATATATTACGCGCAAGGTACTGTACACTAATGCTCTGGTCCTTTGCAGATATCCTCCAGTATATGCTCTTTATTTCGATTGCAAGTCGGAACCGTCGGAGACATAACGAACAACATACTTGCTCACCTATCTGTACGCAATATTCGACGAAAATTGCACTACAATAATTGCTGAGCCATGCGCATTTTGTCATGACCAGGGCATATACCCCACTATCATCATTATTTTTGTCAGTATCGGAAGCTCAGTCAGCGCCTCAACATATCCTTTTCCTGCAGATATCGAGGCAAGTTCAAGGCACCAGAACCGAACCTCGACGGACCACCCAGTATCCATCAGACAACTGGACAGCAATCTCGGCGTCTCTGTCACGGCAGAAATCAGTCAAGCAGATTTTCATCCGAGTTCATCGGATGGAGGGATAGGCTCTGTCACGATGTTGTCCTCTGTCGTAGGGTGAGACGGATAGGAGAAGTATATGACAATAGTATTTTTTTGAAACCCGACATAGAGAGAAGGGGTCATGCTCGAGAGTGTTCGGACGATGTCATCAATAAAAGGAGTACATAGCAAGTTCGTAAGTTGAGAGGGAGAGAAGGCATACGGCATATGTTCCATAGTAGGTTGTGCAATGTTGACATAGAAATTGAACAGAAAAAATGAACCAAGTCATAGAAGGGTCAACGAGAACGCGGTGAAACGGACTTCACTCATCCATTTTGTGTCTTCCGTGAAAAGGGAACCATCTGAACGCGGTCATCGCACGTGTATTAAAAAAGTAATGGACTCCTTCAAGAAGCGCCGATTCCGCGACGTGATGACTGAAATGACGGTGCATTATGTTCGAAAGACTTGCGTCATTAGCTCTGTGAATTCAATAATAGAGAGGCGAGCACTCACGCATCGACGACGTGTGCGCAGACCTCCTCTCGCGTAAACCAATTCGTGAAGGACCGATGTCGCGTAAGATGCGCAATACAGAGTTCGCATCCCCAGTCCCTCCCCTTGTCTCGATGGTACCGCACCGATGTTTCTCTATCCAAGAGTTTGGCCTGGAATTCTTCGGAAGTATTGAGGAGTTGGAAGTTCGGGATATTCGATTGAGGTGTCGCATGTGCTCTCGAAGGAGAGGGCTGTTCATCGTTATTCGAAGGCAGTGCCATACTGTGTTGGCGCCAGGTGTGCTCAATCTTAAAAAAGTTGCATGTTGAACCATTAGCACGAAGTGCAAGAAGATAGAGTTACACTGGACTTACGCATTCTCTCCATGACATAGTGTCTCGCCCCTGTGGTTTTCTGAATCGGCCGCGTGAATTAGGCAGCAATGGGCAATCCATGCAAACAAATCGAGCGTCGACACGATCCATTGCAGCCACCGTAACGGACAAGGGGGAGCACTGAGGATCCTGTAGCCAAGCCAAGCGAAGTGCCACTTCACAGCCAACACGATCTATCGATAGCTCGGGGGTCGGACGTGGAATAATTTGATCGACATCACCATCATAGGAGAATATCATACCATCTCGACACCTATGAGTAATAATCGCAGAGCCAAGGAGGGGATAGTGAGAGCTCCGACAATCCGGGCCACGGCAGCGAAAAACAACTGGAGCCAGTTGAGAACGCAAGAGGCCCTCATGTGAGTGCCCCCCGAAGGGCATCTGATCCGAGTATTCTGAGGGAATCGAAGAAATAATGATACGTTCCCACACCGCTACCCAATGTTTAGGAAGCCATTGTTGCTCTGTCTCCTCATGATCGTAGAAGCGTTCGGAAAGGATGGCACGCATCCTTTGCTGCATAGTCGAGTCGGAGCTATCGTCATCTGCAAGAATAAGCGACTGAAGCGCGGGGAGCTGCTCTAGGATGTCACGATGGTCCGGAAGGTAGAGATGCCAAGAGTGATTGCGACTTCGGTCGGTGAGGGGCTTGGTAATAGCTTCATCTAGATTGTCTGCCAGAGGACCACGGTAACCTGTAGGTTCTGGGAATCCAGGAATATCGAGCCATTCGATGAGGTCTACACAGACCTCTTCAAGGAGGCGGAGGCGATCTATAAATCGTCCCACACGCTCTATCCGTAGCCTTTCAGCCTTATGCTGGGCGAGAAGAGGCTCAATAATAGCCTTGACTCGTTCCCAAACTATCAACCCATCATCACCGGTAAGCACTTAGACGTCTCCATTATGCAGTTGATACTGACCTCGCTCAGTTAATGGTTTTTCGTTACGGACTTCTTTATGAGTATTGATCTTCTTAAAGTCTGCTTCGGTATATCCCATTTCGAGGCATCGGGCCTTAATTCTGCGAAGCGGAAGGTGAGTGAAGTAGTGAAGAAGTATGGCGATGGTCAGGCAGTCGAAAAAGATCTTACTGAGCTTGACGGTCTATTTTGTTGGCTTCGCGTTTCTCAGAACGAGCGGCTTTGACGGATTGAAACCAATGTTCGTATAGTTCATCGTCCTATAGATAGTAGTGTCGCAATCCAGGTCAGAATGTCAAGCGAGCGCGGACTCTAAACAAGATATTAACCCACAGGCTCTTTCTCTTCCAACCTCTTGGTTTCGGCCATTATGAATTCCTGCAATACGTTCTGCACATGCGCCGGGTCGCTGACAGCAGCGATAATTTGTTCGACCTTGTATTTGGCAGCCTCGACTTGACGCTTCCAAAAAAGGTCTGCATCCTTATTGTGTCTGAGTTCCACTATGCGCTCTATGAAAAGGTGGGAATTGAGTAAGACGTGCCTGATGGAACAATATATTGAACATCACAGACTCGGTATAGCGGGAATGCAACTAAGCAGGATCGGATCGAGACCTGTCAGAATCCGAAGTGCATCATCGCTGGTGAGTACTTCATCGGCCGCTGAGGGACACAGCGACGCTCGATGACACATCCTGAGCGACGAAACAAAATCGAGAGCAATGAAACCCGTATTATTGGCAGTTTTGTCGCAGAACTAGATTCGGAACGTGCACACCGCAGGTCAGAACACATTGGAAAGCGTAGAGAATGATAACATACATCGCACTTGTTGTGGTCAAAGAGGAAGTATGTCCATGCAGGTGCTGAAACATCGCGCGGAAAAGGTGGCGCACCGATATTCTCGTAGGCCACATCCCAGTCCAAGGCGGTGGAATGCGATAATAATATTGCCCTGAACTGCTTGGAGGTGCGCGCAAGCTGAAGAAGATCGATAGGCTGCAAATGGTGAACGACTTCAAGGAAGATCTCTTTAGGGATGTGATTGAATGGACGCGGAGGCCCGGTCGACCGCCGCGGTGGCGGAGTCGTAGCTGTGCCATCCCGTTTCCTCTTCCTGGTGGTCACCGCTGGTCGTTCGTGTGAGTTGGAGTGACACTGTGACCCGGGATCAGTTAGGGGAGCCTGGAGCGGACTCGAGCTGCCCTCGGAATCCTGGATAGCATCATCTCGATCCGTAAATTGTGGAAGTGGAGCTGTCATGATCACCAATGGAAGATACAGAGAGTGGAGAAAGAAAATGAGTTGTCAAAACGTAGGCGATGGACTGATTACGACTTGTGAAAGGCGCCGCACTCAGCTCTATATATACTGTTTTCATTTTACCTTTTTCGGTGACAAAAGGTATGCGGACAATGTCATGGCGATGATAGTATATCCTATCAGGCATAAGCGGCAGCACATATTATATGGGGAACAAAGAACTTGCTTACTTTGGCCGGAATAATCAAAGGGACTATACAACAAGCGAGGCGCATGGGCCGTACGGACACAATAGTGCTTCTCTGCTATCAGCACTCATCACAGGCGACGTGGACAGTGACAGGCAACAACGATAAGATTCTTTCGGCAGTAACCGCAAAGCATCAAGGTTACTGTAGCTGAAAACAAACAAACAAAGCCACAGTGCAGTCGAAACAGGAGCACTACACATTGGGAGGTAGATACAACATAGGAAGAGGACAGGAACGATGCTGTGCTAGAGATAACGATCACAAAGGAAGCCAGGGCAGGAGAGGAAGGTCCTAGGTTGCTGTGTAGACAAAGGACAAAGAAGCCAAAACGAGATCAGTAGTTCCAAACGACAGGGACAGGCTTCGATCTGGCACGCCGCCGTGTGTCGCTGCCAATCCCAGAAGTGGCTCCGGAAGTCTCCACCTCGGAGGATTTAATATGTCCAGTTTCGTTCTTCAGTTTGCTCTTCGAGCGAGTCACTCGGGCCACAGACTGGGAATCGGACGAGGGTTGCGAGTCAGCCACTTGAGATTGTTCGGACCTTTCCGCAACTTTCATATTGTCCTCCGGAGGCGCGACGGTGACACCTATTGGTGAAAGTGAAGCAAGTGACGGTCGCATGAGGAGCAACAAGCACTGACCTGATTTTGCATAAATCCTTTCGTAAGTTCCGGGCAGCCAGCGTTTGGTATACTCCATTGCAACCTTCCGGACTTCGCGCCTTGCCTGCTCTCTAGTCCAGTAATCAGGGGCTTGTTTGATGAGGTCTTCGGCGTTATGCATGATGGTAACCGGGTAATAGTCTCCAGCGAAAAATATGGTGGCTGATAATTCCATCCCGAGTATCAGCATGGTCGATGGCAGAAGGATAGGACACATCATACCTGGACGCCATAGCCCAAGATCGGTCAGCATGTGCCACAACTCTTCGCACGGAAACTCGGATAGCGATTGGGCAATGGAATTCAGTGGAGGGCGCTCAGCAGTGCATTTATGGGCGTCGGAGGCGTGTTCGAAATTGATGAGATATCCTTTATTATCTTTATATACGATATGACGTCGGGAAGGACAACCATGGTCGACGCCTAGCTCGTGGACAGCCCAGAAGGCATCAATGACTTCCTCCCTAAACAAGAATTAGATTCGCACGATGAGATTAGTGGGTGACGGGGAATACTGAATGAGATGAATAAGACGCACTTTGCTTCTGGTGGAAGATCGTCGAAATATTCTGGACGAGGCTCCCCACAGTACTCTAGTACAAGGCAACCCATGTCGTGCTCCTCGAAGTAGCCGTAACAGATCGGTACTCTCGTTCCTTGTACACTGAACAGTTTGCGATAGATCTGAGCTTCGTGACGAAGTTTTAGGACAGCAGGGCCGTAAGCAACCTTGTAGACGACATCACCGTCGCAATCGGAGGGGGGGTTACGAGCAACAGCGCGATAAACGTCGACGTGATTTGTTGTATGGATCAGTTTGGATTGCTCGAGATGGAGACTATCACAAGGGTAATGGTCGTATTCGACAACCCTTATACGTGTACTAGTAGTCGGGTCCACACTGGAAGGGATCTCGAGAAATTCGAGGGCAGCGGGTTCTGAGTTGGGATCTACACTTGAAGGAATCTCGAGAAATTTACTGTCCATAGTGGGCAAGGTCGTAGTTGAGCTTGAACGTTGGATGTTGACGTTGAGTTTTGAAAGGTGACGGTCGAGCTGAGACACGTCCAGGAAAGAATTTACGAATCGTGTTGAAGTGGCGTAAACAATGTCCGCTGATGTTTCTCACAATTGGGCCACAGTAGCTGGCTCTGTTTCCTCTCTTCGACCGCCATGTCTACTTCGAGCATCAGAGCTCTAGAATTCTATAGCGGCATTGGTCTGTCCACATTTTTGGTTCGTATTGTCAAGAAATTATTTCTAATTGATGGATTCTTTATAACTTTAAACCTACAGGTGGTCTCCATCTTGCTCTCGAGCGCAGCTCTGTCTCAGGAGAAGTCGTCCAGGCCTTTGATTGGGATCAATTAGCCTGCTCAGTCTACAATTCCAACCATGAACCTAAACTAGCACGAAAGGTTCATTCTCTCTTTCACATCACCGCATGTCTCGCTCCTTCCTCAGGCCTGATCATAACATGGATCTGAAAGTAGGTCGACATCGCCACCCTCACGCCCGATATTTTGGCCGCGTATGCTGCCGACCTCTGGCTCCTTTCACCATCATGCCAACCATACACTGTGCTTAATCCACAAGCGAAGGGAGCAGATGATCCGAGGGCGGAGTCGTTCCTCTGGATCGTGAGGACTCTGTTGCCGGGGTTGAAGGAGAAGGGGCGTGAGCCTGGCTGGGTATTAATTGAGAATGTCGCTGGCTTCGAGGTACGTTTTCATCTACTCATCTTTATGTCTACCTTGTCTGGTATTTATGGCCGTCATCTCGTGTAGACATCGAGCACGCGGCAGATATTGATAGAAGTTATGAAAAGCCTCGGGTACCACACCATCGAGCTATTGCTCACGCCACTTCAGTTTGGGATACCGAACTCAAGGCTGAGGTATTATATGCTGGCCAGGAAGACGCCATTTAACATTCCTCTTCCTCCATCTTCCCGCCCCTCAGATCCGACCTCGAATGAATGCGCCCTACCACCCGAAGACCGAGTGTGGCGTCATATCCCGGGTCGAGGTTATGACTGGGTCGATCCTCGGAACGGTCTCGATGTTGAGAGTGTGGAGAATAATGTAGATGAGATCAGACGATATCTCGATAGGTCCAAAGAGAGTAGGTGGAAGAAGGTTGTTGGTGAAGACGGGAAGGAAAGGTGGATGCATCCACATATGGTTTCGGACAGGGTATTGGGGAAGTGGGGGAGGTTATTTGACGTCGTGTTGCCTGAGGCGAGGAGGACATGCTGTTTCACGAGAGGTGAGTGTTCCGTTCTCCTGTTGTCTCGCTATTGTCGGTTCACTCTAGTCCTCATGGCGGCTAAGATTGGTTTACGAGTGGCTATTCCGCCTGGTTTTGTGGTGCGATCCTCACTACAGCCGCGCCTCATGGTCCTCAAGATTAGCCGTATGACCTGCTCAAAAGCTCATTCGTCTGACGTCGAGGTTTCGTGGCCTATGGCGCTCCTGCTGGTTCCTTGCTCTGATATTCGAGAACTCCTAACTGTGCGCTCGGCGAGTTCAGTCTCTCCACCACGCACTTCAATTGGCAGAGTCTTGACGATATTTGGTCGACCCATACAACCCATGACCCTGTGCTAATTTGATGTTTGGCATTCAGGTTACACGCAGCTCGTGGAACGCGCAGGGTCCATCCTGCAAGAAAATGAAAGCCTCGACGTGAGCCTCACAATCCTTTTTTCATTTCTCTATTTGCACCCACTTCTCTCGGCCGGATCACCCTAATATATCATAACAGACCACAGCGACGTTCGATATATTCCTGAAGGATCAGCGGCAAGATGACGCGTACGGTGGAAACGACGGCGCCGACGTACGTGTCGGCGAACGGTCCAATGGGGTTGAGGTCCTCAATCCGCTTCAGTTACGATATTTTTCTCCCTCCGAATTGCTCCGACTGTTCTGCTTCGAGCGTGTGGCCAATGACACGGAGGAGAAGACAGAAGAGGAGAAAGGATTCGTATGGCCCGAGGGTATTTCTACGAAGAGTAAATACAGGCTTATAGGCAACTCCGTCAACGTCCTCGTAGTGTCTCGTCTTATAGACTTTTTGTTTGCATGAGCGAACGTGCGAAGTGGGTGTGGCAAGTGACGTGGATAGGTTGTGGCACCAATCCGCAAAAATTCCCGATCGCGTACACGGTCGTGGGAGACGCTCGGCGGGAGCCGGTGCCCGTGGGGTATAAGAGTCGGGCAGTGGGCGAGCGCGTCTTGAGCGAACGACCATCATCTCTCCCGAACGCCCTTCTTGCTTTAGAATCAGCGCATCACCTGTCGCCCACGATTTCTTTCCCTCTCCCCGCCAATTCCTCAGCCGATATCTTCTGTAGAGACAGAAGATTCATGCTTCGACCCCCAGTCAATATTCCAGAGTTACAGCGTTTTTTGCATCCCAACATATCTTCCAGTCTTGTATGATTTGATACATCTGCTGTGGAGGCCAGCCATCTGATGATAATCGTTTTGTTGCTGTAGCGTTAAACTTCGCCCAGCATGGCCGCAGGAATCGTTAACATTCGTCGTGACGTCGATGACAAGTTTTACCGCTACCGGTGTGCCCACATTCCTTCTTTCCCGCTCGCTGAACCTCAGCCTCGTTTCAAATCATTCTGACCCTGTTATTTTATTTCTTCTAAACGCTATGACATCCCCACAGCATGCCCCTCCTCACGACCAAAATCGAGGGTAAAGGCAACGGCATCAAAACTGTCATCCCCAACATGTCCGACGTCGCCCGCGCTCTCTCACGCCCTCCGACCTACCCTACCAAATTCTTCGGCTCCGAACTCGGCGCGCAGACCTCCATTGACGAGAAGAATGACCGGTACATCGTCAACGGCGCCCACGACGCGACCCGCCTTCGCGAGCTCCTCGACGGTTTCATCGAGAAGTTCGTCCTCTGTGGGTCGTGCAAGAATCCCGAGACGGACCTCATCTTGACGAAGAATGAGATGATCATCAGGGATTGCAAGGCTTGTGGGGAGAGGACGGGGGTGGATATGAGGCATAAGCTCACCACGTATATTCTCAAGAACCCGCCCAAGAAGGCGTCGAAGGGGAAGAAGAGCGCCGGTGGACATGCTGAGGCGCCCTCGACTGGGGGTCCGCTACCAGAGACTAATGGTGGAGGAGAGGAGAACGGAGCGGCAGGGGGCGACGAGGCGGGGAGCGACGATGAGTTGACGAGGAGGATCAAGGCGGAGGCGGCGGAGCTGAGCACCAAGACGAAGTTGGCTGAGGAGGACTGGTCGGCGGATACGTCACCCGAGGCCGTCAAGGCTCGTATGAGCGCCATGCAGGGGGCTATGGCTGGGATCTCCATCAGCGCCGCTGGTGGCGATGATGACGGCAGCGACGAGGATTATGATAGCCCGTATTCTCAGCTCGGTCGCTGGGCAGAGGAGACTGAGGATCCGACCCCGGTTGAGGTCTTCAAGAAGGCTCAGGACTTGGGCATCGAGAAGAAGCACAAAACCGTGCAGGTTCTTGCTCAGGCTCTCTTCACTGAGGATATCCTTGTCCAGATCCCGAAGTACAATCCTCTCTTCCTCAAGGTTCGTTCACTTCTCTTTTCATCGGCGTTATCAGGCCACTGATGCGTCGTTCCTCTAGATGATCACCTCGGAGAAGCACCAGAAGGCCCTCCTTGGAGGTGTTGAGCGTCTTGCGGGTGTCACTTACCCTGACCTCGTCCCCCTCATTCCCAAAATCTTGATGGCCTTCTACCAGGTCGATGTTCTCGAGGAGGAAGTGATCAAGCAGTGGGGTACCCATGTCAGTAAGAAGTATGTGGACAAGGATACGAGCAAGAGGGTCAGGAAAGCGAGCGAGCCGTTCCTGAAGGTTCGTACTTCCCCCCATCACTTTCATTATACGAAAGAGCTGACATGGGTGAATATTTCAATCCTCAGTGGCTTGATGAGGCGGAGGAGTCTGAGGAAGAGTCTGATGACGAGTAGAGAGCTTGTGTCGGCCGTTTATCCTCTTTGTTTTCGCATATGGACTGGTTGCTTTACCGTCGTGAAAAGTTATGCTCCTGCTTCGTCTCTCGCGTTCATGTATGTTCCATGCCTTCGAGACTGCTCTGCTTCGAGATGGCATGCTCGTGAATGTCACGTCTTCTATGTGCAAGTCCATTGATCCTGGGCGTCGTATACGTAGCTGTCCGTTATGTTGCCTCGAATGAACATTTGCTGCTGTTCTTCTGACCAATGTTATGAATGTCACTCGGGCGGACAGGGATGGTGCCACCCGTGCTCGCCACCCCTTGCTGTTCAGTACGTAGATCGAGAGAACATGAGACTGCCCCTCCTGTTAGCCGCATCCTGGTCCTGTGGACACAACGTAACACTCTCGGGCTTCACAGAGATATATAGCCGGCAGGCAATCATGCTCTCTGTCTACATACACGTCTGTTTAAATCCGCGCTTGTACAGCACTCCCAGGCTGTCTTTCCCCACATTTATCCTTGGACTTCCCACGTCAGGCCTTGTTGCAGGCTATTATAGAATCTGTCCTACCTATCCATCAAACGACTCGGACACGTTCGACGTACACCACTGTAAGGCTATCTGAAGGATAAGACTCCCTCGAATTCTCAGAGTATCTCTGAACTATGCCTGAGAGAGTGTTCATCATCGGGGCGGGATGTACGGCGTTCATCAAGGTCTGTTTTACCACCGACTCCTATCTTGGTGTAATGGATGATACTGACAACGTTTTACTTCTGGATGGTATTCCCCTGTGCGCTATAGCCGAGAGGTTTGAGGTCGACGAACGACGTATGTATCAGTCTTTCCCTCTCCAGCTCAAATAGGGGTTCTGAGGTGCACGGTTCGCGTATAGATGGGCTTGGAGGCAGCGACGAAGGCCTTGCTTGACGCAGGTGTGTGACCGTCGCTTGTCTTCAGCTGAAGAGTGTATTAATTAAATATGGATTTTTGTAGGAATTACCTACGAGGACGTTGAACATGCCTACGTCGGGTACTGTTACGGCGATTCGACGACCGGACAAGTATGCTTCTTATACTTGGTGAAATAACAGTGCCATCATACTCATTCGAACAACATTCTTATCCAGGCCGCCCTATACAACCTCGGCCTAACCGGAATCCCCATAACCAACGTCAACAACAACTGCTCGACTGGCTCAACCGCTCTCTACAACGCAGCCAACCTCATCCGGGGATCCCTCGCTCAATGCACCCTAGCGCTCGGCTTCGAGCGCATGGCGCGTGGGTCGCTTGGGAGTAACTGGAAGGACAGGGAGAGCCCGACTATGCCTCTGAATAAAGCGAGTGAAAGGGCGGAGGAGGTGTGGGGTGTTAATCATGGCCCCGGGGCGCCGAGGATGTTTGGGAACGGGGCGAGGGAGTATTTTGAGAGGTTTGGTGGGGATGAGAGGGTTTTGGCGAAGATTGGTGCGTTGACGTTCATATTTACGAGTTTGCTAGCAAGCCATTAGATGGCGCTGACTTTTTGTGCCGTAGCGTCCAAGAACCATAAGCATTCGGTGAAGAATCCCTATTCGCAATTCAGGGATGGATGGACGGAGGAACAAGTCCTCGCTGCGCCGAAGATCACCAAGGAGCTCACGAAGTATATGTGCAGTCCCACTTCCGTGCGTCTCTTCTTACCACGCACATGGTTTTCTCGTTGCTGATCTGGAGTTTGACTACTCGCCACCGCCACACAGGACGGCGCCGCATGCTGCATCGTCGCCTCCGAAACCTTCGTCCATGCGCACAATCTCGAGAACCAAGCCATCGAGATCGTAGCCCAGGCACTGACCACGGACTCGCCTGAAGCCTTCGAAGGAAGGAGTGCGATGGATGTCGTGGGATACGCCATGTCGAAAAGGTGCGCGGATAAGGTGTTCAAGGATGCGGGCTTTGCGGAAGGGCAGGGCAGGGATCAAGTAGGTGTGGTGGAGCTGCATGACTGTTTTGCGGCGAATGAGGTTTGTGGATAACCGGGACGTTGATGTTGGAGAGAAAACTGATGGGTATGGTGTTTTTAAATTCTAGCTCATAACTTATCCGGCGTTGGGGCTCTGCCCGCTCGACGGTGCCGTCAAGCTCGTCGAGGCCGGCGATAATACTGTATGTCTTGCTTCAGCTATTCCGCTACTATAGAGACCTGTTGATGTTTCTTTGCCATTTCATCACACAGTACGGCGGCAAGTACGTCGTGAACCCAAGCGGAGGCCTTGAAGCGAAGGGTCACCCATTGGGGGCAACCGGACTCGGCATGCATTTCTACATCTCCAGTATGTCTTCCAACTATACCTTGACCACCTCTATATTAACCAGCCTTCATTCTTCTAGTGCAACTCCGTAACTGTGTGTATCCTTGCCTCTCGTCCTTGCCCTGACATGATGAACAATTCTGATGATGTGAGGCAATAGGGGCCGGTCCGATGCAAGCACCAGGCTTGTTCGACGTTTCTGACAAACGAGGAAAATATGGTCTGGTACATAACGTCGGACTTGGTGGAGCCGTCGTCGTTAGTCTCTTGAGAAGGCCAGAGTTCTTCGAGGAAGGTGGACAGGATGGGAGAGATCGGTAAGTGCTTCATTTCCTTTATTTTCTGCTCTTCGCGAGCCGTGGGTTTGCAATAAGTAACTGACGCGAAGCATCTTTCACTGGAATGATAGGGTGGGATACAATCATGCGCAGGAGTGTAGGCCGATTACGAGGAAGGATGTGGATAAGGTCAAGGCGCAGGCTTCAAGTGAGCATGTGTTGGAGTTTGCGAAGCTGTGATCTGGGCCTCCGGTCTTGATATGTATGAGTACTTCAGTCGTGGGTTCGTGTACGAATAAGTGGTATATGTTTTGCTCTTGTTCTGCAATGCTATAAATTTCTTCTCTCAGAGGGAAGCTTTCCAAGAAGACGAGTCTCACGTTAAGATTCGTAGATGTATATACAATAAAAGCACTGTCCGTCCTCCCCATACACGACACGTCGAATGCCCTAGAAGAACTTCGCCACAATCGCCAGAACTCCGAGCAGCCATGGAATGTACCACATCGCCTTCTTCACGAGACCCCATAATAACCCTAACGAAAACCATCCCGCGATCATCCCTATGGTCCAATCCCATACGAGCTTCGCCGCCGAGCTCAGTCCGTAATACCCCGCCTGGAAGACGGATAGCCTGAAGTACGATCTGCATCCTCTCTCCGCTACCCTGTACACCCCGTACCACACGATGAAGGGCCACAGCATCTGCAATGCAAGTCTCATCCATCGCCAGAATATAGTAAAACCACCGCCCTTGAGACGCATCATGGCTTGTGTATTACCGTAGTCCTTCAACATCGCGAAGTCTGGACGACCGGTGCGAGGGAAATTTAGCGGGAGGGATTTATCGTTCTTGATAGCAAGGAGCGCGCTGTATACGTCTGGAGCAGCTTTGTAGGCCACTTTTGTGGACGCTTCGCAGTGTTCGATGAGGTAGGCATTAACTTGGGAGAGTTGGATGGGTGAAAGGGGTTGGAGGCGGAGGCGGATTTTGTTCGAGTCGTCTAAGACTGAGCCTCCGGAGGGCATGAAATGAGGATATTGCGCGGTTGGAAAGTCGGAGAAGTAGGACTCGGGCCATAGATCGCCGATGGTGGGTATGTCGAGGTAACACGATAGTGAAGCACCTCGTTTTTGGAGTGAACTTGGCGGGAGGAGCATAATAAGGATGCGGGGCGACATGGGGAAGATAATGCATGCTTCGAAGTACTCTTTGGCCCACAGCGCGCCGAATGGAAAGTTCGACCATGGCGTGAAGAGACGGACACCCTCTTCGCTAAACCCAAACCCATTCTCGGAGCAGACGAAACTAAGTGGCAACGGGGCGACGTAGATCGCGAGTCGACGTTCCTGACAATCTTGGAAATAAAGCGCACGGTCGACGGGGAGTATCGCTTTGTCGTGCAACAAATCCTCGGGAGAGTCTTCCATGATGTGAAGCATATTGTGAAAGAAGGCCTCCTGCGCGTCTGCTTCTTTGTACTTTTCTAGATGTTCATCAACCTGCAGCTGTACTTGGCGCCCCAGCGATACCGAGTGTAGCTCCGTTGAGAATCGACTTCGTTTGCGATATGATGCCACGAACAAGAACTGTCGTATTGTAGCGACCTGCTCCGGAGTCAAAGATACAGCACTCTCGTTGGACGAGACGGCAGCTTCGATGGCGTCGACGATTGCGGAGGCTTTTGTCTCAAGGTTGGTCATCGCCTGGTGCTGACTATTTGCGCCATGTCCAGGGGAAACGCCTTTGAGATCGGGAAATATATTTCGGCGTCCGAAGGAGGCAAAGGCACGTTTGTGGCGACCTTCGTTCTGTTTGCGTTTAAGTTTTTCGAGAGAAGGTTCATGGAACTCCAATTGAGAGTTACTAGGTAGGATGGGTGAGCAATTCAGACGTCTATCGGAAGGTTTAAAATTAGCGAGCTCACCCTGTGGTCCATTTTTGAAGGACAAATCTCGGGATGTAAGACTGAGTGTCAACCTTCGACCCGGACATGATGGTGTACTCAGCCTCTAAGACTGTCTATTGCGTTGGTAGTACAAGACTCTTGGTTTAGATTTCTGGCAGAGTAGCAAGAGTGATAAGGCCGTAGTCACTTAGGAGAAATCGAATGCTGTGTCCAGTTGACGGTCGATTCTTCCCACTGAAGTCTATCCCGAGCTTTGCCTGGGCACAGGGGAACCTGCGTGGCTTGCAGTATACAATTCTTGAAGCGCATATAACAAGTCAATTACTAGAGCGATACTGCAAGGAATTCCATGGACACTGACCAAACCAGACAACGCACTAGGATGTTAAACGTTACGGTCTGAAGCTGGTCGATGGTGAAGTAGCAACTTGAAGTCAAACGCGTCGCGGAAGATCGCGGACCGCGACGCGAGCTTGCCGTGGGACCATCCTTCCATTTTTCGAAGCGCGTGCAAAACGCGTCGTTGGCGCGAAGTTGGTAGCATCGTGATGATCGCACGGGTCCAAGTCTCATCCCAACATCCTGCGCGGTACATTTGGCCCTACAAACTATCGTGAGCACGTTTTGAGTGTTTAACTCTCATTGTTTGCTCACTTGGGGCTGCGCCGCGACCAGTTCCTGCTCCTCAGAAAACGGAGTACTTAGCAGATGAAGGCTTATCTCAATATTTTGCCCGAGGTAAGCAGTCCGCATAATAGACCTGGGACAGATTCAAGTTTACCTATTCTACCAGGCACCGGAGTGGAGCATGTCCTACGACCCCAAGATCGGAAACTCTTATGTGCCCGAATTCATCAAGAAAAAATGGCTGACAGGGTACTTCGGTAGCATCTCCAGTGACCTTCTTCCAGAGATGTTGAAGCTCTCCTTTTCCCATAGCGCGGACCTGAAAATCTATGATCCACTTCGCGACAAGCCTGAAAGTGCGACCCCAAGACGCCGCGGAACTCGTCCAAACTTCACTTCGTTCGCCACCCGAACCCCCTTCCCCGAAATTGACTCCCGCACGGTACACCAAGACTTATCCAACATGCTACTCAGACTAGAGGCACGAGCGTCAGCCGTCATAGACAGGATCGAGACTGCTGTTCTCTTGGGCCACGCCTCTGTCAGTTTGACACAGGAAGACAATGCCACTCTGCGCCACTTCCTCTACGTTGCCTCATATCGAAAACGTTCTCCATTCGGGAGACGGCCACGGGGTGGTATGAACACAACAGGATTCTGCCAACTCGATGATTTGATGGAAGAAACTGGGACATCCGAACGGTCGTTGGTGTTCTACCGCAGTTTATATTACATCCTGACGGACTCACCGGAAGAACTCCTCTCTCAAAAACGAGTACTTGGTGTTGACCGCGGCGCCTTCTTTTATGACTGCGAAGAAAGGGAGTTAGCGATATACGTTGCGCCCGACTCGCACGGGTTTGTTCTCTCAGAGAACGGCATGGGCCTCGCCGAATGGGTTTGGCAGCTCGTGTGGCCTTGGACATTTCTCGCGTCGCCTTTGCAGGCTCTACGACCGGCGAAATGGCTTGAGCTTGCAGTCTTCTATCCCATCACCCCCCGTATCCTCGTTGTGCTCCTGCCACCAAAATCTCTTCGAGCATCCGTGTCGGCCTATCCTCAGCTTACAATGCGAGCAGCTTGGGGCCCTTCGACCTATTTTCGGACGTTCCCTATTCCTATATCACCGCCCACCACAACCGAGATTAGCAGCGGCCCTATTCAATTTCAGCTCCTGAATTTGAGCGTCGAGCAAGTTTCACAGGTCAATCGCTTTCTCATCGAGTACTGTGACCCCAAGACCAAGGTCGCCTACTCTTCATTCGAACATCTCAAAACCTCCGTCGAGGGTTTCAGGAAGGACTCGATCATGCCCATCACCTTCCCTCGGAATGGACGACCGAAATATGCGATGTTGAAAGACTGCCGATGGACACACGCGACGATACGGGTCGAGAATCATGTGGCGTTGATCTTTCGGTGGTGGTTCTATTTGTTTGGCTGGATCTATCCGATCATGGTCTACTATGGAGTCTGGAGACTTGTGTCGATATTGTGCGCGTCCTGGTTTGGGATGTCGTTGGGTCAGACTTTGTGGCGTGTCATGAGCTACGCATGGTCGATTACGGTCGGGTGGCCTCTGAGCTTTGTCGCCAGCTGGCTTGCGCCCAAGTTCTTGTGGAGTCTTACAAAGAAGGTCTTGTATTATGGCCCGTGGTGTCTAGGAGTTGTTGTTATAGGCATATTGTGGTTTGGATAGACTGATGGGAACACCTTTTGTGCACATATTGAGATAAATGGGTACATCAATAGGCGGATGGCGTGGAACCCGAGAGCTTTGATATCTCTTTTAGGCATGGTGGTCAAAGTGGAACTGACAAAAACGTGCTATGTAGTACTGTGGCCCAAGCATGGGAAAATTCAGGTTACTTGATGTTGAAAAACGATTGACTTGCATTTTCCAGCGGCTAGAAGTAAGTATGATATACCCCGGCACAATAATTTTAGTGTACAAAACCGGGTCAGAGTGTCATGAAAACAAGTTAATCAAAGCACGATATTCAAAGAACGAGTAGGACAGCAGCAGAAGTGTGAAGGGCAGGATTCATGTAGATCTAATAGCCATGCGAAAAGAAAGGAAGATGATGGTAGGAAGACTGAGAAGACGAACAACTACGACAGCATCGTGACCTGATGCCCGACGTATCGAGTATCTTCCGAAGGAGGAACTGAATTCTCGTTCGGTAGATCACTAATTGCACGCGTCAGAATGAGCTTGCAAAATGAGGATTCGAGAACTGTTGTGGAGCACGAACCTGGTTGCGATTCCAACCTTGAGATCAGGGCCGTAAATCCGGTCTTTGCACCATTCTTTGGTGCTCTCCGGATCAGGGACTTGAAGTTCAAACTTTGGTCCCACGAGCTCAGGGGCTATGGCTACCATCAGCCAGGAAACCATAGCGAGGAGCACCGGCTGTTTTCCCGTGTACGGATGTGAGAGAAATAGTGTGTCTTCTAGTCGGCAGACGAAGGTTGTCATGTCTATGGATGAGAGAAAGGCAAAGTCGTTCTCGCCATCGACCATTTGCCCCCACAGCTAGAAATAGCACACTCAATCTACGGAGGAATGTAGCCACAAAGGTTTAGGACGTACTTGGATAAGGATCCTTGCCATCTTCCCGGTCGTGTCGTTAACAGACCTAGGTGGAATGAACTTCATACCGCGTTCCGATCCAGTTCTGTCATGAACCATTTGAGCAGGCGCCAATGGATTTTTTTCGCCTAAGCCGACGACATTCTTCGTTTTCACTTCTCCAGTGATGAACGTGTCGTCAAGGTGAATAACGCAGATATCGGGAATAGGCCTGCGAGAACTAGAGTCGCCTTCAGAGTCCACCTTCGATCCAGCACCAGACGCCGCGAAAGTCGAAGGATCGTCGTGTTCGAGCTGAATAGGGTCACCTTGCTTATTGGATAGCAGCCAGCGTCGCACAACGTTGAACACAGCGAGAGCGGCTCGAACGAGTTGCCTGTTGACGGCGTCCTGTGTGTCATGCTCGGAATTTGTGACATGGGGCGCGTCGTGGAGGGTCATGTAAGGATGCACTCGAGTAACGAAGGCAACATGTGCTGGTTTAGTAAAATCGAGAACTATTTCCTTCAGGATATCCAAGATTGGCCCGAAGAGCTGTTCAACCATGTGAGGAACATACACGATGTTGTCGAGTTCATCGGCAGCCGACATTGCCGCGTCCCGTTGTGTCTGTTTACGAGTACCACCCAAGACATCAGGTTTGTATGTGTCCGGTGCAGACAGGATGATCACAAGAACAAGCTCGAGAACAGTGCGCAGCCTATGAGGACTTTTCGGGTCAAGATCCGGGCAAGAACATTCCTTCATGGGAGGCACCTTCGCCATTTTCTTCTCCCAAGGCGGCTGTGCCTGAGGTTTGGACTGATCGAAGAGATTCTTTTGCTTCACGGGAGCATACTTGACCGCATTCGGGCGAGGGCGTGTGTAACGCTGCTTGAAGTTGGGGGTAGAGGGCGGACTAGGAGATTGAACAGGCGGGTGCGATTCGGACGTGTCAGGAGGATCTTCGAGTGAGGTTTTTTTCCAATTCGGGTCTCCTCTACCGGCAATTGGAGTGTTGTCTTCGTCGAAGGACGGGTTGTCGGTCTCGGATCGAGGCATAATCGGGGGAGTTGGGGAAGGTGGATGTTTAGACCTAGTGAGAGTCGCGGAGAAAAAGGCTCATATGTTGTGTCTACAATGTTGGGTTTGGTCGGGCGTGTCAGATCGATGGTCCTCGGAATTTGCCGTCGGAGATAGAAAGAGCCACGTGCTGTAGGCTTCAACATCGCCCCCGACCAACTCGAAACTTCCCACCACCACCACCACCACCACTACCAACACCACCACCATGGCCAACAACTCAAAACTCGTTGTCCCCGAAGTCCTCGAGATCCCTTCCAGTGCGGACCCAACTAAACGTATAAGGATTGTCGAATACGACCATTACCCTTGCGATAGTCTCCATCTCGAGCAATCCAAACTGATCCATACAGCCAATCACGTCGACATTTATCGCGCTGTTGCTCGTGACCCTCCCTCCGATTGCGACGGCGATGTCGTCTACAAGGTTGCTTATGGCCCTGCTGTCGTAAGACTTCGTCACGAAGCTCAGATTTATCGCAAACTGGTCAGTGTACAAGGAGCGAGAGTACCGATTTGCTACGGCTACTTCGAGGGAGACGACATAGCTTGCCTTGTACTACAGTATTGTGGGGAGCCTCGGCCAGAAGCTTTCGACGATCTTCCACCTGAAGCAAAGTGCGTCTTATTCATCTCATTCTCAGTATTCCTCGTTATCTACTTACTAAACTTATCGTGTGAATCTAATATGTCTTGTTTAGGAAGTCAGTCATCGCTGCCTTCTGGGCTGTCCACAAGCTAGGCGTCGACCATGGTGATCCCGCCCCACGCAATATCGTATATAAACACAATAGAGGATATCTTATCGATTTCGAGCACGCCTCCGACACCCACACATGCACTGCCGAGCGCCCTCCACTGAATTCCATTGCCCAATCCTTATCCGAGTTTCCGTGCGAAGAGTTGTGGCACATGCTGACCGATCTTGGGCTATGGCGTCCAGGTATGATGTGTCCTATTTCTCTGTCATCGACCATGCTAATACTCAGGATGAAATCCTCAGCCACCATATTCTACGCTGGAGAATATTACCCGGTCAACATCATGCATCACCCCGAAGACCTCGTCAAACAAGCCCCTGCTTACTGGACTAGAGAGCAGGCAATGGCTGAAGTTCGGAAGGTCGCCAAGGAGTACTCCAAACGCTGGCTGCCCGAGACTTACGAAAGGATATATGGAAAATCCGGTTAGTGCTTCTTACTCCGGCTCTAGATATCAAATCCTCATGCAACCGTCGTTTGCTTCACTTCCACCAATAGATGCCCCCGTGGCGCCTCCGGAGGACGATATGAAAGTTGCGGAAAGGTCCGAAGAATCTCGAGAGGCTGACTCGCAATCCTCATCCGATTCCTCTGTGGGCCGGACTCGCTCGAAGAACAAACCGAAGAGCAAACCTGGCCGCAAACCCTCCAAGGCAAAGGAGGCTTCCGGCGCTACTTCTGGGGTTGGCAGTGACACACGGCGGCGTACCAGACCGAAGCCTGTCCCCGTCGTTTGGAACTACTGATCTCATCTTGGCTTCTTCTGTTCTCCGCTACTATATATCATCATTTGCCTTTCATCCCTTGTTCGGCCCTTGTCATCACGCATCCCGTCTCCGTTGTCTTGTTTATGTCCCTGATCTGCATCTGTTTCCTGTAATGTAACGCTCTCGACTACGTTTCTTCGCTCTGTGTCTTACTAATAGCAGCTATCCGATGAAGTCGTAACGCTAGAACTCAATTCTAGCTATCTGTAAAACCGTTTCAGCATCGTACACTGGCTCGCACAGAGAGCTTGCTTGCATCAATTTCCCGTGGTCTGAATCTGATATCAATCCAAGGCACAAGGCGGCGTTGTCCGACTATGCAACACCACTCATCCTGACTTAGAGGCTCTTTGACCACTGAGACCTGTTCTTGACACGCCGCAAAGGGCGAGATGAACACAGCGTATAGTATAGAGTTGAGTGCGGTTCCTTTCAAAAGTCGTAACCAGCCTAACGACTTGACAGACTATCTCCTTCCTTCGCTTTCTGTAGCTCCCGCTGCAACCCGTCTGGGCAATGTCCTTACGTCGAGAAATTGAGCGGAGTTACAAAACTGGACACTCTGGCTCAACATCCCTACCGCGTCTGCAATTTAATCGGTCGTCAGGGCGTAGGTTTTCTAGACTTCATGCATTGAAAAACAATCATATAAAAGTGCTACTGAGCTGACATGGCTGGACCGCTACTCTCCTTAAACCTCCAAGTCCCCGTGATGCTGATATCAAACTCTACACTTTGCGTACTGCCAGGTCTAGAGAGACATTGCAATATGGACAGCAGCATCCGGATAGCAATGACTAGGGTCATTGAAGTAGTCACGGTGAGGCAACGGTTGATTGATTTTGTGCCTGTGTACCAAGAGATGTTTGTATCGCAAGAACGAAGCAAATAGCGAACAGGACGTACGTGTCTTTCAAGTGCTCTTTAATTTCCTGGCTCGTCATCCAGTTTGGAGCACTGGGTCCGCAGAGGGAGATATTGCAGTGGCAGCAACCCCAGGACCGAAGCCTCAAGTTCTGAAGGATATCCTGTTCGCATTGTTGTACAATCGTAGCCTCGGAGCTGGAAAGAATCTTGAATCGAGGATGGGAGTCGTGGGGTTCCGACTCGACCTGCGATGGGGCAGTTTGCACATGCAAAAGATGGCTGACCTAACAAGAGAGATGAAGCAGGTTTCAGTTAGAGCGTCCGTACACATCAAAACCAAGCTGTACAACTAACCAGGGATCTCCAGGTCAAGGCATATCTACCACTCTTGTCCCTCTTCCTTCTCCTATGCACATTTCCCCATTCAACAGGGCACGAAAGGCAGACGAAGCGATGGTCGAGTTGATCGAGATCAGCGATAGTCGTGTGGGTCTCATCGAGCGCGAGATCGCGCAAGATCATCACGACAATCTCTCTTCCCTTTGGACTGAAGGTGGGCAGACATGTACCGGAAAATTCGCCTTCTGGATAACGTACAGAGTCCGGACATATGTGGCCTAGGGCAGTCAAGCCTAGCTGAATAGGCGTGCGCCTGTGGGAATGAGAATGATGTGGCAGCCCGAGAGAACAGGTACAAGCAAAGACAGAAGTTGCAAGGTCGAGAGGGGAGCTTGTCATAGAGATATACCTCTGCGACAACGATGCACATTTGGGTTGGTCGGAGAAGGTTGGAACTAGAGAAACAACGGCATTTAACCGCTGTGTTGACAAAGTCCAGAGTTCGGGTTGAAGACTGTCCAATACGTGCTGCACAGAGGGACGAAACTCGGGAGTTACCTCCTCATCCTGTTCGGCGTGTGATTGTAATTCAGAAAACTCCGCGATCTCACTTTGGAATGGAAGGCAGGCAAGACCCACAGGGCCAGGCAGCATGATCTTGAGCAAACCTACATATTCCTCTCGGATGACCTGGAGACGGGCCTTCTTACGCCGCGTCCTCTCCGAAATGAGTCTGGACGCCTTGCGTTCTTCAAGAATAGGGTGTATAGTGGAGAGAGTCTTCTCCCATGCTATGTGCGATGACGTTGAGTGAGTAACGCCGTTATATTGGGGGAACAAAACGGATACAAAGCGTCGCCTACCTCTTTCAGAGAACTGGGATTCGTTGTTGACCGATTTGTGTTTCAATATCTTGCGACAGTCTGCTTTCTCGTATCCCAGAGCTAGGCAGCGGTTGAGCACCCTTATGGAAAACCAACATAAGTATCAAGACAAGGACGCCAAATCTTTGTACTCACTCTGTCCGCCGTATCTCCTTCTTACCCTCACGTATTCGAGATCTTTCATCGGTATTCGTTTGAACCCACGTATACCAAGCGGCAGCAGCAGCCTCCATTCTTTGCATCAAGGCCTCCTTGTTCCTTTTGAAAACCTCCAAAGCCGCTTCTAGGTCAGTCGGCTCGACAGACCGATATAAGCGCTGCACTTCGCCCTCGAGGGCAGCGACATCGTCGTCCCACCATGCCCTTCGCAAACCACGAGATCCCCGAAAATATCCTATGAAAGTGATACGGCCCGGGATTAGGAAAGATACAGCATATAAACTTGGCGCCACAGCACTTACTTAGAACATTGGGGATACAATTCAGTAAGTCATCAGGGACGCTGGGCACGAATTGGCGGAATAGACTCTCGGTGAGAAGACTGCGCGGCGGAGGTCAGAAAATTTCACAGTAGCATGATACGGACAACATACTGTTTCTTCTGGCAGTCTGGACATACTCTCCGACGGAGGCGGAAGTCGACCTTCCTCACATGTTTCTCGCCACATGACTATCAACAAAGAAAAGGTTTGGTAAGAGAGACGTCAAGGAAGAGGAACAGAAGAAAGAATCGTACATGACAGGTTACGCCACCGAATACGAGATTAGCCCAACTTGGAGGACAAACGTCTTCAGGACAGGGAGGCAAACCGGGTACGTTGTTGAAAGAAGTCTTCCAGACAGACATAGAGCTCTTTACTAATAAGACTTCACGGAACGCCTTGGATACGCGCGAGACATTGACGAGGTCTCCAGGTGTGAGATGAGAGAAGATCTAAATAATACAAGCGAGGTTGGTGCTATGAACAAAAAAATGTCAATGTCGACGCTCACGTCATAGAGGATGTCCAGCGCCATGTTCGGCAAAAAACTGAGCTTTCCCGCTAATCTCCTCTTTCCTCTGCCGGCCCCCAACGCGTCCTTCTCAACAGAGCTTTTGCGAAATCGTTTTATGACTGCCGATCATATAATCCATTGCGTGCGACGGTGAGCACCAATAAGTTATAATCGGGGTAGCTCAAACTTACCACTTTCCCTGCCATGTTGGATTTCAGCTTGATCTTCGCGACGCTTGTTGCTCCCTGTTGCTACCTCGTCGCTGGTGTCCCCGAGCGTTGGGTTCGAAGGTACGATGAGTTCACCGGCATAATCATGCGTTTCGACAGACATCGCGAAGAGAAGAGGCGGACAGTGCAGGTGGGTGTTGTAACAGGGATGGATGTATCCAGAAGAGGAGACTTGGGCATTTTGGAGCAAGCCTAAACGACCTATATAAGCTTCAAGAAACAAAAGAGCGGAGATGGAACAAAAGAACAAGGACTTTCCGAAACCGGGTGATTGCGTCTGTATGCAGCAAGAAACGGTCAGTTCGGTGAAGACCGTAATAAGGAAGGAAGGAACACGGCACAATAGACAGTGGCGTCGCAGGGTGGCGCGCAACTTTTTTTGTATCCTCTATCGGATCCAAAGACCCTGGCGTCAGGCCTGAGGTGTCCAAATTGACGATGAAGAAGGCCTTGAGGCCTTAAACCCAAGGGAATCGTATTGTGATCTAATGCAGTAAGTATATCGCGGTGGCGCACATATCGCTCAGCATCAAAAAAAGGACGGCGTCCTGTGGCGTCGAGCCATAAACAGCGGGGGCACGTCAAGAACGAAGACGAGTCAAGGGCATAAAAAGAGCTGGGAAAGATGAGCATGTGAATGGATGATGGATGGATGTCGATGAATAAAGGCGGTGGTGATGATGTATCGCGTGGGATAGACAGGAGAATATCGTAAGGGAGCAAGTAGAGTACACATCCAAAAGCACAGACACATAACAGCGAGCATAACAGATTGGGCAGACAGATAAAACGGAGGGGATGACGAATATGGAGTGTAATGTGTAAAATAAGCCCAAGGGGAAGAGACAGCGCGTAGGAGCGCTGTATTGTCAAGAAATGAAGCAGGAAGGGTGAATACGGGTCGCATACCCTCAAAAACTAGAGCAGCAGGCCGATCTCAACCTCTGCCCGCGAGTGGAGACTCCGGCATGACGGGCAGGCGGCGCGGAAGATTTCCTGGTCTGGGAACAGAATGATCCACGGGAGTGTCATCTTCGAACCAGGTGGGCTGTCCTCTCAGAGGACTCGAGTTGAGCGGCACAACACTATGGCCACCATCCTCGCGATGATAGACATGTTGCGGGTAAGCAGAAAGGCGTTGATTGTACGGAGCAAACACATTCGAGGGGTTACCGGTTCTGCGTGGGAAGGAAGCGTATTTGCTAAACGTTGAAGCTGGAGCGGCTGCAGGCGTTTGGAAAAGTGTTGTCCGTGGTGGGCCAGTCCACGAGTTTGACGACGATTTAGGCGTGAAAGAAGGAGGGAAGCGTAAGCCACGAGAGGGAGTGGAAGTTGGGTCTAGAGGAGAGAAATCGTGGTGGAATTGGCCTGGCGTCGGTGTTGTATAGATTTGAACGTGATGAGCAGAGTTTCTCGGCGTCGCAGGGGGGCCGTGCCTAGAAGCGGAGCTCGTTGTCCAACTCGACCTACTAGGGAACTCCAGCGCGTTCCTTCCACTGATATCACTTCCCCTTGTAGGCGTAGTAGGCATGGCTGGTAGCTTCCTGGGACTCCATTCCGCAAAACCGGGAGACTCCTGTAATGGCGATGAATGAAACAGGAGGGAGTCAGTCGCGTGCTGGCGGTGCGGTGTGAGTTCCTCGTCCGTTGGTGCGAAGGTCGGCTCCGACGATGGTAATCTATCGTAGAGATCACTCGAGCGATGGAGGACACAGCGCCTGCAGTACCAAGGGTCTTTCTCGTCCCCAAGGTCGTGGACGTCCCGTACGCCGATGCACTCCAAGTGGTACCAAACCTTGCAGTCGTCGCACTGGACCATCTCCCGGCCGTCATCCCTTCCACGACAGAAACAGATCCTATCCTCGTCATCATCGCTGTCGTTGAGCCCGAACTCCATTCCAAGCTGACGCCCGTAGAATAGAGCCCGGACGGTCTTCTTCGAGAGGAATGCAGCACGAGCATCAGCCGGGTCGAATGGGATAACACCATTAGCAGAGGAAGGAGCCTCTTCGTCGCTCTCTTCGCCGTCACTCGGAGTCTCGAGAAATCTTTCGATTAATCTCATCTTCTCCCGCTCTTCCCGCTCCTCTCTCTCCTTCCGCTCTGCTAGTCTCAGACTCCACGGAAACTCGCTGTCTGGCCAATTAGGAGCACCGTTTCTCTGAGCCGCAGGATCCTCAACAGGGGTCTTCCATTCCTCTTTCGCCTTTCCCTTGCCGGCCCCTTTCGCTCCAGCTTTGACGGGCGTAGCAGAAGAAGTGGCGGCCATAGCTGCAGGTCCTCCCTTGCGCTTCCTGTTCTTCCCGACGGCCTTCTTCTTTGATCCAGCCGACTGAGCATCAGCTTGAGGCATATTCCCCTCCAGGATGTCTGAAGTCTCTTCCAGGCTGACATCCATGAGTACTCTTCCTCTGCCCTCCATTTCAACCGGAACCAACCTGCTCCTCCTCCTGTCGATTTCGTTCACGCCGTCCTCGCTGCCCATATCCTTCTTGAACGCCTCCAGCCTCCTCCTCTTCCTCATTTCCCTCTCATCCATCAGAGGCTCTTTCCTTTCGGGTTTAACGCCGCCACGAGGACCACCGATTGCACTCGTAAAACTACCGCCTGGAGTTGCTGATGTCTCGGCGAGCGAAACCTCAACGGGTTTAGACGACCCTGCCGGTCCAGGCGTGATCATGCTCGCCCACTCCAATGCCACTGAGTATCCACCACCGCCAGCGTTTGAAGCTAGCTTATTACCGTTCGGCGGGGTCTTGGGTCTCTGAGCGTCGCCAGGACCAATCGTACTCCCGTACCCGCCATACCCCCCAGCCATTAACCTCTCCTCGAAGCTCTCCTCACTCGTCTCCTGAATTCCCCACAGCTCCAGCCTACGGCCCCGCATGGGCGTCTCCGTGATGCCCATGCCGAGGGGAACGCTTGAGGTGTGGCGGGCGGACGAAGGTGTGGTCGGTGGTTCACGGATGAGAGGAATCCGTTTTCGAGAGTTACGGCGGAGGTAGTCTGGGCGTCGGGCTTCAGCGTCCTTGATTGCTTCTACTAGAGACTGCTGTTGCGCCGCTCGTATACGATCAATTTCTCCTCCTGCTGCAAGAGGTGGGTGATCTGCGGCGTCTATCGAGGATGAGCTGGCGGTTTGCGTTGGAAGAGAAGAGGGAGGCGGTGGAGGAGGAGAGGGCGTGCGTGGTTCGTCCATGTCCATATCTACAGATGCAGGTCTGGGTTCGAAGGGCGATGACAGGCGGGAGGTGATATGAGATATGGCGGATGTCGGGGAAGCGATGCTGTGGGATTCGGACCGGTGGTGGGGGGAGGGAAGGAATCCGTCATCTTCAGCATCGTCGACTTGCATGACGGCGGGGGAGTCTGTTTGCAGCCTAAGCCATAAATAAAAATGCGTGAGTGGAGACAAAAAAAGATGGCCCTCTGATAGGTGCCTTACGATGGATAGCGGGTGTACGCTCTCGGGGGTGTCCTAGGTGGCGAAGATGTTCTGTAGCCAGAGTCAGAAATGATGATTCAGTGTGAACGGGTGATGAAGACTGACCTATGCCCGGAATACTCCGGTCCACTTTTTTGACCTGGCATCGGGCTGCAACATGGAACGATGAGAGACGTGTCTGATGTAGAGCGTGGCCGTCTTACCTCGTATCGGGGGTGACTGTCTGGGCAATAGTTCTGGCTGGTGTCGCAATGAGATCCATATCCACATCCCCATCATCATCTGACATTGCGTCGATGTCGGGGCCGACAAGTTGACGGCTGTAGTTTGCTCCAGCGTGGCTACAGGGAAAGACGAGCGTTAGGCGAAAGGGGCCATCTTTGATGTTTTCAAATATGGAGGGAAAGGCGTACAATTGCGAGTGTGCAATCGGTGACTCGGATGTTCTTGGAGCAAATTGTCCCAGGCTATTCGGACTGTAGAAGGACCAACGATAATCTCGTTAGTAGGGCGCTCTGAGGGATAGGGTTGCAAGCAAAAGACGACGATAGCGAAATTGATGGAAAGGCGAGTGTGATAGACTCGAATAAGAACACTGGGGGCACACAATCGCTTAAATGTGTTTCACGTTGCCTCTCGAGGTATTGTAGATACAGAATAGAGTTAGAGGGAGCAAGAAAAAACAAGGGTCCGCACCTTTGAGGAGTCGGCAGATGTCCTGACTGGGCCCTGCTGGCAAATGGTGACTTCAAATGGCTCTGCATTCGCACTTGAGAGCTGGAGCATTCCAGAGCGCAGATTGCATGGATAGTAAATGATGAGTAAGAACCTCCATGGCTCAGGAAGTGGGCTCACTCGGTGATGGTTTCGCCAACAATCAGTCTCTCTCGTCCACTCTGAGCCTCTGCTAAGACACTTCTATCGGTCGAGCTTCCGTCGACGGACGAAGAGTGATAGTTTTGAGATTTTTGTATATCTTTGGAAGGCTCTGAAGCCGGTTGTCGTTGCCGGAAGATTGGGGAGGGCTGTGTCGAAAACGGAGTTGGGGTCGTAAGCGATGTTCGTGAGAGGTCCTTGGACATACGGCGCGTAAGTTGTCGCTAGTTTTCGGGAAATCAAATTTGAAAGAGTATAAAGATTGATAAAACAAAGAAGAGACTAAAAGGAGCAAACGAGAACGAAAAAGGGAGGAGGATGAGGAGATGGAGGCAAAGGTCAAGAGCAACTCGAACCAGCGGCGAAGTGCACCGTGGCTTAGTCATCATCCCAATAGGGGATACAGAGGTCCACGGACCCTGAGACTAATTTACGATGGACCTTGTCCTTCGCCCTCAGTTTGAACTCGTCCCAAGATGCACGACCGTTTGTCTCCATCTGGGCGCGGCGACTTTTGGGAGAAACCTGGAGGATTTGTGGTGTTTTCTCTGTTCGCAGTATCGATTCCAACATGGCTGTCCGTCGCCTTCCTTCCGAGCTCATTTACCACATTATAACTCTGTTTGTTTCTGACTATCTCTGTGATGTCGTACTGGTTCCTCGAACGGAGGTCGTTCCTGTACCAATGCATCCTCTTCTACATACCTCCCGAAATTTCCGGAATCTTACCATAGACATTCTGTCCTATGTCTTCGATAAAGGTCTTTTCGACAGAGACGAGATGTGAGTGGCACGCTCGGGCATGTTCTCACTTTGTCAAAGGCTGAACGATATCATGCACACAGGACTGTCCACAATTATATCCCCTTTCTTACAGAAATCCAATCGAATATCCAAAGAGCACATACCGCTCACCTCCACACCTCCATGAACTTCGATATGCCAATTCTCCGCCGATTCGAGAAACGTGGTCCTCGAAGTATAATCAAGACACTTTCCGCCTGTTACTGCCTACACATACTCTGCAACCGTCTCCTCGAGTGCAGCATAAACTTCGAGCACATACAGTTTGACGCACTTGCGGTGACGAGCCTCCCGGATTTCAAGGAGCCACCGGAACCTATCATGAACTGTTTAGTGGGGCCTGTCTACCTCGAAATTTTAAAGGAAGAACTCCGTCTGTGTCGGTGTGAGTAACCTTCTATTTTATCTCATGCCACCATCCTAGCCATACTTACATCCGGAGTGTAGTGTGGCCTATTCGATTAGTCGCGGTCTCAGTTAATGACATTATTCAGCACATACGCGACGACTCATACGGTGCGAACCTATCCCCCAACGAAGTGGTGAGTACCTTTGTTCGTTTTGGCCATGATATCCGGGGGTTGCACGTTACCTCCGAAAAATGCGTTTTCTGATATCCTTGTCCAATGTGACGAATAGGAATGGATAGATGCCACCCAGGAATACCTAGTCAATACTTGTCAAGACACTCGCTCCACCGCTGAGGCCCTCCACATCCAAATCTTCCTCCGCACGCGCGCTGAAACCGGTGCCACATCTCCTCCCATGGATATCATGGGAATTTTCACCATGGATCAGCTCCGGAAGATGGGTTTTCACGACGTGATGAGAACGATGAGGAACTTACAGATAGAGCATGATTCGGATTCGACTCGGACAGTAAGGAGTAAGCGGTTGAAGACGTTTTGCGAGGTCGTGCAGAAGGAAGTGTGGCATTGTTTGATTGGGATGGAGAAGTTTATGTTTGATACGGACAGAGGGCATCATGATGGGAGAATCGAGTAGCGACATCTGAAAAGAGCGGCATATCATCGAAGGTGTGTGGCGCTCCGCCGTGTGGCACTTGTGAGTTGATCTCAGCCGGTTCGTTTCGGTTTCTTCTTTATGGCGATCCTCGACAGATTCCGAGAAATTCCTCGCAAGCTAGTTGAGACTAAGTATTGCGCATCTGCTCGGAAGTCTAGCAGCAAATCCGCTTCAACAATGGAGAAGGAGGCCAGCCGCTTGCTCACCGTTGTCACCTTCCTTTGGGCGTCAAGTTAGTTGCACAAGCCCGTGCTGACTAGTATAAGTATCCTGACTACAGTATGTGATAATCTAAATGCGGAAATCATGGGACAATCCTACATCACGGTTGGCGCTCTCCTTCTCGTTTGGCTAGGCAGTTGCTTTGAACGGCGTTCCCCTCACTCGCCACACAATCAGCGAATAGGTAAGCCCCGCGCCCCAAACTTACATGGTGCGTTAAAGACGCAGACTGCCGTTCTCTGCTCTCACAATCCTAGTCTGATCCGAACCCCCAGCTTATGGTTACTGGCCTTTGACTTCCTCATAGCCAAAGTTCTACAGCAATGGAAGTCGTCCAGTCTATTAGGAAGGACCTTGGGCTTGATTCTCCGAATCCAACAGAGCTCGAAAGAATGCTTGGTCGCGCTCTCGAGCAGTAAGCACCCTCATACTCTCTTAACAACACAGTCGTGAGCTCATGCACAACGTGTAGCTTGGCCGATCAACTCTACCGAACCGACACGCACTTCGTCCTCGAATTTGTCCAAAATGCTGAGGACAACGCTTATCTTTCAGACGTGACACCCACTCTCTCCCTTCGCATTGAGGACTACACCATGACGATCAGTTGCAACGAACGCGGCTTTGATGAGAGCAATGTACGGGCCCTCTGCAATATAGGCACTAGCACGAAGAAACATCTGCAGGGCTTCATTGGTACGTTTTCACTCCTGGTTCTAGTGCGGAAGGACCATTGCTGAGCTACCACTTGCGCAGGTGAGAAAGGAATCGGTATGTACGGCGCTAATAAATTCCCGTGTTTCTGCTGACGTTGTTGACAGGGTTCAAGTCGGTCTTCAAGGTCGCAAATGTTGTTCGTGTAACGTCAGGAGACTTTCGCTTTAAATTCGACAGAGACCAAAGGCTTGGTATGATTGCCCCAATATGGGAAGACGATATCCTGCCTGTTTACCCCGGCTGGACCGAGTTTCACCTGGAATTGACGAGTCTACCAGGACAGACGTCAATAACCCCTGGGACGGCATTGAGCTCCAAACTGGAACAGATCAGAGCCTCGCTCTTACTCTTCCTCAAAAAGTTACGATGTATCGAAGTCTCCTTTGCGCTAAACGACCCAGAAGATCCGCGTATTATCACACTTTTCCGTCATGATGTTGGTCCTGACATCGTCAAGCTCACTCATTGCGAACACGATCGCCCAATACGGAGCGATTTCTACCTAATGATCAGTTTTTCCGCCGACATGTCAGCTATAGAAGAGCCGAAGCGGCAGGGTGTGAATGACAGCGAAATTGTCCTCGCCTTTCCTGTCACCGAGGACATTCAGCCCGTCTTTTCTCCTCAGGATGTTCACGTCTTCCTACCCCTAAGACCGGTTGGCTTCAATGTATGTAGGCCCTGACACACTCACTCTAGTAATATTTTGCGACTGATATGTTATTGTCATATAGTTCGTTATTCAAGCCGACTTCTTGACCTCCTCAAGCAGAGAAGATATCCTTGCAGACAGTTATTGGAACAAGACCCTTCTGTATGGCGTTGTCGATGCTTTCATACAGGCAATAGACCGTTTTCAATATGAACTCGAGTTGCGCGATACCTGGTTCGGCTACCTACCAAATATCGTATACGACCCCTTCTTCAGTGAAGTCCAGTATCACCTGTTCTACGCCCTTTGGGGCCTCCCTATCATCCGCGATGCCGATGGAGTATACCGCAGACCTCAAGAAATCATTATTACGCCTCCCAGGTTCCGGGACAAGAACGAAAACGAACTCCCTCTTATCCCCAGCCACCATCTTCCACCACGATACCACTTCATATCACCGGATTACGATCTTTCCAAACCAAGTTTGGAGCTCTCGTTCAAGCAACTTTTGGTGCAGGAAATGGACGACGATATCTTCCTTGAATGCCTCGGGATTATGAGTACAAGAGGCGCCTTTCCTAATCAGTCAGAAGAATGGCACGAGGCGGTATGCGACTTGCTGTACCGCATTCCGAGGACTCGCGGAATGTATTTCCACCCCTTGATCTTGAACTTGAACATCCTTCCTCTGGCGAATGAGGCTTGGGTCCGCGCTACCACAGCACCGGAGCTGGTATTCGACCTCGAGTTCAGCGGCGTTCCAGATGATATCAACCTTCGCCGTATCTCGCGCCAGGTGCAACCGTCCTCCTCTCGATATCAGCTTTTCTCTGCGCTAGGAGTCAAGCCCGCGGATCCGCAACTCATTGCACGAAAGATCCTTCAGGGTAGCACCAGCAATCGACCCCAACTCCTTGTCCAGCGAGCTCGATTTTTCTTTGACTATCGCGATCCTTCTTACTCGCTCCCGAAGCCTTCCGGCTTAAGCGTTATATCCGACTACTCCTTGCGTCTATATCAAGGCCAAAATATATATCTAGATTTACCCCAGGACGGAGGAAGACTTCGCGAGTTTTTGCCCGCGGCCACTCCATTCCTACACTCACTGTATCTTCAGCAGTACGAAGGCGACGAACAGCAGAGGTGGTTCACCTGGCTACAGGATGCGCTTGCGGTCAATACTGCCCCGCGCCTCGTTTCTGGTTCGCTCCCAGACGACTTCCTCCACTCTATTCAGAACACCCCCGCGGACAGATTTCTGTTGGGGCTACAGTACTTCTGGCCACGATTCAAGGACCATATTTCCGACAATGGTCTTCGCCAAATATCACAGGCCATCCTCACACTCGGAGACAAGTCGACTCACCGCCTTGATATGACCTTTGTTAGACGCACAGTATTCTCCCGCCTTCCCACCCCGGTAAAATTCACCCTCCCCTTCCTTCCGATCGCCGATCCCGACTCCGAAGGTTGGGACTTCCTTCGCTTGTTCGGCGTAGTCCTCGAAGTGAACACGAATTATTTCCTCAAACTCCTCATGTGGTACCAGAAAGCGGATTGTCGTGACCAGCACGCTGTATCCACTATATATCAGCAGCTATCTTCGCGTTTTGACGAGAACCCTGAACTGATACGGTAGGTTTGTTGATTTTATCTTCATGATCTGTCACTCACTTCATTATGCGCGTCTTGACCAGCGATACTTTCAAGGAATATCCTCTGATATTGGAGCCTGGTGAAGGGGTATTAGGAAAGCACTGGTTCACACGTATGGAAGCGTACTGGGATGGGCCTCCGACCATGGTGACCAAATTCGCTGTTCGCCGTGCCTACGATTCATCGTTCCGGGAATTCTTCTTCGGCAAGCTCGAAGTGCGCAATGCGCCTTACACCACTCTCCTAGACGAATTGAAGGCGCTCGTACAGCAGTGGAGGGGCCGTGTCCTCACGAGCGAAGTCCACGAGAGAGTATCCGACATGCTCGCGGACCTATGGGACCTTATTTACGATGAACGTGTAGACGTTGAAGACATACGGCGCTTGGCGGGTGACACAATTTTCCCTGTCAAATCCAGGCGGAACGATGTCCTCTTGATGTCTCTGAAAGATTTCTACGTTCCTGACAGGGACGAGCGGCTTGCCAGACTCTTCGCTGGTCGCATTCCACTTCTCTGTGTCGGTACGAGCCGCCGCGCGACAGTGTTCCCAAAGCTGTTCAACTCACCGGCATTGAAACCTCATGTTCAATACTTGGAGTCCGCCGTGATACATCAACATGAACACCATGGCACGCGACGGTACGACCCTGTGTTGACCGCGAGATATGTTCGAAGACTCGAGTTTATTGAGAGGTGTGACATCATTTACGCAATTATGTAGATTCTCCCACTAATCCTCGCGCATAGGTTGTTATATCACCGTTCTACGAAGCCATCCGCGAAGCAAATCAGCTCGCTTGAGAAAATACAGAACATGACGATCCATAGAGTGGACAAGATCATCTCAAAGCTCACTATTGAAGACGTGACAATAACCACAAGGGATGCGGTATCCGTCATGGACGACTCGTCCCAAATTGACATCCTTGTCAGCAACGAGAACCTCCCAAATACACCTGGCAGCGAAGAAGACGTGCACATGAAGATTTGCGGTCGTCTTAGTAGCCTCCTCGAAATAGAGGTGGGACGTTTGTTCCAGGCCGTAATAACTCCGGAAGCTGGCACCCTTTTTATGTTGTACAATTTTGAGGGCATTGCTGAACTTGATCACGCTAGCTTGTTCCAAAAACGAGGATGGCTTGACGACTCCTTGGAAGGCGACAACAACGAAGTATTGTCTGCACCACTACAACCCCGTCCCGCAGCATCTCCTGCCACACCACCTCCTGCCACACCATCTCCTTCCACGCCATCTCCTTCCACGCCATCTCCTTCCACGCCACCTCCTGTCACGCCTCATCCCACCTCACAGGAGTCCGAGCCCAAGCCGACAGGTCGATCAGTAGTGGACAACAGGACACAACCAACAAGAAAATCCCCGGATCAATCAGGCAACCTGCGAGAGCAGGTCGCGCGAAGGGCGCCTGAGTTCAAACCGACAGGATTCTCAGCAATGGCAGAGAACGAGCCACAACCAATAAGAAATGCCCACGATCAAACAGGCATGCTTCGAGAGCAGGTCGCGCGAACAGCGGGAAGTCTTACGACCTTCAGCTTTGGCATGGACGACTCTGCCATGCGCCAAACCCCAGTTGTTTTCCATCCTCAGTCCGTTCAGGATCTCCTTCGCCAGGCACCATCTCTCAATATGGACCTTGTCTCTGACATCTCGCCGCGACTGTCAAATGGACCCGACTCTACCATCTTGGACCGTGTACAACGGTTTAATGCCATCCTAGGCGAGCGCTTTGTACGCAGCTTGCTCCACCTGCTCGTTCCTGAATATAAGCTCAGTGCTCCTTTATACAGGTCTACTCAATGCTGTCAGATATGTTACGTGATAGCTTTGGCCCCGAGAATTGGACTAGTGAGGCTCGAGGTGTTGTGGGCGGCTTTTCCCCATTCGAGGGAGACAGCCTCGGCGACTTCACGTACCACGACTTTGATGGAACCCTGACGAAGATTTGGTGTCATTCGGAAGCATGGGTTGGAAGTGGACGACCAACATATCACATAGAAGTCAAATCAACTGCAGGCACTGCTCAAGAGCCCTTCCAAATGAGCAGGCATCAACTTGACATTGTAAGTTCAGCAATTAGTCTAAGATATGACCCCTTCGCTCAAAGCTTCCTCAGGCATCCAACCTTGCAGCGCGCGAGGGTACCCGTGAGGTGCCGACAGATGTGTACGTTCTCATTCGTGTGTGGGGTGTACGCAACCCGACATCGATGTCTTATGCTGTCTATGTGGACCCTTTCAAAAGAATTTGGGACGGAGGGCTGAAGCTTGTATCCGATAGTGTCGATCTCATGACTAGCGGTTTATACTCTTGATCTCCTGTTGTTTCGTTGTACTTTCTTAATATACTTTTTAAACAGAGTGTCTTCGCACTTATCTCTCACAAAAAGGCCAAGATGAAAGACAGGGTCCGGGGCATGCAATAGGTATAAGTATGGCCAAGAGAGGGGAAGAGAATCGACAACGGCCAGGGAAGTTGAATGTGGGTAGGTATAGTACATGAAAGTGCAGGATTATAGCAATAAGTATGAGAGGGTAATGATTGGAGGACGTGGCGAATGGGGTCAGAACGACGAGTAGTCGACCGTCCGAGACAGTCCGCAAGCCAAAATGTCCGTTTGGACAAGAAAATAGAGTCCAAAGACAACAAGCGAGGTATGGAGGATGGTAGCGGAACACCGAGAAATGCAGGAGAACCATTGTTCCTATGTAGCAAACGCAAGAAGAGGAACGAAGAGGAAGACACACGCTCCCGAAAGATCTGCCTTTCAGAGAGGAAAGCAGCGGTCGGGATCGTCACGGCCAAAATATAAAAATAAAGACTGGACAGATTCTACCGTACACCATTCCACATGAACAGGGGTACATTTAACTTGTCATTTGAAACCATACTTCCTGTGGGAGAGGATAACGGCCCCGAGGCTTGGGAAAGAAGTCACGGTGCATCTGAGGGTCGGGGATTGCGTGCCTAAAGACAGACCAGGAATCCATCAATTTCTGCACACAAAGTGCGGCGTGACCCTAAAAAAGAAGTCAGAACGTACACTGCCTGTATATGTGCAATCATAGCACCTCGGTGCGGATATGCTTCACTGCTCTGCGGTCCCCCGAGCCCTCCAAATGAGTTCGGTGGAAGAGTAGCTTCACGGTAGTGAAGGTCACAATGGTAGCACCCGAACCGCAAGAAGCATTCAAGGAATCTAGACAAGGGGCCGTTTTGCTCGCGAGACTTGATGGAGCTTGCCTCAGCGTCAGTGAGCACGTAGAAGGAGGAACTGATGTGGGAATCTGGCGTATTGGAGTTGGTTTGAAGAATATGGTCGAGCTATATAGCCGTTTTGGACAGAAAAAATGTGAATAAGTTCAAGGATCGCTAAGCAGTGACGACGATGCACTCACCAAACTCCACCAAGTCATAGCGTCTCTCCCGAGCGGGCCATTTCCCCCCCACTCTTCGCCTTCATGCTCGATAGGACAGTCCATACAAACAAAACGGTTATCGAGCCGTTCCATGTCGATGGAAGTGGTAGATTTCTCATCCAAGCCCAAGCGGTTTAGGATAGCGACGACTACATATTTTCCTTTCTCGCTGAAACGTGGCAGGATCATATCGAAGGGAAGTTCATTTGTCGTGCTATCCGAGTCAATTTTGCAGGATTTGCAGGTATGTCCAAAGACGTGGAGACCGTGGAGCGGGGAAGCCGAAGAAGAAGGTGATTCAGGAGCGCCACAAACGAATATCGATGTGGCAAGCTGGAACTGTCCAAGGGAACCAGACCCAGCTGAAGGAGCGGGATGCCTGGCGGGTTCAGAGGTGTTTTGCAGTAGGGCGAAAATTGACTCCTTTCGGTGACAGGCCATAACAGATAATTTGGGTGTAAGGGACGTGGAGACGGTTTTGATCTGGGCTATTCGTTCTTCTATGTCCTCCGTGTCGTCGACAACCAGGGCATGTATCTCGGGCAGAGAGCGGAAGTCTTCCTCGCCGAGGAGACAGGAGAGCTCGAGGGCAGAAGGTGACAGAGACCGGAGGATATCGTAGTACGCCACATAAACCGCTCTGAGTCGAATTTCTTCCCGCCGTTTACGTTCACGATGAAGCCTAGCGAGATTAGCAGCCTCAATGAGGGGGACTATCTGTGGCAGAATAGTTCCCCATCCTGCACAGAAATTCAGAAAGATGTTGGGAGAGCGAGAGAAATAGTCAGGTATCCCACCTTTCTCTGTTAACTTGGCCTCAGTGTTGACGGAATGGTGCCTTAATGCGCCCCGGCAGTCGGTCTCTTCGTATCCCAGTTCAATGCAACGTCTGAGAACTCTAAAACAGAAAGGACTCCACATCAACGAGAGGTCAAGTTTAAGAGACGATCATAAACGTACTCAGCTCTGCGGACTGCTTTCTTGGCTTCGCGCTTATCTGCCTTCTCCGCTGCGTTTCGCGATATCCAGTCCGACCAGGACAGCGCCATGTCTTTTCTAGCTTGGAGCTCTGAGAGTTTGGCCTGTTTGAACTCTGCGAGGGCGGCTTGTCGATCGCCTTGCTTGGTAGTCTTCTGCATGGCATGAAAATCTGCCTCAAAGGCTAGAATATCTTCGTTCCACCATATATGGCGAGAATAGTGCTTCATAACCTCTACAGCAAAAGTACACCCGAAAGGAATGGACAGAAACATTAGAGATGATCGCCGTATGGATAGTTGTATGGGCGGGTAATAGTACGCACCAAGTGTGTGTGGTATACAGAAATACAAGGTCTGTGGTATGTCCGGAGCTAGGGTAAAGATTGCAATAGGGGAGTCGCAAATACTACATCCAAAATGGTAAGGAAGAGGAAAATAGAAAAAGGCGGGCTAGCGAACAGTGTTCCTACGTACTATTGTTTCAAGCAGCCAGTACACACTCGCCGTCGTAGTAGAAAATCGATTTTCATAACGCGTTTGTTGCCACAGCACTAGAAACCAATTTTGGGTTCAGTATTTCCAGAGTATCGCGTATCAACTGCGGACATACATGACAGTAGACGCCGCCCCAGACGAGATTGGCCCACACGGGAAGCGGAACATCGTTAGGACAAGCGGGAAAATCAGGGATGTTACCAAACGATGCCTTCCAAGCAAATAGCGAGCTACGAGACAGGAGAACATTCCGGAAAGACTTTGAGACGCGAGATAGGCTGATTAAATCTATAGGCAGCAGATGGCCCAGCACCTGGATCAAATTGAAGTCAATACATGCGTGTATAACCAACGGTTACTACACACCTCATAGAGAATATCCAAAGATATATCGAGTAGGGCACTCAGACGGCCAACGACCTTCCGTCCGCCAGCGTTACCGGTTCGTTTTGAGTTCCTGCTCGCACCCTTGTCAGTAGACTTCTTGGCTCGTTTCTTGGGGCGAGTCTTGGTGTCTTGAGCTGAGTTCCACCCGGTCCGAATGTGTATCAGTCGACATTGAAAGAAAGAATACAGAACACCCATTGGTCTTACCAGATTCGTCTTCTGGTATACTGGGCGACCCAGGATGGTCCTGCGTGTTGTCTGAGCTCACGCCGGCTACTACAGAATGGCTCTCAGGAATGGCAGTTGTCGTGGCATTCGAGGAGCTAGTTACGATCTGAGTGCTCTGTGCACTCATAGCACAAGGATTGCACGTAGGATGAAAGATGTGGCCCGAATGCCTGCTATAGATTTTGAAGGTTGCAAGGCGGTCGAAAGGAATGGCTTATGGATCCAGAGATGGTTCAACACGGCGGTGAAAGGATTCTGGCGGCGCCCGGAGATATCCGCTACGTCACGGTCAAGCCACGAACTTTCCACATCAATTGCACATCGTCTTTCTGCTGTCATTCGCATCTCCTGCGTACGTTCTTCTGAGATTTTTGGCTCGAATATCATGAATTCCACTCGATAGCATTCCTTCAGACCATTGAGCGCCAATTCCTGCCAGCAGCATCGTCACCCAGGCCCTTGCTAACTAACTGCTAACACAACAGGGTCGAAGGCGTGCCATGGCGCCCGCCGAGTGGCACTTGTGAACCCAGCCGGTTCTTTCCGTTCTTCCTTATGACGAACATCAACTTGGTGTGAATAGATGTTATCTGCTGCCTGAATTTTAAGGGAACTAGCCAATCAGACACTTGGCTTTCAGTGGGGCTCCACTCAGAATTCAGAGAGCAGATAACTTCTAATGTCTCGCGATTCCAACTACGGTATGTGACACCGCAAAGGCGGAGACCATGGGGCAATTTTACCTCACGCATAACATGCTACTTCTCATCTGGCTAGGCAATTTCTCTGAAAGGTGTTCCCAGGACTCGCCACACAATTAGCAAATGGGTAATGGTGCATTATAAACATCTCCCATTTTCTTCTCTGCTGATGTTGGCCTAATCCTGACCACCATCTCATTGGTGTTCCCTTTGCTTCCGCACGACCAATTCGCACCCATGGAGGTCATACGATCTATCAGACAAGACCTCGGACTTGATGCTCCGAATCCAACAGAGGTCGAAAGAATGCTTGGTCGCGCTCTAGAGCAGTGAGTGCCCCATGTTCTCGGAGGTACACGACTGTGATCTCATACACGACGTGCCATAGCTTGGCCGACCAACTCTATAGAACTGACACACACTTCGTCCTCGAATTTGTCCAAAATGCCGAAGACAATTCCTACCATCCAGACGTGACCCCGACTCTCTCCCTTCGCATCGACGATTACTCTATGAGGATCAGTTGCAACGAACGCGGCTTCGACGAGAGCAATGTGCGAGCCATTTGTAATATAGGCACTAGCACGAAGAAACACCTGCAAGGCTTCATTGGTATGCTTTCGTTCCTGGTTCGAATGTAGAAGGACAATTGCTAAGCCACAATTGCATGCGCAGGCGAGAAAGGGATAGGTATTGTGTACAACCCTAATTAATTCTCGCGCTCATGGTGATGCTGTTGATAGGGTTCAAGTCGGTCTTCAAAGTCGCAAATGTGGTCCGTGTGGCGTCGGGAGACTTTCGCTTCAAATTCGATAGAGACGAGAGGCTTGGTATGATTGCGCCAATGTGGGAAGACGATCTTCCCGCTCAACCCGGATGGACAGATTTTCATCTCGAACTGACTAGTCTAAGACAATCCTCGATGCCCCCCGGGATGGCCCTGAGCTTCAAACTGGACGAAGTCAAGGCCTCCCTTTTACTCTTCCTCCAAAGGCTCCGGTTTATCGAACTTGACTTCGCATTAAGCGACCCCGACCGGCAGCGTATCATCACCCTCTTCCGCTACGATATTGGACCCGGCATTGTCAAGCTCACTCATTGCGAGAACGATTGCCCTCTACGAGACGATTTCTACCTTATGGTCAACCACTTCAACGACATGTCAGCCACACAAGAGCCGAAGCGGCCGGGACTTGATAGGAGTGAGATTGTGCTTGCCTTCCCCATCGCCGAAGACTTTCAGCCTGTGTTCTCTCCGCAAGATGTGCACGTCTTCCTGCCTTTGAGACCCTTTGGCTTCAATGTACGTTGGTCTTGATATCTTCAAGCACCCTGGCGCTTACTTGTTCATACTATAGTTCGTCATCCAAGCTGACTTCTTGACGTCCTCGAGCCGAGAAGATATTCTTGCGGATAGCCGTTGGAACAAACTTCTTCGCGATGGGATTGTCACTGCTTTCGTACAGGCCATAGAACGTTTCCATAGTCAAGACGAGTTGCGCGATACGTGGTTTGGTTACCTGCCACACGCCGTGCTCGACCCCTTCTTCAGTGAGGTGGAGCCTCATTTGCTTCGCGTACTTTCGAATCTTCCTATCATTCGCAATGCCAATGGGGTATATCGCAGACCGCGAGAGGTTCTTGTCATACCTACCAGGTTCCGTGATAAGATCGGAATTCCTCTTATCCCCGGCGACCATCTACCAAAACCACATACCTTCATATCGCCCGATTACGATCTATCGGTTAGGGTTCTGAGGCCTTCACTCAAACGACTTGGGGTACAGGACATGGATGACGATGTCTTCGTCAAAAGCCTCGAGAATATGAGCGCAGGAGGCGCGATCTCTCACCAGTCGATTGAATGGCACGAGACGGTATGCGACTTGCTGTACCGTTTCCCAAAGACTCGCAAAATGCAATTCCACCCGTCTATCCGGAACTTGAACATCCTTCCTCTGGCTAACGGATCTTGGGTTCGCGCTGCCACAGCCTCAGAGCTGGTATTCGACCTCGAGCTCAGCGGCATCCCCGACGATATCGGCCTCCGTCGTATCTCTCGCCAGGTGCAACCATCTTCCTCTCGCTACCAACTATTCTCTGCGCTTGGAGTCAAACCCGCGGATCCAAAGCATATCGCACAGAGGATTCTGAAGGGGAAGACCGGCAACCGACCCAAACTGCTCGTCCAGCGAGCTCGATTTTTCTTTGACTATCGCGATCCTACCTACTCCCTCCCAAAGCCTCTCAGTTTAGCCGTCATATCCGAATCTCTACGTCTATATCAAGGTCAAAATACGTATCTAGATCTACCCGAGGACGGAGGGAGGCTTCGTGAGTTGTTGCCCAGGACCACACCATTCCTCCATTCGCTGTATCTTCAGCAGTATGAAGGCGAAGAGCAGCAGAGATGGTTCACCTGGCTACAGGATGTACTCGCGGTCAACACTGCTCCCCGCCTCATTTCTGGTGCGCTCTCTGAAGAGTTCATTCATTCGATCAAGAATACCGCCGCGGATAAATTTCTGCTGGAGATACGATACTTCTGGCCACGACTCAAGGGTCGTATTTCTGACAGCGGACTATATCAACTCTCGCAGGCCGTCATCACACTCGAAGACCGAACGACTCATCGCCTTGACCTAACATTCGTCAGACGCAGAGTCTTTTCCCGCTTTCATGCTCCGACAGAAATCACCCTGCCCTTCCTTCCGATTGCCGATCCCGATTCCGAAGAATGGGACTTTCTTCGATCATTAGGCGTTGTCGTGGACGTGAACGCGAACTATTTCCTCAAACTCCTTGTCTTGTACCAGACAACAGACTGTCGCAACCAGCATGCTATATCTGGACTATACCAGCAGTTATCTTCGCGTTTTGATGAGAACGCCGATTCGATACGGTAAGTTTAGGTCAATGGTGGCCTCATCCATTATCCTGACGCCCTTTCCTTACGACCGTCTTGTTCAGCGATACATTCAAGCGATATCCTCTAATATTAGCCCCTGGTGAGGGAGTATTAGGACGTCACTGGTTTACTCGGATGGAAGCGTACTGGAATGGTCCTCCAACCATGGTGACCAAGTTCGCTGTCAATCGCGCTTACGATACGTCATTTCGGGAATTCTTCTACAGTAAGCTCGGAGTACGCAACGCGCCCTACACTACTCTCTTAGACGAGCTGAAACAGCTGGTAAAGCAGTGGAGGGGACGTGCCCTTACGAGCGAGGCCCACGAGAGAATATCGGACATGCTTGTAGACCTGTGGGATCTTGTTTCCGAGGAACGGATAGACCTCGACGACCTACGGCGCTTGGCGGGCGACACGATATTCCCTGTCAAATCCACGCAAGACGAAGTCTATTTGAAGTCTTTGAAGGAATTCTACCTACCTGACAGGGGTGGACGGATCGCCAAACTATTCGCTGGTCGCATTCCACTCCTCGCTATCGGCACTAGCCACCGTCCATCCGTGATTTACAGACTCCTAACATCACCGGCCTTGAAGCCTGACGTCAAGTATCTAGCTTCCTCGGTGAAACGTCAGCATGAACCTCACGGTGTTCGGCGTTTCGACACTCTGTTCACTTCGACATATGCTCGAAAATTTGAGTTCATCGAGAGGTGCGGAATTGAACAATCATTTGCGATGACCTCGCCGACTTACACATATAATATAGGTTGCTATACTACCGTTCCGCGAAGCCTTCGGCGAGGCAACTTAGCTCCCTTGAGAAGATTCAAAACATGGCGATTCATAGAGTGGACAGAATCGTCTCAACGCTCACTGTCGAAGAAGTGTCGCTCACTACAAGTGATGCGGTATCCGTCATGGAAGACCAATCTTACATCAATATTCTCATCAGCGGCGAGGCGCTCTCGAATACATGCGAAGGCGAGGTACACATGGAGATTTGTTTCCGCCTCGGTAATTTGCTCGAGCTAGAGGTTGCGTCTTTGCTTCAGGCCGTGATGATGGATGTCGGAACCCTTCGTACATTGTACGCTTTTGAGGGCATCCCTGAGCTCGACCATGTCGGCCTATCCCAGAACCGAGGATGGCTGGATGACTCGGTAGAAGACGACAATGAGGGGCTACCTAGTATGCCATCACAGTCTCGTCACAAGACAACTCTCGCCCCCCAATCCACCAAGCCTCGGCAGCCTAAGCAGACGGGTCGCTCGGGAGTAACAAGCAATGGGCCACAGCAGATTTCAAAGTCTAAAGACCCATTGGGCAAGATGCGAAAGCAGGTCGCGCAGATGGCGGAAGGTTTTGCAACATTTACCGTGGATGACTCGACCGTGCACCACTCCTCAGTAATATTTTCACCTCAATCCGTCCAGGATCTCCTTCGCCCAGCACCAACACTCGATATGGAGCTTCTCTCTGCTAGCCCATCACGAGCATCCAACGGCTCCGTCACTAATACTCTCGACCGCGCTCAACGGCTTCACGCTCTTCTAGGCGAGCGTTTCGTATGTCGCTTTCTCTACACCCTCTCTTTTGAGTATATGCTGAAGCTATTCGAAGGTCTTCGCTATGCTGTCGGATCTCTTAGGTGATAGTTTTGGCCCCGACAACTGGACTAGTGAGGCCCGAGAAATTGTTGACGGGTTTGTCCCTTTCGAGGGAAGCAGCCTCGGCGACTTCACATATCATGATCAAGACGGAATCCTGACCAGGATCTGGTATGACGGCGATTCTGCAGTCTTGGAAGCATGGGAAGGCAAATGGCCGACATACCACATAGAGGTCAAATCAACTGCAGGGACTGCACAAGACCCCTTCCATATTAGCAGACATCAACTTGACATCGTACGTTTCTCTCCTACTTCGGTATGTTTCATTTTCGCTGAAAGCTCCTTAGGCTTTGAACCTAACAGAACGCGAGGATGTCGTCAATCAGCAGAGCGATGTCTATGTCCTCATTCGCGTATGGGGCGTGCGCAAGCCTTCTTCGACATCTTATGCCGTTTATGTCGATCCCTTCAGAAGGCTTTGCGATGGAGGATTGAAGTTAGTCTCCGATAGCGTGGAGCTCATGATGGGCGATTAATTCTTCACCGTCTGTTGTTCCGTTATATTTCTTGATATACTTTGAACCTCTCCTCCTCCTCGTGCTTATCTCTCAAACTTTGTTATGTCCGTCGTCTAGGATCACAGTCTGCTCATGAGGATTTACGGGAAAGACGAACAGTGCGAGAGATTGATTGAAAGAAGGGGTAGACTCGCATGAATATCCGAATTTTCATTGACCTAGTTACTTAGTCCGTATCTTGTAAATTGACGAGATGAGCTCTTGGCTTCACAATTCGTCATGTGCCTAATAAAGAAGTGAGTACATTTAACTGTGCAGCGTGCCATCGCAGAGCGCAGAACAAGGTAAGTTACACGAGGCAGTAAGTAGTGTCCTCGAGTCGACTGCGTTACCAAAAATATTGCAATGTCGTTCATAGGACTAGAAGGTTCGATTTCGGCTCGTTGGAAGAGGAACCAAAACCATGCTGCAGATCACAATGCAGTAGCGTAAAGCTACTGAAAACAGCGTGTGTCGCGAGCATTGCATTGGGCGAATGAAAGTCTCGCCCGGTAAGCAGTGAGCACAGGGATGGAGGCATACTATCAAGGTAAGTTTAGAAAAAGATGCGTCGGGTTCACATGCACTAGTATTGATGCGTTCAGCATAGCTGTACCTCTGGTGCTAGTGAAGGTTCTCTCTGGAGTAACGTGGAGTTGCGTGTTCACCTGGCCGCTAAACCGAGAGCGCTTCTCTTTCCACCAGTAAGTATTCAGATGTTACTTTATGAACTCATTCTATGCCACACTCCTGTGCTATGATGCCTCTAGATCGAGAATCATTGGAGATTATGAGTAAGAGGAGACTTATAGAGTGGGGCGTAATATGCGAGTACTACAACTTACAAGGAGGTGTATGTGAATCATACTGCCGCGTAGACTACCATGAGGCGATGATGCGATGAGCCTGTACCATATAGTGATTCTGAAAACACCACTACTGAGCCTCCCAAAGATGTAACAAAGGACCCAGGTCGTCAAAGAGGATCACCTTGACGCTCAGTGATACGATGCATAGCGCCCTATAGTCAGACCTGGTCGGAAGCCTGCGATCCGTAAACGGATATGACCTCGAACCAGAGAGGTGAATGCCTGTCTTCCGGCGTTTTTGACGCCTCAGGTACCAGAATAGACGGTACAAAGCATCATCGGTTTCAGGCTGCCCGATATCGACCATGAACTTACAGTGATAAGGTCAGGAAGGCCGCGCGTTGCATCGATAGCTGAGCAGACCATACGCAACGAAGTGGAATGCAGTGCATCCCTGTCCAGGCATGTATACCGGAATACTTATACTGCGATGGCGAAGCGGTGGATAGGGTGCTTATTTCTAAGGCTGCCACACTGGGGAGAACGTGGATTGGTCGTCGATGACCTGGATATCGACAGTCGGCCATATTTTACAACGACCCCTACGCCACCCGAAGCTCGTGGATGCCGAAAAAAGCTCTCAGCGTAGGAATGGCGAGTCGGTCGATCACAAACAAGTACCATATCTATCTGAGATGGATAGCTCTCCGAAAGCGCTAGTGCCTCGACGGATCCATCGCGGAAGTTCAAGACAGAGCAGCTGCTAGATACGCCCCTTGATAGCCTGATCATCTGTCTCCTTTGTGGAACACCAAGGGATGAACGAGATCATGATTTGGATAGAAACTTACTCCTCCAAGTCCGCCTACCTCTTGGTACGAAGATCGCACCAACTCTATCGCAGATTGTCTTTCAGTCATCCATGAAGGTTCAAAACGAGATGAAAGGGTCTCGCATCACCGTAATACTGCCCGAAGGAGCTCAGGCGGCAAAGGTACGTCCCAAGGTGGAGCTTCCTCTACTTCTCTGACTCTGAGGATTAGTAACAAGGTCTCTCTCATGGAAAGGTTTGCACGCACAAGGAGCAGGAGTATCTGCTCCCATTGTGACCACTCCGAATATGATTCAGCGCACTCGGCTTTTGTTTGACGCCAGAGGGGGCTTGGATGGGCGTAGAAGGCGAGTTAGAGCGCTACGCTTTGAAGACCGCCGCGGTAGGCACTGGAGCCTGAGATACATTGTGAAATCACCTGATAACGACCATCAAAGCATCGCGGGAGTCCGAGGATGTTTTCTCTTTCGACTTCCGTACCCCCAGTCTCCAGAGCTGATGAAACGGAGGTAAACGATATCCGAGCGCGGGCATCCTAACTTCTAAGAGAAGGATATTCCGTTCTCCTCTAGGCGAGCATGCTCCGGCAGCTGTAGCATCTATAGAAAATAGTCAGATAATTCCAAGCTTTAAATAACTTCATCTAAATGAACTTCGTACATTGGGTGTAGGAGATGGGCGGTGACGGATGTGAATGAAGCTCAACTTAGGGCATCTCGATACCAGGCTTTCAACCCGATATAGATCCATTCCTTGTTCTGTTCCAGGGAAAGGCATCTTTAGTAGTAAAGGCATCATTGCATTCTTCACAACAGATGGTAAATGAATATCCACTTCTCACTGACCGTAAAAGAGAGCGACATTTTGGCAGACGCTCGAGTTGTCAGAACCTGAGGTATACGAGCCATTTCTGACGCAGCTTTTTTGGGACAGCGCAAACCGACCCGTGGGACAAAGAAATGTTCATAACGGATCTAAGAGACGCTGGAGAAGAAACGAACCTCGGAGATGGCTCTACTGCTTCGTTCTGTTTGGATCTCCGGATCTAGACTTTTTGATACACCATAATCAATGCAGCACAAAGCGTGCCACTTACGTGCCACGGTGCTTCATCCAAAGACTTGAGAGTCCAATCGCAAAACTGGCACTCATCCTATATACATCAAAATATGAAAGTCGGCGGCAAGATTCGAAGAATGGCACATCTACGCCACTCCTCGAGGCCTCCATAATACCGCTCCATGAAGCTCCTTCGTTACAAAGATAACCCATCGATTCCCGAGGCCTCACTATCGTACTCACCATCGACTTCGACTTCGCACCGACTCGACATCTGCTTTCATTTATCTGATGTGCCCTTCGTTCTCAGTAGTTCTCGATCGGCGTATCCTCGAGGATGTGACGGGTGTTGTTTAAGGTGATGTCGATGCAGATGATGACGAGGATGAGGCCAGAGGTATCCCATAATACCTACACGTTGTCTTCGAGCCGTTTACTCTGGACCGACTTTCCTAAACCACTACATTGGGTGTGACCGAATGTTAGAAATAACGCACGTGTGTATATGTAAAGCACGACCCCAAGTGGCTCAACGGCTGGTAGGTCGAGACTCAGGCCTTAGGACGCACCTTTATCGATCATCCTTTTGACCGTTCATTGGTGTGGCTCAGAGACAAAGGGTATCGACATCGTTCCGTTGCTCCGTCTGGTCTGGCCTGGGCGAAATGTTGATAGAATCTGCGCGCCATCTCGGGGGAGTACGATAATTGTGCCACAGGTAAAATATATCAGATGCGGTCGCCCACAAGCCACTGACGACCTCCAAAGCATCCTTCTTGAAGCGACGTACACCTGTACGTTTTAAACACTCACCGATGTATTCTGTGCTTGTGCTCACCTAATTGTACAAGACTTGGCACTCAGTACCACTTCCACGTCGACGCCAATCACATTTCGGTCACCGATGGCTTCTGTGATCATTTGATGGCTCTAAAAGATCCCTAAGAAACTGTGAGCTCGTGAGGATGGTTCTACGCTGAGACTATGATGAAGTACCTACTCCAAAGCATCATGTCCGCGAAGCCTCCGCCCGTAGGCCATACTCAAAAGAGCACGCTGTTGAAACGGTGCTTTTTCAAGACACCGAAATAAACACACATGGACATTAAACTCACGGCACGCAACTCCGTCAACACGATGTGGCCCTGTTCGTCATTCGAGTCGTGAAAGCTTCAGTGGTCCGTTAGTCTTCCCCTGTGGCTTCGTCAATCACATCTCCGTCATCTGCGTCTTCTGTGATATACGATCTATGATGTGGAAAGATACTCAGGAGTAAGTATGAGAACTTGTGTGCGCCTCGACCTCGAGTCTCAGCCACACAACTATTCCATGCCGCGCTTCTCCACTCTCCTCACCTTCGCGCCACCCTGCACCACCACCCTATACCACGACAAGAAGTCACCCCGCACCTTGACCCGTAGGTTCTTATGCCCGTCTCGACTCAACTCTCGAGGTCATTGCCACGCTCCCCGAGGCCGCAAAGAAGTCCACAATTGACGTCCGCAGAAGTAGTTGTACAATTATGTCCTTCTCACATGATCCATCACTCAAGGTAATCTGGAGTCCGAGCGTTGGCCAGTACGTGGGCTAGGTCCGGCCGTCTGACGCGCGTTCCAGACGAAGAGCGAAAACCTGAGAAAGCATACGCACAAATGTCGACACGCGGGTCTATGGAAGGCCTATAACAGGAGGCGTAAGTAAATCAACTACGTGTTAACTTTCGGGACGTGATGTGCGCCGAAAGACCGCGATTTCGAGAAGGAAGGTCTAAGTGATGGACTCACAAAGAGAGCACACGACTTGGTCTGCTGTTTGATTACCGTGTTCTTATAGTCAATTGCTCGTAAAAGCAAAGGCAACCACTAGGCTCCGATCGTGAGCTGCTTTGACGTCGTTCGTCTAAGTATTTGCTCCCGCGTGTTCCTCTGCACGCCCGTCACTTCTACGAGGAATACGCAAACGCAATGCGCGAGAAACATTTGTAGCGCACGAAGCGTTACAACGACACACCTTCTGGACTCAGACCTACGGACTTTTGGGTGGGGGCCACAACCGCACAGAGGGTCATGCGGCAACTGTCTCGCGATTGACGAAGACCGCTGAATCGAGCGAGCTGCCTTTGAGTCAACGCCTACGATCAAGCCTCGACACAAAGCTGAGAGACAGGAGGAAAGAAGACGTAAAGCTCTCCTGTATCCGCGACTTGAGACGGTGAATGAAGGACGACGTAGAGAGCATCCCCGCCACACACCATGATCTTAGATCATCTTAGGCTCATGCCCTCGGACAGATAAAACACCGTGTGGTCTTCCTCGACGAAGTCGGATCAACTGCCGGAGATCGATTTAACGTGAGCTCGAAGCGAGTTTCTGTTACTTGCAGGTCCAGTGCAGGTCCTCCATCGACATCATCGCATCGCATCGCATCCATGTATCGCAGACGACTACAGAGTCGAACTGCGACGATGCTCACGGCCGCCAGTGGGGAGAAAGACCTTCAGGATCCGATGAGGTTTCAGACCGAGCAAACTGGCCCAGTGGATTGTCCACCTCTCCCCATGCATGCATACGAACAGGGTGGATGGCCCAAAGAATTATTTAGCCGGATCTCCCGATCCTGTGTAGTCGATGTGGGAAGGATGAGGCGCCCTGCAAAAAGTCAACCGTGCTCACGAACCTCGAACAACGCGGTCTCTCCATAGACGACGACACGTTGAAGAGAGGTCGTCCATCCCCGTGGCATTCTGGCACGCATCCGTATATGTACACACGGGTACCTAATCCGTGCAGAATTTGATCGTTTCAGCCTGCGAGAACGAGCAGATTGCAAAAAGGATCGGCACACATATATCTGGATCGACCGCCTCACGGAGATCAAATGGCCGACATGCTGTAAAAATTGGACGTCCACGATTTGATGGACCTCGAGGCCCTCGTCCAGTGTGGGCGGGCCAGCGGGCAACTCAAATGAGCTTTGACGGCGGCGCTTATGTCGCGTCAGGGCGCCAAAGCTGCTCTGAGAGGTGAAGTTCTATGTAGGAGAAGAAGGGTTCATGTAGAAACGGCCAGCCTTCCGACTTTCCGTTATCTTTGCATCATCGCTCCTGCCCTCCCGTCTTTCTCACTTTACAGCGAGCCGCCGTTGTGCTCACTGGCAAAGACAGACCGACACCAACTTGAAGCGTGCGAAAGGGCGTTGCGCTCAGGCTTCAGCCCGACAGACCGCACGTACACGTAAATAAACAGCACGAAAGGGCCTCGAGGCTCCGAACTCGAACGAGGGACCTCGAGGGACGGCGCGGAACAAAGTCGTGCCTGCAAGATGCTTCGCACGACGACGGGCAGGACAGACGCTGTCGACGATGCTGCCTGCAGGAGTCGGGAAGAAGGCAGAACCGTGAGCCTCGTGAGGTAGACATAGAACATGCCTTTTTGAGCGGTGTGGAGGGAACAGTTGAAGAGACAGGAACAGGGGTCGACGTCTCGCTTAGGTTCTCCCCTATGTTATGTGGCGGCGTGGCGTCGTGAGCGTCGGCGACGTCGACGTTCGACGCCACGCCTGGACTCTTCCGAAGTCCTTCGAATTCGTCAAAAGGCTATCTATCATCTCGACCTCCATATCATCTCAGACGACCACATATATGGGAACATGAAGACTATGTACTTACAAGCGGTTCGAGATTTCGAGTTCGCCGTCGCGCGCGCTAATAAGCAAAGCCGCTCGAAACCACTCGGAGCTGGTGACGACGACGGTGGACGTCGAAGCGAATTTGTAGTCAAAAAATAGGAGGAAAAAGGTGCGTTCATGCCGCCGGTACTGTACGAGGCTAGCTCTTGTACACTGGAGTCGCCACTTGAGCGCTTGAGCGCTGAGCTGTCAATATTTGGCTCTCCACGGTGAGTTGGAGGAAGGAAGGCGATTCTTCCGCGATGATAAAATGGGAGAAAATGGGGCGGAGTTGAACGTCTCAGCCTGCTTCGATATTCGACCGCTAGCCGTGCGGGGAGCAAAAAATGAGCTCTAATTCGACGAAGTCGATAGAGGAAGAAAGGAAGGAATGGAGTGGCATATGAGTTGATGAGATGAGGAGCACCTCAGACTATTATGATGGGAACACAACCGAAGTCGGAAACAAAACGCACCGCCGGGATGTGGAATGAGCTCTATAGACAGCGATGATGTAGCCGCCCACATTGCCAGCGGTATTACTGCAGAACGTCCGAGTCCGAGTCGGTGGTGTTATGGCGGGATCTTGGAGCAAGTCAAGGCTTTCAGCTTTGCAGAAGCCTCGCCGTCTGTCTCCTATCCGTCGGTGACGCTGCGAAAGAGAACGGCTCCAGACTATGATGTCGACGAAGAAGTCGAGCTGTCCGTTCTTCCTCCACCTCTATCGAATTCACCGCGGCCACATGTCGCAGAATTGATCTTGGCCTCGTCACTGTCGGAGCATGTTCAAAGTCTAGCCAGTCTCGAGCCGCCGGTAGGAAGGATAGGATGAAATGAAGAGGAAAAGGTAAGGTCCTGGGATACTCAGGTTATCTGACAGCGAAGGGCTTGACGGTGAGGAACAAGGCGAAGTTCAATCGCGGAGTCGATGTCTCGCGGTGAGTGAGTTCTAGCAGTGTGGCGCCTCCATCCTCCATCCCCGCAGGGAATCAATAACAGCGGTAAGAAAGAAACCATTCACCGCGGCCTCCAAGCCTCGCAGGTTCGCGATCCCCGCGGCAGGGCTACTAGTACAGTAAGTTGAAGCTCTACTTACCAGCTCTTAGCTCCTCCTCGGCCCTCGCCACACACCTTAGTCTGGTACCTGCATCAGATTCAAAAGCGAAACGAGCTCGAGCTCTCCATCTCCGCCCGAACGACTTCCCATCTCCGCCTTCACGTACTTATTCGCATTCTAAATCTAAACAGTCGTCGAGCGCTCGTCCAGAACTCCATCCGGAGACAGTCCATCCACACGCACACGAGAGAAGGAAGACGTCGGAGGAAGGAGAGGGCAGAGTCGATGGGTCTTATTCGATAGACGCCCAGTTGACAGATCGCGTCACACGCGTCGTGGTTCTTGCACGAACGCGGTAGTAATTTGCCTGTTCTATCCAGACCTGGGAGCGTCGCTGAATATTGACAGTCGATGTCTTGATCTCCAGCGAATATCATTATTCTGGCTCAGAGACTTTGAGAAAAGACAGTCCAATTGTGCTAGGCTTTGCAACATATTGCAAAGGTGAAGTTGCCATGGAGTCGGCAACAGCAGCTTGAAGCATGAGGTTCTCCCACTTTCAAGTCTTGCCATCATGATCTCAAGGTTGTCGTGCAGACCACACTTGGGCCACACGTAAAACTAGACATCGAAAGCATGCCCACAGGCTGCCACAGCCTCAAAATCAGTGTCCCATTCAGGGAGCATTTTTGTCTGCAGCATGGTCTGATGCCCGAATGGGATGTACATTGACTCAGGCGGTCAATGTTCTTTTTTGTGTGCGTGTGTGTGTGTGTATAAGTCTCCGGACTCCAACCAATTGCCAGGACGACGGTTATTCATCCATACACTACTCGTCCTGTTGTGCATGCAGACGTTGAAATTTATCCCAGGTGCACCTACTCGGCTGGAGTAAAGCGTAGCCTCCTACGCCGAACACATATTGACCGACTTTTCGTTAGCCTACATGCGCACGACAGGACTCCAATATGCGTTCAGCGCCACACATACGTAGCATCGTCGAGTCGCCGCGGACGGAGACACGGGCCCTTTCTCACAGGCTCTTCCCTCTCCTTTCTCGCTCAGATTCTTAGAAGCTGATGCGATCTGTCAGATGGGCGTCTATCGAATAAGACCCATCGATCCTGTCCTCGAGGAAGGAACGAGCGACGGTCTTGAACCCGCTGCGCCTGATATGTACAACTGCCATCAAGATGATCTTCCTTCCTTCCAAGTCTCCTTCTGATCCCTCATTCCCCATTCCATGGCCAGATGTATCAGTCTCAGTACTGCATATACCGTACAAGCGCTCAGCTCACCTCCGAGCCTCGCATCCCGCCGTATGCGTGTAAGTATGCAATGCGCGCCCTCCCACTCCACCTCTTCCATCTCTTTTCCTGATTCAGACCCTCGTGCTCGCTTCTAAAACCCAGTTAAACCCGAAACTCCTGCGTCTGCATATGGGAATCGTACATGTCAGTTGAACTTCAAACAAGGCAGTCTGCGAGAATGTTTGTGCGAGCGCTAGCATCGTAGCAACTCCCGGTCCCAACTTCTAACAACATCAATCGCCACTTCCAAAAACACACCCGCATCTGACACTTCAACTCTATCTACTGTCTGACTTCGAAGTCGGTGTATCCACATAGCATACCCACCCACGCCTCCACCGTATCCTTATTACATATCTCCCCGTTTGGCCGTTGAGGACTCCATACTTCGAAATTTATTTTGTTCTCTTTACGATACTTACTCTACCGCCGGGCTACATTGGGACTGTCAGGAAGATGGAGTCGGTGTCAGAGTCCGTAAGTCGTAAGAGTGGAAACCCTTCAAAGCTTCAACAAGCCTAGGCCTGCCAGTATACGGGCGATCATCTCCACCTACATACACTACCTCCTGTCCTTATCCTCTCGTGATGATAATACTAAGAAAAAGCAAATGGAGCGCCGTCGCTGTCTGATGCAGAGGAGCGATCCCGTCCCAGTCCCAGCCCAGCCAGCCCGAATTTTCGACCTCCTGAACTTCAAGTTCAGCCGTACACAATCATTTTAACCTCCAAATTTTCCACAAATTTCTTGACACCTTACCTGACCTTCCTCTGAATCAAAGTGGAACGGTCGAGCAACAAGAAAAACCCCCCATCCCCATCGGCCTCGGGCTCGCCATGTGCTCCCCCAGCCAGGCCTCAATTATGCACTTACGTATCGTATCATACCGCCAACCGAAAATTAGCGTTTAGGTTTCGCGGCACCCTGCACACTTGCAGGGGAGGAAAAGGGAGTGTGCGGCCCGGGCCGGATGAACTCCAGTACCGTAGCCGGTGCACTGGGTGGATCTGGGTGTAAGATGTGGTTTCACGAATCCCGAATCTTGCCTCGCTGTTGCTGTTTTTTTTTGTTGCGAGTGTGATTGGTCGGGGGTTGTGATTGGTTGGAGAGGGACCAATGAGGGCGAGGCTGTTGAACCTGGTATTCGTATGACCATTTGATGGCCATTGAATATTGAGGATCTGTACGCGGTTGGGTGGCACACGAGCTCGAGAGCGAATTCGAAAGGGGCAGAAGAGGTCTACGTGGTTCTGCATTACTGTACTTTATCTACTCGGTGTATCTACCCACACGCAACAACGACAAAGGAACGAAACAAGTATCTGCTAAACAACAACATCGTATGAAAAGAAGGTACTGGAACAAAAGGAGTGAAACCAACCAAGAACCGGAGCGGTAATAAAGGACAGACAGACAAGAGACAATAATGAGAATAGAAACCCGAGACCCCAGAGAGTAATAAGAGTGAAGGAATAAAAGTCAGCTGGGACTGCGAGTTGTCCGAGACGAATAAAAGGCAGGTGAACTATAAACAAGACGGCGCGCGGGAGACCAGAGGAGACGAGAGGGAGAGGACGAGGGTTCATAGGTATAGCAAAACAGACAGGTATAGCAAGACGATGGAGGTATACACAGATGACGGAGGAGAGCATGCAAGTGGGGCATATCGGGGGCATGAGGGCGAGGCAGGGCAGGGCAAGTAGGGGATAGGACGGCGCCGTAGCGGGATGCAGAGGATGAGCGGAATAAAGTATATATATGGAACAATAAGATAGCAAGAGGCGAACGCGGCGACGATAGTCTTGAAGAGTGATGCGAGATTATATAGTACAATTGTTGTGGTGAGGGTGTCGCGGGAGCGTAGTATATGTTCGCCTAGAGTAATATGGACGTCGAAAACCAGAGAAGCGATGCTGAAGAGAAGACTAGAATGTGGAGAGGATGCAAGGACCGTAGGGAGTTCCTGGCTGAAGATCACGAGCGATGCGGATCTGGAAGTCTGAAGACGAGTGCACGATGAGCGACGAAAGTAAGTAAAGGAGAAGAATGTGCACTGACCTCCATCCTTGACCACAGGGTTCTCGCGTGCTCTTCGCTGGCGCTCCTCCTCCTGTTCCATCTCGACCTCATACAGAGGTCTCCGGCCAGGAAGGCGAGCGGCAGCATCGATAGGGCACTTCTTCGGGGTCCATCGACCACCACCGGTGCGCTTGCAGACCTCGCTCTTCAATCGTAAGGGATAAGAGTCGAGCTCGCCTACGGGAGAGGTAACTTCGGGTGCGACGGAGGGGTCTGAGGGCGGTGGCAGACTGAGCCGTTGCTGACGAATGGAGCGGCGGCGTATAGCGGCAACGGCAGGGGCAATGGATTGGCCGTCGGGAGGGGTGAGAATGACAATAGAGCTGCTTCTCGAGCTAGTGCGAGAGCGAGGAGAGGTGGTAACGGGTAGCGGTGCAGATACAGGTGCAAGGGGAGCGTGAGATGGTTCGGGTGTACGGGGAGTAGGACAGCCGTAGAGTTGGTCGAAGCAGGCGTCGCACACGCGAGCTGCGTAGAGAGGCGAAGTGGGTGACGCGAACTGGGCTATGGGAGTGTTGCGTGGCGGGTGAAGGAAGTCGAGATTGGACGTGTCGAGGAGGCTCGTCCTGCGAGAGGAGCAGGTGGCACAGAAGATGCCGCCACACTTGCGACAGTGGTGTCTGCGTTCGAAGATGGAGAACCGCTTCGGGCAGGTGAAGGTTTCGCAAGATGCCGCTTGGGAATCGGGCTGGACAAAAATAGGTTAGCGTTTGAGTTGCGCAGAGGGAAGATAGGACAACGAACCTTCCAAAGATGCTTTGGGAGGAGGACGGCGAGGTGTTCATTAGGGCGGACATAAGTGGCGTCGAAGGAGGCAGTGTCTGAGATGGTGGCGTCGGAGGAGGCGTCAGAGGGGAAGGAGCATGAAGAGGACGCGGAGGAGGGCGAGTATTCCGCTGTGGCACGTGGTGTGTTAGCGGACAAGTAGCGATCGAAAGAGGGCGTGGGCGCTTACCAGAGTCTTCAGGGAGACTGTCAAGGGAGCGGATGGAGGGCGAGAGGGAACCCAGCTTGCGGAGGGTGCCTGCGATGGGGGCCACAAGGGCGTGGGAGGGGAACTGTGTGGCGAGGAGAGAGGGAGACATGGTGTATGTTGTGGAGGAGTGGGGAGGGCGGGGAACAACGGTGGCCAGGACGCGTCCAGCGCACTGTTATAAACAGCTGGATACGATCGCGGACCACCAGTTCGGCGCATGTCGATGCCTCGCGTCCAGCCCAATTGACCCCGACGGAGCCGTCAGCTCGGACTTTCCCTGGAACATCTCCCTTGCCCCTTCCGGACACGTCGCCAGTTCTCTCATCGCCCCGCCCCAGCAAGTCCCATCTCCTCCCTCCCCAGCCCTCGCTCTTCCCCTCCGCTGCTCTCTCCCCCGGCACTGCCCTCTCCATAGCATTTCATGATCCCCCATCCTGATATCCCAACGAGGACCATCGTATGTTTTGTGTTTCAGGTCGTAAACATACACCCGCCGTTCTCCTCGCACCCGCCACCCACAGCGATCGTCGCTCGTGCCTCTTCCTTTCGACCCCTCGGGCGACCTTTTGATCGCTCTCCTTCCCTCCTCCTTCGTTTCCTCTCCATTTACCTCCGTCCCTAGCACGCCCTCGTCCTTAACTTTCTTCCCTTTTTGGCTGCGCATTCTCCTCTCCTGTCCCCGAGCTTCCCGTGTCCGGTCTCTCCAATGAAAGAAAAACAATCAATTCGCTTTTTTCAGCCCATCCGGAGGCGAATCTCTTCTGCGCCCCATCGACATCTCGTCGCTCATCATCGTCAATCGCGTCCCCGACTGATCGTCGTCATTATTTCCCGCACCGAGAGCCGACAAACCCAAAAATCGATCTGCGCTGCTCAACGTCCTCAACGTCTTCCACTTCTTTTCTTTGGTCATTCTATTCAGCAATTTCCGTCACTCGCCCTCCCACCCCTGCGGCCATCACTTCTTCGTATCCCCCTGCTCCTCGCCCTCTCCCCTCCGTCTTTCTTCCAGTAATTCAGTGTTCCTCGCCGCATGTACAGTTACCACCGCGGTCCCCTCGTTCTCGCACTAACCTCGATAGACTAACGCTTATGATTACGGTAACGACCCCTACGGTATTTTACGGCAAACTGCCGGCCACTGACACAGCCCCGTAGGCCCGTCCTGCCCCTTCGCCCGCCTCGCCAATCGGCATCTCATCATTTCCCACACCTTATTGCCCGATTTTGCACCCCCTTCCCTTACGTTGTCCGTTGCGCCGTTGCCTGGCACTTTGCCTGGACGCCGTCGACGTTATGTACGGTTCAGAATCTTCATGTTCCGTGTCCCCAACGCTTTACCGAATTGGGGAATTCTCTCAGTTACGGTTACACGGGGCGCTCGGAAAGCGGAAGATGTGCGGTCCAGCTTTATTCAACCCCACATGCCGTCCGGGTCTTCCTCAGGCGGCACTCGGTCTTGTTCCGTTTTATTTTACGAGTTCGCTTTGCGGTTTATGTACTCCATCCGGGTGGTCGTTGGGCGTGTTCCTTCGGTTCGCTGTTCGTCGAGAGGAGTCGTGGGCCGTTCGATGTCTGCTTGCTAGCAGTCGGACGATCATTAGATCAAATAATAGTAGTCTCTCTTTCGTGTGTTCGTGGTGCGTTTCAGAACATGACGAAAATGAGCATAATATCATCACCGTGGAGTGCTCATGATCCCGATACGTACCCTGCAGCGGCGGAATGGCAGCGTTAGCGAGAGCTCGTGTTCGATGTTGGACTGGGTTGACGACGACGGCTACAGCGTTCTTCCTCTGAGTCCGCCCCCTCTGACACGCGCAGAATACGAATCGCTGCTCGTTAGCGCCGTTGCGTTTCGAGGCCAGACAGGCCACGATGCCCTGCGTAACATGTGGACATGTGCGCCGACGGTGCCCCTTGATTTCATTCATGCATGCAAACATGAAATTTGAAGAAAGAAGTGTACGTGTTGGGAATTTACATAGGCACTTCAAGTTTAGGAGGTTATTACGCTCGAGTCTCGATAGCAAATGGGAATTGAGGGACGAACGGGCGACGGCGACGTCGTCTCACTGAAGTCGAGATGAAGAGAGATGGGTTCGGAGGATTGGGAGTGTAACACGAGGTTCGCTTGTTGTGCTGGTGCGAGCAGCGCGTTCATTGGTTCATTGTTCCAGTCAGTGCGGCGAGTTATGAGCTCGAGTGATGAGTGGCCAATAACAATGATGGACGGATGAGGAAATGCCGACGCCGCATTGGTCCCCCCCTCTCTGCTTTGATCTCCGGCTTTCCCTCCCTAGCATCTCACATTAGGCACACCAGGAGGCATGGGGATATCGAGTGCCGGTGTCAAGGGGACGTTACTGTATGTACCCTGACCGTAATCTGACTTTCAAGCTTCAAGCTTCAAGGGAAGGAAGGGTGTACGCCGTGCTGTCTGTCAAATCGTGAAGGAAGTGCGGCGAAACACGAAACAGATTGGTGTGTTGGAGTACTGAGTGTTATGGAAATGGTAACGTTTTGACGATTAGGTTTCGTTGTCGATGCGGGGATGGGCGGACGTGGGTATGCAACGTTAATAGTAGAAGTAGAAATCCGGGGAGGACGGGGTGGAAGTGACGGGTGACAGGTTGAAGGATGCAGGATGCAGGATCGTACATAGCTCCGTATGGGTGCGGGGTGCTTTGAAGGAGGTTTACGAGGGAATTTCGGTCAGGGTTCAAGTATAGGTAATAATCGTTGGTTTGTTCGACCAATGACAAGGTGAATGGGACATGGAAGAATCCGAACGGACAAGCTGTAAGAGGCGAGCTCGGACGTTCTCGATATTAAATAGATTAAAACTTAAAAGTCTTCATACCGCCCGAGAAGAGCATGCAAAGACGTATGTTCCAGGAGACGTTGATGGGGAGTACGTAATCGAAGAAAACATACGTGTACGTCGGTACGCAGAGCGAGGACGCTGGACGGGGATACGTGTCGTCCGAATGCCAATTGGCAGCGTCGATGAGAACTTGAATGTCATGGATATGGATATCGCCGAGGTGGAGTGACCCTTTCTTCGAGTTCTCCTTCGAAGGCGGATTCGGAGTCGAAGCGCTTGTCAATGGGCAGTACTGTACTGACTGACGGTACATACCCCACCGCAGCTGAAACGGCGTTCCAAGACCAAGAGCATACGGATAATACTGAAGAGCATGAAGAATAAGCCTGACATGTCGATCGCAGAGCTGGCATTCGTTCAACATGCACAGTACATACACATGTATATGTACAGCCTTCAAGGACCTTCGGGTGCGCGTACAGCCCTCCACAGTTCAGTAAGTACGCGTCGTCGCAGTCAGGTCATAACCAAAGCCCCTTGAAGAGAATTCCAGCGAAGGGTTCCGTAGAACACGTCTAAGGTCCGTAGTAAGTAGCCGTTGCCAATGCCAACGACACGCTCGGGCCCGTTGCCCTCGTCGAGCAGCATGCGCACGGGCCACGTATGTATAGCTATAGGTACTACGCCGCAACCTCCAGTGATGCAGATGCCCGAGACCGAAGTGTACTCGACAGAAGGTAAACCCAAAACAGGAACAATAGCCTTCCGGAGAATCGGATGCGTAAGTACAGCCTCCCGTGCCAAACGCCATCCCGCCTCTGCTAGGTGTGTCCCGCCCTTCCTTTAAGATGCCGTCGCGTCGGGCGCACAGCGAGAGCATGAGCCGAGCCGGAGAGAAGAACGAGAAATCAGCCTGAGGACTGCCACTGTGTTTGATTCTGTCAGACGCAGGCGACGACTCCCCGAGGCACTGGCAGGATGAAAGGTTCGGTCGAAAAATGGAAAGAAAATTGCTTGAGACGGCGGTGAGTTACCGGTGGCAGCTACGACGGCAGCGGTCACAGACGATCGTGCTTTCGAAGGGGACGATCACTTGGCACGAACGTCAAAAGTGGGAGCAAGCTGCCTCCAACGATCGCGAAGGGTGGGTCACTGCTGTCCGCCGCAGTTTTTTTTCTTTGTCACTGTGATCATCGCCGAGGTCGATGTCAACGGAAGTAAACGACCGAGTCGGCGTCGGGCCTGGTCTCGATATACCTCCGTCGACTTTAGGTGGACATCGAGGGGCGATCCGGCGACTGACAACCTTTTGCTTCCGGGTTTCTTGGCCGAAACTGGAAGAGAGCTGGCTACCGAGCCGACCGATGCCGCTGAGAAATGGTCCAGATACGGGGAGTATTTGCGGTCCGGGAGTGATCGGTGGCGGACCAGAGAAAAGAGCAGCGAGGACAGATCTAGCGGTCAATCGGGTTGGAAGAAAATGTTTGTAGTTCCTTCGCAGACAGGATGCTAAGTATAGCCCGACGCAGAGAAACGGCACATCGTATTGTGAACCCGATGTTAATGAAAGCTTGGCGAGAATTCGCTTTGATTCTTTCTGAAAGGTCTCGATTCTCGAGGCATGAGTTTGTAGGTGGTCGAAGCAGAGCGTCGTGTTCCGGAAGACGGCCTCGATATCGATGAGGGAAAATCACCAGCATATGCGGATGCACGCGTGCGAAGCGACGAAATCGACCATAATCTCGAAGCTGCTGGTTGTCCTCAGGGTAATATCTGATTGTGATCCTCGAGGCTTACCGAGTCCCCGAGTCCCTGTGCTTCCTTCTGCGCCGATGTACCTTTGCGCTGGGCAGAAGACTGTCAACGAATCTCCATGAATTGTTCATCATTATTTTTTTTCAAAGTGCTTCCAGGGGCTTCATAAGCATCCGTGCAGGTCCATTTTGCGAAAGAGGCAGGATGAAAAGATGTGGCGAAGTGTTGTGTGGGGTTGTCGCGCGCTGTGTGGGGAAACGGGGCTCGGAACAAAATTTACAGAAAAATAGACGTGCCTGTATAGGTCTTCGGCGTATGAATATTGAGCCCCAGTGAAAAACGCGTCGATGTGTATCTATGAGGCGATGTGTATCTATGTAAATATATGACGGTCTATGAATTTCGATTGCTTGCAAGACAACGTCCACTGACGACACTGTCTGAGTCATACCTTCCATTTTTGGGTAAGGGTCCCACGGCGAGTCGTTCACAGTAAGTTCAAGTTCAAGTTGAGCTTGCCTCCGTCATTGTTGTGGCGCTCGCTCTAGCGTATGGTCTGCTTGCAACGAGCTCCTTCACGAAGACCTCACAGTCATATACCCTTCTGTGCTACTGTTAGCTAGGCTGGCTTCTCTGATATCCGAGTTCTGGGCTTCAGTTTGAATGTTCCTAGTCACCAGTGGGCTCCTATTGAGCCGAGCTAGCAGTCTCCGAGTTCTCGCTGCTCGAACTACGCATTTCTCTATGCTTCGTCCTTTCCACTGCCTCCAAGGGTCTTTTCTTAGGACAAGGTAGGTTGAAACAATTGTGGATAACTCATAGCCTCTCTCATGTGTCTTGTAATACATAACTAGTGCACACAGCGGCATTGCTGGAACACTCGGAACATTGAGGCCAGCCGTGGTCAATCAGACTGGGCGCTCTTACTCCATTACACTCCAGGCTCATATTCGGAAATTCTGTCCTGTCCACCACCTTCATGCTCCGAATCTGAAACACTCTGCATCTACCTCCTCCCGAAACGAAAATGCCGCTTTGGTTACGAAATATCCCTGTCCATGTGCAGAATGTGCTGAAGTTGGACGTCAGGTCTCTCGGCAGGCTCTGAAGACGCACACCGGCCTCACACCAAAAGTCCTTGCTTCTCTAACACCGGAAGAAATTACTGCACACATGAACCGCTTTACAGCCGAAGCGGATCAGTCGTCTCTTCAAGCCCCTGCAGCTCCTGCTGATTCCGCAGGCCCTTCGCTCTCGTCTACGTCAATGCGAAAGCGTAGTGCAGACGACCGGAGTGCTGGCTCTGCAGAACAGAGTAAGCGCCAACGGGTAGAAGACATGGATGAGGATACACTGATTCCCGTATGTGATCAAATCGATCATTCTTTCATGCCCGTTCTTGTTGTATGATGCACTCATAGAATCCTCTCTTCAGCCTGACAGTCCACCACCCTCCCCTCCTGCACATCCACCGCCTTCTCAGACTCCCGAACCACAACCACTTCCCAATCCGCAACCACCGTCCATTGATACACAACGATCTACCCACCAACCTCATACTCCTGCGGGTCCGCCTCAGCATCCTCCCGACTTTCCAGACCCCGACAATGTTCAAGAGCACAATCATATTCCGATCGAACTTCCGAATATACCAGAGGATGCAATCGGTGTTGGAACTAGTCCGGAGATGATGGAGGTGCCTGCGGCGTCGGTGATAGAGGATTTTCGGATTGGGGAGGAGTTCGTTCGTGGTGTCCAGTTAGCCACTCTGGACAATGGTGGTTTAGATTTAGAGACCGTTGATCGGCTACGTAATCCCCTGCGTACACCACTCAATATAACAGACCCAGATTTTCGTTTATCCCTCGATATCTTCCTCGCCACTCGAAATGCTTCACAGAAAACATATCACGACATCCACCAGGCCATGCAGCGCCACAATCCCGAGTCTGCTATGCTATCACATGCACAGATGAAACACCGTGTCGCGGAGCTTAGCGGTGTCACTCCCATCATTCATGATATGTGTATCAACTCCTGCCTCGCATTCACCGGTCCATTCGCCAATGAGACATCGTGCCCGAAGTGCAAGGAACCGCGTTATGATCCACAGCATCCACACTCTCGAGTTGCGCGTCAACACTTCTCGACAATTCCTATCGGTCCCGTTCTACAAGCTCTGCGACGAAACCCAGAGAGTGCAGAGAAGTTTCAGTATCTCGGTCAACGGATCGAGAAATTCTTGGAGCAATACAATCACAATCCTCTCTTTTCTCCTCAGGTTTTCGAAGACTGGTGCGATGGTAGCGACTTTCGCCGTGCTATCGTTGAGCGTCGTATCACCTCCGAAACATCAGTCCTCATGTTTTCGATGGATGGCGCAAAACTCTATCGCAACAAGGATTCGGACTGTACAATCGCTATTTGGGTCATCCTCAGCCTGTCGCCTACCATTCGCTACAAAAAGGCGTTTATCTTCCCCGCATTCTTCATTCCTGGACCACGACACCCACGCAACCATGACTCGTACATGTATCCAAGCTTCCATCACCTCTCCGCTCTTCAGAATGGAGGGCTCACAGTCTGGGATGCCGCCAAGAACAAGATCTACAAAGACTATCCTTTCCTTGGTTTCGCCACAGCCGATGCAGTTGGAATGGCTTCGCTGTCTGGTGGTGTTGGGCATCTGGGGAAGTTTGGATGTCGTCTTCGCTGCATGCAACAAGGTCGTCGGAAACCAGGTGACAAGAGCTACTTCCCTGCCTATCTCAAGCCGAACAATTACTCTGTACCGGGATGTGACCATGCAGATTCGAGTTATCGAGAGAGGAAGGGGACCTCGGCAGAACTGGCTGAGAGGTGAGCTTTGATGGAGTAGCACTTCAACCGACCTGTCCTAATTGACTGTGATGCATTTTACAGGTATAAGAGAGGTGTTGACTACGTTGGAGCATCCAAGGATCAAGACGAATACAACAGGCGTCGACTCGAGACCGGAACTTGCAAACCTACCATCATCAGCGGGCTTCCTCCCCAGCGTTGTCTCGGTGTTCCTGGCTGTCTCTGTGGCGACTGCATGCACCATCCTGCGCTCAACATACCCGATAATCACATCAACCTTTGGCGGGGACGGACAAAGGCTGATAAGAACGACAACAGGGCGTCCTGGGACTGGGCCACACTTGTTGGTCCGGCATGGACAGAGCATGGTAGTCTACTCGGTAAAGCTGCTCCTTACTGGCCAGGATCGTTCGATCGAGTTCCTCGAAATCCGGCAGAGAAGATCTCGAGTGGTTACAAGGCATGGGAGTTTATGCTATATTTCTATGGTATCGGTCCTGCAGTATTCTACGAATTTCTCCCCGACAAGTATTGGAGAAATTACTGTCAGCTTGTCAAGGTTGTTCGTTATCAGGTCCAGCATAAGATCTCCCATGACCAGCTTCTCGACTCCCAAATTGTGCGTGATCTTCTCTGTCATTTTCTTCTGGAGTTCCAAGTCTGGAAAAACGGTATTCTAACTTATTTTCCAGGCCGCTCAGAATTGCTGTGAGGACTATGAATCACTCTACTACCGACGTATGCCAGAGCGCATCGACTTTGTTCGCCAAAGCATACACACGATCTCTCACATGGCTTCAGAAACACAACGTGTCGGACCCGGTGCATACGGAAGTCAGTGGCCACTCGAACGTACCATAGGCGACCTTGGACAGCAGATCAAGCAGCCCTCTAGACCGTATGCAAACCTCTCACAGCGCGGACTCCTTCAAGCACAGATCAATGCATTGCGATCGATGATACCGGATCTGGATGGAGGAGTTGTACCTCAGTTGCCGCATGGCGCTCAGGATTTGGGTAATGGGTATGCGTTGCTTCGTGCCATGGACAACATACTTCGACCCATCACACCTGCGGAAACGGAAGCTATTCGTGTGTATGTGCTAGGCCTCAGTGGGGTAGTTCAGACACCGACTACAGCGGTCACACGTTGGGCCAGGTTGCGCCTGCCAAATGGTCAGGTTGCTCGAACACTTTGGAAAGAGTCACGAAAGCCGCTCAACCAGCTTCGCATGTCTCGAAATGTAAAGGTACTATATTTTCTTCTAGTCTGCTCATAATTAACACAGCTTGAACTGACCATGATTGACTATTAGATAGAGAGTGTAGACGTCTTCAACGGTGAAATGCACCGTGCCACTGATTTTGGAGAAGTCCAGTATTTCTTTCAGCTTCAGGTTGCTGGAAGAACTCGAACTGTCGCAATGGTCTCCCTACTTTCAGACCTCGAAAAAGACCTCTTCTCCCTTTCGCACGGCACACTCATGTCTTACGTGCACACCGCTCATCCAAGCCTCCGTGTTGTCAATGCCACGGATATCAAGTCTGTGATTGCTAGCATCCCACACCGCATTCAGAGGTACGAAAGTGGGAGACTGAGGAGGTTTGGTGATGAGAGCGAGGAGCCATGGAATTGGGAGGATCGTTTTGTGGTTGTTGAGAAACCCGGATTAGATGTTGCATCCATGGCAGGAGCTCAGGAAGAGATATTGGACGAGTAGAAAGTTGTACTTCTGTTAGAATTGGGTCAATGCATGCGGAAACAGTACACATATACAAGCCATAAATCATTTGGAACTCTTTGAAGCATGCAGATACCCATAATAGACCATTACTGAGAGGATAACACAAGCAGATAATCATCCAAACACAGGTCAGTGAGGTATCTCGAGCAGGGTGGTGTAAGTAAGAAGCGTGGGAACACAGGTCATGGAACAAAAATATTGTCGTATGAATGAGATACAAGACATCACACCTATTCTAAAATAAATTTAGATAGAAGATATGCATATGTAGACGGTATATGTGCATTGCCCAAGGTTGCGCATACGTTCCGTGAGCAGGAGCAATTTCGATGAATTTTCTGGGAGAGGTCTTCCCGCCAAGTGCCGAGTGTCCATGTGGCTGTGCTAGAATGTCGCGCCTTGGATTCCGCTGGACCGGTCCGGTGTCCGATTCAAATCGCCAGGCTGTAGAACAAGATTGACTCAGGTTATTGAGATGAAAAAAAATTATCTGAGAAGGTACCTATGGTAGTCTTCCTCTCAAAGAGTGACAAATCAATTGAAGGCCAATAAATGCTAGCAATAACTCGAACACTGAGGCAAGCTCAGAAATTGCTCAGAAACCAGAAGAAGTTGTGTGGTGATTAGATCGTTCGTTCGATCTGATCTGATCTACTTTCTCACACTACCGCATCGCGCTGATGCGCCTTGTCCATCGTTCTACTAGCGCCTAAACGAGACATTCGTCAACCTCTTCGAGGTGCCCTGCCGTCGCTCTCAGTCTCGCGCCTCTTGCAAGGAAAATAATGCACACTCTCGAGGGCATACGTCTCCTCCTCATTTGGTACGCTCTTCAGCTTGACCACCATCTCCCATCCCACAGCAACCGTGTACTTGTCGCTCACATGGAGCGCGACAATATTCCCTTAGATGCAGCGGCGGCGGGACACTCTTTCTCGCCAGATACCGTAACTAACAATGCTGATGCGTTCACACTCTTCTCCCGCCAAATCGCTGAGATGCAAAACCAGCTGCTCTCTCTGCAGACAGAGAACGCTAGGTTACGGTTCGCACCAGCAGATCAATATTCTAACGAAACTTGAACTGACTGTATTATATCTAGGTCCGGCGGGCAAGGTTCTAGCACAGAATCGATGTCGCCAAGCATGAGCCCACCGTCGTCTATAGGTACGTTGCTCCATTCTTTCAAATTCTGACGGGTCTCACATTATTTCGCCGACGATGTAGGCCCTAGAACGCCTTACACTCCTAACCACTTTCTATATCCTTCTACTCCTATCGACCTGGACCTTCTACCGCGCAAACTTGCCTTCACGCCATCCCCCATGCAGCCCTCTTTTCTCCTGCCCCCCCCTCAGCCTGTACCCGCATTTGCACTGTCCGATAACGATTCGCCTTCCACATCCGAGTCGCCTTCCAAATCGTCCATAGAGATACCGCCGGGAAGGTTTTGGAAGCAAAAGGCTTGGAGGGAGGCTGTTGAATCGGAGAGATTAAGGAAGAGTGTCGCAAAGCCGGAGGATACGGGTTTGGCTCTTCCTAATCGCGGCCGAGGAAAAACGAGGCTTGCAGCGGGAGATAACGTCATGTTTGGATTCCTCGAAAATATGCAGGGCGTGGTCATTGATGGAGGCGATGTCACGTCGCTCAGGAGCTGGACTAATATCTGGTTTGATGACCGTTATGCTGAGGGTGAGCTGCCCACGAGTAGCAAGGATGTTACGTGGTTGCGCATCGGTCCAGGGGTGCGGAAACGGTTTCGAAAGGATGTCCGAGACGCGTTCACGGACCTCACGTTTGGTGAGAATGGTTGGCAGATCGAGGCGTTCATGGAGCTGCAGTTCCCTGCGTGGAAAACTCAGCGTTGGGCTCGGACGGAGAAGTTGAAGTCGAAGAAGCGGGCGACAGATCGTGCGTTTCTCTTCACTCTTGATGTATACAGTCAATGTTTTTTTTTCAAAGCCTATCCAAAATCTTATCCCTTTTTTTCTTTTATCTTCCCTGAACACAAGCTAACTTGTCCTCACTCCTAGTCTCTTCGGACTATCCTGAGAAGAAAGCCAAAATTGAAGCCTTCGACACTCCCGGTCCATCTGGCAGCGTCAACATGGAGGATCTCGATCCACTTTGCGCCTCCACGGATGTCGCCACCGATTCACCTCGCGCTAATCGCGACTTTGGCAATACATCCAGTCGTGGCGGCGACGACAATGCATCTATTCGTGGCCGCTCGCTCGAGTCCCATGTAAAGGGTGCCCCTACTACCGGTACACCTCCTCGCAATGTTGACGCTACACGTTGTTTGAGCGCTACACCCGCTTCAACCAGTAACGCTACTGCTCAGGATGCCCAAGACACCGTTAGAGACGGTAAGCTTTACTCGGGCGCGTTATATCCTCCTATTAGTGCTAATCATTATCAGTGGTTCCTCACGAGACTGAAGCCGAGGTGATGGGCGTCGTGTCAGGTCAAGTTTCATCGTCACCTTTCCATTTGGTATCTTCATCGAAGGAGCTCAGCATTTCGAACACACCGCCTCCAGATAGTTCACTATACGCTACTGGCCTATCGAACGATCTACCTCCGGGTCCCACCGACAAGAATCGGACGGCAGTCTTGTCCGCACCTTTCATGGTGCGTTTCTCTCATGCTGTCATTATACCACTTTTCACTAACAGTAGCTTTATTCTCTTAGGAGAATGATATATTGTGCGTATCCTCACGGTATGGACTCTCGGATGTATCGTTGACCATGTCATTTATTTGCAGAGCCGGCACTTACACACAGGCAAGCACGGACTCAGTGTTGCTCCCTACCGAATCAGGTTCATCCGTGAGTTGTCTGTTTCGTCTACATCTGCATTGATTCTCATGCTCTAAATATACAGAGTCGCATGGTGTCGTCTTACCCAACACCCAGCAACCCTATGAGTGTTCAGACGGATGGCGGAGTGAAGGGGGGCAAGTCCCTAACTCCCGGTGTAAAGGATACGCCGAAGTAAGCTGCACTTTTTACCATTTTCGCCTCCTTCTTAGTACTTATACCTCTCAACGGCTCAGACGGAACTGCGCCTTACAGTGGAAAGCAGCGTGGCCCAATATGACGCAAGCCGCGTTCGAAAAGCACTGGAGCACGTTGGCAGACGAGGTGAAACAGGTAAGCCGTTCTATACCACCTCGCAGAAATGCTGTTTGCCTGACTCGTACTTTGAATAGACATACAAGACTGTGAAGTAAATAGGTATGTCGGCAACTGCACGCCTTGGATTCGACGACGCTGATATCCAGTCTTCTGTAGAGCTTATCGCACTGCATGGGCACGCGACCCTCTCCCTTTCCACGCCCTTACGACCCTCGTGCGATTCGTGGAAATACCCCATTCTCATTTTTTCATACTCTCTTTCTCGGTAGACACAAACATGCTGTCCGGCTCAGCATCGATTCAGGCTTTCTTTCTTGGTAGACCGTCGAGAGCTGTGGCGGTTGTATTGATGTGGCGCGAGATGCGGCGGAGCAGACTCTCGTAGATATGCATATGTATACGTAGAATCAACAATAAAAGCACCCTTTCGTGCCAAATATCCCGATAGACTGTAAATTGGAACACATGGAATCTCATAGAATCTCATAGATACTACTAGGTGCCCCATGTCGCCGAAATGAGAGCTCAACGGCCCCATAGCTATTCATAGATACACATCTCGGAATGGTCCAAGTTGCGACGTGTATCTATGGAATAAGCGGCAAGTGCGATTCCATAGATACACGTCGATGCGGTTTTCACTGGGATTGAGCAGCAGAAACGAACATCCGGGATGTTGAACTCGCGTCGATCGCCATGATCGTGCATAAGCAGCCTCGGGTTCGGGAGACAAGTTTGCCATAGGGCCACCGCCACTCACCGCTGAAATCGGAAATGTCGTTGTCTAACAAAGATCTGTTTGGATCAGGACAACAACAGCGAAGGAAAGCACATGCAAGCCATCCTATTTCTAGGATCCGAACCGAAACCATGAGGTTATACCCGGCGTCCTGTTGAAATAAACATAGCCTTCGCGTCGAGGAGAATCCGAGGAACAATGTCTCTGCCGGGCTGTTGATCACGATGACAACACGAACACCAGTAATACCGTTACAGGCAAAGATGTGCGATGCAAACATAGCAATGGAGCAAAACAAACGTATGTGTTACCCTTTCAAGCCAACCTCGAAACCCCGACTTGTGCTGAGCACTATGCTTACCTTGTGAGAGTACGACAGATAGGAAGCATCAAGCTTTCAGCGTACGAGGTCACTTGATGACTGAAGTCAAACACCAACTGCACATCTGAGCAGTCAGAGCATAAGGGCCAATGCCACGAATCGCATCGGTACCTTTGGTGGCATGAGACACCGAGATATAATGGTTTCTCTCGGGCATACGAGCTGTTGTTGAGCTAAATTTGTGATGTGTAAACCGATCCTCCATCAAGAACTGTACCCAAACACAGGAATGCCCCGGTTTAAGCTTCCACGAGGGACACTATGCAGGAGTATACCGCCGGGCTTTCCAACTATATGCAGATAGAGTCCGAGAGGAAGAGGGTGCGAACGATTAAGAAGACGGCCACGATGAGGAAGATTCACCTGAGATAACCTCGAGCTTTTCCATCATGGAAAGGGACTAGACACAAGGGAGGATGACCCAGCACCTAAGGATGAGACACCAACATCCGGTTCACTATCTGCGCTGGTCAAAGGTACTTGGGCCCTGACACCCAGTCGCAACCTCCTTGGGTGCCTCGTGAGGATGTCTTAAACTGTGTCCAGACCTCACTCCGAGCCTACCATGTATTCAACCAGAACAAAAGTCCTTTCGGAAAAGCTAAGTGGTACCGGTCAGCTCTCAGGCGGAGCGTGTGTTGAACAGAACCTTGCTCACGATATTGTGCTAATTCCAGGCTTTCGCATGATGAATACCATATTCGTCCGAGAGTCCTTTAGTGCTGGTGTAGATTATTTCGGTGAACTTTGTCGCCGTTCGGGAGAAGCTGGGAAGAGATGGACCCAGTTCAGCGTTCAATCGTCGATTCGTTCATCAGCAGGAGTATTCGAAGGTCGGTTGATGGCAGTACGCGGTAAAGGCGACGAGGCGTGGGAAGGAATAGAATCCCGCCATTGTGCGGCGCCACAGCTTCTCACGGGGAAAACACGCTCCTGTCACGCGGTAAGTGCCGGGAGCGTCTTGTCTGTGACGGGATCGTGTTTTTGTGGCACCTGTGTAGTTAGTTAGGGGAGGGGGACCTCTGGCAATGAAAACCGTTCGAAATTCCCTCGAAATTCCACGGAGTGACAACTTTGATGGCCATGAGGTAAACCCGGCAACGGCACCCGAACAGATAAGATTGATGGGCGGCGCCTTGCGTACCACTGAAGCGCCCGCACTGGATCGTGTTTCTGATTATCGGGAGCGTGTTTTTCCCGCCTCGTCCCACCTTCGGTAAAATTCTGGCGGGGAGCTTGGTGTGAAGCGCCCAGGTGCGCAGACACCTTCCTATCCAAAAAAACACGATCCAGTCCCATCAAAACACGATCCAGCGCGCCTCCGTCACGCCCGCCACACTCCCTCCCTCGCCACCCTTCGCCGGCTTCCCTTCAGTCGCTTTGCTCAGACTCAACCATCCACGGCTCTGTAAAAATTCTCAGAGACGTGCCAATGCTTGAGAAAGCCAAAATTGATTTCTGGGCCGCTTCGCGGCCATTTTCAAAGTCCTGTTTTATTTGTTAGTGATGGTATGTATTTATGTGCATGTACATGTTTCAGAAAATGTAGAAGTACGCTATAATATATGTTTTTTGTTCTCAATGCATGTATAACCTATTCTCCGAGTCCCTTACAACGATCGGCCCATAGAAATCAACCTACAAAAATGAATGCAGCTCAGACCGCACCTCCTTGCAGCGGTGCCACACTCAGCCACACTCCCTTGCTCTCCCGGCGTGTCGTCACTATCCGTCACGTCACGTCACACTGTTACCGTAGCGCGTTTTTTCCATTTCCCAGTTCCACTTCTTTCTTCTCCACTTCCACCCCAAGCCTTTCCCTCAACGGTACTACTTACTCCGTGCGCCTCGCATATTCGGACAACATACTGGACATCATATCTCTCTTGGGACAGAACCTGATGATGCGTTTCTCATATATATAGCTCCACAACGACATGCTCGCTCTGAAGAGTCTGCTGCAGGTGATTTCGATGACGGCCCGGCGCGCTCAGAATGCTGTATACCAGTTGTTCACGGTGGCACTGGTGAGCTTTTGCAATGTCGGGATCGGTTTCAGCTCTCTGCATGTGCTGAGAATTCTGGTGAAAAGACTAGATGAAGAACACCTTCCGCGAATACAGCACAGCGGTGGCTATGGTACCGAAAATGTATTCTTTCCAAACCCGATATGCTGACCATTGATGAAATACACATTGACGTCCCAATTTAGCTGTGTACCTATCATGGCACTCTGAGAATGATCCCTGGAGGGCTTTGACGAGTTACTTGCTGTCTCTGCGCTGGCTAAATGATGTCACTTTCTCTCTTCACATGCTGCCCAGAAATATCGAAACCTTTGGCTGCGCACAGGAACCGACCATTTCCTGGATACTCCGGAATGGTTCCTCACATCAACTATACGGTAGGCTCCTACCCTTCTCAGGTATACCGACGTTTGCGTGCTTCCTCATGCGCGACTGTATATCACAGGCTACCCAGAGATTTTCCGCGCAGCTCACTCTCTGGATGGTCGCGGAGCATCCGAAGGTACGCCGCCAGTCACGCTCGTCGGGTGCATGCTATACAGAGACCATATTCCTCGAGAAAGCGGGTATATCTACTCACACAGATTGGTCTGATCTCCGATATTGGACCTTCTTCGAGATGTACGTGTTCATCAAGTTTAGAATGGGCTCTGTGATGGATGACCTACGGAAGTCGGGGGACTACGAAGTACGCGTTGTCCTATCAAACACCCCCCCTCCAATATTACTTACCTTTGGAATGGTGTCATAGTTGGCCATTTCGTAGCGTTTCTCGCCGTATTCATCGGTAGGATAGCATGCCCTTGTCTTTTACCTTTGATCTTACTCGAATGTGCTCATTAAAGTCGGCGGTGATTGTATCTCTTCTTCTCGCCAGGCTTGGAACAACATCCGACCTCCACAGCTCATCCTCGGTATCTATACACCTCAAATACCGTAGACCCACCGCACTCCGCCCTTGTACTTTGCTCCCGCTCTCTCGCTCCTCCATCCTTGGTCGTCCACCAATCGTTCACCGAGCTTTCTCCACCCGACGCTTTCCTCCCATCGTCGGCAATCACGTTGGTTCATTCGTTGGAAATTGGACCCTCGGTACCACCACCTCCGACAACCTTCTCAACATTTCTCTCGTAGGCCACGGTCCCGTACACGGATAAAATTCGTGTTTAGGATACCTGCAAGTGGCACGTATGTCCTCTCGCACACGCCCTTACCGCTCTCGGCTCACCAACTCCCGTCTGATTCCAGGAGGTGATATTATGCGACCACCGCACCCGTGAAAGACATCTCGCCGCTCTCGACGGGCATCTTGACGATCTTAAACTCAAAGGATTTGTGGCGTCGCCCGTTTCCCCTCGGATAATCTAAATATCTAACCTTTAAGGAGGACGAATTCCAAATAGGCTTTCTTTCAAGTGGCCGATACGGAAAAGGACTGGTACCATCAACCCAATCTTGCGGGATATTCCGACTCTGATCCTCAGGTTCAAGATGCCTCGGTTTGCGCGGACTCAGAACGCCACACTGTTCCCACTCAGTGTTGTCGAGATCACTGACATGGAATCGGCGGTGCCGCACGAGGGCTCAGTGTCCAGGCACCAGTGCTGAAGGTGTGATGGGTATGCTTTGATCCTACGGGAACAGATATCAGTTGGAGGTGGGTGGCTCAGCCGTTGCAGAGTAGTGAGTCTGTAGTTCGGAGTCTGGTCGACCTCTCAATGATAAAGTTTCTTCCCGATAATGTGTTAGGAATGGATCTATCCGTCGTTTTCTACTCCATTGCTTCTATTGCGTTTGAGCGGTGTCTCCGTACATCTCTACGATGACTTGAAGGAGCTCGACGGATGCATTGGGCGCCCTGTAACTCTGATCTGACGTTGGCATGTGCGACGTCAGTGGGAGCTGAACTTTGTTCGTAGGCGCCTGTTTGTGTCTGTGGACACCAGTAACCAGTGCAGGCTGCCAGTAAACGAGAGATGATCACTTCCGGCGTGGAGATGTTGGTTTTGAAACAGTTGTTGTCCTCTCGGATCTTGCTTCACAGCGCGCCTGCCGTTGATGATCTGTGCTAGTACTCGGTCAACCCGAGGCGTGAAGACGCCCGGCGTATCCGTCGCTCAGAGGTGAGTACTTCTTGGTCCGACTTCATGATTCCCTAACTCAAGAGAACCCGCTCATTCCATGTATAGTGATTGCATCGCGTTTGGTCTATGTTCGTACTCGGTGATGATGAAGGTGGGTCGTCCGTGATTGTTGCATACGGCTGTGGTATGGCATTCCTCCAAGGGGTTGCTTATCTCTATATTTCATGGCAAGGGAAGCCCATTGCGACCTGATACGACAGCCCTTTCAGTTCGGCAAATGTATCATGAACGTGTCGTTATTTATTAGGCCCTTCATCGAAGGTGCAACCGACTTCTACTATCAATTCCTGGCACATGCCGAAGTGTCTCACTTCTCCCACACGGACGTACGACATCCTGCGACACCCGAGTCCGCTCTTCGTGGGTACGATGAGATGCGAACACAGGTGAGCCCTCACTGCGCTTGACAATGAACGGCGCCTTGCCTACAGCGGTCTGTACAGGCTTATGAACTCCACTCTTCTATCAGGAACGGTCTACCCGACTCGCTCACTGAACTAACAACATTGCAGAAACAGTGTTCTTTCTCTCAGGTTCGTAGCAACACGTTTCTCAGCGGTGAACATAGAAAATTACCCTGTGAGCCGGGAATAGCTTGCCAGCCAAACCTTACTGCTAGCCGCCGATCCGTACCTGTCACCTTTATCGACGACTTTGAATCTGCCCTAGCCCCGGTCTTTCAGACCACATATACAGACTATGCATACTCATGTCTCAGCACCGCGACCTAATACCCCAACGCAGTGCTAGCACTCCTCGTGTGTTTGCTTTGCCTTGATACATAGCATGGCGTATACACTAGCACAGGAGGAGGACCGAATAGGACCGAATATTTACTTTCTGCGAGAACCTAGTGCGGTTCGATGCATCGTGTTTTTCCCATATCCGGTTCTGTTGTAGGACACGCCGCAGGAGGGATGGCAGCAAGAGCGTTTCGCCGTGTTCCTCAAGTAGAATGCCAAAACCAATGTGCCGCATATAGCATGATATGGAAGTAGCACTCAATGAGCTGGGAAAGGAGCACACTATCAGTTTCGGTAATTCATGTGTGTGATTGTTATCCTCTTACCCCCTATGTGGTCGTTGGTGAACACGTTGGAGGTGTGGCTTTGTTTTGAGAACGTGGCTAGACTTCAGCACTGTTTGGACGGCTACTGTACTTCGTTTGCAATCCCTGTTTCTATCAATGCACTCTTGTTATAGGTTCAGCTCGTCAGTTCTGGGAAGAGAACGCTCAAAGTGGTTGGTCCCGGGATGTTCCAGGCATTCATCTCATCAAACCAGTCATTGTTATTGAAGTCGAGTCTGGTTTAGAGTTCGCCAACAAAATGGAGATAATGCGCGGAGAGATTCGTTCGACCGTTTACGAACACTACCTGGATATATGCAGTTAGGCCAAGAAGGGAGTCCATACAGCGGATACGAGGACTCACCTAACCTGCCGAGTCATGTATCTTCAGGCATCTGTAGTCCACCACCGTACCCCCTGTCCATATCTGGCCCTGGATTCAAATCCAAACCATACCCCCAACCCTTCTCCAGCAAGGCTAGCACCATCCCCTCTTCGGTTTCATCCATCTCTAAGCCACCCTCTCCCTCCTCCTCAGAGATAGGGTCTTCCAGTACACCTGCCGACCATGTCCGCGTCGTGGTCAAACATTTGCGCAAAAGGACACCCATCTTCCCCTCTAGTGCATGCCGCAGTGCAGCGGACGGTGCCTTTTCCCGAAGAGAGTTCGACGAGAGTCCAGGGGCTGGATCGAGACAGAAGGATAAGACGTGACAGAGATGGTGGAGAGCTTCTCTTCGAGCGAGGTGTTTGATTCGAGCGCTACGAGGAAGTCGGAGTGGCTTCCTGCTTTGGGTAGTGGGTGTTTGACTGCCCGAGTCAGGGTGCGAAGATTGAGAGTGTAGGGCTGCGGCGGCGACCTTTGAGTCGAGTTCAGAAGTATTGTACAGACCATCAAGTTCGCGGAGAGCTTCGAGTATGACACTATCTAGTAGTGTCTGAACAGAGATCGTCAAGGCAGCGGAGTGTTTGGAGTAGCGCTGAGAGATATCGACGCATATATTGTCGAGGACTTGGCGCACCGAATGCAGGAGATACACGATATCGGTAGGGTCGATGTGTGAGATCGTTTGAGGTCGTGATGTCGTCAAATTTGTCCGGTTTACAGAGGGTTTTGGTGCGAGTAAGAAAGCATCGAGCCGAGTCGAACAGGCAGGTACTATGGAGCGAACAGCTGGAGTAAGAATCCGTGTACACAGAGAGCCGAGAATCGCTTCGAAGGCGTTAGCAATGTTGTTGTCGCCTTGCAGATACAGATTGAAGAGTGAATCTGCCTGCATCGTGTCGTCCCATGCTGTCCGAGTTGGTCTCTGGGCTTTGCGTTTTCCGGCGTATGCGCCGGCGATGAGGGGGAAAGAGTAGCAGAGTACGCGTGGAACAAGGTCGGACACAGATGGCAGCAGCGTTGTTGGTGAAGGCATATAATCTTTCATAGAGGAAGGCTGAGATAGCGCAAAAGAAAGAGCATGGCCGACGGCGTCAATGCACCCAAGTGTGGAAGCCACGCTCACGACGGCTGAAGGTCGTTCTGAGTCAAGGCCAGATGAGCCAATGTCGACCAAAGACTGTAACGTTCGAAGAGCTTGCGCGAGAGGTGGAGGGTGCCAGGTCACTATGGATTATTCTCCATGGTAAGCTCGTGCGGAAACGTGGATGGGCAACATGTAAGAAAGACTGACAATGATCATCCGGAGACAAGAACATATCTATCTTCGTCCCAAGGTGAGGCATAGCTATGGGTATATGCGTGGAGGATACTGATTTTTTGCTTTTCTTTTGCTTCTTAGGGCCTGTTGCCGGCGTAGTGGATGATTCTGTGCCTGTATCTGACAAGTAAGATGCTGTAGCGCCAGATGCACGAAGAGCTAACAGCTCTATTGCAAGTCCGGATGAGTCCAATTTCGAGACAAAAATACACATGCAAATCTATCAGACACACTCACCAATGCGTTCGGACTCGGATATCGTTTTCATCTCGCGAAGAGTGCCTTCGAGCTGCAGAGCTCGGTCCCTCCATGTCTCCTCTTCGGAATGTTTCAGAGGTAGAATGGGGAAGAGACTCCTTAGATCACAAAGAAGATCTATATAGTAGTTCACGATCATGTTCCAAATTCAGCACGCCATGGAAAGGGATCGTACTGACATGATAGACATTTTCCGGGCGGTCGACATTTCAGGACAGATATACCCTGACGCGCCGTGTGCAATTTAGAATTTCAAGTCTCGACTGAGCAGAGCCAGCCAGAATGAACTTACTATGGCGATGCGAAGTTCTTGAGAAGGCAGTATGGTCATTGTATAGGTACCCAGAAACGAGCGAAAGGAAGGTCAGAGGCCGTTGCCCAGTAATAGCGGACTTTTGCGCTCGTCACGTTTTCTCACGCGCATGCGCGGACTTTGAATTCCAAGCCCGTGTCAAGACTGTGTCAGACCATGATGATTTCAGTCAGTCTGTTCAGCGTTCAAACGTTCACCTTTGATCGATCAGTTCATTCACAGCTCGCATCTTAGCTGGAGATACTCTTTCGTTTCGCTCACCTCTCCCTGCATTCAACAAGTCTGTTTCACGTAAGCTCACAGCCCAGTTGCAGCCCAGAGCACACAATTAAATTACCCCGGAACGCCATTCGACGAGACAAGTAGTCCCAGATTTGGATCGATGAGTCTACGAGGCAGCCTCTGATGAATATGTCTAGGCTCCCAAAAAAACTGCGGTAGTGACGATTGTAGATGATACATCTACCGAGATACGCTGGAGACTAGCATACAAACGGTAGACAGCATACGAAAATCTGGCATCCGGGTCACCGCCTCGTACGACCTCGGTTTTACTTACAAGTACTTGCTACTTTCTACAATCAGGAGCTCCTCTGGCGTAAGAAACTGTCCCATCTCCTGTGCAACGACCTCGCAGAATGAACGCAGTCTTGTATCATCCGATGTTCGCTTCTTCTCGTCGATGATATGTATGAGGTGTATGATGCCCGTGGTATGAAGAGTTTCTGATGATAATGGAGCAAGATCGTCGAGAGATACCGATTGTGCGGCCAAACTTGTTCGAAAGCAACGCTGGACGTGTTCGAGAGCCTGTCTGTGGTCAGTACAAGATGCTACTGTCTCTCGTTTCATTTTCTCGAGGTATTCCTGATTGAAACACGAATGAGTGGCCGCCATCATGATCGATCAAAGAAAACGCTCACTGCTACAGCTGTTTGGTTGAAGGCTATGGGGGGACGCAGCATCCATCTCAATACCCCAGAGGCCTTGGCTCTCAGATGTTGTAAAGGCCATACTGCCATAAGAAAGATCGGCCATAATAAGTTCCCTTGGATCAAGGTTGCCATGATAGACCACCTACATCGCCTCACATATAGTTCTTGTGTGTATATGTCCCGTATAAGAGGCTCCACAAGGCATCTTAGGATAGGTTCCGGGGTTTGGCATTCCGGGACAGGTACTATGAAGTCCAACAGATGTAGTCGGAAGTCAAACGGACTCTCCTCGAGAAGACGTCGTCCAGCGAGACGGGTGGTGTACGCAACAGCCAGAGATTTCAGGACAGATTCGTGACCGGTCGTGTCGAAGATGACAAGTTCTGTCAAGACAGAGGAAGCAAGGCTTATCGGCAAGGCTGTACGTGTTCGACGGATATGATGTTGGACCGTTTGGAGGCAGGGCAGGAAGTTCTCGAGTTTACTATAGACAGTAATCAATGTATGGGTGGGCGGGGAGACTGTCGCTAATTTCGCTCACAAAGAATTTCTGTCGACCAGACTCTCTTCGAGGATGTAGGAAAGGATGTCTATTGCGATGTATCGAAAGCGACGACAGGTGTGCAGTAGCGGTCGTAGTTGATCGCTAGCGGGATCCAAGTTCAGGCCGAGGACAGATTGGCGAGCATACTCAGATATCCGGAGGACAAATATATGGTATATGAGCTCTGAAGGAAGATGTGTGTGTGACTCTGCTGTGTTAACAGGGGCCTGAGTGACGATGCTACTGCCAGTGTCGCTCGAGGGCCTGAAAAAATGTTGTCGAGTAGCATCCATGATAGTCGAGATGACTTATCAAAGTTTCTCAAAATCCCAGAAAAACATTCGCAGGAGATAAGAGAACGAAGACGACGTGCAAAGTTCGTGGCTTGTATCGTGACGTAGCGGATATTTCCGGGCGCCGCCAGAAATCCTTTCACCGTGTTGAATCATCTCTGAATCCATAAACCGTTCCTTTCGACCGCCTTGCAACCTTCAATACCTATAACAGACATTCGTATCACATCTGATCTTCTACGCGCAATTCTTGTGCTATGAACGCACCGAGCAGTCAAATCGAGACCAGCTCCAATGCCACGACGACTGCCATTCAAAGCCATTCTGGTGTCGGCGTGAGCTCAGAGGATCCGCAGGACCATGCAGGGACGCCCCATATTCCAGAAGACGAATCCGGTAAGGTTGAAGCATGTCTTTATGTTTTCTTTCAATGTCGATTGATCCTTATTCGTATCGGGTGGAACTCAGCTCAAGACACCAAGACTCGCCCGAAGAAACGAGCCAAGAAGTCTACTGACAAGGTTGCGAGCAGTTCGAAACGAACCGGTCACACTGGTGGACGGAAGGTCATTGGTCGTCTGAGTGCCCTACTCGATATTTCTTTGGACATTCTCTATGAGGTGCGTAGTAATCACTGGCTGTACACGCATATATTTACTTCATATTGATCCAGGTACTGGGTCATCTGCTGCCTGCAGACCTCATCAGCCTATCTCGCGTCTCAAAGTCGTTCCGAAATGTTCTCCTGTCTCGTAGCTCGCTATTTGCGTGGAAGGCATCGTTTGGTAACATTCCAGATCTGCCCGCTTGTCCTGACGACGTCCCGCTTCCTGTGTGGGCAAATCTCGTCTGGGGAGGCGTCTACTGTCACGTATGTCCTCAGTTAATACGTGTTACCATGCACATACTGACCTCGAAGCTGATTTCTAGTGCTGTGGCAACAAACGCGTTATGAAAATCGATTTTCTACTACGACGACGAGTATGTTCTGGCTGCTTGAAAGAATAGTACGTAGGAACGCTGTTCGCTAGTCCACCTTGTTCTATTATCCTATCCCTTAACATTCTGAGCGTAGTATTTGCGACCGCCCTGCTGCAATCTTTGCCTTAGCTCCGGAAATACCAGCGAGCTTGCGTGACTGTATACCATATACACTTGGTGCGTACTATCACCCGCCCATACAACTATCCATACGGCGATAATTTTTGAAGTTTTGTTCCATTCCTTTCGGGTGCACTTTTGCTATAGAGGTTACGAAGCAGTATTCTCACCGTATATGCTGGAACGAAGATATTCTAGCCTTCAAGGCAGACTTTCAGACCATGCAGAAGACTACCAAACAAGGTGATCAACAAGCCGCCCTCGCAGAGTTCAAACAGGCCAAGCTCTCAGAGCTCCAAGCTAGAAAGGACGTGGCACGGTCCTGGTCGGACTGGATATCTCGAAACGCAGCGGAGAAGGCAGACAAGCGCGAAGCCAAGAAAGCAGTTCGCAGAGCCGAGTTCGTCTATGGCCGTCTTTGAAATTGACCTCTTGTTAATGTGGAGTCCTTTCTGTTTTAGAGTTCTCAGACGTTGCATTGAACTGGGCTACGAAGAGGCCGACTGTCAGGACGCACTACGGCACCATTCCGTCAACACTGAGGCCAAGTTAACAGAAAAAGGTGGGATACCTGACAATTTCTCTCGCTCACCCAACATTTTTCTGAACTCCTGTGCAGGATGGGGAACTATTCTCCCCCAAATTCTCCCCCTCATCACGGCTGCCAATCTCGCTAGGCTTGAACGAGAACGAGAAGGGCGGGAGAAAACTCGATCCAAAGCGGTGTATGCTGCGTACTACGATATCCTCCGGTCTCTGTCACCTTCTGCCCTTGAGCTCTCCTGTCTCCTCGGCGAGGAAGACTTCCGCTCTCTGCCCGAGATAGATGCACTCGTGGTCGACGACACGGAGGACACAGAAGAACGAATAGCCCAGATCAAAATCGTCTCCACGTCCCTTATACCCAAATTATCTGCTCTGGCCCATCACCGACAGGAGGCCATTTTCGCTCTGATGCAAGACACCTCTGAACCCGTCAGTCATCCTGCTCCCTCAATTGGGTCTGCTCCCCTTGGACGATTCCAGCTTGCCACATCCATATTCGTTTGTGGCGCTCCAGGATCACCTTCTTCTTCGGCTTCACCACTTCACGGTCTCCAAGTCTTTGGACATACATGCAAATCCTGCATACTCGACTCGGCTAGCACGACGAACGGACTTGCCTTCGATGCAATCTTCCCACGTTTCAGCGAGAAGGGAAAAGATGTAGTCGTCGCTATCCTAAACCGCTTGGGCTTGGACGAGAAATCTACCACTTGCATAGAGTTGGAACGGCTCGATAAACGTTTTGTTTGTATTGACTGTCCTATCAAGCATGAAGGCGAAGAGTGGGGACAAGATGGCCCGCTCGGGAGAAAGGCTAGGACTTGGTGGGGTTTGGTGAGTTCATCGTCATCGCTGCTTAGTGATCCTAGAATCTGCTCACATCATTTCTGCCCAAAAACGGCTACGTAGCTCGAACATATCCTTCAAAGCAACTCCAAGACTCCAGATTCCCACGTCGGTTCCTCCTTCTACGTGCTCTCTGACACTGAGGCAATCACCATCAAGTCTCGCGAGCGGAGCGGCCCCATATTTAGAATTCTTGAATCCATGTCGCAGTTTGGGTGCTACCATTGCGACATTCACTACCGTGATGCTACTCTTCATCCGAACTCATTCGAAGCAAGGTTTGGGCGAGAGCAAAACAGGGTAGCGTATCTGGGGCGAGATGCTATGATCACACACATAAAGGCTGTGTACGTTCTCATTTCTCTTTGGGTCACGCCGGAATCCGTGTGCAGAAATTGACGGATGTCTGGTCTGTTTGTAGACACAATCCACGATCCCCGGATGCATCGTGACTTCTTTCCTGAGCCTCGGGACCAGTATCCTAGACCACAAGGAGTATGGTTTGGAATGACAAGTTAAATACCACACCCCCGGTCGTGTGGAATGCATGCGGTTATGCGGTAGACTCTGACCAGTCTTTATTTTCTCTTTCTCTCTGTTTCGGCCGTGACGGTCTTGTCCGCTATTGCACTTTCTTCCCTCTGAAAGGTAGATCTTCCGGGAGAGGGCGTCTCGCTCTTCGTTTCTCTTCTTGCGCCTGCTACACAGAAACAATGGCCCCCCTTGCATTTCTCGGTGTTCCTCTACATCCTCCATACCTCGCTTGTTGGCTTTGGACTCTATCTTCTTGCCCATACGAATGTCTCGGACAGTCGACTACTGGTCGTTCTGACCTCATCCGTAACGTCCTTCTAATCGTTACCCTCTCATCCTATTATAATCCTGCACTTTCATGTACCATACCTACCCATAGATTCAGCTTTCCTGGCCGTTGCCGATTCTCTGCCACTCTCTTGCCCATACACCTATTGCATGTCCCGTATCCCGCCTTTAATTTCGGTCTTTTTGTTGCATTTCTCGTTCGATTCAAGACTGATTACCCTTCATCCCACTTCCTCGTATACGATACGCATGAGTCGCCCATCATTCTCTCTATCGTATCCCTTCTTCCTTTAGTTCGTGACGCAGACTTTTTTCTTGTCCACCAGTATTAGCACCCTCCTGCAATCCGAATCCCTGTTTCTTGAAACTTTCTCGAGCTTGACGGATTCGCGCAATAGACGGTTCATGCGACGGTTCAGACAAGACGAGCCTTTAGAGGTCTGAGTTTACGGCACTAGACGAGTATTCTTCAACGTCGCCTATACCTCCTGCCGTGTCTCCTCTAGAACAAATGGACAGCCAGTACCGGAAAAAATGGATGAATGCAGGAGTCACAGATTCATCTCGTGCAATCAACCTGTAGTCCGAGACGCGCCCGCGAATGCACTCAAACGTACAAAGGCAAGCAGAGAATAGCAATGTTAGTGTTCACTGTAAGTACGCCGCCTCCAATGCCAACAATAGACTGGACGCCGTCCGCAATATGTACGTGTATAGTAGTTTGTCTTCGAGAATAAATAAGGGCACCGCAACCAGCACTAGCACCATGGCCAGCAGTACCACCAACGCAACCATATCACGTACGTACGTATAAATCCAAATAAACAAAATAAATGAACAGACATACATATGGAGCTTTCATTCATATCTTCTTTTCCTCCTCGACTGAGGAAAGGATTAGAATGGGCTTCTCGGGATTCACGAATATCTTAGCACGATGATCGTTTTTTTCGACTCTTCTCTTTCGGTCCTTTTCGAACACCAACACATCCCCCTGGATCTTTTGTCGTATGAGTCGCTCACCCGATGACGACCTCGATCTCATGATCATGCATCTCCTGCCCCTCCGTCCTGCCCTCCTCCCTCCTCTCCCTCCTCTCCCTTTCCCTCTCCTCCGCATTCCCATTCCCGTTCCCATTTCCCGCCACCACTTCCTCTCCGCCCTTCCCCTTCCCTTCCCCCTCCCCCTGTACTTGCTTCACGCTCCTCGTCCCGTCATACAACGGATCCCTCGCGCTGAGATGCCGCGAGCCGAGGAAGACGTTCGTGCAGGGCGTGCGTTTCAATTTCTCGATGTCCGCGTGGACGATCTCTTTGCAGAACATGTCGAGGTCGAGGTCGTTCTGTGGTACAAAAAAGAGAAAGAAACGAGATTAGGACATGTGGAGAAAAAGAAGTGACTAAGTGACGGACCTCGTCGTAGCCTACATCACAAGACATAAAAGAAAGTCCGTTAGTACCCGATACTAGGACCCGCACGTCGAGGAAAAACATAAAAACATACCGAACGGCTGCTCGATCTCCTCTCCCGCAGCGACGAAGCCAAGATAGATAAACGCCGCGATGGCGGTTCCGGGGATGGAGGACCATCCGAACTGGTCGACGAGTTGAAAGGGGAGGAAGATGAGGTAGATCCAGACGGTGCTGTAATGAAGGGTGGGGGAGAGATGAGGTGGGGTGAGGATTATATGGAAAGGGGAGGGGAGGGGAGAGGAGAGGAGAGGAGAGAGGACGTACTGCCTATATGCGTGTGCGGAACGTAGGGGGAACGGGGTCAGTTGTCGGTCGCCGTTTACTTAAGAGGGAAAATGGGTCGCAGACCTGATGTGCACGGAATAGACGCTACACGCCCGTCGCAAAAAGAGCACATTGATCAGCCCATGAATCACGATATATGCGTTACGAAAGTACTCACAAAGGCAACGGCGTAGTCAAGATCCTCTCCAACGCTATTCGTCAAATCACCCCGGTCAGTCCACGTTTCCCCCGCACCCAAGACGAAAAGACACTCACTAGACAGACTATCCTCAAACGCCGCCAAACAACCAATCATCGATCCCAAACTCGTCCCTGCACATCACACACGACATCAGATCACCTCGCGTCGGATCCAGACGAAAGACACAAAAACAAAACAGAGACAAACCAGGAACAGTCCCCCTCTCCTCCAACACCGCCGTCCAATCACTCAAAAACCTCAACGCATCCAACGGCAAATTCTCTCCCTGCCCCGCCACCCTCGGCCTATGCTTCCTCCCCAACTCGCTCGCCTGTCTCGCGCCCTCGCCTTCGCCGCTCAGCCGATTCACGCCGCCTTGGCCTCGCGCGCCTGCACTGGTGGAAGAGGCGGTGGGCACGGATTGGGATTTGGAGTTGGAGTTGGAGGCGGCGTTGGCGAGGGTGGCGCGGCGTTTGGCGGCGGTGCGTACGACGCGGGGTTCGGTGGGGTATTTCTTTTTCCTGGGTGCGCGCGTGGACGTGGGCGCACCATCGTCGTCGTTATCGTCCTCACTGTCGTCTCCGCTGTCCGTCTCGACTAATAACCTCTCCTGTTCACCATTCCCATCCGCACCGACCGCAGCCTCGACATCCCTCTCCCCACCCTGCGAATCCTGCGAGTCTTTTCCAATCCGGAGATGTAACAGCCTCCCGACGACCCGACCCACGCCTCTGAACACGCTCCCGAACGGGATCAAGTCCCCGCTTATCTTACCTAATACATCTTCGGCCTCTCCACGGCTGGCGGGAAGGAGCGGCCTGTGGGAGGTGGATGAGGAGTCGGAGTCTGAGGAGGAAGAGGTGGAGGTGGAGGAGTGGCGGTGGAGGAGGTGGAGGTGCGATTTCGATTTGGTGGAGGAATGGCGCGAGGGCCGGGGAGTGGGTGTGAGCGAGGGGGAGGAAGAGGGAGTGGGGGCAATGGAGCCGTAGGAGTTTATGGCGGGGATGATGGGGTCGCGGGGGGTTTGCAGGAGGGAGGACGTGGATGTGGATGCTTTTGCGGAGACGGGCGGTTTGGACGGGGTGAGAAGGGATTGGGGGATGGGTTGGGGTTGGGGTTGGGTCTGCGATGGGGATTGGGTGAGCGTTCGGTGGGCTTGGTCGGTGTGATTGTGATCGTGCTCGTGCTCGTGCGTGATATGAACTTCCATCATGTGGTGGTGACGTCCATGAGCATGCTATTCGCGGTATGAGTATACGTATGCGCATAAAAAGAGAACTCCGAGAAACACACACCTCATGGAACGGCTTAACAAGATCATACAAATCCTCATAATATATCCCCAACTCACTCCTCAAATGATGTTTCAACGCCACCACGAACCCATCCACCAAATCCAGCGCCATCCTCTTCTCCCGCATCACCACCCCAACCTCCTTACGCCCCCGCATCTCGAGCCTTTCGCCACGGGCTTCCGAGGCGGTTTCGGCGTCGGTGCGGGGGGAGAGCCGGAGGGGGACGTGGAACCAGATGAGGCGGGTGAAGGTGCGGGCGTTGCGCATTATGTCGGACCAGGCGGAACGGCCGGTCCAGTAGCGGTCGTAGCTGGGGTGGGGGGTGAGGAGTGGGGGTGAGTAAGGGTAGGATGAGAGGAATGGAGAAGGAGAGAAGGAGAGAAAGACAGTCGTGGATCATCCATGTCTCCCCATAAGTACGAACGAGATCGCCATAGGACAGCGGCAAAAGGCTGCGCTGTGGGACAGACGAACAGTCTGGCTCGTTCGTTCGTTTTTTGTTTTATGGAATGGAATGGAATGAAGAGCGCGAGAAGAGGAGAAAACAGCAGTCACGTCTCCCCGGACAAACGACTCCTCCATTAGTCCATTAGGTGTAAGAGCAAGCTTCATGTTCATGTTCATGCCTCGCCAATCCGACAGACCTCTGTGTCTGTGTCGAGCAACAGATGTCACCACAGGGCAGGACAGGGACAAAAGCCTGCGCGCTGTGCGTGCGCCGGACGGACTAGCTCGGTTTATGTTATCGTTATCCCAAATGGAGGGAAGGGTGGTTGGAAGAGTAAGCAGTTGCGACACGACGTCCCCCCCTCCAGATGGATGAAGGAGGTTCCACGCAGAAAATCAACAGCAGAGTCCATGGCTCTGGCTGTTCGATCCGACCCACCACCGTGTTGCGCAACAAGGCGTCGCCAAAGGTCAAGGACGAGAGTCTGAGTCTGCGTGGGACGGCTGGCTGGTTCATTGATGTTTTATGGAATGGAATGGAAAGCGAGAGCGAGAGCGAGACAAGAGAGAAAAACGGGCTCTACCAGATGAACGACTCCGATCCGACCCACCACTACATTGAACATTGAACAGACGTCGCCACAGGACAGGGGCAAGAGCCTGTGGGACAGACTGGCTGGCTCGGAGTCGTTTATGTCTATGGAGGGGAAGGGGGTGGTTGTAATAGAATAGGAAGCTCTTGTGACATAACGTCTTCACCCGCCGAACGACTCTATCTCTATACAGAACAGACCTGGCCGATCCAACCAACCAACCAACTACTGCGTTGCCCGACAAGACGTCGCCGCCACAGGGTGTACGTGTGGCGGAAAGGATGGCTCTGACTCCTGAGTTTTTTAGGTCTCCGGGATGGATCCGGAGGGGAAGAGAAAGGGGAGTGGGAGTGGGAGTGGCACATATCTCCACCCGCGCAGAAAAAAGACGTTCATGCCCAACTAAACCAAACCAAACCAAACCAACCACTGCGTTTGAGTGGCGTAACAGACCTCGCCACAGGCACGGGACGGGACAAGAATCTGCGCGCGCGTGCCCTGAGATATACCGTCGAGGGGACTTGGAGTTGGAGATATCGCCATAGGGACATGTGTATGAGACTGAGACTGCGGACTGATCATGACTGGTTCATCGGGATTCGGTTGAATGCCGATCTCTCCAAGACACCACACCACACCACACCACGACATGGAATAATATACGGATGCGAAAGGGAGACGAGAGAGGTAGAAGTGAGAGGTAGAACGTAGAACGTACCCCGACATAGCTCGATAGGAGATCACGAAACCGATGACGACACCTAACCACACGTATGAGTACGCAAATAGAGATGGAATGAAAACAAGAGGGGGGGACGGACCGAGAACGGTGAGCATGACGTTAGGTATGCCGAGGTATATATTCGTTTTCATGGATACGATCGTGACGACTGTATATTATCATCAATGTTAGAGCGAGGTAGACATTGTGGACGACATGAGTATGAGTGGTGGGAGGTGAGGAAGTGAAGATGGGAGGATCGGGAGTGCCAAGAGTTCGCGACGCGTCTTGAGACATGACGCGTCGGACGCAAAAAAAAATGAGACAGAAAAAATGCACCCGTGCACTCTCGAACGTCGTCCACACCCCAGAAATACGGTTAAATGGGAGGAAGGGGGTACTTACGAGTAGCAAAGAGCGTGTGCATCAAGACGGCGGGCCATATCCTCCATATCTACGAGATAAAGCATGAGCACTACCAACGGGGAGGGATGAAGAGGGCGAGATAGACGAACGACGGTGCCGCGTCCGAAAGTCCATGAGAAGAGGGTGTGCGGGGAGACGAAGGTGATGCGGAAGACGCGGTGTTCTTCTGCTGCTGGGAGCAAGGTGTGTTGACCTGTGAAGGAGCGCTTGTTTTGCATTTGTGCGGCCATGGCTGGATGGTGGCCGGGTCCAAGTATGAGGGTATTTTATTTCGAGTTTTGTGGTTATGATATTAGGGAATAGTTTGTGGGCTCCTGGGTAGTTTGTGGTCTCCTGGTTAGAGGGTATCGAGGGTCGGAGAGAAAAAGGAAGAGAAAGTAAGGCGCTAATTTTGTCGATTTGTGTGTTTGATGTCGACGCTCGTCATCGGTTGCAGGCACACGTCCATTCGCCAATCACGCATCATTTCTATTTTTGTCTTATTCCAACGAATATCTGGATATGGAACGCCCTTGTCAACCCAGAGACTCTCTGTATATTCGACATTATCTTCAATATATATTCCTAAATCTGTCTGGGAGACGCTGTCCATATCCCTCGAAATCCGCCTCCGTGTCTCGCCCTGTGCATGCCCGTTCCGAGTCTCGGCCTTTCCTCGCACAAGCTCCCTGTTTCTCACAATCTGTTCTCGCAAACGTCTGCTTCCGTTTCAAAGCTCTCCGCTTGGCCTCACTTGACTCATGCTCGAGGCCCAGACATCGTCGAATTCGGTCCGTTCTTCTCGCCGTGGACGTACCCCAAATAATCTATTATCCCAGGCTTTTTATAAGTTACGTCCCATGGTCAGCCTGAGCTCCGAGTCGTGTCCTCCTTCTCTTCTTCTCGTCACCACCTCGAGCTCGCCCCGGAGCCTGAGCGTCCACCACGAGCCATGGCCATGAACCCCAACGCCAACGCCCTCCTCGCTGACCTCCCCGTCCTCCCCATCTCTCCATGCCTATGCAGCTCACCCTCCCTCTCCTCCCTGTCAATCCTCTCCCTCCCCCTCTCGCCTGCCTTTTCATGTACCCCACCTCCGAGCTTCCCTCGTCGCTACCACCGCAAACTACGAAAATTCCTCCGGAAGCTCGTTTGTGCTCTGCGGCGACATCATCATCATCATCATCATCACCACCATCAGCGCCACCACGACGGAGAACCATGCGATCTGACTTTGACGAGGGCGTTACATGCGGTCGTCTTACCTACTATGGATTCGGCGTTGTTGTTTAGGGATAGTGTGGCTGCTGCGAGACCGCATTTGAGGTTCGATGTGGACAGTTTGTGTGAGGGGATGAGGGGGGTGCAGGTGGGGCCGGATGAGAAGGAGCAGGAGAAGGAGAAGGAGGAGCAAGAGCAGGAGCAGGAGTCTGCGGGTGTGCTTGGGCTCTTAGTTTTTGTCGTGCGTTTTACTAACTTGATTTATTGTTCAATAGCACCTCTCCCTCCGCCTCCGTATCACGTCCACCCGCTCAGCGCTACCATCGTAAACATAGACTCAGACTCGACATCCATCACATCCCTCAAGCATATGCATCATCATCCGGTCTCAAGATCGAGCTCGTTGGATACGGTTGTTGAGCATCCAACGGAGGATGTTGGGTTGGTTTTACTACCAATAGTGACGTCTTTGGCGAGCTCCGAGGAAGAAGACGCTGCTATGCTGCCTCTACAGCCGCCAACAACAGCGACAATGACGTCTACGGAAACGACCACCTCCGACGAACTTCCATCCGAGCCTCTTCCATCCGCGTCGACGTCATCGTCTGTTCTTGGTTTAGGATCGGGATCGCTCGAGGTCACCGCGATTGGACCTGCCACTGCCACCGCCACCGCTAGTGCCATCGCCAGTGCCAGTGCTACACCACGCTTACGCGTAGACACCTCTGCTCCGGAGAAGATAGAGTCGGGTTCGGATTCGGATTCACATTCATCTCAACATTCATTGTCTTCAGAGTCGAACGCAGAGTCGTATGGACCTTCATTGTCTTCACCTTCCTTGTCTTCACCCACGACGTCTTCCTCACCCACATCATCTCCACCATCTCTATACTCCCTGCACTCCTCCTCCTCCTCTTCGTCAGCCGAAACCGCATCGCCCTCGACGCCGACGACACCGGAGGGTTCGTTGAAGCTAGAAGGAAACGTGAAGCAGACTGAGGCGCATTTGGAGTATCCGCTCGATGTTCCTCCCACGTCATCGTTGTCCTAGTAGTCCTGCGTATGTACTACACTTACGTCGGCCCCACCATCCCATCCCAACTTCCCGACGTAAGTAACACGGCCGCGGTCTGGAGTCCTACCTACGCTGTTCTGTTTGTATCGGTTTCATCGGGCCTGTTGCCCTCAACACAACTCGACTGGACCGGCTCGGATTTTATCTACGTATATCACTGTGTATCGCAGTAAGTAATCGGCGTACGTAACGGAAGATACGGACATTCGACGTGATATGACGATTGACGATTGCATGACAATTGAACATGTGGACATATTTCTGCTTCGGTGCTGTATGTATCTATGGGCTAACTCTTCGGAGGTGTGGGACCGGGACCTTGGATGTGGGTTGTGGGAGATGAGCCGGCGGGTGAAGGACAGGGGGGAGAGGGGAGGCAAGGCGAAGAGGAACTTGAAGAATGGGGAGAAAGAGGACGGGGAGGAGAGCCGTGGAGAGGGAAGAGAGTTGCCGGTGGATTCGAGTTAGACCGTGGATCGCACTTTCATTTGAGCATATATACTTGGATAATATCAGGTCGTTGGATATGAGACTTAGGACCCCGACCAGCGGCAACCATCTACAATCACGACCAATCCGGTCGGAGGTCCGACATGCAATGCTCTCCGCCAGGTAGAAATACTATGTATGTAGGACTCGGAGCTTGTGCCACTGATTCAGGTCTCTTTGAACTTGCACTCGCCACACCCGGTCTTCCCCGAACTTAAGTTACTCTGACATCTTCGCCAGGTTCGCGCGTCTCTTTATCGTTCCATCCACCTCGCTCACAAGGAGCACATATGATGTCTCCCTCAATTCTGTGTCATCCCTAGAAACCTTTAGAAATGTGAGGGTTGTTCGTTGATGATGACGATTCGTGAATTTCATTCATATTGGTGCGTGACATTGAGCGAGGATGTATTGTGTACAAAAGTGAGTATTTTCTTTTCTTGTACTTTTCTAATTTTTCAAATGTATCTACTGTAGTTTTTCGACCAACTGTTCGTCACGCGTCACGCGGAGTGCGTCGGCGAACAGATTGGGTCTCGGGGTCACGCATACATGGGGGTTCACGAACAGAAAATCGTGACCGATTTGCCCTGAAAATCGCCAAAAAATTCGATTTTTGGCCGGAATACCACGGCGGCGGAGGCTACTTTCCGGACACCCGAAACAGGAAACAGAACGGAATACTACAAATAATGGCATAGGGTTGGGTTTCGAGATGCATGTATATAATATTGAGCGTACCCTGAATGTCAACCGATTCTTTGTGTTCGGGTTTGCGACCGGTATTGGGTGAAGGAGCTCAGTCTAATGAAATATAGAGTGTGGTGAAGCACAAAAACGGCCGATGCGGAACTGGATACTGTCCTCGTTCCGGAACTTTGCGTTCCGATGCCGATATAGGACTCACAAAGGAATTTATCTGGCGGGGCCGGGACTGAAACCGGTACTTTGTGTTCAGCCGGAGCAATATATTTTATCGAGCCAATGCCAAAGATAAGGCATGGTGGGCACAAAATATTATGCATTGTAATGAAAGAGGGAGAAAGGGAACCTTTTATTCGGGGGATACTGGATCCATCTCTGTTCGATCATTATCCGCATCTGGTTTTGGATACACAAAGCAAAAATTACAGCCTCAACGGAATCCTTTGTGTAGCGGCTGCTGTATATAAAGATCAGTGTACACTAAACTGAATGCCCGCTCATCGCCAGAGCCAACAATGAGCGGGCGATCAGTTCAGTGAATGCTAATCTTTATGTACAGCGGATCCTGTTTTAATCTTTTCGTCTGCTCTATTCTTTTTTCTTCGCGTGCACTCAACCAAATGCGGTAATGAAACAATGGTATTGAGTTCCGCGTACGCAAGACAAAAGGTCTACTTTCTCCTGAACATCTTGCAGAACAAAAAGTATTTCATTGGCTTGGTTTTATCTTTGGTATCGACTCGACGCAAATTACCGCGCCTGCTAGTCATAAAGTGCCGTATTGAATTCCGGCCTTGTTAAACAAACCCTTCTGGGGATCCTATACCGGCTTCGGAACACAAAGTGCCGGAATGGTTATAGTATCCTGTTTGGCATAAGCTGCTTTTATTCTCTAACAGGCACTATGCTTTATTAATCTGAACTCCTTCACCCAATACCGGTCGCAAAGCCGAACACAAAGAATCGGTTGACATTCAGGGTATGATTGATATTATATGCATGTATCTCGAAACCTAACCCTATGTTATTATTTGTAGTATTCGATTCTGTTTCCTGTTTGGGGTGTCCGGAAAGTAGCCTCCGCCGCCGTGTACGAACAATTTCGCCTGTTCGTCACGCGTGGCTCACCCGAACGAACCGTGGCCCAGCGGTGGTCACGGCTGACGTAACTCTCCCACGAACACTTGGTCGAAAAACTACAGTATGCCATGGTGACCTCCTAAAACTCCTTTCTTGTAGGCATTGCTTCAGAATTCCGAGTTCGTTCTCATGATGCCCAAGCAAATGTACTCCACATGTATTGAATGTCATTGGAACTTATGGTGGTTATGGGACTCTCTATCTAAGCCACAGGCAACTATTGAAAACCTGTAGTAGGCAATATAAGTCAGTATAATCAGGAATACTTACACCGGCTGGTAAGTTTCGTGTAAGTGGCCGCGGGTGATCGAGTCGACGGGGATTTGGTAAGCGACGGGATATCCGGAGGAAAGCATCAAGAGCTGGGGAGAGCGGCTGGCAGCGGCTGGCATTATGCCAGTGGTCTTGCGCCCGGTTCCGGAGTGTGTACGCTGATGTCTGTGCGAGACAGCATCGACTCGGAAGGCCTCGTCGTGCCTACGAAGGGGCCGACTCATAGAGTATTTTTAAGAAAAATACAACTGGCTGCTAGATACTCTAAGACTACTACATTAGTACATACTAGCGTGCTCAACATCTTTGATACTTGGACCGCAGACGCAGAGGACAATTGTACGCGCCGCAGGCCCGAGAAAATAGACCCGAAGGTCTCTTTCAAGCAACGTTTGAGCATAAAATCCGGCCGTTGAGCGGTCCAAATCGAGAGGAGGGGCGAGCGGCAAGTGCGAAGCTGTGCCACACCTTCTCGGACTCATCTCGCTTGCGAGAAACTTACTGGACTTGATCGCCAGTAAGTTTCGAAGCCTTCTGCAGTAAGTTTCCAGTAAGTTTAAGTTCGGCACGAACTTATTGCACTTATTGCTGCCAAACGACAGACCTTGGCAACTTATCCAGTAAGTTCGGCATGCCTCGTTAACACATGAGCCCCTTCGCTGGTGCTTTGCACTCATGATCGCGATCTTTTTTTTCGGTCTCTTCTTCGTCATCAGAGTCCTTTCGCTACGCTGAAGCCTCGTAGCGCCACCATGCCTTCCTTCGTAGCACACGGGATGCATTTTTTGGGCCACAGTGTGGCACTCATTCCATACATCTAATGCCTCTTGCTCCCATAGTTTTCTCCAGACTCAAGTTCCTCCATGGAATAATATAGTTTAATTTATTGGGGAATCAAGTACTCAAGATGTAACATACACATATACAGCTATGCATAAGGGTGCTGGACAAGAAATTGCTGTTGAAGCTAAGTACTGTGGCACAAGAACTGAGAGCAAAATGAGGAAAAACTCGTACATAAATTCCACTTGCAGTTATGAGAGATCGCTCGAGGCAATGAGGAGAGAAACACATATCATATAAGCATATATAGCTCGAAAGCATCGAGAAAGAAGAGAGCGAAGAAGTTCGACCACTGGAAGCAAAGTGGCGGCGCGCGAAGCGCGACGCCCAACGGAGGCAGGTGGACGCACGTGGAGTGGCTGTGCCGTGCCGCGGCCGGCCGATCAATATACGATCGACGGCTGCGGAAGCGCCCGGAAAGGCGAATTCCCTGTAAGTTTCTCGAGATAAGTATACACACCTCCATCTCAGAGCAGACAATTGGATTCATATTGAGGTGCTTGGACTCCTCGCCTCGGTACTAACAGGACTCATTTCGAGATATGAGCCTCCCCCATCTCTCAAGTGTCATACCCTTCCTTTCCCTCATTTTCTTAGTTGCTGAGGCCAATGCTCTGGCATGCAGCCCCACCTTATTCCATTGAGATGAATCCACATCTGATTCAAATACATACGAGTAGAAATCTTTCACCAGATCCGGCCCGTCTACATCAGCCATCTCCCACATTGGTCCAACCACGCTCCGGAAACCACAGAACTGTACTGCGGCAGCGAGGTGAATAGCTTCGTCATGAATGCTCCCCACAGGATATTCTGCTGCATGGCATGCTGAGAGGAATGCAAAGTTGGCATTGGGATGATGGAGCTGGATCAAGTCCAACAGGGTGAGATGTGTATCTTCATTCAGGGAAAAGTAAGAGCTGAAGGGCTTTCCAGGGATGAGCGTGCCATGAGAGGCAATGTGCAGCCAGTCATAATCAAGAAAGGGATTTCTGGCAGTGTCATGGATGGCTTCTGGTTCCTCCATGGGCATGATGCCTGACTTGATCATGAAGTAGAGAACCTCATTAGCTTCCTCCTTCACCCTAGGAAGGGATGTGGATTGACCAATAAGGAGGAGACGTGGTGGTTTTGCAAATGATTCACCGGTGTTGAAAGCAGTAATGAGAGAGGTGAGTGTGGGGGTGTATGATGAGATGTATAAGTCGGGAAGATAACTCTTCGAGCCAGGCAAAGTAGGGCCTGCTGCATGCAGCGGAAGTGTTGACAAGACGGATGTAGGACACCAAAATATCCGGGACATTTCTGGAATGCGGAGCTCTTTGAGCTTGGTGATGACGGGCGAGACGACGAGCTCCCAGAGGTTTTCTAAAACAGTCCGAAGAACAATATTATAATGCTTCGGTGCAGTTTTGATCTTGGCCCGCGCCTCTGTCAACTGCTGCGAGAGTTTCTGTGCAATTTCGTGAAGATTATCATCCGTGGGGACCAGTGCCGGTGGGCCGTGTTCGAGAATAATGAGCGCGTCCGACCGATACTCGCTGAGATTTACAGTAATGACAGGGCCATGTTTCGCAGCAGCTTGGAGGACAGAAAACGAAGGTCTGCACAGAAATGCCTCGAATGTAGGGATTTCCCGGATTCGCTCGATGATGCGTTTCTGATTTTCCAAAAGGCGATGTTTCTCGGCGAGGAGAGGACCAAATGGGTCTCGAGCTGGACCTTCCGCTATATGAAACCGGAGTTCTTCGCTAAGGTCAAGAGAATTCCATGTCATTGAGAGTGCCTCGAGTCGAAGATTTATCTGCGAAAGTTCCTCCGCAAGTGATTGGTCTACAGCTCGGAGTCTTTCCATTGGTGTCCTCAAGCCCCGCAATTCGGACCAAAGCAAACCCCTCCCTTGTTCAATCATTTCCGTAGCCAAAGCCAGCTGACCCATCTGAATTGCGTGTGATGCCGCATCTGAAACAAATTCAGGATGTCTGTGATTCACTGATAGATGCGAGTATTGCAACGCAACAAAAGGCATAGTAGATAAGGGGCGGGGGATGAGGGAAACGCCGATGGTAAATGCATGCAGGCTGGACTGAGCAAGACGTGTTCGAGTAAAGTACGCCCATTCTCGGGCTGCTGATAGACGTGTTACTACCTTAGAATGTTCATCACTAGCAGCCTGCTCGAAAGCTGATATAGACTCGCTGAAATCTTCGGGATGGCCTGTCATCAGGAAACGACTCTTCAAGCCGATACCAAGGTATTCCAGAAGACAAGCACGCTCGGGGTGCCCCACGGGACAGAGAGCTATAGATTCTCGAAACAGTTCAATGGACTCCGCGAGATCAGCTGGGTCTCCCATCCGCCGGAAGCGACGATCCAGACAGATACCGAGGTGTCTCAGAGGCAAAGCGTTCCGTGGATGTCCCACGGGATGGAGAAGAACCGCATTTCGAATGAGATCGATGGATTCTTCGAGGTCTTCCAGCTGTCCCGTCTGTTCGAAGCGCTCGACCAGGCAGACAGACAGGTTGTGCAAAGAAAAAGCACGGGCTCGGCCCTCCCCAGGGATGAGAAGTGCCTCTCTATTGAGAGAAATGGACTCGTCGAGATAGTCGAGCGAGCTCGCCCCACGGAAGCGAGACATTAGGTCAGTAGCGAGGTCATGCAGAGCGGCAGCGCGGCGAGGGTGCCCCGCGACACGGAGGCGAAGCACTTGTCGATGAAGATGAATGGACTCATCAAAATCATTTGGGTATCCCGTCAGCGTGAAGCGGCGGCCCAAGCCAGTAGCAAGTTTTTGAAGAGAAACATCGCGTTCATGATTCTCCGCGGGAAGGAGAAGCACATCTCGAAGGAAAGCAATAGACTCATCAAGATCATTGAGACGTCCCGTCCGCTCAAATCGTTCATGCAGGGCTTCGACGAGATGATTTAAAAAATGAGCGCGGTCCGGGTGCGACACTCCGAGCCAGCCAGTCTGTCGCACGCGCAGGCTTCGCTGTCATTTGAGGCGTGGTCGGTCGTGTCGGCAGGTCATAAAGGCACGTTGTGAGTCGCATAACCTCCCCCATCCATCAATGGAGACGTGATGATCCACCATTATTGTTCTTCCTACCACCCTCCATTCTGTACAACATGAACATAAACGAACCAGCCACTCTGTCCGTCCCACGGCGCACACTCGGGCTCTTTGCCCCGTCCTGTGGAGACATCTCGGAATACTTATGCTCGACGGTGTGGTTCGAGGTGTGGCTGGTCGACGGGCCGCCGTGAAGTTCATTTTTTTTTCTGTACAGAGTCGTTTGTCGGGGAGACGTGATGATCCATGTCTGTTTTTCTCTTTCGACCATCCCTTGCTTCCCGTTCCGGATGACCCAAACGAGCAGACTTTTGTTCCTGTCCTGTGGCGACGTCTGTTGCTCAGCGCAGTGATCGGCCGACCATGAACGCCTCTTTTTCTGTCTGGAGTCGTTTGTCGGACGGAGACGTGTTTCAGAACTAGTTTTTCTCTCTTCCTCTGTTCTCTCCATTCATCCTATCCTTACTCATCCCACCCACCCACAGCTACGACCGCTACTGGGCCGGCCGCTCCGCCTGGTCCGACATAATGCGCAACGCCCGCACCCGCCTCGTCTGGTTCCACGTCCCGCTCCGGCTCTCTCCCCGCACCGACGCCGAGACCGCCCTGCAAGCCCGTGGAGAAAGGATCGAGATGCGGGGGCGCAAGGAGGTGGGCGTGGTGATGCGGGAGAAGAGGATGGCGCTGGATTTGGTGGATGGGCTTGTGGTGGCGCTTAAACATCATTTGAGGAGCGAACTCGGGATATATTATGAGGATTTGTATGATCTTGTTAAGCCGTTCCATGAGGTGTGTTTTCGTTTTTCTCGTCTTATATGTATACTCATACCGCGAATAGCACGCTCATGGCCGTCACCACCACATGATGGAAGTTCACATCACGCACGACCACGGCCACGACCACACCGAACAAACCCACCGCACCCTCACCCAATCCCCGTCTCAGACCCAACCCCAACCCAGACCCCAATCCGTTCTCAGCCCGTCCAAACCGACCGCAAAAGCATCCACATCCACGTCCTCCCTCCTACAAACGCCCCGCGACCCCATCATCCCCGCCATAAACTCCTACGGCTCCATCGCCCCCACCCCCTCTTCCTCCCGCTCGCTCACACCCACCCCGCGCCCCTCGCGCCATTCCTCCACCAAATCGAAATCCCACCTCCACCTCCTCCACCGCCACGCCTCCACCTCCTCCTCAGACTCCTCAGACTCCGACTCCTCTACCTCCCGCGAGCGCAGACATCTTCTTCCCGCTAATAGAGGGGAGGCAGAAGATGTGTTGGGTAAGATAAGCGGGGATTTGATCCCGTTTGGGAGTGTGTTTAGGGGGGTGGGGAGGGTCGTGGGGCGGTTGTTGCATTTCCGGATCGGGAAAGACTCGGAGCAGGATTCGCAGGGGGAGAGGGATGTGGAGGCTGCGGCGGGTGTGGAAGGGGATGGTGAGCAGGAGAGGTTGTTGGTCGAGACGGACAGTGGGGACGAAACGGAGGAAGATGACGATGATGCGCCCGCGAGAGCACCCGGGAAAAAGAAATACGCCACCGAACCGCCGCGCCACACTCGCCAACTCCAACGCCCAAAGATCGCACTCCGCCTCCACCAGTGCAGGCGCCCGAGGCCAAGGCGGGGTGAATCGGTTGAGCGGCGAAGAGGGCGCGAGACAGGCGAGCGAGATGGGTAGGAAGCATAGGCCGAGAGTGGCCGGGCAGGGAGAGAATTTGCCGCTGGATGCGTTGAGGTTTTTGAGTGATTAGACGGCGGTGTTGGAGGAGAGGGGGACTGTTCCTGGTTTGTCTTTTCGTTTGTTTTATATGAATCTGAAGCGAGGTTGGCTGATGGCCAGTGTGATGTTTAGGGACGAGCTTGGGAGCGATGATTGGCTGTTTGGCAGCGTTTGAGGACAGTCTGTCAAGTGGGTTTATTTTATCGTCTTGGATTTAGGAAAACCGTGAACTGACTAGGGTGATTTGACGAATAGCGTTGGAGAGGATCTTGACTACGCCGTTGCCGTTGTGAGTGCTTTCGCAGCGCATATGTCGTGGTCTGGAACTGATCAATGTCCTCTTTTCGACGGGGCGTGTAGCGTCTATTCCGTGCATATTAGGTCTGCGACCCATTTTCCCTGTTCACTAAACGACGACTGACCTCGTCACTCCTTCGTCCCCCATACGCATATAGGCAGTAAGCACCCACTCCCCTCTACCTTTCCTTACAAACCTCACCTCTCCCTCTGCATCTCCATAGCACCGTCTGGATCTACCTCATCTTCCTCCCCTTCCAACTCGTCGACCAGTTCGGATGGTCCTCCATCCCCGGAACCGCCATCGCGGCGTTTATTTATCTTGGCTTCCTCGCTGCGGGAGAGGAGATCGAGCAGCCGTTCGGTATTTCTTTTCTCCTTCAACGCGCAAGCCTTCATAGTATCCGGTACTGACGGCTGTGTTTTATGTCTTGCGATGTAGGCTACGACGAAGTCCGTCACGTCTTCTCTTCCCTGCTTCGTATTTCCCAATCTGACGGTTCTCCCTCCCTTTCTTTCTTTCTTTCTTTTCTTTCTCCGTGTCACGTACCACAGAACGACCTCGACCTCGACATGTTCTGCAAAGAGATCGTCCACGCAGACATCGAGAAACTGAAACGAACACCCTGCACGAATGTCTTCCTCGGCTCGCGGCATCTCAGCGCGCGGGATCCGCTGTATGACGGGACGAGGAGCGTGAAGCAGGTCGAGGCAGATGGGGTGCGGAAGGGGAAGGGGGGTGCGGAAGGAGAGGAGGGTAAGGGCGCGGCGTTGGTCGCAGGAAATGAAAATGGGAATGCGGAGGAGAGGGAAAGGGAGAGGAGGGAGAGGAGGGAAGAGGGCAGGATGGAAGGGCAGGAGATGCACGATCATGAGATTGAGGTCGTCATCGGATGAGCGGCGCATTCGACAAAGGACCTGAGGAGAAGAGTCAAAAAAAATGGTTATCGTGCTAAGATATTCGTGAACCTCGGAGCTCATTCCGATCCTTTCGTTCCCTCCGTCGAGGGGAAGAAGATATGAAAGCTCCATATGTATGTATGTCTGTTCATTTATTTTGTTTATTTGGATTTATACGTACGTACGTGGTATGCTGGTGGTGGTGGTGATAGTGCTGGTTGCGGTGACCTTATTTATTCTCTAAGACAAACTACTTACTATACACGTACACGTTCCGGACGGCGTTCTGTCTGCTGTTGGTATTGGAGGCAGCGTACTTACGATGAACATTGCTATTTTCTACTTGCTCGTGGGGTGTGTTTTGGTACTGTGGGGGGCCTCCAGGCAGCCACGATTCAGAAGAGTCGTACTACTTATTGCGATGGGCCTTTGGGATCTGGGAACTACAGAGATGCCATTCGAGGACGTTTACTGTCTGAGTCCCTTTCGGTTGCATTGTCACCTTTATGACAGCAGGATGCTCAGCATGGACAGGACAGCAAGACGAACAACGGCCACAAGTTGGCCGCAGGGCAGCCACATCTCAGTCCGAACTCCGCCCACAGGAGGTTCACGCTCCGCCCCAAAGGACCCTCTTTTTTTTTTTTTTTTTTTTTTTTTAAAATTCAACACATTTATATAGCGCCGGCGGAGCCAGGGGCGCTTCGTACGATAGGTAGCTACATACAAGATGGGCAATTGTCGACTGAGTCCATAAGAGAAGTCTACCTACTCAGAATACTGTCTGCTGTTTCGAAAGAGAGGTATCGAACGTTCAAGTGAGATCCGTAAAAGGACGGGGGATATGAGACACAACTACCGTAGAATGGCCGTGTGTGAAGAAAACAAAATGAAGAACCCACTACTTCTTCTTATTCGCCTTCGCCTTTTTTGGTGGCGGACCATCAAAGGGAGAGTCGAACACCACTCTGTCTTCCGACGATGCCCCAGGCATGTAATCCGCTACTCGGGGCCTGGTAGGGCGATTAACCTGGGAGGGGGGAGGCGCCCCCTTATCGCGAGACTTTGGTGGTGTGTTGCGGCTAGGAGTATGCGTCCGAATCCACTCGGGATCCCTCCGATGGAGGAAGAACGCGCACTCCCGTGAATCGGCCCGGTGTGGCCCACCGCAGTTGTAGCACTTGGGTGCATGCGAACACCCACCCGTTGTGGAAGGAGATGCCACACACGAGGGGCAATGCCGATCGTGTTGGCGTTCATCGTGAGACAACCCGCATCGCGGGCAGTTCTTGGTTGGAGATCTGCAGGAGAGCGCACGGTGGCCCCATCGTTGGCAGCAGCCGCAGAAGGGCACCGGAGGCTTGGAGTCAAAGGCCTTTACGGGCCGGCAGAATTCACCCAAAGGACCCTCCCGCATGAAAACCTCTTGTTCGTGTTCAAAAACCAACGCACATAGATCGAACCTGGGATCGGACCCGGCACTGCGGCTTCGCAGACGAAAATTCATGATTTTCGTGCCAGGTCGGTACCTCCGTGCCGACCAGGCGTTCTACATACGCACAGTGGATATGATCCACGTAACGTAAGTAGCACCCAGATACTATGCTTTCAACGCACCTCGAGATCCTAGTAGGACTTGCGACGACCGGCTGCATACATGCGTGAAGGAGGATGGGGGAGCTATGCTAAGGTATCTCGTTTACTAAGACCGCATATTGATTGCATGTCGTCGCTCACGGGGATATGCGCCACATAAATTTCACTACTCACTATATAGCCTTCTGCACGGTTCACGCGCCACATAAACTCGACCATCATCCCCGTCTACTTCGCATACAACACGTCAACCAACTATGTCGATAGAGGCCTCCTTCATGCGAAACGTCGTACTCACATCCTTCGTCAGAGTCTCGATCAAAGACGAAGAAGCCGCCCGATCTCTCCGGCCAGAGACCGTCCAACTTGATGACCGCGAGAACCTCTGTAAAGCACTTCAAGACCGCAGGGATAAGCATGGACAGAACGATTTTCCAGACATGCCTACACATGGTGAATGCCGTTTTGTTCAGGGTTTGCCAAAATATTTTTCGACGATGCCTCTGAAAAGCTTGAGCAGATGTGAGCGCTTTTCGTTGGTCATGTTGAGGACTCATACTCATATTTAGAAGTGGATCTTACGGCTCTCCGAGCACCTCAACGCTACGAGGTCGGTATAGAAAGCAATCCTACGGTCAATTCAACATGACTAACTATTCATTTCAGGGCACATATTTATTCTGCCGGACGCTATGTCTTCCGGGTGAGTTTGCTGATTTCAATCATGTAAAACATGATTTTCTCTCTGACATGCCTCAGCTCAAGATATTTCGGTCCAACTTGCCGTGGAGGACGACGCGGGAGCCTGCATCTTACTCACACTAGACAACCTCCCTGACCTTTATCAAGCCGACCTGTCTGCCATCGATGCCATGTTCCCAACAGGAACCGTTCTGTTAATTCGCGAGCCGTTCATTGTAGTCACCGCAGATCGCCAGCGTGCCACAGTCAGAGTCGACTCGCCTTCTGATGTCCTCGTCCTTAACCGTGCCCATCCTCTTCTGGAAGGATACAGCTGGCGCCAGTCCATGCTAGATAATCCGGAAACCTTCAAGAGTGTCGGTACCAGCCACTTCCGGCAGAGCCATTTCGTAGCGGCCGTCAGCTCTTGGTCTCAAGGTCTTTCAATCAACCTTTCGTCTGTCGATCTACTGCTCAACCGGTGTATGGCCTTTCTACGTCTGGAGTGGTACGCCGCTGCCTACAGAGATGCATCCAAGGTACTAGAGTTGGTCACCGACCCCGGGGGGTCGTCATCGCATACGCAGTCAGTTGCAAAAGGGAACAGAGACAAAGCAGACTTCCGTGCTGCGCGGGCGCTCTACGGTCTCGCCAAATATAGCGATGCGCTTGCGCGATTCACTTCGCTCGGTCGAAGCGGACAACTTGCGGATAAAACCTGGATCAAGAGGTGCCAGACTCGGATGGAAGAGACGACAAGCGGAGTGTACGATTGGGAGGCTATGTTTCGTAGTGGCCTGGAGGGGAACGGGGCCCCCGTCGACGTCGCCGACTTTGTTGGGCCGCTCAAAGTTTGCGGGATGCCTGATCGAGGTGGTGGTCGTGGTGTGCGTGCGACTGAGGATATTCGAGCGGGTGCATTATTGGTATGCTTACTTCTTCGAGCGATCTCGACGACGACGATCTTAAGGCCAAGCTGGGACAGGTTGTTTCGAAAGCGTACGCTCTCGTGTCGGCGGCAGAACAGGAACAGAAGAAGAGTATGAATATCATTCATGTTCCCACCCAGACGATCGCAGGGGGTTCTGAGGTCGACCTGGTTCAAAAGGTCATTACGAGGTAAAGTGCTCGTACGTGCCCTTCACTCTCCTAGTGGCTGACTTAGAAGTATCATGCAGGTTATATGGATGTCCGGAGGATACCCCACTGATCTACGGTCTGTTCTCGAATGCAGACCCAGACCGTTTCCATCTTCCCTCTACGACATACCCTCCGCTGGGTACGGAACCAGTCCTTGCGTGCCACGCTCCCCCCGACCCAGCCGACATAAACGTCGATTACATCGACGGAGTGATCTTCTCGAACTGTTTCGGCGGAGACACAGTAAGGGTTGCGTCCGTTGTTCCACCTTCGAAGCTCGGCCAGCATTCTGCCGTTCTCCATACCTTGCCCTCGCTCTTCAATCACTCCTGCGCTCCAAATGCGACATGGAGGCTCTTTGGCGACACCATGGTCATCCGATCCAACCGTGATATCCCTAAAAATACCGAGATAACACTGGCGTACGTGTCACCAGCTGGGAATGCACGGACTCGTTCGAAGGACCTCTTCACCAAGCTCTTGGGTCCTTGCAATTGTGACCTCTGCGAACTGGACAGACTGGACACCGAAGATGCGTGGAACGTTTGGGACAGCTTCCAGAAACGTAATCTCAGGAGTTGCTCCTCAGAGACTGAGCTGAATAGCGCCATCGAACACCTACAGTCATCCTTCGCGAGATCCGGTCGGACGACCCATTATACTCTGCTCGACAGTCATGACGAAGCCATGCAGTGGTACCAGGAGAAGGCTACCTCTCGTGCACCTGTTGATCGTGTCGCCGCAAAAGCAATGATTCGTCATGGCGTAGAGGCCCTTCGTGCGGCTGGTTTGGACATATTCCCTGACGAACCGCAATACTCGCCTCGCTATAAAGCCAACACCCGCGGTCAACCTGGTCAAAAGTCAGAGTTCGCGTTACCGATGTTGAAGGGAAGGTTGCCAGCAAACACAACAACGCAGGAGCAATGCATCTTCATTATTACGCAGATGGCCGCCGTTTTCACGATGATGCTGGAGAAGACGCAGGCACGACGATGGATCCGTGCGGCGTGGTTCAGTGCGCATTCAAATCATCACATTTGACTTTGGGCTACAGCTAGCTGACATCACCCTTACCATCCCCTTTAGTCCACGAAAACACGATCGGTGGAGGCAAAGTCTTATTCGAGGAAAGATTCAAGAAGGCTGCCGCATTGAAAAATGACTTGACGGATCTCGAGTATCGATGGGACTGACCTACTAGGCTTACGTCTCATGAAAAAACCGTATGAACGCTCTGGAAAGATCTGTTTCGGGTCCATCGCATGGTCATCGTGTCGAGAATCTGGCTTGGTATGTTCTATCCTTCTTGGACCGTTCTACGTGGCTTGATGTGACCCTCTCCTCATAGACCTTACATAATTATTCAAGTTCTTGTTTCCCGGCTGAAAACAACATTTGAGCTTGTTTTCGGCCAAGCCCCATGACTGAGCTTAGCTTATCTCACATACCTTCTAGGATGGACTCGACTGCTCCCACAGAGGTGAATTTGAACACTCCGAGAGTCGACCACCGCACATCGATGACTCGGAGAACGGTATGTATACGACACACAACAAACGCATGCCCTTGTTATCTATGACCGAACTGCTCGTCAATCGAAGATCTCAGGACTTCTACCCTCACGCCTCATCACGCTTGTTGTCGAGATAGGGGTCGTCGCGGTCAGGTGCATGGTCTATGGAATGGTGCATAAAAGCACTGACTCGAATTGCGGGGTAACGTCCGTTTCTCCGTGCCCACTGGCAACATCTGGCACTGTAAGATCTACTTCCCTTGAAGCTTTCTTCGCACTCACTCCTCAGTCAACATGCCTGGAGAAGGAATGGTCTCCCGCGAGGAGCTCACGAAACGATCTATCCCAAAATTTCAGTTCTCGACCGAGTCTAATCCTCTGACTGCGCCACCCGTTATTCCTCTGGGTCTGTCTGTGGCCCAACGTGCTGCTGCTCGTTTTGCGATCAAGGGGAATGCTATCGGTGAGAGCTGTGTCTCCAAACCCAAATAATATGGACATTTGTTTATGATGTACTTACGATGTATGGATATAGTGACCGGAGGTGCAGGAGGTATAGCTCTCTGCGTCTGTCGCGCTCTGCTCGAGCACGGCGCAGGTGGTCTTTCCCTATTCGACCTCCCATCAACTCTCGAGACTACCATAGCCTCTCAGGCCGTCCAGGCACTACGCGCCGACTTCCCCAACGCGAAAATCATCACGCAGCCTGCAGACGTGACGAACGAGAAGATGCTGCAAGATGCCGTGGATGCGACGGTGGAGAAACTTGGGAGTGTGAATATCCTGCTTTGTTTTGCGGGAGTGGTAGGCACGCAGCATGCGGAGGATATCAGACCTGAGCAGTGGCGGCGGATGATAGAGATCAATGCGACGGGTACATGGTTGTCCGCCCAGATTGTTGGAAGGTAGGTATCGTCTTCATTGGTACGACTGCTTTCTCGTGTAGCGAGGGCTGATCTCGGCTCTCCTTCAGACAAATGATCAAACAAAAGACGTCGGGGTCCATCGTCTGTACCGCTTCAATTTCCGGCCACGCGGTCAACTTTCCCCAACCACAGGTCGCATACAACGCTTCCAAAGCCGCCGTCATCCATACTGCTCGTTGCCTCGGAGCTGAATGGGCTCATCACGGTATCCGCGTGAACAGTGTCAGTCCAGGATACATGAACACCATCCTGAATGAGGGAGACGGGCTGGCGGAGGCTAGAGCGTTGTGGGCGGAGCGGAACCCGTTCGGAAGGATGGGTGAACCGGAGGAGTTGGCGGGTGTGGTGGTGATGTTGTGTAGTAGTGCGGGGAGCTATATCAATGCTACGGATATTGTCGTGGATGGTATGTGCATATCCCATCGTGGCCGCAACTTGTTGATGTACTCACATGTATCATTGCAGGCGGCGCACTCCCAGTCTACTGAATCAATCGCAAATAGAGCACATAGAAGTCTAATCTCACGAAGCATTTGTAGTCTTACGTCTTCCAACAATCTATGTCGACGGAATCAAAAGTTTTGTAGAGAAATTCGTATAAGTATCCACTTACTGGACAAAGTACCCGGGATTTCTGTCACCTAGAATGGTACGTATGGCCACAAATAGCTTGGTCCTAGTGTCATAACCGCAGGGTGTGTGTGGGTTCGTACATAGGTCTACACCGGTATCATGTAGCCCTCAGCGAAATAAATTACAGTGAAAAGCTCCCAACCATACCCAGTACACAAGACCGAGCCCTAAATACCCACTCTTCTCCTCGGTGTCTGCGTGACTCTGGCTCCTGCCCCGATGCCCGTATGTCTTGGAGTTCCGGGAACGACAATCTTCGAAGCTGAACTACTTGCAATCTTGACCGTCTCTGCTTCCTCCTTCGCCTGCCGCGCAGTTCTATTCGCAAAGACACGTCAGTAAGCTGACTAACTGATATTCGAACGGAGAAATGAAGGAGTCTTACGCTTCACGCTGTTTGGCCATCTCCGTCTCGAGTTCTGCACGCCTGGAGAATTCTCTGTCTGCTTGACGGCGGTTTCCTCGCTCATCGAAGTTCTTCTCACGGACGGAATAGAACACAGAACCGAGCTCGGCTGTAGATGCGTGTATCAGCCAAGGGTGGAACTTGCACGAAAGCAATGAAGGATGGACTTACCAAGCCAATAGGGGTCAACGGCTGTGACCTGGGTCATGTACTCCTTCGAGGTCAGGATCAGCTCGTGGTAGATGACATATGACGGGGTGTCTGCGGAGGGCATTCATTAGAAAACTGGTGCAATGAAATTGTAGGAGGAATGGAACGCACATCCGAGCCCATACAATGCACTGGTTGGGTGCAAATGTGTTGGTAGACCGGAGCGTATATTCACGAACTCGCCGATACCCTTGACACGAGCGGCCTGGTGGAAGTATCCCGCGGTGATGGCTTTGCGGATCATATCAAAGTCGGTACCAGCGGAGACGATGTCCATCTTCTGGAACTTCATGATATCCTCAAGTTGAACACGGACTTCACGAGCTTTCCTGAGGAGCTTGGGGTGTAGGAAGTGTTTCATGGACCAATCATCACGGTAACTGTATATACCATGAGTGTTCGCCAATGAGAATGCAGGGAAAAGTAGATGAGATCGCATACCCATGACTCTTCCACTGATTGAACACGTTCAGCAGCGTCAGATGATCACTTTCAGGGACATTGAACTTCTCCCTTGCCGCGTCCGCTTCTTCCATCCTTTCCTTCGGCCTATAGAACACACTCGGGACGGAAAGCATCGACACGATGGTCAACATCTCAGACGAGCACTTGTACTCGACGGAGGTGATGAGCATCTTTGCCATGGACGGTTCCATCGGAAATTCCGACATCTTGCGACCAATAGGCGTGAGGTCGCCGACGTTGTCGAGGGCACCAAGTACCCAGAGCTGGTACATGGAGTTGAGAATGTTGGCCTGGCAGAATGCGAGGTCAGTAATTCGTCATATCAAAGACGAGCTGGAGATATAGACATACCTGAGGAGGTGGATCCATGAAATCGAACTCCAAAAGATTCTTGACTCCAAGACTTTTCAACAGCAATACTGTATTCGCCAAGTTCGTTCTTTGAATTTCCGGGATCGTGTTTTCGAACAGCTCATTCCTATAAGCCATCTCCGTGTACAGCCTGTAGCAAAACCCGCTTCCCGTACGTCCTGCACGCCCAGTACGCTGGTTCGCGTTCGCTTGGGAAATAGGTGTGATCTGTAGAGCATCCATGCCGACCTTAGGATTGTAGACTTTGAGCTTGGAGAAACCAGCGTCGACGACATAGAGGATACCATCAACTAGTAAAGGGGTATGCGCATGAGTTTATTCATTATGGCACAAAATTAGTGAAAGGTGACTGACCAGTCAATGAAGTCTCTGCAATATTTGTAGCCACAATGACCTTTCGCCGCCCGTCCGACGTAGGGTCGAATATCTTGGCCTGTAGATCTGCAGGCATCTGCGAGTAGATGGGCAGTACTGCTAAGGGGGCAGGATCATCCAGTTGTGCAAGTCGCTCTGGTTGCAAGTTAGCAAAATTGCTGAGAACGCGATGGCAAAGCGGGTATATATCATACCTTGAACGACCTGACAAGTGATCTCGATATCCTCCTGACCGGTCATGAAGACAAGAATATCCCCTGGAGGAAGCGACAAATGGATCTGGAGGACTTGCTTCACGGCGCTGTCGACATAATCTTCGCAGGGCGACTTGGAGTGGTAGGTTTCGACTGGGAAAGTACGGCCAGGGATCGTGAAGCATGGCGCGTTACCGTAAAAGGTTGAGAACTAATAAAGAGACCGTTGAGGGCAGTGCAACAAGCAGGTAAACGGGCGAAGACACACCTTCTCAGCATTCATTGTTGCAGATGTGACGATGAGCTTCAGATCTCGTCTCCTTGAAAGGACTGTATATGTCGCTAAATTTAGGTGTATATCCACCGAGAAACGGACAGTAACTCACTCTTCCGTAGTAGACCCATCAATACGTCAGTACTGAGCGAACGCTCGTGTGCTTCATCAAGGATAATGACGCTGTACCGATCCAAATCGCCTTCATTTAGGGACTCGCGAAGAAGCACACCATCCGTCATGACTATATAGGAAAATCAGTCGGGTGAATTTTTGAATGCGACAGAGAGGCAGAGACTCACACTTAATCTTCGTTTCAGCTGACGTGCAATCCTCAAACCGGATAGCATATCCGACCAGAGACCCAAGCTTGCAATCCATCTCCTCACTAACACGTTTGGCGACAGACATAGCGGCGACACGACGTGGTTGCGTGCATCCAACAATGCCATGCGAGCAGTAGCCGTCCTCATACAAAAACTGACCGAGCTGAGTCGTCTTTCCGGATCCAGTCTCACCGACGACCACAACGACTAGATCTCTCGTCAGAATTGAAGGGCTTGACGCAATAAAAGGACTGACCTTGATTATCCCGGATGGTCCGCAAAAGGTCCTCCCGACATGCGAAAGCCGGGAGATACTCTCTCTGCTCCTTCAACGTCCGGGACTTCGCAAAAGAACTGACACCCGCCGAAGACTTCAAATGTGTTGCAAACTTGGAGTCACCCTTGTAGTCCTCCTTCTCCCCATCCTTGGCCTTGGCCTCCGCCGCGGCTGTAAATTGCCCGAACCGAAAAGAACTACGTGAATGTCCAATCTACGCATCCAAGCCCACGATATCTCGATAAAAGAGCATGAACTAAGGAATGGAGCTTACCCTCAGCTTCTGCTTCCTCATCTTTCACACCCATGATGTTCCCTAGGCTCGTCCCGCCCAACGCAGCCAGTTTTGCGGCAGCCTTCGCGCGTTCTGCTTGCTCTCGCTTCTCCTTCACCAAGGCGCTGCCTTTCTTGGAGAACACAGCTAGATCAGATGTGGGATCGCGGATGGGGTTAATGGTATCAAGCTGCTTGGTGTACACCGTCCGGCCATCAAGAAAGGGCGGTTTGAGATCATGGACCATAACGTGAACCGTGGACTCGGAGTCATCTTCGAAATCAAGGTCGACACCTTTTCGGGTGGCGACACCGGAGGTGACCATCCGGTTGGCTTCCCAGAGGTCATTGTCGGCGTTCTACGCAAATCATGAGTGGTGGGCGCATTTCAGAGTCGTTGGAAAGGACTCACGTATTGCGCCTGCCTGGCCGAGACTTTCTTCTGCAGGGGATGTGAGATAATTACAGGAAGTAGGGAGCAGTGAATGGGCACGTACGACCTGTTTCTTCGCGATCTCAGCCTGCTTAATCGCCGCCAGATCCTCATACTGAGCCAATGGGTTGTGCTCCTCATCACCCATTAAGCCTCCTTCTTCCGCACCCGAATACCAGTCTCTATCCAGACGGATTTGCTCTTCCTCCCACTCCCGCGCATCCATCACTGTCTCCTTATCATCATCCGGACTACCGCCCCTCACAGTCCGGGGCGTTGGGGCGTCCCATGCCCGGCTTTTCGCGCCACCCCAGCCTCCGTCAGAGCCTCGCTGATTCCGAGGTGTCGAATCCCAACCAACATCGGGTACACGCATGGAGGGTCCGTCTTCGCGTCCACCACGCTCAGAACGAGGTGTAGCGTTTGCATCCCAGGAGCGAGATTCACGATTTCGATTATCGTCGCGGTTACGGTTATTATTGCGCCCGTCTCTGTCTTTATTGGAGCGACGTTGAAAGTCACCTAAACCGCGAGGACCGTCCTGACGCTGTTCTTGTTTGGCAATGATTCCCTCTGCACATTATGCGGATGATGAGAAGACGCTGGAAGAGAAAAAGGATGCCATGTGCGCACCTCTTTGGCGTTCCCTGTTCGCTCTATACTCTTGCAAACGGGCTTTACCTGCATCCGACAGGCCTGTGCCATGTGAGGGGGTTTCGGCACCTCGTTGTCGATTGTTCATACGAGACGCGGGCAGTGAGGGAACTTTGGGGTCGAGAATAGCGTATAAGTTACTGTGAGATTCGAGAGAAGTAATAGATGGACAACATACCTTTGAAGACAGGCTCATTGTCGTCGTCTAGACGTGGCCTCTTTCGACTTCCCTCATCCTTCGCAGCCGCGGCCGCCCTCTTCTCTTGTGCAAGTCTATCAAGTCCCAGCACTGATGTCCTAGGCGTAGGTGGTTCTAGTGTCCTTGCGGGTTGTCGGAATGTGTGACGCTAATCAACAGGAAGGCCAGAAGTACGAACATCCTAGTCAGTGAACTAGCCAAGGTGACTGATGTAGCGGGACGCACAGAATCTTTCCTCATCAAACCACCCTGTCTAACGGGCTCTGGCTCGAGTACGTCACTATCGTGGACCGTGATTCCTGGAACTGGCTTCGGAAAGTGGCCCGTCGTTTCTTGCTGGGAGTGGGCTATAATCTCGGAGTAAATCTCGGAGAGGAAGTTGTCCTTGAATTTGTGGAAGGATTTAGCAGCTAAAGGGTAGCATGATATTGCACTGTCAGGGTAAATACAACGACATACAGATAGTCGGAAATATCGCACCTTTGATGAAGCCCTCCTCCGAGTTTGTCTTAGCAATGTCAGTGACGCGGGTCGCGAGCAGGTCATTGGGGTTGACGAGGTTCATGACTCGAGAAAGTTTGATAGCCAACTGGTGATTGAAGTCATTCTGTGGCAAGTCTTGTGCTGAAGAGGTCGAGGCCATGGTGACCAATGGTGCTGCTGCAGTAGTGTACGGTGGTGGTCAGAGGGAAGAGGCGCCACACCTGGTTGTACGGAGTAGGGTGACATTCAAACTCCGCAAGCACCGTGCTCGGTTGTGGCGTGGCCGTTTCCCTCCACAACTTGTGCTTCTTTCTTGCGCTTGCCATTCTCAAAAGTTCTGTTCTCCTTGGGCTGAAGGTCGGACGTTCTTAGTATTGACCTCACAAATGTCTCGTAGGACGCGTTCGCAAACCGGGAAGCTGCCGCCTCCTCGGTTGTCGGCCGACAACGCTGAGAGTAGCCAAGTGTCGACAGTGGCGATCGGTGCTACGCCAACAGAACCACGGCAAAACGACGATTCACTTGAGGATGATGATGGTGAGCATTCATTTGTCCTGGAAGGGTTATAGTTCTCGAATGCTAGCGCACCGTGGCGGAACTGATTTTCTCTTTGATATGACACAGACCCTCCTCCAGCAAAGCGAGCGAGAAAGCGACCGCAAGTGGACAACACGAAGACAGTAAAGAAAACAGGAGGGAGAAGGAAAAATGCAGGCCGTTTGAGTATTCTACCTAATATGTCTCTGGACATACTTCTTGAGGTGTGTGCATTCATGCCTGTCCGTCCCGTTCTACTATCTCTAATAGAGTTGTAATTCGTCAATGAATCAGATTTTTGGTCATCTCGCGCCTGCAGATCTGCTCAGCCTTTCGCGCGTCTCAAGCTCGTTTCAGAAGCTGCTCCTCGACTCTAGCTCCCTGTTTCTGTGGAAAGCTGCATTCGGGAATGTTCCTGGATTACCTGCACCTCCCGAAGATGTGTCCTTAATAGAGTGGACAAATTTAGTATTTGGGGGCATATTGTGTCATGTACGTTCATGCCCAAGACTCTTAACGACCCCCAGTTACTGACGACCGTGGGTTTTGTCCTAGCTCTGTCGCAACAAACGAGTTCTGAAGGTGGACTTTATGCTTCGCCGTCGTGTGTGCGGTGATTGCCTGAACCAACAGTGCGTGGATCCTCTAGATTTTCTAGATTTCTATGTTACTCCGGCTCAACTCATCCGTGCCATGTCAAGCCTGTGTCTGTCTATTCAGGAAGAAGTCTATGAGAAAGCTCCGAATTCTGCCGAGTTCATAGATTATGTACCATACACCATGAGTTCGTCGTTCATCTTGCTCAACCGCTAATCGTAATTGACTTTGGAACCATGTATATAGTACGCTCCAAGGAAGGGCCCCGCCGCGTCTGGTGGGACGAGGACCTGATAACGTTTGAAGACAACCTGAAGTCGATCTGTCTCATCAGTCTGACCGAGCAAGGCAATAGGAATGAAGCTCTCGATCAGTTTTTGGAGGACAGGAAAACAGAATTGGAACGTAGAAAGACAGTCGCAATTTTGTGGAATGCATGGGTTGAAGAAGGCGCGACACACAGAGCGGCTGATAGGCAGGAAAAGAAGAACAAGCGCAAGTCAGAGTAAGTGGCATGAGGTCTTACCTTGAGTTATATCTGCTGACATGTCTTCTCAGATTTTTGAAACACTGTGTCGCTCTCGGATACGAGGAGAGAGACTGCTGGAAAGTCATGCAGATGAAGTCAGTGAATAACGAGACTCGTTTCACTGAGCAAGGTAAGTCTATTCCAGTACATTTCAATATTACAACACTCTTGCTCACAAGACAAACAGCTTGGGAGTCTCATCTTCCAACCATACGTCCTATGTTAGAAGAGACTAAGGCCTTTCGATTGTCCCGCGAGCTTGACAAGCGGCGTCGGACCCGTTCAGGCATGGTCAACAAAGTGTACCGTGAACTGGTCAAGGCTATATTGCCCGATCCGCTCACATTTGCCTGCCTCCCGAACTCTTCCGAATTTTCCACCTTACCGAAAATGCGCAATCTCATCGACGACGATACGGAGGCGCATGACGAACGGCGAGCGCTTATTCAAACAGAGGGCGAGAAACTGCGACCTTTGCTCTCAAGCCTGGAAGCACAGCGTAGGGCAGCGATCATCGCCCGAATGCCTTCCAAAGCGATCCCACCAGGATTCGATCCCGCTCTTTTGCAAGATCTGCCGCCATGGCAATCGACTCTGCCTCCCGCTTATGCCGCCTTTGAGCTAGCAACCTCTGTTTTCCGTTGCGGTGGACAGCTTCCACATGACCGTTCAATATTCAGGTCTAGGAAGGGACTGGAGAAGGCCATATTCGGCTTGAAGGTCTTCGCTCATAAATGCCAACACTGCAAACGTTTCGAGGCAGACGAGCTCGTTACCTCCAGCTTACCCGTGTTTGATGACTATGGGAGGAGAATTGTCCTTGCCATTTTGGAGCGACTCAGTCTGGACTCGAGCCGGACGACGGCCGCTGATCTCGATCGACTGGATGCCAGGTTTCTCTGCCTCAATTGTCCTGTACAGCACGAACATGAAGGGTACCACCGCCGGCGAGGTAAAAGGGGGCGAGCAGCACTAACCTGGCGAGAATTGGTAAGCTCATGCGTATTCTAATTTTGGTCTACAGAACTGATCGCAAGCTTCTTTTTGATTTAGTTGGAGCATACTTTGTCTGAAAACGAGAAGTGTGCTGAATCTCATATGGAGCCTCTCTTCACCGTAATGGACGACACAGTGGCTACCGAGATCAGGCTGCGTGAGCAGAGCAGTGACTTGTATGGGTTCGAGATGTGGGGTCCATGGGGGTGCTCACATTGCCACCACCATATTGAGCAGATGGGAGGAGATATAGTAGAATGCTGGCTGAGGCGCCCCGAAATTGAGCAACACTTGAAAGACGCGTAAGTCTTCAATCCTTGTTTTGTTCTCGCCCGATCTGAGCTTTCGTGTGCGTACGTCTTGCAGGCATGATATGGACAATCCTATGATATATCGAGATTTCTTCCATCATCCTCGATGGGGTCACCCTGACCCCCACCTCAGACCTCTCTGGCACGTCATGGAGGGGTAAAGGCATGGAGTCAGTATGGGCATTCACGATCGAGAGCGAGCTTTATCTCCCGTCTATCTTCATGCAGGCTATTGTACCAGCCTTCGGACGTAGAGTTCTGTCCATTTCTATTCATTATTAATGCTATAATATACGTTCGTGCTAACACCCGTTCAGAGATGTCCCTGTGTGAAGCCCCCGCGTAGCCGTCACATATCCGCAATAGATACTGGTTATGACTCGGGTGTGAAGCGGCATCTACGTCAACATGCACCACGACGGTATGAGCGCACAAAATGCGAGCGTCAAGACCGTCGATCCCTGAAAGGTCTCGTCCAGGTGCAGCGTGCATCGCGAGTACTGGCCTCGACTGCTGAATCTTCGTGCCATTTGCTGATCGATGGCGCTGCATCTCCGTGCGAGTTTCCACCATCTATTTGAACCTCTGCAGAGGCAAGCGGGAGGTGCAGAGACGTCGGCGGCTTTTATGGTTTACCTGTCGGGCAGTCAATGTGATCATTAGCTTTAGGCCTAAAACTTTGAGTCACGACTTTTATATGGTCTGATGAAACTTCGATACGGGACATAAATTACTCACTTCGACATGTTCCGCGAGGAACCCCCTCTACCAACCAAACTACCAAACTGCCACAAACCACAAGACCTCACATCATGTATACAATCGGCTAGCCTCGAAATCCCTATCCAGATCGTCGAGCACTGTCCCGCTTGCAGCAGCTGCTAATGCCGCATCCACACCAGCCGTCTCCGCCTCGATGCGTTTGATCATCTTCCAAGGTATCATCACTTGACCGACATAGCGACCTCCCTCTGGCTCTTCATCGGGTTCTGCGCTTGTTGATGTTTCGGGACCATCAGCAGGATCAGGTTTGGTTGTGGAGGAGATGCGGAACTCGTCGGTGTTGACGAGGAGGATGTTGAGGTCTTTGTCGGTGCCTACGAAGGTGCCGAGGAAGATGCGATGGTCGGTTGTGGTTATGCGGAGAAGAGAGCGGAGAAGTGCTTGGAGGGCTGCGAGCGAGGGAGACGATGGAAGTTTTGGAGGCTCGGACATGTTTTAATGAAGTACTTCAGGCCGAGAGCAACCGCGCTGATGATGAAGAGAGGTGGCGACTGCACAACGTCGATGATGAGTACTAGTGGCGAGAGCAAGAATAGATTTCCAGGCGCATGGCATATGCCTAGGGAGGTCCGATCCAAAATCGCCGGATTTTGCCCTTTTTGTCCGGACCGATTTGGGAGCGGAATGTACGCACTCGGATCGGGTGCCCTGTTTTGGAGGACATTTGGTACGCATTTCGTATCGGACCTTGCCCAGCATAGAGCTCGAAAATATGTGTTTTATTTGTCATTATGTGCGCACCTCGTCGGCGAGTGTTTGGACCGGATCTCTCACGAGTCATTTTTATCTCTTTTGTGCGCACTGTGGGCTATGGTAGGATCGGACCTCGCTGCGAGCTCACCACTTTTGTCTCGTTTGGGATCGGACGTGGGGTACTTGGGAGACCGAAAATGTACGCACCATGATCAAACATGGAACCACTTTCTGACCCAAAATTGTCCGCACCGGGATTGGACCTCGCCCCGCATATGCCATGCGCCTAGATTTCCTGTTCCGTTAGGACAGGTCTTGAGACGAGCTTTGTCACAGCGTCACGTCACGCCTCTTCGGTGGCGGTGGCGTCTTTAGAGGTTTTAAGAAACGGGCCCAGAGTTCATATCTGTCTGACCGGATTCTTGCTCCACCTGGAGCGCCAGCCCCGCATATGATGAAGGCAGCAGAGTTCGGAGTATTCCGCCTCAAGCCTTCGGATGCTGCTGAGGGTACTATAACATGTATTTTCCTTGAGCAACTTCAGGGTATGTTTTAATGGGGCAGGTACGTAGTATCCCGAGAGAAATATAAGAAAAACTGTCATGGAATAAAGAGCGGACAAGGTGCGCTCTGTGCAGAGGTGGCGCGAAGTCGCTAGAGTGGAGAATGGAACTCAGGGCCACTTTGATCTCTGGGTTCTCCAAACACAGCGTAAAGCCTCAGAATCCGCCGGCCGGATATCTTCGGCGTATTCGCTGAATTTAGGAGAACACGCCGGGAATACGACGAGAATGTCTGAGTTGGCGTGTTCTTGTAAGTTTTGCAAGATACGGACTGAATCCGCTCAGAATGTCGCAAGATGCGACCAGGATCTTTGCGAACACGCCCGGGTCTGCTGTAAATAGACGGCATTGCTTGCACGCCAGTAATTTCCTTTTGTAGACCCTCTGGTTTCATTTATCGCTCCATTTTCGAGCATTTTGAAATGTTCACATACGGCCAGCCAGGAAATTAGGAAAATAATACTAGGAAACAGCTTCCATGAAGCATACACTACGGACAAAACTACATATGTACAATGGGTCACGACGAACGAAAGCGAACGAACCCGCTCTGCTGAACATGATTATCCAAAGCCGCCCACTTCATCGCTTGCCGCTCTGCCTCAGAGCCCTTGGACTCGCACAACATCACCCTGGATAGTTCGATATAGCCAGATAGTATGGACTACAAAAGACTTGACCTAGAATGCTAGCGAGGAAAGGAAAGGACAACGTCAGACGCGCGGTCACGGAAGCAAGGGGTCACTGGGTACTGCTGGGACGCACCTTCGCCTCTTTGTAATACCTTCAAATGCACCTGCACCCCTTGTCCTGACGGCATCCAGGTGCTATATGAAGCTATAGAACCAAAAGTGTATCAGTATGTCAGTGTGTCAGCGTGCTCAAAGGAGGGAACAAGAGAACAATCCAGAGTGAGGAACATGGAGGAGCTCACTGAGGGAGCAAGTCGGCACAAAAAAAAGTCTAAGTCGAGCCCGAGTGACCTCCGGGCCTGGATAAGCGGGGTCGAGAACCTTATTTTCTCCAATGTCAGGCGTATTCTCGTATATCTTGGCAGTCGACAAAATTCCTCAAGGATACACAAGAATTGGATGAGAATTTCATCCCGTCGTGTTTTCTTGCGTTCTCGGCAGACGCGGCACGGCGCGTTCAGGGAGATTCCCGTCGTATTCCGTAATTGGACCAGAATATGCCCTCGGCGAATTCTGGCGTTTTACGCTGTGAAAGCTCTGTCCCCAAACCGCCGTATCTTAAAACCTCTTTTTTCCTGGGAGTCGCTGCTCGATCACTCTCGGTTCCCGGTCCGTCCCGGTCCTTCCGTCTCGTTCCGGTCAGTACTCTACCTGTGTCGTGCAGCGCTCAAATACAACTCAAATATGCCTGACAAGTTCGAACCAACAAATGTGGAACAATTACAGCTTACATTTTTCCACACGTGTGAGGATTCTAATGTTTCGATCCACGGGCATGCCGTGCTGGTTCTTTCTTTGAACGGTAGGTGAACGTGCTGTGAGCTTTAAACTTTTGTGGCGTTTTCGCCACAGCAAGGGTTGACAGTATCTTTTTTTCCAGAGATCATTGACGAGAAAGCTGGTCCAAAGATGTATTACAATTAGTCGGCCAGCGTTGTTCAATCTGAAGGAACAGGTCTGGCCCGGAGGGCGTGGAATGTCACGCGAAAGGGGGCGAAAGGGGAAAGTCACGTCAATCAAACCAAAGTGACAAATGCGTGACGGACACGTCGCGTCCCGTAAATGAAGCTGCTCGACCAGCGATTTCGATGAACCCATTTGAGAGCAACGCAGCCTTGAGCATGCAGGGCTCCTTCTCCACCCCGAACACGCACAAATATTCTGTCATCTTGCCCACATACAACGAGCGCAAGAATCTGCCGGTCATCATATGGCTGCTGAATAGGGTGTTTACAGAAAAGTGCGTACCGTTTGTACTGTACTGGACGTGTGGCGCATCGCTCATGAAGGTGTGATGTTTGGGGAAGAGTGTAGTGAGCTGAGCTGGGAGATTATTGTCGTTGATGATAATAGCCCCGATGGGACCCAGGAGGTCGCCTTGCAGTTAGCTAAGGTGTATGGAGAGGACAAGATCGTATGTTCCTTCGTTTCGTCCGGAGACATAACGAAACTCAATGCTGGTAACAGGTCTTGAAACCCCGGGCGGGCAAACTCGGTCTTGGGTACACACTGTTTGACTTTCGTCATAATGTCAATGCGTGCTGACGAGGAGCGCTCAGAACGGCCTATATCCATGGTCTCAACTTCGTTACTGGAGACTTTGTGATCATTATGGACGCCGACTTTTCACACCACGTATGTCTATTCTGTGCCTCATCTATCCCCAACTTGGCTCACACCTTTAACCCTCCTCTCAAGCCAAAATTCATCCCACAATTCATCCGGTGCGTTCCCCGTCCCAGTCATCGACGGTCCAGTGACGGACCGTTCTGACGTGGCGTCACCTACTTTACCACTACTAGCCTCCAACAAGCCCACAACCTCGATATTGTCACCGGCACACGATACCGCTCGACCGCTTCACCGCCACTATCCGGAACCCAGCCTGGTGGTGTACATGGCTGGGATCTGAAGCGCAAGATCGTCTCGAGGGGCGCAAATTTTCTGGCGGATACGGTGTTGAATCCTGGTGTCAGTGATTTAACGGGCAGTTTTAGGTGCGTTTTGGATTCCTTTTCCCCTTCGTGTGTTCGTTCTGAGCTGAGACTGTTTGCAGGCTGTACAAGGTCGCCGTGCTGCGCCATATCATCACCCTTACCGTCTCGCGGGGATATGTCTTCCAGATGGAAATGATGGTTCGCGCTAGGGCGCTCGGATACACTGTTGGTGAGGTGCCGATTACATTTGTGGATAGGCTGTTTGGGGAGAGTAAGCTTGGTGCGGATGAGATCGTGCAGTATATGAAGGGAGTGTGGTCCCTGTTTACTGGCGTATGAGAGCTGGTTCACAAGGCAAGGATGGAATGTTGGTGGTTGAGGTGATTATGTTGTTCCCGCAATGATTGTGGATCTGTACACGCTCGTTACATATACCGTATTTTGTTCTTCCTACTCTTCGCGATGATTGGTGCCACGAACGTCCTGGGCCAGGCTGGGCCACACTCACTCCCGATATCACATGTCACGCTCGGGCCCGATTCAGATGAGTCACAGTGGTCACTTAGAGTCACAAAAAGTTCAAGTCATGACGTCAGTTCCCCGTCCCCGCACTCGTCCGAATAAAAGCCTCACTCAGCTTTCTCTTCTCCTCCATTACCTGCCCCTCTTCCTCTGTCATCAATATCCCTTCACCCACAACATCACATACAAACTCTCTGCACCGCACCACACACTTTAAAGCAGACATGAGTCTCAGACAGGACTTGCTTAGACAGTCCGCTGTCGAGAAGAAACAGCCTACTTCGCCTCAGAGCGGGACATTTTCGCCAGAGGACTCGGAGGATGAGCTGGTCAACGTCGTACGTATCCTCTTATCCTGAACACACTCCATCATATGTCCCGTCTTATCCTCCGTCGCTCAATCCTCGACTGGAAATTTAGGTATCAGTACCAGGGACCCCAGCTCGTTCCCGCCCCACTTCCCGCCCGACATCACCCACCCGCACTGGCGCGTCCAGCCGCCCCATTCCTGGGCCTCTACATCTCGGCGCCTCTCGAACGAAAAAGTCGACCGATCCGGTGAGGGCGTTCCCTACCGAGGTCACGCAGCGGATCTTCAGGCAGTTGAGTATCAGGGATCTGGCGAGGGCGGGTCGGGTGAGTAAGAAATGGAATAACAGCCAGAGTATCAATTATGGTATGTTGGATAGTTCAACGTGGGTGGTCGGATGGCATGCTGACGTGGGGGTTTAGTTTGGTTCCAGCATTACAGGAAGGAGAACTTCCACGACGAGAGTCTTCCACCGGGGAAGTGGACGAAGCGTGAGTCGAAACAGAACTGGGTGAGTTTATCTCTTTACCGTGCTACGTCACGCTTTGTCTCACTGATCTTGTGCAAACCATCTTCAGCGCTCGATGTACGGCCAGATAGCGTCCAATCGTGAACCGGCAGTTGGCTACTCTCGTCCATTTGCCTCGTCTAATCGCTCCTCCGGTTACACTACACCGACGGGCTACCAGACCCCGAAAGAGATGCGTGAGGAGAAGTGGAAGCTGGAGAGCGAGGCGGCGGAGAAGCCGGGGAAGCTGGAGATGAGGGAGATGTACAAGGAGCTGGGTGGGAGGAAGGCGAAGAGTAAGGCCAAGTTGGGGGCCGTGGGTGGATCGAACGGGGTGAGGGATAGAGGTGGCTGGTTGGCCGGGGATGATGGGTACGACTAGCGGAATGCGTGGGTAGTAGATCTTTATGCGCTTGGTCTTGCTTGTATTATTGATAGATTCCTCCTGGATCGGTGTTGTGTTGTACTTCGAGCTTTGTACAGTAGATTTTTAGCGGCGCTCTCGCCCAATGCAATTGATGAAAGATATCACAGCCCCTATTACCCCTTGTGGGGAAATCTTTGCAGAAAATGGGATGGAAAACCCGAAAAAGGGCAAGGACAGCCAAGGGGTGAATGCTCCGCTTTCCAAAACGGGGTTATGGAACTGTCACTCGCAAGCAACGGGCGACGAGCTCGGATGACTGCTTTCGTCTCCTCCATTATTTTTATTCTTGGCGCTGGCGCAGCTCGTCCAACTCGGATCCATCAATCTCTTTTGCTTGAGGTTATATCTCAGGCAGCAATACCATGCCCGATTACCAGGTGAACCACGGCTTCCAGCTCGGCTTGAAACATGCAAGCCCGCTCGACACCCTCGTTCGCAGGACGTCTTCTAGACAGGCGACGAGACAAGCACCCGTCAGGCCGTTCGTAACACCACCATCGAGACCCCAACCGCCGTCAGATTTTTCATCGAACGCTTCCAGTCCGAACGACTCGTACTACGAACCGCGCCGGGAGGAACATCGGGACTACTATGAACACGAGCGCGAGCGGACTCTGTCGGGGGAACGGTCTCCAGTACGAGACGGACAGCGCTCACCGGCATCTTCGTCTCAGAAGGGGCTTTCTCGCCAACCTTCGTCCCCGCTGCTGCATACGCGCTTTAGGAACTCGACGGCAACGACTCAGTATAGCAGGAATTCGGTCGATCTGCTCAACCGGTACGCGAACTCGACTCTGGACGACTCACAGAGCTTTCAGTATCAGTACGCACACGAGGGTGAACATGACCATGGCCATTCTTACGGCGATGACGACAGCGTCTATTCCAATCCGCTCAAAGTCCGGGATAGCCGTCATCAGCAGCAGCAACGGGTCCAAGTTGACCATGAGCATTCTCATTCGCATATAGGAGAGAGTGGGTACGAGGACTTTGGGCAGCGCGTTGATTCGTACTATGCGAATGGCCCGAACGGTGAGCAGGATCCTTCGCGACGGGAGACGGTCAATGGGAGGCAGTGGGAGGGGTATGATGGTATCCCGTCGATGTACGGAGACGGTCACGGCGCAATGGGAATATCGGGTCAGTATCCGGAGGAGCAGGCCCTGCCACGCAGGAGCAGCGATGAACAGGTCGACCCCTATGCGTTTCACAACCAGCGCACAGAACCGTTTGTTCCAACCGTTATTGTGTCGCAGCCTGAGCCACCGCCACCAGCACAGGACGCGCGATATTCGTCTTCCGGATCCGACGATGCCTCTTCGTACTCCTATTCTTATCCTTCACACCCATATGCGAACGCGACCTCCCCGCAAGCGACGCCAACCCAAGGTCGAGCTCCTATCACCAACTCATATTTTTCCACCTCCTCCCTACCACTTCGACCAGCTCGGCCTTCCGACGAGGACAAACGACGTGTTTTAGAACGGAACGCTCATCGCTCACCGGCGCAGTCGATGCTCAGTCCAAACTCTGCTCGCCGGCCACAACCGAGAAGTGGCCCGCGCAGCCCATCGCCCCTAGCAGCGCCTCCATCCACCACATCTGCACCACCTTATATTTCTAGGACACGATCACATGGAGATCTCCCCTCATCATCATCATCCCCTTACCCTCCACCTCCTTCAAACCCTCACCCTGATTCATATTTCTCCTCTGCATCCACATCGACACCCCACCTCTCTACTGCAGACGACCCTGAAGCTATGGCGCCATCGAGACCTGCACCGATAAAGACGAACATTTCTCCCTATGGTGGGGACCTCAAGCCTGCGTCACCAGGCAGTCTTTATTCCTCGTATTCGTATTATCCCTATCAGAGCCCTGTGCCCTCACCTGTATCGGCCACCCACCGAGGCAATACCCCTCCGACGAACGACAATAACAATGGCGCCCCTCCACTCCTCCGCGCCACCTCCACTCCATCCCCATCTCCATCGCCTCTCTCTACAACCATACCTCGTGGCGAGCCAAACCTCACGAACCCACAGACCGCAGAAGATTTCCTCCAGCTCGGCATCACACACCACGAAGCCAACAGGCTCTCTGAGTCTGCGAAGTGCTTCGAAAAGGCGGCCACGTTACCGGGAGGGAACGGAGAAGGAATGTTGATGTGGGGTTTGACGTTGAGACACGGATGGGGATGCGAAAGTAATGAGAGGGCAGCGTTTGGATGGTTGAGGAAGGCGGCGGAGGCGGCGGTGGAGGATTTGGAGAGAGTGAGGTATGTGGTGGCGGAGGAAGCGGAGAGGGCGGGATCTGGTGGTGGTAAGGGTGTCAAGGCAGAGATTAGTGGGGCGATTAAGGGGGAGCTGGTGCTTGCGATTTATGAGGTCGGACAGTGCTTTTTGAGAGGATGGGGCGTGAAGAAGGATCAGAAGATGGCGGTGGTGGGTGCTCTGGGTTTTTTCTTCTTGATTTTGAAGAGGATGCTGATCGAAATTGTCTGTAGAGTTACTTTCGTGTGGCAGCGAGGCTGGGCGATGCAGATGCCCAGCAAGAACTCGCGTTCTGTCTTGCCAATGGGAAGGGGTGCAAGAAGGACCGGAAGGAATCGGCGAAGTGGTACCGCGCCGCTGTACGTTCGTTCTCGTTCTGATCCACAACACTGACTGATCCTGACGTTTCGTCAACTTTAGGTCGCGCAAGGCATGAGCGACGTAGGACTTCAGTGGATATATAAGGAGAAGTTCCAGTGACGATCTTTCGTGTCGTTCGCTTCCTTTCGTTCGTTTTCTGGATCTCTCAACCTACCTATGTTTTTATTACTCTGCGACACCGGACATCGTTCGCTCATATTCGTTCTCATGCTCATCTACCTCTCTATTCTTTCTCGCCCAACTTTGATCACCTTTTCAGCTGAGTTCCTTACAGGACTGTATATTTTATTTTGTTCTCGATACCCCGTCTTCTCTTCCATCACACTTCACGGACGTTGGCCCCCTCGGGGCTGCGGATACTTAGAGTTATTGTAGGCGCGCCTGAGGCAGTGTGGAATAGTGCTGTTGGGTAGAAATGCAAGCCTTAATTTTATTCGGAAGGCGCGCAGAAGTGCGTGCTATGATCTCTTATTATTGTCTCCCAGACTGTCTGCCTCGCGGGCTCGGACTGAAGAGCAGGGTGATGTGTTTTATTAGAAGTGTGGGAGATACCCCTAAAAAGTACGCGGAAAGTATGATACTGGACGATGTGAGGCAAGTCGACGAGCAGCAACGTTTTGTCTATGTCTACTGCTCCAGGAAGTACTTGCTCTTGCCCTTGATCTCTGCATAGGGATCAGGCTTGGGCATATGGCCGAACTTAGGCTCGGGTTTTTCTGCGAATGGACGCGTCGTCATTATCACTCTGAGCTCTGATGAAGAGAATGAACAGAAGAAAGACATACTGATGACATCCTGCCAGATCTTACTGGACGCCTCATCCCAGACAGACCTCCACATGTGCGCGCCGCCGCCGGTCAAGTTCAACCCGTACTTGGCTACGAACTCGCGGACGTTGAAGTCGAGCCTTGCGTCCTCGGTGAGCTGCGGGAGCGTGATGGGCTCGGTGGAGGATTGGGGAAGGAGGAGGAGGGTGTAGCGGTGGTAGGGCGTGCCTTTGGCGGGGTGGGGCGGAATGTATGGGACGTGTGGCGTGGAGAGCGAGAGTGGCATGGGGGTGGAGGCGGAGAGGGAGATGTTGGGTCTAGGGGGAGGTGAAAGCGGATAGTATAAGTGATATGATGGAAGAAGAATGAGAACGAGATAGAGCGTACTGGAGCCAATGAAGGTACGTCGTGAAGGACTGGCTCTCGGTGTCAGGGACATCTAATGGGGTGAGGTTTCAGAGAAAGAAGGTAATGATTATATACGAGCGTCGTACCAGGGTCCACCATGAGGAGGGTATAGAGTTTGGGCTCAGTGTGGAAGACCGTGGCGTAGACTCTTGGGGGATTTGTTGTCTACGGCATTCAGCAGTCAGTCCGGCTGCGCGTGACGGTGCTGAAGAATGAGCGTACCTGCTCGTTTACAAGATACACACCCGGTTCGACGGGAGCATAACGTTGCTTAGCGCGCGCACGCTTCGCCTCGCTGGTATGAGCCTCGGGGAAGTTGATACGTATATCAATGTCGGGGCGTAGGTCAGGAAGAACGTCCGGCACGACTTTCATTTGGTAAATGCGTTCCATCTAAGAATGTAGTACTTAGTAAGAGATTCAATTCACAGAAAAAGGTATAGCATACCAAGAGGTCAAGCGCACCCTCCTCTCTCCACCGTTTCTCAACCAAATGCCTGTACACGGGCTTGCTCAAGTCCGCTGTATCCAGGTCTCAAAACTAACCGCGCAGACAAGACCATAATAAGCACGCACCAAGACCATTCCGAGCCTTCCACCTCACGTCAGGCAAGTTGACGTGGCCCATGATATCCAAGATTTCCAACTTCTCCTTTGCCTGGACCTCCGCTTCGCCACTAAACTCTCCCTTGTCCAGCTTCGCGCGCAATTCACTGGCCTCCTTCTGCACAATCTTGGCGTCACGACTGATCACCCTCAACGCCTCGTCATACGCCGGCAACACTCCTCGGGCTATAGGTCTATGCCATTCGCGTGGTCGTTCGAGGCTGATGGAAGGTCGTATGGCGGGGTACATCGCGCGTTTTTTGCGGAGACGGCGGGTCTGCCATTTTGAAAGTGTAGGATGCTCCTTCCCAAGAGTCAGTCTAGCGGGCTTTTCAGTAGTGGTGGAGCTATTCGCGTCGCCAGTGGAGGATACAACAGTCTCCGAAACCTTTGCCTTGCCATTGGACCCGGTCGATGTTGGTTTGGAAGGGGGTGGAGGAGCTGATGGAGATGCCGGAGCAGACGATTGCAGAGTCGTGTTTGCCCTGGACAAGGGTTTCGTGATGGCCGAGATGCGTAGACGTCGAGCAGCGAGCATGATGGACAAGTGCATGCCTGGAGGACCGTGACCGCGTCGAATTTCACGAAACATGGATGAGTCTGTGCATTTGGCTCGGCAAGAACCGGGTACAGTGTTTTACCGGTCCTTTAGACATCACTCACCTCAAGGGGAGCTGACAAATATAATAAATAACCGGCACCTAGTTAGTTAGTTCGGTCGGCGAGAGCTTTCAGAATTTTTTGTACCTACTATATTCTGGGTATAAATTACCCGATTTGGAGCAGTCTGAGACCAATCTGAGATACCCTACGCGTTGGGTAGTCCGTGTCGTTGCTACCCAGTTGCCTACATCGTGTTTAGTCCATCCATTCACGCCGTATGAACACAGACACGGTATGTTCCAGTCAAACATCATGGTGTTGATATGATGGTTTTCTTTGGACAGAAGGTAGCCAATTTGCTGAGAATGTGGGCGAAGAAGAAGTCTGACCGGATATGTTGAGGTCTTCAGAGTTACGGTCTGAGACAACTTCGTTCGACCGTGCCAAACCACATCAAACTATATCGGACCTCAGCCGAGCCCGGCTGAGTTCGTCCGCGTTCGGCGTACGGGCTTGGAGCGGCGAAAACTCTGGCGAACTAGTTCAGATTTCATCAGATCTTGGACAACCTATCGCACTCAGATCCCAGACAACCTCGGCAGAGTCCAGAAGAGCTCGTTGTACTTAGTCTGAGCTCATGAGAGCTCATAAAAGCCTGATTAAAATTAAATCGGTCATTGTGGTGAGTGAGAACTTGCTCTGACCTGGTACAACTCAGGAAGAGTTGCGCGACTGAGGTCCACGCTGACGCTGGAGGACCAAATTCGACGAAGTTTTCTGAGCTCCGCCGAACGCGTCTGAGCGCGCCACCAGTCCACGTCCGTTTTTCCGGGCAGCCGGACCTTGGGCAACCGCAGACAGCCCCGTCGAACCTCGTCCGCGTTTGTCCGCGCTCGTCCGCACTCGTCCAACCTCGTCTGACCTCAGATGAGTTCAGACAACTTCACCGTACGTGGTTTTCTTTCATCCTCATTTGTATGATCTCATTTTTAAAACCGCTAAAGGACTATTGTCCGAGAAAAACCTTCATATGTTGAGCTACCTAAGCATAGACAAATGTATGGCATACAGGAGTACAGAATAGACACGAACGGCTGCCACATACTATGCCCCGACTGCAATACCCTCGTGCGCGTTGGCAACGGTGGTGTCGAAAACTTCAAAAAGTGTCGCGACCACTGCGGACTTCTAAGCTTGAGCGCTCAGATGGGCGGCTAAGGTCGAACGTAAGAACCCTAGATGCTGGGTTACGTGAGATCGGACTATAGTGTAAGAAGCCGAAAACCGACAAGTCAAAGTCGGTCCCGCAGAAATGTTATACCTTACCAGATAAACCGTTAAAGCTTTCAAAAACATGTTAAATAGAGGTTTACTAGGGTCCTCTATGACCCTTGTGAGTCACTTTTCCCAAATTCGGAAATTTTTTTGGGGGGGACTTTCCAAAATTGAAACAAAGGAGGAAAATCGCAATAAATCGAATATTTTATTCATTATATATTCATTCATGGCATACAGTGGTCCTGAGAATGCACAAGAAGAGCTCTGAAAGACTCAGAACTTCATTTTATGCTTGGGCGACGAATGTCTGACAAGGCTCTGGTCAGGTGCCACCGCCACACGAGGAGCAGCTGAGCTCTTCTTTATGGGTGAATAATCCTCATGTGTGTCTCGGGCTTGCAGAGCACATTGAAAACACACACTATATCGATATTGACTGCCATGGCTAGTTTTAGGAGAATTAAAGTGATTTTTATTTTGTTCGTCCATCGAGATTTGAAACAAACCCTCCATTTTTCTGAGAAGTGCTAAATCAACTCCTTTTGTCCATGTTTACTCCCAAAATTTTCGTCCTGCCGACGGCGGGTCAATATTCCGATACGCACACACATGCTCCTTTTAACCTTCTTACACCGTATGTTGGTAGTATCCGAAGGGTGGTTCCTAGGTCAAGATCGCGGTTTGGGCGTGATCAAGAGGTGGGCAACCTGAAGACTAGTCTGCACTCGAGTTTGGCAGGGCGCGCCGAACGATGGAGAGAGAACCAAGATAGCGAGTATATTCCAATGTGCCTGGTGGGCGTGGAGATAGACCGAGTATGTGTAGTTGAAGTTGTTGTTGGTAAGTTGTAACCGTACCAAGTGCAACAGTGGGCTGGTAAATATCCAAAAGTACCGGGTGACTAATGAGGAGGATCAAGTTTTTGGGAAAGTGAAGGTGGAAGTACCAAAAGTATATATACGTAGAAGGGGAAGGGACGTGTAAGCGTGGGAAAGGAGATACGTAAGCGTGGGAACAAGGATCAGTAAGCCAAGGAGAGGACGTGTCAGCGCAGGGTAAGCATAATGAGTAATAGTACAAGAAGGAGAGGCATGGGGTGCACGCGTAAGTGTCTGTAAATATAGTCCAGATATCCGTAGGAAGTGAGTCAACCGAAAGGAAAGGGGAGAGGGAACCGGGTCACGAGCGATAGAGGAAGGAAAATAGAGGAAAATGAAGAAAAACAAATAGGCCATGTCAGGACAGTCATGACAAAAAGCGACACATATCATCAAAGGCATGTGAGGGTAATGCGAAGAAGAAGAAGGGTACGGGTGGGAGAAAAGGTGTTCAAGCCATCACTGCCTTCTTCTCGAAATTGAAGCCGACCGCTGCTGTCACACCCACCATTGTCACCAGATGATGTAGCCTCTTTACAAAGAGTCCTTGTCCTAAGCTATTGGCTCTTTGCAAAGAGTGGACTGCCAAGATATTAAAGGCTCTTTATAAAGAGCATGGGCTGGTGGGTATTCTGGCTGGGAAACTGGCCGGAAAAATGGCTGGAAAAATGGCTGGAAAAATGGGTGGATGGGTAGGGGGTGGTAGGGGGTGGGGTAGGGGGTAAAATAGGGTAGGAAAATGGGGGTAATTGTGCAGCAGGGATAAGATAGATGTATACAGGGTTTAGGGAGGATGTATGGGGCTAGGTATGTGCTCTGGGGCTAGGGTAGATAGATAGATGGATAGGGATAGAATGGTGGACGATAAAAATACGGAAAAATAGGAAAATAATAGCAGGGATGTTGGGATTGATATACTGGGTACTGTGGAGGTGGATTGGTAGGGTAAATAGGGTGATCTGGGGGTGTTTTGGTAACTTTGTGAGTTTTGTAATTCAGAGTGAATGAATTGCAGGGGTTGGTGTTGTTTTGATGGAATTAGCTGATAAAAGAGTAAAATGTGGCCCAAAATTGTCGACATGAAGAAGGCTGATTTCGGCGGTTATTTGGCTTTGCTAAACATGTATAAATATATGTGAGAAACATAT